TAAAGCTATATAAATTATTTCTTAGCTAATACTAGTTGCTAGTTTCTTATTTATATATATTATTTCCTTTATTTTATTTTAAACTACTTAAATATACTTAATAATATAATTACCTAGCTTTAAATAAATTATAATAAATTTATTTTATATAAAACCTTAAGTATTTTAAAAATTATAAAATAACTAATTTTAAAATTAATATAAAATTTAATTATTTAGTTTTAGCTTTTAGCTTTTTTAATTTTATAAAGTTAGCTTTTAGCTTGATAATTTAAGTATTTTTAAGCTATATAAGTTTATTTAAATTTATAAAAGTTATTAAGTAATCTTTTTTAAAGTTTAATACTTATAAATATTCCTTTTTAGGTTTTCTATTATATAAAATAAAAAAGGTAGCTTTTTAGCTTCTTCTTTTTATCCTATTAATATTAGTTTCTAACTAATTAACTAATAAATATAATATTATTATTTACCCAGCTTTTTTATTTAAATATAAGTATTTTGCCAAAATATTAAATTTTTCCTTTTAAATTAGCTATTATAATTAAGCTAATTTATTTTAAACTATATTATAAATTAAAATAAAAGCTTTCTTAAAATTTATAAAGTATTTTATTAATAGCTAAACTTATATTTCCTTTATAAATTTTATTTTTTTAATTAAATTTATATATTTAAATATTTAAGCTTTATTAATACCTTATTAAAAAATATTTAAAATTTTATAAATATAAATAATAATTCCTTTTATTAACTTATAATAGTTAACTATATAAGAATTAAGGGTTTTATAATTTCTTATTATATTTTATCTTTTAATTTAAGCTAAAATTAATTCTTAAATAGTTTTTATAATATAAAACCTTTTATTTTTATTAGTTTTAATATTAAATATTTTATAGCAAAATAATTAATATTTAGGCAGCTATAATAATTTATTTTTATATTATTTTTATAATATATTAATTTACAAATTAGTTTAATTATTAATATTATTTAAATTATTTTTATAATTTTAAACTTTTTTAAATTATAGCCAAATTTTTATTACTTTTATACTAGCTTATATAAAATGCTTATATTATTAATAGTTATTAGTTTTTACTTTTATGGTTTTTACCTACTTTAAAAATACTTTTAGTTAATATTACACTTTATAATGCTATATATATTTTATTTTAATATAAATTGCTTAGCTTGTTTTTTTGCCTACTATTTAAATATAGCTATTTTTATTTTTAAATTATTTAATTAATTTTAATTTTTAAAACTTATTAAAGTTTTTAAAATTTAATATTTGCAAAATTATTATTAAAAGTAATATATTCTTATTTTATTATTATAGCTAGCTAAATATTAGTTAACTAGTTTATTAAAGCTAATTTAAACTTATAGGCTTTATTATTATAAATTTTAATATACTTTAATATTTATAAATATTCTTTATTAATTATATTAATGGGTATTATTTAAAATATAAAATATAAATTTGTTATAATTATATAATTACCAAATAGTTTTAATATTTATTTTAGCCTTATACTTAATAGCTTTTAATTTTATTAAATTTTATTTTATATATTTTTATTATATTTTATAAATATTCTATTAGCTATAATTATTTTTTTAAAAATGCTTTATTTTAATATTATAATTTAAAATTAGTTATTTTATAATATAAAAGAAAAGCTTTTTTAAAAGTTTTTAGCTAGCTCCTATTTATTTAATTAAATTTATAAAGTAATTAATTATAGCTATAAATTATATATTATAAAAGTTAATATTAATAATAAAGTAATTTAATATAAGTTATTTAAGTTATTAATTAAAAATATATTATTAGCTAATATTTTTATTTTAAAATATATTTTTTAATTAAGTTTTTTAATTTGCCTAGCCATTTATATTAGCTATATAAAGGTTAATTTTAATAGCTATTTTTAAAAAGGCTGCCAAACCTTTTAATATATTTAAAGCTAGTTTAAATAATATATTTAAAAAAAAGCAAGTATTATTAAAATATTTTAAATAATTTATAATATTTTTACCTATAAAAAATTTAAGTTTAAAACTATAAAAGTTTGCTTAAATAGGTAAAAACTATTACGCCCTTATAATAAATACTTATTTAAGTGGTTATAATATAAATTATAATAAATTACTATTATTAAAATTATTTTATTAATAGTTATTTTTAATATTAATAGTACTAAAAATATTAAAATTAAAAGTATTAACTATTTAAGTAGCTTTAATAAGTTTTGGCCTAAATTTATTATTATTATAGGTAGAAAATTGCTAATAATATTTTAAAAAAGAATTAAATCGCCTATATTAACTTTAACCTTTTAAATATTAAATTATATATATATATATAAATATTTATATAATAGCTTATTTATTAATAAAATAAAAATAAATAAATTTATTTAAAATAAATTTTATATTAGTTAATTTACCTAATAGTTTTATATAAATAAAATAAAATTGGCATTTTAATTAAATTTATAATTTTAATATTTTGCACCTATAAAGTATATTGCAAGCCCCTTATTACCCAAATATTACCACTTTTAAATTTTCTAATAAAAGGTTTTACTCCTTAACTATTTTATACCAAAATAAGTAGAAAATTACTCCACCTTTCCTTTAAGGTTTGCTAGATTTTTATTTAAAAGCGCCTTAAAATTTTTTAATATTTTAAATATCTTCCCATATTAATAAACTATTCTTTTTTATATTAAAATAATAATTATTATTTTTAATTAGCAATTATTTTTAGGTTTTTAAAAAGCTTGCTTTAATTTTTTTAGCATATATAAATAAAGTTATATATATAATTAGGTTGTAAAAACAGGCTTTTTATTAATAGCTATTAAAAGACCTATAATTAGAAACCCATTTTTAATAATTAGAATATTTAGTAAATATAGCTATTAAATATAAACGCATATATAAACTAAATTTTCTTTTTATATAAAAGGTTTTTTTATAGTTGTTCACTAATAAATTAGAGTGCAAATAGGCTAGTTAAGTGCCTAATTGCAGGCCCAAAAAAGCGCCTATATAAAATAAAAGGAGATAATAAAAATTTTTTAATTTAAATATATTTAAAAGAAAAATAAAAAAAGATTGAATTCTTTTAATTACCTAAAAGAAGGGTAGGTAGGTATTTTTTTATATAAGGTGTCTATAAGTATAAAGGCCCTTACTAACTCAATATATTTAAGTAGCTTTAGCTATACTATATTTTTCTTTTATACTATATAACTATCTTTTAGTTTAGCTACTCATTTCTTTTTTAGTTTAAAGCTTATATATAAAGTCTTTAATAGCTTTATATATATTCTTATAGTTCTTTTAAAAAGGAACTTTAAATCTACTTTTTTCTTTATTTTTATTATATTTTTCTATATTATTAAGGAGTTAATAATTATTAATAATAAAAGTATAAATTTAAAGGAGGATAAGCTTATTATACCCTCTTTTTATTTTTTTATAAATTACTTTTAGAATTCTTTTTAAAAGTTTTAATACTTTATTATAAAAGTTTTAAGGGTAGTATATTATAAATTATTTTTTATTTTAAGTTCTTTTAAAGTTAATAGCTATATATTTAAATAAAGGTTATAGTATTAACTTACTTAATAAGGGTCTTATTAGTATATATATATATATATATATATATATATATTTAGAGGAATAATTTTTAGCTAGGCTTCTTTTAATATAAGTTATTTATATAGTAACTATTTTTAAATTTAATTTTATTATATAATTTCTTTATAGTAATTAAATTATAGGCTATTTTATTTATAATTCTAGTTAATATTATTATTAAAATAATACTTTAATTTTATTTATATATTATAAGGTTAAAGTTATAAGTATTTATTATATTATAATTATTATTATTAATATTATATTCTTTTAAGCTAAGTTTTAAGTACTTACTACTATATAAAGGTGCTATATATATCCTTAAATATATATAAAATAGAAGTAAAACTATATATATTTAAGTATTAATTAAGTATTTCAATATTAACTAAATATTAAAAAGTTAAAAATTTAAAGTATTAAAAAATTAGAAAGAGTATTAGAAGGTTAGAAAGAATATAATTTTTATTTTTACTTTTTTAACTTCTAACCTCCTAATATTTAATGAATATTTAAATATTTAGTTAGTATTTAAATATATATAAGTTAGAAGGTTTAAAAGGGGTGTTAAAAGGGGTGTTAAAAGAGGTATTAAAAGGGGTGTAGAAGGGGTTTATATTAAAAGTATTAAAAATTAAAGAAGAAAATTATACTATAAGATCTCTTAATACTAACTTAAAAGGTACTTATAAATATAAGGGAGTTACTTAAAAAAACTAATATTAAATAAGTAATTAATATAAATTAAATAAGTAGATATAATTATTAAGTAAGTGGATATTAGCTTATAATTTAAACCTTTATATTTAAAATTAATAAAAAAAATTATTAAAACCTTTTAATATTATAAAGTTAATTAAGTAAATAAAATAAGTTATTATTAAAAAAGAATATTATTATTAGAGTAGTATTTATCTAGTTTAATTTTAAGAAGTCTTGCTTGTCGAGACATGGACAGATGGAATGACTGGCCTTAGCTATGCGCTGTATACCTTTTATGACAAAAATGTGAGGCGACTGTGAGATTGGAATGTCGAGCTCCTTTAATCTTAAATATTCACATTCTCCATTTCGCATAACAGAAAAGGAAATGGGTCTTATTTCTCGTCAGGCAACACCATGGATTGTCCCTCGCTTATTTGACCCTAAGAGTAGAGACAGACGACGTTGTACTCGTGTCTAGCTAAAATAGATCTCTACTGAGGGCGAATAGTCGTCCGGTCATTGAGGGTGATCCGCTGAGCGGAAAGCCTTGTCTCTCAATCCTTCATCCCTTAATGATACTGAGAAAGGTAACACCTATCCGTATTAAGTCTGTGGCTAATTATGCTTGTACAGATCTATTCCCGCAATCTCATCATGATGCATTTAGAGGGGTCGGGGACCGACTGTGATAGAGTTAGAAGCTGAACTGTAGGGAGCCAATGTGAGGTCTTTACCTGTGATCCGAATGCGAGGTTTTTGAATCTCTCGTTGCAGCCTTCCGGCATCTTCAGATCGTACTTCAAAAGAGCAGTTGCGAGGATCATCTTGATCTGGTTCGCCGCAAAGAATCTCCCTGGACAGGCATGCCTTCCATATCCAAACGCCAAACTCGTATCGCCGACACTGGTGAACTGGTTGCTTATTGCCGCTTCCACAAAGGCTTCCTCGGAAGACATCTGGCCTCCCAATGCGGCCTCCTTCTCTTTTCGAATTTTGTAAAACCTTAATGCGTCAAATTTCTCTGGATCTTTGTGTAGTGCTCCATCAAAGTTGATCGCGTGCGATGGAACTTCGAGAATAACCCCTTTAGGAACAACTTCCCCATTCGGTAGATTTACTGGCTTCAAGACCTTGCGTTGAAATGCAGCTGCGATGATCACTTAGTTCAAATTCTCCTGTGACAGACAATACAACATACTGGCAGTTTGAGGGTAGAACCTCATGATTTCTTTCAGAAAACTGTCTAACTTGACCATTCTCGTTATCGCTGTATTGGTGATGATTCCGGATGTATCGACAAGAACCTCTTCAACTTCCTCCCGCAATGTCAAGATCAGATTCGGTGTTGCGGCAAGCGTGTAGAAACTTCGAAAGATCAGTCGAAATCCCAACAACCTCGGAAAGGATACGTACGAGTTAGTCAATGCTGCCGTCGTAGTATGAATGGCAGCAAAGGTCAAGCTTAACTGATACTTGGATATTTCCCGATCAGTCTGTTCACCAAACTTATCTTGAGACTCCAGCAGCCATTGCAACATATCGTCTGCATTGTGCTTTCCACCATCTTGATTGTGTGCAGCCCGGCGGCGAGCTGTTACTACTGGCCGGAGAAAGTCATCGGCCTGTTGAAAACGGTTGTGCAACTTCTGAACCTGTGGCGCTCGCCAGGCTAGAAATGGTCGTAGCCAAGGTGAGATGAAGCCCACAGCTTGGATAGCACTCGTCATGTCAAGTGTGTAGTTGATGGCAGCATCCAGATAGACTTCATCTCTGCAAAGATCAGGCCCGACAAAGATGCGGCCCGATGTCTTGGCAACGATGTGAACCAATTTCATACTAATCCTGACTTCCGTCCATCTTGCTGATTCAGGAAACTCCGCTTGAATTCCATCCGTAATTTCGTCTAGGATTGTTGGGTTCAAGCGAGCTGCTCCGGTTAGATAATTCTCTCAATTTCATCGTCTGGCAAAAGCTTACAAAGTGCTGGGTTAAGTGACGCTTTGATCGAATGAGGTATTGTTGGAACATTGCTTGTAATCTTAGTATACTTGGTTTGAAGAGCCTGGGATAAGAATGAGTCAGAATAATTATTGTAGCTGGTTCGGCTTCTATTCCATGTACGTCCGAACCCATACACGAGGACTTCAATATTGTACGCCGAAGTAATTGTTTCTTACCTCTTCTACTGCCTCATTGAAGCTGAGAATATCTTCAGGCAATTTTTTCAGATGGTTTAAAAACTTTGACGATACGACAACACACTCGGATTCTGTGAGCTGGTCAATCAATGAGTCAAATCCTGCTAAGCCTCGAAATACATACGTCTAGCAGTGATGATACGAAAAGTACTGTCTTTGAACTAAAAAGACACTTAGCCTTGCCTATACACCGTTTTCTGATATTGCGCACATTTTTGTAGCCCTCAATATAGAGATCCCTGGCTTTACCAGAGAGGAACTCTTTCCTTCTTGCATCTTTGGTTGTTGCATTGCCCACTGCTGGAATTCTCGAAAGGCGTTTATCGAGGTTGTGGAGAGTCAACCAGAGAAGAGAAAGGCCAGTAGCCAATGCAAAGAATATCAGCTGGGGAATGTTTGCAAAATTGTTGTCGAGCGACATCGTTGTAATTCTGGTAAATGGCGATCCAACGGGTGTTGTCACCATGCCGATCCACGTTCGCTGACTCTGTGATGAGTGGCTATGATGCTGGTGTCTGTTTTGGGTCTTGTTTTAGAAAGCATGGTAAGCGCATCTTTCTTTTATTGAAGCTCTGCTGAAGCCCCTTGTTATCTATGCTCAACTGACTCTGCACCTAGTCCTACCTCAGCTCCACCCTGGCTTGATCCCCGGCACAGACGGGCTTATAAAGTTTCAGCAACCCCGCTTCTTCGCCAGAGGCGAGTGCTCCTTTATGCACTTGCTAAAGTAGGGCAATGTCAAATGGTACGACTGACTGCTCGGATAGAAGGGACGACTCGGCACGACTCGGCACGACTGGGGCGGCTTTGGTATTAAAGTTTCATAGCACGATCAAAAAAGCCAAACAAAAATTTGAATCAAACTGCTGTCTGTGTCAAGCGAAGTGATGCACCCCCCTGTTTTATTCGTGCACGTGCTGACGCTTTTTTGCAGTAATCACTGCAATTTTTTAAAGGTGGTCTTTCTAGTAATTTAGTTAAAAAGACTCTTATTAAATAGATATATTCAGTATGTATATAAGCTCCCGATTATATAGTAGTATATAAAATATTTTAAAACATTATTAATTAAAATTTAAATTAAAAATATTATTAAAAAGTATAAAATTTAAGTGCTCTACCTAGAGGGGGTGGCTTAAATATATACTAGTAGTAGCTAACTTAGTTTGAACCTAAATGGCGATAAAAGGCTCTTATTTATATTCTAAATTCACGTTCTAACTCTTTATTTTGGAAATAATGCCTCACTTTAGCCAATCCCGGTGTGCGATGTCGTCCTGTGACCTCACGCATTATCTCTCAAACAGTGACTTGTCGACAAGACACACGAGTTTAGTTCCCGAGACCCGACCACTTCTCAACTCTTGAAGCCCCTTGTCAATATCGGCAAGTGTTTCTCCAATGACACGATGTCTGAGTGGCTTCACGACCCCGTCACTAACAAGTCTACTAACCTCTTTCATCCAATTTGTCGCAAAGTCGTGGTCGGCCGGCGAAGCATCGCATCTGTACGGTGCGACCCAGTCAACAGCAGATCCAAAAGCGCTCATCGCGAAGACCCATGACGGTCGGACCGCCCGCCGCGAGTGGCTCGCTATCGGGAAGCTATCAAGCGCGACGTAGCGCCCTCCATCAGCACCAAGTGATTCGTAGCAGATTCTCATCGAATCTGCTGTTGTGATACAGTCCGCTGCGTAGGCCAACTGATTACTGGTAAAGTCGCGAATGTCACACGCGCAAGTGCTTGATTGGTAGTCAAAGGCTGCTTCTGCTCCTGTTTCTTTGACGAGGTCAAAGTTGTGTGGCGAACATGTGACTACTGGTACAAATCCGCAACTGGTAATGTCAGCAGTTTGCTAAGAAATGAAAATGCGAGCCTCGAGTTTCTCACTGTCTCAGTAATTGGATCATGCAGAGGCCAGATGCCGTGCTGCCGCCGTAGACCAGGGCGTATCTTGTTTGTTCCGACTGCACGCTTCTGAGTTTCATGGTATTGTGCAGAACCATGCCTCCTGTGAGAAGACCGCAAGGGAGAGTAGCAGCCTCTTCAAAGGATATACTGTCGGGTATGCGGAAGAGCGTGTGCTCTTCAGCCACCACGTATTCAGAGAAGGCACCGGTAGTATTGTTGTTGTTGTTGTACCCGAATGCCACTCCGCACACTCGATCTCCTGGTCGTATGTCTGAGCAAACGTTTGTACCTTTTGATATGACGATCCCCGCAAAATCAAGCCCGGCCATGGAGCCTTGAGGCATACCGGCTTGGATCATCTTCACGTCTGATGGGTTCAGGCCGACACATGCTGTCTTGACCAGAACGTTCGTAGGTGATAATACTGGTATTGAGGTCGTGATTAATTTCGCTGCTTCCCGGCCGTGAACGATTACCGCGTTCCGTGATTTTGGTAGTAGTGTCATTGTTTGCGGATTTTGCACGGCTGAAGTCTTCCAAGGTTTGTTACGCGATGAGTACATCATTGACAATATTATTCAATTGAAGGCAGAGCTTCATGAGATGGGCACCCCCTGTGGCATTACGGAACACAATTCCGTGGAGAGGGCCGCTGAGCCGAATCGCGAATGTCCCCACCCGTGGGCTAGGTAGAACAGTCCCGAGTCAGCACTTCTTAGTAAACCAGGGATCCGACCTAGTAACGAATCTACTGTGTACTACAAGAGGTATTGTAATTATGCGACATTTTGGCCGTCATCGAGTCGGGAACGGTGGTCTCATCTGGTGAATGGTGGTCTTACCCTGGTATTCTTCGAGTAAGGAGCTTTGTTTCAGCAAGGGACCTGACGGGTACCCTGTCACGGAGTAGTCGTCGCAGGCCTAGAACACAGTGGCCGCACTCCTTTGCTTCGGGCAACAATCTTGCGAAGTCTCCATTTCTTAAGCTCACCCTCCTGTTGACCGTACACTCCGGAGACGCCGGGAACGTATGGAACTGAGTCGCGAGGTCATCCTCCATGTTTTGGCACGAAATAGACTTTCTTGTTGTTCCAATTAGTCCAGATGGCAATGTAAGGTACGAAGAGGCAAGTATGGAGCCTGTGCCCTCAGAATACACGTGTTTTCAAAATAGTGTTGCATACACAGATAAGGTTTGTTGGACAGTGTAGGATCCCCCTGATTGCCTTTGTCAGTCGATTAGCGGCGGTAGAAGGGTGCAGATAGCCCGACCGAGCAGCCTGCGCAGGAGACTCCGGCATCGTTGACTTCCAGAGCTGTAAGCCCTGCTTTCCTGGCCGTATTCAAATTTTGTGCATAAAGTCAATGGAGTTACGTACCTAGGTAGCGAACCACGACTTCAGGACTTCCGCAGGGCCTCCAAAGGTTTTCAGAGACATTTTACTGCCTCAAAGAAGTCTAAGACTAGCACAAAACATATCAACCATTTAGTTTGACGGGTTTTGCATAACCATGGAGCCTATTGCAATAATTGGATTGGCGCATCGTTTCCCTGGAGGCGCCACCACACCGGCCAAGCTCTGGGAAGTACTCAACAGCAGACGAGATCTATCCAGAGATCCGGATAAGGATCGTCTGAATCTTCAGAAGTTTTATAACCCCAACGGCGAGCATCATGGGAGTTCAAATGTTACAAAGTCTTACTTCCTCGACGAAGATCCTCGGCTTTTTGACACCACGTTCTTCAATGTCAGTCCCCTGGAAGCAGAAGCTATGGACCCGCAGCAAAGGTTGCTTTTGGAGACAACCTACGAGGCTATGGAATCTGCTGGGACGCCCATCGAAAGGATCCGCGGGTCGCGATGTTCAGTATATGTAGGTGTGATGACGGGCGACTACGAGACGATCCAGTACCGGGACACCGAAGACTTATCGCATTACACTGCGTCTGGTACGTCTCGTGCCATCTTGGCTAATCGAATTTCATACTTCTTCGACCTTTCCGGGGCATCTATTTGCCTAGACACTGCTTGCTCATCGTCTCTTGTGGCGTTGCATCTTGCCGTCCAGGATCTTCGAAGTGGCGGAGCGGAAACTGCCATTGTTGCCGGCACGAATCTCATTTTCGGACCAGACATGTACATCAGCGAATCAAAGCTTCGAATGCTGTCTCCAACGGGGAAGTGCCAGATGTGGGATGCTATGGCAGACGGATATGCGCGAGGAGAAGGTGTGGCAACGCTCTTGCTAAAGCCTCTAAGTCAGGCTTTGAGGGACAACGATCCGATACAGGCTGTTATTCGCAACTCCGGCGTCAATTCTGACGGTCGAACGCCGGGAATCACGATGCCTAGCGCACTTGCACAGGCAAAATTGGCTATAGAAACGTACAAAGGCGCAGGGCTAGACCCGTCAAAGGCTGAAGACAGATGCCAATACTTCGAGGCGTGGGTTTTGGTTCTCGTCTCTCCCAACCTTGGCTTATCAGCTCATTAACACTTCAATAGGCACGGAACGGGAACTCAAGCTGGTGACCCTACAGAAGCCAGGGGAATTTTCGAAAGTTTCTTTTCGGAAGATACTGACACAGGCGCAGAACTAGATCCCCTCTACGTGGGGTCTATCAAAACAGTGGTCGGGCACTTGGAAGGTTGCGCAGGTTTAGCAGGTGTCATCAAAGTTGTCCTCGCGATGAATTATGACACAATCCCTCCAAACCAGCACCTCAAATCCCTCAATCCGAAAGTTCAGCCCTATAGCTTGGTTCTCAAAGCCCCTACAAAAGCGACTCCTTGGCCGGCTAGGAGGGCTGGGCAACCAAAACGCGCAAGTGTGAACAGCTTCGGCTTTGGAGGAACCAACGCACACGTCATCTTGGAATCGTACGATACAAAGAAAGCATCTAAGGCGCAACCATCCCAGAACTCTTCAGTCAGAAGTTTCTCTACGCCTATCGTCGTCAGCGCTCACACGCAAACTTCACTACTCGAAAATATCCGACGGTTGACGACCTACCTGCAAGACAACCAGGATGTCAGTCTTGATGACCTAGCTTGGACATTATGGGAACGACGAAGCCAACTCAATCTCAGAAAGTCGTTCCATGCAACGTCACGCGAACTTCTTCTTGAGAGCCTTGAGAATGCACTTGCAGAGTCTGCCGGCACACAACTGAGTTTGGGAACACCTGCCTCGGATCTAGTATCCCCATCCGAAGGGTTTGGCGTCTTGGGTATATTCACTGGACAAGGCGCCCAGTGGCCTGGTATGGGCAAAGAGTTGCTGCGGCACAGCCCTATTTTTAGGACGGCCATTGATGAGTGTGACAAATCCTTGTCGACACTTCCTGATCCCCCATCATGGTCGTTGAAAGAAGAACTACTCAAAGATGCTGCAAAAAGTCGCATATCAGAAGCTGAAATCGCACAGCCCGCAACTACGGCAGTAGAAATTGGGCTGACTCGGATGTTGAAGTCCGCTGGGATTAAGTTTAACGCCGTGGTCGGTCACTCATCCGGAGAAATTGCGGCGCTGTCCGCGGCCGGTATACTCTCACTAGCCGATTCTATTCGCATTGCCTTCTACCGCGGCCTCTACGCGAAGATGGCCAAGTATGGATCCATGATGGCAGTTGGAATCAGTGGGGAAGCTGCTCAAGACTTCTGTCGAGAGGAAGCGTTCAGAGGCAGGATTTGTCTCGCAGCCAAGAACTCGCCTTCCAGCGTCACCCTCTCGGGAGACGTTGATGCCATTAGGGAGGCGAAGGAGGTTTTCGATGGAAAAAAGATCTTCGCCCGAGTTCTGATGACCGACAAGGCCTATCACTCCCCGCACATGGAAGCGTGTTCCGAGGCTTACCTGCAGGCCATGCACAAATGCGACATCAAACCACTTAGAACGGGCAAATGTGTCTGGGTTTCAAGTGTAGACGGAACTGCAGACCGGTACTGGGATCAAAATCTGGACGACCTGAGTGGGCCATACTGGATTGCGAACATGGTGAAGCCTGTGTTATTCTCCGACGCAGTGACGACAACGCTGACCAATGGCGGGCCATTTGATGTTGCCATCGAGGTTGGACCACACCCAGCCCTTAAAGGGCCTGTCAAACAGACTGTGCGACCACATCTGGGCAGGCAGATTCCATATACTGGAACCATGAACCGTGGAGAAGACTGTGTTGTGAGCATTACTCAGCTGCAGGGATTCCTATGGTCTAATTTTGGGGCTGCTGTCCTCGACTTCGACGGATATCAGCGCTGTTGGCAGGATCAAGTTGCTAGCCCGACGGTAATTCATGATCTCCCTACATACTCGTGGGACCATGACGCACCAATCTGGCGAGAATCGAGAATATCACGCAATTATCGCCTACGATCTGGAGGAAAGACTGACGGGAGCATGCTACTGGGTCACAGGTGCCCCGATGATTCAGACTGGGAACCACGCTGGCGCAACTTCTTGAGTCTGAAGGAGCTTCCGTGGCTACGTGGGCATTCTTTTCAAGGAGAGGTTCTATTTCCCTCAGCTGGATATATTGCGATGATGCTGGAAGTTGCACAGTTTCTCAGCAGCGAAGAGTCAATGTCGCTGATTGAGATTAAGAATCTCAATCTCGAGCGACCACTCAAGGTGGACGAGGGACCAAGATCGATCGAGATGGTCACATCAGCCAAAGTGACGTACAAAGATGAGAAATGCATCATAGCAGAATTCTCGTGTTACGTGTGTTCCGATGCGGAGACGGGGAAGATGGACAGGACCTGTTACGGGTGTATCTCTGTGTCGTTGGGTAGACCACATGATGATGCTCTCCCTGCCCGTGCGGATCCGCTGGCTGCATCAGTTCCACCTTTGGATGCCGACCGATTTTACAACTCCGTAAGGCAAACTGGACTAGAATACGAAGACTTGTTCAAGAGTCTGAACACCATGCGTCGAGCTGATGGTATTGCCACGGCAACAGCGTCCTGGTTTGCTGACGAGATCAACTATGGCGGTCTTTACCACCCAGCATTGATCGATGTAGCTCTACAGCCAGTAAGTCTCTATGCTATTCGCACTCCTTCAAAGGTCTTCTTCTGGGGGTCACTAACAGGCACCAGGTATTCGCCGCTTTTAACGCCCCAGCATCCGAAAGACTTTGGACTGCGTACCTTCCTCAAAGCTTCGAAAGAATCACAGTCAACCCAAGACATCTTCTCATCCCGTCAGAAAGTGGGCATATCGAAGTACTCATCGATGCCTTCTCAACAGTGATATCGGCAACAAAGATTAGTGGGGACGTCAGTGTCTATTCCACTCATGACAATTTCAACCAGCCGTTTATACAGCTCGAGGGGATGGGCCTGGCAGCTCTCGGAAGGCCAGATGCATCCAACGATCGTATCCTTTTCGCCTACACAAAATGGGAACCTGACTTGCTCGAAGGAGATGAGTTCGAGGTCGACTTCAACCCACCTCAAAATTCAGCGGTGGAAGAATCAGAAAGGGTCGCTTTGTTCTTCTGCCGCAAGCTCTTGAATGAGGCGAGCAAGGTCGGAGTTGAGAGCTTGAAACCCCATGAACAGCTGATGTTCGAGCAGCTTTCGGCTTTGAAGGAAACTGTGGAAAAGGGACCATGTCGCGACTGGGTAACCGACACCAGAAAGACGATCGACGCGATCATGGAAAGGAATCAGGACCAGGTTGACTTCGAACTACTTCGCCGAGTGGGAGATGAAGCCGGCAGTGTTTTTCGAAACGAGAAGCAAATGGTGCACATCCTTTTCGCCGACGACAAGCTGAGCCATTTCTATCGAGAGGGTCTTGGCCTTCGGAACGCCCAACGTCAGATTTCGGCATATCTGGAGGCCATATCGCATCGTTACCCAAACGCAAGCATTCTTGAACTTGGCGCCGGAACTGGAGCTTCCACTTCAGCTGTCCTTGACACGATTGGCAACCACTTTGGCTCATATACTTTTACCGATGTGTCCCTTGCTTTCTTCCCAGAAGCTCAGAAGAGATTCGCGGCGCACGTGCACAAGATGATTTTCAAGAAGCTGGACATTGGACAGCCGTTCGAAGAGCAGGGGTTTGATACCCCATCATACGACGTCATAATCGCGGCCAATGTCTTGCACGTGTCAGAAGACATCGGAGCCGTGCTTCATCGTGTCAGAGGTCTTCTCAAGCCGGGAGGTTTCCTAGTGGTTACTGAGCCAACTTCGGATCATCTCAGAATCCAAGTGATCATGGGAGGTCTTGAGGGTTGGTGGCTTGCTCGAGATAACTGTCGGCGATTTGGACCGGTAGCTACAATTGAGACCTGGGATGAGAAATTGCGCGGTGCTAGGTTCAGCGGTGTTGATCTGTTCAGCCATGACCAGAAACAGGACGAGCTTCATACCTTCACCTCCTTCGTCAGTCAAGCTACGGATCCCAGCATTGATGCCTTCCGACAACCATTGGACCATATACACATGCTTCCCGGCTATGTTCCGTTTACTATAGTTGGTGGGTCCACGCTTGCCACGTCAAAAATTGCCCGCTCTGTACGGAACCGCTTGGCATCCTTTGGCAACGACGTCGTTCACTGTCCTGATATTCGAAATATCAAGCCTTCTGATATCCCAGCGCAGTCTCTGGTCTTATGTCTTGCGGACCTAGATGTGCCCATTTTCAAGGCTGGAGTCGATGATCCTGTCCTTTCCAGCTTCAAAACCATGATTGAGAAAGCTCGAGGAGTCTTGTTCTTCACAAAGAATGCGGCGACGTCTAATCCTTACTCAAGCATGTTGATTGGGCTGTGCCGAGGCTTGCGCGCAGAACAACCCGCGTTAGGAGGTTTCCTCCAAGTAGTGGACATCGACGGAAACACCAAGCTTGATGTCAACTCCATTCTTCAGCGTGTGCTTCAACTCACGATGACAATCATTCACAGTACGGGCTCTAGAGATAGCCTTTGGTCCCTGGAAACCGAACTCTGTCTCAGAAACAGCAAGCTACTCATTCCACGTATCCGGGAATACAAAGACCCCAACGAGCGTGCCAACTCGGATAGGAGACACATTGTGAAATATGTCACATCTGAGAGTCATGTCATCCAGGTCAGCCTCGATGGTGCAATGGTTGAGGCAAAGGCTAGCCCAAAGATCAGTGAAGAAAATCCCGGTCTTGACACGATCGAGAATTCTTTCTCGTGCTTGAGACCAATCAACCTGTTGCCATTCCAACCTGCCCAGTATCTTTGCGCTGGCATACGGCAGAAAGACTCCGAAATGGTGATTGTTTTATCTTCCATGAATTCATCAGTACTGCAAGTCCCAAGAGACCAAATGCTGCCAGCAAAGATCGAGCCAAAAGCCATCGCTGTCATGTCTACTGTACTGGCTGCCCAGGCTTGGGTACGATCAGTGCCATCCGGTCACACAATCTGGATTCATGACCTTGACAGCACCAAACGCGATCTTCTCAGACTTTTGGCGAACAAACGCGGTATTGACATTTTTGCTACCTCGACGGACCCAAAATGCGATATTCATATGCCGCCCCGCGCACCGACGCGAATGCTCAAGGCGCTTGTGCCTCGCAAGACAGCAATCGTCATCTTCGGTGACTCAATCAGCGATGCCGACCGTTCCGAAATTCTTGCCAAGGTGTCTTCTTTCACCTTGGTACTCACGTCTTCCAGTGGAAGTTTCTGGAATTGCCCAATCACTTCCCCAGATAAAAAGTTATCGGAGTTGCTACAAGACGCTTACAGATCCACTGTATGTTTGGTCAAGTTGTTGGATCCAGGCGAGGTAGCCAAGGTGGTGCCGATAGGCGAGGCCATGAAGGGCAGCAAGGATGCCAATGCAAGTGTTATTGACTGGAGGCAGGCTCGAAGCATCCCAATCCGAGCAGACTTACAACCAGTCGAACCCCAACAACTTTTCAGGGCTGACAAGACTTATTTTCTGGTCGGTCTCACTGGCGACGTCGGGGTTTCAATCTGTTCGTGGATGATCAAATATGGCGTGAAGTACGTTGTGCTGGCCAGCAGAAATCCTAGAGTCAGCGAGAGCTGGGTCGACTCCATGTCAAACCTTGGGGCTAAGGTTATGGTCATGGCCATGGACGTGACGGATCCTAGTCGCGTCAGGCAGGCTGTGAACGAGATCGCCAAGACAATGCCTCCCATTGCCGGCGTCTGTAATGGCTCAATGGTGTTGTCGGACCAGCTCTTCATGCAAATGGACGTCGAATCTATGCAAAGTGTCCTCCGACCCAAGATTGATGGCAGCATCAATCTTGACCATGTCTTCGCCAGCCAGGATCTAGACTTCTTTATTATGCTCTCATCAACGGGCAGCGTCATTGGAACACCGGGTCAATCCAATTATCACATGGCGAACAAGTTCATGTCTGGACTTGCCGCCGACCGAAGACGCAGAGGCTTGGCTGGATCCGTTATCGACGTTGGCATGATCTCGGACACTGGCTATGTTACCCGTCAAGATCCTATTGTCGCCAAGAAGTTGCGCAGTATGTGCGTACTGGCTCTCTGCGAAGCTGAAGTCCACACTATGTTCGCGGAGGGTATTCTGGCCGGCCGTCCCGGCTTTGCTTCGCACAGCGAGCTCATAGCTGGTTTGGCCATCAGCGACAACGAAGCTGAGCGGCCTTTTTGGGCCAATGAGCCTCGCTTTGGGTTCTATGTGAGGGACAAGAAGGAGTCGGCCATTCAAAGCGTTGGTCCATCAGTTATTGAAAATCTCCGCGCTGTGTTAGAGTCCGCGAGCGATGAGAGCATCGTATTCATCAAGGTGCGCGAGGCGTTTGCCCACAGGCTGGAAAGTCTTTTACAGCTTCCCTCTGGAAGTGCCAAGATGGACCTGCCTCTTGTCAGTCTTGGTTTAGACTCACTTCTTGCGATGGAAGTTCAGACTTGGTTCCGCAATATTGTCGGCACTGAGATCTCTGTTCTGCACATTCTTAGCGGCGCCTCTGCAGACTCTATATGTAGGGAGGCTTCAGCCACATTCACCAAGAAAAGCACCACCTGTGTGAAGGGAGAGCCCCCGAAGACTGTGGCCAACCCTGAGCCGAGGACACCACAGCTAAACATCCTTGTCACTGATGGATCACGGACGCTCGCTATATCGGACAGCAAAACAACTCCAGGTACACCCAATGCATCATCCCTAACTCCTATGACCTCAGTGTCTCTTGAAAGCAGAGCCGAACATAGGGATGAATACTTTTCAGAGCGCAAAGAGCAACGAGTTGTGCAAAGATCAGCCCGGATGTCCTTCGCACAAGCTCGACTTTGGTTTCTACAGGGATTTTTGGAAGATCCGACAACCTACAATGAGACCACCATGTACGAACTTCGCGGTGCCTTGGATATTGACCGGCTCAAAAACGCGTTCAGACAGCTTACCGAGCAGCATGAGATCCTGCGCACCTCCTTCTACGAGGACCGAGCTTCAGGGCGGCCGATGCAAGCTGTGACAGCCACGTCAGCCTGCCCTTTCAAATTCATGGAAGACGGAACAGATGTTACCTCAGCGCAAGAGTATGAAGACATGAAGGCTCGAAAGTGGGATCTCGAACACGGTGTCTGCTTAGGATTGACGGTCATCCGACATTCGCCCGACCGATGCACTCTCATCCTTTCCAGTCACCACATCGCTATCGACGGTCTCACTTGGATCATTCTCCTCAAAGATCTTGCTCGTGCTTACGAAGGGAAGATCCTGCCCACTATTCCGCAATATATCGACTTCTCAGACAAACAGAGATCTATCGTTAACAATGGTCGCTGTTCCAAAGAGATCCAGTTCTGGAAGAACGAGCTCAAAGGGATTCCTGATGCACTCCCTCTGTTTCCCATGTCGCATATAAAAACCAGGAAGGCGAAGAATCAGTACCCAACCACCATAGTCGATACGGTATTTCCCAAGGAGCTGGTATCTCGTGTCAAGCATACTAGCAGTCGACTCCATGTGACACCATTTCATTTCTACTTTGCAGTGCTCGCGTCGATGGTGTCTCGACTCGCGAAGACCGCAGACTTTTGCATCGGTACCGTTGATACAGGAAGATCAGGTACTGAATTCTCCCAGACGGCAGGATGCTTTGTCAACATCGTTCCGGTCAGAGTCCAAGTCCAGGAGCGCGATACCTTTGACGCCCTTTGCAAAATGTCGTCCTCCAAGATCCTCGCATCTCTCAGCAATTCCACCATTCCCCTGGACGCATTGCTTGATGAACTACAGGTTTCCCGCACAGCTCGGCACAGCCCTATTTTCCAAGTTATCATCAACTATCGACTAGGTGTCATGGGCCTCAGCTCAATCGGTGACGCTGAGCTGAAGTACGTTCAATCACAAAGTTCAGGTAACCCGTACGACCTAGGACTCAACATCACTGATACTCCCGAGGGAATGTGCCTCATACACCTGGCTGCACAAGAATCTCTGTACTCGAAGGAAGCTGCACAGTCAATTTTGGACTGTTACTGTCGGCTACTGGAGTCAGCATGCGAGGCTCCACAATGCGAAGTGGCCGATCTTCCCATGTACCAGTCGCCTGCGCTAAGCAACATTGGTGGCTTAAGTGGTAACAGATTGGGAGGTCGAGGTCCACGGCAAACAGACGGGTTGACAGTCACGCTTTCCAATCAGATTGACCGGATTGCAGAAGTTCACCCAGACCACGTTGCTATCAAATACGGGTCACGGATATTCACTTATGAAGAGATGACTCAAAAGGTCAACAACATTGTGACTGTTCTCCGAGCCAGAAAGATCCCCCGAGGTGCCAAGCCTTTTTGTTGTTTGTTGTTTGAGCCCTCCGCAGACTACGTTTTCGCATACCTAGCCGTGTTGAAGGCTGGGGCTATTGTGGTCTCCCTCGATCCTACAAATCATCGAGAAAGGCTGGCTTCAATGGTGAGAGACTGTCATCCGGAGGCAATTCTCCATCATGGACAGACGTCCGGCCTCTCCCAGTGGCTGCTTCAGTCGAGCGCTAAAGACGTGATTCTGGATATTTCTACAAGCCTAGAACAAAGCTCTGTGGGTCAATCATTCAACTCATCTAGTCTTCAAGCACCAGCTGCGCTGTTCCACACCAGCGGGACGACCGGGACGCCCAAGGGAGCACTTTTGACGCACGAAAACTACACCAACCTGATCGAAGCGTCCTCACGCCGCCTCAAAATACGGCTAGGGCAGGAGGTGATCCTACAGCAAACCGGCGTGACCTTCGATCTCTGTCCCTTCGAGATCTTCACCGCCTTGTCGAATGCCGGCACTCTCGTCATTGCTTCTAAAGATCAGCGCACTGATCCATCAGCCCTCATCAATCTCGCAAAGCAAGAAGGTGTGACAATCATGGCCGGAACTCCTGTCGAGTTCAAGCATATTTTTCAACACGCGCCGGAAATAATGGCGACGTGCGAAGAGTTGCGGAACGTGATTGTCGGGGGTGAGATATTCTCACCCCAGCTTGCGTCCCAGTTCAAACAGACGATTCCGCCAGGTGTGAGCGTATTCAATGTGTACGGACCAACCGAAACGTGTATATTCGCAACCATGGAGTGCGTCAATTATGGGGAACACGGCTTAGACCTTGTACCTGTCGGTCATTCCTTGGAAAATGTTTCAGTCTACATCGTGGATGAGATGATGAACTTGGTGGCCGACGGCTGCGCCGGAGAAGTCTGCATCGGCGGTGCGGGTGTCAGCAAAGGGTACCTGGACCGGCCCGAGATGACCTCGCAGTCTTTTGTCCCAGATACATTCGCCACCGCACAAGATATGGACCGTGGCTGGAAGACGATGTACCGTACTGGCGACTCGGGGTATCTGACTCTTGATGGCTCGCTTGTTGTCCTTGGACGTATCGGGGATGATAACCAAATCAAGATCCGAGGCATACGCATCGAGCTCGAAGATATCGCGGCTAACATTCTCAAGATTGCGGACGGGAAGCTCGCGGAAGTTGTTGTCACTGCTCGAGGAGAGGACAAGACTTTACTTGCATTTGCTGTCATCGCCTCTGGTGTTCAGATCAAGAATGTACACGATTATCTGCAATCGCTCCCCGCTAGACTTCCCCTTCCGGAGTACATGAGGCCTTCAATCATCATCGAGCTTGAGCAACTCCCTATGACCCGCAACGGAAAGTTGGACCGAGCCTCACTGGACAAGATACCGATACCCGTTGCGACCCATCGGGGTGATCAAGAAACGCTTTCGTCTCTAGAGCGAGACTTATGCCTCCTATGGGAGGAAGTGCTCCCCAACACCATTCTTCAGTCAAGTTGTGTTCATCCGCATTCTGACTTCTTCCGACTGGGAGGCAATTCCCTGCTTTTAGTCAATCTTCGGAAGAGGATCAAGAACCGATGGGAAATTTCAATTCCTCTGCTTCAGCTGTTTGAAGCAAGTACCCTCCGCTCCATGGCAGCTATGATCCGGGGAAATAAAGACTCCAGGAACAAAGGCATTGACTGGGAATTCTGGGATGAACAAACTCGCTTCGAAATGAATGCAGCAGTCGATGGCGTTAGATCGATGTCCCCCCACATCATTCCGAGGACTAACAAGACCGTGGTTCTCGTAGGTGCGGCTAAGGGGTTGGGATTGTGGCTCCTCAAGTTGTTGCTGGACGACACGTCCGTCGGTCAAATTCACTGTGTCGCACTCACTCAGGAACAAGCGCTTGGGTTACCAGAAAGCAAAAAGCTCATTCTTCACATTGGAAGTCTTGGAGAAACATCTCTCGGCCTTTCAGATGAAACGCAACAGGCTTTCAGAAGAGACGTCGACATCATCATCCATGCGGGGGCTGAGGGCTCCTGCTTGAACAATTATGAATCCATTCGGGTCCAGAATGTGGAGTCGACCAAGTTCCTGGCCAACATAGCCCTGGATAGGAAAGTGCAGTTCCACTACATCTCGAGTCCCCGCGTAATTCTTTTCAGTGGCGAAGACTCGTATCCTGAGCGACTCATTTCATCTCACTATCCACCTGCATCTCTCGGTCGAGAAGGATTTACTTCGACGAAATGGGCCAGTGAGACCTACCTCGACAAGTGCTCAGCCGCAACCGGTCTACCCGTTTCGATTCATCGCACAGGGTATCTTATGTCAGAGGACGCTGACGAGATGGACGCTATCAACATGATCCACAAGTATTCCGCCTTGCTGAGAGCTGTGCCATCTTTGGCTACATTCACTGGATTCATCGACATGTGCAGATTGCCAACAACAGCAGAAGCGATTCTTCATTCACTTAGCGAGGAGAACGTTGGGGTGTACTATGGTGCAATCAGAATAATCCATCACACCGAGGATAATGTTGTGCCAGTCCATGAGTTTCATACTTACATGGAAACTCGTTTTGGCCACCCTTTCAGGAGCTTGAGCATGGCGGATTGGGTGACCGAAGCTGAAGGGAAAGGAATGGACGCGGCATTAGCGGCATTTCTTGACGCCGTGGTTGAGAGGGGTGATGAAGCGCGGTATCCTAGACTCTTGCGTGGGCCTGATTCCGCGTGAAGACAAAGGGAAATGTGTTTTCTTCTGTGACGAATTCACAAAAGCATTGTGGACTTAACCGGGTTGGCTCTTCGCTTCAGGGCATGCCTAAGTAAATAGCATACTATGCATAATATTGATATTTGGCTTTTTGCGCCACTGCGAAAACTTCAACGGAGTCCGTGAGCAGGGGAACTCGATGCGCAAGGTTCGACTCCAGTCATGTATGTGTTGACGGCTACAAATAATCGCTTCACTATCAGAATGCTCCTGGTACCTGAAGGTGGAAAGACAGTGGTGATTTTACAGCAAGACCTTGGTAGGTTGGTAGGGTGAAGATCTGAGAGCATTTCAAAGAACCGCGCACAACAGCAGGCATGAGTTGTCGGTCAGGAATCGCGGGGTTGATGAGAGAACGTACGACGGCCGGACCACGCGGACCCGGGATACCGGAACTCTAAAGTTGATGAAAAGAGTTAAATCCAAGAAAGGGTGGCGTTGCGAGTCAGATGTACGTTGTCCTCCGACACCGCGCTAATCTCAGGATTGCCCAACGGAAGAAGTGGCCAGACGGAGCTTCACTAAGATCAAACTATCAAGAGTCTGCCCCATTTACGCATTTCTGCCAGGACTAAGAGAAACACCCTTTCCCTATATCTGGTCAGCCACGACATTCGTTATGTCGTCACCGAAGGTCTTGGTTGTCGGCTGTGGTATTGCCGGCCCCGTAGTGGCCTGCCTCCTCAAGCAAAAAGGCTATGAGCCCATCATATTTGAAAGAACCGAAGCACCAAGTGATGTCGGGGCATCCTTGATGATTTGCCCCAACGGCCTGAAAGTCCTCAATTCTATAGGCTCAATTCCCGATAAGCTCCTCCAGAACGGCCCAGCCGTCCTTGAGTTGTGCGATTACAAGGCTTCTGGGGAGGTTCTCGGCCATTCAGACATCCCAACCGAGTTTATGGAACGATATGGCCAGCCTGCTGTCGGCGTGAAGCGGACACTGATCACATCCTGGCTACGAGAGTTGGCCATTGAGAAGAATATTGAGGTTAGGGAGGGTTGGAAGCTTGAGCAGATTCAGGAAACAGACAATTCTGTGACTGCGGTCTTTGAAGGGGGCAAGTCGGAGACCGGATGTTTTCTGGTTGGGTGCGATGGGCTGAAGGCGGCAACCAGGAGGCTGTTGCTGGCGCGGGGCGGCATTGAAGATGGTGCGCCTACATTTACGGGACTCACCCAGGTAAGAATACCCATATTTCACCCACCACAGCACCAATGCTGAACATTTCAACAGACCGCTGGTATTTCACCAACACCTGAGCCCTTCCACAAAGCCCCCGGTGCCAGAAATTGGTATGGCGAGCTGAGCCACATCATCTGTTACCCAATTACTCACGATAGGACCTCCTGGGGTTTGACATTACCTGGTGACCCTGTGGAAGAAGCCGCGTGGGGGCTGTTCGGTGACGAAAAGAGGGAGGTAGAGAAAGAGCAGATAAGCAAGATGTTGCGGTCCAAAAACTGGGATCCGGTGGTGTTGGAAATGGTAAATTCCGCGGAACGGCTGATCAAATATGGCATTTACGACCGCCCAGAACTGGAAGCACAGAAGTGGTACTCGGGCCGTTGTGTCATGGTTGGTGATGCGGTCCATCCAACGAGTGTTCATCTCGGCCAAGGAGCCAACCAGGCTTGGTGAGTGTCTCCCTCGCCTCCCCCAAGGAGAAGATGACGAGAAAGTCGCACTGACACTAGAGCAGCGAGGACTGCTACTATCTGGCACAAGAGATACCTGACTTTGACGCAGCGAGGGGACTGCCAAGGCCCCTGCTAACGGAAGCTTTCAAGGTGTATGCGACCAAGCAGCAGCCGCATACCTCGCTTATGGTGAAGGGCGCCAGAGCTGTAGGCTTGGCTCGTGTAGCTGCACCTGGTCTGTGTTCCCACCGTGACCAAGCGGTTGCTCAGAACATGGCAGACCGAGCAGGTCTTCGGGCCAAGTTTGACCTGACTTATTTACGGCCTTCCTAAAGCTTCCGCGGGTCTTGAAGGTGCAAGTCAAGCGAAAAATAAAGTTAAGAGTAGAGGTAAAGAAAGGATATAACGCTACAAGTACATTATACCACGTGCACCTATCGTATTTTCAGCACTTTTATCGACACTGTATTTTTTTTACAACGCTGGGTCTTGAGTGCTTACCAGTGTATGAAGGCGTCCTGTATGTCCTCGGACGTATACGGAATAGAAGCGAAACCACATAGGCTAATGTGTAAGACGCTAGATGAAAACCTTGGGAAGGTAGGTTAAGAAGTTGGGGGAAATGAGTTATGTTCAGATCTGGAGAGGGATAGAATAAAGTCCCTGTCAAGCAACGAGGATACCATTATTTTCATTATTTTTAGGAAGCTGCCGCGCAAATTATCATCTTTTTCTGCTGTTCGAGTTGTTGAGTCTGGCTGTGGCTGAGTGGATGTGTCACGTCCGTCCTTTGGAAGGCTCAGGCCGGCATGATTAGCTAGCTGGCAGAGACGTGATTCAGATGCGATATCAATCACAGCGTCATTATCTGTTGGCACTAGATGAGCGACAGTATTGGCGGCGTGGAGGAGAAAACCGCACCCTCCGGAGGAATCAAAACTAAGGCCATTCAAACTAGTGCCACAACTAGGCCAGGACGGCAACACCCGCGGCAATTGATCTGCGGAAAGCATTGAGACCATGCCATATTCTAAGTTGTGTATAAACAAGCGAATGCTCTGTTCTAAGCCAAGTTTCGATTTCCGTAAAACTCGTCCTTTTCAAGTGGGTGAGGACACGGTCGCTTGCCCCATGATATACAACATTTCTGAGGCGGTAGTCCCCAAAGCATGTTTGGCAGATACATCCACACTCGGATGAGAGAGCTGAGATCCTGCAGAAATCTTGTGTATGCACCCCTGGGCCTTATTGGGCGGGACTAATTAGATCTGGCATGCTATGCAACATTGAAATGAACTAGTGGTTAGTGCTTACAGGCACAGTTTCCCAGCTGATATAACGTCCAGCTGCCTGGCTGCTTCCGAGAGAGAATTGATTTATCAGGCAGGCCGACAAATCACCTGTAAACTGACTTGGCAACTTAACTTCGCGATGGTGAAAAGCCCAAGAGATGGCCTCACGGCAATGAGACTAATAATTAAGCGTTCTATATCTGGCAAATTACACAATGAACATAGCTCCGAGGACGAGAGCGACCACGACGAAAGCAATCGCGATCGATACACGCCCAGGTCCGCGGCACCTGTGGCAAACTATTGTTACGAAAAACTTCCCGGCGCGACATTCATTCGGCTTCTCAAGCTTCTGCCTGGGGACAGTCACGACATAATTCGGTGCAACATCACTCTGGTCGATTTGACGTCCTGTGATGGCCAGTATGAGGCCCTCAGCTATGTTTGGGGGGCAGCAGAAGGTCATTTACGAATCCAGATCGATGACGCCGGCCATGAAATCCAACCGAATCTACACCGCGCTCTTGTGGACTTACGAGTCCGCGATAAGCCTCGCAATCTGTGGGTCGACGCCCTCTGCATCAACCAGTCCGACGTACCAGAGCGCAACAAGCAGGTGCCACTGATGTGTGAAATTTATCGCAATGCATTACGCACTATTTGCTACCTCGGTCCAGAGATGAAGAAAACTCGGAGAGCGTATGCCATGTTACGTGAGCTGGCCGAGGAGGGAAAGATGCGAAGCGCCAACGATGCTACGACGATTCCGAGCTTCATCAACCATGTGCCCATCAACCCTGTCGAGAGCAGCCTACGGGATAAGTACATCGCAGACGGAAGCATAATGCATATAGCATCAGCCGAATGGTGGTTTCGGGCCTGGACGGTTCAAGAATCCTTGCTCTCGAATCATGCTCTCGTGGTGATGGGTCGAAGAAGCATTGACTGGAGAGACTTTTGTGCTGCAATCGACCACGGTTTCAACATCCAAATATGGAGTCCTCTTCATTTTGGCTTTATCAGAGATGAGATAATTGTCTCATATCTGTCCTTGCGCGCGCTTGAGAATCGACAACGTCACAAACAGGGCCAGCGAAGCTCGACGGCAGAAGAGCTTCTCAATCTGCTGATCCATTGCAGACACAGAGACTCGAAGGATCCCAAAGATAAGATCTACGCCATGCTTGGTCTTCTCCGCGACGTCCAATCTGGCGCATTGAATGCACAGAAGTTGTGTATTGAGCCGGACTATGAGTTGCCGGTTATTGAAGTCTACCGCCAAGTCAGTCAGGAGCTCATCAAGAAGCTCGGCAACCTGGATGTCTTGGGAGTAACTCCCAAAGCTAGCCTGACAGGACTACCATCCTGGGTTACCGACTGGAGTGTTACTGATTATACCAGCTCGCTGCTTTCAAAGGACTCCCTGGACCGCGATCGCCTCACAAATGCTAGTAAAGGATCTAAAGGAGACTTCCGGTTTTCCGAAGATGGCAACACTCTCGTCCTCAACGGCTGCGAGCTGACCTCAGTCGAGCAGCTTGCAGACTTACTTCTATACGAAAAAATCACATCATTAGAAGCACCCGCGGACCCGTCGCCTTCCAAGCAAGGAACCATGCAGCAAGACTCGCAGGGAGAACAGCAGGATCAATCCATGAATCAGGGACACAAAGATGCCGACAGCGACGAATTGACACTTGAACAGCTACTAGCAACCGCCAAAAGGATGTACAAGAGTCCGGAAACTTATTCCGAGGGAGCGCGGCAGGTATGGAAACGATTGCAGGGGAATTTCCAAGGCTTCGCAGATCGATTCAACTCTCAGGCTGAGGAAATTGCCAATGGAGAGGACCGTACCTTTACGCAATTCGCAAACATCTTCCGAACCTTGTTTGCTTGGGAAGTGTTTTCGCACGCGCGAAAGCTTGCGCCAATCACGGAAACCGGACCGAAGAAGCAGTCCGACAACCTGTCAGACTTGTATTGGCAGACTCTCTGCGCAGGGACGTATCAGGATCGAAATGTAGAGAAGACTGGAGCACTATTTCAGGAATGGTCGGGGAAGCTACAGCCCATTCGTTCACTTTTCGCAAAGCATCCAGAAGCACTTGCGAAGATGCCCTCACTAGTGCTGTTCCCGTACACGAAGACATTTTGGAGAGGATATAGTCCTTTCTGGCCGTATATTACCGGCGCCAACGGACGACGTCTTGGCCGGGCCGGTAATGGGTGGCTGTGTCTTCTCCCGGGGAATTGCGAGGTGGGAGACAGGATCATCTTGGCTCGGGGAGGCCGTGTTCTTTTGGTGATACGACCACTGGCCGATGATCAGGATTGTTTCTCGTTCGTTGGAGAAGCTTACATCCACGGTATCATGGACGGGGAGGCCTTTGTAGAAGAAGAGTGCAAGGACATCAAGATTCGCTAGATACTGCCAATCGCCCACGGCTCGGCTCATGTCAAACACGTCCACGGCCGGTACTCTCGTTGGACAGCAGATGGTGAAAGAACTGTCGCTCATGCAACTCGAACAGGCTCGGGTGAGCCCATGAATGGGTGGAGCATACAATGCCTAGGGTGATTGGTTGATAATTCCGGGGGGGGGGGGGTAACATCTTAACAACTGCCTGGGACGGTTGGTCCGCCCAACATATGGGCGTAATCCCCTTCGGAAATAGCACACCCCCAAAAGTCCTCGGAAGGCAAGCGCCTAGAGCTTTGTGTCCCTTCTGACGGGATCGTGCAAGCCATCGCGATGGCGTTTGATATCGGATATGTGAAACTTTTATTATTTTCGGGCAAAACCATGTATGTGAAGTCTTGTATAAAGAGTTCGATAGAGATGAATGAGTAAAATCTGGACTGTTTAACCTTGGAGGCTTACTTCAATTTCTACCCCTAAGATGTTACCCATTCCAAGGTTGGGCCGTGGATTCTGGCAGGGCCTGCAGGAGACTTGTCTACTAAGGGTAACAAGATCATGGCGGAGCTGCATCATCCTCAGCCGACTAACCCACTTGGTGTTCTATCACCACAGAACGCCCGGGGTACGTGATCTGATATTAGTAAACGACAACCTTGCTTTTGGAACACCTACTTGCTGATCATTTTGACCCCCGGCATGTATGAAATCCTGAATATCAGCATTTTCAGCAAGCTGTTGGTGACTGACAGTGTGGCGACTCTATCGGCCAATGTCTCATACGAGGCTATTCCCAAAGCTCAGCGACGTCACCTACAGTCCGGTACTAGTACAAATACAACGCGGAAAATTGGATGGTCATCGATTGATGCTGAAAGACATGCATGTCTTACGCAGTGCTCACAATGTCAGTCAACACGTTCGATAATTCTTCCGTCCTATTGCAATGGATGCAGGGAGTAGTGACAGGCAAGCCAAGATGCTGCTCGGCATGCGTTCCTGGAGACGGAGCGGGGGTGCCCCGACCTAAAAAGCTCTTAGGGATCTTTGTTCCGGATACCGAATGAGGAAGATTTTCGCAAGGCCTCCCCATCAACTTGCACTTCTTCGAACACTTGAGGAACCGGAGAATCAAAGACGTGTCTGCCTACTTCTAATGTAGGCTAGTTACCCGCTGCAATGTACTCCAAAATATTCGCAGCGCTTGGGGCCGCCTGTCTATTTCTTGTTCCAAGTTCCGATGCGTCTTGTACTAGTGACGACGACTGCAGCCTTAACGGTGTTTGCGCAGTTGCGACCCAGTCGTGCATATGCGATCCAGGATGGAAATCTGATGACTGCGGGCAACTTGATCTGATGCCGGCGACCAGATGGACAGGCTATAATTACACCAACGTCACACTTCCCGATTACTACAGCACCAAAGGAGGGAACTCTTCATGGGGTGGCCAAATAATCCAGGACAGGCAGGAAAAGCAGCTTTTCCACGTGGTTATCTCACAGTTCGCACGCGGCTGCGGACTCTCTGGTTGGAGACCGTTTTCCACTGTGATCAGGGCAGAGTCCAGGACTGGGCCACTTGGCCCCTACCACTATGCTCAGGAACTACTTGGCCCGTTCCGCCACAACCCGACGACTATCTGGAGCCCTGCAGACAATCAGTACCTGCTATACACTATCGGAATACAGACTGAAACACCGACAACCTGTAAATCATATAAGTGGGCCAACAACATATCAGTCTCGAGTGCCCCGGATATCCGTGGGCCCTGGTCTGCTCCGCAGGTGCTGATCAACGGCACCAACCCGACACCCTGGCCGCTGTGGACCGCAGAAGATCCCACATCAGAAATGATACTCGGCGCCGAGGACAACAAGATCTTCGCGGCCGATACCTTCTCCGACCCGTATAGCCTCATCAAGACGATGCCCTGGAACACGTCCGACTACAGCGACCATTGGACCGAAGACCCCTTCCTGTGGCGTGATAAGCGAGGGAACTGGCATATCCTGTGCCACTGGATGATCGACATTGCCGAGAGAGGCGAGAAGTACCCACGGGTTGGGGGCCACTTGTTCTCCCGCAGCCTGACAGGGGACTGGACGTTCAAGCTGCAGGCGGCGTACAACACGACTGTTGAGTTCACTGACGGAGGGAGGACGGACTACTACCGCAGAGAACGGCCCAAGCTGTTCTTCAGTGATGATGGGCAGCTTACACCGCTTTACCTCGTCAACGGCGTGCAGCAGTTCAATAGCTCGGCTAGCTACACGCTGATCCAGCCGATCGGGAAGGGCGCGGAGACGTTTGCGAGAGGATTGGGCTTTTAGCATGTTCTTGCCCCTGCCCTGGTTTTGGTTGCCTAGCTACATATCTTGTAGAGTGACGGGACAGGCTGGAGACCTGAAGGTTTGAGCATTGAAAGCAACACTTCACTAGTTCAAGTTGTGGTTTGAAAAGCCAACCAGGTAGAGCTAATCATATATGAAAATGCAGTGACAACTGATAAATGGCGTGATTCCTCTGTGAGTGCAGGTCCTTCCGAGGGGCAAGTTGCGATGTAGCGTCTTCCAAACGTCCGGTGAATTTTCGAGTCAAAGAGCATGACAGTCAACTGGTTCAAGTTCATTTTGGCACCCTTTTGTTTCCTGCGAATGAATCAGTGCTCTCTGATAACGTACCGTGACGTTTACACACAGAGAGGCACGTCACTCGACTGGGTCTGCAAAGGAGCAACAAGAAATCAGCTTCCAAATGCGAAAGCTGTCGTCTCTAGATGTTGCTTGACCCAGAGATGTACTTGATGGCTTCTGCTAGTGGTAATGGACCTCTGGACCGGTCTCTCCAACATACCTGCTTACCTTAGGTAGGAATGTTTCTAGTGATGTTTTACTGTAGGCTGATCTCTGTTCCTCCAGTGAACCATCGACAAACGCATATTGGAATGGGCAAGAGTGTGGTGTATTCACTGCATAATTAATGCTGCCATTCGGCAAGCCTTGTGTCATGGTAGCCTTCATGTGTATCCGGCAATGCTTGTCTAAGACCTTAGGAGGAAGGCCACCAAGCTGGAGGCCTCCACGTCATGATGAACCATACGGATTTTCTTCAACCACCACTTTGCGTGACCCTGACTTCGGAGCTGCTGCCATCCCGCAAGACCGCCCACTCAGTTCTTCTTCTTGGCCTCCTTGCTCTCGTCCATGCGCCGCAGGATCTCGGCCTCCTCGTCCTCGATGGCCTTGTCGATCTTGGCGCCGCGCGAGGGCTCGTTGCCGTGCATCTTGGCGGGCAGGGTCGGGTCCTGCTCGCCGGCGATCTGCTCAGCGGTCTTCTTCTTGCCGCTGCCGTCCTCTGGGTCGTTCTGGTCCTTGGCCGCCGCGAGACGGTTGGCTATGCTGCGCTCGTCCTCTGTGTGTGGGTGCAGAATGTGGTCAGCTTGACTCGTGCTTTCATTCGATGCGGTTGATCGAATCATTGATTCCTCCAGTACGTGGTGTGAAGTGACGTGATTTGGGGGAGGGGCGGTCTGGTACTCACTGGAGTCGTTGTCCAAGTGGGAGTTCTCCTTCCCCTCCTCGTAGGGCACGGGCTTGTCATTGTGCTGCTGGTCGGCGTTTCCAGACATTTTGACGTTTCTAAGGTTCTTTTTGATGTGCGTTCTGGGCTTCTTGGTGTTTCTGGAGATTGGGTCAAGAGTGTGGGTTTGTCAATGGAAGCTGGGTAGGAGGGACCTGGGGTGGTTTTGTACGGGCGCGGTCAAGAGCGAGGTTGTTTGCTCTCACCAGAGCACGAGAGCTATTTGCTTCATGATGTCATACCCTGACGACAGTGCCATTCGGCCCTCATTGAGAGGCACCGGCTGAGACAGCTCCTGCAGTGTAACCCGCTAGGGAGAGGTCTAGGCCAGCTAGCGGCCACAAAGTCGATCTTCATCCCGTCTTTGGATGAGCCGCTAGGCGGCTTTCGAGTGAGGCAGGGGGAAGGCCGGGGTATAACAGACAGTTACGTCGGGCAAAGCGCTGGTTGTGGTTGTGGTTGTGGTCGTTGACCCTCACCAAACAGGGCTAGAGAGTCCCGAGGTTTACGACGTACCTAAGGCAGGAAGTCAATTCCAAAAAAAGGTTACAGACATGTCTTTGGGAAGCACAAGGCTGAATTTGCAAAGAGAAGCATTTACACCTTCCTAACTAACGGTTTAGTCACATACATACATGATGACACCATTCCTGGTAGCGGTCGTCGGGAAACTCCCCTCCTCTGCCCCATGTTCATCAGGTCTCTATTTACCTCTCAGATCCCAAGCAGCGGCTAAACAAACGCAACAGTTCGAATGGCAGCAAATAGCGGTACCTGGTAGTCTTTCCGCGCGAACAACGTTGGCCCCCTCCTCAGTCATCGCAAAGAAGTCGATGCTCCCACTCGAATTTTCATAGCCCCACTGGCATATGAGAAAGGCTCAGGCACGGTGCTTTCGATTACAGCAACTGCACCCTGGGCAATCATGCGTGAGGACCAAATGCTTCATGTCCGGCAAATCATCCGAGCTCCGTATTCTGAACCGTGTAGCAGACACAGGCATATTGACACTCTCCCCACCCGCTGTCGCATTCTGTCCCGGACCAATGCCCTTGGCCCTGAGGGTATCTGCGAGGCAGTTGATGCTGTCCAGAAGATAGTCGCAGTCCTGGATGGGCAGTTTAGAGATATCATCTCCAGCCTTGATCCTAAGATCGTGGAACTCTGCCTCCTGCACGAGAGCCTCCGAAGCAAACTCGATGCCACTCCATTTATCCACTTCCTTCTTGGGTAGAATTCTGTTGGATAGTTTCCCAAAGACTTCCCTGGCGTGATAGTGCAGCTTCTCGTGGAAGGCCGCGTTGATTTGATTGAGCTCAAGGTAATCGACGCGCACCTCCCGGAGCTGCTCTGTCAGATATTCCTCCATCGATGGCATGTCCTCGACGAAGCGCTGCTTTGTGACTGGAGTATCCTTCCTTGTGGCCCTCTTCCTTGCGGCTTTCGTTTCTGACGCCGCAGCGAGGATGTTCTCCTTCAGGGTGTGCCAGAACGGAGTGCGTCCACAAGTCTCCCAGTGCACATTGAAAGCCTGGGTCAAGGCCGACATCTTCATCTGAGTTACAGGCCTATTCATCAGCTTCATCTTCGCCTTGTGTGACATCTCGCGTTTTGGAGCCCAGTAACGATGAGAGAAACGCTTGAGCATATCCGTTGCTGTGGTGGGGGGGTCGCCGGCGAACAAGGCAACCTTGTGTATCTCGATGAGGCGATCCATAGCTGGCCACTGGAGATTTCCAAGCCCCATCTGGCGAGATGCGTTGTAGATGTGAACCATAGCACCCAGGCCGCATCGGTCGAAATGGTTAAGTGCATCGATGCCAATTGACTCGATCAGAGTCTGCATGAAAGCCTCTCGGTGTGTACAGAACATTGTGTAGTGATTAAAGAAGTAATGAACGTCCTTTGTAAGCCAGATCATGTTAAACAGACCGCCGTGCTGGTATTCCAATGTGTGGTATTTGATGGGAACCCGTGGTTTGGTGAGATCTTGGTAGATTTTCCAGGCGTCTTTGTTGTATTGGGGTGCTCTCACCAGTGGGTCCTCTGGTGACAGCTCATTCCCCTGGATGTTGGGATTTTCCAACATTGAAACAGCCTTGAATGTGGCCTCCTCGACCTTGTTGTCCCATCCAGGTGCCTTCAATCCCAGGACTACTGGGGGTTCCGGTGCTTGCTTCATGATTGGTTGGCCTGCCGAGTCTGTGTCCGGTGTGAGATGCAGCAATTTCACATACTTGTCGTGGGTTGCCTCATAGCTTGGCCTGGTCTTGGGGAACACTTCAGTAAGTTGACAGATGTCCAGCATTATTTCAGCTGCGAACACACTGGTGAGATTGACCTCCTCCCTCGTCCAGACTAGATGCAAGAAGTTCATGATTAGATCCTGCCTGAATGAGGCGTACTGTCTCTCGCGTTCTGTGAGACTCCGGTTCAGACTTTGTAGCGGCAATGCGTATCCCAGGTACATCATCTCAGCCACCAAGCGACACAGGTTCTTATCACGCTTGATGATTCCCACACTGTGGTCCGAGTTCAGCAATGCGAATGGATTGTACTCGAATTCAAGCAGGAGGGGAGTACACCATTCAAAATTGACATGGGTCGTTAGCTTGCTGAGCCTCCGAGCAGAAAAAGCGAAAGTCAGATCGTTCATGCCGAGTGTTTTGCCGGTATTGTCGATCTCAAAGCAGGAATCCTCAAAAGCAAGGACTGCTTCTAAGTCCCTAGAGTCCCTCAAGACGTTCAGCAATCGGCAGTATGTTCCTGGGAAAGACCAGGCACGGTTTTGGTGACCATCCTGTGGTGGGAGGCAATGCTGATACTTCGGAGACTCAAGTTTTGAGATGATTTCGTTCTCCAAATCCTGTACAAAAGCGAGGGCCTGGGCAGTCATCAAAGTAGCGACAACTTTGTCAGCCCCATCCTTGAAACATCGCTCCCATAGAGAATACACCGCTCCCTGGATCTCGTGCAGGTCTGTGAATAGGGTAAACACCATCAAGGCAATCTCTTGGCTGTCTTTGACCTCAATATGGTACTTCAGGCCTGATTTGGTGGCCTTTTCTGTGGTGGTTTGGCTTCCAGACTGGGTTGGTTCGGCTGGCTCGTTCTCCTCGTCTTCCCGAATGCATTTCTCCAGGAGGGCTTCGTATGGGTTTCTGGATAGCATTAGAATGAAGTTGTGGAAGAAGTTTGCAAAACAGCTTACTGTTTACTCTGTTTGTCTGCGCCAGTGGCAGGACTCGTAGTGCTGGCTTGATAGGGGTCCACTGCTGTCTTCCCAATAGCCTGGGCAAAGAGGTTTGTAATCTTCTCCAACACGGTAATGAAGTAGCGATGAGCTGAGTTGCTCTTGCTATCATGTGGCCTGGCTGTCTCAAACCAATGGGAGAACTTCCTTCGTAGCTTGATGGCCCGGTAGAGTGATATCATTCTACAAAGTCTCCCAGATTAGCAAACCTTGGTAGTCCAGAGGTAGTAGACAAAGCAACTCAATACATATGATAGGAACATGGTACATAACCAAGATACTTACACGCTTGGTGGTGGCCTAGACACAGTCGAAGGGGATGTCGAAATATATGTTGATATCAGAGTTGCTTGGCTCATGATCTCCAGGGCACTGTAAACAATCTCTTCCTCGTTGTCGTCATTCTTTCGATTGCTGGCTGTGATCACCCGATCTGCTTCAGCCTGCTGCTTTGCAGCCTTTCGGTCCTTTCCCTTCAGCCTCTTTGAGCCTTGTGCGACATTGGCGCCAGTAATCTCTTTCGCATGGCCAGTTGCTTGGTCGCTGCTCTTCGCCGTTGCCGGGGTGAGAAGGGATGAGCCTGACATGGTCTGTTTTGCTTGCGGCCGCTTCCAGCCACAAGCCTTGGCTGTTTGCTCAATCCATTTCAGCACATAGCTGGTGTCGTCTTTGTACTGCCAGTAGCTGGCACGAGATACCAAGTCGGAGGACGCCATGGTCGCAGCCTGGGGACCGATCAGCACGAGAGCAAATGGTTTTGTTTCTGATTCCCACACACATAAATCGTATGCGGCACCTTCACACAGTAGTCAACACTCCAGACCAAGCCCTTTCACAAAACAACAACGCTGTATGAGAGGAAATCGTTGTTTGTGGTTGTGTTGGTGATGGTTGCCAGCTTGGAGGTGGGTGTCCTGCTTGTCGGGGTAGGGTAGTGTTGAGCGTGGTGGTGTTGGGGACGTTGGTGTCGTGGGTGGTGCCGGGGTGAGTTGCAAGGAAGCCAGTCATGTCAAGATGAGGGCTGGAAGTGTTTGTCTAGGAGCACGTATTCTGCACAGGCCATTTGATTGATACGGTATATTTGGGGTGATAACGGCATGTTCAGTGCATGATCCCAAGTGATTTATGGAAACAACATTTTGAGCGGCTGGAAGTGAACCTTAGAAGTGATTTTATCAGAGATAATTGGGACGACTACAACCTCTAACAGTCAAACACGCAGGCAGTATGTATAGTACTCAATGTCTCCCCCTAGTGGAGCGCTGTAATTTTTCAGATACCGTACGTGACTGAGAAACATACAGAGAGGGATCACTATTGTGTTGCAGTCTGTCCTGTCCATATCTACGAGTATCTACATGCAAGGTTGCTGGAGTCTTCCTATGTGGACCAAATTTGATAATGTATGACAGAATGGTGATGTATTTCACCTTCTTGGTGTTCATAGTTTATTGCTTCATTCTCTTCAAATTGTATACTTAGAGGCTTGTGATGATAATTCGACAAAGAAGCCACCTGAGAAGCAGAGGTAGCACTGCTGGGAACACGGAACATTTAGGGGGTGAGCTTAAACTACTTCAGTGTGTACAGTGGCATTCTAAGGCCCAGAGATAATTACCTAGGTACATTGCAAAAGATGCATAAAGCCTGTCATCTTTGACTCATTTACTTTGTGACTGCTGGGGAATTTTGTGTCTAGTTTACGTTTTCATAGAGGCTTGTTTCTCTTATTCCTCCAATGCTTGCCCCATCGCCGAAGTATGACCACAAAGACCATGCATAGGCCACCATCCAAGAAAGCCACCATGGTAAAGAACCAACCTCTTCCCATAGCGCTCACCAGAGGGTTCAGGGCAGCAACCACAGCAGCAGACAACCCACACCGGATGATGTTGTTGCTTGCAGCAATGGTGCTAGGCTTCTCGGGAAATATATCCACGACCAAGGCACTATAAACCTGATGCAAGACTGTGCATTTTGCACCGAGATAGAATTGCAATATCAGGGGCACAGCAGGGTGCACCCTGAGCTGTACCGCCCAGGCAAACCCGACCAGGACGCAGGCTGAAAAGGCCAGAATGAGGAGCGAGAAGCGGCTGCGGGCCTCCTCGATGGGGAAGTCGTGGATGTTGTGGTTGTCGCTCTTGTCGGTGGAGAAGCCAGCCCTTTTTGCCACATGCTTGTAGTTCCTGTCCATCATCTTCCCACAGATGAAGCCCCCTGCAATAACTCCTGAGCCGCCGGTGAGGTAGCAAAGGCCAACGTAGATGTCCTTGAAGCCGTAACCACCAGGATCCTTCCCATAGATGACGGGGATCGAGGCTTGAATCAGGTACCACACTGCGTATGGGCTTGCTGCGAGCCAGAGCCCTAGAAACGTGTCCCAGTAGAAGACCAGGCGGAGTGATATGAATGGGTTTGGAACGATCAGCCTGCCTTTCCCAGTGGCGTTCTTGTTGGGGTCTTCGGTCACCACTCCATTTGAAATGTCCTCTTGGATCTTCTTGCTGGTCTTGTCCCCCAGAGTTGTGTCTTCAAAGCTGCCACCAGCACTTAAGTGGACATTGTTTCCCTTTTCCGAGTCTTCCTCGGCTTCAGGTGTCTTGCTCCTCCGCCAGTCAACCAGAAGGCTCCACCAGGTTCGCCATATCCCCAAAGCTGGCACAGATCCATTGCCGACAATAGTCCTCCGGGTCTCCGGCATCGTCCACAAAATTAGCATTAGCGCGATCCCTCCGAATATCACCAGCGCCCAAAAGCACCACGCCGGCTGGCCTGTCATAACAACACCACCGCCAATTATGGGACCAATGCATGGACCCAGGTTCCCACTCGCTAGCATCGGTCCCAGCATACTGCCCCGCTCGGCGGAGGTGACCAGATCGGCCACGACGCCATATGCCAGACTCAGCACCGCGGAGCCACCAACACTTTGCGTGGCGCGTAGGAGGATCAGCGCCGTGTAGCTGCCCTGGGAGAGGGCGAGGCCCAGGCTGGCGGCCGTGTAAAGACCGAAGGTGAGGATGAAGACGGGGCGGCGGCCGAAGACGTCGGATAGGGGGCTCCAGAATGACGCTGAGATGCCCTGGAATATGACGTAGACAGTGATGGTCAGGTTGATTGCCTGGGCCGAGGTGTGGTACTGTTCGGCGAGTAGTAGGATCAATGGTAGGTATATATTGGCTGTCAAGGATGAGGCGAGGGTGAGGAAGCCCAAGAGGTAGGTGAGATAGAGCTTCTGCCATCTGGTGAAGACGCTGTATGGGACTGGGGCTGGAGTCCTTGGCAAGGTGTCTGCATTTGTTTCATTGGAAGTGACGTTTTCGACGGACTTCAAGTCCACCTGTTGTCTTGAGCAGCTGTTTTGTTTAATCACAGGTGAATGTTGAAGGGCCTTCTTGCTGTCTTGCCCCGGCTGCTGTGGGCTAGCATCGGTTGGCGACATTGTGGAGACTTCGGGAGCCACCAGACGTAAGATGCAGAGACGACCGGTGCCTCATTGGAGACAAAATGTTCTGCAGCAATCAGCGATGAGCGATCATCTGTTTCTTTTCTTGCAAAGCGTTCGGAGGAATCATGGTACTCGACTAGGTCACCAGGGTACTTAAGTAAGTAGCCGTTTGCCGCCTCTGCTAGCCTGTTGGTCCAGATATCACTTGCGGGACCCCTGCGGCGACCCTTGTTGGCTGTCGCCCCCCCTCTCACTGATGCATGTTGGTCCTTCGGTCTTGCTAAATCTGGACATGCGGTCACATTCTAGGCCAGGCTATCCGCCTGAGAATAAAGTGGGCCTTGTTCGCACTGATTGCACATGGCATGCAACCAAATTCGGTGCTTCTGATGGATCGATCTATCTAGGACTTTGCTGTAGTGGAGAACGGCGTAGGGGCCACCACTGTCATTTGATCTGGGCAGGACAACATTCCCGGAGCTGCTGGAGGCTGCTTGTTGCACTTCTATAAGCAGAGCATACATCTATCTCAGTTCCGACCAAGCCATCCGGTCAAAGCTGAGATATAAGGCACCGTCGTTCAAGCCCAACAACATCAATCTCGCAAAGTCCACTTCAAAGGCTAAGAGTTAATGAGCTGAATACTGTATCCTATATCTATGAGGCAGCAAGGTCTGAAAGACAACGAGACCAGGCGTGTGCGATGCAGATAAGTCTCCGCCTGACGCTACGGGAATTCAACATCAAAATTTCGAGATGACGTCTGGAATTTGCTAGATCCGCGCTTTCGTCTGCCAACTTGTCTTTCCGACCTCAAGACCACGCTCCCGAGCATAGCCATCGTACCCTTGCGGGTACTTCTCTATGAGATATCTCATGTCTTTGATGGCACTGTTTCGGTCAGCAAGCGGTCAAAACTGGAAGCGGATTTGAATATCGAATATTGCTCACGTTTTACGCATACGAAGGTTTCCAGGATACAAAGATGACGCATGGATGTTGAATCGTCTACCTCAGTAAGTCACCCATATCTGTCTGACTTGAAAGTTGTTTCACTCCAGTACAACTTACAGACTGTAGAGAATGCCTCGGTCATGGAAGTCCTCTTTGGGTTCTGCGATCTGAATATGCTTCGTGTACTCATTGACGTAGGCATCGGTCATTCTGTGGCGTGCGATGAACCAGGGCGCCAACTCATCTGGCGACAAAAAGAGGTCAGTTTAATACGGCATTAAGCTTGCGTGGGGCTGCTTTTCAGGCTCACATTCCCTGTGGGCATACAGTGGTGTTGGGTCGAAAATCTTCGGCTCGCCCGTTGCCCTGTCAACTGAGACATTCCCATCCCACATGTCGCCATGACAGAGAATCGGTTCGATACGGCGTCCCTCAGTCTCAAGCGGGCGAATCAGTCGCGGGATCACCTTGAGGAACAATTCGTCTCGAAGTCTTGTCATCTCGGGATCCGAGCCATGCGTTTGCTCCTCTGCGATGAACGCAGCCTCGAGACAGCCAGTGAAAGTGAACTCCCAGGATTTGCTCAAAGGGAAGACAGATGGATTGCGTCCACCGTAGGTGATTATGGGAAAGCCAAACTCTCCTGTCTGGGACTTTGCTTCCGGTCTCGTTTGCAGCTTGGCGAGGAGAGCCGGGAAGGTAGACACATCGGGGATGTCTCCTGAAAGATCATGGAAACGCATGAGAAGGAAGTAAACCTCTTCCTCCGCTTTATAAGTGCCCCAAGCTATCGGCTCGGGGACGAGCTCAGGGTAGGCTCTGTGCATGGCCTGTGCCGCGATGTACTCTGATGACACCATGCTCTTTCCATGGTCAAATTTGTGGACCTGTCCGATTCAGATTCATACTTCTAGTCAGCCACAAGACGAGAGAAGAGTCCGTGTGAGACGGAATTTACCTTGATAAAGAAAGGAGTCTGGTTTCCGTCCGCATCTTGTGCATCGATCTTGGCAGTACGTGCCCAATACGACATTCCACTTGGCGAGATGCCAAAGAACTGAGTCCGTGACGGAAGCGCGTCTTTGACAGCTACGTCAATGTACTCGATAAGATGTTGCGGGACTGGGATTTCTCCCTTCCATATGTACTCCTCCTCTTCAGCCATGATGGTTCACCTAAGTCATTACTCCGGCGGAGGCGACTCCGTGAATAGTACACAAAAGAAAACGCAATACAGCGCCTACGGAAGAAGGGAGAGAGCAGATAGGATATGTTTACGTGGGTCATATTTAGGTACCCGAGGCAAACGCTGACAGTGACCATTTCTGCAGGGCCAAACGCGCATACGACCCAGATAGCATAGCTGTAATTGCTGTAGCCGTTGGCTGATTGGCTTTTGCAGTACCAACAGCCACCAACAGACATATCTCGAACCAATCGGAAATAGGATCATGGATTTGGCCACACCCACCAAGCTCGAAAGGATCTTAGCTACATGGCATCACGCATCTGGAGTTTCCGACTGTTACATGGAAGTGGAACCCATGCAATATGAGACAGGATTCGGAAGTAATTCAGGCCTCGATTTGGCAGGCCCAAGTAAAATGATGCGCGGGTTGACTTTGGACCCACTCGCTGAGCGAATGAAACCAGATGCTGCAGGACGACCTGCATATTTCCCCTCAACGGTTATCCACTGTGTTGAAAAGGTTCTCTCCAGATGTCCCGCGCCCAAGAAGTTAGAGGCGCCGCGACAAAGCATCTGTACCTCTTATTGTTGTTTTAGCAGTCGGGAGCAGAATGATTTGAACCATACCAGAACCTTTGCTCGAACAGACCTTGTATCCACCGTCCTGCAGGCCGCACCGAAGCCGGCTCGGGGGGACTCATGGATACAAATCAGGAGCTTGGCCGAGCCAGTTCCCCCGCCACGGCATGGTCTCTCCTCTCGAGGACGCTAGTACATCGGGAACAGGCGCCTGGGGATGTTTCTAGCGGCGGAAAAGGCCCGCTAGGGCTGACCACGCTCTATGATCCCGGGACTACTGGCAAGGCGGTGGTCGTGGACATCATCTTTGTCCATGGATTGAACGGCGGCTCGCAAAGCACCTGGAGCAAAGGAAAACTTGCCTCGAAATTTTGGCCAAAGGAATGGCTTCCGAAGGATGATGCGTTCCAAAATGTCAGATTTCATAGCTTTGGATACTCTTCGGGCCTAAATCGACAGTCTGTGCTGAACGTCCGAGACTTCGCACAGTCACTGCTAGGGGCCGTCAAGGACTCGCCCGTTATAAGAGAGGATGGAAAGGTATGAAATGGTGGCAAAGTCGTCAAATTGTGAGAATTCTATTCTCCGCCCAAGCAGAAGCTGATTGTTTCTACACATCTAGTCCAAAATCATCTTTGTGGCACACAGCATGGGCGGACTTGTCGTCAAGATGGCATATATCCTTGGCCACCGCGAACCAGAATTTAGGCCTGTGATAAACAGAGTGTTCTCCATCATCTTCCTAGGCACGCCTCATCAAGGAGCCTCGATAGCAAGAGCTTTGTCGCGACTGATCACCATTGTCGGTGCCCGCCCCTTCGTGGATGACTTGCTGCCCGAGTCACTCATGCTACGCTCTATCAACGAGGACTTTCCCCAGGTTTCTGGTGACCTCCACCTTATTTCATTCTATGAAACCAGACCAATGAGCTTGGGAGGCTATAAGACCCTCATTGTCGAAAAAACCAGCGCGGTAATGAATCTGACAAACGAGAGAAGGACGCCGCTCGATGCCGACCACCGTCACGTGGCCATGTTCTCGTCACCGAATGATCATACATATGTGACTGTCCGCAATGCCTTGGCTACTTTGGTCTCTTCGCAGAGCGAAGTTCAACGGCTGCAACTGCAGGAAGTGGCCCAAAGTGAACAAAACATCCTCAATTTCATGTTAGGCATCGCAGAGGCGCCTGAAGATGATTTGATTACGCAAGAGTCTCGCAGACTTCCAGGTACATGTGGGTGGCTTTCAAAGAAAGAATACTACTTGGACTGGAAAGCTTCACTCGACTCACGACTGCTTTGGATACGTGGGCGACCCGGTACGGGCAAGAGTGTGCTCTCTAGTTACATTGTTGAAGACCTTCGAGAGATTGGCGCAGATTGCTGCTTCTTCTTCTTTAAGTCCTCAGACAAGGCCAGATTGAACGCCAGTGAGTTCCTTCGGTCCATGGCCTGGCAGATGGCGATGATACACCGGGACATACTTTCCAACATCACACGTACTTCTACTACAGAGACGACCAGGCCCGTTGACAGCGTACACGCCAATACAATTTGGAAGAGACTTTACTTATCCAACATTTTAAAAGTCCGGCTCAGTCGGCCACAGTTCTGGGTCATAGACTCTATCGATGAATGCGAAGGCAGTGTCGATGTCATGGACATTGTGATGCGGATACAAGAGTCATGGCCCGTCGCCGTCCTCATCACATCCAGAGATCCCGCGGAGATACATCTCGGGAAGGAAAATTCAAGAAGGGATATCGAGTGTCAAGAGATGTCCGAGGACGATGTTCAGGGGGACATCGCCCTGCTCCTCAAGTCCAACTTCAAGTTTCTTCCCTGTCCCGCGTCGGATCGTTGGCCTACTCCAGAATCCATGGCGTCACATATCCTCGCAAGATCTGGGGGCTCTTTTCTTTGGGCATCACTGATCTGCTCCGAGCTGCGTCAAGTCACCAGCGAGAAAGAAATCGAACAAGTCTTGGGAAGCGTCCCTTCCAGCATGGATTCATTCTACACGAAGATCCTTGAGGATATGAAGAAGAGCCAGTTCGGCAAGAGCATTGCAAACGCCCTGATCACATGGGTGGCATATGCTTTCCGACCTCTAACAACCTCTGAGATACAAGTTCCCGTCGAGCTGGACACAGATGATAACGTTGATAATGTGGAGCGCGTCATATCGAAGTGCTGTGGGAACATGGTCTATGTCGACGATCACAATAATGTCCAGCTCGTCCATGCAACCGCCAGGGAGTTCCTCATAACGCGCGCCTCCGACTCTGGTTTCACGGTCTCCAGTGCCGAGGGACATCAAAGGCTGGCCAAAGTCTGTATGGGCTTCTTGATGCAGACAGACAGAGGCACATCAAGGCTCAGCAGACTTCCCTCAAATACCGAATCAAGAATTACGCGTGGCAACTCAGGTGCTATCTCGCCTCGAGGGAAATCCTTGAGGTCACAACTAGAGTCGAGGCAAATTCGTAGGCCGTCTCGGCCTCAGTCGCCCTCATCCAGCGAGAGTCCGTTCACGCGTTATGCGTCGAAATACGTTTTTGAGCACTTGAATCGCGCCCAATCGGATGACAAAGACATTATCGAACTCATGTCGGAGTTCTTCAGCGGAAGCAGTGTCCTCCGCTGGATTGAATATAACGCCGCTCATGATGATCTCCACACTGTGTACCAAGCTGGTCAAATACTTAACACAATCTTAGCCCGCCGGGCGAAACATTCTCCGCCTCTCACCTTGGCCCAAGACCAGACCAAGGTCCAGATGCTGGTAAAGTGGGGGAATGATCTGATTCATCTTGTGACAAAGTTTGCCCGCGAGTTGCGCGCGTCGCCACCGGCCATACATCACATCATCCCGCCTTTCTGCCCTTTGGAATCGGCTGTCAGAAAGCAATTCTCTGATCCATACCGCGGACTGAATGTAGAGGGAGTTTTGTCAACGAGCTGGGACCACTGTCCAACAACGATTACATATGACCCGGGGACGAAGCCCAACGTTGTTGCGGCTGGCCCTGGAATGTTCGCTGTTGGTATGATGACAATCAATGGGAAAATCGTGGTATATGGAGATTCAGTCTTCCAGGAACTTCATACCGTTATGCACGGAGAACCTGTATGGCGACTCACACTTTCGGAGCACGGCACGATGTTGGCGTCATCTGGGGCGAAAACGGTCCGTATCTGGTCTACAACCGATGGCAAGCAGATCTCCAGTTTCAAAACATCGTCCATGTGTATCGCTTTACAATTCGCAGAGGATGACACTATCCTGAGGGCCGTGGACAGACAAAATCAGCTCATCGAGTGGGATGTGTTCGACCATTTGCCCCTGCGCGAGTATCCTGTCAACTGGTCGGCAGGCCTGGAAGAAAGGATGCAGTTCAGGTCGCCGACAATCGTCGAGATTGGAGCAGCGATTGGACTGATGTGCGTGATTTACAGGGGCGAGGACATCGTGCTGTGGGACTACCTTGAGGATAGAGTATACGACCTCTACCAAAAGGAGACCGGGTCGGTCGCGGTGTTCGGATCTCACAAAGTCGCTGACGGTGCCACCACAGTGGGATCTGTTACGTTTAGCCAAGCCCCTGGAACGGGTCTTCTTGCTGCAGCCTATATCGACGGAGACCTAGTCACTTACGACCTCATCACCGGTGAGCGTATTGCTTCCGTTGAAGACTCAAATATTGTGACAGTGTCTTCTTCGCCGGACGGTCGAACTTTAGCTGGGGCTGACTCACACGGCAACCTGACGCTGTTCGAGTTTTCGACTCTGACGGTTCTTCAGAGAATCCAATTCGACACACAGCTCATGCCCAAAAGCATTGAATTTACTTCGGACAGCACACGGATCATCGAGATCCGTGGCGACCAGTGCAGAGTGTGGGAACCCACGGTGCTCCTCCGTGCCGACATCTCGGAGGACGGGGACAGTGACACTCTCTGTGGATCCAGCGAACTGAAGGAAATACTTTACAATGCGCAGAGAAAACCGGAAATTACAGCTATGGCGTGCTGCCGAAGCTCCAGCGCGGTCTTCTATGCGGTATCGGACGGATCGGTATATGGGTGCGACATTTCTGAAAAGCCGGATGCGCGGCTTCTGTTTGAGTTGGCTTCAAGATGCCCAGTTCACATATTACACTTTGATGAGACTTCCTCGCTTCTAAGCGCAGCTGATCGGTCTGGTCGGATCACGGTCCGAAAGGTCGTACGAAGGCACAACCAAAAACAGCCAGTGAACTGGCATATTGAGGCATTGATTGACAGAATTAAGGCACCAGGTGGCAGTTCCGAGATGCTACAGTCAGTTGTCACTTCAGGAGAGCACCTGCGAATGCTTGTTTCGCAGGATGAGACGGATAGCCTGATATCCCTGAAAAGGGAAGACCAAGGCAAGCCAATTGTTCAATTGCAGCGAGAGTGGTCCCAATGGTCAGAACACCCTACAAAACGCGACTGTCTCATTGCCACCACGAGTTACTATATCGAAATTCACAAGTGGGAAGATCTGAGCTTATTGGGGAAGTTTGAGGCTTCATCATATGGCTGGTTCACCAGTCTCTGCCCGCTAATTCCAGCACACCTGTTTGCAACCCGGTCAGCTAAGAAGGAAGTCTTGCAAGATACCTTGAATATCTCTCAGAAAGGTGGTGGACACAAGGCCATCAACACGATCCAACTCTGGGGCGGAAAGGATTTTGAAATTCCACACGAAGATACTAAGCCCGTATGCCAGCTTGAAGATGCACTCAGCTCATGCATTGCGCGCATTATAGGATCTTTTGGTGCGAGACTCATTGTATATACAACAGATCATTGGATTGCGAGCATCGAGCTTCAGCCACCGCGAGGCGTGGTACAGCGCGAGGATCTCGTCCGGCACTTCTTCCTGCCAAGCGACTGGATCGGCGGCGACCACGAACGCCTCATTTTCGGAATCGGCAGCAGTGGGGAGATACTGTTCGCGAGACGCTCGGAACTTGCTGTGATCAAGCGCGGGCTGGAGACTACGGAGTCTGGGGCAAGCTTCAACCCAAGGCGTGTTGGTACGGGTTGGAACAGCCCTCTTCCTCCGCGCCTTCGTGGTGCGCCCCCTGGGAGGTCCGCACCCAGTAGCTTGAACCCAAGCATATCTTGCATGGGATCAGCTGATACAAGGAGACCATGCGGGGACGTTGATACCTAGGCTTTGCTCGCGGGTCACAGCTATATGGCCTTATATATAGGCATTATGACCAGGTTTAAATCGATACGGACACTTATGGCTAGATGATAATGGCTCGCGATGATTCAACTTCTGTGCTGGTATGAAGTATGTACAAGAACAGTCAAGAGCTCCAGACTAAGGCTGATGTAGTACTCTAACAGTCTCGACGACCTACCGCGTCGCCGCCACTACTAGAGTACTACCGAGGTATTTATTCACTCGGAGTTGACCATCAAAAGCCTAGGTGAAGCCCGACCAGACAGCACCACCTGGGGGAGTGTAAGTAGTGGCAGTGCTTGAGTAAATGTCAATCTGAAAAGAAAAAGTTAACATAGTGTCTCTTTTGAGCAAGACTTTCCTTTGCGGGTGCGCAAATGACCAGGCGAAATACTCACAGTAACACCGGGGTCGTTTTGGGCGGCGTATGCAGGGATGGACTTGAGATAGTCCGCAGGCGGCGAAGCAGAGCCACTTCCGGAGACGACGAGCTGAGCACACTCGGGGTAAAACTGCGGCGTGTTCGTCTGGTGGAGAGCGAGCAGCTCGTGGCGGATGAGGTAGTTGCCTGGGGCAAGGTTTGAAGGGATCTTGCTCGACCACTTGAGGGTCTACTCCGTGAGGACATGATGTCAGCGATCGGACTCACAACACTCACAACCCAGTTTTCTGGAGACCAGTATAACCCACGTTAACAACGATAGCAGTGCCCCAGTTTTCTCCGCTCAGAGGCGGCGCGGTCATTCCCATCTGGTCGATCTTGAACCAGCCCTTGCCCTTGCCGTCGCAGGCGGTGAAGGCGCCGGCGCACTTGTACATCCAGACCATGACGGGCCCTTGCTTGTGCGTCCACTGGGCCCAGATGGCGGTGATGTTCTGCCCTGCCGCGATCGGGGCGCTGAGGGCAGCCGATGTGCCGCCGTTGCAGGTCATCTTGGCATCGGTGACGGTCATGATGGGGTTGTAGTCGGGCCATTGCCGCTCGATCGTCGGGGGCGAAGATGAGGGAGAGAAGCCGGTATAGCCGGGGTATGTGCTGAGGGCGGATGCGTGTCAGATAAAATCCCATTTCGAAGGACGAGCCTCATTCTTTTGTTGGTTTTTCGGGGCCCTTCATCATGACTTACGTCGAGCCGATTAGGTAGCTGGTGACGGCTCCGTGGCCGGCGACCAGAGAGGCACCTGAGAGGGCCGAGACGAGGACGTTAAACTTCATGATGGCAGATTCTTGGCGAAGGGTGATGTGCTAGTACTGTTCGATCGGAATATAGAGCCGGACCACTCTAGTGTAGTACCTGTGGACTGGAGACGAGAACGAGATAATGAGTGTGAGCAGACGTAGACTTTATATAAGTGCTCGAATAGATTAACAGCGTATCTAGTTCACTGATTCCTTGCAATATAGATCCCGAACCTACGCGTGCTGCGTTTCCACCACACCACCCAGGAAAACAAGAATGTCGCAGCCCGAAGAAAGTTGACATATTAAACCGAGTGAATGAGTCGGCTAGCCGCTATGCTCACCAGGAAAACAAGGATCATCGCGATCTGGAAGGCCTCTAGAACCAAGATCGAGTCTGACAGACCACTTAGATCTCGCCGTGGGTGCCAGTCAGCCAGTTACGGCTCGCGGACCGGCTGGGGTGCGAAAAGGGACTCGTTGTCGACGGGAGGTAAGTTCTTTGCACACCTGGGCAGGTGATCGTGTGTACGACGGGGGCCGTGCTAGCCATCCTGGCTAACACGGAGGTTGCTGAATGGCTAGGCCAGTGAGATACAGCAAAATGCGTGGCAGTTGATGGTCAGGCTGTGTCAAACCCTCGGCGTCCACCATCCGAGGCACAAATCCGGGGGTTGCCTGAGTGGGCTGATTGGGTGTGACATTCCCGGGTGTGATTTCGGCCTGTGTCGATCCTAGCGTACCGGGATCTATATTGCAGGCTATTTGGATAATATGGTGATGCTGATGGGAACCTGACCTCGCCGGGGGACCAGTTGACAGCGGCGCCAACATTTCTGTAGAACCAAAGTGCCGTGTTCCAGTCGGAAGAAGCTACTCAGAGCTGCTCGAAGGCTTATTTGTAGAGTAACTGGCAGTCTAGCTGTGAGCCCCTACGCCCTGCCTGCAGTTGGTGCGAGGAAATCAATCCTCGATTCGATAAAAGCATGCCACGAAAAAGACAGTCAATTGCGACATATGAGATGCCAAATATAGATTCAGAAGTACCTTTCGCCGTTGATCTCGAGATCAGTGCACACAACCACGGTCACAGCGGTTGAGACGGTCGTTCGAGATCTCAAGCTATTGTCACCGCGAGACTGGAGAGTCGCATGTCCCGGGAATAAAGCTTACAAGAGAGAGGCAGGAATTGGCCAACCCACGCTGCCCGGCTCTGCATCCCGGGCTCGTGGTTGGCGTTGTTGACCTTGTCGCGCGTGGATGGATCGGGAATGGAATGTCCGTATGTCAATTGACTTAGTCAGCAGCCCAAGATACTTAAGTACCCAGGTTCAGCTCCCCCCTGCCTGCCAAGGTGCGTTCTAGAAACCACATGCCTGCCGGCGCGACCCGAAAAGCTTCCAGAAGTTCGGCTTGCCACCCACCATCCGCCCGCCGTCCGTCCACTTAGGAACCTCACAAAAGAAATCACGCCCAAATCGCTCGTACGACCGACCTACCAGCCGACCCCATCCACCCCCCGGTTCTCTAGCACTCATCCGTACGCCTTGACACAGGAGCACCGACAATGGCGGCCCTCCAAGCCTACCGCAGCCTCCTCCGCGCGACACGCCTCACCTTCCAGGGCGACGAGCGGCTCCTCGCCGGCGCCAGGGACCAGATCCGCGCGGGCTTCCGCGAGAAGGCCTCCCTGTCCCCCTCCGACCCTGCTGTCGCGCCCGCTGTGGAGCACGCGCAGCAGGTCGCCGCTCTTCTGCGGGAGAATGTGGTCCAGGGCAAGAACGAGGGCGACGGGAGATATAGTAAGTAATGCTATCTATAGTTGCGGTGTGAACTTGGGTTGGCTGGGGGCTCCGTGCTGACGAGGATGGCGTGGCAGAGCTGCGGATTCACGAGCATACCGAGCGGGGCGACAATGATACCATCAAGACGGCGGCTGGGCAGACCGTCAAGGTTGGGGGTGTTGGGTGCTGCTCGAGCTGAGAAGGGTTCAGTGGAATCACTTTGGGACGATGAATATGAACAGCCATAGGGCCCTCCGGTACAACCTACCCCGGTCACCAAGACTTTCACGCACACAAGCGGCGAGGTCGGCCCCGGATCATCCACGCCCTGGACGATCGCAATGGGCTTGCTACGAGACGGACACGACGTCCATAGGTTGGCTGGAACAAAACACAAGGGGGTGAAGTTCCGGTGTAAGATTAGATGATGATGTACAAATCCTATGATACCCCCTCCACTGCTCACAAACTTTTGAGGAAACCCATAAATGCCCCCAATGCAATGGAATATGCTACCGGCGCTGTCTGAGCGCTGATGTCTAGCCTCGTGATGACTGACTGCTGGCTACCCTGAACTCCTGGAACACCGAAGAAATGACATGTTTGAAGCCGAGAAAGCAGGGGGCTGGCTCAGTTGCCAGACAGGCTGGCATAGTTGACATCGGACGCGCCAGGCGGTGCGGCGACAGCCAAGTCGGAAAGATCGCCCTGCTGACCGCCGCTGGCACCTGCACCGCCGGACACACTGCCGCCCTCGACAGCCTTCTGGCCGCCTTGCGGCCTCCTCTGTGGAAACGCTGACCGTCCATCCCTCAACATCTCGGACCGCTCCTCACGGTTCATGTTCCCAACAGCCTTTGGCTGGCTCCACCGCACCCGCAGCGGGCACCCGGCGATGACGGCCTTGCCCTGGCACGCCTCCGCGGCCCTCTCCGCACCCTCGCGGGTCTCGTAGTTGATGAAGGCGCAGTGTGACATGTGCGAGCACACCAGGGACTTGATCTTGCCGTGCGCCTTGAAGAAGTCGCGGATCTTGTGCTCGGGCAGGTCGTCCTCGACACCCGTGACAAACAACGACATGATGTTCTTGTCGGCCGGCGGCTTCCAGTCGTTGGGTCCTGGTGGTAACTGCGCGGCGGAGGGGAATGCGCCTTTCCTAGGCCCGCCGGGCCTGCCCCCGCCAGGTCTCGCGCCCATGGCCCCGGCAGCCCTCGAGTCGCGCGACCGGATCGGACCTGCGCCCCCGAGGCCAGCCCCGACAACAGGGTTCCCGCCCGTCGCGGGCCTGGAGCTCTCGCCGGTCGTGTTGCCCTCCTCGTCGACGGTCCTCCCCTTCCTGAAGTACGGCTTGCTCTGCGCCAGCCTCCTAAGCAGCTCGCGCGCCTTCTCGTCCGTCTTCTCGTACTCCTCGACGCCCGCCCTGCCCTCCTCGATGGCCTTCTCGTTGTTCTGGGCAAAGAACTCCCTGTTGATCTCGGACTGGGGGCCGGGGGCGACCATCTTGAGGGCGGCGTCGCGCACGACGATGGGCAGGCCGAAGGACAGGTCCAGCATGCAGCACTGGCAGCAGTTCTTGAGGCGGGCGCAGGTCAGGCAGATGTTGGTGCGCTTCTTGCGGCCGTGGGCGCGGTCGGCGGACCACTGGAACACGGTGAAGGGGCGCGTGCACAGTTTGCACTCGGCGGCGTAGTCCTCCTTGAGCATCTTGACGTAGGGGTTCTCGGGCAGGCACTGCTCGCAGACCGAGGGGAAGTCGGTGGACTCCCAGCCCGAGCGGTTGAGGTCCTGTTTTATCTGGGGCGGCATCGTGGCTGGGGCGTGGGCGCGATCGGATGGTATGAGGAATGTGGTTCGGCGCAGGCGTGATCGATGTTGGATTGCGACCGGGAACAGGCTGAGGCTGTCGCGGAGTGGGGTGATGATGGATTGAGGGTCGCGCCGGTAACAAGGCCTCGGAATTGTTGGCTGAAGGGGAAACTTTGCGGTGGCGCTGGAAGCCGCTTGGAAGCGATCGGGTGTGCTTATCGATTACAGATCAGCCCACGCGAACTCCTTAGTCAGCAGAGGAAGTGTCCATAGCTCTACATAGCTCTACGCCTTCCCTTAATTTGAGATTCAGCTTGTAACAAATCCTGATAAATAACTGCTCTATACAATTGTTATGACAAGAACCCATAGTGACCACACAGCCACATTGACATAATCAATTTCACGTGCCACCGTCGACTCAGTATCTATCCGTACTGCGTGTGATGTCGAGTACTGTTGCCAGGCGACTCGTATTCGGATTGCATGCTAGACGTATCCGCATTCATATGAACCCGAACTCGCGATAACGATTAGGATATCTGCTGCCCCACCGTAGCACGTAGTCGCGCTAGACTGGATGGGCTAGCCTTTGAGAGACTCCTCGAGATACGAGTCAGTACACAAACTCGCTATCAACCTGCACCCAAGGCAAAGTACCTGACCGTCAACTCCGCCAGCTCCCGTCTCGCCGAAATGAATCTCAGAACTAGCGCACGTTGACACTCGGCGCAGCAAGGGACCTGTCCAGCAGACCCCTGTAAACAGCTGTCTATCGAGTCTTAGTTTGCATGGGGTCGAAAAGTTGCCAGTGCCACACCGCACTGCATTCCACTCATTTCCTCATGCAATTGTTGCGCTGTCAGTTTTCCTTCCTGGACCCAATTCCTCTGGTGCTTCACTGTTCGACTCTGTAAATCTTTTTAATCCCGACTACGACTCCGTTCAACACGTCAACAACAGTCAAGATGGGCGTCAAGACACCGCTTCAGTTGGAGAGGGAGGACAAGGAGCGCGATGCCGCCTTCAACAAGGCCATGCACGGCAAGACCGCCGCCCAGGCCAACAGCGTCGCCACCATCCTGTTCAAGAACCCAGAGGCCAAGCAGGCTGCTCTCGACGCCTACTTCAAGCACTTCGACAACAAGAAGGCCGAGAACGAGACAGACGCTGACCGCAAGGTAGGTTTGGAGCAGCTCTGAGGCACCTCGGTGGAGCTACGACCTCGAGCTACCTACCCCTTTTCACGTCGTGGACTGACCGACGATCCCATCACAGGCGCGAACCGACGAGTATGCCACATTGACCAGACAGTCAGTATATACCTTCGTGTCTCCGGGATAACATCATGGGCGTCTCACTGACTCGTTCTCCCCAATTGCAGCTACTACAACCTCGCCACCGACATCTACGAGTTCGGCTGGGGCCAGTCGTTCCACTTCTGCCGTTTCTCCGTCGGCGAGCCCTTCTACCAAGCCATTGCCCGTCATGAGCACTACCTCGCGCACCAGATTGGTATCCAGGAGGGCATGCAGGTCCTCGATGTTGGCTGCGGTGTCGGCGGACCCGCGCGAGAGATCGCCAAGTTCACCGGCGCAAACATCACCGGTCTGAACAACAACGACTACCAGATTGACCGTGCCATCTACTACGCAGAGAAGGAGAAGCTCGCCAAGCAGCTGACCTACGTCAAGGGTGACTTCATGGTATGTGTGCCTCTTGTTTCCTTCCTGCTGGTTGCACGCCTGTCGAGGGTCGCCATGACTGACCCAACACGATAGCAAATGCCCTTTCCCGACAACACATTCGATGCTGTCTACGCCATCGAGGCCACCGTCCACGCCCCCAAGCTGGAGGGTGTCTACAGCGAGATCTTCCGTGTGCTGAAGCCCGGCGGTGTCTTTGGTGTGTATGAGTGGCTGATGACCGACGACTACGACAACAACAACGCGGAGCACCGCAAGATCCGCCTGGCCATCGAGCTGGGCAACGGCATCTCCAACATGGTGCCGATCCAGGAGGGCCTGGACGCGATGAAGGCGTCCGGCTTCGAGCTCCTCAAGAACGAGGACATGGCACAGCGGCCCGACCCCATGCCCTGGTACTGGCCCCTGTCGGGCGAGCTCAAGTACCTGCAGTCGGCCGGGGACTTCTTCACCATCTTCCGCATGACCAAGTTTGGCCAGTTCTTCACCCACGGCTTCGCCGGCCTGATGGAGAGCCTCCGCATCGCACCCAAGGGCACACAGAAGACGGCCAACGCGCTGAGCGAGGGCGCAGACGGCCTGGTCGCCGGTGCGAGGTTGAACCTGTTCACGCCCATGTACCTGATGGTCGGCCGCAAGCCTTCCAACTAAGGGGCTGGGTGCATGTTTGCTCTCTCTCCATCATCAGAGTGTGACGAGGAAACAATCATTCGAAATGAAAATGACGTCTGACGCAGGAAGGAAAAGAAATTGGCGCATTAGGCCTGTATATACAACCTATTAATCAGATCCAACGGCGCCCCGTCTTTACACGGGGGCATTTTACGATAGAGCCGTTTCGTTCATATTGGGACATTTATAGATGGTGTAATAATATGAGCTCCTGACTTGAGAAAAGACTGTTTGAGGCCCGTTGTTTGTGTCACTCTTCAACCCTGATGCAAAAGTCCAGTCCGGAGTAACACAAGCATCAGTAGCAGTGCGCAGTGAGCAGTGAGCAGTAACAATCAAATGCTCGCTCGCTCGCTCGCCATGTTCGGTGCCCGTCGGCCACGGTCTAGCCGTTTATGGAGCTAGCGGGGCCCGGCGATAACCCAACAGAAGCTTTTGTTGGTCGGTGCTCCCCTTGCACCCAGCTGGGAGCTGCGGGCGACCCACACTGATTGGCGACTCGGCCATCTCAACGGAGGAGGGTTCAACGTCGAGGGAATTTTTCGACCTCTTGGTGCATGCAGCTGGAGCTCCGGAAATCTCCTGCCTTTTTGCTGGCGTGTTGCGAGACCGCGATCCCTCCCTCCCAAACACCCAACCTCGCTCACTTCAGCCTCAGCTCGACTTTCTCCCTGGTCTGTCCCAGTCGCTGTTCCTTGTCGTGACCACCGATCGTCATCGTCGCCGCCGGGTCGTTTCTTCTTTTCTTGTCCTCCTGAGGGCGACATTCCAGTTGGCAATCAACCAAACCCACCCGATTCTTTCCCCGAATCTCACCACCACCACCAACCGCCAACATGTCCCGCTTCCTCCGACCGGCAGTCCGACTGGCTGCCTCTGCCAGAGCTGCCCCCCTCTCCAAGACCTCGACCCTCCCCTCAGTATCCTCCAGAATATCCCGGCCAGCCTCTGCCTTTGTGCAGTCGAGAACATATGCCTCCGCCGGCTCCAAGGACTACACCGTGCGTGATGCGCTGAACGAGGCCCTCGCCGAGGAGCTCGAGGCCAACGACAAGGTCTTCATCCTGGGCGAGGAGGTTGCCCAGTACAACGGTGCATACAAGGTCACCAAGGGACTGCTGGACCGCTTCGGCGAGCGGAGGGTTATCGACACCCCCATCACCGAGTCCGGTTTCGCCGGCCTGGCCATCGGTGCCGCCCTCTCTGGCCTGCACCCCGTGGTGAGTACCCTCTCTCGCTGATCACGTCGCATGGCATTGCATCGCATCGCATTACATTGCCGTTACCATCACCACTGCGCAGCAAGCTGACGTGAGGTGCCATGTCTCTCCCCCTGTCTAGTGCGAGTTCATGACCTTCAACTTCGCCATGCAAGCCATCGACCAGATCATCAACTCGGCGGCCAAGACCCTGTACATGTCCGGCGGCATCCAGCCCTGCAACATCACCTTCCGCGGCCCCAACGGCTTCGCCGCCGGCGTGGCGGCCCAGCACTCGCAGGACTACAGCGCGTGGTACGGCAGCATCCCCGGCCTCAAGGTCGTCTCGCCCTGGAGCGCCGAGGACGCCAAGGGCCTGCTCAAGGCCGCCATCCGCGACCCCAACCCCGTCGTCGTCCTCGAGAACGAGCTCATGTACGGCCAGACCTTCCCCATGAGCGAGGCCGCCCAGAAGAGCGACTTTGTCATCCCCTTCGGCAAGGCCAAGATCGAGCGCGCCGGCAAGGACCTGACCATCGTCTCCATGTCGCGCTGCGTCGGCCAGTCCCTCGTCGCCGCCGAGAACCTCAAGAAGAACTACGGCGTCGAGGCCGAGGTCCTCAACCTGCGCTCCATCAAGCCCCTCGACCTCGAGGCCATCATCAAGTCCGTCAAGAAGACCCACCGCCTCATGGTCGTCGAGTCCGGCTACCCCGCCTTCGGCGTCAGCGCCGAGATCCTCGCCCTGTCCATGGAGTACGCCTTCGACTACCTCGACGCCCCCGCCCAGCGTGTCACCGGCGCTGAGGTCCCCACCCCCTACGCCCAGAAGCTCGAGGAGATGTCCTTCCCCACCGAGCCCCTCATCGAGCACCAGGCCGCCAAGCTCCTGAGGCTGATCTAAGCGAGGTGTGTGTGTGTGTCTGTGTGGAGGCGGGAGATGATGACCGGATGGTAGAGACAGGGAGAAGGCAGGAGAGAAGCTGCGTAACCGATTGTCATATCAGCTGCTAGTGGCAATGACTTGATATATCCCGGGTGAGGGTGCCATTAATGCTATGCGATACCTTGCCTGCCTGCATGATAGACGAACGAAAACAAAATAACTGTACTACTATGCTACTTCTTGGACATTCTTCCTCTCACTCTACTCATTGCCAGATCGTTGGACACATGACCTGGCCATCGGTGCGTCTTTCCGTACAAATGCCCAAGTAAGGCCTGGTCTCATTGAACTGCGTAAATCGGCCGTCGGATAAGGTAGAGGTGCAGTGCACCTGGGGACTCTGGGTCTTGACTTTGCTTGGGGAATCGCATCAGGTCGGCGTACTGAGCGACTCACAGCTTTTGCAAGGGACGGCGGCCAATTGAAGAAGCAGGCACCAAGGGCTGCATCTTACATACGAGCAAGTCTGACAGCCAAGATGCCTGCTTGCTGCCTGAGCATACAACTCCAGCAGTCCCGCCCGCCAGCATTTGAACCCAGCCTCCAGACCGTCGCCCTTACCTAATGGCCTCGCCAGACGAGATTGCCCGTTTCAAACATGAAGCGCTCCCCGATGCCAGCACTTACATCAGGCTGCTCGAGGTGACTAGCGCCGACCCAGCAGGGCCGGCAAGGGACATCTCGGTCCGCTGCAGGCTGACGACTTGGCCCAAGGCATCCGCCCCTGCGTATACCGCCATCTCGTACACGTGGGGAGACCCATCCCTGGTGACGACCATCCTCGTCAACGGGGGAAGGATGACGGTGCGCCGCAACTGCGAGGACGTCCTCAGGCAGCAGTGCTGGCCCAAGGGCGGCCAGTTCTGGATCGACGCCATATGCATCAACCAAGATGACAACGACGAGAAGAACTCCCAGGTGGCCGGCATGGGCGAGGTCTACCGGGATGCCCGCCAGACTCTTGCGTTTGTTGGCAGCCACGCCGACGACAGCGAGCTTATTTTCGAGACGCTGCATGAACATCGGCGGGGGTACATGGAGCACCACGGATGCCTCTCTGATGATACCAGCGGTCTTACGGATTACCTCTCGCGGATGTTGAGCGACGACTCCACCCTCGAGAGGTTGGATAAGCCGCTTAGAGCATTCTTCAGAAGATCGTATTTCCAGCGAGTTTGGATCTACCAGGAATTGTTCTTTGGAAAGAACACACACTTTTGCTGCGGCCATGAAACTGTCGAACTGTCACTCATGTGGGCCCTCTATATGACTATCGGGAGTTGGATGGTATCTCCTTGGATGACAGTGCTATCTCCCTGGAATAGAGGTCCTGTGCCTCAGTCTATGCTGGACCGGCAGTCTCAGTACTACTTTGACAACTACAAACAGCTGCTCAGAGCGGCAGCCACGGCAAAGAAACCACTCGAACTTTCAATTGTGGTGGAAGCCGTCCAGAGGCTGCAATGTGAAGACCCAAGGGATCGGGTGTTCGGAACCTTAGCCATGGTCGATTGGGATGGGGAGGCGCCAATCCGGCCAGACTACCAAATGGACCCGTTCGATCTGACTGTCGAGGTCCTGCAGAGAATCAAATGGATCTACCGTTACAATCTGACGTGGGCACTTGAAGACACGATCAAGATCGCGTACCTCGTGGGCCGACCACACATATCATCGAGACGGCTAGGTGATGAGATACTCGCTCGGCGGTCGAGATGGCACAAGCCTTCGAATTTATTTACGAGAGACACTAGCCGGAAGATTGTTTCACAGGCAACCAAGTTCTGGGGATATCGCATATACTCCCACAATGCGGGCTGGCGTACGTTAGCAGACCCTTCCAAAGATGTTGTTGATGAATTGTCAGCATTCCGGCATGAGGAATCAACAGACCCAACTAGTTATCATCACTACATCACCATTCAGAAGTGGTCGGAAGGGATGGCCTGGGATGTGCATGCGACCGCCGTCCTGTTGCCCGCAGAGGCCGAAGACCGGGACTGGTTGCTGATACCCGACTTGGCCAACAGGCCGTATGCCCAAGCGTCTGTGGCGCTCATCGCTAGGGACGGCTGGGACGGGCAGCCTCAGATCGTGGGGAAGGCCCTCTTCGCCGTGTCCGAAAACTGGCCGTGGACAGCACTCCAGCTCGAGGGCTCAAAGTTTGGGGTATACCTCGATCATGAGGATACAATTGTCCTCGCTGACAGCTGCAACTGGGACGTTTTGGGTTACCCATTTTCAACCAACGCGGATGAGGGGCATGAGTTCCAAGTGGATAATTACTTTCAGACTAGACTTTATCGCGAGAGAAGTAGAACTTGTGCTGTGAGGATGGATCAGTAGCCTCACTAGTTGGGCCTTTTGGTCCTCTGTACCTTTCGCCAAGCTCATGGACCAACTTTTCTACCCGGGTAGATTGCCTAACCCATACATATAATATAAGCAACAACCCTTCTTGTCAACGATTGCATGCACGCATTGCCGCTTACGCGAAAAGGCATCAGGCTGGGCTTATGAAGATAATCCCAAGACCAGCCATCACATGCAGAATATTGTTTGCAAGAGTTGTGCATCTCATACTTTGACTCTGGCTCTTCATGACCACGCCACTGGCAATGCTTTCGCCTAGCATAGGACGAATCTTCTTTCTAGATAGATGGTTTAGGTAAGAAGGATGTGAATAGGATCACTTGGAATCCATTTTGTTGGATGTCGCGTGGCCCCCTTGATGCTCTTTCCATAGAATATACAACCTGTCGCATACCTACGGATACAACTTGTCTACTTGTGAAGATGGGATTTCGCGGTCTTAGGGAGACCTTTCCATGTTATTTGAATAAATGATATTAGTGGCCGTCCAGTCATAGCTGTTCTTGTCTCTTTTAAATTCTGGGAACCACATTCTGGCAGTATGATCCGTTTGTTCACCAACATTTTCAAGTGTCTGATCGATGGGTTGCGGGGCCCTGCGATCAGTCTATATCTGTCATTCAGTGATGATATAGTGGGCCTGCACGGAGCACTGCCAGTCTCCATTGGGTTATTCATGTTCATTCAATGCCTCTACTAAGCGCAGAATATGAGTGTCACATAAGAACAAGTGATGCTGCGCCAATTTCCATGCGGGGAATTCCACATACTTTAAGAGGTTCCTCAACCCTTGTTTGAGCAGACTTCCATTGTGATCCTCGCTCACACCAGATGAGGTACAAATCCATGCTCTTGACTAGTTCTTAGGATATATTTAACGAAGCGTCCTGCTGTACGACTCGGTACCAGACACCGGTTCTTCTCTGTAGATCTCCTGCTTTGTCCAAATAGGCCGCAAATTATTCAGAAGGCTCCGTCGCCCCTTCATTTTATTGAGGGAGGGAGTTCGTTCCTTGGAACCACCTGGGCACTGCTGGCTGCGGCCTTTGGCCTTTGTATTCGGACTTGATAACAAGCACAGAGTATGTTCACAATGTACAAAAGCGCTTTAAATCAGGGATATCATGCATTTTTACACTGTTCACACTCATTATGACCAATTTGAACGCGCAGATGGTGCCAACTTCGCGTCCCGGATGCTAGAGCCCGTATGCTGCAGGTCATGGTGCTTTATACTGGACCCAAGGTGCAGAGAAGAGCCCAGAGACTCTTTTGGCGGTCCCTGTGGCAGTCTCTAGGTTTCTGAACCCCGGTGGGGCAAGCCAGGGTTATCAAACAGGCCCTTTGTGAGCGTTTGGGTGAATGTAGAAACACTTTGATTACCTGTTATTTTGATTTGTCTGCGAACTCGGCAGCCACCTTGACAAACCACCAAACTCTGCCAGAACCATCCACCCTTCCACTCCTTGACACCTTCAAAACTGGCAAACTTGATTCATTCAATCTTGAAGATTATCAGAAACAAGCACGTACGTCCCAACTGCCCCTTGCCCCCTTACAGTGGCTCACAAGTCACACACACGCACCCTGCCTAACGAAGACTCCGCTCAGGCCTTTCCGCGAGCCTCGTGCAACCACCATGTCGAGCGTCCGCATCCTAGCGAGCTCCCCAGGTCCACAGGCGGCCTCGCCGTTCTTCTCTCGCCTGCCAGCCGAGATACGTCTGATGATCTTCAGGTTCATCTTCCTGTCCTGCTACGCAACAGCCTGGTTCGACGGAGAGTGGGGCGGCGACGAGGCCGCCGCGCACCAAGGATCGAGGCAGAGGCGTTTCAGGAGCGGCGCATGCTGCTTCTCGCACTTGGACGGCGGATTCGAATTCCTCGCGACCTGCCGCCAGGCATACATCGAGGCGTTCGCGACGTACTGGGGACAGGTGACCCTGGACGTGGCCCGCAGCATCAGCCCTGACCGCATCGGATGCGGGCTGGTCTCGGTCTGCAGGTACCTCCCTTCCGCGATCAAGGAGAACCTGGGCGATCTTGGGAACGTCAAGCTGCCGGTCCTGGAGGTGGTGGACTCGACGCCTGACGACCCCACCTGGACGCCAGCCCTTCTCAGCCAGTTCCCAAAGCTCAGGATCCTCGTGGTGTCCAGCCTGGTGTTGTTCGGGACGACTCCACGCGCGCGCTTTCAGCTCCTAATTGACACGTTCGGCGACCCCTCCCAGTACTACATTGGAGTTGCTCCCTTCGCGATCGAAGGAGAGGGCCCCACGTATATTGGAGTTGGTCTGTTCGACAGTGAAGGAGAGAGACCCGCGCAATACATCGAGCGCAAGATTGGTGTCCAGCTGTCTGGTGGTCTCGTGATGCTGTGGAGATGCGTCGCGAACCAGCCCCCTGATAGCCTCCCAAGATATAGGGACCGCGTGAGTCCTGTTCCTCGTTTGTTTTCTCGTTTGGAAAGCTTTGTGCTGACAAACGCACTACTTCAGTTTTGCTACTTCAACTGGACCACTGGCATGATGTACCAGACGACCGATGAGAGGCAGAGGTTGGGTGCGTACACCGCAGTCATGGAAGCGAAGCCAGGTTCCAAGTGGGGTTGTTGGTATAACTGACTTTCGGCTGATGCAGCTGGAAGGGCAGGGACTTAGAATGGGGCGTGAGGGAGGGTGTGGACTGGTTTAGACTCTTGAGATGCATTGGGAATTCGATCGATCTCAAATGGCAGGGGACAGCGTCCCGATGAAGACATGACCCAAGAACACATACAATGTGTAGGAAATTGAGGATACCTAGTGGACTCAGATCCATCATCGGTCTTCCTCGCATGAGACTTGTTCAGGCTGGTGAAAATAGAAACAACACAAGCTTAGGTCGAAGTCATCCAACACAATCGCCGCCCTTTAATATAATCATTTGAAGAGTCTCATTCTCCATTGATCACCCAAACAGGTGAATACCTAGGTTATCGCAACTGGTTTCGCTTCTGTTCCAAGGTTCCGTATACGTCCAAAGCCACACATGGCGCCTTCATACATACAGTGGTAATCGCTCAACGACCCAGCGTGAAGAAAACACGATCCTAGTGACAGTGCAGAAAGAAAAACCTCAGATGTCCACGGAGGATAATGCCTACTAGCAAGCCTTCAGTGCGCAAGAGGTGATGAGTGGAGCCAGAGCTACTACATCCTTGACTAAGGATCGCGAATCTGCCTGCGAATGGCAACAGGAAACTATAAGCCCTCGCGAATGACAAGCACCCTGGCTAAATGCCATTGGGTGCCATGACTCTTTGCTCTCCACTTTCGGAGACGACGGGTTGGCCGGGGATGCCGTCAGGAAATAACGGAAGTACCTGACAATAAAACTATATTCCTTGACGTGGAAGCTGGGCTGGGGCAACCGACTGATTGACAGGCCCGAAAGCCACTTCCTCTAGTATTAATAGTCTTTTGGTTCCACCATTCTTGGGAGAGATACACTGGTCCCACAGGATGGCAGAGATCAATTATGCACGAAGGCATGTTGATCCAGTGGGTGTTGTGCCGGAGGAACGCCTCTCCTCTACAGCTGACAGAGGTCAAAGCTACGAAAATCAAGCAGGATGCTGTACGAGCTGCCCAGATCCGCAAGGTGCGCAGCGGAACTGGGCGGCATCACGACTTTCGGTTTTGAAGGTGCTGGTGCCAAGCCCGTGTTGGTGTAAGGTGGCCTGCCCACGTAGAGCAAGACAATAATACGGAAGTAGCTGGTAACGTCTCCCCGAGACAGGCGATCTATTGTCTAACCGAACCGCGGTCTAAAAGCGTTGTCTACCATCCATGTACTCCCAGATGACCGTCCCCACACACTCGCTCATATGTTTATGACAATTAAGCAGCCAAGGACTTGGCATCGCCCTCCTTGAGCTTGCCGGCCCCGACGAGGCGGGCGACCTCGTCCTTCCACACACCCTTGATCTCGTCGGCGACCTTGAGGCCGTTAAGCTTGCCGGCCAGGGCGGCGATCTCGTCGGGGTCGATCTTGCCCTGAACGAGCTCGACGTCGCCGAGGACGGCGTCGATCTGGGCGGCCGAGGCGTCTCCCGAGGCGAAGTAGTTTGCGTCCTTGACGGAGCCCTTGAGCACACGCTTGTTCTTCTTGACGGCGTTCTTGGCCGCCTCCTTTGCCTTCTTGGAGTTCTCGCGGTCGGCCTTGGCCTTCTCCTCGGCCTCCTTGGCGGCCTTCTCGTCAGCCTCCTTCTTGAGGCGGGCCTCCTCGGCGGCCTTCTTCTCGGCAGCCTCCTTCTCGAGCTTCTTCTTGTTCTTGGAGGCGTTGGCCTCCTGCCTGAAGCGCTTGATACGCTCGTCGCCCTTCATGGCGTCGTCGAGCAGGCCGCGCAGGCGGGTGTTGTCCTCGATCTTTCTCTTCTTGCGGGCGTTAGCATTCTTGCGCTCCTGGTGACGCTTCTGGTCTCGGTTCTCATTGTCGTCGGGCACGTCCTCGTCGAGGTACTCGAAGGACCTCCAGCTGTCGAAGTTGTACCAGAAGTTGTAGAACTCCTCGACCTGCTCCTTGGAGGCGTTGGCGTCGCCGAACTGTGGCACGGGCTGGGTCTTGGAGAAGCGGCCCTCGGCCTTGAACACCTTGCCCCAGGCCTTGTAGTAGTCGATCTTGCCGCTCTGCAGCTGCTTCTTGGTCGGGGGCTCGACCTCGGCACCCTCGTCGACCGAGTCGAACTGACGACGCCTGACGGGGTCGAGCAGCAGCTCGGCGGCCTTCTGGATGCACTTGAAGAAGTTGTCGTCGTCGGTGGCGCCGCTGGCGGCCTTCTTGTCGGGGTGGTGCTTGAGAACCTTCTTGCGGTGGGCGCGCTTGATCTGGTCCTCGGTGGCCTTGTAACGGTACTTGGAGATACCCAGGACGGCGTAGTGATCTTGCTCCTGTTTGCGCAAGTGCAGTTAGCATGGAAAATTCGGCGTCGAACAAAGCGGACCGGGCTCCGGTTGCCTACCTTCCAGTCCTTGGCCTCGCGCTGAAGCATCATGGGGTCCTCAGGCTCGCTGATCTCGCCAGCATCCTCCTCCTCGACGTTCTTGGCACGCTCCTGGGCCTGGATGCGGTCATCCTCGGAGAAGGTGCGCTTGTGGCGGGCGCGGCGGGCGTGTGCGAGGAAGTGAGGGCCGACAGGCTCGATGGAGCGCTGTGTGGAGGCAGTGACCTTGCCGACGGGCTTGAAGTCCTTGTCAGCGGCCCATCCTGATGGCAGGACGGGCAGGGATCGAGAGACGAGGGATGCGTTCGTCATCTTGTCGAATTTGCGTGTGGTGGTGATGATGGAAGGTTGACTGGGAGTCGAGAAACTTTTTTCTCAGCATTCTCCAAGCAAAAAGCCATCCCGCCCTATCGATGCCCCACTGTTTCCCGCTGTCGTCTGTGCACACCCCTCTCATTGGATAAACCTACGCCTCTAGTCTCGCCCACTGAGGCACCAACTGAGAATCTTGGCCCTGGACAACAACAGCCTGCAAGCCCTCACTCACTCTTCCACGGTTGACGTTGTCTGCACATCAGCATCAACACTGCCGTCGCTCATCGCCGTATGCCAAATAATTGAGATAGACACAAGCGGAACAACACGTCCTTGCCTGAGATGAGAATCGCACAAGAATCAGCTCGAAGTCAACCGGCGTCACCCAGCGAGGGCATTCCCAACGCCCCACTTGCACCGTGCGCGAGAAAGTATACGGTCGCTTAGAGCACGTCTTCCCACGTGTGGCCGGCGACTTTTCTGACATTAATGATGGGCCCTCGATGAGGCTTGTACAACACGAAAACAACAGGGCAATCGGCATGTGCACGGTGATGTGCTGACCCGGGTGTGGGTAGGTTACACGACATTCGCTCTGTCAGCCGGCAGAACGTCCAGCATCTTTTGGTCTCTCTCCATCATCCCATTTGTATTCATTTACTACTATTACATGCTAGGTTCAGCCTAGGTGGGTATCAACAAGCCACGATGGGCGGACTGAGAAGCCATCATACACTCTATAAGGAACGTCATATTAACAATTTGCCAGCTTTGCCTCCCTGCTCTGTTCAAACCGTCTCCTTCCAGATCGGCAGGAATATGAAGAGCAGTACACCGCAGAACGCGGCTCCCAGGCCGCCAGACCAGCACTGAATAAGGATTACTCTCTGCAGCCTTCGCAGGATCTTGTCCTCCACCTTGAAGTTTTTGTCGTGAGCCATCGTCCGGTTCATAAATGTCTTGTATCGTCTCCACCACCCCTTGGCCCCGTCCTGAGGCTGCTCGGTCCTCTTTGGGTTTCCGTCGTCATCAAACCGCTCCCACGGCAGCGCCTGCCGCCGCGACATGGACAAGAGGATGAAGCACATGCCCTGCGTCCCGACGAGTATCAACGCCGTGCCCATGGCCCACAGCGGGAACGAGTAAAATACCTCCCACCGGGTGTGCGAGCCAATGTGCGGGTACAGGCCACGCAGCAGCACGAGGAGGAAGCCGGCCAGGAGGTTCATTATGCCGATGACGTTTCCAACGCAGATGGTCTCGTACGTGCCCGTTGACACGCCGAGGCTGACGAAATTCCGGTGCGAGCAGTTCTTCATCACCTCGTAAATGTGGTCGGCCACGGGCTTGATGTAGCGGGGATCCGACGAGCTCTGCAGGTTGTTGAGTACCCGGTGGCGGAGTACTGAGGATATGTTGAGCTCCTTCTCCGCGCCCGGGAGCAGGTACGTTGCGATGGCGGCGTCGAGCTCGGCCCGGTTCTCGGTCGACGGCGCCCTGGTGGCTTTGCTGAGGAGGGGCAGGGGCATGGCTGAGTTTCCCTTCTCCTCGTCGACGTCGAACGCGCAGGCCCCGTCGCGGCAGACGTCCCGGCTGCCCAGGCGTTGCCGTCGCGGGATCGGTGACCATCGGAATATCCTGTCCGTCCACTTTCCTGGCTCTGGCTGGGCTACTGCTCGGGCACATGGTGCTTCGGCATTCACTATACTCTCAGACAAGGAACTGATCGATTGCTTCGCTACGCTGGTTGTTAGCGGCGTATAACAAGCTGGACAGCCTGGGGTCTAGCACAGCTGGGATCCTTACCTGCGACAATCTCAGCGACACTGGACTGTGCCGAGTACGTTGTCCCCGACAATGCATCGGCCTCGTTTGGCAACGCAGGCAGGTCCTTGAGGGGACCCGCGGCTACACGCGCCTCCTTCGATTTGGGGTAGTTTGCCTCATAATTCTGGAACCTGCAAGGATGGTCAGCTACAGCCATTCAGTCGATCATGGAGCGAGACGACGAGGGGACTCACCACAGGTAGAACTCGAGGTTCTCTGAGGAGTGCTCAACGTGTTTGAGGTATAGGTAGAAGTCATGAAGAGACATGGGACTGCATGTCTTGTTCTCCAGGACTCTGTCCAAGCCAAGCCGGCTTGGTATCGCGGTCGAGGGACGGCTGTCCAAGCTCGGGGTCCGTATTCGATTCGGCCGGATGTCCTCGTCGTTGAGCTTGCGGGTGTAATCACGGATATCCCTCCATCCCGGCCTCCTATACCACACTCTCAACCAGCCCGGCAGGTCAGGCATTGTCCTTCTCAAGCGCCTGGAATGTCGCCGTATCGGTCGCGAATGGGTTTCGTGGGGGGCACTCGGATGTGGTGCGTCACGGGCGACTCATGAACATAAAGGGACGCAAGTGCAGGCTGGAAAGGGAAAGCAGGCTGATGGCATGGTGCCCTGGCAGCCACGAGCGTATATATCGGCAGGGAAACCGAGGGATCCCTTTGGCCGTGTTCCTGGTGGTGTGGAGGCGTTGCGATCTGCGCTTCCATCCTTCACTTTCGAGTGCAACCAACGGGTGGCACTGCCCTTGTTGACATACCTAGTCAAGAGGAAGGCCCAGGAACGACCAACAGCAAGTAGACTGTAATCGAGACCGCGGCGCATCCATCCCACGTGGAGGAGCAGGCGAGTCAGGACCAGGGTGGCCGGGACCCATACTCACCACGCACCGCATCCAAACCTGGGTGGTCTACCCGGCACGCGAGCGTCGAGGCTTACCGTTGTCCCTCTCAAATTTCTGTTGCTAATCACCTGGACGGGGCTGTATTCGGCGGGGAACTGCAGCGGATAGGGCTTGTTTCACTTTCTTTTCTTTGTTTGGCCGGCCGGCCCACCACCCACCCACCGCAAAGTTCCGGTATGCCCGTGGCCGTGGCCCTGCCTCACCACAGCCAGCCGTAACACGGCATCAACCATCGTGACACCACCATGGATTTCTCCGGCCGTTGATAACCACTCGCCTGGTTCCCCCCTCTGTGCAACACACCATGAGCCGCCCTGCGGCAGTCAGTATGGGGTTGTCATCATCACCCACAGAGCAAGCATCATTACTGAATCGGTTTCGCCAATGGCCACCGGGGAATGTCGTCCCCTCGATGATCACGCACCACTTAGTTCTTGGCCCCTCTCCATCTTCATTCCACTCCCCTCTCCAACACGCACTTTGCTTGCCCTGCTGCTGCATCGCCCGCCCGCAAATTGCTGCCCACCTTGGGCCCAAAAGTCAGCATCCCGCCCAGGGCGGGCACATTCCTCTAGGATCTGATAGACCAGATTCCTTAGTACGACTTAGACAGTACTTGTCATTGCTTAGCGCGATCTTAGATCAACGCACGCAAACCAGGGCTGCCAGGAAACTGGCTGCGGCTAGCAGACAGGGCAGACAGGCCCAGGGAAAGCATTCTGCATGCCTAGCGCCATTCCCGCGACTCCATCACGCTGCAGATCCGCGCGCTCGTTACGGGCACCCACAGGCAAACAGGCATAGCACCACCGCAATCGTTCCGTTCTGGGCTGCCCGCAAGCCCACCAGCGCGCAGGCCCGCACGTGCAGGCAGAGAGGTGTGCCCGGGAACTCCACCCAATGGGCTGTCGGTTTACTCGGGCAAATTCTCCAATCCAGCCCTCCTCCTCTCCCATCTCTCGTCTCCAGCTTGCCTACCAAGTAGCTTACCTTTTCAGCCCTCCCAGCTAGCTCTTCGTGTCATCATTCATTCTTCCATTCGTTCTGCGCGTCGGACCCAGCCCGGCCGGCCCGATCGACACACACACACCACCTCTGTCTGCCCTTCTGCCCTTCCATTCGTGCCACACGCTCACAGCTGCACGTCGGCGGCGCGGGCTGGCGCTGCTAAGATTGGAACACACTAAGCGAAAGGCCCTGAATCATCCCTGCTGACGTTGGCTGTCGCCTAAGCCCGTTCCGTGGCTAGTCTCACCTTACCTGGCTGCCAACCCGGGGACCGTGCCTTTGACGGGTAGCCACAGGAGCCCGTCGGGATCAAAAGACGTGAGACCACAAAAGGGCAAAAATCTCGACGTCAATTGGCATTAATTCATTCCCCAGTCAGCCAACCCAGCTGCCCAGTCTCCCCTTGCAACGATATGTGGGCCCCCGCCCGAGTCCCCAGGCTTTGTTTCCCGTACCACGTCTGTGCGACGATGCGTCAGTGCGTCAACCAACCGGTGTCAGCGCCCTCCACGGCGATCGATGATCATCTGTAGCAAGCGCCGCAGGTAGGTAGGATTCCTTCTCTTCTCTTAGCAGGTGGCAGGAGGCGTGCTCAAGCTCCCTCCTTGCCCCCCAGATCGTCGCGCCTCACTGTATCCCCACCCGGGTCTGGTCTGTCGGCCCGGAAGGAATCTGGACGTAGTGGATCTCGACATTCCAAAATATCTACGCGGGCAACGTCCTGAGGCTAGCTACGTACACTACTTGGCTAGGCTATCCATCGTGTGTGGCTCGTGCGGGCAACGTTGCGTCGGGCATGGGCCGCGATGGAGCACGCTTGCCCTGGGGATGCGGCCATCACCAACACGCCCAGTTAGTCAGTCACCAACGGTTTGTTTGATAATAATAAATGTACTGCGCCGTAATGGTGATTCACTGCCTGGTTCGGGTGGATATTGGCTGTTGTGTTGGATGCCCACTTCATTCTTTCGACTCGGATCTGCGTTCCAAAGTTGCCATGTTGAATGATTTTGAGCCTCAGGCTGTTGGACCTGGTGGCTTGTGCTCTTGGAATGCTCCATCAAGTGATACAAACACGGTCCTTGTGCGGATGCTAGCCCAAAGCTTCAAAAGGTTCAATAGGTTTACACCTGCTTTTGTAACCAAGTACAGAACTATAGCTAGGCCCAGTGTGGTGTGAGACGGAGGCACCACCGACCTGGAGTGCATAACTGGTTCATGGGGCTCAATAATTGGACATGAGGTCCACGGCAGTGACACATGTCTTTTCATTGCGTTGCTATTGCACATCTTTCACTTTTGTGGGGAGCAAAATGTGACCAGGACAAAGGAAGATCTGCAACCATGCTTCGGCACGCCTCCGGCCCAATAACGAAGCCGCAACGCCGCTGTTGGCCCGGCCTGACAGCCCCCAACTTTTTCTCAGCCAGGCTTGCCACTCTTTTCTTGGAACAGCAGGGCAGTGAGATACGGTCTCACCGATAAGGTTGGGCTGTCTACACTATATTCAAGGATCCCTACCAAATGCCAAGATTTTGATCGACCGTGACAAGTGACAGAGGTTGGTGCAGCAGTGCTCGTAACGTCGTTTTGTCAGTGCCGGGTGCAGTCACTCCAAAGACAATAGCTGTTCTATGACAAACGAGTTCACCAACTTGAAACATCTCACTAGAGATATTGATTGTTTTCCATGTCTTGGATTAACTCTCCTCTTCGATCGGAGTTTCCACAATTACCCCAGTGTGCTGGACCAACGAACAACTGACTGTCGCTGGCGTTTGGGGCGGTGGGCGACAAGAAGCCATTTCTGGCTGTTCTCGAGCGTTTTGACTCGCTGCGCGTTATAAATTGCCAAGGCAAATCTCAAAGTTGCATGAGCGGCGGATTGACGGCTGAAATGAATAATGAGGCTGGGTCTACGTTTGACTGGTGGATGGCTACGGGTGGAACGAGCCAATGTGCTCAGCTCATGCGAGTAGGGCTATCCTGACAGAGACGACACTCAATATACAACAGTCAAACGGTGGGTGACCTCCGTTGTAATGGCCCCATGGGTTGTGCGACTCTTTGTTGTACCTAGGTATCGACCTCAAGTCGGCGAACCGGTTTCAGCATGGAGGTCAAGCAATTCCAGTGCTCCGAGGCTTTCCAACCACAACAAATTCAGCCGAACCAAGTCCATAAAGGGTACTTATTGAATAGATGTCAGGAAGTCCGTAGAATTCGGCGTTGGAATGATTAGTTTCATTATAGATGATAAGATTGAAATGTGCACTCAGAGAGCTTCGAAGCATCAATCGACCGTGCGGCTGTTCTGCCTTGTTCACTGGCTAATCCTCCCGCCAATCCGCCTCCGCCTTCGTAAATTCGATACAAAGGCTTGCCATAGAAAAAGCCAAGACGTGTCCAAGAATCTTTGTAGGTGACTGTGGGGGTTGACGGGATTGCCGCCGATTCATTGCTTCTGATAAGGCTTAACAAAGACAATTAGGGACAGGGCCGGCAATACGGATGTTATGGCTCCAAAAGTTACTCCTTCGACCGGTCTAATCCTACCTAAATTTGCTATAGCAGTCCCGAGTTTTAAATGTGCACGCACAAGGAGTGCTAATACCACAGGACTCATTTCAATTGGGAAGGGGGATTCGAGTTTGCGAAGACAAGTTTTATAAGATTAAATATCCAAATACGAATGACGATGAGACTAATTGTGGCCAGCGTCATCTTGTCGCTAGCCATGGCCACTGGGCCAAATGGTCCTGTTCAACCAGGGGCACCAGCTGACTGCACAACCTGGTACACTGCCCAGGACGGCGATACTGTCATTAGGATTTCCAAAGCTCACAATATTTCGCTGGCAGCATTTATGCAAGCAAATCCACAGCTAGCCGGCGACCCATTGCTTCTCTGGAGAGGCTATGACTACTGCGTCTTGCCAGGTTCTAACAACGTAGTAAGTCTTACTGGCCCATGCATGGTCCCGCTCATTAGCCGATGGGTTCAAGTGAATATTGCTGACATGAGATAAAAAGCCATCGTCTCATGGCTTTGGCGAGAACATGGTCGGGATTTTGAGCGAAGCACATCCCACTGGCGGGGATTATAATCCACATGCAACATTCCAGGGTGCTACTGGGACAGGAGGACCGATGCAACCGCCTAACGGGACTGGGTACTACCCCGTAAGCGGTGCAGAAACAGAAAATCATCTCCCGTACGGACCGACAAATGTTGGGAGTAAAGAGTCTGCTGAGCCCGCGGATGCTGAGCCCCCGGCTGCACCTACGCCTGCCACAGGTGCGTCAGCCGATGAGCCAGCCACAGTGGACAGTGAAGACGGCTCCAACAGCACGCCCGATAGCATGCACGGAATGGATTCCAGCATGTTGGGATCCAGCACCACAAACGACTCATCAGCCGCAGAGTCCTCGCAGTCAGCGTCAAATACTCAAACACCGCCCGCGAATGCCCAGTCAATCACGGTGTCCCAGCCAAGCCCGGCTGCACAGACAATCGTAGACTCCCAGTCAAACCTGCAATCCTCCCAGTGGTCCGCAGCCTCCCCTGAATATGGGTCAGACAGCGGTGTCAGCACTTTGATCACGGCTATAGTGGCACCTACCCAGGACCTCGAGCAAAGCGGAGCCCCAACCGGAACAGCAGATGGTGGCGAGAAAAGCGCAGAAAGTCTTGCGTAGAGCTTTGGTGCAGTCCCCAGAGCCGCGGTGTGGGGCTCATACTTTGACCCGAGCCAAGTAGTATGGACTCAGTGGTTGGGAAAATCATACGCAGTCTACCGACTTTGAAATTGTGACTAGTGACGTGAAGACGTCGACATCGACCGTTACACTCTTGAGGTGGCCTGATGCTTATTCCTGCAACCATCCATACTCAGTGCATAAGGGCTCCAACGCTCATCAACATTTTTCAAGACTGCGAGGACTAAATTTATTTTCACACCAAAAAAAAAAAAAAAAGAATCATAGTTATATTAGATGACTGGATTATGGAATGATAAATATCACGAATGTAATGACTTCGGCATCAACTAGACCCGAGATTGGCTTACAGTGTCTGCTCATGTAGCCATTTCCGGAGTATGTGTATGTGGTCTGTGGCGTGCTGCCGTTTAATATCAGGACTTACTGAACAATCCCAGAAAGCGTAAGAGAAATGGGCGACAAGTCGAAATCTTCACAGCAACATATATATAAGGGAGGGGGTTTGATCAACAACTGATACATTTGTAACAATGTATTCTCTTGATTGGCTCCCTACCGAGCACGGCAGGGACCATTTTTCTGTTCACACAAAAAAAAAAAAAGAATCATAGTTATATTAGATGACTGGATTATGGAATGATAAATATCACGAATGTAATGACTTCGGCATCAACTAGACCCGAGATTGGCTTACAGTGTCTGCTCATGTAGCCATTTCCGGAGTATGTATGTGGTCTGTGGCGTGCTGCCGTTTAATATCAGGACTTACTGAACAATCCCAGAAAGCGTAAGAGAAATGGGCGACAAGTCGAAATCTTCACAGCAACATATATATAAGGGAGGGGGTTTGATCAACAACTGATACATTTGTAACAATGTATTCTCTTGATTGGCTCCCTACCGAGCACGGCAGGGACCATTTTTCTGTTCACACAAAAAAAAAAAAAAAAGAAAAGAAAGAAAGAAAGAAAGAAAAGGAAAAGACAAAAAAAAAAGAAAAAAGAAAGGAAGGGCCTCCCCAAATTCATCGAACTAAGCGATCCTAAAAGTCAAACGCGAACATTTGAAACCAGCCTACATGTATACACCGGCTCTGTGTGACTCTGCCATAGAGTAGGATCAGAAATCTGACCAGTACACGTCAATTAGTGACCTACCTTTTGAAGTCTGTCCCATGAAACACACTGGCAGTGGCTCAGCGCTCCGCTCTGCCAGTCAACTGAACAAAGAGGATATCGGGGATCGTACCTGTGAAGCCCGGAAGCGCTGCTACGTTGCGAAAGAACGTCCTAATGTCGCTTATAATTGTAATGTTCCGGTAAAAACGATTTTGACTCGGGAGACTAGAAAGGCCCTGGAAGGAAAGGTTCCAAGTCTCAGAAGCAGATAAGTCAAACAGCTCTAGGTGCTCAAAGTGGAGACATTCGCCCTGTCCATGAGCGCACCGAGCTGATCTGGGAGCATCTGTTCTTAGCAAGAAGTACATGGTCCTTGGCAGCATCGGACTGGGGAGACTGTCTGGCGCGTGACGGAATAATGCGGACCAGACTGGGTTGACGCTCCGCAAGGTGTTGAGAGCGGTACTGACCGGGTCAACAGAGCCACGCTGGAGGTCCGCATTGACCAGTCGCGCGAAATCGGATGCTGGACACATGACACATGGTAGCTCCTCACCCAGGACCAAAGTGGCAGCCATGAGAGATCGATTAGCACCGATGAGATTCCGGTCACCCCCAAAGAAGACGATGTCAACTTGTGGGTTGATGTGATATCGGGCCAGTCCTAAGCGTCGGAGCCATGGTGTGTCCAGGTTCCGTTGAACCAACGAGCTAATCACGACGTGACTGCGGTGGGCAGCTGACAGAAGATTAGCGACATGGTTAGTTTCGGCTAGATACTGAGGGTTCGACACGGGCCAGCTTATAGTGACTTGCAGGTTATTGAGACCCAAAACCTGGTGTGATAGGGCTGGAGACGGCACGCTCGAGGTTCGTAGAACTGCGAGCCGGCGCTCACGGGGAGCCCAAAAAGCCCACTCCCAGACCTCTATCTGGATCTCAGTCGGCAACTCGAGGAACAATGGGAATTCCGTTGTCGCCACGGCTGTAACCGGGGATTGTTGCTCTCCCTCCTGGTTAGAGGACGATGATGCGTTCTGCGATGACATGTTGAATGTCGTTGGTGGCTTTCTGTGTGTGAGGGCGATGTGGCAGAAGGTGGATTTGCTGACCTGAGAAGGCTACCGAGATGAATATATTAGTACTCGGAACATAGAACAGGGCAATTGTTGTTGGCCAGGACGGATGACAAAGAAACCAGTAAGAGCTTTCAATATCTATTAGTACTTAAGTAGATCTCCATTGACGACAATTCCATTGTATTGTTCATGTGCCCCCCCCTCCCTTTTCGCACACAATGAAATTGTATCATGCCGAAGTCGGCGACAGCCTATAGTACCCGGGACAACCCATCTATGCTCATACAGTCGGATTGGTATCCCATACTGAGCACCAGGCATGATAATCGTGACTCAATCATAGACGAGTAAAAAGGTGGTATGCTATGTGTTTGCTGACTTATAATAAATAATTACCTATTGCAGGTAGATCTATTTTGGTAAACTACTCTGAGACAATCTGAGGCTGATTATATCTCTGAAGGTAGACGAAGTCACCGACCAAGGGGTCCATGATAGTTGCATAGTGAGTGCACTCGTTGGTGATGGGCCATGCCTCCACCCAGTTGATTAACTGAGACTCTGTCACGCTCAGTTCCGTATTTACTTCTTCATTATTGGCTTGTTTCCTACGTCGCCTGAATCTCTTCTCGGCTTCCTGCCACTTCGACTTGATGCAGTGTATCCTGTGTTGAGAATCTTCAACGAGCTCGTTCATTCCAGCGATGGCCAGCTTGGTGTTGTTAATACCGTGCGCAGCGGCTGGATCATTGTCCGAGCTGGTGTCATGGTTTGCAATGACGATGAATGATGTGCTTGTGCTGGTACAAGCGGTGACGCGATCCTTCTCCATAACCATCGTTTTGTCTCCATCACTGAAGGTCAAGTCGCCGCGGTCGATGGCAAGGACGGTATCCGGCGCTGTATTGAGGAGATTGTGTCGAGACGTCCATGCCCATCGCTGGGGTCGGGAGTAAGAAGAATGCTACGCAGGGTGGAACTGATTGAGGGTCTCCGGCCGAGCAACACAAGAACTCTGTGGTAGTGAAATAGCAGATTCGAGGCTCGTGAGTGGCTGTCGTTGTGGTAGGGCCGAAAGTTTAGCGACAAACTTAAGCCCGGCCTGACCGCAGTGAGCGCACCGACGAAACCAACATAGGTTATGGAACGGGCGATGACGGGCCCCTGAGGATCATTGACGAAATTAAGCTGTACCACCACTTCGCGAAGAGGGTCCATGTCCCAGTCCAGCGTCCGAAAATGTAGCATCCGTGACTGCCGGCCATTGCCCGCACCCCCTATCTTAGCCCTTGCCCCGCCGCTTGTGCACCCCATGAAGAGGTCCAGCAGCGTATTGAGGCAGACGAGAAGGTACATATCGACACCGCTTGCATCACTGATACCTCTGATCTCCTCGGTTTGTTCGTGACTGTACAGCCGCCTGAGTAAGAGCCTTGCAACCCGAGTAGTTGGCTTCGGAGGCAGCCCTGAGGCGGTGACGACCTCTCGGAACAGCTCGGTCAGATGCGGTATCTTCTCACGGAAGTCGCACACGACCTCGACGTATCTTTGAGCTGGTGGACGGGACAAATCAATGGTGTAGACGGGTACAGGATCCATGGCTCCCTCTTCTTGACATTTGGATTGAGTCACTTTGACATAGGGTGGAGGTATGAGGTGCGGAGAGCAGTCGTTTCAGGTTTGTCCGCGATGCAAAGGAGCAGTAAATGCCAACATGTTGCAATTCACTCTCTCCCAGAACCTGAAGAAGGAGCACAGTCACATAGCGATTCAACGGCACCTAGGCAGGCGTAGTCCTCCTAGCTTGAGGAGACTAGACTAGACTTGGGGTGCGAGTTCTAGGCAGCGGCCGCACGTGATCATGCCGTATCACGATATCATCCTGCCTGAAAGTTCGTGTCACGTCACTGTATGTACTTCGCTGATACCATGCTGCCTATTACCGGATGTTTTGTTGTGTGCTTGGCTGAGTGCAGAAATGTCAAGACAACAACGTCAAGTCACTTCTTGTTTGGGAATTATAAAGGGCACTTGAAAGCCGCGAGTAGGGATGGGTCATGGCGGCAGGTACGGGCGTCAACCTTGGAAGAGTCAAGTATGGACTTGCGTTTTCCTGGCAGCGTGAGTCCATACCCTGTCCTGGGTCAGTGGAAAACAGTCATAAGAATTCTGAAGTTGACGGTCATACGAAGATGGTCTAGAGCAAGCATCTGTACTCAAGTACTGCGTGGCGAGGTAGACAGGGCGATGCATGTTTCCTTTTTTTAAAATTCTCACCGGCCCAGACATATTTGTAAAGACGTGGCTCAGTGAAGTTATAATATTATTATATTCCCGCTCCCTACTTTGCTTTTATTGAGTGACCTACGATATTCAGTGCCGGTACTATATAGCGCCGCGGAAACGGGGAAGCTACCTAGGTACCCTAGGTTATATAAGTTCCCTATGGTCAACCCCCAAAGAGGCATAATAGGGAAAGGGTACAAGGCGATACTACTAAGTTAGGCTGCGGAACACCATGCCCCTAGCATTGAAAAATTAGCAACTTGGTTTCCCGTTTAGATTCCTCCAATGACAGCTTGTGTCCGGATAATAGGGCTCCTCGAACTATTGAAATGACGCAGTTTACCGCGGAAATAAGGTCCAAGCAAATATAAATGCAACGGCAGTCCCAAATGAAAAGTGAAGGGCTTAATTGGCATACATCTACCTAGGATACTAAAAGAGACAAATTTCGTTCGTTTTCACTTACCAACATGGCTCTGTCTTACTTTGCCGTCCGTTCTCTTCAATTGCTTTCCCTCAACGCCCCCGTTCAATGCCCGGTGGTGTTGGATGGCCGAATTCCCCAAAATACGACTCTCTCAGTATTCGACACAAATGCAAGCCCGTTCAACCCCGGCTACAGCAAGGGCCAAAATCTCTCATGGTCACAGATCCTCGAGTTTCCGACAGTTGCACCATCATTGTTCGATGCCTCGAATCTTGGGAGTTTCAAGCCCCTCGAGGTGACCATCGACGACAGGTCGATCTTCAACCCCAGCGGCACCAACCCGCAGCTAGGCTTCAGGAGGGCGGGTCTGCTGCTCGGAAACGGGTCCGATGCCTCCAATGAGGGGGTCATGACCTTCCATTGGAGCTCAAAGCAGGATCAGGAGCGACCGCTGAACCTTACTCATGAGTACCTCGCCGTCTGGCACGAGACCAACGACTCCTCCGCCGCGCAGTTTGCGCTGCAGCTCGGGCTGCCCCTGGGCTCCAACGATACATCTGAGGCAGTGTCGCACAGCTGGAAGATGCTGGATCGGAATAACAGCGTTGTCTTTACATCTCCCCTCAACTTTGAGGAGTGGGTGAACTTTGCTGTAACGGTCGACATCCCCAATAAGTAAGCATTTACACTGCTTTCTATACGATACTTCGAACCTAACACTTCCTAGCACACTCCAGGTCTACTTCTCCGAGGGTGCTGCACCACTGAAAGCTGTTAGTGAGGTGCTCCCTAACGACAACAGCGGCGGCGGTGCTCTCCAGATTGGCTTGCTCAAGAAGCCTACTGAAACCAAGACAGTTGTTTTCGACGGGTATCAGGAGAGCCATTTGAACGAGGGTCAAATTTATGGCGGTTTGTTTGTCGAGAACAGTGCCGACAACTGCGTCTCTCGCGGAGCCTGAGAAGTTTGACCGCTAGTTTGACAGCTTCATACCCCAGGATAGTACTCCGATGGATGTGTCATAAGTTGACCCAATTCAAAAGGCATAAGTTTATGTTACCCTGTCCGAGAAAAAAAAAAGAAGAATTGTGATCGGGACAGAGCTATTTCGACTGAGTTTGACCCTTCCTGCACTGGCGACTACCAGTAGACGGCTGTTCAAATTGATGACACATATTCCTTTCTGGCTCCTGAAGTGCCCCTTGGTCACTTCTCTGTACAGATTTATTGAAAATTTACCAGCGAGGTGAATGAACCTTTCCTTGCTCTTCCACTGCGAGTGGTTCCGGATTCTCTGACAATTCTTGATCAGTCACCCACCCGAAATGGACGTCGACCCGAGCACTCGAGGTCAATCTCCTCAAAGAACATAGCGGAAATCGGGATTCTCGAATTCTGTTTTGTCTTGCATCCCAGCTTCATCACTTTTCTGCTTATCGGAAGGGCCTTGTGTGCGATCCCGATATCGATTCATAGAAACCAGGTACGCTGAAGAAGTTCGAAATCAGTGTTTCCGTACATCCAGATATCGGACTTGAAAGGATGGGCAGCAGCCTACCAAGGAGAAACAAATGGCAGACAAGCTTGATCGTGAAGCCAATCAAGAGGCCGATCGTTGCGCTCCTATAATCTGGCGCCTCGGCTTGATTTACTACGAATGTCGACGCAAAATTTCCCCAGCAGTTCGCCGTACTATTGATGTTAGGCTAAGTAATCCTCGAGGTCGGCAAAATCTCACAAAGGACTATGCTTACAAAACAATAGCGGTAGCAGAGGCTCGGTGTGTGTAACCCCCCATGTTGGAGGAGATTGTTGTCAGGCTGATGGTGTAGCTCACGGACTGAAAGTTGACGAGCCAAAATGAGACCAGTCGGCCCCATGTGTTAGAGCGTGGAAGATATGCCGTCAGCGCAGCACAGACAGTGCAAATGACCCCGGCTACAGCAGCTGTTGCCAGCCGAGCTTTGGTCACAACAGGGTTAGCAACTCCATGGACAAATCATGCTTCGATCAGTATGACATACAATTCGGGACGTTCAGCGTGATCGCGCCTCCTATGAAGAGGGCGAGAATCTGAACAGCGTCCCCTACTGATTTCAACGCAGTCGTCTTGGTTGTTGTAAAGCCAAGATCCCTGATGATTACTGTCGAGAAAGATGTAATCACACCGTTCGGAATTGCCGCACCGGCGACGGAGACAAATAACAAGATCGTTTTGGGGTCATAGAAGGCGATCCAGGCCTGCTTCTTGTCGAAGTGCTTATTCTTGATACCCGTCCCATTTCCTGCGACTCTGGCGACTGCGACAATTCTTTCTCTCGGTGTAAGGAAGGAAGCAGCGGATGGATTATCCGGGAGGAGAAAAACCATGGCTATTCCCCAGAGACAACTAATTGCACCAAGAATGTAGAACACCAGTTGCCATTTTGGAGGGGACGTGTTGTCTGACATTTTGGAAACGCCCATTGAGATGTAGGAGTCCAAGATACCGCCCCAGCCAAGGCCGGAGAACCAGATGCACTGTCTGAGTGGGATCTCACGACGCGTGAACCAGAATCCTGTCATGAGAGTGAGACAAGGGATGACTGCTCCCACAAAGATTCCAGTGAAGAAACGCACGGCCAAGGCACTGCGATAATTCGTACATTGCGTCATCAAGATCGTCAGGACCCCCAGAGCCAGGATGCTGGTACTGAGCACCCTCTGCGCCGGGAACCGCCCGATGAGCCAACCGGCGGGGTACTGGCCGAAGAAGTATCCGGCGTAGACCATTGAAGACAGGAAGTTGAACTGGTAGCCTTGCAATCCGAGCGCCTTTTGGTATCCGAATAAGTTGACATAGTTCAGGGCGGTCCGATCCATTTGCTGAATAGCCTGGGTGACTAGGAAGATGGGAATGATCACCAGGTCGATCTTCCATCGTGTTCTCCGCTCATCAGAGGCTGTGAATTCGAGCTCAAGGCCAGCCACGTATTCGCTGTAGCCAACTGCACTTTTGATCTGCGTGGAATTGTCGGGCGTGGGTAGCTGAGATCCCTTTGATCTCTCATATGGGGGATCAACAACAGCCATGGTGACACGACGGAATATATGTGGCACCCAGTGAAGTGCGGTGGCAGTTGTAGCTGTCGATTCTTCTATGCTTTTCGCAGGATGATTAAGAATTGAATCAAAATTGACGCCGTCCTATTTTCCATATGCTCTCACACCTCCAAGATTACTTATATATAAAGTCGTACTTGAAAGCGTATCTAGCATTGTGCATAGGTGGTATCTCCAATGTAAGCCCCCGCTCCTCGGCGTGTAACATGCTATCTAATTCTGCCCATCATGGACAATTTCCAGCCAAACGGTAGTTCTCCTATTGGCCACCAAAATAGAGTGGTAGTATTGAAAGCACGTCGTAGAAGCTGACACATAGTTAGTTTTTAGACGACTTGCAGTTAGCTTCCATTCATCAGCATGCAATGCAGGTCCTCGAGCGTCTCACATTCCCTCATTTGGAGAGCTGGTTCAGAAGACCTCGGATTGTGCGACAGAGTTGGTAAGCATTTTGCGAATCTCTCGGTCACTCGCAGCACCTCAGATGCTCAAGTAATCTCTGCCTGCACCATGCGGTAAGATTTAAGACTCTAGTCGCCTCCGCTCGCCCAGCAAAACATGAATAGCGATCACCAGCCGGCAGCTTCCATCAGCAAAGCCGTGAGGTTCCGATCTAATTCTTGCGCAATTTCATTGACCCCCTCGTTCCCAAACTGTCCCATTGTGCTCCGCGGCCGGTCATACTCGAACATGGCGACCCCTTCCACCTCCCTCAGAAGAACCCTAATGGGGGCGTACAGCGTGACCCCAAGCTCATGGAAGCTCATCCGCGCGGCAGTGTAGGGATTTCCGATTTCATACTGCACCGCCTTCCCAGTCTTGTTCAAGGTGCGCACCAAATTCCCGAAGTTTCGAGGCGGCACGATGAAGGTGTTGAGCACGGGCAGGCTCTGAAGGGCTGCCAGTGCCCCGGCGACGTCTCCTGCGGCGAGAAGAGTGGAGTAGGTTGTGTTGATGGGCGGTAGTGAGGCCTCGAGCGCCATCCTTGTGTCTTCGAATGTACGATTGGACTTGATCGTCGTGTGCTCGATGGTGACTGACTTGGTGTTTTGCGCAGGATGTTGGGCCGAGGTGGCATTACCTAGGATAATACCCAAGGAGACAACAGTTAGCCATGATATGAGGCGCGCGAGACCATGCATGGCGATGGGTCGATTGTGGATCACTTTGAGATGAGTGTTTGATTCTGGAACGCTGTATGCAATTCAACACCTTGGATTTTCTGGCGATGGTGAGCACGGCAAAAAGCAAGGATCCCCGAGAGCGTGCTCTGTCACTTGAAGTAGAGGCGTGGCAGTGGGGCTAGCTTTGAAGGAAGGATTCACCGTCAGCGTTTAGACCCATATTTTCTCGGGAATTACTAGCGCTCTCCTGTTGATACATAGTTGTGATTTAAGAGGTTCGGGGGTGGATATTAATAGTTCAGTCCCTGTGCCAACATGGGAAGTTTGCAACTGACAACTGAAGGCAGGAGTTTTAATCCACACGCAGCAAGCAATGGTGTGGGGTGAGATTTACCGGAACTTGAAGTCCTCGACTGAACGAGCCACTCAGTGCTTACTAATAAGTAAATTATTACCGAAGTCTGTTCCACAGAACAACCTGGCGTTCAGGTGTTCCCACGACCAGGGGCTCTGCCTAGTGCCCGTCGCTACCCCAGCGTAGCGTTCATTCACACTACGAAGAGGGGTACTCTTATATCCTCTACTACTAATATCCCCTAATATAGCTAGAACCTCCTTACTTTTAAGTAACTATTTATATTAAATAGGTATAATAAAAACTTAATAATAAAGTTAGAGATTTTAATATTTAATTAATTAAGGATAAAGTTTTTAATATTATTATTTTAAATATTATTATTAACTTTTAAGTATTTATTTATTTATTAATTTAGTTTATTAATATATTAAATTTAAAAGAATAGTTAAAAGTATATTTATATAATAAAATAAGGAGGTCCCTTTTAAACTCTTTTTTTTTAAATAATATCCTACTTACTTTTTATTTTTAAAATTTATAAAAATCTATTAATATAATAATTTTATTATTTAATTTACTTTAATTAATTTAATTATTTAACTTTAAGTTATAATAATATAAGTTTTATATTCTATATAACTTTAATTTAATTTTAATATTAAAAATATTATTATTATTTTAATAAATTTAATAATTTATATAATTTTATTTTTAAATATAAAATATAAGTTTCTATTTCTATATATTAATAATATTTAATATATTAATAAATATAAAAGCCCTAATAATTAAAAGTTCTTTTATACTTTTAATTTAAATATTATTTCTATACTTATTATAAAGTAAAAGAAATTAATAATTATAAATAATATATTATAAATATTAATTTATATATTTATATAATTTTAATATAAAAGAATTATATTATAAAAATTAAAAGATAAAAGTAGTATTTATTATTAATAAATTATTAAAGAAATTAATTTAATTAATTAAAATCTTTTAATAAAACTAACTTAATAATACTAATAAAAGTTAATTAATTAACTAATTTAATAAATTTTTTTAATTTTATAAATCTTATAATAATAATTATAATATTAACTTTTATAACTTTTAAACTTTAATAATAATATATAAAAGTTAGCTTTTATTACTTTAAGTTAATTTATAATTTAAATAAAAAAGTTAATAAAAGTTTTAAGGTAAATAAAAAAATAAAATACTTCCTTTAATAATTTAATATTTTTAATAGTTATATTATTAATAGTTAAAATTAAAGTAATTAAAAGATTATATTATAAAAATAACAAAAATATAAATTATATAATAAAAGTTCTTATTATATAATAAATTTATTAAAAAATTAATAAGTCTTTTATTTATTAAAAGTTTAATATTTAATTAAATATTAAAATTTAAAATATTTAAAAGTTTTTAATAAGTTTTAATTTATTTAATAAGTTTATTTTTAAATAATAAAAGCTTTATGAATTAATTATTTACTTTTCTTTTAATAAAGGTATAAACCTACCTAAATATATTTTAAAATAATATAATAACTTTATAATTATAAATATAATTTATTAAATTAATAAATTATTTTAATATTTATTTATTTTTAATAATTAATAATAATAATAAATAATATCTTAAAATATTCTTTTAATTTAAAATTAATAAATATATTTAATTAAAGTTTTATTAAATATTATATATAAATTAATATTTAATTAATAATTATATTAAATAATAATAAATAATTTAATAATTAAATAGAAAGTAATTTATTAATTTTTTATTTAAAAGTTTTTATTTATTAATATATTTTTTATTAAAAGTATTAAAAGTTATTAATTTATTATTATTTTATTTTATTAAAACTATTAAAAATTATTAATATTTTAAGAAGGTATTATATATTATAATTAATAAAAGAATATTTAAAAGTATTAAAAATAGTTATAATAATTTTAAATAAAGTAAAGTTTAATTATATATATAAATAATTAAAAATAAGTTATTAAATAATTATAATTAATAAATTTTATAAATAAAGTTAATTTATTTTTAATTAATAAAATAAAATTAATTTACTTTAAATTAATTATTTTTATTTATATATTTATAACTTTTTTAAAGGTTTTATAAATATTTAAAAATTAAGATTTTAAAGTAATATTTTATTATTTAGTTTTATAAAAGTAATTTAATAATATTTTTATATAATATATTTTTAATAAAAAATTAAATAATATTAAAAATTTAAATATTATTTAAAATTATATATTATTATTTTATTTTAAAGTTTTAAAGTATTTATTATTAAGTTTTTAATAATAAATTATTAAATAAATTAATAAAATAAAATAATAAAAGAATTATAATAAACTTACTTTTATAAAATTAATATTTAAACTTTTAAATATTTTTATAAAGAATAATACTTTATAAAAACTATTTATATAAACCTTTAATAAAAATATAACTTTAAGAGTAAATTAATTTCTCTATAAATTATATAATTATTTATTAAAATCTTTAAAATAGAAAATTAAATAGTTTTATAATAACTTTAAGAAAACCTTTTAATTAATAAAAGTTTTATTATTAAAATTTTTAATAAAAGTAATAATAAATAAATTATTAATTATTAATTTTAATAATTAATATTAAATTAAATAAATTCTTTTAAAGTACTTTTATAATAGTTTAATATTAAGCCTATAAACTATTAGAATAATTAATTAAATAAATTAGTTATTATAGTCTTTTAGCTAAGTGGTTTATTACACTAATAGTTAATAGAATTTCTATAGATCTATCTTAATAACTAATTTAAAGGGTATAAATTCAAGCCTCTATATTTAAAAAGATCTTATTTAAAGTATTAATAGGCTAATAGGTATAGTATTTATAGTTTATAATTATAGTGCTAAAATAGGTTGTTTACTCTAATAAAGTAGCTTAAATATATTATAAATATCTATCCTATTTAAGAGATTTTCAAACCTCTTATAGGCACCTAATCTATCTTTAAACTATCTAAGTACTCTATAAAGCCTTAAGGGGAATTATAACAGTCTAATATTAAGCCTATAAACTACTAAAATAATTAATTAAACAAATTAGTTATTATAATCTTTTAGCTAAGCGGTCTATTACACTAATAGTTAATAGAATTTCTATAAATCTATTTTAACTTTTTTATTAATTTCTATTAAAAAATTTATAGAATAATTAATTTAACTATTTTAAATAATTATAAGAATATTTTTATAATACTTTATATATATTAGAAATCTATAATAATATAAGTTTATTTATAGAGATCCTTTTAATAAAATTAATAAAAATAAAGATTTATAAAATTATTATAATTAATATATTAATTATTATATTTATTATTAAGTTAAATATAATTATATATATATAATTAATTAATTTATAATTTTATACTTTAAAATTCTTACTATTAATATTTTATAATTAATTAACTATAATACTCTTTATACTTATACTTTATAAATAATTAATAATTTAATAAATTATTTTATTAACTTTTAAAAGTAAATAATATAAATAATATTTATAATATCTTTTAAAAAGTAAATTAACTTTTAATATTCTTTTAATAATTAATTAATTAATAATAACTTAAATATATAAATTAAATATATCTTTAATATAATAATTATATCTTTATTTTTATATTATAAATTATTAATTACTTATAAATTAATTTAATAATAATAATATTAATTTACTTTTCTTTATTAATAAATAAAAAAACTATATATAAACTTAATAGTATACTTAAAGTTATATTTAATATAATTCTTTTTTAATTATAATTAATTTTTAATAATAATTATTAAAGAGAATATTAGGGTAAATTTAATATTATAATAAATATTATATATTTTATTTAAGGGAGTATAGTTAATTAGGGGCCCCTTATTAGAGTTGTAGGAAAAGTGGGTAGTAGAGGATATAAGAAAGGCCCTATGAAGAGCGATAGGGGGATCCATGGCAGAGCCTGGCTCACTGCGGACATGGATACTGCTTCAGATTCTACAGGTCTCTCCTATCATTCATCTTGACCTCCCGAGATACGACAGTTCGAGTTGTGCCGCAAAAGATTTAGGAAGCAGCAGCACGTGTCTATCTCGTAAGAGGCCGAGTAAGCGGACCCATACAGGGTGCTCTTAAATTATCGTCCCTAGGTGGTTTCGTTTTTTTAATCCCTATATATATAAAATATATATAGCGTCTTTATATAGTAGTAAATATTTAAAACCTAGTGTTTAAAGAAATATAGTGTTAATAATAGTAAAAAGAGAATATAATATATAGGTATATAGTTAAGCTTTATATTATATAAATAAAATTAAAAGGTATTACTCTTAATAATACTATACTAAAATTATTAATATAAGTAGCTTAAGGGCTAATTTATTATAATAAGTTAGTAAAATAGTTATATAATAAGATTAAAATAGTCTTAAAATAACTTTTATAAAAGAAGAATCCTATAATATAAGATTTAATAAGTTAATTTTTCCTTATTAATATATTTAATAATTATTTAAATTTACCTTTATTAAGTAAATTAGTATAGTCTTTATTTTAAATATATAATTAATAGAATAGTAATATTATAATAATAAATCTATTTAAGAAAACCTTTTATATAAATTTTATAAAAAATTAAAACTTTTTAAAAAGTTAAATAGAGTTTATTTACTATATATTAAATAAATATTATATTAGGAAAATAGAAGTTTAAGTACTTAAAATTAAATTTTCCTCCTTTAAATATACTATTTTATTATTAAGGATTTATTTATTTTTATATAATATATAAGGAATATAGTAAAAGAGGGAGCCTTATAGAGGAAGCTAATAACTCTATATATAGATATATTTAAAAGTATATATTAAGTAATTATTAACTTTATATTTAAGGTATTAACTAATAGTTAGTTTGAAAGCTAAGAAGACGATAAATAGATAAATATATAGTTAAATAAAAAATATAATATAGCTGAAGCCAATTATCGTCCCTATACCGACGAAAACCCGGACAGAAACCAGGAACCAACAACCAACCGTCAACAACCTACAGCCAACAGATTGAACCCATAGCCGCCTCTCACGTCGACATTGAGGCGCTTTGCAACAAAACATCCCATACGAGCCTCATCGATCACTTTCACGGGAGCTATGCGGTTACCCCAGCCGCGATGGCAACCACCAGCCGATCCTGCCAGAATACCATGTCCATATGTCACGAACTTCAAGGTGACGATCGAGGCCCACACTCCTCCACCGCCATTCGGCCACCGAGAATACCGAGTTAACAACCACATCCGGCCGCACAGTCTTCCCGAAGAGGAACACAGAACTATGACGAAGACGCAGGTCATTCTCGCGGAGCCGCCCATGGATACCGCTGGCCCTGAAAGTCCGCGTCAGACCGCGAAGCTGATCATCACTGAGCCCATTGCCACGGGTCATGATCACGAATCACAGGTCGCTTTCGTTCGCATCACACCCGAGGAGTCGACCGGCAAGCCACCTTTTGTAGCCACAGCTAAGATTTTCGACCTGATGTACTACCCCTTTGAGATAGAGGAGTTTTTAGGCCATCCTCAGAACGTGAGCTATGATGCCGACCGCGAGTATAGCCGCGAGGCATCTGCTCTGTCCTATACCACCCAAGTCGGCCTAGCTGGTGGTTTCGTGCCGGAGTACTACGGCTCGTGGACATTCAACCTCGACGTACCTGGGTCCCGGGTGACCAGACCGGTTCGCCTGGTCCTGTACGAACAGATCCGCGGAACGAGTCTATACAAGCTATACCGCCGGTATCGCAAGGGAACCGAGGAGCACTTTGACGCGTTCCATGTTCCAGAGAAGTACAGGCTTGAGGTATTTGCCATCCTGCTAGACGGCGAGGTTAGGTTACTGCATAAGGGCCTCTCTCAGATGGACCTCGCGCCGCGCAATGTCATTGTATCGCCCGCGCCGGCGGTAAATGACCCCGAGCCGGTGGTGGAACGCGTCACGTTGATTGATTATGCCAACTCAATTGTATATCCATTATCTAGGGACAAGCAGCACCCACATCAGAAGCTTACTCTTCCAAAGAATCCAATGGAGTACTACCGTCGCGGAGTGGCAACTGAATTCGATGGGTGGGTGTCGGATGATTTCCCAGACTATGAAAAGTGGCTCCAAACGACGTTTGGAAGAGAGGATAAGGTTGCAAAGTACGCACCTGTCACTAAAGACCTCCCCGAAGAATGAAATGATCACCCGACTTTTCTGTTATCTACAGTCTCTAAAGTGATCGAAATATTTTTTCCCCTACTTTGCACGGACTTTGATTATGCCAACGTCATATCCCCCTCAACTCGTCGGTATCCCTAGGTATGTACTTGTAGTGACCGTACGTAGGGTATTGGTGACAGAAACATTGAACATCACATAGGGAGGGCGAAAGAGGCATATAAACATTCCATCAATCTGAGAAATCTATATATTCTGAGAGACACCAAACGATCGAGATTGCCGAACCAGGGCAAACGAAGGTGCTGTATACTGTATCTGGACTTTGCCGTGATGGACCAAGTCAATGCACGAAAATGGTTATTTGCCATGCCCTGTCAAATCATAGAGGTTGTGGCCATAAAGGGGTCTTGGGATCTACTGTTGTTAGTAGTAGGTAAGAAGAACCGAGATCCATGGGTAGGCAATTCATTCTTATGGGTTCACAAAACCTGTAGAGGGGATCGCTGACATTTGAAGTATGACTTTGCTCCCCTTCCATTAATGAACCGGCAAAAATGAACGGCTACGAAGCGTGACGCTGTGGGAAATTTTTAGGGTGTGAGTCACATAATCTTACAACGACTTTGTGGATTCTTCATCATAGAAATAAAGGTGAGGCTGGTGGATCCAGCACAGCTTGATTGTAGGGGCGTTCACGGTCATGCAGCATGGGGGTTAGCGCTAACATAAAAAGCATAGCGTCTAGAAACTGGCTTTTGAAGGTAATAGTGTGGACAGGGGCGAACCGAATCTGCCCGTCTGTCCGCCTGCCTCTAATTTGGGGTGATCTTGCGGCTGAGGTGCTCATCTGGCGAACGCCACATTGAATGTTTAGGCGCGGAGGGTGCTTATCGTCGAATCATGTCGGGGCCTAGGAACACCAAGGCACCTGGAAATGCGAGATTAGCCGGGGTAGGAATCCCTCCTGCAGTCACACTATCAGTCTTTGTGCCACGTATCGCGGCATGCCGCTGCTTGTCCACGCGAGCAAGGGATTATAAGCCTCAACATTGTGCTCTTCTCGTTCGGTCCCACACACCCCGACAGATGTACGAAGAGCCCCGCCAGTCGTAATGAAGACCACCTCTGCGGTTTCACAGCATCCACTTATTAGCCTTTTTGTCACTGCTCTCCTGCTGGTTCATTCAGTATCTGCTCTAACATTTCCAGAATGTAGAAAAAAAGTATTGGGTTATCTGAATGGCTCAAGTGATGTGAATGGCCAGATCTTCATTGATGGATACGACTTCGATCTCGTCTACCATGGCTCTCTGCGCGGGTTCAGGGGAGATCCCGGCACCCGCCCGCTGACACTGACGAAGGAGGGTTGCGACATCATGTGCGGTACGACGCCGGATTACTACAGTGTGACAGACGCATTTCAGATCCTCACAACTTGGATATTCCCGACCCTGGCTCTCATGAGCCAACTACCGTACGAGTCGCTTTCTTACAGGAAGATCAAGAACGCAGAAGCTTTCGCCAACTGGATAGGCGCGCCAGCAGCCGCACTGACAACTACGATGTGGAATATCATGATGATCGCGAGGTGCCAGTCTTTCCCATACTTATTTCATCTACGCGACGACCAGGACTTGATCAAAGACGCGCTGTATATACTGAGCTGCATCAACCAATATCAGTATCCACGTCGGAAAAGCAACCGGGAGGAAGACATGCGGAGAGACACGGCGTTACTCAGAGGCATTCTGTTTCCCTACGTTCGTAGGGATAGCCCCGAGCTCACACCAGCCATGCGCCAAAGACTCGTGCATCTCACGAAACATCTTGCCTTCCATCTGCGGCAGTATCGGCGCAAAGGTGTCTATCCAATGTGAGCAGGGGTCCACTTTCTTTGAATGTCGCACAACTCCTCCATTGTCCAATCTTCTCGGGTCGGACTTCATTCAGGATCCGCAGCAAATTTCTGACACAAAGCAGTTACATCAGCATCATCTGGTTCGGTATTGCGTTCGCCTTCTCAATAGTTATTGCATTTGCCACACTGGGAGACAACTCGACGGCCCACTCTTTAGCACTGGGGCTTCTCCTCTCATGGGTCCCAGTGGTAGTGTTCGCCTCGGTGGTCGACCGGAACCCAACCTCGGACACACGATGCAAGGTGCTCATTGAGCGGTGGATGTACAATATCGACCTCCTCTTCGAGCAGGGCGTGGAGGCGTGGGTACCATGGCGGGCCCCGGACGGCACGCAAGACGGGGACGAAACGGACGATTTTGACATCGGGTCCTTCATGGGCCAGGGGCGCACGCTGCGGTACTGCGGGGTGACTGATACTGTTCTGGACAAAATTGCCAACCGCGGCAAAGCGCCCATCAATCTGCTGGCATTTGCCGACCGAGACGACTTCCTCAAGTTTCAAAAGTCTCTGACGATCCGCCCGGCGGGCTGGTACGTTGTATGGCTGATCAGCCAGTTTGTTGTCACCACCAGCTTTGCGATGGCATTCATGGTCTCCTTCAACACTCCAACGGTCGGTCTAGGCTGCCGCTCACTGATGTACGTCGTCTGGTACGCGCTCACACTTCCTTCATGGATCCTTCTCGGCATACAACAGGAGCCGTGGGTCAACATCCGGAAAGCCATGATGGTGCCCAACGCTCTTGCAGTTGTTATGATCGCGGGGATAATGACAGTGCATGCAATCGGCGGGTTGAATAACTGCACATGCAAGTCGAGCGTCTTTGGTACGTCAAACTACGGAGGTTACATGGATTTCGAAAACGGGCAGTTTTACCAGGAGCACTATGATGTGCGCGTGTGGTGGGGAGTAGGGACCGGGGTTGGAGGTGCAGTCCTTGTTCTGTCGCTTGCTTGGCTCGCTTGGAAATGGCACAAGGCATCTGGGCTTTGGAAGGTGACTGGGGACACGAAGCTGACCGTCAGCGACGAAATGCCCTTGCAGTGGTTGACTTAATGGAACGTGCGGCGAAGAGTCGGTGATATTAATGCAGATTAAACCACCCGCAAATTCTCAGGGTCAGAGGCATAATTCATGCGCACTTGACACCGAGTGTGTAGTGATAGGTTAGTACTCGACGACTAAAAAGCGTCTCGATAATACAGTATTCACAGCAATGATGTGACCCATCTACGTAGCAACCTTGGATTTCAGACTCTGTCCTTGTCGCTGATTGAATTCTGTAAAATTGTATTCTAAAAACAGGCAGCCGCGGAGCTCAGATACAATAGATGATTCTGTCCTGAACCCATATTCATCCCGAACATTGAAGACGTACGGCCCCTCCACACAGTGATAAATGCTAATGCCCAGCGTGAAAGGCAAGATTCAACCTCATTTTACCTCTTAGTGAGAAGGACGTCACCAGCCTACACTGGCACACCCTAGGGTCCATACCTATACCGAAAACTAATTATCATTTTGCGTATGTAGACCGCTCTACAGACTTCTTCGACTGTGAAGCGAAATTACATGAATTCTTAGAGATACCGTCGCAAACCAGCACAGATGCAGTGAATCTGTGCTGTTTTCGTATGTATTTCAAATATTATTCTTATTGTACTAGCACCCTTTTTTAAAGGCTAACATCGAGTGGCTATTCAGACTTTGGGAATGAGTCCTTGTACCTGAGCAGATACTCGCGAAAACCGGCTGGCTTTCTTCCCGTTAATCTCTCCACGGCGTCCGTCGTCTTCTTCATGTGGCCCCCGGCAACTATTTGCCCACGGCACAGCAGATCCAACATGCACACTTTGCAGGGCGTCTTCGAAAAGTCCCCAGTCACATCATAGGGCAAACCCTTTGCTTTCCACCACTTCTCAAGCGCCTCGTCGCTCAGATTCTCGAAGGTCCCCTTGTAGCCACTCTGGTTCGCCATCCACTCGAAAATCTCCCTATTTGTCACAGCCTCGGGCCCAGTGACGGTGTAGACCGTATTAGGCTCGCCCTTGCCCATCAAAAGCGCACCTAGTACGCGCCCACAGTCATCTTTCGCAACAAAGGCGGCCTTCTCATCGGCATCATTGGACAACCACCTATCGCCAGCAAAGCCCCAGCTTTTCACGTACAGCTGCGGGATCTTATCCATCTGCAGGTAGTTCCGCTGAATGTTGTATTCCAAGCCACTCTCCCGGATCAAAGCCTCGGTGAAAGCGTGGTCCCGCGATAGGAAGGGCATGTCCTCGCCGCCGTCGCCGAGGTCAGCCCCGACGAAGCTCGTGTAGACGATGCGCCGCACGCCCGCGGCCTTGGCGGCGTCGATGACGTTCTTGTGCTGCCTGCGCCGGCCCTTGCCGATCTCCCAGGTGGAGATGAAGGCTACGGCCTCGGCGCCAGCGAAGACGCGCACAAGATGGACTGGGTCGTCATAGTTGAGCAAGAAGAGCTTGGCGCCTTTGGCATTGGCCTCGGCCATGAGGTCGTCGTTCACCCAGCCGGGTCTGTGGCTGGTGAGGACAAGCTCGTCCTCCGGGCCGAGGAGCGAGAGGGCGTGGGAAGCGGCTACGCTGCCGAGGTTTCCGTCGCAGCCGGCTAGGACGTATTTGCGCATGGTTGCAATGTCTCACTTCAAACACATGAGGGGAGGTTGGTACTTTGTTCGGTGATGAGATGATCACTGGAAGGGTATGGTGTACATGAACTAGTTATGATCCTTGCGCCGAAGCACGGTGTGGGATAACGGGCGTGAGAGAACCATTTTATAGGCCAAATCCACGTGAATGGACCGGATGGAAGTGAACCTTGTGACATGAAATGGGGGTCCTTTTCCCCGTGGAGAACCAGTGCACGCTGCAGTTGTCTCATGAGCAAAATCGGCCCTAGAAATCGCGGGGACGTTCGCTGCGGGTGACAATCATGCCACTTTTAGCGGATCTCATGAGGTAAACAAAAGTCGCCCCACGAAACTCGCCTGGGCTTCCATCGATGATTCACGGAATGCTCAAGAGCGACAATGACGGCACGGTCGTAGGGAATGTTCGACTGGTCGTTTTGCCGAGCAGGAAATACAGCAATCCTGTTGCTGGTCAAGATTATTGTTCCTGCCGGTCAGTCGCCGCCGATTTTATATTGGGCCCCGGTGACTGACATAGCTTGGCATGACATGTCAATTCCTCCAGTACATGTACCCATTCAGAACCATGAATCCCGCAACGACCAAGCTTATACGCCTCAAACTGACAGCAGCTTGTGGTGCGCATTATGCGAGGTCGCATTGTAGTTTGAGAATGGTTTGCTTTATTTTCCATTTCCTCAGTCATGGGAGAGCCTGCTAAACTCATTCGCTCTTATTTACGATGCAGCACCCTAGGGTAGGTACCGACAATGGGTATTTCCGGGGTGAAAGCACCTCTCCTGCAAGCCAAGAACAGACGCCCTCCTACCGGTCCTCGGCTTCCAAGGGTCTGCAGCACCCTGACCCCTGTCAATGAATTCGCAAAAGCATGTTCCGCATCATCGGCATCAACAAGCCCGGCGAAGTCCACCCACCCATACTCGAAGCCTCTACCGTGTAGTTAGAAGCTTCAATCATTACCACATCACCAGACACCTTCAAGATATTATGGGGAACAGTTCTGATAGTCTAGAATTTGAAGAACCCCAATTTATCACCCTGCACTGGCAGCAACTTGAACTGTCCCCACAAATGTTTTAAACAGAGGTCATCCTAGGAAGCTATACCCCAAGAGGTAACTAGTCCTATAAGCGCTGTTCCGATAGGGGATTATCCTCTTGATGGTTGGCATATAGGAGGGTAAACTGCGAGAGAGGTTTGCTTGTGAGTATGTCCTCGAAGCCGTCCCACAAAGGTCAGGTGATTTATTCCGTCGCCATGTAGCAGACAATCGAGCAAACGTTGTAGGTACATCGGCCGCGTGGTCATATGGTTACCCCCACCGCAAATTATCTCCTGCCGTTATGCTGACGGGGCTGGCCGTAGTGCTGACGCTATTCAATAGTCTCGGTGTTGGCATGATGCACACACATTGACAAGTTTGATCGCAACGAGGCTGCCGAAGCAACATTGAAGCTGGACGGCATCCAAGAAAGCCCTCGCAGCAGTACAGACCCTGCAGTCATGTCAGAGTCAGCAATACAACAGGAAGATGACTGCATGGAGTCGGCTCAAGCTGAAGCCTTGCGAAGCCGACACCGAGCTGAAAGACCCCGAGGGTTATAAAAGCCTTCTGGGAAGACATGAATATGACATGATTAGGGCCAAATTTCTCACCAGATATCATCACTTCCCGTTCACAAAATCACAGTCCATCCGCACGTATGGCTGAAGAGAGTAGGCTGGTGTATAAATCTGACGGCGGCCGCAATGTGGCAGACATCTGGAATGATGCAATTCGCCAGTACCAAGGCATCGGAGGCAAAGATCTCAAGGCCGGCTATGCTCGATTCAAAAGCGTCGATGCCATGATCGACTTTGGCTGTAAGGAGATGGAGGCCTTCCACGGATTTCGCTACGATGGTTCCAAAGTGTCCAAGCTGCGAGGTCTGTTCAGAGACAGCATGGGCCTCATCGAAGGCGGTATGCAGCAGGTTGTCGCTGCAGCCACCCCAGCTTTCCCCCCAGCTGCTGCAGTTGGTACTGCCCTGACCATTATGTTGAGTGTGAGTGTCGCCAACTTTTATATGATGTCCAGATGACTCCACGGTAACTGACCTTGAAACAGGCCTGCAAAGATGTCGGCGCAGACTATGACGTTGTCACGACTTTTTTCGTTGACTTCACCATGTTTTTGAAGCGGATGAAGATTCTTGAGAACCGACTTCCTGAACAAGGAGCATTTCATGACTGCGTTTTCGATGTGTTTGCATCCCTGTTGAGGATGTGTGGAATAGCAACGAGGTACATCCAGCTCAAACGCTTCAGTAGGTCTTGTTCCTCAATCCAATCACTGTGTTGTCCAAATAAAATACGCGGCTCATTAAGTGGTTCTCAGAAAAATGGGTGTCAAACCTATTCAAAGGAGGCGACCCGGAGCTAGAAAATGCGAGAAGCAACATGGACAAGACAATGAGCAATCTGCATGACGCAACAGAGAAGGCGATCCTTGGCAACACTGTGGATCTTCAGAGGTCCAGCGGAGAGACACATGTGCTTTTGCAACAGATGGAACAGGAGTTGCAGCAAAATTCAGATGCTTCAAGAAAGATGATGGAGGAGCAGCGCTCAATGATGCAGGAGATCGCTGAGAAGCAAAACTCCATCTACCACGACGTCAAGCAGCTCCTCCAGTTTGAGATGGACCGCCGTCGGAACGAGCCCCTTCCAAAGCAGAGTGGTGCTAAAGCGTCTGGAGTTGGTAATAAACCACCCACATCCAATAGCGTGCGCAACCTTCTTGGATGTAGCACAGATCCCGACAAGGAGTACCAATCCCTGCGTCGCTCTCTGATACCGGAAACCGGAACATGGATATTCGAAGAGCCAGAATGGAAATCTTGGGTTGAGCCGGGTGAGGGAGGTGATGTCTCGCCCATTCTCGCCGTGGCAGGGCCCCGTGGGACCGGCAAGAGCCACCTAGCCGCCTCCATCTACGACCGACTGAAGCGAGATGCCGGCGAAAATACGTGTGTTGCCCACTTTTACTTCAGAGAAGACACAACTGACTTGGAATACTTCTACAACGCAATCAACTGGGCTGTCGTTCAGGTTGCTGAGCAAAACGCTACTCTCTGCGACAGAATCAACAAGGAGACGACCAGGGAGGATCTGGAATGGGACTCTGACGACTGGGAAGATGTCTGGGAGCATTTTCTCAAGCCATTGTTCCTCAAAAACTCAAAATACCAGCTGAGGATCGTGCTTGATGGGATCGACGAGTTGCCAGAGCTTGTTCATCGAGGAGAACTTTTGGAGTTTCTGAAGAAGGTCAGTGAGGTGAACATTAACAACGAGGCAAACATCAGGATTGTCTGCACTCTCAGAGATGTCAGAAGCGACAAGGATGACCTTTTGAGGCAACTTGAGAACATCGGAATCACATCTATTAGTGTAACGAAGGAGAAGCAAGGACCGGATACCAAAGCGCTGATCTGGGCCCACCTCAACAGCGACAGCGGGTTGAAGAGATTTGACCAGTACATCAAGCAACGGATTGCGAAGAGGATCGAGGAGGCTGCTGACTGTATGTTCCAGATGCTACCTGGGAATATGTGTTGAAGCTGATATGATTACAGGTATGCTTTACATTGAGCACATGCTGCGCCATTTCAGCATGATCGGGCGTGAACCTCTGGTCCTCAAGCAGCTGGAGCAGTCTATGCCAGCAAGTCTAGAAGACTGCTATGATCGCATCTTGCATGGGCTGGAGCAGAGGACAGTCAGTTCGCAGCGGGAAGACTTGAAGTCATTACTGGCCTGGTTGTCCTTTTCGTTCAGACCCCTGTCGCTGGCCGACTCGCTCCAGCTTCTGAAGACTGTTTACAAGTCCTCTCTTGATTTAGAATCCGAGCTTCAGGGAAACCAGCTTGCTAGAGTGCTGAAGATCGCCGACCGCGACGAGCATCGATCATCGGACAACGACGCAGGAGAAAAGGAATTCAACACCGATGAGAACCCGGACGCGAAATATAATGACCGCGATCTACCGCTTAAGTTTCAAGGCCGATCTATGCGCGACTATTTCCAGCAAGCAAAGGACATCACTGAGGGTCTTAGGACACCCGAGACTATAGCCCATAGAAAGTTATTCCTCGTTTGCTGCGACATCATTTGCGGCAAGATCGAAGTGGAAGACGAAGGTCTGCGAAACTACGCAGCCCACACATGGGGCTACCATTTGAGCTGGACCGGACTCACACCCGAAACAAATGGCGACAGCATTGCATGCCTTGAGGGCCTCGGGAAAATAATGACAAACGCCAACGGGGCTGCGTCTTTCATGCAACACCATGGAGTCGACTACGAGGAGTTTCACTCAGACTTTGCGGACGATTTTCCCATCAAGGACTTTGAGGGAGACCTACTCATATCGCATATAGCACACTTCGCTAGTTTGATCTCGAATTCAGACAGCGATCTACTTAGCCCGGGTACCAGAGCTTGGGCAAAAGACACGATCGAGGACAAAGGGAATGCATTTGTCTCTCTGTCAAAGGCCCACATCGCCGAATGGCTACAAGCAGCGGACACTGAAGCCGCTATGACTGCATACAAATTTGCAAGGTCATGTATTGCAATGGTCAGCATACCAGCTGCATTTATTTTCTTTTTACCACAAACAAGATGGAACGGGCTACTGACTGATGTGTATGAACTTAGACTGGCCAGAACCACCTATATAAGAAGGTCACTGCCAATGATGAAGATGCCACTTATGACAGAGAAGAGACGCTCGGGTTGCCGGGGGCGTTTGGCAATACAACCCAGACCTTGAATGCGGCATGGGCTACAGCCGCGATTCTCGAGCACGCGGGGCACAATGAGGATGCCCTGAGTGTCATATCAAGCCTGGTGGGTGACTTGAATGACGACACGGATCATTCAGACAGATTCAAAGCGCTGCATCTCCTTGCTCAAATACAGAGCAGCCTGAAAGATTATGCAGCCGCACATGACTCTATCACGAGGGCCCTGTCCCTTCAAGAAAGGATATCACCAAATCACCTACGACGCGCTCATATCACTCAAGCCAGGATATATACTAATCTGGAAAGGACTGATGATGCAGTCAAGTCGTACGAAGCAGCCAGGCAGTCCGTGCCGAATGATCCTTTAAAAGGGGAAACTCTGCGCTACGAATTCGACGCCTGGAACGACAAGGGCAAAGCCTTGGACCTCGTAAGGCACAAATGGTCACATCAGGAGAGGCTAGGATGGGTGACCTGGAACTACAGCACAGACGATTCACATCTCCATGACCTGGTACTCGCATGCATTGACGCGAAGGAGCCGCAATTCCTGGTCGAGGTCTACCAAGAAACCATTGCCATCCTCGACCACTTCGGCGCTGGGGCCGTGCTGAGGATCAACCTCGCGCAATGGTATTCCATGAACCAAGACCTTGCCTCTATGAAAAGAGAGTTATACGCCATACTTGACAGCACCCTCAGCAGCGAGAACAGCGAGTACTACCGCTTCACGAACGAGCATCCGGATTACGTGTTGTGGCGCGACACCTCCATGCTCATTGATGGCATCTACTCACAGTTCCGCGCCACCGCCGACAGGACCGCCAAGGCTCAACTGTTCGCCGAAGGAAAGGCAATAATGAGCCGGCCTCTCGCCCGCGAGGTCACGCTGCAGAAATCGTGCCAGGTCCACCAGAAGTTGACCCTCGCGAGGATGGCACTTAAGATGGGCCCTCTACACGAGTTCGAGGACTTCCTAAAACAGGCATTCGAGTTCACCATCGACGCACTGGTGGACGATGTGTCGTGGAACGACCGGAACAACCTAGAATCGTTGTGCAAGATATTATCCTGCCTCGAAGGGCTCGAATGGGATGCACAGATTGCACTGTCGGCGTGGTTCTCTAAGCTCGACCCTGGGGACCAGAGTTCCTCCCAGGCCAATGACGCAGACGAGGACAGCGACCCAGACAAGGACAACGATCCAGACGAAGACAACGACCCTCAGTCGGAGAACTGGGACCCTTTGCCCGATGACGAGGGGGACCTGACAGGATACGTCATGTCCTGCTTGTCCCCGCGTTGTGAGGCTTCGTGGCGGGCCTGGAAGGGAAGGAAGATCTACAACTGTCTCTATTGCTGGGACATGATACTCTGCGAGGACTGCTACAAGAAAAGGGTGAGTTACGACGAGGGCACCCCGATCCCCCCTGGTGAAAGTTTCTGTGGGAAGAACCACAAATTCTTGGGCCCAGTGGATGGTTGGAAGGGGATCACCAACGGGATTGTGACTATCGAGGGCCGAGAGCCATTTGCGTTCAAAGACTGGCTGTTAGAACTGAAGGAGAAGAAGTGGCCACGTGCTTGGGAAAACTTTTGGATCAACTGACATCTCCTTGTCCACCTGTGCACTCAGCCCCCTATCAACTATTTGGTTGCGATGCATCAGTCTCAACTTTCTACATACTGAAGTAGGTAGATAGCCTCCATGCTGTTGAGATCAACAGACGAACTGTTGTTTTTAAGCACTGGAGGTGAGAGGTGATGGATACAGGCGATGAGTGTGGGGCGCACCACCGGTTTTGAATGTGTTTACCGTCTGTAATTTGACATTGCTTCTTTTCGAGGATCTACTTGTGATTCCTCAACTCCGAACTGCGACTTGAATTGGCACAATATACATGCCGCCTCGCTTTGATCCTCACGTCCCACCATGTCGCCTTCTATAGCCCCATTCTCTGCGGCATTCCCTTACCTGCGGTGTGCACACTGGCGGCGCAGTCTCTTCCCACACGAGCAAAGCTCTGACGAGTCTTCTCTACCGAGACCCGTTTAACCCAGCAGCGTAACCTCCTGCTGTCCCTTGGTCCGCTCCTCGGCCGCGAGTTCCTTCTCGGCCTGTCGGTAGTACTTGGCGGTGTCGACGCCGTGCTGGTTGTGGTTGACAAAGTTGAACCACGGGACGGCATCGAAGAAGGTGGCGGAGTACCTCGACTGCCGCGCCGCGACGCCCTGCATGTGTGGGCTCAGCGTGCTCACGCCGTACAGGGGCTCGCCGCGCTTGACCTTGTCGACCATCTCCCGCATGTCCATCTCGATCTCCCGTGCGTTCTCGCTCATGCCGTAGAACCTCACTGCAAATTAGGCCTGGTCAGCAATCGTCCAATTCGTCCCCGTGCTTCCGTCCTTCTGGCTTGTACCCCGCCCCCTGTGTCTGTCTTCGTTCCTGGCTGAGGCTTCACGTACTGATCGATCGTTGATAGAAGGACAGGAAGCCGCCGCAGACTCCGATGAAACCGGCAAGTCGCATCACCCGTGCGAAGGCGCCCCGTCCGGCGTACGAGGGTGCGAACCTCTCCATCGTCCAGAGGAGTCCGGGACCTGCTGCTGCGGCCACCGCGCCGAAGGCGTAGTCGGAGGGTCGGGCATAGGCGATTACCCGCTTGAAATGTCTGTTTCCATCATTCAGTCAAGATCTGTCTCGTTTCGGTTCGCTCGGAGGGGTTGCATCTGCATCGTACGGGTCATTGTCTATGAGCTTGGGTGGGCGTTAGCGATTGGCGGGACCCCGGATGTCAATTGGAGCTCTCAACATACCGGGAACTCAGTCTTGATGGTCTTGCTTGGTATGTACGTCTGCGATGTTTGGTTCGCCATGGTTGCGACGGGCAATCTTGCTGCCAGCGAGGTTGAGGACTGCGATCAATTGCCGAGTCGGTCGATTGTCAATTGCAGCTCGGCGAGTGGACGTCAAGCTTGACAATTGTGGGCGCCTGAAACGTCAGGCAGAACATGTACGGGGTACCTCTTTCACCCCGCGGGCTGACCCGACGGTACCAAGGTACAAGCAGGGATCATGGCCAGCATGGGCCATTTCCAATTAAGCTGCGAGACGCGTGCAGTAGGGACCCAGACGCGTCTCCCTCTCGCCTGCACCATTCTACGATTCTTCCTTGCCATATACCCTCACAACACACGAGAAAATCCCTTGTCCCAGCAGAACCAGGCCAGCAGTCACCATGCCGTCCAAAACAGACTCCAGAAATGCCGAACCAGCAGCAAACAATTTCGACGACCTGGATAACTATTTCATGGATGGAGACCTAGACGATGACCCGTTCGCGTCTCCCCAACCCGAGGACAACTCAAAGTCTAACAAGCGAAAAGAGCCAGGCGATGGTCTTGGTATCGATGAGGAGGTTTCCGTTGCAAAGAAGGCCAGAGTTCCCAGAGTCAAACTCGACCAAGAGAGGTACATCCACGCGCAACTACGGCTTCACTGTGACGAGTCCGAGGCTAACAATTGCGTAGGTTAGTTTCAGAAAAGGGCATACCTGCGCTGAAGAAGCGATCCGGTAAACTGAGGTTAAAAGGCAAGGGTCACGAGGTAGGTTTGGATCTCCAGAGTTCAGCGGCCACTCATTGGCAACATTAGCTCACCACGAACTCTCTAGTGGAGCGATGCATCACGCCTACTGTCATTCTACCAGGAATGGCTGGATGATCTTTTCCCCAAGGCCAAGTTCTTGGACGCATTGGCCATGGTGGAAAAGGCAGGGCACCACAAGGCTATGCAGAAGATGCGGGTGGACTGGATCGATGAAGGCAGGCCCAAGTCGACCGTGGTGGCCGACGGCGGAGACGATGATGAGCCCACAGGGGACCAGCAGCAGCCAGAAGAGGCGCCAGCACCACGACAGGCAGACCGAATAGCGCCCATCTTCGAAAAGACTGCCAGTGGAGCTCGGCCGAGCACGCCGCCCGCGGACGACCTTTTCGGGGACGACATCTACGGAGCCACTCCGATCGGTGCCAGCAAGAACAGCAGACCGTCGGATACAAGAGGCGAACCTGACCAGGACGAACTGGATGCGCTCATGGCAGAGATGGATCAAGAGCCGAGCATCCCGTCGAGACCAACAGGAGGGCCAGTCAAGAGCATATTCGGCGACGGAAAGCCAAAGGCGACAGAAAGGCCAAGACCGGCGGAGCCAGACGATGACGATCTTGATGCTCTCATGGCTGAAGCTGAGGCTGAGCAAGGCCCCACGAGGCCAGCACAAGTGCCGAGTTCAAAGGCACCCCCGGCAGATTTCGATGATGAAGAGGAAGCCATGGCAGAGATGGACGGTCTCTGGTGAGGCTTGGGACGCAGATTTGTACGACCATTACCGTAATGAATTTACGAGCACCCGTTCTTGTTGTGCCATCTGGCAATGTTCATCATTCGTCAGGCACACAACATGCTTTCATTTGCCTGCAGGTCGGAGTTGCCAATGCACCGTAACCACCATCAAATTCATCCCACCCAGCACTCTTCCCTGCGATTGAGTAAATTAATGGCCCGAAAAGAAAGACGAAAAGACTCATTAGAATGTAGCCAAAAAAAAGGAGGTAAACAAATTTCCTTATTTCTTCATACTCTCTCTCTCTCTCTGTCGTGGAGGGTAGGTGTTTGGAGGTCCCGTGAAGCGACCCCTGTCCGGCCATTTGATGTCATCAACTGCTTGAGCATCACCCCAGGAATTTTGGTGGGGCCGCCGCAGTTCATCCCACCTGCAGGTAGCACTCAACTTCCACGGTAGCTCAAGAGCTGCCAATCCACACACGACACGAACAGAACTGTGTCTCGGCTTTGTATTTGAAATGGTCTCTTCCCGACGGCTGCAAATATGACAAATTCAATCTCAGAAGCTCTCGCGCAGCTTCACCTGGCTGAGGAGTCTGCCAACGACGATGCGATCGATGACATCCTCGAGAGAACAGCTCCCCACAGCCAGCGCAGGCCAGAGCCCGAGGAGTTGAAGAAGCACCTCGAGCAGAAGTACCTGACTCCCTCGCAGACCTTCTCCACGGAATGGCTCAACCGCTTGCAACAGTACTTCACCCTCCCCTGCCCCGCTGTTTGCTGGCATGCGCAGGTGCTAATCAACACACGTTGCTAGACGATGGGACTGCCCCGTTGATTACACCGACCTCTTTGCCATCGCGCCCACCCAAACTCGCACCGTGACACGCTTCGAAAGAAAAGGACTTGAGGGCAGGGTCGTCGGCTACAAGAACGTCACCGTCACGGCCAACAGCGCCACGGCCAAGAACTCGACCTCTTTTGCACGAAAGCCCGCCTCCCGAGCCGATTTTGTGCGCGGTGCAGCTGGCTTCTTCCCGTTTGCCCCCGGTGGCTTGGACGGCATAGAAGCAACGGCTGCTCTGGAAGACCAGGCGCTGCGGAACGAGGGGTACCTTGACGTGACCTCGGGGACAAGCAAGCTCGAGAGGGTCATCAAGCTTGGCGAAGAAGGGAGGCTGTTGGAGGTTGCGCCCGGGCTAACAAGAGGCATCGACTTTTCCAAGAAGAAAAAGACGCAGGCCGGCGAGGAGGAAGCTAAAGAGGTTGAGAAAGAGCTCGATCAGGAGCCAGATCAGTTACCAGACGGGGAGCAGACGAACGGAGAAGCCGTCAACGGTGACAGTACTACCCCAGAGAGCCAGGCAGATCAGGAAGGCGACGAAGACGAAGACATCGATGCAATACTTCCCGTCGAATTCCCGGCCCTAGAACCACATGGCAAACTCGTCGCGTCGAGTGCTAGAAAGGCTGGCCGCGAGTGGGCACACATGGTGGACATCAAACGGGAGATACCCAACTTCCATGAGCTGGTACCGAACCCGGCGAGGGAATGGCCTTTTGAGCTCGACACTTTCCAGAAGGAGGCCATATACCATCTCGAGAACGGCGATTCCGTTTTCGTGGCCGCACATACCTCCGCAGGAAAGACGGTCGTGGCTGAGTACGCCATTGCTCTTGCTGCGAGACACATGACGAAGGCCATCTACACCTCTCCGATCAAAGCGCTCAGCAACCAGAAGTTCCGCGATTTCCGGGAGACCTTTGATGAGGTCGGCATTCTGACAGGAGATGTTCAGATCAACCCCGAGGCTAGCTGCCTTATCATGACGACCGAGATTCTGAGAAGTATGCTGTACAGAGGAGCAGACGTGATTCGCGACGTTGAATTCGTAATATTTGACGAGGTGCACTACGTCAACGACGCGGAGAGAGGTGTGGTCTGGGAAGAGGTCATCATCATGCTTCCTGATCATGTATCACTAATTCTTCTATCTGCCACCGTACCGAACACGCACGAGTTCGCATCATGGGTTGGCAGGACAAAAAAGAAGGACATATACGTTATCTCAACTCCCAAGCGACCAGTTCCACTGGAACACCACCTCTGGGCAAACAAGAACATCTACAAGATTGTGGACTCGGAGAAGAAGTTCATCGAGAAAGGCTGGAAGGACGCGAACTCTGCTCTCCAACGCCGAGACCATCCCAAGACCAACGAGGTTGCGAACAATGCGCGCGGAGGCGGTAACCAAAGGGGAGGCCGCGGGGGACCTAACCAAAGGGGCGGCAACAACCAGCGTGGAGGTCGTGGAGGTAATAATCAGCGAGGAAGAGGCGGCCCTCCGCGGGCGAGCCACAACCCGGGCCACATGGGCCGTGCTGGCCGTGTTGGAGGCTTTACGTCGGCTGCCCAGGACAAGAACTTGTGGGTTCACCTCGTGCAGTTCCTCAAGAAGTCATCCTTGCTCCCGGCATGCATTTTCGTCTTCTCCAAGAAACGGTGCGAGGAAAATGCCGATGCGCTGAGCAATCAAGATTTCTCCACGGCTCAGGAAAAGAGTCACATCCACATGATTGTCGAGAAGTCACTCGCACGGTTGAAGCCAGAGGACCGAGTGCTGCCACAAATCATCAGGATGAAGGAGCTGCTTTCACGTGGCATAGCAGTTCACCACGGTGGCCTTCTCCCCATTGTGAAGGAACTGGTGGAAATCCTGTTTGCGCAGACCCTGGTCAAGGTGCTGTTCGCAACGGAGACGTTTGCCATGGGTCTCAACCTCCCCACCAGAACAGTTGTCTTCTCGGGTTACAGAAAGCATGATGGCCACTCTTTCCGCAACTTGCATCCAGGCGAGTACACTCAGATGGCCGGCCGGGCAGGAAGGCGTGGACTGGATACTGTGGGGTCCGTCATCATTGTGCCCCCCGGCGGGGATGAAGCACCTCCCGTCGTTGATCTCCAGAAGATGATCCTTGGTGAGCCCCAAAAGCTGCGGTCACAATTCCGATTGACCTACAATATGATCCTCAATCTTCTCCGAGTCGAAGCTCTCAAGATCGAAGAAATGATTAAGCGCAGTTTCTCCGAGCATGCCACGCAACAACTGTTGCCAGAGCATGAGAAGGCTGTCAAGATTTCAGAGGCCGACCTGGCCAAGGTCAAACGAGACTCTTGCGACATCTGCGACGTTCACATGGACGAGTGTCACCAAGCCGCCCAGGACTATCGCACCCTGACCGAGGAGTTGTACAAAGGGATTTTGAACATTCCTATCGGCAGGAAGATATTCTCTCGCGGGGCTCTCATAATATTCCAGAAGGACGGTATCAGAACCCCGGGTATCTTGCTGGCAGACGGCACGGGTATGCAGGTTTCCGCTGATGTGGGACCTACGGTGCATGTCCTTGAGATCAAGGCAAATAGAGACACCCGCGACTCAACCGACATGCTACCTTGCATACCGGCCTTTCGCCCTATGTTCCAAGATCTCCCGAAGCACAAGAAACACATACAGACCAAGGTCATGCATGTGCCTCTGTCAGACGTCGAGGTCATCACTGGTCACCAGACAAAAGGTGTCATCCCTGAGATCTTCCAGGGTGGCGAGGGTGGCAAAGCTGCGAAGGAGGCGATCATTCAGATCTGCAAGACTTGGCAACAGGCCTACTTTGACGAGGCCGACCTCCGCCGAATCAAGAGCATGAATTTGCAGGAGATTGTTCAGAAGAGAAAACTGGCCGAGCAAGCAGTCACCGGTTCTGATGCTCTGAAATGTCCCGAGTTCCTGAAGCATGTAAGTGCTAAGTGAAATTCGTTCAAGATGTCTCACTTGGCAATTTGATCACTAACATCTCTCCAGTTTGCAATGTGCCATGACCAGTGGCTCATCAAGGAGCACATCGAACAACTCCGCCAAGCCCTGTCAAACCAAAATCTGCAACTCCTCCCTGACTATGAACAGCGCATCCAAGTCCTAAAGGACTTAGAATTCATCGACGACTCCTCCCGCATCCAGCTTAAGGGCAAAGTAGCGTGTGAAATCCACAGTGGCGACGAGCTCGTCCTCACAGAGCTGATTCTCGACAACGTGCTGGCCGACTACGAGCCCGCTGAGATCGCCGCACTGCTGTCGGCCTTTGTATTCCAGGAGAAATCAGACATCGAGCCCTCCCTGACTGGCAACCTCGAAAAGGGCCGCAACACCATCGTCGCCATCAGCGAGAAGGTGAACGCGGTGCAGGAGCTGCACCAGGTCATCCAGACCTCGGACGAGAGCAACGACTTCGCGTGCAAGCCGCGCTTCGGGCTCATGGAGGTGGTGCACGAGTGGGCCCGGGGCATGAGCTTCAAGAACATCACGGGCCTGACGGACGTCCTCGAGGGCACCATCGTGCGCACCATCTCGCGCCTGGACGAGACGTGCCGCGAGGTGAAGAACGCGGCGCGCATCATCGGCGACCCGGAGCTGTACCAGAAGATGCAGACGGCGCAGGAGATGATCAAGAGGGACATCACGGCCGTGGCGAGTCTCTACATGTAGGAGGCGTTTGTCGGAGCTGTCCCACCTACTGTCTGACTGCGCTGGATTACTTGAGCTTTACCCTTCTGGGAGCCCATGCTCACTTTTGTTGGAGATGCAGCTGCGGGTGGGTGGCCTCGGGGCAGTTTACTTGTTTTCATTTTCACGACATCACGAACGGGCATGAAAGATGGTCATGGCGAGCCGAAAACGGCAGTTTGTGATAGAAAGAAGATAATGGATATCATGATGTACTGGGCTGCTGAATGTTCTGGTTGCACATTACTCGTGGCATATTTCAAGTGGTGATGATTGTACATATTTGCTGACTTATTCACAGGGCATGATCCACTCTACTGGAGTATCTTTCTTGAAGGACCCTTCAGAAAGATGCAGACTTCGAACAATCCCTCGACTTCATCAAACACCCTACCCATCCCATCACGTGCAATCCAGCCAGCCAGCGGTGCACAAACGACATGCAGCCCGAACAAGCTGCCGATCAATCAAGCCACATGAACGCTTTCTCCACCTCCCACTGGCCAGCAGCCACCAGTCCAGCAACGAACCAATTGCCGCCTACTCTGCCATGGGCCCCTTGGTGGATGGACAGGCGGGCTTAGCTCGGTGCCGGGCCCCAAGCTAATGCTGGATGAGAGCGAGCGCCCAGTCTGATGTGGACTCATAGGCCCTGGCTTCGTCTGATGTTTGGGACACCCGAGGTTCGAATATGCCCCAGTGGTTAGGAGCCATGAAGGCACGATCTCGGTGATGTCCCTTTTTGACCTGTTGGTCGCTGGTTCGAGTCGCCCTGCCGTGGCTTGATGTGCTCTTTTTTCACCCACCCCTACTATTACTGTTCCAAGTCCTGGCCTCGAGGAGTCGTGGACTTTTTTAGTGTTCAGTCCACCACGATTTTACCCACAGGACGTCAGAGAAACGTAGCAAAGACAAGCTTCCATATTTGACATGCTGGTAATAATTCATATGACTATGAGATGCCCTACTCCACCAACGCCAAACGTAGCCTGGCCCGTTCCAAATGATCGTGATCCGGCCCCTCTTCTAAAGCCATAATCCACAATGGTTTCTTTGGGGGAGTGGGCATGGAACAACAAGATTGCACCGCCCTAAATACCATATTACCGACTCGGCTCGCCCCCGAGGTCCAGCGCCTCCTAGGCCCTCAGCGCCCGCAGCCTCTGCTGCAGGGCGTCCTCCTGCTCCGGGGTGGGCTCGGTGGTGGCGTTCTCCTTGACGGGCTCCTCCTTGGACGCGGAGGCGGAGGCGAGCTCCTGCGACAGCTCGACGCCCGCGTCGTCGGCCAGCTTGCCCAGCAGCTCGTGTATGGCGTCGTCGGAGACCTGGACCGAGGTCGACTGCGTCATGGCGTCCTGGTAGATGTTGTTGGACATGGCGTACTCCTCGTTCTGGTTCTTGAACTGCTCGAGCGTGACGAGGGTCTGCGGGTGTCAAAAGTTTATCATGTTAGCCATCGTTGCTTTTCTCTGGACGGAGGGCCTCGCTGGAAAAGAGGAGGGTGAAGTTGCCCTGGGATTCCCACCTTCTCCGGGTTCATGTTCTTCTGCGCCCTGCTCATCGTCCGCGACGACTGCGCCATCATGGCGGTCATGCGGTTCATGGCGTTGTTGGCCTGGATCTGCGCGACCGACAGCTCGGCCACGTCGGCGGCCTGGTCCATCTGCTTTGCGATGGCCTGCTTGGCGAGGAGCATGCGGGCCTTTTGGTAGGCTTGTTGTGTCTCGCCCTTTTTCAGGAGCTATACAATCCCCCCACATTCCATCGTCAGTGTCTGTACATCGGGGGTCGGCGCTGGCTTATCGCCCGCGTCCGCTCGCCTAGGAGGGAGACGGTTGTCACTGACAGTCTGGATCTGCTTCTGGAGGTCGGCGTCTGCTTTTTGCGCCTTGGCGGCTTCACGACGGGCTTGTTTGGCATTAAACTGTAAGACACAGCCCGTCAGTATCGCGATCGTGCACGTGGGTCTGGCAGGAGCAGTGCCCTGGTATAAGGCGAAAGAGGAGCGTGCGTACCCTCGCCTGGAACTCGGTCTGCATGTCTCGTGCGAGTTGTCGTTGCGACATGGTGGCGGTGGAGGAGAGGGGTTTATCGCTTGGGTAGATCGGGTGTTATCGTCGTTTGAAGGGCTCAGTGGTCGCAGTATGATCGGTAGACGTTGGATGTTCCGATGCGGGTGTTTTCGCTGCTGTTGCTTCGATAGGGGATCGTGGTTGTTAGATGATGACTGTCGTTGACGAAGAGCCTCTCGGATTGTCCCTGCCTTACTGACGCCTGCCTGCATGGTTGTCTCGGCCCCCCGTGTCGGGTACTAGGCCGCTGTAGTGGGGCAGGCAAGGCGGGGACTGCGCCACATGGCAATGACGTCCTTATCAAGGTACCTGGGTACCGATGTGCCTCAGCAGCAGGTAAGTTGTAAGTAAGTCAAGCCACAGCTCAAGCCACTCTCAAGTCAACGGCATCATCACTGGGGTTTCATCAACGGGGGAGAGTGAGACAGACTCAACATGATCTGTGTGCGGGTGCATCAGTCAGTGGTTTTCTTATCAATCATCGTCGCCACAATTTCATATTATCTCTCCAGCCATATGAGCTTCTTCAGAATGGCTTCCAAGGCAAAGCTGAACGTGCAGTCCTTCCCACGGCCACCTCTCCTGGAGAAGACGCCAAGGCATCTTCAGATCAAGTGGAATGGACATCTCATTGCTGACACAAACGACGCATATTGGGCCCTCGAAACCCACCACCCGCCTACTTACTATCTGCCGCCCTCGTCTATCAAGGTGCCCCTCACAAAGACGAGACGGACGACCTACTGCGAGTGGAAGGGCGCTGCCACCTACTGGAGCATCGCCAACCCGGAGACCTCGTCCGAGACAGTTTCAAACAGAATCTGGTCCTATGAGAGGCCCACTAAGGGGTTCGAGGATATCAAAGACTACCTTTCTTTCTACGCTGGTCCGTGGGACTGCTTTGTTGACGGGGAGAAGGTCGAGCCCCAGCCGGGAGACTTCTATGGCGGTTGGGTTACCAGCGATATCGATGGTATCGTCAAGGGTAAGAATGGGAACTGGGATCCTGTATTGTAAGGCCGGCTGAAACTTATGTGTACACATGCTTTTTGTGTACTTGTTGATTTCAACGATTGAATGCACGACTACGACTCTTGCGCCCCACTACATTCCACCCTTGTGGCATAGCATGCGTAAGTCTCGGCAGAGACAATACAACCACTACTACGATAATGTTTCACGGGATACAGGTGCCTATGAGTCGCGACCTGGGGACTATGAAACGTCCACTCACCATCTGAACACTTTGTACCCCTCTCATTTCGTGATCGAGGTTTGAGACATCTTTTTGTTGATAAAACATGGAACAATGGCTTATCGAGTTGCCTTTACTGCCACAACGGTCTCTTACCTACGACAGGTCTTGCTTTAGGCTTCGAGATGTTACTGTCAGCGGGGCCTGTCAGCTCGACGTTCAAGTTCCTGGTGTGCTATGCAGAGTCCATGTACCGGTTCAGGCCAGCATATGGTTACATAAAACACCGTCATTATTTTTCAAATTGAATGCCTTATAATTCTACCATTGTTACCTGGATGCCTGCAGATTCGGCATCGAAAGCCTCCGTCTCCTGTGGTTCAAAGGTATATAAAGCAGCTCATTGACCCAGCCTCGAGCACATCAACTCGCTCTGGTCACCAAACTGCACGAATCCTTCCTACATACTTCATACTGTCGGCCCCAAAAGACAAACCCTTTCACATACCAACGACTTCTAGACCCCGTCTTCAACATGGCGAACACGAAGCGGAGACGCGAAGAAGATCACGACCCGCCGGAGTCGAAGAAGAGCCAAACAAATAAGGTCTTCACTGTCGAGAAATTCATGGCAGACTTTCCGCCCTTGAAGGGACCTCTGGCGAAGGAAGATGAGCCGCCGCTGCCTTCCACAGTTCTTGCGGATGACGAAATGCAGGATGTCTCAAATGGGAGGAAGCCTCCATTCCGTTCCACCTTCAACATGCACCTCCCGCTCCAACTCAGAGGCTACGAGTCGGAAGACGCACTGAATACGCCATTCAACTGGATGAAGAAACAGTACTTTCACTGCATCATACCTGAGCTAGGCGAGGAGTACGACTTCGCCTATGAATCTGACACCTTTTACACGCTACGAGATTTTCACAACGCGCGAGTAAGAATCCGAGAGGGCCAGTACCTTCCCGATTATATCATCTACAGCCTTGCCACTCGCTGGTTGGTGTTGGGAGAAAAGGGTCGCCCGGCATCTGATGGCTACCTTGCCCAAGACGAAATTTTCGTCGCTACTTGTCTCCCGCTGAGCGACGACAAAGATGCCATCAGGGATTACTTCGAGGGATACTACCTTCGAGAGCTTAGCGCTCAATACTACATTCCCAAGAGCAAGTACTCGGTGCATTTTGTGGGCGAGCCGAAGAAGAGCGAGAGCGAGGACATCCAACACATCAATGTCGGCTCGGTGCTCATTCGGAACACCAAAACCGGCCGTGTGATTTATATCGACACCGGAGCTCGCACAAGCCGCGAGGGCCGGGCGAGACGTGCGGGCCTTGTGCTGAAGGCCTGGCTACAATTTCAGAAGCAGAAGACCCCGGACGCCGACCTAGGTCCCATCAGCAGGTCCGTGCCGTTGATTCTCGACGTCAAGAGGGAGACGCATCCAAGCCTGCGGTCACTACACGCCATAGTCTCAGCAACATTATTTCTCAAGCGCCGAATCACTGACTGGGGCGAAGTCAAGGCCTTCACACTTCGGGGCAAGCCTTGTAGCAAGACCATGGCAAAATGGGCAGTGCGAAGCATCTCGGGCTGGTTGGGTCTGAATTCACCCAAAACTGTCCTTCCCTCAAAGCCTAGCAGCACGTCTCAGACTTTTGGGCTCAACTACCAGAGAGGAGCTCTCATGGGCCGCAAGAAGCCTCACAAGGCGTCCAAGCGAATCGTGTCTGCTAAAAAAGGAAATCCACCCGTGTACAATGATGAGCCCGATACGGACAACGACGCCGTTTCAGTTCACGAGGACGATTCGGATCACGAGGCCAGTGATAACGAGGGCAGCCTAGCCGATATGAGCCATGGGAGCGTTAGCGGCGACGAAGACACTGACGTTGTGGACCAGTCCAGCGACGAAGACGACGACTCGGACAATATCCAAAATGACGAGTTCGAACCCGAGAGCGACATGGACTCGGTCGAAGACAAGCCCGCCAAAAAGGCAAGCCCCAAGAAAGTTAACTCCGGCCCTAGCAGTGAGCTTGATCAGTCCGACGAGACGGAGGACGACGGTGCCTACAGTATGGAGGCTTACGACGACATGATCAGAAATAAGGGGCCCAGCGGACGGGAGCACAAAAGGGCGAAGGCCAAGAGGGAGAAGTCCGAGAAGGAGGAGCCCAAGAAGAAGCGCCTTGCCAGTGAAGACGTCTTGTCGAAGAAATCCAAGAACACCCGTCAGGCCAAAGGGGCGGTCTATGACCGCAACCCCCGTTCTTCAATTTGATCATGAGGCCGGAGGCTGCATGCAAGGAAGATGAACTATCGAGGGCATGACGGTACGAGATGGACTGTTCGCCATTGAAACCTCTGTCATCGAACCCCTCTTTTGCTTTTGATTCCCGAGGTCCTCGGCAGAATCACAGATGCAAGAGAAAATTTCGAGGAGGGAAATACAGGATGAAATTGGACCATCAGGTGAATGGATTGAAATTGAAGTAGACCAACCAGAATCAGATTATTGTTTTGTTTTTTTCATCAAGAGGCCAATGACTCACGTGAAATGTTGATTGGCGATCGTGATCGTCAAAAGTTGTTCAGGCCGGAATATCGAAAATCTAACTACCTAGGTGCCTAGTTACAGTACCGTCTCGTCATCGAACTTGTGCGTTATCAAGTGGTCCTGTGTAAGATCTACAACTATTGAATAAAATTTAGACTGACTTGACACAGCCGCGGAAAACAAAACTACACATGACTCCAGACCCCAATCAAGCCCAGTCGATCAGGCAAGTCTCCCCTTCCCTCAACTCAGCATATTACCTAAGACTCGCCTTCCAAACACCAGCTCTCTTCTGCTCATCCTGCGCCTCAGCACCAACCTCCAGGGCTCCTTAGGCTCGCCACCATTCAAATACAACGCCTTGGGCTGATTCCCAAATGGCGACTTCGTGTCGACAGCAGCGGCTAGGACATCGCCCGCTAACTCACGCTTCAAGCGCAAAGTGCCGTTGGTCCAGATCCGGCCGAAGACGTAAAACGCAAGCGTGTATATGGCGCCTAGGACGAGCGACAGACCTCTCACAGTAATCTTGGTAAGCATAAGCCCAGGGTCCAAGCCCAGAATCGAGAGGCCACTCAGCCCCGGGTCTGAGTGGAGACGACTTTGAAGCTCTAAACCGAACGGCGGGTCTATCTATCAGTCTATGCTGTTTTCTATACTTCTCTGTCTTCTTTAAAGTTGACAGACTTTTCACTGACATCATTATGGCCAGGCACAATTTCGATGCCCCATAGTGCCGGATTGCAGCAAAGCGGGCCGCCATACCTAGGTATGCATCCCAGGTGCCTTGGCTGGTTCACCCGGTGGGCTCCATTTGCCCGGAATAACATACTCAATCCCGAGGTCGTCTCGCTTCTGCTGGCGGCAACGATAGTCTTCCATTTCGGATCCTCGAATGCACCAGAGGATTTGTTGCCTTCGTCTAGAGCACTGTGTTGTCATTGATGCCCTGCAGCATCCCTTCAACCGATATTCACGCTACCGGTGCAGCACCAGCATGTGCATGTAGCCATTTGATTCTGGAGACTCTCTAGCTTACAGTAGACCCACTTGTTAGGCCACCTATCCTGTCGCGCACCATGCCACCGGATCTGGCGGGAGTGGTAACAGCCAGGCTAGTAGACAGAACCAACAGTCACATTGCAGCACGTGGGATCTAGAATATCAAAGATGACGCAAAAGGTGCGTTTCGTTCGGGTCCAGATTTGGATCGCCGAAAGTTTGTTACTGTCCCTTGTTTACTGATGAATTTGTAGTCTCCTTGGCGGGTTTGCCGTTGATCGCGCTTTTCTACGTCTCTGCTGCTACCCCACGAACGTTCGAATATGAGGAGATCATCTCCACTTCTCCCCACACAGCCTGTCATTACTACCGAGGAGTTATAGGTCAAAGGCCCGAATGGGCTAGCAAGGATGGGTCCAACGGTTCATTATCGGAGCGACGATGTAGCGGTAGAGTTAACATCTCACGATGCCTTGATGCATTGTCTCTTTCCAAGTTTTTTGTCCCTGCATATGTAGCGTCTGACCTCTCTGTCTCTGCGTTGTCGTTGAGATTTGGTCTGCCGACAGTCCTGTCAAGATGAGGGCGGCAATCATTTCAAGCATGGCTACCTTGGCAGCCGCGCAGCTCGACTACAATTCGGCGCCTCCCAACCTGTCGACGCTCACCGATACCTCGCTGTTCTCTACATGGAGGCCGAAAGCCCACGTGCTGCCACCTTTCGGTCAGATAGGAGATCCATGCATGCACTACACCGACCCGTCAACGGGACTCTTTCATGTCGGCTATCTTTTCAACGGGGGATCCGGGGCGACCACAGATGATCTTGTCACCTATACCGACCTCAACGCGAATGGTGACCCGTTCATCGTGGCTGGTGGTCTCAACGATCCCATAGCCGTCTTTGATGGGTCGGTCATCCCGAGCGGAATCAATTGCCTGCCCACGCTGCTCTATACCTCCGTCTCCTACCTGCCAATTCAATGGACAATTCCCTACACGCGCGGGAGCGAGACGCAGAGCCTGGCGGTGTCGAGCGATGGAGGCAAGAATTTCACGAAGTTGGAGCAGGGGCCTGTCATCCCGTCCCCTCCGTTTGCGGTGAACGTGACGGGATTCCGCGACCCGTACGTCTTCCAGAGTGCACAGCTGGACAAGCTCCTAAACAGCACAGAAGGGTCCTGGTATGTCGTCATCTCAGGAGGAGTTCACGGCGAGGGACCGAGTCAGTTCTTGTATCGTCAGCACGACGATGAGTTCCAGTACTGGGAAGATATGGGTCAGTGGTGGCACGAAAATGCCAACTCGACGTGGGGCAATGGCGACTTTGCAGGCCGGTGGGGATTCAACTTCGAGACTGGAAATCTCTTCACTCTTGATGCGGAGGGATACAACGAGGCCGGCGAGACATTCGTCACTCTTGGTACCGAGTGGTCTCTGGAACCCATTGTGCCCCAAGTCTCTGATTTCAGAGAAATGCTCTGGGCAGCTGGCAATTTGTCGCTGTCTGACGATGGCCAAGCCAAATTCACTCCATGCATGGCTGGGAAACTAGACTGGGGTCACTCAGCTTATGCCGCAGCCGGCAAGGTCCTCCCCGCCTCGTCCGTGGCATCCACAAAGAGTGGTGCGCCCGACCGATTTATCTCTTACGTCTGGCTCACCGGCAACTTCTACGGGACTCAAAGTTTCCCGGCCGCACAGAACTGGACTGGCGCTCTGCTGTTGCCTCGCGAGCTCAGTGTTGGTACCATCAGCAACGTCGTTGATAACGATCTGGCGAGAGACACTGGTGCCTGGAGTATCTCCGCCAGCCACGCGCCAACAGGACTTTTACAGCTGAGAACTCTTAAGCAGAACATTGCACGAGAGCCTCTGGCTGCATTAATGGCTAGTAACGCGTCGTTCACTGAGCCGGGCCAATCCATCAGCAGCGCCGGCTCGACGCCATTTGCTCGGTCGCCGGGAACCAAGTTCTTCGTCATGACGGCAAATTTGACCTTCCCCCAAACTGCAAGAAACAGTGATCTTAAGGCCGGATTCAAGATTCTCTCATCGGAGTACGAGTCGACCACGATCTACTACCAGTTCTCCAACGAGTCAGTCATCGTGGACAGGAGCAACTCGAGTGCCGCTGCGGAGTCATCTGCCGGCATTGATGTTAGGAATGAGGCGGGTCGATTGCGGCTTTTTGACATCATGGAAGATGGAGAGGAGAATATTGAGACTCTAGAGCTGATGATTGTGGTTGACAATGGAGTTGTCGAGGTACATGCCAATGGGAGGTTCGCTCTTGGAACATGGATAAGGTGAGATATCAGCCACCCGTTACGAAAACAAAAAGAATAATCAGGCAACTCCGGGGCGCCTACTAACACTTCACTAGGTCATGGTATGAGGACTCAAGAGACATCAGCTTTTTCCAGGACGGAACTGGAAGCGTGTCCTATAGCGATGTAAAAGTTACTGAGGGTTTGTACAATGCCTGGCCTGATAGAGCAGCATAATTCGGACAGCTCACCTGGGCACTCTGGGTCACTTGTAGTCCCTGGGATTCATGAGACTGTATAATTGGCATAGGAGGATACATTGTTGATACTTGTTTCGCGGGCTTTTTGCAATGACCGCGAGAAGGCTTGCAGCATGTAGTTCTGTAGCTGCGACGCTAGGTCTCGTTACCTGTTACCCGCGTTCTGAGATGGGAGAATGGCCAATTTCCTATTCTTATTGGAGGACGCTCCATTGCCCCCTTTTGATCATCTACTTAAGTATCTAGCTGGATCTGCGTTGTCACGTCATCCCGAAGGCCCCATAAAAGTAAGAATCATGAGAAGCATATCTTGAATTGGGAAGCATGCCCGGCAAAAAAGCCTAGAAAAGAGCGGCGAGTACAGTCATGGCGGACAAAATAGATGCCACAGTAGTGGCACTACTTGCAACTGCAGGAGATGACGAGCCGGAGCTAGCAGCAGGCGAGGCAGACGTGATCGGGACGGTGTCATTCGAGGGCGTATGGGACGGGCTGACGACTGCTGTAGCGGGGCTCGTTTGCGAGGAGCTGACGGATGCAGTCATATTACTGGTGATTGTCGTGGTAATTGTTTGAGTTGTGCTCGTTGATGAAGACGGTGCTCTCGACGGAGTTACAAGAACCCCTGGGACAGTGCCTACTGTATAATATCCGGATTGGCCGCCACCTACAGAGCACGATTTGTTAATATCTTAATACTGCGCCAAAAGAATAAAGCGTTATCGAATCTCGCCTGGGACTCACACGTTTCGCCCGCATACCCGGGGCAAGGCTGATTGCACAAGGACTCTTCTGCTTTCTCGTCATACGAAGGCAGGATGTCGAGACACGCACAATTCATGAGTTGTGCTGCAAAAACAGGGTATCCAGCCTCGCGGCAAGTATAGGAGCAGCCCCCAAGAGTGTTGTATGTATCCCTCAAGTAAGTGACCGCCTCCGTGGCGTAGCATCCGACCGAATCAGGAAGGATAAGATCCTTGGTTGTATACGCCATCGGAACAGGAACAGGGATCCTCTCTACTGACTTTCACTGGACTCGCGTTGTTAGGTATCTCCAGATAGAGCATCGAACAGGACGGGGATGTCAGTCGCGTGTGGCATACTTTGGCGATTACGATGTCAGCACCACTTAAATACCTACATAGGCTATGCTGCCGCCTGATCCTCAGGCAGTCTAGCGGCGAAATACAATCTCACCTAGCCGCGAAGGATCATTGGAGGGTGCGCATGCAACCAACCAGAAAAGCCGATTGCAAATGCGAGAATGTCGGTTAACGTATTGCTCCTAGCGTCATGCACAACACGGCTGATCCTGCTGTTCTTAGAGATCACTCCGCGTCTGACAGTATGAGGCTCATGGTCTGCCAAAACCTCTAGAGGAGCGGGAGTTGGTTCTCGGAATCCCCTGAACCATGCCAATTCGGATTCTAAGCCCCTGCAGAAATGAAGGAGCCGGCATTGGTGCGCGCGTCATGGACCTAAGAACCGTTTCCTCTTGTACCTTTTTAGCGTCGGATCGGTCCTCGATGCTGAACACAAGCCGCTGGATACAAGGTCCTTTCCCCTGAGCACAGACAGTAAAGTCGTGAGCGTCATGACCCGTTGGAAGCCATGGACTTAATGCTATTTAAGGACGACTCAGAGGTCAAGATCAGAAAGCCTTACGGTACCGACAAATAAAAGAATCAGCAAGAATTTGTTTTCATTGAATTTTGTTGCCTCGCCTAACTAGCTGACGCTCGACGCCTTCTCACAGCCAACGCATTTATCACCAATCACCTTCAGAGAAATATGCCATCCGTACCATCTTACCACGTTCTTGACTTCTTTCACGATGATGAGGATGGTTGCGCCCTCACGATCACGCGAAACTACATCCGGTTCCACATAATTGCCGACCCTAAACGACTGAAGCGTGAATGTGACCGGAAGCAGGGCCGAGAATACTTTGGACTGCTACAGAATTTGCGAGATTCCGAGCGACGTGAAGATGGGTCAACCTCGATCGACAGCGGCATCGATGTGCAGAGCTCACATGCGGATGATTCTAAGATTAAAAAAGCCGGAATGACTTGTGGAGATGCTGAGGAGAGATTACACAAGTGGATGTTGGCACCTCTGGCCGCAAGACTTCAGGACTTGGCACCGGATCTACCACCAACCAAGCAGCAGACTCTCCAGCAGTGGTACGATTGCAAGACACACTTTTTCAATCTCGAAATCGCCGAGCAGGGGGTTGAGGCTGCGGAATTAACATCATCAGAGGACCTGGAAGAAAGGATGACGAAACTTCGGCCACACCTCGCGCCTATACCGAAGTACATCAGCAACATCGACATGCCTTGGTACTCTTCTGCCAGCCTCGAAGTCATAGCAAGCGCGGACACACCAAGCCCTTACCACCCATGCCTTGTAGCGCATGCACAAAGCGGCGAGAAGATGTTTTTCAAGACCGTGGATAACAACAACACCCAGCCCATCAAGCGAGAAATTGACATTTTGGCGAAGATAGAAAGGAAAGGGCTTAGGAAAATATTGCATTGTCCAAAACTACTGGGGATCGTAACATGTGACACACCAATCGTGTCGGGGAAGAACAACAGGAGTTCCATCATGGGCTTCTTGCAAACAGCAATCGACGAGCCGATACCTCTGACCACCAAACTTGACTCGGCAGTCCCGCAAGACAAACGAGACGCCTGGGCTCGGAAGGCCGACGACGCCCGGAAGATATTGCATGAAAACGGAATAATCTGGGGAGATGCCAAAGCCGATAATTTCATGGTAGACGCGAAAGACAATTTGTGGATCATCGATTTCGGCGGCAGTTACACTGAGGGCTGGGTTGATCCCGACATCGCAGAGACAAAAGAAGGTGACAACATGGGCGTGGAGAAGATCGTCAACGCCTTGAGAGACCCGGACCACAACGTTGCAGTAAGCGAAACCAGCGATGACGACGAAGATGAAGACAATAGAGTTGAAGCCACAAGTAGCCGGATAAGGAAGCGGGTGAATGGGTTTCACCACATGCGAGATAGGAAAAGGCACAAGGCCAGTTCGGCTGAGAAGGTTGGGGAGGAGAAGGAAGGGGAGGAGGAGAACAGATACTGTTATCGTGGAGGTGCAAGCTCTGGGCAAATGATAGGCTGTGACGGCTCAGATTGCGAGATGGAATGGTTTCATGTTAGCTGTACTGACATCACGGCGCTGCCTCCGAAGGAGGAGGCTTGGTACTGCGAGGCGTGCAAAGTCTAGATTTCTACATATATCACGGTAGATGGGCTTCGAATGAAAGACCATAGGCCGGCAAGTGGAATGAGATGTAATGTGCAAGCTACTCCTGGTAAACATTAGGTACCATGGCTACGACTACGACCTTTGCCGCTAGGCTACAGTATCCACCTCCTCCCAATGGAGCTCCCAAACCATCCTATACTTCTACAGCAGAACCTCTCACGGAATGGCATTATATGAGAAGACCTATTGTGGAATAGTCGTCCATAACATGCACTCTTTTAGGGTACACTCCTACGCAACTCCCCAAGACTCTCCCTGGACACTCCCCTTCGGGAGCTTTTCATACAGGGGCCTATAGAAGGTGATCACAGAGTTGGTAATTTAAACCATAGGGGCTGCGCTATCGCGTATTGTCATTCTTGAAGGTGCGATGGTGGCACGGTAGTAGCACATCTAAAGATATCTCAATCTTGTCCTAAGCCAAGTCTAGTGGTGGCCATTCATCCCGTTAGACTGATGCCCATTGCTGTGTCCATTGGTGCTCCCGTGGCCGTTAGTACTCCCATGGCCATTAGTGCTCCCATTCACGCCGTCCACGACATCAAAAAGCACCTTCTTGGAGGCAGGGAACACCTCCCAGCTCCCGCCATCGTCGGACAGGAACACGGGAAACTGCCCGTTGAACAGCTTGGACTTGATCTCGCCCGCTGGGCCCGGTGTGCGGCGAACGTTGGGGCACGACCGCGCGAAGACCTTGAGCATGGCCGCGGCCGCGGTTATCGATATGGCCCGGCCCAGGCACTCGTGCGGGCCCCACCCGTGTTGGATGTAGCTCTCTTCCGGCCGGTCGAGACGGATCTCTGTGGGCTCGGGGAACTTGGCCGGGTCGCTGCCAGCGGCGATGAAGTCGGCAAATATCCCTGCGCCTTGGGGTAGGGTCGTGGTGCTGCCGCCGTCATTCAGTTGTGTGTTGCTGGCTGCTGCGACCCGGATGACGCCTGAAGCGGCTGGATAGAGGCGAAAGCTGTGTGCGGTTTGGTGGTGTCAGCATATATAGCTATCTTCTTACTTTCGGATATCAAACGGCCGGGGTGGTGATGATGGTCAGTGAAAAGACTTACCCCTCTAAGGCATATTTTCTTAGCTTGTCAAAAGCCTCTGGGGAATCCGACTGGGCGAGGGTTACGATTGCAGGCCAGTGGTTTTTGTACTTGTCGGACATATATATGTCGATGAGTTGTGCCCACTAGATGAGAAAGCATGGCAACGAGTCAGCTATCCGCTCAGGGGAAGGGCGAAAGAAATTCCCAGGACTGTCGTGACTTACCCCTGCGGGCTGCGTTGAAGCTGCCGCGGCTTGTGTAGAGATAAGCTCCCAGACAACATCTTCGATCGACTTTCCGTCTGTCAACAATCTGCTCACCATGTCTTTGCCGAACCCGGGGATGTCTGGGACCTCTTTGCCTTGGCCAAGAAGGCCCATAAGCCTCTCGATCAGGCCGGGGTTATGCTTGGTGCTCTCGACCACGTTGCGCATGATATTGCCAAGCATCGTCGCATCCCTCGACCCTTGTACTCGATTCTTGTACGACTTTGCCGTGTCCACATCGAGGAAGATGTACTGAAAAAGGCTGGTTTGGGCGCGGAAGATCTCCGGGGCAGTGAGGCCTGGCGCGTGGCTGTTGGGGTCTTCCTTCAGAGGGAGGGCCAAGAAGCGAGCTGTGAATAACGCGTGGGCGAGATTCCCAATGCTATCCGGCAGGTATCAGCATCAGAACTGCGCGGGATTTGAAGGTCTGCTTGTGCGATTCTAGCTCACTCTTTCACAACATCAATTTGATAGGCATAGGTGCCCAGCTTGCGTCTGTTCTTTTGGATGAGGTCCGTTGTAACAGTCTCGTAGAACTTCCTCACTTCCTCGAGGGTATTCTGAGGCTTGTACAGCGCTGAATTGATCTCCTCGCGCTGCTTGGCATTGGCTGGCATGTCACCCGAGAGCGGAAGCGGAACGTCGTGGCCAATGAGCTGATTCATGTGCTCACCCCCTGTTTTAACATGTTAGATGACTCGCTGTAGCAATCATGGCTCTTCCCCGCCTTCTGATAGATCACCCGATACTCACATGGAACTTTAAAGCTCTGCTGGTCGTTGAGGATGTTGACGACGCTCTTGTAGCTCTTGACTGTGACAGGGGGCGGAGCAAATTGGGGACGCTCGTAACTCAATTGAATGTCGTGGGGCAGCCCATTCTTGAGGAATATCTCACGCGTCCGATCAGGCGTGCTGAACGGATACAGGGCGTATACACTGTTGCTTCGATACCAGCCTGGGAACGCCCTCATCAGTAGCTTGTACATGAGACCACCTCCGGCGACATCGTAGTCAGATGCAACCTCTTTGAACCTGAACGCGTCTGGTTAGCCATCTTGGTACCACTTTTCGACACAGTCAGCGAACTTACCCATAGCTGGTCAAGCTTTGTGGTCCATATTCGAGCGCGTAGAATCTATCTCCGCGCACTAGGGTTGTAGCATCAGATAGGATGGCTTCCGATATAGTGTACCCGGGACAAAGACCAGAGCCCGGGGAGAAGGACGGCTTTGCCTCCTCAGCCATCAGACCCGGGTATAGCTCGATATTGTCCGGGTGTCCGTACAATGCTTCCACTGTATAAAAAGTTAATATTCTGCGGTTCACCTCGGGGGATCGTCGAGCTATTTTGAAACTTACAAGTCTCAGCGATTCCGGGCTGAGAATTAATCTCCTTAAAAGAGGTGAAGGGCTTCAGCTTGAAGAACTGGCGGAACTCATTGAGAGACGCGAGACCCCATTGGCGACCCTGGTTGATGCCAAGCATCTCGATAGCCTTGAGTGCGACAGGAGTATTGCGAGCACCAAAGGCGCCAGATACTGCGTCAGTGGCGGCCGAAAGAATATTGACCAGATCAGCATCCCTGAACGCCCCGTCGACCCTCTTCAGATTACCAAAAGTCCATGTCTCGGGCGTCTTTTCCGGCGCATGCTCGTCTAGCCACGCCTTCAAATATTGTCCAAGCTCCCTCGGGCTGATAGTGGCTGGATAAGGTCAGTTTCGGGCCCCCATCAGAAGAGTCAAAGATCGGAATGGGATAAACCTACTAGGATCCAGTCCCGGGAGGACTTCATCAGCGATGAACCTGTTCAGCCACTCCTCGTCCTCGTTGCTGATGGCTGCATCTGTTGGAAATTGTTAGTGAACGAATTCCACGAAGGTAGATATGTTAGGGTATCTTTGGGATATGCTTGGAAGAAGCAGCTAAGCCTGAGAATAGTCAAGATGTGCTCAGGTCATGCGAGCAATGGTTACAAGAGCTTGCATTGACTTTCATTCATGATGTATGGAGCTTTTGGAAGGGCAGTGATCATCTTACGCCATCTGTATACGAAGTTAAACTCCGCTGACACTTGGTTGCCAAGACCTTTCGGAGTGCCTTCTGGGTCGAAGACATTTGTGAACGTCTCACGTGGATCGAGCCTCCAGTCAGAGGCCACAGGGTTGTCATTGAGGTTGAGAATTGTGCGGAGATAATCCCCAAGTATGATGTTAACATAGAGGCCACAGGTGATACTAACGCAGAACCATGTGATTAGTCGAGTGCGGTCAGTTCTCGTCTTGAAGATGTTGACTCACAGTCTCCCAGTCTGGAATAGGTCGTTGTCACGCTTGGCCAGTGCCGCTTTATACTCTGGAGTGTCAGGTTTTCCTCGAGGCATGCTGAACCGATCGTTCTCATTGATCGTGGCGAGCTCTCCGACAATGTAGTTGTGGAACCTGTTGAATGCAACCAACAAGGCACACGCTCCAGGGGGCTGGCCAATCAGCCGCTGTTCCGCGAATGTATCCTTCTTCAACATGCCGTCCTTTTTCGTTCTAACCGAATGTTGTTGCTCCTCATCGTGACCATAGAGTGGACCGAGGTCAAGATAGCTTGAACAATCAAGATTGGCAGTCCCGGGCGAGGTCTTGAAGATATCATGGATAATGATCGTTGCAAAGTGGAAGAGCGACGACGAGACTTTAGTGGGACTCTCTCTAGCACGTCCCTCTCGACTCAAAAGCGCTAAATCATGTCAGAATAAGAGATTTGACACACAAAATGGATGAAAATAGCGGTAATCATACAATCGAATATGAGTCCGGGGTCTGGCAGTTTGATGTTCCGCGTATGGGTGGGAATGACGCTGCGTGCATAAGGTGATCCCTTAGCACCAAGCTGTGGGTACATGATGTTCTGCTGTATGTCAATGACGGGTGCCTCATGAGATCCAATAGATGCGCCTACGTTGTTTCTCCCATCCGCAGTCCGGTACTTGAACTCATCTCCCAAGAAGGACATTGGAGGGTGTTGAAGGGCACCCCAGAGGCTTTTGATGAAGGCTCCGCTCAGGTCATTGCGAAGCCGGGAATCATTCGGCAGTGATGCCGCGAGGCGGATGATCTCCTCATACTATACTTCAAGGTCAGTGACATCAGTACTCGCCGGTGTCTTGAAAATGGCACACACAAGGAATTTACGGTCATCAATGACCCCATTGGCGAGGACAGTCTGGCCGAAATTGCGGGCGAGGTTGATATTGTCACCAACGCGTCCTGCCTGGCTATGTAAATCCTCAGCCGCTCTGAGGGCAAGCCCAATGAGGTTAGATGTCTCGTTTCGAGGTTTTGATGTGTCAATGGAAGCCATCCTGTCCTCTGTTTCACACGTGGCAGATCAAGACGGCACAACCTTCAGGGACGCGAAACGAACCAGACGGCCGGGAACAGCATATTATTATACTTGGTGACGTTCTTCTGCAGCAATCCTTGTCACATGCTGGCCAAGCTGGTCTGCAGGCTGCATGGCCCACATGCCAATGTAGCATACAAGGCATACGAGAAGCGCCACTGAAAGACGGGGCTGAATCCATCAGGCCGTATTATGGACAAAGGTCCAGGATGTTCCGAATCCCTATACGCAGTTTGGAAGATGCTCTTGAGTAATCCCTGGACCCTCATTGGAAGAGTTCCGTCTATACTTGCCAGCTGTGGAGTGAAGGTTGCTCATCAGACAAAGACATGTCATGCCCTATTGGGAAGCTTGTCCAGATCAAGCCAAGCGACTCTGGCTGTGGGGCCGGGCCGGCTGACGCCCTCAGGCCTGGGCATTCTTAACTTTCTCTTTCAATAGGATCAGCTTGGCCTACCACCTGAGCGAAAGGACGCGCCTGGAACGGCCCGTGGCTTCGCTTGATCCGTGCAAGGGCTGTGATGTTGTGCAGGTACAAAAATCCTTCCAGCACTCTAGGTTTCACCGAGCCTAAAACGCGAAAGATGAATCCCAAAGAGGAAAGGCGTATTATGATTGAGAGTCTCGGGACTAATCGACCAGGTTGCAATGCAACCCAACCCTGCTGAAGAACCTCCAGTCATCGGACTCCCAAAATCTCGCCACTGACACGAATTAAGTAGTGGTACTTCCAAGAGATGGTGGGCACTGAGACAAACACCCAGCAGGATTTCAGGCTAGGCAGCAGCGTCATCGCCCCCCAGCAGAGTATTTTTAAAACACATTCACGAGATAAATGATAGAAAGATCGTCCCACATGGTGCGTGCAAGGCTTTCCAAGACTTCATACCCGATATGGCAGTAAATTGGCGGACAAACCCGTCACATGGAAGAGAGCGTATGCACGTGGGCACAATCTTACACTTTCACAACTTGATGGGCTAGTTGCCGTTATCAGCAAGGAGATACGGGCAGGAAAGCAGCTGGGTGTGGACTATGTGCCATTGATAAAGTGGACAACTTAGCATTACTGTTGACGTGACCAAAAGTACCTGGATATAAGATCATCTCGCACTTGAAAACCGACGGTGTGGCTCCTTCATCCGTGAACCATTCCTCCTGGACAAGCTGGGATCCGCCCGCAAAGCTGAAAGCCTGCATGCATGTGCGTGGAGCTCAGCGGAAGCAAACAGCCACTGAAGTGGACATGTCCGTACCAGACCCACTGATGAGCCCTACGCTTCTGCAGCCTTCAGGTTGCAATGTTCTAATTTTGATGGCTTTAGAGCCCTGGCCCCCTGCTGTATCCTAGCACCAGCAGACCGCCCCCGACCATCCGATGCAACCTTGTTTGTGTCTTGCGATAACAGCCTGGCGCCTGGAGTGTGATGATTTGGAATGCTACACTTTCTCAGAATTCGTGTCTGGATAGCCATGTATCCACATCAATCCGCCGCAAAATCTTTCCCACCTCGTCGATGGCAAAAAAGCGCGTCAGTGTAAATGATGTGGCTTGTGTGCCTTCTTTCTAAGGGAGACCTCACCATATCGGCTTTCGATCAATGATGGGTTAAAAGAACTCAGTGTCCCACATATTCTCCTTCACTGGAACCTGGAACGCCATGGACTCGCCCGCGGTTGATCTTTACACCGGTCTAGGGTAGTATCAGGGACGTCCCCAAACGGGCACTACAAATTCAAAAACCAAGAGACCCTTGGACCAACAATACTTGCCCTGGGAGTAGTGCTATTTACCGTCTCCGTCATATTGGTACTTGGGCGCATCCATATTAATCGGAAGAGGCTGGCCGTTGCGGGTTGTATGCCACTAGCGAGCTCGTTCCTGTTTGGACAACGGAACTTGTCAGCTGGCGTTTCACAGATTTTACCGTCGCTGCCTATGCCCTTGAAATCGGCTTCACGGGTATCCAAATCTCCTGCAAGAAACCCATCCGAATGGTGTACAGTATTTGTCATATTCAGAATGCTAAATCCATACAGTGACGTGGATTTTATCGCCATCAGTGGAATATACCAGTTTTCTGGTTTACGCCATCGATCCTTGTTGTGCTACTTACCGGGCACTGCATAGTCTCTGCCCAGATGACTTGCTTGGTCTTGGTCCATAGTGCTACCATCCTCCCCCGCCAAGTGTTCACCAGGATACATACCGAGGTCGCCCGGTTGAAAGAGGGGCGCGAGCTCTTCTTCACATTGTCCGCAGTACATCTCAACTTCAATCTGGTGGTGACAAGATTCTGGAGGAGAGTGGTTTGGGGGGCAAATGTGCTTCTGTGAATCGCCCTGCAAAGAGACTTGCTCCTGGCATAACGTGTCTCCGCCCGACGAGCCAAAATAAGTACTGGTCGATCTGGTGATTGTAGGCAGCTCCGAAAGGTCATCGACCTGAGGCCAACTAGAAGATGGTGTCATCGCGCAAGTGTTCTCCGTGGTATTGTTTGAAAAGCCTCCAGTGTTCGGGGTGTCGATCATCTCCGGCACAGAACATGTGCTAGAACCCCAAAACCCAGGTGGAACGCCATGCAGTTGTTTCCAGTCGCTCAACGGGTTGGCCTCGAGGGGTTGGACGCTGGAGGATTGCCGAGAGAACGTGACTCCGTGGCTTGTGGAGGCCCGCTTCCTTACTTCTTCCAGAAACCTCCGGTCCTTTTGTCTCCTCTCATCGCTGTAAACGTGCTTGAAAGTCTTTCGAATCTTTCTGAAGACCTTGACAATGTACAGGTATCCGTCCTCATGCGTGAGATGGGAGATCCTTTGGAAGAACAGTGTGATGCTCTGCTCTTGGTAGCACTTCTCCTGTACCTCCTCCAGCTCAACAGGTTCTTCATAATCTTGAGAAGATGTGGAGTCAGCACGTTTCAAAGGGATACTCTATGTGTTGTGCCATTGTGAGAAAGGACTGGGGTATCTACTTACGAGGACCTGGAACAGAATGATCTGCAGGAAACAGGAGCTTCCATACTGCATCCCATGTATCGACTTTTTGGCCCTTGCCCCTTGTCATCAAGGCACAGAGCTTCTGCCGAGTAATACCATCCTCTGGATCTTGGAACTCATCACGGCCGCTACGTATCTCACAAACAGGTGTCTGGCGGAGATGTCTTGTGATGTCGTCCTCCGTTGGGAAATAGCGTCGGCATCTCGCACATTGATCGCCTTGGGCATCTGATTGGTGAAATACCTTGATATGACGCCTGAAACTAGCGGTAAGCAGGAGACAAGAAGCATTATATATGAAGATACTTGACGTTGATGGCCACTTACTTAAGCCGAGCCATGCTTGCAAACGTGTTGAAAGCACATTGCTGGTGCTCTCGAATATTGAATCTGGTGGGATGTCGGATTCTGTATGGACATGGAAACTCAGGGCAATCATCTGTCCTGGCTCTTTTCCTGTCTCCCGCCCAATTGTCAGGGTTTTCGGAGTCGTCAGGGCCATCTCCGTTGGGGTTGTCATCGACCCTGTCGTTCTTTTTCCGACGACGTCTATGGCCACCGTCTTGCTTTCTCTTTCCGTTGGCGTTCAAGAGACCTGAGGTGTCTTGACCACCAAGGCTGGAGCCAAGATCTTCGCCATCATCGCAGGAGGAGGAGAGTGATACAGGAAACTTCTGAGTGATACAGAGGCCGTCGTGGTGGCTCCGAATATTTTCCAAGTAAGCATGTGTGAACTTGATGATGGACATACAGTCGTCCGCCATCGGCGTGACCCATTGAGACTTTATGACTAGGTTGGCCAAATTTTCCACAAGCTGTTCGTACTGAAAGTCGTTGTCTTCTTCCTCGGGCGTATTGTATTCATCTCCCGCTGAGACAAAATGAGACTCGGGAGGTGAGGCCTGCGTAGTGGGAGTCTCTGCCATCACATCTGATGAAGAGAGATGTTTAGTCTCTTGATCGCAGTATTGCTTTGGAGCCTCCTTCTCAGCTCTCAAGGACCCCCAAGCAACAGATTCAGCCAATAAGGCTATGCCAGAGTCGTGGGACTGCTGAGAGTGAACTTGGCTCGGGGATCCAGGACTCCGTTCGGTCGGACTATCCGAAGCCCAAGCTTGGACTCGCGGTGCTTCGAAGGATATATTCTGAACACGTTCGAGGAATTCCTGTGTCTTGGCTTGTCGGCTTGAGGAAGGTGTGTGCCCGTGTAGGTCTCGACACCTCTGCAGGGTTGAAGCGATGAAACCCACAGATCCAGATAATGCTCGTTGCGAGAGCTCCCTGGGCGAAAGTTTCGGGCTGCTCAAAGCGATCTGCTGGAAGACTTCACTCAGATAATCAACGCTTTCCAGCCCATAGCACCGTGTCTCAACTTCATCGAGCTCCACGGGTGGGTCAAAGCCTACAAAGAAAATGAAGTTAGTGGACGCGGACTCGAACCCCAAACTCTCCGTGTTCACGATCGCTCATAGTTTAAGTGCTGTTATGCCCGTTTCCAAGGTTGGGAGGATTTCTCACCTTTGAATGGAATATCTAGGCTCAAGTCTGGGAAGAGAATCATCCACACGTCATTCCATGTCTGGACCTTCTTGTCATAGAGGTTCTGTAAGTCTGAGTGACCGATTCCATCCTCTGGGTTCGGATCCCCTGCGTCCCGCGCGCACACTGTTGGCCGATTTACATGGTCAAACAGATCTTCGGTGCTTTCGAACCAGGCCCCGCATCGACGACACTCTTCGCCCGATTTCAAATGGAATGCCTTGATATGACGCCTGTTCTTGGGTCAGCGTGGTCTCTGGAGGGGATCGTCGAGAACCGTGTGATTGCGCACCTAAGATGAGTCATGCTCGGGAAGTCCGACAAAGCGCAAGAGGCATGCGAGCGAACATTGAACCTCATTGGATTTCGCTTTCTGTAGGGACAACTCATTGCAGCTTCCCTGGCACTGTTTCTTCTTGACCTTTGACGTTCATCAAATCCCATAGGAGGACCCGAGTCGGCATCGTCATTGTCATCTGGATCAGAATCGTCGTGTTCATAACGCGATTCACGCTTACTTTCATGTCCGAAACTACCATATAAGCTTAACTTCGCGGGCGTCGATGAAGTAGAGCCATATTCGCTTGAGCCGAATGTCTGATAGATCACAGGTGTCATATTCAAGGTGTCTGAGTCTTCGAGGTCGTGGGTGACACGCTCCACGAATATGCGTGCATAATGGGAAATCGGTGCACGGAGCTTTCGAAGACAATTCTCAGTAAGTCGATTTGAGACCACATTGCAAATGTCCTCAACCAATAATTCGCAAAGGTCGTCTCGAAGGCCTCGGCCTTCAAGTTGTTCGCCGTCCTCATCCGTGAATCTAGAGAACTCATGTACAGAACTTCTAGAGGAGAAGGTAGTGGACTCTCTGCTAAATGATCAGATACTTTGACTCCTAACTTGGTGGTGACTGTAATTCCTTACTTGCTACCGTACTCGCTCGTAGGATGAGATGAGCCATCTTCTGAGCTAATGGGTGAAGCGAAGTAGAAAACGGGTGATCTTAGAAGACATTAGCGCATTTTGTACGGTTTAAGAGTAACCCCGAGGGCTTTTCACATACCCGCTGGTCTTCTGGCCTCGGTTTCGCAAAGTACACGAGGTAGTATTTATAGGGCGAGATGGACTAGATACAGGACGTGGAATCAAATCCAAAGATTTGCATTGAGGCGGCCCAGCAATGTGGGCAGATGAACATGGACTAGGAGGACAGGAATCGGTCGTGGTGCGGGTGGAGAAGAGAGAGTCGGTCATGAGAGATCTGATGGATGAAGTCGAGGCAAATGCGTCAAGTCCGATCAATCTCTCGTCTGTGCCATGACTCTGTATGGCCAAATTTGCTTTGTATAATGAGGTTAACCGCGGGTGCAGCCTGACTTCATCCTCTGCAAGAGTTGCCGTGGAAGCCATGGAGTTTTCCCCTTCCGCATGCGAACAGTGTACATTCAAAGAAGGGGGTGGGGGGGTTTTAAGACGCATCTGTGCCAAAGACTCTTCAAGGCTAATGGTACTGAAGACCATTGCTTCTTCGCGGGCCCCATTGCTTGAAGTTGGGTCTCGTAACGCCATCCTAGTAGCGTCAGAGGAGGACAAATTCGAACGGCCACTGCGAGAAGCACAATGAAGAAAGAGGGTGGACCCAGGAACTCAACCGTTGTATTTCAGGTTGAATATTTCACACAATTTGCAATCTAATATACCCGGTTACAGCGAACGCACGCACAGACAGAGTGCCCCTCAACAAAATCCTTTTCAGTTTTTTTTCTTCCTTTTCCAGAGCCTTGTGGATTTTGTGTATTCTCATCTCCTGCATGCCACCCTCCATTGACCCCTCCCGACAGCCCCAATTTCGCCGCACCCGTTTCATGGCATTGAAAGTGCTGATTTCATTGGCACAGGATTCTCAGTTGGCTGCAGCGAGCTCCTATTATGGCATTCGATCATCAGCTGGGCAGGGTTTACAAGCAGAGTTTTCGTCGAGAAGGGGCCTTTGTGGCATTTCATACATATCTGTATGAAACGGGGCGGACTGAGGCATCACAGTTCATGCCCCCTAACTTGGCAGTAAAAGTGGATCGGAAGCAGCGTTGAAGTCGCCAGCATCAATTCATTCAATCTTGTACGAAGCTCGGGCAAGCATTCTGTCCACAGCACCCTGGGGCAGCCTGTGGTCATCATCGGCATGAGTACGTCGCCCAAAACCGATACCAGATTTGTTCGGTGCGCTGGGAGACCCTATGTTCCCCCACCGATCTCCCAACCAGTCACGTGAGGTATATGAGCGTACCTGTAGGTGGCTATCCCTCGCTTCACTTACTGTTAGCGCAGCCATTACAAGCCCAAAGATCGTACTCTCGGGGACCGGTACCGAGGGAGAGCCTTGAAATCAAGGTTCTCCCCATAGCTTCCAAGGTTGTTGAAGGCCGCGAGCTTGCAATGAAGCTGGTGTTGAAGTGTATGTGGGATTCCAAGCTTTACCAACAAATGTGGGCATTGTGCTCCATACACGACTTCGTATATATCGACAAAAGAAAGGATGAAACCCTTTTGGGGTGCTTGATCGACCCGTGTAGATGATTTGGTCCATGCAAGATCATTATGTCCTCTGCTAAACGCTCACGTGCTTCTCCCCAGATCTCATCGTAGACCGAGCGCCGCTGGCCCAGGGTTCGACCCTGGACATGCATCTCACAGCCGAACCTGCAGGTGCTGAAGAACTTAGAGGCAGACCTCAGTCACGTGGAACCATGCTGCATCGATTGAATTCTAGCTCGTGCTAGATGTCAGCAGCGAGCCGTCTCCTCACTAATGACATTCCGAGTGGCTTGGCCGCTTACGCAGCACATCGCCGCGCATACCAGCACCACATAGATCGGCTAGCTCGTTAGGCGCAAGGCAGGCGTCCGTGAATACGGGGGGCGCTGGGGGCGTCACGAACATACGTCAGGGCGACCCGCAAAATGCGGCAATCAGCTCTCGTCAGACACGAGGAGCTTACTCTGCCACTCCGTACTGTGTGCTGGTGGTGTTAGCCCATCGACCCGAGCAGGCCGGCTCCCCCTCTCGGGCAATATTTCCCCGTATTTGCCGCCGCAGCGCAAGTACTCCGTGCTTCAAGGGACCGCTTAATCAACCAGTCAATCAATCAATCAAAGCGCACACTCCATCCCGTGCCGCAAATCCCGGGGCTGGGGGAAAGGAGGGTGTCACATCGAACCTTGCGGCATTTCGGGCGTCCTGGCATTTCTGGCATCGCAGCAATACCACCTTGGGTAGGTGGCATTCATTTGCAGACAAGGGGCCCAATTGAGCCGCCTTTGCTCCGTGGCTGGTCGGCTGGTCGGTTGGGGACCTTGGCCCGGGGCGCCCCTTTCTGGTCTAGCGGACCGGCGGACCATCCCTTTCTTTGCCCAGCCCGTCCAGACTCCCGTCCACCTTCCGCAAAGGACCCTGAATAGGAAGCGCGATGGCACGGGGAGGTGGCAAAGATGAGAGACGTCCCTTGGGCGTGTGTGCTGTGGTCATTTTAACGGCTGATTACTCTCGAAACATTTTTAAACTTCCGTTAGGAAATTTGGCCGTTTCAAAAGCCCACCCAACCAACACCGTGCGACAGGGTCCGCTTGCCAGTCTGTGAGCTGTGAAGGTGAGACCGATTCCAACGCCCGGTCTTCGCGTCCTTGAATGCCGGTGGCGGCAACGCGCGCTACTGTTCTATACCTCAAAACGTGCTGATGGGGGTTTATTTTTGCTGAAGCATCGTGCGGCAATGCGCCCGTCCATCCTGCGCGGCTGTTTGGATTAGAGTTTCTGCAGGTGGAGCCCAAGCTTCGCGAACCCAAAACGTTGCAATGAGTCGAGATCTCTGGGAAAAACCTAAAGGCGTAACCGGAAAGATGGGATGGGAATGTTTAACGTTCGCACGAGGTCATGCTTCAGGCAGTGAGCCTAGACTGATCTGCCGCCAGCTGTGGCAGGTTTTCTGGTTTTCTGGTTTTCCGGTTGCTTGAGCACACACGCTTGGAGGGCGAGACTGTGGTAGGCGCAGGCACGACACGCAGGCACGTCGAGAGTCTTGTCTCTGCGCCTTGAGTCGTCCTCGTCGTCGAGACATGTTTCAAATCTCTTCCAAACAAAAGGGGTGCGCAGCTGTCAAGGGAGGCAAGAAGGGATGGTCCCAGAAGGGGCTGGAGGGCACGGTAGTGTCTTCAGCACGGACGTTGAGTTCGGCGGGAGCTTGTGGCGGCCTCAGGGCTCAGGCACCGACATTGCGGTAAGGGACCCGCCCCCTTTTCCCTGGTTCCCGAAGCCACAGCGACGGCCAAGCGAGGCGGGCTGGCGAGCTGGCGTACGGAGCACGGAGTACTGTGCAATAAGCGAGCTGCGCAGAACGCCAGCGAAACCTTCTCGAAGGTCAAAAGTCCCCGTGGCGAAGGTCCCATCCGAACCCCCCATGCCCCCATCCGCCCCCATAGGATGGGCTCGCTTCCGGAGCTGGCACGAGTCCCACCGCTGTTGCTGTCGTACATTATCGCTCAGTGCCGAGCTGTGGTGCCAGCGTCAACTGGTGTGGTGCCTGGCTAGCTATACGGTAGCCCAGAGCCCCCGGGCTGGGATGGGTATGTAGGTGGAGCTTGCGTGGGGCCATGCCTACGCGGTCGAAGGGCGGGCGGGGGACGGGCTGCAGTTCCGGAGCAGGACCCAGTACAGGCCATGACAGCGCACCACCGCCCGTTCGCCTGGGGCAGTCAGGCAGTGGGCTGGGCTGCTGGGCGGGGACGACTCGTCCGAGCCCGTCGACGGTGAGTCGGGGGCAGTTGACCGCTGACTCGGCCCAGCCGACTGTGCAGGTCCTGGGGGTCGTGGCGCCGGGCCCGTGAATGTGGATGTGGATTAGCTTCGCTGGCGAGCAGAAGGGCGGTGTTTGGATGTCCTGATGTGGTGTTGAACCTTGCTGGCGTGGCCTGGCCGGGCTGGACGGGGGGGCATCGTCGCATGCACGGCACTGCACAGTGGCAGAGTGGGTGGTGTGTCTGGCCAGGGAGACGGCGCCTACATAGTGTCGATGTGATGTGTATCAGCTAGATAGACCTGTCTAACAGCAGTAAGTGATGAGAGGGCATGATGGACGGGCAAGCAACTCAGGGCATGGCGGAGCTTCAATATAGCCCGGAGCTTCGAGGGACGGCAGCGTCGGCGTCGGCGGGACGGACGGAGTACAGCACAGCGCCGGCCAACCCGATATCAAACTTCCCGGGCAATAATGAGATGGGGGTGGATGCAAGGGGGTCCAGGAGGGGACCTGGGGGCTTTCTTTGGGACCGCCAATCTCAAAGGGTCCTTTCCGCAATTCCGTATTGGATGTCGTGCTTCGTAGGGCCTGGATGCGCAAGAGACAGTCCTGGCTAGCTCGCTGCTCCGGCTCAGCATTCCGACTTGCCGTTTTGGGGGGACGGTCCCAAACGGGTAGGGCTCCGTTCCAAGGCTGCCGTCGAAATTGGAAACGGCCGGGTGCTATGGGTGTGACGGCGACTGTGTTAACACGACCACTACCTACCTGCCTAGGTGCCTAGATACTAAGCAGTTAGCCATGCTTGCCTGCTAAATACGGAGCGGATGAATAAGAATACCTAGGTAGTCAGATCTTGGGTGAGATCGATCATAGTGACAGGCTATGGCCAACCTGAGGTAGCTCGGCCCCCAAGGTACTGTGGTAGGTCCCCAGAGATTAAGCTTGGGGCCCGCCAGAGCTGGTTGACTCGTTGTTTTAGCCATTTCCTGACCAAGTTGCCAAGCCGCCTGTCAGTCCGTCAGCCCACCAGGCGTCTGTGCCTTCGTGCCTTCGTGCCAGCGTTGCTCGGGTCGGTGTCCAGTCTGTGTTGCTCTGCTCTCGTTTCGCGTCCGTGTGTGATGTGCCACACTCTATTGGCCACCACGCACCAGATAGACGCAGTATGATTCATTCATCTCGCCGCCGTCGTGCCTCTAGCAATGGCATCTCTACTGCCCAGGTGCTTAGCTACCCACTTGGGTAAGTACCTACCTTGGTAGTTACTTAGTGCCTCACTCTGCTTGTATTAAAATGGCCTCTGGGCTGCCAGAGCTGCTCGAGTCTCCCTTCTCCGTTGATAAACTGGGCCTGACATGCCCATGCCCAGCCAGCTGCATCGTCCTTCCTTGCTCCGTGGTCCATAAATTGCTACTTCCCCTGCATTGGGAGGGGGGGCCAAACCCACGCCTTGCCTCTTTGATCCACTCTCCCGATCCATCTTCCGCCCCTCAGAGCCCCATCCACCAACCATACGCCAGTGTCGCACCTCCCTGCACATCAGCCGAGTCTCACCCGGGGAAGGGTTACGGGCCCACAATTCCTGAGGATGTATGCCTCAGGCCGCCCATGTCCCCAGCCCGCGCCGGGCCAAGTACCAGGTCTCCCTTGGTCAGGGGGGGCTTTGACTGCGGCCCAGCTTGGGATAAAAAAGGCCACGTTGCCCCATCCCGTCGACTGGTAAGCACACCTCACCACAGTCACGCTCGCCTCAGTAATCCCACAAGGCAACAGCCATAACGCCAGTCATTCTTTGCTTCCTAGCCTGTTTCCCTCCATTACATATTTATCATTTTATCTGTCTGCCTAGCATTTGTTGCAATCTGTCATTTTGAGCATCGCCAGCAGAAGAAGCCACATCTTCAACAGCCAGCCTTGCATCAGTCATACAAACCAACCAACCAACCAACCAAATCCCCACAATTATGCTGAGGCCTTAGTTGATCTCCAGCATATCTCCCCCGTCCTATCTGTGTAATTGTCCACACCCGACTTCCACTCACCAACCATACTGCCGACTGTCTGGAGCATCGAACCCGCATCTCCACTATCAACACCACCATCGACAGACGCAGAACGTCGGACAATTCCAGTACCGCGAACCACCTGCAGGATACCAGCCAAACACCCACGGCTACTACCAGCACCTGCCAGCCCAGAACCTCCAGTTTGGGCCGCTTCCGTACTATCAACCACACACACAGATCTCCAGACACATCAACATGGAGGCCACACCAACACCGTCGCCCCTCGTCAAGAACGAGCCCGTGACCGAGTCTTACCAGAGCCTCTTTGCGGGCGAGTCAACACCAGCGACCATGGACCCATCAGCACTCTTCTCGACCCCAGAGCCTGCGGACGATTCCTTCTCGCCAAGAGACATGGAGACTCCAGCACCAGAAGACGACTCCGCAGACTCATCCGACAAGAAGCCCACAAAAAAGAGGAAGTCGTGGGGTCAAGTGCTGCCAGAGCCAAAGACTAACCTGCCTCCAAGGTACGCACAACCCCTCTTGCTTGGGTGACTCAGCTGGCAAACAACAAGTACTAACAACTTGCAGGAAGCGGGCCAAGACTGATGACGAGAAGGAGCAGCGCCGCGTAGAGCGTGTGCTCCGGAACCGCCGGGCAGCCCAGTCCTCCCGGGAGCGAAAGCGACAGGAGACTGAGGCCCTGGCCCAAAAGAACAAAGACCTCGAGGCTACCGTACTAGAGCTTCAGAGGACCAACCTCATGTTGCAGCAGGAGCTGAAGAAGGTCAGGCCAGACCTGGGCGTCGCTGCTGCTTCACCAAGCAGCAACTCCATGACCCTGTCTCAGCCCCTCTTCCCCTCCCACGAGATGAACGGCCTCATCCAGCCCTCCCAGGCCAGTATGGACCTGATCGAGGACCTGGTAAACAAGTCCAACCAGACACCAAAGACCGTCAACCCGGCCTCCATCTCGCCCGCCCTCACCCCCGTCCCCGAGGAGCTCGAATTCGAGCCCGCCAAGGAAGAGCTCAACACAGCTGCTCCGCGCGCTGCCGAGGCCTCCCAGACTGCCATCTCCACCCCGGTGACACAATATCCAGCAGCGGTATTGTGTAATGACCTGCAGTGTCAACGGTTGGTGGAGATGTCTCCCTCTGGTCAGGCCTCGACGCAGTCGCTGCACCCAGCGCTGTTCATGCTCCAGCAACTCCTGCTGGTGGCGTACAGCTCTTCGACAACGCTGCTCTCACTATGGGAGACGCGTCCGCTGGCGATGATCTCGATGTCTATGAGAGCCTCCTCGCCTCTTCCCCCCACGCAAGCGATCTTGACCTCGATCATTTCTCTGGTGACCAACTCCATTTCGATACCGCCTTTGACGTCAACCAACACTTTGACGTCGACCAGTGGCTCGAGTCCTACGACAACGGAGACGGCGCACTCGACAACCAGCAGCAGCTCTCGCTCCAAGACCCTGCGGCTCCGAACCCTTCGCAAGATTCTAACCTGCAACCGACAGCTGGCGCGTCCACTTCAGGATGCGACGCTCGAGGCATTGCGGTTGAGTCTCACTAGGGCACGCGGTTCCCAAGGGTCCAACGAGCACGAGTCTGCCAGCGGGCTGTCGCCTCTGCTGCCGTCGCCGGAGCGTCTCATCGCTCTCATGTGGGCGATTCGGACCACGGTCAGGAGTATTGAGATCAAGGACCAGGTCAAGCAGATGAGGGAAAGACAACTACAACGGAAGGGAGGACTCGCGGCCGCGGGACCCCGGAACACCAACGCGTCGACCCCTAGAACTACTATTGTGATTTCTAAGTCTGACAAGTTAGCCGGGAGTAAAAGGAAATGGGTTGGTGGAGGTGGTTCTTCCATCACGGATGGCGTTCAGGGCAGGAGGTTTCGTGACCGGGCGGCCTAGGCTTACGCCGGACGCTTCGGTGCTTTGACAATGATTATTGAAGTAGAAATTCTTCAAATAGGAATGAAAGACATCCTACACACCACACATTTGTGCGATGTTACTTGCTGCCTGCCAACATAGTGACTGCTCCCTAGTCCGTAGAACTTGCCATTCCCATCTAACCTTCTGACGAGGTAGGCCATGGACGTACTCCCAGGCCAATGTACGTCTTGACCTTGGGAAGTTGGCCTGGATCCGAGGTCTCCTCGCCAGCCCTCAACAGTCCGCGTAAAATCGCCGCCACATCCACGGCCCCGGGGAGCACATCAGCTTATGGCCCCAGCATCCATCCATCCCCTCTCGGCCGGGCTGCCGGGTCTCACATAATCCCTTACTCGTTTGTGTACTACTTACTGTACTAGCTTGGCCGGCCCGACCTGGTGGGGCCACAATGTTGCTCCATCCGCCTAGGCACCCAGCCATCCATCCCCATCCATCATCACTCCACCTTCCTCGCTGTCCGACAGTGTTCGTCAGGACCTCATGGGAAGCGGCCGAGCCCCCTCGACTGTGCTGTGATCCTTTGGGTTGGGGAGGGGGGGCAGGGTTTGGCGTGAGTAATCTGGAGGATAGATATCAGTGCTAGGTGGGACCAGTGGGCAGGTAGTCCGAGGCTGACGCGATGGGGCCTGGCCTGGTGGCCGTTGCTTAATAAGTACCCTGCGACGGTCGGTGTCTTTGTGCGGGATGGGACTACTGTAGCAAGCAGTCGCACGGGGGAGCCAGCGTGTCGGTGGATGAGGACCATCTAGGTAGCCGAGTAACTGGCCGGATCGGGTGTATTTACCTACCTACCTGACATTGCTTGTTCTTATCAACTCATGCTCAGTCAGGCCTCGTGGCATTGGTAGTTCTTGAGATGATACCCAGCCAAAGTGTACGTATGCGGACGCTTGCCAGTGGTCTTTGCTCATATGACGGGCTGGATGGATGGGCTAGGTAGATGTGGGCGCATCATACTAGTTTCGCACAGGACAAGATAGGGAGAGAGTAGCAAGCGTGCTTGCCGTGCGTGGTATAACGTTCCATTCCCCTTCATGCGGCGCTGTGACCACATCTATCGAATCGTCCCTACTTACTTGTACACACGACAAAGGAGATGGATGAACAAGGGTTGATGTGTATGCATGCCCTCCCCGTTCTCGACCTGCTGCCTGCCTGTGGTGCTGCTCGATTCCCTGGGTATAAATCATCCATGCCGCCGATCTGTATGTAACCTGCATCTTGCAACCCCCGCGAGTTAAGCATGTCGCCGGCCGACATGGATCAACTCCAAGTATCCAGTGTCGTTGTATGGCGAGCGAGGGAGTAGAGTATGCCCTTATGTGGCCATACTCAGACCGGGTACCTCCCCCCCCCCCCCCGTCCGTTCCTCTCAAGCAGTGACGCATCTGGCGTCGGCGTCCATACTTTTTGCTTTCACCCACGGAGACAAAACCATAGAAGCCCAGATGTATATATCCTCCAGTGTCTTCCACGGACTCCCTCACGCCAGCTCCATCCAACCTCCCTCCTTGCCGCAACCGCAGCCCATAGGTATCATCAGCAATGTAACCTGCCCATCACGAATCACTAGTGCTGAAGTAGTAATTCTCCCAAAGATACTCGTAATCCTCCAGTATCGTCCCCACAAACCCAGGCACCCGCCTCCGCACCCCGCCGACAACCCCCTTGACGACATTCTCATACGCCGCGCCGCGCATGAGCCACCACCACATCGCGCGGCCCCGGCGCGCCCACTCCTCCCGCTCGAGCGCCGTGCCGCCGGGGGCCGCACCAATAGGGCCTCCTCCCGAGCCGCCGCCGCCGTCGCGCGCCCGCGCCGCCAGCTTCCGCGCCGCGACCTGCACGCTCAGCCCGACCAGCCAGGGGGCCCAGCTCGTGCGCCTGCGCGAGGGGTCCGTCCGCGCGAGCGCGAGCGCGTACGCCAGCGGCGCGAGGATGTGCAGCACCTCGGCCGCGTGCGCGGAGCCCGCCAGGCCGTGCAGCAGCTTCGTCGCGGGCTTGATGTCGTCGGCCGTCAGGACGCGCGAGAGGAGGTAGCTCGAGATGTCGCCCCTCGCCGGCAGGGAGGGGAGGACGAGGCCCGTCCGGGGCATGGCCCACTCCTTCTGGGGGTTGGGCGGCGGGGTCGGGGCCGGGGTCGTGGTGTGGCCGTTTGGTTTGTGGAGCGCCCCGTTGCCGTTCATCTTGCCGTTTCCGTTGGGGTGTGGGGTGGTGATGGTGGTTCCGTTGCCGTTTGTGCCGTCGTGCGTGACGAGGGCGGCGGCGGCGTCGCCGTTCTCCCCGGCGTGCTGGCCGTGCTCGGACGAGGCGTCCTCGCCCATGAGCTCCGCCAGCGCCTTCCCGTCGTCCGCCGCCGCGTCCTCCTCCTCGTCTCCCTCGCCGGGCTCGGGCACCTTCTCCCTCTCCGGCAGCACGGGCGTCACCAGCGGCCTGCTCCGCGTGATCCTGAGCAGGAGCAGCCTGCAGAGGGCCTTGGCGGCCTCGATGATGACCACGACGCGCCACCGCACCGCCTCGCCCCTGCGCTTGGCCCACATCTCCAGCAGCAGCTCCGTGTACTGGACCATCTGCAGGACGATGGCGACGCGCCGGTACAGGGCCGACTTGGCAGTCCAGAAGCGGGTGTAGCGGGCGTGGAGGGACTTGCTCAGGGCGGTGGGGAACCTGGCCGGGGAGGAGGAGGAGGAGGGCGAGAGGCTCGAGCGGAAGAGGAGGAGGTCATGGTAGAGCGAGAGGAGCTGGACGGACGAGTGGATGGATTCGGTTGCGAGCTCGGCGTCACGGAAGCGGCCTGTGGGAGCAGGTTTTTGATGTGAGCACACGAGACTCAAAAGGGAGAGGAGATATGTGTATATGTACCTGGTATGATATACGTCAAGGAGCGCAGGGCAGACTCGAGCTGTGCGACCTGGCTTGCGTTCTTGGTGACAAAGTCATCGTACATGGCCAGCCACTTGGGCGGCAGCGCGAGGGTGTTGCGCAGGTTGGCCAGGGGAGGCGACCATCTGGTCTTGGTGTGTGCATCTGCCGGTGTCGACATGACGGGCAGACGACCGGATCAAGTCATGAAGAATGGAAATGGCAAGGGGTTCGAGGTATCATCAGAGGGGGTTTGGTGAGGAGGGCGTTGCCAGTCGCTCGGGGCATCGATCAATCGCCCTCGAGGTGATGCCGTCGGTTGTAGTGCGAGATGGCGTCGGCTGGGGCTGGCAGTTGACGTCGTCCCTCGCCTGGCTTGGTGGTCGTGCCTCGGCTCCACGGTTGGTGGGACTTTACCACTGCCGTTAACATGCCTCAGCCCAGCTCGGGTGCAGATGTGTTAGAGCCACTCACATGCCGATGCCAGCCTCCCAAGCATGGTCGCTCAGCTCACAGTATCACCATGTCTTCCATCCATGTCTTCCATATCGCTGTATATCTCGATGTTATACTGCAATTTTTGGAAAGCCACGGCAGATGTGTATTGAAGCGTTTGTTGTTCCCAGCTCAAGCGCAAAATCATGGAATGCGTCTTGCCCCAAACCGCAAGGGATGCCGACATCAACCGGACCATGACGGAGCAACGAAGTGACAAGTCGTTTAGAAATGTTGTTCACGAAAATTATGAACAGAGACAGAGCCACTATAGCATTTATGAGGTCTCTCGGCAACAGGTGCTGAGTTGGGACTGTATCTACGACCTAGCACAGGCGTCGGCAGGGCTCAGCAACTGTAGAAGGGACACACCGCATAGAAAGCAGAAGAAAAACGCCGAGGAGGTGTTGATAAGGACTTATCATTGGCTCGGTGGGAAGTCCCGTGTTGCGTCAGTCTGGATGGACTCAAGGCTCAGAAGTTTCCTCCGTGGGGACCACTGACGCCGACGACCCCAATCATCACTGTATGATCAGGGCGGACAGACACTCGGCCATGACACACCTCACACCCAAAGTGCTGTGACTGTCGTGTTCAAGTGCCGAGAGACTACGAGGCCGTGGTGTAGCCTCAATCATGCCGTGTAAGGCAGGGTACTACCTCAGATGTCGGTCGTTCCTCGCACCACTTCACACCTGTACCAGCCATTGTCCTTGTGATACTGTCAGGGGCCTTCTCAAATTATCCCACAAGCCGATAGACGCGGACGCATGACATCAATTGCAACGTTCAATCGCCTTCGCATTGTGAGGAGAGTGGCCATAGCTAGGTGCCTCCCCCAGGAATGGCGACGAAGGGAAACCCTGGTCTCTCGCAACTGGAAGGGCACCCAGGTTGGCCAAGAAGGCTCAGGATGGAAACGGTACACGAAATTAAATGTGCTTTTATTATCGTAGAACATGCGCAGCATGCTCTGTCCAGGCCGGGTAGCATCAGACACGCAAGTAAGTGCCTGTGCTCCCATAATCAGTGCCGTAGAATAAAACGCCCTCGTCGACCAACCTCCCGTTGCAAAATAAAAGAACGGTTTCGTGATGTCGTAAAAAAAGATCGCTTTGGGTATTGTTGATATCATGCCTCCCCGTGGCCAGTGCCACCTCCCACTTCCCCAACAGTAACTGGACAGGTAAATACATTCCAACTCTTTAAACGCAATTAGCCCTTTCCGGGGGACTTTGTCGAATATCCATACTCGTACTCGTCTCTTCGATTATAGTAAATGTCGCAACAGCTTCAAGAATGTTCATGTCTGGGCCGCTGCCCGTTCGATCTGCAGACTGCCGGCACCTGTGACCGGCTACTCGCTGCACCTGTGCCGTCCGATTGCGAAGCAATTCACCCATCACAAACGAGTACAACAGACAAAAGGGTCTCTTTGCGGGACCGCACTGTAGTAACGGCGCTCATACGGCCGTTCGAGGCTTGAAGTCATCATCCACATCCAACTGCTCATCCGAGATCAGCGGCTCCTCAGGCCCGTCAAAAACCAGTGGCTTGGGCTTGAACTCGTCGCTCACCTCGAGCTGATCATCATTCATCAGGGGCTCCCGGCCGGTGGCTGACGCGTCGCTGACGGTCGGGGCCTTGCTGGAGATGGTCTGGTCGTCCCGCACGACGTCCTCGCCCGGAACCCGTGCAGCCTCAGTGACGGGCGCCGGCTGGGCAGCACCGAGCTCCTTGCTTGGCATCGTCTCGAACGGGGTCTCGAAGGGCGTCTCGAAGGGCGTCTCGAAGGCCGTTGCGACTTCCTGGACGGGCGTGGCGTCGTCATCCTCGAAATCCTCCCCAGTTTCCTCCACTATTGGTTCAGAGGAGACGTCTGCTCCGGCGCCCGCCTCGTGGCCCTGACCCGACTCGGCCTTGGGAGTGACTGGAGAGTCCTGGGGGGGCACATCCACGCTGGTGGGTGGCTGAATGGCACTGGCGGCCGCGAGCGATCCCCAGCCGGGCCCGCCTTTCTCCACGAAGGAGTTGATGATGGGTGACTCGAGGATGACGGCGCCAGAGTCGCGGGTGTTGCTGTGGGTGGGGAATTGGTCAATCAGGGCGCCCCGCTCAGACGAGGTGGGTGAGTCCTCATCGTCGTGGCGCTGGATGGGGTACTGCTCCGACAGGACCGAGCTCCGGCGCAGCTCGTCGTCGGCTGCTTCAGTCTCACCCCGGACGTCGTCAGCCGCCGGCGTCTGTGCAGCAGCAGCATGCGTCGGCTCATCTGCACCCGCACTCGGCGTAGCCCCGCTTTCCTCGGCAATGGCAGGTGCAGGTGCGTGCTCGTCCCGGGCGGCAGGCGAGTCGGGACGCACGGGCACGAGGAAATCAGCGGGCCGGCCGTACAGGCTGTTGGTGACGGGGAGCCTGATCTCTGTGGTCTCGAGGAAGCCCTTCTCGTCGAGGTGCACATCGTCCTTGGCGAGGTCCGGGTTCAGTCGCGGGTTCATAGACCACGGGCGTGGGTGACGACGCAGAGGGCGGACGCCGCCCCGGAAGAAGGGACTCATGGCTGTGCTGTGCTGAGGTGGCTAGTGGAGGGAGAGAGAGAGAAGTTGCAGTTGCAACGTGGGGGAGGAGCTTAAGCTTCTGGTCGGGCCGGCTGTGTCCGCTGTGGTGGGATTGACTGATGGCTGATGGCTGATGGCTGATGGAGGGTCTGTGTATCTCCCGAGAGTCTCTCTAGACGAGCGGCACGGGTGCTCTGACGTTGGTGTCACCAATTGCTTTGATGGATTGAATGAACGACTGCGAGCGAGGTGTCAGCGAGGTTGTGGTGTGTGATGACGATGATGGACGATGGCTGGGTCTGAGAACCGGGATCGAAGATGAGCCTCACGCAGCAGATCAGCTAAGTACCAACCCGGCCTAGGTATTTGGATTTATTGTTACTATTGGCGAGGGAGCTGCAATCCTGCTTTGGGGGGGAGCAACAGGCTGACATGATGCAGTTGCGGGGGCCCTGGCTGTGGCACCTTCCGGTTCTCAGTTACCCGTTCGGGCAGTAGGGGCCACATGGGCTGGGCGAGAGAACCGCTCTAGTGCAGGTCGAGCAAGGTTGGTGGGTCAGATGTACCATGTACAAGCACCTGCCCTAGTATTGTGGTTGGGGGTCTTGGTACCCCGTTCCCCAAACACCCCTCCCCCAACCCCTCGGCAGGTAGAGGCGACCAGCTGACGGGAGACCAAGGAAGCAAAGGAAGGCAATGAATGGGCTGGGGCTGGGAGGGAACCCGAATTGCAACCTCGGAAGGGCACAGACAGGAAGCGGCTAGTCCATCCCAGGTGCCGACTGGTCAAGCTTCTTCATTCACTATCACATAGGTGCTACCTTGTTCGCTTCTCAAACTGCACATCTAGACTTCAACGTTGCCCCTACTGTTTGGAATCAGTTTCCATTTTCAGCTATGGCTTGAATGCACATACGTGTGCTCGAATGGGGCCCTTCTGTTCGCTCTTGAGCGTGGCCTTGCAGACTGGAGCTGCTTCCATGGTCGATCCACAGACGGGTGGTCAATTATTGTGACCGTCGTCAACACCCACTTCCGCTGTATTTTACATTAGAAAACAAAAACGCCATTCCCTCCACATGCACCATCCCTAGCCAGGAGAAAGGGTATCCTTCGACGGTTGAGACAAAGCACAAATCATGAAACTCCCTCCGAAATGCAATTCCTTCCTGCCTGGTCGTCCAGGCCAGGCCTTATTGAAAGCGACTGCAATGCCTTCAAATCAAACCGGATCACGTGGGCTAGTCGGCCATAATACCACACGGTCCGGGAGCACCCGCATCGCTAGAGTCATCCGACTCGGTGCTGAAGTAGACCGTGGCGTCGTGGCCTGCCGGACAAGTCGAGTCCTTGCCGTCACCCGTATCCCAGCCGACGATGAGGGCGCAGCGGGTTCCGGCGAAGCCCGAGCTCGCGTAATATGCCCAGGAGTTGCAGCCGTCTTTGTTTCTGAAGCAGCACGCGCAGCAATCTTTTGCGTTGCTCGCGGAGCCGCAGTAGGCCGTCTTCCAGCCGCCGTTGCTGGGGCCGCCCTGGACTCCCATGAACGAGACGGAGGTGAGGAAACCGGAAGCATCAGCGCACTGGCTGGGGGTGGGGACCTGGTTAGAGATGTACTGTTAGTGCCCAATCACGTTGAACGGCAGTTGGGGAGGAATTCTTGCATGCAAAAGAGGCACCACCTGGCTGGGTTGCCACGATGATGCCCCGGCAAGCGGGACAGGGTAGGGAATACAGAGTGGGAAGAGGCCATCGAGGACGATGACGACTTCGATGGAGATGAGGACACGGAAACTGGACTAGTAACCGTAGAACGCACCGAAGATCCCATCGTAGAACCAGACGTGGTGGAAAAGGTCTCAGTGCTCATAGTAGCAGAGGTCGAGGTGGGCGTAGGCGAGGTGCTGGAGAATATCGTGGTCAGTAACGAGACAAGACAAATCACGACAACAGAAATGAGGCATGATGAGGCAGGCGACTCGGCCGTTCGTATGAGATGAATCAATGACTCACCTGGGGGTAGCTCCGACCGCGTGGCTCTTCGCATTGCCAACCACGACGCCGACGATGGTGCCAGTAAGGCCCAGGACCAGGAGGACGAGCGTGATGATGAAAGCGGTCCTGTACTTGCGCCACACACTGGGCTTCTCTCCCACGTAGACAACGGCAGCGGAACGATGGTCGCTCAGGTCGTCCGGTTCCACAACAGCGCGAGTGGAACAGCCAGACACGTCGAACTCGATCTCCGACAGCCTGGGGAACGTCTCGAGCTCCGTTCCCTCCTCCTCAGGAGTCACCGCAAGCTCCGGCAGGGGGTTGGCAATGGCCTCTGCGTATTGAGAGTGCCTAATGTTTCCTCCCTTTGGGGTAGAAACAAGGGTGGTGTTTCCCTCAGCCGGGCTCGAACCTCCCTCCTGGTGCTGGTGCGAGCCGAGCGTGCTGTTGGCTTGGTCTGCCATTCTCTTCAATGGTGACAGCTGTGGTCAGGATGGCTGCAAACGAAGGGGATGAGAAAGATCTTTCTGGTTGCCTGAGGTGTGTTAGGCAAACGCAGGCTGCAACTTGTCACTGTTGCGGTGAAAGAGGGAGAGTGAATGTGTGGTGGATGAAACAAGCGAGGAACTGGTGGGACAGTGAAGATGTGTTACCCGTCGCTGTTTGCACAGTCAAGGGAGGCCAGTAGATGTGTGAGACGTACTTTGAAGCCTCAACCACTTGAGCTTTGGCCAACAGGTCATGTGTCCAGCTCGGATCTTGCTTGTGGGTTGTTCACTGGAGAAAAGTGTTGATGGTGCCTGTAGCAATCTAGGCTGTTTGTGTTGAAAACAATGAGCGGGTTTTTGGGTGCCGGATGTGGTACAAGTGAATAAGAAAACCGGGTTCGAATTCATTACCAATGTGCAAAAGTGAACAGGCCTTTAGGCCATGAGTTTGCTGCTGTATTTGCCGAGTTGCGGCTTCTTTCGCCCCTTTTCTGCATCCAAATGTAGCTTCTGCCGGGAGCTACCGACTTCTTCGCGCTGGAATAACTTGATACCTGATAATGGCTTAGTCTCACGAGTAAACACCTCTCATGAAGACATGGTGTGCTTTTCTGGTATGCCCTCAACTCAAAGTAAGCCAAATGAAAAGATGGTACGGGTCCATTTTTGGAGTTGGCCGCAGCTGCCTCAGATATCAACACCCAGGGATAGCTTAAGGGCTGTGCCATTGACGGCAGGGGATCAGCCATGAATCAAGGCTCGGATGGAGCTAGATGGTGCTGCTCCAAAGGCCAAAGAATTTGTTGGTGCTGCCGTCTCTTGCCAGCACTGTTTGGTACCAAATGTATGTTGGATCCCAATTTCACCCCTCAGATGTGGCACATCAGTGGCGATCGTTGACAGCTTCAGCTTACCTAGCCTGAGGTAGTAACCTATGCCGCAGTCATCATCTGATGAATTTCGGGTGTATAAGCCCTAGGCTTGTAATCTCAGCCAATTTCCAGGTTCAAGGAAGGGAAATCATGGAGTTTTCGAATTCATAACTTGATACCACAGCCCTGGACAAGAAATCTTTGCCAGACAGAGCGCGTCGTTCGGAACAGATTCACTCAGAGAGGATGGCCTTGCACTCATCACAACTGCCTTGGTACCTAGGTACCTAGGTAGGTACAACCTCATGCCCAGGCCGCTGTTGAGATTCGTCCCTGACAGGTTGAATTCTAAGGTCAGTTTGGAAGCAGGAACCCTGACCGTCAAGTGACATCTGGAGGCAGTAAGGTTCGAGGAGGAGGCGTGCCTTCCCACACAAGCTGATTCCCATAACGGAGGCAATAAGAACCTGCGGGTGTATGTTTACTGCAAAACACGTCACCCGCCCAAGGGGGGTTCCGACAACTTCGACATTTCACACTACCGCTCATCGTTTGAACATCATTGACCACAGCTCATCAAGCTCATCACTGCAAATACGTTATTTCCATCAAACCCCGACTACCATTAGAACCCTGCTCTATCGGTGGAGTGACCGACGCCGACGATACCGCGGAGTCGCCCATCTCGTCAGACCGCATTCGCAAACGTCTTTCGTCGGAGCAATGAATGCCAACCAGAATCCTACCACTGTGAATGAGGCCCAAGCTCCCACACCAGTCGTGGCCGACCAGCAGACTGAACAAGACCAAATGCCTTCCGAGCCCGTCCAGCAGACTGCCACACCACCCGCCGAGGCGGGCACTGACGACCCTGCCCTCAAAGCGCTGGCTAACGAGCTTAAAAGAGTCAAGGAGAAGCTCAAGGCCGAGATTGACGCCCTGATAGCCCAGAATTCAGACATCCAGGCGAGGCTCCAGCAATGCGAGGAGCAGCTTGAGAAGCAGAGGGCAGAGTTGTACGAGCTAACTGCGGAACCAGACCAAGCAGCTTTGGAGCCCGACCTAGCAGCTTTGGAGCCCGACCTAGACCCTCCTGGTGTGCCAGAGGGCTACCCGTGGAGTGGAAATCCGTGGAATGGAACTTGGGAGGAGGCGAAGACGACCGCTTCAGTGCATTCGACCACTAGGCACCACTGGCTCGTGGCTATGGACTTATTCATTCTGGAAGAAGCAACCAAATATCGGAACGCCCCCAGGGGAACCAGGAATGATACATGGAATGAAATCAGGAAGAGGTGGGGAAAATGGAATTTTGGATTTGAGCTCAGCCGACATGGGTTTGTTTTCCGCTACAACTATCTGATCAAGCGTAAGGATGGGAACGTATAATATGCACCTGGAAGGGAGAGGAAGAAACCATCGGCGCAGAATTCAGGGCAATCGCCCTCGACAGACTGAATCAGCAGAGCACCTTTCATATGACGGCCTCGTATGGCTTGACCTCCCTTGGGACAATTGACCAGTTATATTACAACCTCCTAGGAGGAAAACTTCAATAGGAGCTCTAGAGAGCCTCGTACAGAATACCCTCCTGTGCGAGGACCTTCTATTGAATAGAGTCCCAATACATGTATAAACTTCAATAAGATGAGGTCCAATGAGATGATCTCTCATGTGATGATTTCCCAGAGGATGATCTCCTATAGTATGAATTGTTACGCCGTACAATCCTAAAGCATGATTCTGTCCTTCATAGACTCTGGTAGTATGACATTACATAGCACAATGCCGTATTTAATAGGTATGTAACCCCCCATAGTATGGACTCTATGTAAATCCTGCTAGGGCATGACTTACTGCGGCATAACTACCTAATGGATCGCATCATGGCGGATGAACTCATGGGGAACGGCCTCGGACAGACCAGCCTCCTCAAGCAAGCCTTTGATCAATAGGTCCAAGTCCTATCAAAAGAAATTTCTCACTGTATGATAGATCGGGGATGCGGTAGCCACAGGAAATCCCTTTGAAAGAAGCCTTCGACACGTTCTGGACGTGGCTTTGTGAGTGTAGTAATTTCCATGATCATTTCGCAACTGTGCAGTGGAAAATGCAGTATTCTGATCGGTAATCATGCGCGGAATTTATATAGCTGACCTTGTGACAGGTTCTTGTCGGGGGCGGAGGCGATGCTTATCACTGTGACTGGTTGACCTGTCGAACTACACTAGAGGGTTGCTTACTATAAATTTTATTAATCTTTTGGTTATTAATTGGGTTCAAAGTCATTCTTGGGGTACTCCTCGTAGGCTCCGAGATTGCTGAGTGCGGTGCTAGTCTCCTAGTCAACGCCCGCGGGCCGTCGCCAGAACCGATTCTGGCTAGCCTCGTCCGTGCGGCTGTTACCAGACTTTGGCTAGTGTTGATGACTATGTTTCTTTTGCTGATGAGAATTATGCGTTTCTATGGTGAGTATTCGAGCGTTGACTACTGCATCAAGGGGCCGAGTACCTAGGTACGCCTTCAGAGATGCCACATGGCAGCACGGGTTTAGACCGAAGCTACGAAACCTGCATGCGGTGGTCTGCGTGAGGTGGCTTGAAGCATACGATGGTGAATTCCCAAGGCTGTTGCTGTGACGAGCATGGAGTTCACTTCGTGGCTGGTGAATGAACTTACCATGCTCCAGGACAATAACCTGATGCTTGGCCGTAATTCAAACTATTTGACCCAAGTCGCACACCAACGACTGGCTTTTCTCAACCTCATCATACTTCCACCAAATATGAGCCCCAATAGGGATGCCCCGATGTGGTGTACATCTGCGGAGGCGGCATGCTTACCGGTGCTGAGCCGTCAATACAATGGTGGGGATTTCGTCGTAGATGAGCGAGGTAGAGTGCCGGTTGTCAGCAGATCATCTCGAGGTAAGAAGCTTACAGAAATGCATATCCAGGGACATTATTTAGCTGACAAGCTCTTCGCAAAGATTCTAGAAGAGCAATCTTCAATTTCGAGGGGAACAGTGACTCAGGGCGATCCCCTGCCGATATCGAGACTTCCACACAACGCAAGACTGTTTCCTTCGCCCCACGGGTGACCACCATTTCTGAGAAAGTCACTGAGATGAGAATTACGAACCCAGCTTGTGGTCTTTTCAAGTTTGGACGGGCTTTGACTGCCGTGTTCAACACTTGCATGCCTAATAGTCCGAATCGTGCGGCAGAGGATTGTCAACGCCCTGCCGAGAGCGCTAGCGACCACATGAGAAATGTGACGGACATCGGCCGACCTGGTCAAGAGAACGGTAGGGCTTCGAGAACCGAACGAACCTATCCTGTACGATCGGCTATGCGCGGTTCGCGTCCTCGGCGGCCGACGGATTCCTCCAGATGCGTACGGTTCGCCGAGCCCACTTCGGTATCGCAGAGCAGCCCTCATCCTGTACGATCTGCTCTGCGTGGCTCGCGACCACGGAGGGTGGGGGACTCGTCTAGACATGTTCGCTTCGAGTTGGAGGTATCAACCTGGCTACTTGAGGACGCCGGAGCCTAGAGGGAGTTTTGGTGCGCCAGTCAAACCCTGAACAGTGCAACAATTACCTAATACATGATCTAGGTTCATGGGTTGAACGGAGAGAGAACTCGCCGCCGTACACATCTCCTGGACTGTGCTGTTCAGGGCGCGGAGGGAAACCCCACAGTGTGGCTATCAAATCGATGGCAAAATGTGATCAACGAGTTCACAAACTGGTAACATTTGAAAGCGGCACCATGACGACGTTTCCGGAGTCAAGCCATAGCTAGGTAGCCAAGCGCCTGGACCACAACAGAACGCAGAAGATAGTGACAATCGTGGACAAGCAGCAGTAGTCACATCTCCTCTCCTGACAAGAGTGGCGTTGGCCGATTTTGGTGCGCAAACTGTAGATGCAATAGCTTTTGGAAGGAGAATGAAATTTTACTGCACATGCGCCTGCTGTGCCCTCTGCTAGGTAGCATTGTGTTATGTCTCATGGTTCAACACGTTGACACCGTATGAAAGCGCCATGTATGTCCTCGGACGTATGCGGAACAGAAGCGAAACCAGTTACTTTTAATTCTACTAGTTTTAGCCCTTATGAGTAGATTATCATTTAAGATTTTCGTATTTACATATTTCTACAGTTTTTATGAAGACGTCTTGCTATACTACCATTTTGCGCCGGGCGGCAAGCTTTGCTCTCAGCGGATCAAATATTCGGAACGAAGATCAAGCGATCCGCAGAAACTCAAGGCCGGGAGGGAGGGCAAGTGATATGATTAGTGTTTGGATCAATGTCGGCCTTGCTGATTCATGCTTCAGAAGATGTACTAATGAATGTCAGTTCTGTTTTACTCAGTGAAATCGTGGTCTCTCAGATGGGTTTACTGACCGGGAAGAACAAATAAGGGACTTCCTTTTCGTACTGGGTCCAAGCGGCGCCATACTTCCTGCGGCACCTCTCGATGTCCCTAGTAGCCCTATGCACGATCATGATCATGAAGAAGACGAAGTAGAACCATGGAAATGGGCTCCTAGAGGTGTATGATATTAGCAACTGATACTTCTGCTTAGGCATACGAATGAATGAATGGTCTTACTTGAACCCAGTGATCAAACCCCAAGACATGGAGAAAAACATGTCAGGAACGTAGTTCGGCTTTCGCACGATAGCGAACCAGCCATCCACCAGGATGCGGTCACCAGCATCTGTCTCGATGGTCCTGGGGTTCTCGATGACAATCCAGGGGACTTGGGGAAATGTTTGGCGCTTGATAAGTTGGCCCCTTTCCTGTTGGCGGAATGAGTTCTTCTGGCCATTCGATGAGTCCCACATCCAGTACATAAAGAGGTACACGACGACAAGCGCGGCGAGTGCATAGCGGTTCCAGCGATATTCGGATGGGTTGGTATTTGCAAAGTAGAGAGCACAGTGGCAGTAGGTAAAGGGGACGCCGGCCAAGTTCCAGAAGGTGAGCATGAAACCAAGTTTCTCCCAGTACATGTCCCTGCAGTCACAGTGCGCTGTCAGTGGACTGAAGATTCCAGAGATCTCAAGGTAAAGAACCCACCATGATGTGATAATCAGCTGCTCTCCTTTGGCACATGCATTGGCGTAGAGGAAATGTGCCATGAGTAGGAATAGGACTTCGGGCGAAACATAGCCGTAGTCCTCGTACTGGCGAGTAGCGACTGAGGCGGTGACCAGGAATAGAATGAACCAAGGGATCCTGACTTCGTAGAACATTTTGAAGTCCAGGATCCCAATGCGAGGATTCAGCTCGATGCCCATGAAGAAGTCGTACAGAGGGTACCCCGTAGGACGGTGTGTCCGGCCCCTCAGAATGGCTTGGACGTAGACGACCAAGCTGTTGAGGTAGCCGGAGATAATAGCCACAGTCATGATCGACCCGAACTCATCGATGAGTGTGTACAAAGGGAAAAGACCGGTCAGGTGCAGGGCAGCGGCAATAGCGATGGTTGCATACCAGCTAGAATAGGCGGAACAGTAGTACGGCAGCTTCCTTCCGCCCTCGTGTCGCAATGGTCGGCCCTGGGTCATGACTCCCGGCATATAGCAGTACCTTGAAACTTGTCAGTGTCTGCCAGATGAAGGGAAGGCTTGGTTGAACATACATGACACCCTCGGCCACAAAAAAAGTCCAAAAGATAGCCCAAGCCTTGGCTGTCGGGTAGGCCCCCTCATACACGAGTTGAGCCAGGTGATGGCCAAACTCTCCCCAGGTTTGACCTGCAGCTGGCAAGGGCAATCGACCTTCATAGTAAGTCGCTCCGATCCACATGTACCACATTACCAGTGGGAAGCTGATCATGAGAGCTGTGACTCCGAGAGAGCCACCAAATTCGAATTCGTCGGATTCGCCATCGTTGTATTTTGGTTCTTGCTTCTCGACTGCCGCATCTGTCGACTTCTCGGTCGGCGCGTTCCGGGTCCTGCTTCTTGTCGCACTCATCTTCACCAGCCTTTCTGAAGGACTATGATCTCGCAGAACCTCGAAGAATTCAGTTGTATTTGATTGAGGAGAAATACAATGCCACCACGTGTCTTCGAGTCTGGTACTGATAATGGGTGTTTAGAGACCAGCATGACGGGCGGGAGGTCCTCATAATTTATCAGTGTTCGGACTGCACTCAACGAGTTCATGCCAGGACTTCAGACTGGCAAGCCAGCAGGGGCAACCCCTTTCCCTCGCGACCCGTGTTGAAATCCAAGATTCATTTCCGGAAGCAAGATGGTAGTAGTAGGAACGACAACAATGCGGCATATGAGATCCTGCGGAGAGGGAAATTCATAGCGAGCTTAGCGCGACTCATACCCCGGCACCTGGGCATGTATTGGGTCTGGCCAGCTGCGGGACGAGAAGTTGAAAGCGAGCCAATCGCCATCAATCTGAAAGAACCCGCCTTTCCTCTTTCGTCCGGCTCCCCAGGTGCGGCGGCTCCTCTTCTTCTCCCAACTCTTTCTAGCCGGCTGCTCCGTCCTCCAGCTCCGCTGTGGCAAGTCAAAGCGATTGGCCAAACTCTCCCTACCACATCAAACCACAACCTCGCCGACGCTCGCCGTCACTACCCAATTTGCAAGGCTGTCCGGGAATAGCCTTGCATCATGCCCGTGACTAAGAAGCAACGGACAAAATGCTTTACTGGTTGCTGGACTTGTCGGTCCCGTCGAGTCAAGTGTGACGAGTAAGTGTGCCAAGGATCCGTGGGCCCCATCTCCGAACTCGTGACACCATCGCCAGTCGCTGGGTGCAGTGGAGGACCCTTGAGAAATACACGGTGTTCTAACTTCAACGCCTCTCAGGGAGACACCAAAATGCTTGCGTTGCCGTCAAATGGGTCTTGAATGTGAGGGCTATGGCATCAGGCTAACCTGGGTGCCATATAATCCCCACACAGACGACGATCACGGCTCCGTCGACGATCTGCCGCGGGATGGAAGGGCTTCCAGACGCTCATTGCCGTCTTTTGGCGCTGCGCCAGTAATCGTCCGCATGACCTCTCCGGATATTGACGAATCATTGACACGAATCGATGCGTGGTATCCTGGGGAGTCTTCTGTGCTAAACACGGGAGCATTCTCAGTCTTTCCAGTAACCTCTTCAGGACAAGGCCTCTCGCAACCCGATGAACCTCATTTTCCGGAATCTGACCGAGCCCGCCTGAATTTTCTCGAATATAGCACAACACCGATAAACACCCCTGGCCAGCTTTCTGCTGCCACTCTGGCCCACACACCAGGCGAGGCCACTGATGCTGGTGAAGCAACGAGCTATCCTCCCCGGCGTTTATGGGAGGGCTCGGTCACAGCACAGCCCACCCCAGACGCAGCCAGGGTGCAAGATTGTGGCACTCTTACCGATACCGAGTTCTCACTTCGACCAGTATCACATAATCCCTCAGACTACCATATTCGTGAGGAAGTGGATCAGACGTCTCAAAACGCTGCCCAGGATGTGTCTCATCAGCGTCTTGTTCGCGGCCCATCGCGCCACCTGGATGCAATGCCCATGCCATCAAAGCAAAAGCGTCTGATACACCACTGGGTTACCTTCACCAGTAGGAAGATTGTCCTTCTCGACGAGCCGCACAACCCCTGCCGCACTATGATGCTGCCCATGGCACTGAAAGGCCTTGTTTCCATGGCAGATGATTCCAACGCCGATGTGGCCATCTTCCACGCTATTTGCTCAGCCGCTGCTTATAACCTGTTCGAACTTAGTGGGAGGACCACAGAGCAGGATCATGTCTTGGCTTTACACCATGACGGCGAAGCCATTCGCCACCTGCGGCATAACCTGGCCCGGGCCGACGAGCACCAAGGCCAGTCTTGCGCAATGGCAATCATGGCCTGTATTGCTGTCGAGGCCGTGTCCGGTACGACCCAACGGTGGAGGACTCATGTCTCCGGCGGTCTAGCCTATCTTTCCAAATTACAAGCCCGGGGCGTTGATGAGATGGCCGTATCTGCGTTCAGGCAGCACATGGTGAAGATGGCTATACTCTGCGACTTTCCTGTTACTGACGATCTGAAATCGTTTCTGAGAGATGATGGCGGATCTGCGATTGACCTCGAATTTACCTTCCCATACTATGGTGTCTCGAGATCCACGTTGCAAGCCCACGACCGTATCAACACGCTGATCGCCGCTTCTTCAAACAAGACTCCTCCCCTGGAAGGGGAAGTGGACGCTTTCGAGCTGCAGTTGTATCTCCAATTCCCAGGTCTCCCGGCCCAGGTGTTCAGCTCAGAAGCAAAGCGGGAGCATGCTGCCGTCGTCCACCACACATCCGCGGCGTTCTATTATGCTGGGCTGATCTTTTTCCAGAGGAGCATTCGTTGTTCGCCAGTTGCTGCGGTGCAAGAGCTTGTGGAGCTCGGCGTGCAAGAGCTGGAAAATATTGAGGTTGCTGGGAAGGGCAAGCTGGGCTGCATGATGCTGTGGCCTGCCCTAGTTCTAGGGGCTGAGTGCAACACTGTCGGCTCGCAGCGGCGGATGAGGGCCTGGTTCCGAAGCCAGCGGAAGCTTGGTTTCAGGAACCTTGTTGTCTTGGAGGATCTGATTACTTCACTCTGGAGCGATCGAGCTGATCCCTATGCCCGAGTTGAAGAGGCGGATTGGCGTGATATGATTACCCAACCACGATTTGACGTGTTCCGGCTTTAATCCCTAGGGTATCGTGGTGGATAGAATCGTTCGTGGCCTCGCCCTGGAGCCCAGATACACAGGGCAAACCAAGCCACGCCCACATCATTGCTGAAAGACCCCAGGCCATTGGCCCCGTGGTCGACTTCAAGAAGATATCTCAGGCCATGATGAGCTCAAAGGAGGTCAGAACCGAACTTGGCGCCAAGCTTCGGGATTTCTACGCCCGCAGTATCACGTCAATGGACTAGGGGAACCACGATGAGGTTTTCGAGATTTTTTGTTAGGGCCGCAACAACTACGATGCCTTTCGCGAGCGCAAGGGACCGAAGCCGAAATGTGATTCCATTGAGAACAATTCCATCCACCTACTCAAAAAAGCACTTGAGACATCGACGGAATGGGGGCGGAGTCTCTGAACCGTATGGTTTCTCCTCGACGCTGCACATGGACCAACGGCTGCACAGGACCCCGCCTCATGACAAGAGTCTCTATCTCAAAGCCAGCATACTGCTCAGGTGGCTTCCGCTGTCATGTGTGCCATATTGTCTCTAGAATCCCCACGTATAATCGACAGCCATCGCTTCTATTGTCACTGCCGCCGCGCTGCCGCCTATTCCAACCTCGGCGACTTGATGACGGAGTCAGACACGATGATCCCGGAGTCCGAGCACGCGGCCATCCTTGTCAACACCGCGTCGGAGTGGGACGACGCAGGGTTCTGCTACAGGCGCACAGCACAGGATACGTTCCACGCAGCCTACCTAGGTATCTTGCCGGCACCGTCGTCACGGATGCCCCATCAGGAGCTTGTTGTCACGATCAACGCCCTCCGTCGCCGTATGTGCCAGAAGTTGTGTTACAAGCAGAGTATGGTTGAAATATCATTTCACTTTTGATGACAACTAGAACGCTCCTATTGAAGCAAGTGCCTAGGTAATCTATACTAAGGGTGCGTGAAGCTGGTAAGCGGGTACAAACACAGCCCTGGAGGAAGGAAGATGCGTAGGTATTCCACAAAGCATGTATTCTACTAGGGCCTCCTTCTGATCATGTTGGTGTCTTAGTCATGCGATGTTCTGTCCTTCTTCGTGGCTTGACTTTTGTAAAGAGCAGCGAAAGCTGACTCCTCGGGCCCCTTTTCCAGGAGCTTCTGCGGAGGCCCAAACTCCTGGAGTTCGCCCGCATCAAGAACAGCTACCATATCGAAGTCTTCCAGAGCCGTCTCGAGCTTATGGACTATAGCAATCACCGTACGACTCACAAAACGCTCGTGTAGGACACGTTGGACAAGCTCGTCGGTATGCGAGTCCATACTTGCGACCAAATTAGTATCTCAAAAGTGGTGCAGGCAGATAGATGAAGGTAATTTACCTGCTAGTGGCTTCATCAAGAACGACGATGGGCGAGGGACGCAGGATAGCCCGCGCAATGCAGAAGAGCTGCTTCTGACCATGCGAAAGGTGCAGCTCCTGGATGGGCACTTCAAGCCCACCCTTTTCGGCTACAATGGGCCACAGTTCAACGGCCCTCAGAGCATCTTCAATGGCAGAATCCTCGAGCTGCTTAGAAGGGTCCGCATTTAATCGAACGCTGCTTCCATTGATCAGGAATGCATCTTGCGGCACGCCCACCAGCCGGGCGCGAACTTGTTCACGGGGAAGAGTGCTGATGTCGAGATCGTCCACAATTATGCGACCAGCGTGGAGGTCTATCATGCGGAAAAGACAAGAGATCATGGAGCTCTTGCCACTGTAGATGGATACAGGTTAGTTCCAAGAATTAGAAGCACACCAAGGATTTGGAACGGCATTACCTTCCGGTCCGTCCGCAGATACCGATTTTCTGCCCCGCCCCGATTGATATGGAGATATTCTTCAGCACATGTTCCGAAGCTCTATGAGATGATCAATTAGCGAGCCAGTAGTATAGGGATCAATGGTTGGCGAACCTGTATCCGGCTGAGACATTCTCAAACACGATGGCTCCTTTGGATGGCCACGTAGGCGGTGGTTGTTCTTTTTCCTGCGGTTCGTGTTCCGAAGCCGTATGGGCCGTGAAAGATCTGATCCTAGAAATTGCGCCGATCTGGGTTTCCAAATTTGTCCAAAAAGTCATCAACAGCTTTAGGTGCTGGCTAAAAAGAATAATATTGACGAGAGCCACACCGACCAACCCTGTCGGTAGCACGTCTTTGAGCTGGGTAACAATGACCATGACCAGAACGGCGATGGCAGCGACAAACATGTCCAGGACAAACGTCAGCCAACGTTGGACGGCATAGAGAAGATAAAAGGCTCTCTGCGATCGGTCCAACAGTTCGTGATGTCGTTTCTCGAGGGCACTGCGCCAGCCAAATGCTCGCAGCGTCACCAGGCCAGTGACAGATTCGGTGAAGAGTGCGTATAGTGGACTCTTTGCTTCGAGGTCCAGAAATCGAAGCTGACGAGACGTCCGCAGATAGACGTGCTGAACCGCCCAAAGCGCCACAAAGAGGAAAGGGAATGCAATGGCCGTATAATACGAGCCAGCAGCGATCAGGATCACTTCGGCGATGCACAACACAAACGTGGCAAAGGTGTTGAGTGCTGATAGGGGCAGGTCCATGTCGATGAGTTGGAGATCTTGGCTGAAGCGATTAATGGTGACGCCGGCATCGGTGGCGGCAAAGAAGGACATCGGAGCGTTGAGTACCGTTTTGAGCAGGCTCCGGTGAAAATTGTTTCCCGACAGCGGGACCATGGTGACAATCATCTGCCAAGTGCTCAGGATAAGGAAGAGGATTGAGAGCCCACCCAGCATCGCATAGATGCCCAAGTAGTAACCAAGGCGTGTGAATGGATTTTCCGCGTTGGCAGCCGCCCACCAGTTGAGCCAGATGGTGGGGAATGACTGGCAAAAGATGTAGGCGCAGATGCAGAAGACAAAGACCAATGTTGGGGTTATGCCAATGGCGCGGATATAATACTTGTACACTGCTACGTCTCCGGTGCGACGACTGGCCCCGTCTTCTGGGTCATCGACAAGAGCTATTTCAGAGCTCAGTAATGCATCAGCCGAGGGCTCAGCAGCAGCAGAAGCAGCGGGGCCTGGCTCGTGTTTTACGTCCGCTGAGGACGTGAGCGAGCGAGAAACGTAGCCGCCAGAGTCGGTCAGCTTATCAAAACTCCCCTGCTCGCAGCCCATGCCGGTGCCGTCAAGGCTAATGATATGGTCCGCGTAGGGAAGTCGGTTGGCTGTCCCAGTCAGGTCAGTCAGCTCCCTAGAAAGACTTCAAGATATTAAAGATCTGCACATACCGCGAGAAGAGGCCATGATAACAGTTGCCTTGGAATGTCGCAGAATGCCATGAACTCCAAGGAGGTTGTGGAATACGGCATTCTCGGTGTGCGAATCTAATCCGCTGAACACGTCATCTAGGATGATCACATCTTTTCGTGCGTACACAGCTCTTGCTAGATTGATCCGTTGACTCTGTCCTCCGCTGAGAACAATGCCCTTGCTTCCTATCGTGGTGAGGTCTCCCCTGGGGAGTTGCATGAGATCCTCCCGCAGAGCACAAGCATCCAGCACTTGCTGGTACCAGAGCTCGTCTACAGATGAGAAGGCGATGATGCTATCTCGCACTGTACCATTCATGAGCCATGGACTTTGGTCGCAGAACGCTATATTGGAGTTCCAGATCTGGACAGACCCGGCCAGGATGGTCACCTCTCCAAGGAATGCTTTCAGCAGAGTCGATTTGCCACTACCGACTGGCCCCACGACTAAAGTGAGCTTTCCCAGAGGGACCTTGACATTTATTTCGCTCAGTGTTGGCTTCGTGGTAATGTCATACCCAAACGAGCCACCCTCTACAACGACAACGCTGTCGTTGAGGGTAGCTTCTGGCAATAAATCTTGCACGAGTTTAGGTTCCTCCGTGGACGAGGAAGACTTTTCGTCGTGGCCGCTGCTCGAAGATCTAGAAACCGTAGGGCTGACGGTTTTATTGTTGTCATGCCGGATGACTCTTCCATCGACGCGAATGTCAGCACCAAGGAAAGATTGAATGCGCACAAAGCTGCCGACAGATCCCATCAACGAAGAAAGCGATGTGACAAATGAAGTCAAAGGCTCCTGAAGAAGTGCAAAAAGCGATAGTGATGTGAAGATGCGATTTGTGTCAAGATTAGCATCGCCTCCGCGAGACCTGGCGATAAGGCTATACGCAGTGAGAGTCAAGATAGGGGCGAAGGTAGGGGCAAAATAGGCTGCACAAAAATTCTACGGTTAGAAAGACACTTGTAGGGCCAATGGGAAAGCACTCACCCAAGCCCATGTTCCAGATCAACAACCTGCGGAATTTGCCGGAAATTCGCAGTTCCGCCTCTCGCATAGCTTGTATATGAGCGCCAAGCACCTCGGTCAGACCACACATTTTGACACCCTTCATAGCCCCGAGCATCTGTGATGTCACGGCTATTCTCTTCTCAATTGCATCAAGCCACATAGCTTGCCGTGCCATCACGAAGCTGACGGCAATAACAGATCCGATGATAGAGACTGGATGGATTGACAAATGAGTAATCTGGTTTTCAGTTGATTTCAAGCTCGAATAAATCGAATAACTTACAAATTGCGGCAGCAACTGGGATCAGGCATGCAACTCCAAGCTGGCGCTCCAGCAAGAAAATGGCGATGGCGATCTCGACCAAGTTGGCCCAGACGTCATGAGCGGTGCGCCATCCTGTGTCAATCCTTTCGATATCGGCACTCATCAAGGTCAGGGCAGCGGTAGGATCCGCGGTTGTGATGCTGATATCCGTCGCCTTGTCGTACAGCATTGAGATGAGTTGACCACGGGCCATGGTGATGGCGCGAAACGTCAGGTGCTGGTACTGACCGGTCGACACCTGGGACATTTGGAGTCAGCGACATGCAGCCACGGTCTGCATGCAGGGTGTCACCTACCGCTATTCCGACATATACGAGAAACCATGCGCCTATGAGGCCATATCCCCGGCTCATATCGTCAGACACGACATCTGTCTGGACCCATTCCAGTGTCGCTGAGATGAGCAGTGGCTGGCAGAAGGTGAACGCCGCGAAGAGCAATCGCGGGGCAATAATGGACAGAATAGGCCACTTCAGTGTACTCAGAACAGCCAAGAGTAAGGCGTAGCTCCCCTCTCGGGATGCTGTGCGACATCAGTAGTTAATCCTTCACGTGACGTGCATATATATGCAATGGCGTAGGTGGTATGACATACACTGATTCCATCTCGTCTGCAGTGAATGCTGCAGGAACGAAGACCTGAAATGTTTTTCGAGAGGGAACAGGGTCTCAATCTCCAATTTCTTGGCATAGCCAGCACGAAATAGAGGGAGCTCCCACCAAAACGCCCACTGTGAAAAGATGCCGCTCGTGGCTTCTGAAGGTAACTCGCGGTACTGAGGACGTAGAAGATCACGCTTCTCAATTGCCTCGACAGGAAGCATGACGAGTTTTACCACCGTCGCCACAAGGGCAGCAATGGCAGCAGGCCGATTGTAGTCTTGCAGCCATAGTGTCCGTGTTCGAGTAGCGTCAAAGAGGACAGAGAAGAGAAGGAAAACATTGATCAGTGTCGATGGTCGACACGAGTAAACATGCTCAGCGTAGGAAAGGCCCAATAGGCTAAGAGATGCGGCAAATGATACTGCGGCAGCTGGTATGGAGGCTCTGGTAGTGACTGCTGAAGTCTGGGTGCACAAGACGAGAAATCCGATTTGGGAAACAATCAGGAGAAAGCACAGGCTCTGAGGGGTGTTAGAGCGCGGGGGACAGGAGGTATTCGGACAGTGGACGTACGATTTTGTAATACAGCCATTGGCTCTTCTCGACTTTGGCCGTATTCTTGCGCAGGAGGTAGAGAGCTCGACAGGGGGCTGCGAGAAGGAATAAGGCGTTGATGGGCACAACGAGTATGGACTCCTCGAACAACAGCGTCAAGTCGAAACCACCCCTACAGTCACCGGCATGGGGTCCGAAGGAGTCGTCGCATACCGATGAGGCCATGGTGGTCATTGCTGTATTCACAAACTCGACCTGGTCTGCCTTCCCGCAGATAACTTCGGCTGTATACGGATTAATAATGAGATCACCTAACGGAAGAGCTGGATGAGAGCTGAAAATGTCAGGCGCTTCTGCCTACCTACTTAGGTAACAATCCCAATGGGGTCGGCAGATCGACAGTCGGGAATCTGCACCCTTTCGGTCAAAAACAAGGCACGCTCCCACAATAATTTGAGATATGACCGATTAGTCCACGAATTGGGAACGGCCCCGGACCGGTTCCAATGATGGATGTGTGGAGACTGGGCGCTTACTTGGCCACGTCTTGCAGCGGGACGACGGCACGGGACGGAGCGAATAGAACGATCTCGACTGTGAGGTGTCAGGGGCGAGTTTCGAATCAAAAACTCCTCCCCGGCTCACCCGCTCCACGGTTGGGTGATGTATAAGTATTCATCCAAACTTTATTTGCAGCGGTGGGTCAATTGATGAGGAGAAGGATTTGCACAAACCCCATCCTACTGCATGTTCACGTAAATACTACTGCATGTAACACACTACTAGATCTCGTATTTTCAGCGTCGATGCCGCAAGGTGGATTTATATGTCTGGTCCTCTCTATAGCCGGTGGGTAAAAATCTAGCCGGCATTGGCGCTCCCCCAAATGGGAATGATAGTCATCAGCCTCGCTTGTCCGCACGTTCGGTACCAGCTGAAATCTGTAATGTCATGAATATGTCCTGTTCAGGATAGCCGCCAGCCAACATGACGACAACAAGGGTGAAGACGATGTTGTCATTTCGGAACAAGCGATTGTATTGGGTATCCACACGATCTTCCTGCTTTGAAAGAGGGGACGCTTTTGCGCTTGTCGTGGAGTGGCTCGTGAGCTGATCCGCTGTGTCTGGGCCAGTGCCCAGGTGTCTTTCTAGGGAGGGTATACATACGCCTGCTGATGATCCCCTCAATGTTGCAACTCTGTTACTTTGTCCCATATTACTTGAAAATCTCATCCAATCTTTCTAACACACCGTATTTACACGGACTGTATCCAAGAATTCTTGCAGAAAATCTTACACAATGGGTTCACCTGCCTGCGGCTGTGTTAAGGTTGCTGGGGCATCCGTGCAGAATCTGGAGCCCAGCATGTTCCCAGCGTTTGACGCTGGTGAGAAGATTCGATCCAAGCCCCTGCTTTACACCAGCCGGTTGGGCTGTGTTATGCATGGAGATCTTTCTCAGAAATGCAGTGCGCTACGCGCGGCGTGGGGAATTCTTCTCAGCTGCTTCACTGGACTGGACAAAGTCTGCTTTGCGTTCGAGCATACTGGTACCACAAGTTCGGATGATGCGGATGGTATTACGACGACAGCACATCTGGATGTGCGCAGCCATCGGCAGGTTCGAAGTCTCTTCATTGGGAGCTCTTCCGCCCTGCTCTCAGTACCGCAAAACGAGGCGAAGACACTGCTCAACACCGCGCTTTGTATTGGCACCTTTGACAACGAGCTGAGCCACCATGATGACCAGAACCAGACGAAGAGACATGATTCGGTCTCGTGGTGCAAGATCCGGATGTTCGTGGATCCTGCCACCTTCCACACCGTCCTTTGGTGGGATCCCAGCTTCATGACTCGAGAACAGGCTGAGAACGTCAGCAACACCTACGACAAGATTGCCAGCGAATTGACCAATCACCCAGAGACTCTCATTTCAGATCTCAATTACTTTGGCGAGAGGAACGAGCGACAAGTCCTGTTGTGGAACAGCACCCCGCAAAGCAACGTGCGGAAGTGTATACACCAAGCTGTGTCAGAGCAGGGGGCATTGCGTCCCTATGCAGATGCAGTTTACGCCTGGGATGGAAACCTTTCATATACTAAGCTTTTGTCTTTCTCGGATCGCCTTGCTTCTCGTTTGAAAGACTCGGGTATCGGCCCCGAGGTCTTTGTGCCTATCTGCTTCGACAAGTCTAAGTGGACTGTCGTTGCAATGCTGGCAGTGCTAAAGGCAGGCGGCATCTTCGTACCTCTGGATCCTACGCACCCTTTGCCCCGCCTTCGTGCCCTGGCAAGCAAGGTGCAGGCCACCACCATCTTGTGTTCTCCCCAGCACCAAAACATGCTAGAGAGCGTGGCAGCCGAGTTGATTCCCGTGGATGACCAGTTGTTCATCAACCTAGTGGAACAACACGGTGAGGTCAACCTCGGATCATTCCATAACGGTGCCTACATGATCTTCACGAGCGGTACCACCGGCGAGCCCAAGGGTGCGTTGATCGAGCATGGGGCGCTGGTATCAAGTGCCCTTGCTCACGGGCCTGCGATGATGATGGATCACAACACAAGATCACTACACTTCGCCGCGTCCACCTTTGACGTGAGCATCACGGAGATCCTCACGTGTCTGATCCTGGGTGGCTGTGTCTGCATACCCAGCGAAGAGGCCCGGCTAAATGCCATCGAGGACGCCATCACACAGCTCCAGGCGAATTGGGCGCTGCTGACACCGACATTCGTCAAATTCATAAACCCCGACAACGTCCCGACTTTGAAGACACTCGTCACTGGCGGAGAGGCTATGACTCAGGCCGTGATTCAGTCATGGTCCCACATCAATCTCATCAATTGCTATGGCCCTGCAGAGACGTCTGTCGTCTCGCACGTCCACAGAGGCATGAAGCCAGGAGTGAACCCACTGAATATCGGTCATCAAATTGGTGTGCATTGTTGGGTTGTTGACCGGTACAACCATGATCGACTAGTTCCTGTTGGGGCTGTCGGTGAGCTGGTTATAGAAGGCTACACACTTGCGCGGGAGTACTACAATGAGCCCGAGAAGACGAACGAGGCTTTCATTGTCGACCCTGCATGGAGCCAAAGTCAGCCACAGTCCAACAGCCCTAGGCGAATGTATAAGACGGGCGACTTGGTCAGATACAATCATGATGGGACTTTCAACATTAGAGGACGAAAGGACTCACAAATCAAGTTCCACGGACAACGTATAGAGCTTGGGGAGATCGAACATCACCTCAACGTCAGTGCTGTCATCAAGCATGGTATGGTTGTCCTGGCCAAGGAAGGTCTTTGCAAAGGTCGACTTTTGGCTATTGTTCAGCTGAGCGATACAACGAATCAGGACCTCGTGCCCAAGGGTCGACCTTACAAACTGATTGACGGTGCACTTGAGGACACTGCACGAGAAAAAGTCGCCGAGGCAAAGAAATTGCTTACTGAGATGCTGCCGCCTTACATGGTTCCCTCCACGTGGCTCCCCGTGGAGTTTATTCCTCGCCTTCAGTCGGGGAAGCTCGACCGCAAGCAGACTGCAAAGTGGGTCGACGACATGAGCGAGGAGCTTTACCGACAGCTTAATCCTGTCACGGCCGCTGGAATTTCTGGGGATATCGTTTTCTCCAGCAAGACCGAACTAGAGCTACACAAAATCTGGATCCACGTCCTGAACCTCGACCCCGAACGGCTTGGCCTCCGACAGTCGTTCTTGAGCATCGGCGGCGACTCCATTTCTGCGATGCAAGTCATGAGCGAATGCAAAAAACGAGGCCTCGGCCTGAACGTCTCACAAATTATTGCTAGCAAATCAATTACCGCTCTGGCATTGCAGGTCAAAGACGTCGTCGACAGGCAGCTGATCCACCAGGAGATCCTAGAACAGCCGTTCGGGCTCTCACCAATCCAGAAGCTCTACTTCTCCAGACCTAATCACGCTGAAGGTCATTACAATCAGAGCTTTCTCCTCCGTACGAATCAGTACATTTCTGAGTCAGACCTGCGCAAGGCTATTGACACCCTGATAAGGAGACGGTCGATGCTCCGTGCCAGGTTCAGCCAAGATGCCGGCGGTACATGGCAACAGCGTGTCACCAACGAGGTTGCATCTTCTTACCGATTGCGTACAATCAAGGTGGCTTCGATTGACGAGGTTGACCACAGCCTCGTTGACAGCCAGACTTGTCTTGAGGTGACTAGTGGTCCACTCTTTGCCGCTGACCTCATCAGCGTCAACGAGGAGGAGCAACTATTGTTCGTCGTGGCGCACCATCTCGTGATTGACCTGGTTTCCTGGCGGATTATCCTGCAGGAATTGGAAGAGCTTCTGCTACAACCTGATGAGCCGCTTTCTGAAATGAGCCGCTCATTGCCTTTCCAGGTTTGGTGCAAGATGCAGCTGGAACACGCCGAGTCTCAGACGCCGGAGAAGGTTCTGCCAATACACGGCATTCCTGACGGGAACCTCGAATACTGGGGAATGGGCGATGAGCCTAACGTATACGGGCAGATGGCCCGCGAGGGCTTCGAACTTGGACATGAGCAGACCTCACTCCTCGTATCGAAATGCCACGACGCGTTGCGCACTGAGATTCCTGATGTCCTCATGGCAGCTATGATATTCTCCTTCGGCCAAACATTTACTGACCGGTCGATCCCAGCCGTGTTCGCCGAAGGGCACGGCCGGGAATCCTGGGACCCTTCCATCGACCTGTCTAATGTGGTTGGGTGGTTCACCACCATTTACCCCGTCTTTGCCGGATCGACTTCACAGTCTAGTCTTGTCGACACCGTGAAGATGGTCAAGGATGCACGACGCAAAGTCCCTGACAGCGGAAGGCCTTACTTTGCAAGCCGCTGGCTGACGCAGGCGGGCGAGCACTCTTTTTCCCGCCACTGGCCCCTGGAAATTACCTTCAACTACCTTGGTCAGTATCAACAGCTGGAGCGTGAGGGTGCTCTTTTCACACCATACGGGAATATTGCAGGAGAGGTTAGGGGCGCCGTCGAGGGCGCAGACATAGGCCATCTAACGCCTTGCATCTCTCTTTTTGAGGTGTCTGCCGTCATCCTCAAGGGATCTCTGCGGTTTTCGTTTGCCTTCAACCAAAACATGAATCATCAGCCCGAAATCCGCCAGTGGATTACCTCCTGTCAACATAGCCTCAGCGCGCTTGTTGAGACGTTGAGCGACATGGCCCCTGAACATACGCTGAGCGACTTCCCACTTCTCTCCCTTACCTACGATCACCTACGACTGATGACGGAGCAAAAGCTCCCGATGGCTGGAGTCAGTTCCATGGACATGGTCGAGGATATCTATCCTTGCTCTCCTCTACAATCAGGACTTCTGATCAGCACGGCGAAGAACAGCGCCTTTTATGCTGCTTACACACTTCATGAGGTGAAGAGTAGAGGCGGCTCGCCAGTTGACGCTAGGAAACTCGCCGGTGCCTGGAAACACCTGATTGAGTACCACCCCATACTCAGGACAATCTTTGTCGAGAGCGTGACCCAGCAAGACTCCCCTTACGACCAGGTAGTCCTCAAAGAAGTCGACTTTCCTCTGGTCGTGTCTGCAAAAGACACGGACGACGAGGCCCTTGCAGCTCTGAGCTTACCACCCCTGCATCAAAAAGACAATTCTCATCTGTTGCACCACTTCGAAGTGTGCACATCCACGAGCGGGAAGGTATTTTGCAGACTTGATATCAGTCACGTCATCATGGACGGTACTTCTCTGTCAATAATCTTCCGTGATCTAGCCATGGCATATGAGGGGAGTCTTGGAGCTCGTGACGGCCCACTTTACAGGAATTACATCGAATACCTCCAAGGACAAGACATCCAACCTGGCATCGACTATTGGAAGTCGCACCTTGCAGGGGTCGAGCCGTGCCATTTCCCTGTCCTCGACGATGGCGAAATTGTGGAATCAAAGGAGCTCAGACACCTTCGGGTCAAGTTTGACGAGATGGAAGAGCTGCAGCGATTGTGTGACGCTCGGGCAGTCACCATTGTCAACGCTATCTATGCAGCTTGGGCAATGACACTGCGTCTATACACCGCCTCGGAGGAGGTCTGCTTCGGTTATCTCACATCTGCCCGCGACTCGCAGATTGAGGGCATCCAGGATGTAGTGGGACCCGTGATCAACATGGTGCCATGCCGCGTCAACGTTGGGAGCTCCACTACTTTGGGGGACGTCATGAGCCTCGTGCAGAGAGATTACCTGAACAGCCTGGAATACCGTCACATCTCGTTGGCCGAAGTCCAGCACGCTCTGCAGCTCTCTGACGCCGCGCTTTTCAACACCGCGCTGTCGTACAGGAAGCTGCCGCGTGCACCAGAAAACCCTCCGGACCTCATGTTTGAGGAGTGCCGCCCGACTTATGATCCTGACGAGTACAATGTGTCTATCAACATCGAGGCGGACGAAAACGACATGGCAATTGACTTGATGTATTGGTCAGATACCCTATCAGATGGTCAAGCCGCGAACGTCGCTGCCACTTTTACCAAGGCGCTCAGCAACGTGCTCCATCACTGCAATCAGCCTATTGCTCAGCTCGAGCACCTCGGATCCTGGCACCGTCAACAGCTCTGCGAGTGGAATCAACAGATTCCACAAGCCATTGAATGCTGCATCCATGATTTATTCAAGCGAAAGGCAGTTTCGCGTCCTGACGCTCCCGCTATTGCCTCATGGGACATGGACTTTACATATGCCGAGCTCGATGACGCCAGTACCAATCTGGCCACCCATATCAGCTCGTTGGGTGTTGGTCTGGAAGACTTTGTACTCGTTTGCTTCGACAAGACTGCCTTTGCTATCGTCGCCATGCTGGCCATAATGAAGGCAGGCGGTGTCTGCGTGCCGCTGGACCCAGCACATCCGGATGCCGCGTTGCAGCTTCGTGCCGAGGACACAGGCGCATCGGTGGCTCTCGTGGCCCCTTCCGTGGTGACCAGAATCAGTACGATGGTCAAAACAGCTGTCGCAGTAGATGCCCAGCTGATCCGGGCCATTTCTCCAGCTGCGGATGTTTCCTTTCCACAAGTCACGCCTGAGAACGCTTGTTTCGTGATCTACACATCCGGTAGCACGGGAAGACCGAAGGGTGTGGTTCTGGAGCATCGGGGGATTGCTACCAGCGCTGAATACTCGGGTCCCCAGGTGGGCTACGGGGAAAACTCCAGAGTGTTGCAATTCGCCTCGCACACTTTTGACAATAGCATTGCCGAGATTTTCTTCACACTCACTCGTGGCGGCTGCGTATGCGTGCCTTCGGACCACGAGAGGCTGAATGACTTGGCCGGTGCAATAAACCGCCACAAGGTGACGTTGGCCGATATCACCCCAACCGTCGCTTGCCTCATCCAGCCAACCGACGTTCCGACTTTGAAGACGTTAGCTCTCGGCGGCGAAGCTGTGACTACCACATGTGTTGATGTGTGGCGCGACTTTGTGTCGTTGCAATGCTGTTACGGGCCTTCAGAGTGCTCCATCAACTCAACCTACTGTGGGGATATTGCCGAGCCTGGCAAAGCCACAAACATCGGCCGCGCTATCGGCAGTGTTGCCTGGGTGGTTGATGCAGCCGATCACAACTCGCTACTTCCAATTGGTTCCGTGGGCGAGCTGCTAATCGACGGTCCCATCGTCTCTCGAGGCTATTTGAATCTGCCGGAAAGGATGGCACAGTCTTTTATATCTCTACCTGACTCTCTAAAAGGGATTCCTTCCCAAGGCGGCAACCTAGATCGGAAACTCTATAAAACTGGTGACCTGGTGCGCTATAATTCCGATGGCACCCTCACCTACCTTGGGAGAAAGGATCAGCAAGTCAAGCTGAACGGGCAGCGCATCGAGCTTGGAGAGATTGAGCACCACATCCAGAAGAACCTTCCCGAGGGCTGGATGTCTGCCGTCCAGCTGATATTGTCAGAGGGCAGGAAGTCGCTAGCCTGTTTCATTTGTGCCGATGCAGACGCATCCCTCACAGACAGCAGCGACGAAAGCATGATACTGGACATGAACAATGTTTATCAGGCACTGTTCAAAGACCTCGAGATCCTTTTGTCTACGCTCATTCCTGCCTATATGGTTCCATCCGTTTGGCTTCCCATCAACAAGATGCCCCTTACTCCTTCCGGGAAGCTGAACCGTGGCAGCCTCCGCCAGCTGGCACAACTGGTTCCGGCACCGCTCATGTCCTCTTACAAGCTCGCCTCGAAGTCTGGCAGGGCGCCATCCGGCTCGCTGGAGAAACAGCTAGCTGCCATTTGGGCTTGCGTGCTGAACATTGAGGAGGCCTCCATCGGGGTCGAAGATAATTTCTTCCGTCTTGGAGGCGACTCCATCGGCGCGATGCGATTAGTGACGCTTGCAAGAAAGTCCGAACTCGAGTTGACCGTGGCCAGCATTTTTGAGAAGGCATCACTGCTTGATATGGCCCAATCAGCACACCCAATGACCATGGGTTCCACCACGACTGTCGAACCGTTCTCTTTGTTACCCAACGTGGCTTCGATGGATGCTATCAAGCGGGAGGTTTCTGAATTCGCTCGCATCGAAGTGGGCTCCATCCAAGACATCTACCCATGTACCCCGACGCAGGAGGGTCTTGTGGCCCTCTCAATCAAGGAGCCAGGGGCATATGTTGCCCGGCTTATCTACCGCCTACAGGACGACATAGACATAGCCAGGTTTCAGAAAGCTTGTGATCTCGTGGTCCAAGCCCAACCAATACTGAGAACGAGAATTGTACATACCGAGGGCATTGGGTTCGTGCAGGTCGTGGTAGCCGAGGATGCGCCTCACTGGTCGACGGTGGCCAGCCTCGGTGAGGTGGATGAGTCACGGCGTCAACTTCCTATTCACAACGGGGGCAGATTGACCAATTACAACCTCGTTCAAAATGTTTCCACTGGAACCTTATTTGTCTGGGATATCCACCACGCACTTTATGACGGTTGGTGTCTTCCTCTTATCCTGGAAAAGATCAAGCAATGCTACCTTGAGGACTCCAACATCACGCAGCTCAGCGGTCGCGGCCCTCCGTACTCCAACTTCATCCAATATCTCGCCCAAGTTGACACCGATCAAGCTACCGAGTTCTGGGAGTCCCACTTGTCCAATATCTCGACGCAACCCTTCCCGCGCCTGCCTAGCCCTGATTACCAGGCAAGCGCAAGTAGTCTACTCATTCACAAGACAGGCTTGAGCCAACTGGCTAGGTCCGAGATTACCACGGCTACGAGGATCCGCACGGCTTGGGCACTCACCGTCTCAACGTATTCGGCAACAAATGATGTCGTATTCTGGGAGACTCTTGCGGGGCGCGATGCTCCTATTCATGGAGTCGAAGAAATGATAGGCGCCACATTAGCGACTGTGCCGACGCGAATGGTTCTGGATTCTTCGCAAACGGTCGCTGAGCTTCTTCGCCATGTGCAAGCCTTGTCATCATCTTTGATGCGGCATCAACATCTCGGCATTCAACGCATCAAGCGCATCAATGCCGACACCGCTGTTGCGTGTGGCGCGCAGAATCTCATAGCCATCAACCACGGGCCACGAGAGACGACCGATTCTTTCTGGGACGAGCAAACCAACGAGATGGCCGGTACAAACTTCTATTCATACCCCCTCATGCTCTCGTTCCACATTGGTGATTCCGAACTTGAGACTGTTGTGCATTTTGACCAAAATCTCATCTCGGAATCACGCATAAGGCGCGTCATGGAACATTTTGCCTTGATGCTGCAATCTGTTTCATCCCCTCAGCTGCGGGATGAGAGGCTTCTCAGCCTAGATTTGCTTAGTCCTTTGGATGTTCAGACGCTTCGGAAGATGAACGGTGCAACAACATCTCCCGTCAACAGACTCATACACGAGGTCATCCAGGCTCAGTGTTTTGTTCAAGCGGAAAACAAGTTGGCGGTCTGTTCGTGGGATCAGAACCTTACTTATTCCGAACTGGATTCTCAATCTACGCGTCTTGCGGACATGCTCGTTGAGAACGGCGTGAGAGCCCATTCCATCGTTCCTTATTGCATGGAAAAATCGTCTCTCGTCGTCGTTTCCATCCTGGCCATCCTAAAATCGGGTGCTGCTTTTGTCTCCCTAGACCCCGCACACCCCGATGCCCGGATCAACGGCATCCTTGCTGATGTCGAGGCAACCGTTATTCTCTGTTCCCCCAAGTACGCTGAGCGTCTGGAGCATCTTGGACCAAAGGTGATGAAAGTTTCACAGGACCTTCACCATGACATCTCCCCGCGCCAGAAGCCGACCGTCTCTCTTTCTCCAAATGACCCAGCCTATGTCATATTTACCTCTGGTACTACTGGAAAACCGAAGGGAACCGTCGTGGGTCACTCGGCATTTTGTACGAGTGCAAATGCCCATGGTTCTGCCATGAAAATGACAGAGTCATCCCGCGTTTTGCAATTTGCTTCTTCTACTTTCGACGCTAGCATCATGGAGGTCTTGACGACTCTGATTCACGGCGGCACTGTGTGCGTGCCCAGCGACGACGAACGCATCAATGATCTTGCAGGCGCTATCAATCGCATGCAAGTCAACTGGGCCTTGTTGACACCCTCAGTTGCCCAGCTAATTTCGCCAGCCCTCGTCCCGGGGCTCAAGACACTGGTGCTGGGAGGAGAGGCCATGTCCGCCGCTCATGTCTCTTCCTGGGCGTCATTCGTCCAGCTCATGAACGCGTACGGACCAAGCGAGACCGCTGTCACCGCTGCAATCAACTCTAACGTCACAATTACATCCAGCGCTTCTGATATCGGCTATGGGGTTGGGTGCATCTGCTGGGTTGTCGACGCGAACAACCACGACAGACTGATGCCAATTGGCGCCGTCGGAGAGCTCCTAGTAGAGGGCCCAACGCTTGCTCAAGGGTACCTCAAGAACCCCCTGAAGACTGCAGAGTCCTTCATCGTCAGTCCAAAGTGGTGCACTGACTTTCCTGTCTCCGTGGAAAGCACTTGCCGCAGGATGTATAAAACTGGTGATCTAGTCAAGCTCAGCGAGGACGGTACCATTCTCTTCCAGAACAGAAAAGATGACCAGGTCAAAGTCAACGGTCAGAGGCTTGAGTTGTCTGAAGTTGAGCACCATCTAAGCGCAGATGCTCTTATTCAACATAGTCTAGCGGCTGTTCCATCATGTGGCCCTTTCAAGGGGCGTCTAGTCACCGTCCTCTCACTGCAGTCACTTGTCAACGTTCAGAGAGGTCTGTTGAAAAGCTTAGAGATGCAGGTGGTCAGAGAGTACCCTCGCTCTGAGATAAAACGGACTCGTGAGAATCTAGCACGACATCTCGCGGCTTACATGGTCCCATCAGCATGGATTGTTGTGGACCGCATCCATCTCCTCCCATCCGGCAAGCTTGACCGTCGACGTGTTGTGAGGTGGGTTGAAGGGATGACTCCTGAACAGCACCTTATGGTTCTCGATGCTCAAGAAAAGGCATCTTCTCTAGATAGAGAAGCATCAGAAGCGGAGGTCAAGCTTCGGGCTGCCTGGGCCAAGGTTCTCAATGCCCAGGTTGATGCGGTCCCTTTCGATCGATCGTTTCTGCATCTAGGCGGCGATTCAATCTCGGCAATGCAGTTGGTGGCCGTCTGCCGGTCCTCGAACATGGCTGTCTCGGTTGGTGAAATCATGAAGAGCAAGTCTATCATTGAGCTTGCGTCTTGCGTCACTGCCGTCGAGGATTTTGTGCATGAACAGGAGCGGGAGAATGAGTGTTTTGAGTTGTCGCCTATCCAGAAGGTGTACTTTGAGTGCTTCGGCACCGACTCCACTCATTTCAATCAGAGCTTGCTTCTAGGAACTACACGTACGATCACTTCCAAGGAGCTATCTACGGCTTTGGAAAACATCACGAGGACACACAGCATGCTCCGAGCTCGGTTTTCGCAGATCGACGGCGACTGGTACCAGCGTATAACTAGCGAAGTCGCTGGCACTTACACCCTCCGATCACACAACGAGGTCGACCCGAATGATATCTCTGAATTAATCGAAGAGAGTCAGAAGTCTTTGAACATCATCGAGGGACCTCTTTTCGCTGCAGACATCTTTGAGGTTGGCAGGACCGGCAATCAGATTGTCTCGTTCGTCGTCCACCACCTCGTTGTCGATGTAGTTTCTTGGAATATCATCTTGCAGGACCTTGAGGGTCTCTTGTCGTCAGCCCCGAACAGCCCTTCCAAACCCTTGCCATTCCAGGCTTGGCTCTCTCTGCAACGCGACGAGGTTCACAAAATGGCACCCGAGCATGTTTTCCACGACGTTCCGGCGCCGCGGCAAGATCTCTCATTTTGGGGGATGGAAGGTGTATCGAACGTTCACGGTGACACAGTCAACGAGACCATAGAAATCAGCACGGATGACTCGCTTCCACTCCTGGGCTCATACCACGACACCCTTGATACCGAGGTTGTCGACGTCTTGTTAGCTTCTCTATTGGTAGCCTTCCGCCGAACCTTTTCAGATCGCGATGAAGTGCCATCGATATTCAACGAAGGTCATGGAAGAGAGCCTTGGGATGGCAGATTGGACCTGTCCCGAACCGTTGGATGGTTCACCACACTGTGCCCTGTCTACTTGCCTGGGTGCATGCCATCCGAGGTAGACATCCTTGATGCCGTGTGCTGGGTAAAGGACTTCAGGCGAAAACTTCCTGGCAACGGCCGTCCTTATTTTGCTCACAACATGCTGAACCAACTTGACCTGTCGCATGTCCGAAAATGGCCCGTCGAAGTGGCCTTTAACTTTCTTGGCAACACGGCGCTGACCGAGTCTGAAGGTTCTGTATTCACATCCCTAAGTGGAAACATGTTTGACTCCGCCAGTTCAAACACCGACGTTGGGGCCAGTGTGCCTCGCCTCGCTCTCATTGAGATCACGGCTGCCATTTCTGGTCATGGGTTGACCGTCAGCTTCGCCTTCAATCGCCATATGAGTCGCCAATCTTGCATCCGAAAGTGGATGGGGGCGTTCAAGGATTCCATTCACCAGGCAACTCGAAGACTATCCGAGGCTAGTCATGGCAAGCCAAGTCCTGACTTGTTTCTTCTTCCTTTGGCCTTTAATGGCGAGTCTCAGATCAAACGGAAGCTTGCTGAAATGGGCATTTGCGATGCTGAGGAAGTCGAAGCAGCGTACCCATGCTCTCCGGTTCAGCAGGGAATCCTGTTATCCCAGATAAGAGACCCCGAGTCCTACTCGTACTCGATTACTTTTTCCGTGAAGAGCACGCAATCGGGGGAGGCTGTAGACGTGCAACGCCTAGCTGATGCCTGGCGGCAAGTGGTGCAGCGGCATTCAACTCTTCGGACTGTGTTCGTGGACAATTTGCTACAGGAGGGCGTGATGGATCAAGTGGTTCTGAAGAAGCATCTTGCCAACATTGCTTTCCTCGACTGTCCCGACAGTGAGCCAGGTCAAAGGCCTGGTTTATCTTCGATACTTCCGAAGAACCATCCACCCCATCGTCTCCAAATTTTCAAAGATCCAGGAGGAATGTTGCTTTGCGTTCTCGAGATGAGCCACGCAATAGCTGACGGATCCTCGATGCCAATCTTATTCCGTGACCTGGCCTTGGCGTACGAGGGTGCCCTGGCCACAACCGGTCTCTCTGTCTACCGGGACTACGTTGCTTATTTGCAGCGGAGCCGCATATTCCAAAATCTCAACTACTGGAAGGGCTATCTGACTGGAGCTGAACCATGTTATCTACATTCAAGAACTGGCGGAGCCACAGAGCCTAGGACTTTGCGAGCGCTGGACTGGACCATCTCCGATGTGGCCGGACTTCAAGCGTTCTGCATCGAGAGAGGCGCTACGCTATCCAACGTACTGCAATTGGCATGGGCACTAGTTCTCCAAGCTTATACGGGTCTCGATGACGTCCTGTTTGGATATTTGGTCGCCGGCAGGGATATCCCTGTCCGCCATATTGACCAGGCAATCGGCGTCTACATCAACATGCTGGTGTGCCGGGTGCGTCTGACCCCGTCAACCAGCCTCGGCGATGTCCTTAAGACCGTCCAAGAAGACCTCGCAGCATCGATGAGTCACAAGCATGTTTCGCTAGCTGACTTGCAACATGCGATGGGTGTTTCGAATGAGCCTCTCTTCAACACTGCCTACTCCTTCCAGAGAAGGTCTGCCTCGAGCTCCGAGGCAGCGGGGCCTGTCTCGTTCGACATTCGCGACGCGCGTGATCCTAGTGAATACGATTTGACTGTCAACGTTGAAGTTTGGGAGTCGAATGTGGATTTGCAGTTATGCTACTGGACAGACAAGATTCTGGATTCACAGGCCAAGAACATTGCTTCCACGCTGGACCAAATTCTGACTTCGATTGTGACGAGCGACTTGGCGATGCCAATAGGAGGGCTCCACACACTTAGTGACCATTGCTCGGAACAGCTGGTGTCATGGAACCATGCCGAACCGGAGTACCTGGAAGAGTGCGTGCATCGAGTGTTTGAGCACAATGCTCGACAGCATTCAGTCGAGACGCAGGCTGTCGAGGCATGGGACGCAACATTCACCTACCTTGAGCTAGACGCTGCAGCTTCACAGCTCGCTCAACATTTGGTGGCTCTCGGGGTGAGGCCCAACACATACATCCCTCTTTGCTTCAACAAGTCAGCATGGACAGTCGTTGCCATGCTGGCGGTTCTGAAGGCCGGCGGCGCTTTTGTTCCCTTGGATCCCACATACCCGGCTGAGCGCGTTGGTTTCATTGTGCACAGCGTTGATTCCCAAATAATTCTCTGCTCGTCTTCTTTGACGCATAAGTTTGAAGGCTTGGGAATCCCCACATTTGCTGTCGGTGCGGAAACGGTATCATCGCTGCCTGACCTGGTGGCAGGCTCACTTCCAGTCCAGGTTAGCCCTTCCCATCCGGCGTACATCATCTTCACCTCGGGCACCACGGGTCTCCCGAAGGGAACAATCATCGAACACGGCGCCTTTACCACTGGAGCCATAGCTCACGCCAAGGCGATCAAGATGACTTCGGCCTCTCGTGTGTTGCAGTTCGCGTCGCACACGTTCGATGCTAGCGTTATGGAGATCCTGTCCACATTGATAGCAGGCGGTTGCATCTGCATTCCTAGCGACCAGGAACGCATGAACGACCTCGCTGCTGTCATTAGAAAATTGAATGTCAATTGGACGCTCCTTACGCCATCCGTGGCAAGCGTTCTGAAACCAGACAGCGTGCCAAGCCTGAAGGTACTTGTTACTGGCGGCGAAGCCATGGCGACAGATCACATCGCTAAATGGGCAAATCACGCCGTTCTCATCAATGCCTATGGACCTAGCGAGGCATCTGTCATTTGTGCAACAAGTACAAAAGTTGATCAGGAAGGAAAGGTCCTCGACTGGGAGCCTGCCACTGTCGGTCATGCCGTCGGGTGTCGTTCCTGGATCGTCGATCCTCGTGACCACAACCGTCTCATGCCCATTGGCAGCATCGGTGAGCTTCTGGTCGAAGGTCCCATCGTAGCGAGAGGCTATTTGGGAAATGACACTCAGACAAGGAATGCCTTCATCGAGCATCCGTCGTGGCGCGGACAGATGAACCTTGGCGGCGACCGGACAGATCGCATGTACAAAACTGGTGATCTAGTTGCCTACAACCCCAATGGCTCCCTCAGCTATATCGCACGCCGTGACACTCAAGTCAAGCTTAACGGCCAGCGCATCGAAGTAGGCGAGATCGAACATCACGTCAAATCCGTCTTACCAGCCGCTGTTCAGTCAGCTGTTGACCTTGTGGTCCCCCAGAGCAAGACATCGACCAAGGCACTGGCAGTGTTCTTCACCAATAGCACTAACATGGAATATTCTACCTCCGGGGAAACGGATGCAATCCTCCTACCCCAGTCGAGTGCTTCCGCCAAAATTGGCCAGTCGCTTAAGTCGGCACTTCGAGGTGCTCTGCCGTCGCACATGGTGCCAACCATGTACATACCGGTGAACAAGATACCGTGGACTTTGGCCGGAAAGCTAGATCGCAAGAGGCTCAAGGCTATTGCTCAGTCTATAACGCCTCAGCAGATAGGCCTCTACAAGCTCGCCGGGGTCAGCACAAACCGAGCTCCTACCACCTTGACACAACGCAAACTGCAGAAAGTCTGGGCAAAGATTCTGAAGGTTGAGCCTGGATTCATAAGCTTAGACGATAGCTTTTTCAGGCTAGGCGGTGACTCCATTGGCGCCATGAAACTTGTCGCCGCCGCGAGGACTGAGGATATCATCCTCACGGCTATGAACGTCTTCGACAAGCCGGTGTTGTCGGATATGGCGGCATCATGCAAACAGTTCAATGGGGCTTCGACAACCATCGTGGAGCACTTTTCTCTGCTCAGAGACGTTGCGTCTCCCTCTGTGCTTCTCGGCGAGATCGCAGAACACTGCGGCGTCGAAATGAGCCAGATCCAAGATGTGTACCCGTGCAGCCCCCTTCAAGAAGGACTTGTGGCCGCCTCTCTGCAGAATTCGGGCGCTTATGTTGCCAAAAATGTTTATAAGCTGCCTATAAATGTCGATATTGGCCGCCTCAAGCTCGCATGGCAAAAGACTGTTGCCCAAGTCGACATCCTCAGATCGCGCGTCGTCAACAGCCAGTCTCTCGAGTCCTACCAGGTCATCCTCAATTCGCATGAAATCGAGTGGGAGATTTACAACAGCATGGAACTTGCAAACGAAAAAACCATGCCAGTTCCAGAACACAATGGCGGCATCCTAGCCAGATACGCGATCATCGACTCGGCTGATTCCGGCGCCCGCTACCTGGTGTGGACTGTGCACCATGCGCTTTACGATGCGTGGAGTATGCCTTCTGTGTTACAATTGGTTTCGAAATTCTACCACGGAGATGGTTCTGAAAGACTCAAGCCGGCTGTCCCATTTGCCAACTTTGCCAAATACCTAGCCGAGGTCGACGCACACGCCTCTGAAGAGTTCTGGAAGACTAGGTTCCAAGGAACGTCTCCTGCGACACATTTCCCGACCATGTCCGCCACCAAGGGCGCTGTATCATCGAGTGCATCACTGAGACACACTTTCCACTACAGCAAAGACAACCTCGGCGTTGATGTGACCAGCTCGACAGTCATCCGTGCGGCTTGGGCGCTTGTCATCGGTGCACAAACTGGCTCTGATGATATCGTCTTTGGCGAGACTCTGTCTGGACGAGATATTGATCTCGACCATGTAGAAGATATTGTTGGTCCAACCTTGACGACCGTGCCTTCGAGGATTCAGATTGATCGGCAAAGCGCTGTTGGCCAGTTCTTGAAGACAATCCAACACCAGGCAATCGCGGTGATTCCCCACCAACACACTGGTCTTCAACGCATCAAGCGTCTAGGAGCAGCAGTGGCAGTGGCCTGCGACTTCAAGAACCTGTTAGTGATTCAGTCTTCCGGCGAACCAGCGATTCCAAATGGCTTTTTAGAGCCAATGGAAGACGGAACCGAGCAGTCAAACTTCTTTACGTACCCGCTAGTGGTCGAGTGCTTCATTGAGGCCAACGATCTCGTCCTAGTCATCCATCACGATGAGGCAGTTATGCAAAACTGGCAAGTGAAGCGTATCGCTCATCAGTTTGAGGGTCTGGTAGATCAGCTCATCCGTCTGTCAAGAGAGCCGGCCAGCAAGGTGTCTGATCTCCGACTCTATGGCCAAGAAGACATCGATATGATCAAAGATTGGAACCACTGGACTCATGATCCTGTCCAAGAAAGTATCTCCAGTCTATTCTGGCGGTCAACTACCTCTCAACCGAATGCTACCAGCATCCGCGCCTGGGACGGTCACCTCAGCTACAAGGCCCTCGCACTGTATGCCGGCCAGTTCGCCAAGCTTCTCGTAGAGAAAGGAGTCGGGTCTGATTCACTCGTTCCGTGCTGCATGGATAAGTCTCTCTGGACCACGGTTTCGATGCTTGCAGTGATACTTGCTGGTGGTGCTATCGTTCCTATGGATCCAGCACAGCCCCCCGCTCGTCACGCAGAAATCACCCGCGACTGTGAGGCCCGCGTGGCTCTCTGTTCACCGGAGTATCAAGACCGCTTCAATGGCGTTGTTGAAACCGTCGTCTCGGTCAACCGCGACTTTTTCACGGCCGATCAGTTTTCTCAAGATATCAGACCACAGGATCTGCCCACTATTGCTAGTGGAGATGCTGCGTTCGTCATTTATACATCAGGCAGTACTGGGAGGCCAAAAGGCGTCGTGATTGAACATAGGTCGTTCTGTGCGAGTTCAAAGGGCTTCACGCACCGCTTGAATCTTACTTCGGAATCTGGCGTTTTTCACTTCACTTCTTATGCATTCGACATGGCAATGGCAGAGGCATTTATGGCTCTCACCAGCGGCGCCTGCCTGTGCGTTCCCAGTGAGGATATGAGAATGACAGATCTGCCAGGGGCTATGAACAGCCTTGGAGCTACTTGGGCTTTCCTGACACCGTCAGTGGCAAACATCCAGGATCCCTCGAAGTTCAAAACGCTGCAGACTCTGGTCTGTGGAGGCGAGGCCCTGACATCCGAGACAATCAGCACCTGGGCCGACCAGGTCGAGCTAATGAATGGCTACGGGCCGGCCGAGTGCACGTTCCTTGCCGTTGCCAACACCCACGTCTCAGTCAACAAGGAGCACAGCAGTATCGGCCACGCCATGAACGGTTGCCACACGTGGGTCGTTGACCCCAGAGACCACAATACCCTCGTTCCTGTGGGATGTACGGGTGAACTGCTCATCAGCGGGCCTATCGTCGCACGAGGGTACCTGAATGACGGTAGAGCAACCGCAGAGAAATTCGTCAAGAACCCTACATGGATGCATCATTTTTCCAGTGATGAGAATCATTACCAGAACCTGCGACTGTATAAGACAGGTGACCTGGTCAAGTATAACCGTGGTGGGGCCTTGGAATACAAAGGTCGCAAAGATCACCAAGTCAAGATCCATGGCCAGCGGATGGAACTTGGCGAAATCGAAGCACGTCTTGAATCTGATCAATGCATTCGCCAGGCGTTCGTGACTCTACCCAAGTCCGGACTCTGCAGAGGTCGCTTGGTGGCCGTCGTTTCCCTCGAGGATGATTCATCTGAGAAGCCAAGCATTGTATCATCAGAATTCACCCCAGTCTCTGCTTCTGAGATGCAGGTTGCCCGGACCAAGGTTTCTGCTTTCCAAAATCATCTGTGCGAGAGCCTTCCACTTTACATGGTTCCATCGACTTGGTTTGTGGTTGAATCTATTCCTCTTTTGCTTTCTGGGAAGCTCGATAGGACCAGTGCTCAGATCTGGCTCGCGGACATGGACACGAACACGTGGAAACTTGCAATCAGCCCAGAGACCATCAAAGATGTTGCCTCGTCCGAGACGACGCCTTTTGGGCAGCAACTCAGACGTATATGGGCATCGGTACTCAAGATCGCTGAGGACAAGGTGCCCATGAACCGTTCCATGATCAGTCTTGGCGGTGACTCCATCACCGCGATTCAGGTCGTGACTCGCTGTCGCGAACAATCCATCAGACTATCGATGCAGGAAGTCATGAGAGGCAGATCAATCAGTGACCTAGCCGCGCTCATAGAAACAGAAGGTCGACACATGCGCCATGACACCCCTGCACACGAAGAAGAAGAAGCCAATGACGAATTTGAGCTCTCGCCGATCCAGCACTTGTTCTTTAACAACAGCATCAACAGGGACTCCGGAGATCGCTTCAATCAAAGCCAGCTACTGTCAATCAACGGCGCGTTCGACATGTCCAGGTATCAGCATGCTTTCTGCGCACTCGCCCAGAGACACCCAATGCTTCGCGCCCGATTCAAGAAATCTTCCAGTGGACAATGGATGCAGACGATTGCTTCGGAAGTCGAGACTTCTTATAGTTTCCGCTTCCACAAGCTCATTGCAGGATCAGAAATGATTCCACTTCTCGCCGCCAGTCAGAAAAGTGTCCAAATTTCTGGCCCCGTTTTTGTGGCCGACATTTTTGAACATCCCAATGGCTCTCAAGTCATGTCGCTTATAGCCCATCATCTGATCGTTGACGTCGTCTCCTGGATTAACATCATCCAAGACCTCGAGAAATTCTTATCATCTGCCAACCTGATGAGCTCTAAGCCCTTCTCCTTCCGGAGCTGGAACGAAGCGCAGATTGAGCATGCCAGATCACTTGAGAGACATGGAGGCGCTATACTGCCATTCCCTGTGCAACCTGCTGATTTTGACTTCTGGGGAATGTCAAGCGCCCCCAACCAGTATGGAGATGTCATCGAGAAGGACTTTACTGTCTCAAATCCAGAAATTGTCTCTCTGCTGCTGGGTGACTCCAACACGGCACTCAAGACCGAGTCCCTTGATCTCTTCATCTCGGCTCTGCTAAAATCGTTTGGGGGTGTTTTCACAGAGCGAGAGTTGCCAACCTTGTTCAACGAAGGTCACGGACGTGAGCCTTGGGACGAGACCATTGACATTTCTGAAACCGTTGGATGGTTTACCTCACTTTCTCCCGTCTGTGTCTCTCGATGCAACCTCGATCTCCATGATATCGTCGACTGTGTTCGGAAGGTCAAAGACGTGCGACGTAGCGTCCCAAGTAACGGCCGTCCCTACTTTGCACATCGCTATCTGACCGAGTCAGGGAAGCGCCAGCTTGAAAATCACGAACTGATGGAGATTCTGGTCAACTTCCTCGGCCGTACTCAACAGACGAGCCAAGGCGATTCTCTCTTTAGCTCGTTCGATGCATCAATTGATGGCAGAGAGGGAGGGGTGGTTGCAGACGTCGCCCCTGAGACTCGCCGTCTAGCCTTGATTGAGATTTCGATATCGATTCTTGAGAATGGCGTGCGGTTTGCTTTCATGTATAACAAGCACATGTTCCACCAAGACCGGGTTGAGGAATGGGCGGCCAACTGCGAGGGGGTTCTCATCGACATTGCAACAACGCTAAGCGAGGCCCCGTCTTCTCCCACGCTCAGCGAATACCCTCTCATGCCTCTCGGCTATGAAGATCTCCGGGAGCTCGTCACTAGATCTCTTCCTGCAGCCCACATTCGCTTCGACGAGGTTGAAGATATATATCCCTGTTCACCAATGCAGACAGGAATACTTCTCAGTCAGCTCCTCGATCCGTCTCAGTACCTGTTCCACACCATCGTTGAAGTGACTTCTCCTAGTCTCTCGGCTGTCAATGCTGTGAAGCTATCGGAGGCTTGCTACAAAGTCATTGAGCGACACCCTGCTCTACGGACTAGCTTTCTTGAGAGCACCTATCGCGGCGGCTCTTTCGACCAAGTCGTCCTCAAACCCCGCGAGGCTGGAATCACCGTCATTCGATGTCGGGAAATCGATGTCATGGCGAAGTTGAACCTCAGATCGCTTCACCAGACAAAGAAGAGGAATCATGAGCCTACACTTCCCTACCAAATCACTATCTGCCAGACAGTACAAGACAAAGTGTTCATGAAGCTTGAGTTGAATCATGCTGTCACAGATGGTGCTTCGACATCGATCATTCTGCGCGACATATCAAACGCATACAACAACAGCCTGCCTTTGACCAGCGCCCCTTCCTACAAGGAATGTATCAAGTATATTTCCAATCAGCCCAGTGATTCAAGCCTTGACTTTTGGTCCACATACCTGTCTGGTGCACTGTTCACCGGCTTCCCAACGATCAACCCCGATATTACGGCTGGTCACAACCTAGGCTCTGTCGCCGTCGAATTCGACCGATTTTCCGAGCTGCATGCGATCGCCCGCGAAGTTGGAGTTACATTGTCGAATATGATTGTCGTTGCATGGGCTCTTGTGCTACGAAGCTACACGAGATCTGACGATGTCAGCTTCGGCTACCTTGCCTCTGGGCGTGACGCCCGCATTAATGGCATTGACGACATTGTCGGTCCTCTAATCAACATGCTCGTGTTTCGCTTTAGGTTCGCCGGGAATGTGCTCCTCAGGAGACTTTTCCTCGATGCCCAGCAGGACTATCTTTCTAGTCTATCACACCAGCACTTTTCTCTGGCTCGCGTTAGCCATCAACTGGGACAAGCGAAACGAGGCTTTTTCAACACGGCCGTATCAATCCAAAGCTCCGATTCGTCAGGCGTTTCAGATCCACACGCCCTCATGTTCGAGCCAGTCGAAGCATTTGACCCAAGTGAATATGCCATTACTCTGAATGCCAACACCGCTCGCGGCGACGAAGGCATCATATTCCGGTATTGGACAGATGTTCTGTCAGATTCCCAGGCCCAAGATCTCTCGCTCACAATGTCCACATTTCTGAGTGAGTTCATCAATCACAGTGAAGATAATGTATCAGATCTGCGGATCTCGCAGCACCCACTGTCGCGCACCAATGACTACAAGCACGCGGCTGAAGACGTCCACTCCACATTTGAACACAACGATCCCAAACGTGCCGATACATTCAACAGCTCAGCCAGCAGCGAACCCTCTACGGACCTCGGTGGTTCATTGTTCTCGCCACTTACCAAATCTCGCGTATTTACTCGTGACAGGGATCATCTTCACCAGAAGCTGTTGGCATTGTGGAGAGACACTCTCGGTCTCGGCAGTGCTTCAATTTCGCTCGAAGATAGCTTTTTCGAGCTTGGCGGTGATTCCATCATCGCTATGTCAATGGTGGGCAACGCCAGAGACCTCAAAATCCAGCTCACCGTGGCCGACATCTTCAACAACCCCAGATTCGGGTCAATGCTTGATTGTCTCCTGGACCGAACGTACAAGGATTCAGACACGGAGTCAATGGTTGACCAGATTTCCTCCTCGGAGTCAAAGAAGGAGTTGCCCACGCTAGATGAACAAACATACCAGCCCTTCTCCATGCTTGGCCAAGAGGATGCTGAGAAATTTGTACGAGACCACGTCTGTACTGTTGCAGGTGTATCTCGAGCCAGCATCCTAGATGTCCTCCCGACAACCGACTTTCAGAACCAAGCAATCATGGGCAGCCTACTCGCGTCACGATGGATGCTTAATCACTTCTACCTGGATTCGACAGGTCCGCTGAACATTGCGCTGTTGGAAGAAAGCATCACAAATGTTGTGGCCTGTCATGATGTGTTACGCACTGTCTTCGTCCCCCATCAAGAAAGATACTTGCAGGTCATACTCCGCCAGTTGCATCCCCAACTAGCTGTCCACGACGTCGAAGATATCGAGGGTTTCACCTCAGAGCTTGCGTTTGTCCACCGAGACGAAACTCCGAAGCCCGAGAAATCTTCCCTCCAATTCATTCTAGCACGACATATGCCGTCGCTACGACACCGAATTTTCATCAGGATATCTCATGCTCAGTATGACGGCGTTTGCTTCCCAGCTATCCTTGAATCACTCAAGGCTTGCTATGAAGGTGATCCCATCTCATCCACACCTTCATATGTGGACTTCATTCGTGGGACGTTGGGCAACATTACTCTGGACCATTACGCGTACTGGAGAGCACTCCTTGAGAACTCCACCCCAACAAGTATTGTCCCACGACAGCGCACATCGCTACGCACGTCTCCCACTCAAGTCTTGAAAGCCGTCGTGTCCACACCTTCGCTCGCGTCTGTCAATATTACCACCGCTACCGTCATCAAGGCTGCTTGGTCCACAGTCTTGGCCAGGGTCACTGGAAAGACGGACGTTGTCTTCGGCCATCTCATCAGCGGTCGCAACGTGGGCGGCGTAACAGGTATCGAGTCGATTGTCGGTCCATGTCTGAACATGGTTCCCGTACGCGTCTGTATCCGGCCGTCTTGGACCGTTCTGCACCTCCTCCAACACATCCAGAATCAGCAGGTTGATAATATGCCGTATGAGTCACTCGGCTTCAAAGATATCATCGACAAGTGCACTGACTGGGATGATGACGGAGAAAACGGCTTTTCAACCGTTGTCCAGCACCAAAGCATGCCTCAGACCGCTTCGCTGAAAATTGGAGGGAACACGTACCAGATTGGTGCCATGGCCTCCCAAGAGGATACTGCTGATTTCAGTGTCGTCACCACGCCTCAAGATGCGAATAGCACCGAAGTCTGCTTGCTTTACGCTACAGACGGAGCTATAGATACGGCCTTCGCACAGGAGATATTTGATTCGCTTTGTAACACTATTACGGTGTTCTCGGATAACCCGAACAGTCTTGTTGAGCTTTTTTAATTTTTAATATGGTTTCTGTCAATATTTCCTTCATCTTTTCCCTTTCTTCTCTCCTGTGGCTAGTGTACTTAAGTATGTAATTTGCGCATCCTGGTTGTCCTTACTAGTCTATACAATGTTTCACTTGAAGGTCCAATTAAAGTAAATTTGCGACTAAACAATTAGGGCGATCTGACAAGTATCTGACAACTGCAGGACATTCCAGAGTGTTCTGTGATCTACCTTTTGAACCCTGGAAGGATATTTGGTGGGATATTGAAGCCACTGTTGTGCGGCACGAGGCTGAGGCCACGTGCCCACGTACTGTATTCTCTCCGCACAGTTATTGGCACTGCATGTTTTTAAACGCTGGGACTTGAGCGTTTACCACTGTATGAAGGCGCCACATACATTTTATATGTATAGGGATCAAAAACGAGACCACTGAAGCCACCATAAAATTCGGCCTCGCTTTAGTTGTCGAGCCGTTATTCGCTGGAATGTCACCTCTGCAGAACTTGAAGACAACCCAAAGTGCATCTCAATAGCCACTTCACTTTGTGGACTTAGCCGTGAACACCACGGGGAAAGCGCCATAAATTCCGAAAGTTGGACAGTTTGTCCTTCCAATCATCCTTTTCTTCGTTCCTTCCATCCTCAAATAAAAAGCTGAGTCCACGCTTGCCATCCTCAGAGACGTAAGACGGCGCAGCAAGCATACAGTGTCAACCGTCATTGTCACCTTCAAGCGCGTTTGCTCCTCATTTTTCTCATGAATATTTGTGACCGTGGAAGAGATTTTGATTGTCCTTTCCTCAACCGTGGGGGTTTTTTCTTGTTATTTTACACACACAGCGAACATGAAATTCGTATTGCTCTGAATTGTTTGGAGGGACCCGGCCGCACCTAATGCAGCTCCGAATGCCATGTTGCGTATTCATCGAAACAGCCGGCTATAGTATCATCTGCCCCATAATGATAACTCTCTCCACCCCTAAGTACAATGACAAATGAAGTGCCGTCTTTGATGTTCAATGCTAGGTCCTGTGATTTTCTTTCAGTATATCCGAAATATATGTGTCGGTGGAACAGACCAGGCTCACCTTGACCCCCTTACCGTTCTGGATCAGGTTTTCCAGACCAGCGTAGTGGCCGCGAAGATCTCCCACACAACTGCAATCTTGCAACTCCGCAATGTAGGATCCGCCAAACCCCCACCAAAGACGCCTGATGTCTCTCATGGAAAGGTTGAAGTCAGTATTAGGTGGACATTGGAGTGATTTCATCCCGCCGACGCTGATGAAGTAGCTCCCCTGCGGCCCCAGGGAGACACAATCCGGACACTGTGTGTTTTGTCCTTTACTGAGAAATGAAAAGAGTTGAGGGTACTGTGCTCTTATTGCCCCATGGTCTATCTCATTTTGGATATTAATCAGTAAAGTATCCAAAATACCCGTAGGAACAGGATAGTGGTAGCATGGGCGCACTCGAAGGAAAGACTCTCGGCAAACTCACAATAACATCGAGGGAATACCCTGCCTTCATGGTAGTGCGCATAGTATGACAGTCCTTCCCCAAGAATTATATGCTTGATGGTAATTCTCACAGTAGAGGACCTCTCTAAGTGAACTAGACTATCTCTTGTCCAATCTGGCAGGTAGCTGTTCCAGGAAGAAAAGAAAGTGATTAGCTCCCGAGGATGTGATTAATGAATAACTTTTCTGGGGGTTGACTCACGACTTTGTGTAGGCTGGCCCGATGAATGCACAATGGCGACCGCTCAGGCTGAGACTGAGACCTCGGCTGGATTTGAAGGTCGAATGGCTGGTGATCAACGCGTGACTTGTCAGACCGTTGGGCGCAGCGGGACTCTCCGAGCGTACACTCTGCAACGTGCCGATGTCTAGGCTCACTTCACCTCTGATGCTGTATTGAATCGAGAGCCTCCTTATTTTCTCATCTTCCAACTCGTCAACCGCCTGGTCATATCTCGCCCTAACCATCTCTTCCATTTCGGCGGACAGCACCTCCCGATTTCGAAGGAGGTCTCCCTCTTGTTGCTTCATATCTGCCATGATCTCTTCCATTTCCTGTTGTCGTGTGTTGTCCCTCTCCAGCATGGCTTCCCTGGCGCTTTGTTGGTACTCTCTCAGGGCTTGGCTGAGACGAAGGCCCTCCTTTTTAATGCTAGCACGGACGGCCTCACCCGCTTTAGTGTCCTCCAGCAACTTGTTCTCGTCTGCCATCTCCTCCTGGATTCTTAATACCATGTGTTCAGGTGCCTTCTGCTTTCCGAAAGGCAGGAACATTTCAATCAGTCGCTTGGCCGACTCCGAATCGTTCGTATGCCTCTCAATCTTACTGCCTCTGGCAGACATCCAACCCCAGAAGTCATTTGTATTTCTCAGCTCTGCCTCTCTGGCCACCCCTTGATCCTCTTTTTTGAGGTTCTCCCACATAGTGGTGACCAGCACGACTTTATGCAGTGCATTTTCTCCGCAAAGCTTGTTGAACATGATGAGATTCTTTCTGGCGGAGCCCTGCATTCGCACGTCCGTGATTCGATGGAGGTAAAGTATTCCGTGCAATCTGATGCCTTGGGAGTACGTGAATGCGAGCCAGTCTGCCAGATGTCTCAGCACGTCGGCGTCCGTCATGTTCGTATCGTCGAACCCTGGGGTGTCGACTAGGTAAATCGCTATGTTCTCTGAGTGAGCATATCGGTATACAGCGCATTCCCGAGTACCTGCACGTGGTTCGGCATTCATCAGTACAACGACACTGAAGATCTAGTTGGCGGATTGGTTGATACGAACAGGATGAAAGAGCCTGCCCTATTCTAGGACCCCCCCCCCGCAGGTGCTAGATGTGAAATCAACGTGCTTTTGCCGGCACCTGTCACTCCCATCACCGCAATAAAAATGTCGGTGTCACACGGCTCTTGGCCATTGCGAAACTCGGACAAGTCGATCTTTGCAGGAGGGTCCGGCTGCGGGAGCTCATCGATCTCGATCATGACGAAAGTTTTGGCAATGTACAGAGCATCTACAGCTGTGGACGTAAGAGAGTGCAACTGTACACAAAGAATCGTATCTCAGCGCGCGGACGGGACACTGGAATGTGTGGGTCAGTCAATGATTTCTCCGCAATCGCTTCTATAGGCACACGAGTCACAGATCATCAATCGTGAATAGAATGCTGGACTTTGTGGAGTTTCAAAATAAGAATGAGAGAGTCAGCTGCCAGAATCGCTGACATCATGATTATTCCTTTGGGAAGGTCGCACAGAGACGTAGGCTTCACAGCCGCCCCAGAAAGCGCTTTCGTTGGGCATAGATGGTTCCATTGAAACATGTGGGAACACCAACGCTCTAGCTTAGTTCACGAAGAGACCAGTTGGCGCAGTCGGCATGTTAAAGAACCCTGCCTGACCCTCAGCTCAATTTCGAGGCGGGATTGTTGGCGGAGGCCTTTTGATCAGCTTGTCTCGGTTGAGCCAAGGGAACACAAAAATGAATAATGCAATGCAGTGCGAGTGTAACTGCTTTTTTAGGTGACATTTGATTACAAGCGTTCTCTTGCCGAGATGGCTTGGAGAACCTGGCCTCGAATGTCCAGCTAGTCGTGATAAGGCCCTGTCAAAGAATTCTGATTGGCTTCTTTTGTTGGCCACCAAATTTGTGGTGGTTTCGTTTCTAAACCCCATACATATAGAACGTATGTGGCGTCTTCAAACAGTGGTAAACGCTCAAGATAGCGTTTAAAAAAATACAGTGCCAATAACAGTGCAGAGAGAATACAGTACCTAGGTATGTCTGTGGGCACGTGGCCTCAGCCTCGTGCCGGCCGTCAAACTTATCGGGAGATCCTTAACGGCCTCTCGAAAAGATCATTACATATTCGTGTATTTTCAGAAGCAGTAGTGTCGTTGCCGATCGACTGCTGTGGCTTGCTTTGCATGATTGCAAGTTCTCGACCGCCGTCGATGAACGCCCAAGGTGTTGTGGAAGAATTCATTTTGATGGGGGCGAAAGGTGAGTCAGGCAACACGCGCGTTGAGGTCATGGACAGTTGCGTGGCTGGGGCTAGAAGGAAGGAGGTGTCGGCCTCTGCGCTTGCGTCTGCTTGGATCCTTGAAAAAAAATAGAAAAACTGGTTTTCTATTCCTGGCTCAACAGTGGCAAATTTGCTGAGCAGGCTCAAGGGCCACCTAACAGGCCGAGGAGGGAACACTTCATGGTCAACCTACATTTTCCACGGTTGTCTAAATCTGTTATTTCATGTCGAGTCTAATGTTAACACCTAAGTAGACACCGATTTTGAATCAGCTTGAGGGACTGCGTCTGCTCAAGGAAAACTGGTCCAGGAATTCAAGTACGTCTTGCCTTGATATCATTGAGGCCGGGGGCACTAGTGCCTAGGTAGGTACTTTTAGCATGGTGCAGTGAGTATGAGATCACCATACCGCCCTGGGTGTCACAGACACAGAGAAAGCAACCTGACCAAGACATCCCAATTGATTGGCCAGGGGAGGAGCCTGCCTCGGAAACCTTCCAAGTCACTTGCCGTGAATTCATCGTCCGTAAGATATAGTCACTGGCTCTGAACAGCCCGGGGTAACGGAGATCTCACTTTCGGGGATAAGAACCAAGCATTAACACCATCTCCCTGAGGATACTTAGGTAACTATCGGGTGCGACTTTGTAGTTCGTGAGACAATCTGGATTGGCACGAGCGGGCTGCCTATCAGAGGTCCATCCTTTTTCATGGTCTGGGATATAATACTCCCGCCTTCCCCTAGGTACCTAGGTCGGCTTGCAGTGTGGCCGATATGTGGGTGAAGAAGCTTCTTTGCCATCACCTGGGCACGGGTCATAGGTGGTCTTGGCCTTGCCGTACCTAGGTAGCAAGCAGTGGTTGGAGACTTCCGATGTTGCTCTGTAGAGCCAACTAGTCGAAGCTTTCCGGGACTGGAACCCCAATGAGCTCCTCCATCTTTTCCACCGTCGCATGTCTTTTCACTGGATCCACATTAGCACGAGTCCTGCGGACCATATCGCAAGTCTCCTCAAAGCTGAGCCGATCTCCAAGACGGTGTACAGAACTCAGCATGCACGCAGCATCGTAACCGATTTCCTCATATTGCATCAGCCCCTTGAAGATGGGAAGCTGAGGGTTGCGCCCGTTGAATCCCTTGTGGCGTTCGATCAATGTCCTCCGTGAGCAAAGTAGCCAGACAGGCATGGAGTCATCCTCTGCATCAATGACAACTTGGTAGTCTGTCAACTCCGTTCGGGGATTGGAAGGCTTTTGTGAATCCGCGAAGCGGAATTGGCTACGGACTGCCAGTGGGCCAAGTGGTATAACGAACCGCGGAAGCTCGGGATCCCCTTGCGTGCCTTCTGAGGGTTCCCCTTGGTAGATGACCACACTCAGAGGCCTGGCCCTCTCGTTGAATGGAACTATGTCGAGTGGGCAGCTGACATAGATCAAATCGTCAGAAAGGTTGACAAGGATTTGGTACTCGTCGCCAGTGTCCTCATCTCTGAACAAAGGGACCTTCGCTGGACGATAATGGCCTGGTGCAAACTTGAGGGAAGGAAAGTCTTCCCGTGACAAATTACCAAGCTTCTGCAGCCAATGTTGAGCGTCAGGATTGGTGGAGAGTTGCTCATTGGACACGCTCCTGTCGCCCAGTTGAAGGTGCGTGTACATCCAGTCTTCTCCATCCCACGTGTCAACGTACGGGCTCTCGTAGTCAAGTAGCTCGTCCCAGTGGTCGCCATGCCATTGCAGTGGGTGTTCGTTGACACTGCCCTCCTCGCTGAGATTGAGCTCATCGTTGTCGTCCAGCTCTGAACTACTACTGCTGCTGCTGCTGCTGTCCATCTTTTCAGTTTTGAGGGAGGCCTATTGTGCTAGTGATGACACATTGATAATTGCTTCTCAGTTTGTGACGTTCACTCGCTCAGTCTGGCAAGTCTATCTTGTCAGATAAATGGACCTCCAGGGCCGGAGACATCGGGCACCTGGGAGACGAGTGGGTGCGGGGCTCGTGGTATGGCCTGCGAAGCGATCGGGTTGTGGTTTAAAGGGCCGCTCTCCACTTGAGCAATAGAGACTTACTGTTGACAGAGACGTAAAATTGACCGATTTCGCGTTTCCTGACTTTTGAAGGCTTCAACATGTGTGTACGTGCTTGCCTGTGTTCAAGTCGAGGATGTCCGCGGGTTGAAAGGTGCAGCCGTGGCGATAACTAAGTACTCAGTACTGACCTGGGGACGACCTAGGTACTTCTATGTGATGAGTCAATCAGTACAATTGATTACATAAGCACTATGTTACGTATCTAGTTAAGTAGTTAACGGAAAGAACGGCTTGGAAATACTTGCAGTGGAACAAGTGATTGTAACTGTTTATAGGTAAACAGGTATTTTTACTCGGTAGAGAAATGGGTAACACTGTCTATGTGTACAATTTTCCAATCATCTCCGCACCACTTTCAGCAACTGCGTAGACCGTAGTAAGAATGTTGCCTCTGGGTATGACAGGGAAAATGCTGGCATCACAAATCCGCAAATTGCTCGTTCCGTACACTCGAAGCTCTCCATCAACGACACCACCAAGATCAGCTGTTGCCATAGCACAAGTTCCGCATGGGTGGTAGTTCGTCGCCCCGTATTTACTGATTGCTTCTTTTGCTTCTTCCGGAGTCCTCATGACGTCGTTATATTCTGCCGGAAGGCGGTTGCCGCCCGGCTTGAGTATGGACGCGTAAGTTGGCTGCTCAAGAAGTCGCTCAATTTGAATGGTATGCCGGGCCAGTATCTCAGCGTCTAGTGGATGAGACAGATACTTGAAGTCAATGATCGGGGATCCGTGTGGGTCTGCAACATGAATGTGCGACGATCCCCGGCTGAATGGGTGTGACAACATGGCCACGACTGTCATATAGTTGCCTGGGGCTTTACTGCCAGCTGTGGTGTATCTCTGAATGCGTGTCATAAAGACCGTGGCGCTTGCTTCTTGTCGATCCATGATCATCGTTCTGACGAAGTCGTGATGTGATTGATATCTTGAATCGCCCGCCTCGCGATATTCCTCCAACAGCCTCTTCAGGTCAGCCTCCTCGGATGCGGTGTTGAATAGCTGTAGCGGCCAGTATGCAAAGCTGTATGCCGCTCCTTCTGAGAGAACCCCTGTTCGAGACTGCTCATATTCCTGTCTTTCCTTCTCCGCCACTGCTGGATCCGTGGTAAAATTGTCTAATGTCTCGATGTCAACGTCGATCTCAACGCTTGGCCCGTAGTTGAGGTGATCCTGGAGGTTCTCTGAATATCTTCGTTAGAAGGAGGTTGGACAGCCATATTTTGGAAGTCTCTTACCTCCAACTCCGGGAAGGTCTACCAAGCATGGGACGCCCGCGACTTTGAGAATCTCTTTACTTCCAATGCCGGATAGTTCCAGGATCTGAGGACTGCCAAAGGCTCCTGCGCACAAGATAACCTCCTTATCTGCCCCCACAGAAACCGTGATGCCTCGTTGCTCATACGTTACCCCGATAGCCTTCAGTAACTTTGTATCGCCGTGGCTGGTCTCTTGAAAGTTGACTTTCCTCAGTCTTGCATGTGTCTCAACGCTGAGGTTCGCTCGATCCAATGCTGGCTTTAGGAATGAGTTGCCAGAATGACTTCTTTCGCCTTTCATAGACCGGGCATCGATTGCATTTGTTGTAGTGACGCCCCCAGTCGCGAGACCAGACATCCCATCCTCATCGGAATATGCGCCGAGGGAGCGAAAGACCTCTTCCCACGCTCTCTGCAGGGTGTTTGTGTGCCTCGGGTATGATGCTTGGATCGGGCCGGACGTCTCCGGCTCAGTGCTTGAGGCATCTTTTCGGGTCACTCCTGAGACTTGGACAGTTTGAAACCTCTTGTAAAAGGACTCCATCCGATCCCAAGACCAACGCTGTTCTCGTGAGATCTCAGCCCACGCATCGTGCATTGCCCGGTTGGGGTACACCAGACTGTGGGAGTTGATTGCGCTGCTTCCGCCAATCATTCGTCCCCGTGTATGCTCAATGACACGGCCATTGAGTCCGGTTTGTGAAGTTGTCCGATAATCCCAGTCGTATTTGGGGTCTTTAAACATGCGGCGGCTGGTAAGCGGCGTGGACACTTGAGGGTCTGCATTGTTGTCCGGACCAGCTTCAAGGAGAAGAACACTCAAGTGACTAATGGATGATAGGCGAGAGGCTAAGACGCACCCAGCTGTGCCACCGCCTACAATGATGATATCAAATGATGCCGTTGGAGTGGCTTCCGCGGTCCCAGACTCGGCCATCTTCTCAAAGTGTTCTCAGGATGCTTCTAAAACCGAGAACAGTGACTTCTACAAAAAGAGGAGAAACTTTGTCAGAATGACAATAGATTTCAAGTGGACAGAACAGGCCCGCTGAAACCCAACCTGAATGCAGCGGGTCGGGTTTTAAAGAAATCCAGCACAGTTACGCAACCCCCTGAAGTCATGACGCATCACAACGGGCGCAGCGGCGCAGCTGCTATATCTCTGACTCCATAGAGCTACAACGAAGGAGCTATGTGATCCTTCCGCAGATGAGGCTTATCGCGTACATGCTCCGCATAAGCCAGCTAAGCGAATTAGGAAGGTTCTCGTGGGGATTGCCAACAGTAGCCACTTAGGCTAGAATGTACACTGCCGGGGATTATCCTATACAGATCTGGGCAGATCAAGACATACATGAGAGAGTTAGTAGAGGCTACTATTTTCAAAACTTCCCATGTTTTTTCCGGGGTTGCGTAGTTAAAGCCCCCATTCAAATGCTACCAAGCACCCTGTAGACAGACGAGAGAGTTTCCGAACCGGCCAATCGGGGTCAGTTCTTCATCGGTGTGACGTCCCAACCGGACAGCCAATATAGTTTGACTACGGTTCAAAGTGGCTTAGCCGAGTTCAGCATATTTACTATGGTATGCGATCTCATCCTCTCTGGTCAACGCTGCTACGGGCAGCCATTTGTTGGAACGATTTAATTCGGGTTACAACATGGCTAACTCGGGCATCTACTACCCGCAATGTAGCCCGAGTGCCTTCAGGACAATACTACACCCCAACCAAGCGCCTATATATACCGCTTGTTTGGCGTCTAGCACTTGCGTGTATGCATATGTACTGGTTCTCTTCGGCTGCGGACAGTGATAGGCCACGCACTTCGGATCATCTAACGTGATGGTGGATCAACGATCACGCCTGCGGTTCTCCTTATGATTGTGGATTTGAAGCACAGGGGGATCGTTGGAGGCCCCGCGCTTTATTCCATTAGCGGATTGCTTTCTCAAGGGACTGAAGTGGTTCTACCAGCCTACTGCATCACTGCACTGGATTATGGAAAATATAATTAGGACGTGGTACTGAGTGCATGGAGCTAATTTAAGAGTGGAAGACGCATCTATAAGCAAGCGAGTGAATTGTGCGAGGTCTGAACTGAGAGCTTAGAACGTCACAGCATGGTAGAAAGCAGTCAGGAAAAATCTGAAATACACAAGAGCCAAGTGAGGAAGTCAGATAACGCAACTCATCTCCAGGAAAACCAGATGTGAAAGTAATATCGCTTCCTCCCTTATCACAGTTTCGCAGTCATTGAAATTGACAGAAGCTCTTCACTCGCACTTCCACCAGTGGATTTCACCTCCCTCGAATGTCTTCTCGAATCTCGTGTTGGCGTAGAACATCCCAAGGTCGTCGAAAGCAGCGCGTCCGTGTGCGAAAGCGCGGCAGCCCCAGAAACGGTCGTGAGGGTCATTCAACAGAATGACCGTAGCCTCGGTATAGAAAACAGGTAGAACGTTGTCGGGCAGAACGACCAGTTCGTCAAGCACGAGCTCGTGCTCGTACCTGTCCCCCTCCTCGTTGGTGAAGATCACGGTACCCTGGACGGCACCCTGGACAACTTGGCGAGCCTTAGTGTGCTGCACTGCGCGCTCGTGAACAACTGCATCCCGCCCAAAGTCGTCGTAGCAAGTGATCTGGCCGATGAAAGGCTGTTGGCCCTCGGGGAAGCGCAGGGACCCGGGACCGGTCAGATTTCCAATCGGCTTCAAGGCGCGATCGAACAGTTGACAGTGGTAGGCAAGTTCGGGGATGCAGATCTCCGCACAGCCTGTCGACACAACACTGACTGTGAAGTCGAAGTTGACCGTACGAGGCTGGCCATCAGCATCTAGTCTGATCGTCTCAGTGACCTCCAGAGGGTGGTTGGTAAACTGGACCACTAAACCGCCCTCTCCCTCATCCTGGCGCTTTTCCTCGGGAGGAGCAGGGAGTCCAGGTGCACAGGAAACGGCAGTGATTGTTGCGAATGCATCAAAGATGAACTTTGTTTCACCAGGGCCGACCTCGATCTTGGCATTCTCGTTCTGGCCGTACAATGTACAATGGAAGCCGATCTTGCATCCACCATCGCACTCAGCATTGACGATATCGCCAAGGAAAGCTGGATCCACGGGGACAGGGAAGTCATCCAGGGGGACATTATCCAATGTCTTGACAACGTCGAGGCGGCTATGTTTAAGCTGGACGTTTATAGTTGGGCCCTGGCGAGTTTCAGCCGGGGCCGCGGTTGCAAGCCCCAGTGCCAGTGTGGAGGTGAAAAGATACAGAGAAAGCATCTTGATTGGTACTTGTGAGAAGCGAAATATTGATTTGAGTCCCTGAGTTATTGCCGGTGTTTGTCCTGGAAGTTGGCCTGCTATCCTCCTCGCTACATTATGAAGGGGGCGCCTGGTACTCTTCTTATACCTGAATCCCTGGACCCCAATTCATCCTCCTGCTGTCGACCTGCAATTTCTTACTCTTCAAGGCGACCCAACACCGAATTTGGCATCATCGAAAGACCAATGTCTTATGCGACAATGCTCGTATTAACCCAGGTAAGCTTAGAGCATCCTTTGTGGCTCAACCCACGCCAAGACTAATTGTATACCAATGCGACGGCTAGATTGCAGAGATCCTTTGTAAGTTCTGCGACGGAATTCAGACTGTGATCGGTGAAGAGCATTTTTCCCAACCTCGAAGGACTCCTGAACTATGTCATTGGAAATCCCGATGAAGTATGGTTGCGGTGTCTTCTCGGTGTCTAGGGGCGGCTCTCTGATCCGCTCAGCCTCTTACGGAAGACTACTTCTCATTCAAGAAGCGCATCAATCAGCTGCTGGCATGCCGAGCTCAGTAGGGCTGACAATAAAGAGGGTTGGAGAATCAGTTGAGAGGCATGCGCCTTACCGACAATGCCGGAGAATCGACGCAGTGAATGTTACCCGTTCTCCAGAATATCTACTGCAAGAGCTGGACGAATATATCTGGGAAGTTACTCCGCAATGTATGATCATACCTGGGACGCAACGATACACGGAGTCAGACCTGGACCGCATTTCAACACGTACTTTATTCATTGGTTACCAAAGTTGACATGCGTCCCTCAGTAGCTATCAATCTCGGTACTGTCAGGAAAATACCTAGACAGTCGTATGTGGGTGTCACCAATATGAATATCTCGACCCTTGACCTAAATCCTTTTGAGGCTTGGGGACATATCATCCTCCAGCTGACTTGGTTCCATGCATATTTGTGGGGCTCATCAGCAAGTTCAGATAATTTTACCCAGTTCGGGGGCATTCAATTACGTAAAATGTCCTAGTGTCAGAGGATTCAACTCTTTTGGCTGGACGCCCAAGGATTTGATTCAAAATATGATGGTGCGGTTATAGATGTCCCACATGCAGAGCGCGCAGTTCGACTAGGTGGTGTGTTCGAGGCCCACTATGATCACCTTAGAATGTTCACGATCAACAATGCCTGATGTGATTCTGAGCACGGCTCTGAGATGAGACGTAAGCTGACAGACAAGAAGTTATTTGAGTTTCCGCGAAATATCCAATGACAGGAAACCGTTCGGTAGCACAGACCCATCTGACAGCTCCAGGGATGCATTGAGATCACGCCGAGGCATTCTAAGCTGAGACTGAAAAAAGAGTATCATACTAGTGAGGCCCTAGAACCTAGGAAAGACACAGACTAGCGGAATTTGATCTAACTGTAGATTCACTGTCAGACAAAGGATATCGATCGACTAGGTGGGACAGGGACAAGAGTAGACCACTTGGCGACTTTGCTTCTCCTAGACGGCGGCGGCCGCGCTTCTCAGTGCCACCGAGCCCAAAGAATCGTCTTATTAAACGAAGACTCCTGAGGTCCAAATGCAGCCTAATTTTGCTTCCCATAATCGGATTCACTTGCATCTAGTGCAACAATGATGGGAGAAGAATGATTGATGAAGAACATTTGAATCTTGGCTTTAGCTTGATCATATGTGCACGAGGTAACAATATCGATGACTACACATCTAACAAGAACAGAGTCTACGGGCTGACGGGGAGCCGTCTTACAGTAGCCAGCGTAGTTGCCCGTATTGGTGAAGGATTTGCCTGCCAAGCTTATGAAAAGAAAGAAGGAATGTGACTTATCAAAATCATGGCTCGTTAGCTACCTACCAATTAACATAAAACATAAGATCCGCTTTAGGTGGTCATCCTCTTTACTAGCCGACACAAGGTAGATCCCCTAGCGCGGCTCGGCTTCCGATTGGTACCACTCCATTGAAAATAGATGACCTCTGGTTCAGAAGGTTCGATCGGAGAGGCACCTGGGATCAGCGAACAGGCCCACTGATATGGAATCAATCGCACTGCATGGAGGGCATATTACTCAACACATATCCAAGAATGAAATTCTGGTTGAGTGGAAAATGGAGACAACCAATGCCTTGGAGGAGGTGAACCGTCAATAACGTATACACAAACAGAGAAGGAAAAGTCTGAAGTGTGGAATTTATTGAATGAGAGTCATAAGTACCTAGGTAGTAAAGCTAGAGCCATCTCGGCCCTATTTGGCGATTCTGGGCAGCTGATTCAACTACGCTGGCATCTCAAAAGCAGCATCCTGAAAGGTGTGCGTCCCACTCCCAACCGTTTCGGTCGTCTTACTACCCGGAAGCACCACTTCTGCCTGTGAATTCGGAGGTACTACAACCTCCAGGTCGAAACCCTTCCCATCAGGCCCTACCTTCCAGCTGGCGCTGACTTTCCCATACGGGCTTAAATAACTTGCGTCCGCATTTGTAATCCCGCCGCCAGGCTCAGGCGCAACTTGCACCACCTTCCACCCAGGGACAGCCGGTGCAAGACCTCCAATCTTCTGATGAATCCAATCTGCCACGCTTCCGAATGCGTAATGATTGAAGCTTGTCATGCCGCTTCCGTTGATGGTTCCGTTCGGCAGTAGACTGTCCCAGCGCTCCCATGTTGTTGTACCGCCCTTGACAACCTGATATAGCCAGGAAGGCACTTGGGTTTGCAATAACATGTTGTAGAAGGCGGAAGTCGAGTTGATCGATGTTAGTGCGAACCCAAGCTGCTGCGTACCAGCAAACCCAGTCCCAACAAGATAGGAGTTGTCAGCAATAATGCTGTTGAGGGTTTCAGCAGCACGAGGGAGGGTGTCAGAGTCGAAAATGTCGAAACGGATGCCGAGAGCAAGTGCCGTTTGAGTAACGTTGGCAATCAGATCATAAGGCTTGATCCAGGCATCGTGGAAGGCTGACACCAGCCCTAACCGATCAGAGGCATATTTCTCAGAATCTGCTGTCTTGCCAAGAGCCGTGGCCATGTTTGAGAGAAGACGTGTCATCTGTATGAGATACGCATCCGCAACGAGGAACCTGTGCGTGGTTGCGCGATCCGCTTCGGCTTCAGGCGCCTTGGGATCAAGCCAATCCCCATATTGCCAAGTTGACCTATTCCAAAGACCAACATCATTCCGGGGGATGCCCTGATCGATCCATGTGCGTGCACCCTCATATTGTTCTCCAAGCATCACGGTGTCGCCTGTTGTCTGAAACAATGCCCAAGGACTGCCGACGATGACATCTCCCCAAACTGCCACAGGCCGCCGAGGCATACTGCCACTCTTGACATCGAGATCGTTTGTGGGCGAAAACTCTGGCGAAGCCTTTTCGGGGTCGGCATTCGTCTCCGACCAGAGGTCTCTCAGCCAAGCTCTCCAGAACCCAGAAGCACCATAAAGGTAGTTGGAGGTAGGTGCGAAGGCATGGGCGTCGCCGGTCCAGCCCAGGCGTTCATCTCGCTGTGGGCAGTCAGTTGGCACCCCCAAGAAGTTTCCTCGCATGCTCCAGATGACATTCTCATGGAACCTGTTGAGAAGGTCATGCGAGGATTCGAAATACCCTGTTCTCTCCATGTCACTGAAGACGACCTCAGCTCTGATGCTTGATGAGTCCAGAGGGGTACTGTCGGTTGGCCAGCCGGTCACTTCAACGTAGCGGAACCCGTGGTAGGTGAAATGAGGCTCCCAGGACACAGTAGAGTTTCCGGCGAGAATTACACTGTCGGTTTGCTTGGCTGATCTCAGAGGTTCCGTTGCGATGTCTCCGTTCAGCAACAACACCTCGGCATGTCGGAAAGTGATGTTGGTGCCTTCCGGCCCGGATACAGTGATATTTAGCCAGCCGACAAGGTTCTGTCCAAAATCAACGACGGTCTTCCCACTCTCAGTTGTAGAGATGCTCTGTGGTTCTAGCTCTATAAGCTTCCTCATCGGCGGACCATCAGGCGACGTGAGGCGGCCCTGTATGGCAGGCAGCTCTTTGACTTGCAGCCAGTTGCTGTCGTCGAAGCCTGCGGTCGACCAACCCGGCATTTCAGCGGAGAAGTCATAAACTTCCCCATCGTAAATATCGGAAGTGACAATCGGACCTTCTGCGGTGGCACGCCAGCCTGAGTCAGAGTCAGTCCTCACACTGACTGTGCTACCATCTTGTAGGGTAACGATAAGCAAGGCTTGGACGCCGAGCGTATCTCCCCAGGTGTTTCGTCGGCTATTGAGACCAAATCGTCCAGCCCACCAACCCTCTCCGATGGTGACCCCGATGGCGTTACTTCCTTGTCGGATCTGCGCCGTCACATCGTAAGTGTCGTAAGTGTGCCTGAATTGATAGGACATGTACCCAGGCGCAAGCTGATGGTCCCCGACCCTCTCACCATTGAGTTCGGCAACATAGAGTCCGAGGGCAGTGATGTAGAGCCGTGCTGACGCGACCTGAGTATCAACATCGAAAGCCTTCCTGAATTGAACTGAATGTTTTGCAGTGTCCACCTCTGTCGGTCTATCAGCCGCGATGGGTACTGCACCCTGCCAGTCTTCCGTGTTCAGCAAGCCGGTCTCGACAGATGAGTAGTCCGACCATTCAGTCGAAACCTGCCCTTCTTTACCGTATGCCCGTACTCTCACCTTGGCTGATTCTGCGCTGGAAAGCGCCTCATCAGGCCACGGAACGACAACTGAGTCAGACGAATCAGCTACGTTGTATAGCTTCGGGACGCCGTCAGATCCCCGCGTGATCTCCAAATCGTAACCCGACTGTTCCCAGCCGACAGCATCTCCTTCAAACCGCCATGACACACGAGGTGTTGTCTCGGCTATGCCAAAGGCTTGCCGGTGGTGTTCGAAAGAGAGAGCAGATATGGAGACTGCCATAATAGCTGTTCGAAACCAGAGTGAGACGAAGTACTACATGCAATAAGGGACTCGATGGTCAAGCCACTCGTTGATGGCAGACACAATCGAACAAGACAGCTTCTAGGGCCAGGATTTGGCTTCTTTAATGTCCAGACAAGGGTTCCTATGGGAATACACAAAAGGCCGGGGTGGGAGTTTGTGACCACAACAGTGGTCATGAGCCATCGCTCCTTCTTCCAAATGCTACAGACCTTTATGTAGGCCAGCTATTCAGGCTTGGAGTACTACAGCACTCGGTCCACGCTGCAGCGAGATGTTCCATCATGATTTCACGGACAGGATGAGTCCTGTGACGGTCATTGACCGCTCATTCCTCTGCATTTGATGGGTAAGTCGGTCCCCGATTGTGGCGAGAGCTGGTCGCCTTATGAATCTACACCATGTATCTATCTCAATGTACCTATGTACGTACCACTAGGGATGCAGTCCCCTACCACGAACTGTTAATCAAGATCCGTCACAATGGTAACGTGGCAAGGTCATATATACGAGCATGCAATCCATAAGAGACCCGCAGATCTGGGACATAGTACTAGTAGACATGCGGGGAACCTCGATGGCATGGCGGCGAGCCAAGATTTGCGGTTGGTCAGGTGTAACCACCATCAAGCTGCAAGTCAGGGTTCCATGGCCGACAGCTACGACGTGCCGTGTGATCAAAGACCCGCATGATGCTTCTGCATCACATGTGCATGCGAAGCGAGAAGACGATGAGTCGGCAGTAGATATCGCGAATTACCTAGGTAAGCACGTCGGTCGAAGAGGATGAAGGAGTTCAAGCGGAGGCAGCGGGGATGACATGTCTGAATAGTACCCTCAAAATTGCTAATGTTACGAGAAGATATTCACAGTCAGTCCTTCCAAGTGCTTGCAACGAGCCATAAGCTAGGGTGTATATGATAGAGACAAATTTACATCAAGGAAGGTGCCACCGCGATTGCTGACTGGCATTCGGGGAGTTGTTTCTCAAGGGTTCCTTGGGGACGACCGACATCCTTCGCCTTTGTGTGGAGAAAAAACAGTGTAATGTTGGTCCTTGCCGTTCTGAGTCAGTTGATGCAACACAATACTCGGATGCCAAGAGCAAGGTTTGCTAGAATCTACATATCACTGATTCAACTAATGCCGGTTGTCAGCATGCATTGACATCATTTTTCAAGCCGAGTGCAGTTGAGACGGCTGCGAAAATCATCACAAGCGCCGAATTCCACACCACCACATCAAGGTACATGACTCCGGTCATACGGGCGCCTTGGTCGAGCTAACAGACCCTCGAGCTTCCACGGCCAGGAAACGGGCTGGATCGCCAACGTCCTTTCAAGTTGGCAACTCTCTCGAATACCCGCGGCGTCTTCCGGCTACATCCGGATGTGTCCACTCTCAAGCCTGGAGAGCAAAGCCAGGCCGAGTAGACATTCTTCTGATATGACGGCTTGAAGACTGTTCCCAACAGTACTGGGAGACTCCGGGGGGGCTCTCTGTCGTTCAATCTGTCTACGTCTACGAGCACGCCGGGTGGAAGCAGCGTCATCGAAGTATGCGGTGCGCAGATCAATGCTGAGAGTCCGAGACCAGCATCAAAGGGAACCTGCCGACTGTCTAGTTTCAATTGCACCAAATGCAGTTACACATACTCCACCAGCACATTCAGAGAGGAAGGCATCTTTGTTATGACATGTGAGAGTGATAGGGCTGCATAGGTATGCTCGACCATCTTCACCAACTCAGTACCATCTCTCAAAGAAGCCCTTTTGTCGTAGGTCAAGCTCATCACACAGAAATAATTAGTTCGATGCGCCAAACTCCTCGCGGAATGAGGCATTCGCACCATACTATGGCAAAAAGAGGAAGGGCTAAGACTTATTGACCAAGTGCTAGGACCGCGATGCTTGGCGAATACGATCAGGACTAGGAGCTGAATGACTGAGTACAAATTAGGGAAGAATACCTTCGATATAAGTTGCAGGGCAGAGAAATAAATATTACAGGCATCGCAAAGATGCAACGTGAGGTGATGAACTCCTATGGCGGGTATTTATAATATCATGACTGGGACGCCAGTTCATTTAACCACCTCTCCATGTCAGCCATGATGCGCTCTCCTAGCTTTGAGTCCACAGCGCAGTCTGGCCAGTTGGCTCCGACACTCATCCCTCCGCCAGCGGCACTGACTGGGGAGAACTCGATGGCGGCAGCCGGGACCTCGGCGCTGAGGCCGAACTGCGCCCGCTCAATCAACCACTTCTCACCGTCTCCCTTGGGTCCGGGGCCCCCATTAGTTGCTTCGTCGGGCTTTTCTGACTTTGTACTTGACCCTTTTGAGCCCCTTCCCTCTACGACGCCGATGTTGGTTATCAACCATGAGAACTGGCGGGTCTTGCTCGCCTGGTCCCTCATCGTCTGCTGCCAGTCTGTGACGTACTTGAACACCCCGACCGGGTCGTTTCGCACCCCCTTGTCCAACCTGGACACTATCTCCTGGCGACTGCGTGAAGAAACGGCCCAGAGCTCGCGTTGCAGGCTCGGAGACATTTTCTTTTTCTCGCTGGTATCAGCCCGCAGCTTCGAGCGCACTCGCTTCACTAAGCTGCGGTCGTACTTATGGACCGCGGATGTCACATAATTCGCCACTGCCCTGTCATATGACACCCATGGAACGCCCCGTGGAGCGGGCGGTAGATTCCTGCGATGGTCCACGATGGTAGAGCTTTGGAAGGCGGGGGCGGCGTTGCTGTTGAGGTGCGATGAGAAGGCTATAAGTGCAAGCCCGTGAATAAGTGCCGTGACTGTGGTCTTGTTCTTTCGGCAAAGTTTCAGGACCGCGACCAGTGATGCCTCTTCTATGAAAAAGGCCCGGTATTGGGTCTTGTACGGGGTGGTGCGAATCGGACACCAACCGGCTTGTGACGCGTCCCGGCTAAGAAAGGGAGGCCGAATTTCGTCCCATATTGACCTGGCGAGGTATCTGAGGCCTACTGGGAGACTTGTCAGGCCCTCAATCGGATCTGGAAGCACGGGCGCAGCCTGAGGCAGTTTGAGGATATCGCCATTTGGCTTCGTTCGCTCGCACGCTCCGTGCTCCGCGTTCAGCATCTCGACCAAGTCTTCGTGGAATACCTTGGCACCCACTGCGTCAAATTGGGTGAGATTCCAGGTCAGTAGGAGTTCCATCACAGGAGCATCTCCTTGCCGAAGAATGGTGATCCACCAGCCCGGCTGCTTGATACAAAGGTCCGGAAAACGTTCGTCGAGCTTAGCGGCGAAGATCTCTTGGACACATTTGTCGAAGTTCTCATTTCCTTCGACGTATATCCAATTGATATGCTGCTTTAAGTCGAGACTCTCCAGCTGGACCCATGAGGGTGTCTTGGAAGTGGCCTCCGCCATGCCAACCCGCAGCATTGGATGCCTCATGACTGTATCGATGACAGCGAGTTCAACTGCTTTCGCTAATTGAGGCCGCGACTCCGACGGGGTAAGGTGTCGCGGGATTGCATAGCGACAAGAAAGAACAGTGCCCCGATACTGATCAAGCAGATACATGGCCAGTTGATACGACTCGCTGGAAACAAAGCCATCAATTAGGAGCCCTCAAATTCGTTGCCGTCATTTGAAATCGCGTGCTTACTTTATCCCGAATTTACGTAGCACCGTCGTCACCTTTGTGCCCTGTTTTAGTTTCTGGGCCATTTTGCGTCGACAACTTTGCAGATCATGGAACTTGAAATGAGGAAAAGGCGATTCTCGAAGTGCTGCCAGGACACACTAATAATGGTAGGAAGATATGATTGACTCTCAAATCCTAGGCATGTAATGAAATAGCTCTTATGTGATGCAGCGGAAGCGGCGAGAAGGTCAGGATCAGCTGTTGGTTTTATCTCTACTATGACTGTGCCGTACGAAGGCATGGACTAGCCTCATCCTGAGCTTGGTACAGGCCCCCTGTGCCAAGATTGATGGACTTTGTGGTGGTGTTGGCCTAACGAAGAACGGAATGTGGAAGGATCAAAAGGACCCGCCAGAGCATGTTCGCTGCAGGGGTGCGGCGCTTGAAGCTGTATGTTGCACCAGTCCAGATATCCATGGTCTCAGCCGTCGGAGACCGGGTTGGAACGACATGTCGGAACACCGCATGTCACGGTGGCTTGACAATTCATAATCCCTTCGACTCCAACACATTGGACGCATCACTTCAGAACCCCTCAGTATGCCATTGGCTTGTTCACCCGCGCCTACTGAATCCCGTGTACGCCGTTGTCTGCGCGTATTACGGCCAACGGACCGGAAGGATGACCAGTAGGATTCGAACACCTGCAGGAAGCACGTGGGTGTGATCCTTCCTAGTGCAACCATCAAGGGCTGGAATCCGCAAGGACGCTCGGGGATTATCGGATGACATGTGCTGAAAATGGTGCATCAAAGATTAGGTGACAGTGCAGCGCCGCCTGCAGGGTTCGGATCAATTGCTCAGAGCTTGAGTACCTGAGTATCTGGGCCCATTTGGGTCAAGCTGGATGCACTGCGCTGACGGGCCCAACACGCAGAAAAGGCCACACTTTCGGCAAGTAAACGGCTGCATGTTTGATAAAGCAGCTTATATGTTGCGAAGGGCGGTTCAAAATGGACTCAGTGCTGCATTTTGTCAGGAAACCTCAATTTCACGTAAACATTCTCAAGCTGCAACTACTGTGACGGGAGGGCGTTGAATAAGAAGCTCGATATCAGGAAGGAACCCACAGCGACCAGACTAGCAAATATTGCTACCGGTTGAGTGGACAGAATTATGAGACGGGTTCTTTAGGCTGTCCGCGGATTCAAATCGGGGCCGGTCAAGCCACGACCATTTCAGCTCATGAATGAGCTACCACCTACTTTCTTGCCGCTGGAAAAGTTTCCCGAGGGCCTTGGAATCAGGGGGAGACGCTCCACGGTTAGCAGGGTAGATGACTGCCATAGTGGACACCATAACGCCGCCAAAACTCTACCACTGCGCCCAAGTCTTAAAGGATTTGAAGTTATCCCCTCACCTTATTCAGGATGATAAAGATGATAAGTCTGTTCTGATGTATTCTTTGCCGGGTTGAAATCAATCACTTCAATGTGATAGAGTGACTTCCTAGCTTTTATATTTACTGGTTGGGAGCTGACCACTGACATGCAGGCTTGGTTCGCACTGGTCCAAAACCGGTGAGGCTTTGGAATAGAAACACTGGCAGTCAAGGCCTGAGTAGTTATGCCAGACCAATCCACAACATGAACAGACGCCACGAAATGGGTGTGGAGTTTGAATTTTGCCGCCTAATCTATGCTGTGGCAGGACTGCGACATGATTAGCAGCATGACGGCTTTTGATAACGCTATTATTCTGAGTTTGAGTTGGGTCCGGGGGGGGGGGACTGAGTAAATGGGAAACGCCTTAAGACATCTGGAGCCCAAGCTTACGAGGAACACGCTGCGGCACACCGCAACTTTCTTTAGGAGAACGGATATTCACACAGGAAAAAAAGGCTGATACACAGATACAATGCACCCTCAGTATACCAACCTTAATTTACACCACCTACTCGCCATATAAAACAGAAATTTACACTTATTAACTATATATAACCTTATTAACCCTTAATTTCTAATCCTCCTATCATTACTTCTAGTCTAATAGTTTCCTACTTTTTTCCTCCTAATCACCTAGAGCACTCTAGCAAATCCTTAAGTACTATAATCTCCTCCTAGGTCTCCTTCTTATCAGTAACAATGTCCTTTATAATAAGGTCACCCTACAATAGCTAGTTGATAGTCCTACAAGCCCTTATATAGTCTTCTTAATAGTTAGTAAAAGAGTCATTTAGTAGGTAAAGGAGAATTAGTAGGTCTATATAGGGGGCGTAAAAAGCACTTCCATAAAAAGCACTTCATCTAGGTGGTGTGTATAGTCGGGGGAGGTTAAATAAAGCCCTCTAATTAGCTACAGCCTAAAAGCAAATATTTTACCTATATACCAGCCGTTTTTTCCAATTCGAATATCCGTTCTCTTCTTTAGTCAAGCTGCATTCATCTCATGGTGCAAAAAGGGACTACAGCAGCCGAGAAGGAGCGCTGCGTGCCGGTGTTCTGTAACAGAACCATGAGAGACGAGGCCAGTGGAAGTACATGCCTGATCTTTGATTTCACAGGCTCATTGGGGACGCATACAATTCGGGGCTCATTGGTGCCGCGCATGATACTACAAGGACTAGGTACTTTATGCCGGGGTACCAATTTCTTTTCCAACAACCCGACCTGTCAAACCTGGTTGTACGAGAGCCCCCGCAGCGCTCCCGCGTCTGCCTTCGGCCAAAACCGTGCCCCTAAATATTTCTAGATCGTCCAGATCAGCGTCCCGTGCCTGAACGCTGTGGTGGAGGACATGCTGCGTTTGGCAGACGCCGCCATCTTGCAGGAGCGCCACGCAAGAGAAAACACCGTCATCTTGGGTCACCTCATCCCCAACCAAGATGCCAGGTGCACAGAGCCTGTTTTCAACATTGAAAAGTCCCGTTGTAGACCGAGAGCCTGGGATCCGCAAGACATTGACAACTTAGAAGTTCCAGCCGGAACGGTGGCTGGTGCCTTGCCAGGACAAGTCGTCGGGCTATGAAGATATGGAGGGACTGACGCGGAGATCAAAACAGTGCTACGTTAACTTGAAAGCTACCCAGAATACGTTGCTTTGTACGCTTTATTAATTATGCATGTCAACGTTCTCTACAGCTGCTACGGACCTTCATGTTGGAAGCGAGCGCTTGACTACCTACAGTGGTGGACCGCCGGTAAGGCTGGTCGGACGTATGCTTGCTCTCGATGCTCAATAAGATACTGCGTTGTACACCGGTGTAAACCATTCCAAGTTCAAGCAGAAGGCTCCAGGACTACACATGCAGCCCATCCGTCGGCTGATGGCAATGCTCACCGGAGCTCGGGAAGAAAGCCGAAGAGACAACTCCGCACCGGTCCCGGCGCGATATGCGGCTGCCGGCCCACCGTTAGCCACGGAGTTTCGTAGAGGGGAAACGTGCAAACCGGTGGTCTAAAAGACAACATCGCCGCAAGTATCGTCACATAAAGTACACAGTATCTAGCAAAAAGTCGTTCAAACATCCGTCAACTTCAACCGTGGATCCCCTGCTTGCTGCTGTCAATTTTCAAGGCTGCCAAAACTCTGCCCAGTGCCACTTCGCCAACATCAGTGCTTAATTACTCCAACCACCATGGGCCCAAAAACATCCGCTGCAAAGGCGAAGCCACTGCCCCCAGGCGTCTACACTCCAGTGATCACTATCTACAATGATGTAGCCGACCAGACCGTGGATTTGAAGGCCATGTACGCCCACGGTCAGTATCTCATCAATAGCGGCATGCATGGGCTTGTCTACCTCGGCACAAATGGCGAGCTCGCCCTACTCACAGCCCCGGAGCGGCAAGCAATCCTCCGCAATGCCCGGAAGCTGGTGACGGATATGGGTCTCCCCGACTACCCCATAGTCGCCGGTATCTCGGCGCAGAGCACCGTGGAGACAATCCAGCTCGCCAGGGAAGCGGGCGAGGCCGGGGCTGGCTGGGGCCTTCTCCTCCCTCCTAGCTACTGGGCCAAGGCACTGCCGACGGAGGCACTTGTTGCGTATTACCGCGACGTAGCGGATGCAAGTCCTATTCCCGTTGTCATTTACAACGTAAGCTCCTTCCCGTATCGGTCTCTTTGCAAGGGTTAGCAGCTAATCATCGCTCAGTTCCCCGGGGTAACATCGGGAGTTGATCTGGACTCGGACCAAATCGCAGCACTTGCTTCACATCCCAACATCGTAGCCACAAAGCTCACATGTGGGAACGTGGGGAAGCTTACGCGACTGACGTCTAAGTTTGAGCCTCCTTATTTCGGTGTCTACGGTGGAAGCAGCGATTATCTGCTGCCAACCCTGCACGCAGGCGGGAACGGCTGTGTCACCGGAATGGGCAACATCTTCCCCAAATCCACATCCAGGGTATATGACTACTGGGCGGCCGGGGAGCTGGAAAAGGCCAGGGAACTGCAGGACCTGGTGGCCAATGCGGAGTGGGCATGCAAAAAATCCCTGGCATGCACAAAATACGGGGCCTGGTGGTATCTCGGGAAGCAGCTGGGCCTTGACAACGAGAAACAATTCAAGATGCGGAAGCCGTATCTGGAGCTGAACGATGGCCTCAAAAAGTGGACAGTAGAGACGCTATCAGTGTTGGAGGAGATGGAAAACTCGTTGGCTGGCCGTCAGACGACCAAATAGACATCGCCTAGGATGTTCACAGATGCCCAGGTGGAAGGCCATCCTTAATATTAGACTTCTTGAGATTTGCTCAAAAAATAAAGCTTCCGTGAGAAGAGAGGAGAAAACGAAATCCTCCGCAATATATATCTCATCGCACAAGTTGACATACCAGACCGGAAAATGGAAACAACCCAAATTGTCAGATGCAATGATTTCATTCCAAGGTTGGCTCCGCCGCCGGGGCTTGTAAGTACACTGGCGCACTTTCTGAAGCAGTGGAATCGTAGCAAGTGGGTGTAATCAGAAAATAGTATGATAATTTTCAACCCTGTGGTGTGGTCTGTGTGCGATGATTGATGTCTACCTGATGCATGTGTATGTTGCAAAATCCATTTTGAGGAACATATGGAAAATGAGATCTGTGAATGTATGCATGGCTCTCCTTCCATCTATTTCTCGTTCACAAACGCGTCTACATCTTTTATGTAAACATACTTAATGTTCCTCCGGTGGTAAGTGTATGCCACATGCACCCCGTTCTCTCCCTTCCCGTCTACCACAATGCTGGGGTAACTCAGTTCCCGGTTGGTGCGCTCTTTGGAGTTGTTCGTCATGCAAAATCCATCACCATCTTCCAGAACTCGCCACGTCCAGGTCTTCCCTTTGTCTTTCGATACCGCAACAGACAGGTCCTTTCGTGGCGTTCCCCATATGGCCACCTTGCCTCCAACCCCTGGCTGATTTTTCCTAGTGTCCTCTGCGGGTGTGATATCATCGTAAAGACCTTCCCTTTTTTGCATCTTAGGATCGGCCTTCGAGTCGTTGAAAATCATCACGATGTCACCGCTGGGCAGTGCTGCTGCACCGATCCCTGAATTGGGATTAGGTAGAGGTGTCTTCTCAGGAGCACTCCAATCTAGTCCATTGTTGGAGACAGACCGATATACTTCATCGGCCCATCTACTCCTGAAGAATGCCACGTACGACCCTGCATCAAGCTGAAGAATGTTCATGTGCACGCGGCCCACAGAATCAGGGACCTCCTTTTCGAGCCATGTTTGACCTCCGTCCTGGGTATACAACACTGCGGACACATCATCATTCCCGACCCACCTGAAGCCAGGCGGTGTCCGGCAATACCAGATAGGCAGCACCCACGTCCCCCCGGGGAGTACAACCACAGGCTGACGGACAAAGGCGCCCTTCTTGCCCGGGAACGGCTCAAATGGCGCAGACCACGTGCGCGCATCATCCTTTGACGTGCGGGCGATCACGACAGCCTCATCTTGGTTGCCCAGAGGCTGGGCGGTGTGGAATAGCCAGATCGTCCCCGAGGCATGGTCCCGAAATAAAACGGGATTTTGCTCGCTGCGACCCTTGTCGGACGACACCTGCACTGGTTCTGTCCAGGAAGTGGAGGATCCGGGCTCAAGACGGGAGAGATAGATGGAGATGTCTTGTATGCCTTCTTGGGTTCCGCCGAACCAGGCACAGAGGAGTGTTCCATCGGGGAGCCTGAGGAGGTTTGATGCGTGGCACTGGACTGTTGCGGCTGGTAGATCGTCTACACGGGCCAATGCAGCACTCTTGGTATGTGTGTCCGTCGTGGCGACGGCAATTGTTGTTGTCGACATGGCTTCTGATTCTGTGTTTGGCCGCGGTGAAAATGCTTAACAGGAGGCAAGGCAACTAAGAAAAGGCTGATATGCTTGGCTTCTGACCTCTGTCACCAATGGAAAACCAGGGGTGCCTATCTCTGCGCTCCAGACTTCCCACACAGGCGAGGGGGCTTTTTGAAGCGGTGTGTCATCTGAGGGGAAAACAGCACAGCTCACGCCATCTTTGTGGACACGGGATTCTCTCCGAGCTGTCATGTGGAGTCGAATCATGCTCTATGTTTCTCCCCGCATTCTCTAGTTACCCCGGACCTTGGCATCACTGGGTTGAATCTGGGGAAGTGGAGTGGTATCGGCACTGGTACTTAGCCCACGACTCAGGCTTAGTGCCCAGTTGTATTGGGCGTGTTAGCCTCGAGGCTTCGTGTGCTCGCACAAGTTTCCGGCCCCCCTCTCCATCCAGTTGTGGTGAGGCCGCAAGATTGCAAGCTTTGGCCTTCCCGCCTATAACCTCAACCTCGCTCGTCGAAGAGATTTCGGCCCCTTGATTTCGATTGACACTGACCTTCGAGTTGCAATTGTATGTGTACTCGCGGACTATCATCTCCTCTTGCACGGTCTCTCAATTCACCGACATAATGGGTGGTGGCACGTCAATATGGGCATCTCCTGAATGGAAGTCCGACCCCAGTGAGATTTTCAACTGGAGGCTTTGGTACCTGACGACCACAGTCGCTTTTGCTGGGTGCTCTTATGGCTTTGACCAAGGCAATATCGGTGGCGTCTTGACACTGCCGAGTTTCAAGAAAGCCTTCGGGCTAGATGTACTTTCTGAGAATGCAGCTGATGAGAGAGGTATGTTCCCCGACAGGGACTGTCGACAGTCAGACCGACATTATGCTAACCAGAATTTTCTCGCAGCTGGAAACATTGCCGCTATGCGTTCGTACCGACAACCTCCCATCCCTTGAACACACATATCCTGACGATACTATACACAATACTACAGTGGCCGCAGGCGGCTCGGCAGGCGCGTTGATAGCAGCGCCCTTCGCTGACTTTCTCGGACGCAAGAAGTCTATGATTGTCTTCGCAGCTCTATTCCTCATCGGGGCCACGATGCAGGAGATCGCGCATCTGGACACGTTTTATGCTGGCCGCTTTATTGCCGGCCTTGCTATCGGTGGAACGAGCATGTTAGCACCACAATTTCTTGGCGAAAACGCTCCCAAGTCAATCCGTGGGTCTCTGACAGCATCGTACAATTTGTGTATCATATTGGCTCTAAGGTGAGATCCCGAATTCTGCTAGTAATTTACCAAGCCGATCATCGTTGACCAAGTACTTCTGTCCAGCTTGGCGTTCTGGACAAACTACGGTGTATCACTATGGTCTACTTCCAGCAACTTGCAGTGGAAGCTAGCCTTGGGCATACAAATAATACCAGGAGGGTGCATGTTTCTAATGTTGTGGTGTAAGTAAATTGGTGTCACTCAGGTGCTCGAACATCAGTCATTGACCTAGCCCAGTTGTCATTGATACACCCCGAGCTTTGATCGCTCATGGGAAGAGGGAGAAGGGCCTTGAAAATCTCTGCAAGCTCCGGGGCCTCCCATCAGAGCACCCATATGTGTCCCAGGAGTACATGGAAGTCTGTGCTCAAGTCGACCATGAGCAGGAACTGACAAAGGGTAAGGCATAGCTGCTCATAAATGGTTCCTTGGTTCGAAACGAATCCCAAATTAACCCTAACCGTACCCGGCACATCTGACACTGTCTAGGCTCGAACTATTGGGTGGTCATCAAGGACATTGCCACGATCCCAAGCAACAGACGTCGTTTCTTCCTCGCCACATCCCTCTTCGTGTTTCACAAATTCACAGGCACCGATTCACTCAACTACTTCGCCCCTGAAATATTCGAGATGATCGGGGTGCAGTCAGGGTCCTTATCCCTTCTGACAACTGGCGTATATGGCATAGTCAAGCTAGCAACAACCATCATCTACGTTGCTTACATCGTGGACCGCGTTGGAAGAAGACGACCACTTCTGGTGAGAATTGCCCAATTCCTGTCTTGAAAAAAAAAAGAATGAACAAGAAGGGAGGCGTTCTATTTCTAGGGGGTCGTGGTTAACAAAAACGGCAAAGCTTGGAGCTGTACTTCAAGCGACAGCCATGCTCTACATTGCCCTGTACATCAGATTTGCGAACCCTGACTCCACCGGTGGTACTCCGGCTGGAGGAATTGTTGGCATCGTTTGGGTTTACATTTACGCTTTCGGATGGTAGGTCATGATTCCACTGCTTTCTGTGTTGGCTTCGCTGAACTTTGATGTCAAGGTCGTTTGGATGGTCAGTTGCACCTTACGTCGTGGCTGCTGAAATCTTTCCCGCTCGAATTCGATCCTTCTCCATGTCGATCTGTTTCTTCATCAACTGGATCGTCGACTACGGAATCACCAAGGCGACACCTAGCATGATGACGCACATGGGTTGGGGCACGTTCCTTCTCTACGCTGTGCTCACTTACATCGGCGCTGTGTTTGTCTACTTTTGTATGCCCGAGTTCAAGGGTCGTTCTATCGAGTCTATGGATGACCTCTTCCAGCATTCGATCTGGACGATGTGGAGGCACGCTTACCCAACGGAGGAGGAAAAGGTACGCCATGATGTGCAGGATAATATAGTTCAGAAGGCCAGGGATGAGGAGGAGGGAGAACCGGGGGCTAAGAAATCGGAGGTGACGGTTATCCATAAGGAGTGATATTACGACGCGTTGAAAGACGTGGTCGCCTCTTCCTGCTCAGTGCTACACATACATTGCATAAGACCCGGGGAAAATTCTTAGCATTAAAAAAAATGCTACAATTTTTGGTCTCATTTTCAAGTAAGCCTTGAAATTGTGGCATCTATGAAGTCTCGCAGCGGCATTCAAGTGGATAAGGCTTTTCCCCGACCTACCGGTACTCGAGATGCTTGTGGAAGGGACGAGGGGACCAGTTGGGTCGCGAAATCAAACATGATCGAGCTTTTTCAGATGACGGTTGGGTAATTTTATTTCTTCTGCTCCAGTAATTTGATCATCTCAAACATATTGGCAGGTCTAGGACATGTGACTATTATTGTTTCATGGCTTGCCAGGCACGGCGAAGTGCGCAGCGGTATGACGAACTCATTTGGCATGGTTGGTCGCCGCCCAGGCAGGGTTCCCCATCCGGTGGGCCCTAGTAAAAAGTGGAGGAGAAAAGAGGAGATCATCGCCGCTTTGGTTCCTTGGAGCTGCCTCATAGGACGTTGCAACTGCTCCCCCTCATTCTGTGCATTCCCGGCTCGCAAACTGTCCCACGCATGCCGACCATCCAACGGTGCACGTCACAAATATGGCTCCGACCAAGCGCACATGGGATGAAGCTCATGGGGGCTCCGACCTCGATGCTGCCAGTTCGATACACGGTAGCAGTAATACTACCGCGGGCAGGCGTGGGTCGCAGCAGACGCGTTCCCTTCAGAATCAGGGGGCGGCCCGAGCAGCCCGAGATGCGTCGACAGCGTCGCCGGTCGGCGCGAATCCCCCATCGGCATCTCAGCATGTGCCGATGATCTCGCGCAAGATTCGCGCATGTGCTAGTTGTCGGAAACACAAGGTAATTGTGCCACCAATTGAGGGTATTGAAATCTAAACACACACCTTGGGATTTACTGAAGAATATTGATATGCAGATCAAATGTATCATGGACGAAAATACGGGGCCGCCATGCAAAAGGTGTGCCGAGAAGAACCTTGTGAGCCACCCCATGCAATCCTTCCCACACAGCGTATCAAGTATTTGACCTCGTCTGACATTATTGATATAGGGATGTGTACTTAACAAAAGCATACAAACTCTCATCAACGAGCGATCAAAGTACGCAAATAGTCTCCCCGACATTGTTCCCGATTTACTCGCGCACCTACAGCACGAGACACACCACATTGAGCTCCCACCTCGCAGACTGGGACACAATTACTCACCCATCTTTCTTACAATTTGTAGGTCATCAATGGCAATGGTTCGCGACTTGGAGATGATCCACTCAAATCTTGAGAACGTCTTGAAAACCCTCCAACTGCCCCAATTACCGAAACTTGAAAGCCCCGTTCAAGTGCTCATGTCCCCGACTTACGAGGAGCACGCTGAATCTCGTCTGCCCGACGAATTCGGACTATCCCGTGACAGTTCTCCAAAACCATCGCCGGAAGACGATCACGAACTTCCAAAAGTTCCAATCAACTCGGTATACCAATTGACGAAGCTCAGGGCGTTGCGCTCCCCGGACGAAATCGATAGGGGTGAAAACCCAAGGCGTCATCAATCCAAGATAGATGATCTTATCTCCAGAGGAAGCCTGCCTATTGAAGACGCCGAACGCCTTTTCACTCTCTACAAAGACCATCTTGACCCGTTCATGTACGGAATAGGTGGGCGCTACGACACACTCGAGGCGCTCCGCCATGCCAGCACAATACTTACCACCTGCATATTTACTGTCTCCGCACTGCACGATCCCCAAAGCAACAAGATCTATGGAGGTAAGCAATTCACCTCCTTTTGGCACATGATCCTTGTTGACGTGCAGGGTGCAAGTATGCTACAAGGAGTGCCGGCGTCTTCTGGCTTCTTCAATGTTCGACCGCCGAATCGACGCTGATTATCTGAGAGCCATGTGCATCGCTTCCTACTGGCTCTCCGACATCAGCTGGGAAGTTTCGGGCTGCGCGATTCGGCGGGCTGCTGAGTTCAACCTCATCAAGCACTTCAAAAAAGCAACCGAGGAAGGGAGCGAAGAATCGGCGGATTATGTGCGTCTCTGGTACGTGCTACACATCTGTGATCAGCACTTGTCCACGTTGTACGGGAGACAACCAGTTATTAGAGAGGACGTGGCCATCCAGGGTTGGAAAACCTTCATGACGAACTCTCCTCCAAACGCAGCATCGGAAGATACCAGGCTGGCCAGTCAGGTTGCGCTGGTGAATATCATTCACACGATCCGCGATTTATTCGGTCCCGACACTGGCGACCCAGTTCCTCAAGTATACTCGATTCAGATCACCCAGTTTGCCCGCCAACTCGACCAGTGGGTCGGACACTGGTCTGGGGTCGTGACAGGTATGGCTGCAAAGCTTCATGGATTCCACGAATGGCGACCATTCGCAGATTGTGGCTGACCTGAATGGTAGATCACCACGAACGAATAGGAAAATTTCCTCGAAAGGGAGTCCTGTTACACTTCCACTTCGCCAAATTACATCTCTACTCCCACATCTTCCGAGGGCTTCGCAAAGGAGACCCTGTACCATCCTATTTCTTGGAGCCAGCTTCTTCTGCGGCTTCGGCAGCGACTTCTATCATCGACCTCCTGATAGCTGATGCTGACATCCAGCCGGCACTTGCGGGGATGCCTTCCTACATGCATTCAATGTCAGCTTTTGCATGCATGTTCCTGGCCAAGCTCGCCATGATCCATGGCGACCAGTTGATCGACAGACAGCAAGTGGTGGATTCCATAGTCAGACTGGCTGGCTTTTATCGGTCGACCGCTGTGGGCAAATGGCACTTGGTCAATCTGATGGCCGACGGCCTGGACAAGATTGTGGAGACCTTGGGGGCCAATGGGGCGTCTCTATCCGGCCAACAACAATCTCGCCTTGACCTGAGATCTGCTCAAAGCGAAGAAGGGGACTTTGCCAGTTTGATGAACCCCGCGTTTTCCGGTGATGCTACATTCGGCTTTGACGCGAACTTCCTGCTTGATAGCAACATGAGTCTTGGTGCTCCCGAGCTAATGTACTTCAGTAATGGCACCAATATGCCAGGGCTCACTGATGACTTCAGCCCTACCAGCCTCTAACATGATTGCTCAGCTAATAAGGGCAAAGTATTATGTATAATACAGAACGCTTAAAACTTTATGCAACTGTTCTTGTGTAACTTTGCAATGTAATTCCTATCTGGTTTCCCTTCGCCCTGATGACGAGCCTTAAAGGCAAACCTGTTGTCGTTGTCTTTGGTACCATAGGTCATAAGAGGTTCACAGAACTCCCAAACTTTGACAGAATTCGTTGACGGTATCCACCAGTGACTGATCCGCATCCAAGCCCAGTCCTTGCGCCCTTGACGTGTCGAATCTAGCTGGCCAGCTGCCCACAATAGCCTCGACTTTTGGGTCTCTTTCCTCCTCGATTAGCTTTATTGCCTCGCTTCCTCCTACTTTCTGAAGTGCATCCAACATTTGCTGGACCGTCACAGTGATTCCGGGGAGGTTGGTAACTCTGCTCAAGCCAAACTTCTCCTTGGGGACATCCTTGATCCGAATCAGATTCGCGACCACAGTCTTGGGACTGCACACCCACATCTCCAAGTCTCGCGAGACTGGAAGTATGCTCTTCTCACCCCGTAGTGGCTCACGGATGATGGCGCTGGCGAAGGAGCTTGCAGCCGCGGAGGGCGCACCTGGCCGCACGACAACTGTTGGGAGGCGGACTATACGTCCATCAAGGAGGCCTCGCCTTGAGAAGTCGTTAAGATATGTTTCCACCATGAGTTTCTGGGCGCCGTATGACGATTGTGGCAGCGGGTTGGTGGATTCGCTCGTGATCTCGCCAGGACCGGTGGGCCCGTAGACAGCAAGCGAGCTAGGGAATATGACCACGGTTCCTTTCTGATGTGTCCGCAGATGGTCCAATATGGATCTGTGGCTATCCCAATTTACACGCCAGCCCAGCTCCAGGTTGGCTTCTGCTCCGCCTGACATCAACCCATGGAGGAGGTAGACGGCCTTGAACGGTGTCGAAAGAAGAGATGCCACAGCATTGGGGTCGGTCAAGTCGCTGCTGGTGGATTTTACTCGGCTTGCGTGCTGAGAGGCAGCTTCGGGAACAGCAGGTTCTGTTACGTCCGTCAAGACCAGCGTGATGTCTGATGATGATTCGAGCAGTGCTGCTGCGAGCACTTGTCCTATGAACCCGGCTGCGCCGGTAATTAGGATCTCCGTACCCTGCGCCATTATAGAGGAAATGGTGTAAAATGGATAAGAGACCAAATTGTGTACAGTTAGAGCACCCAACACAGCATGAAATAATTTATTATGATAACTTGGATTCCGACCTCTTGCTGGTTACATGTGCACTGATCTCCCGAGCCGGATGGATCCCGACGTGTGAAGCCTTACTAATCACAAACCCTTCAAGATGGTCACGGCCCATAACCCTCGGCACGTACCACGCGTGCGCTGTGGTTTTCCCAGCGCAGGTAGACGGAGAGAAAGCCGAGGCGGCATCAGAACCGAGCCACACTGCCGGACTGTACTCTCCCGGGCCGAGCACGGAAATGCCAAGAGACTGCAAGGTGAATGTCATCACGCCTCAGCGTAAAGTCCATATACATCACAAGTACAGAACTGGCAAATGTCTCCCGGCATTCTATATCGTACAACACATCCCGCAATCCTGGTTGCTGCTGTTTTCGAACCACGTACTTACATAAACGACCAGACTGGGTAAAAAAATACAAGTGGTATTGAGCATCGTTTCGGCCAGCAAGCACTTGGGAGAAGTTCCGGGACAACAATTCAGTCATGGAGTACACCAGGTAAGATGTCATCATGTTTCAGGACACAAAGCTCGGACTAAGATCTCCTGTGTTAGACTTGGCAAGAGCGGCCTTAAGGTGTCCAAGATAATTCTTGGATGCATGTCCTTTGGCTCGAGCAAATGGGAAGGATCGCCATGGGTTCTGGATGAAGAGGAGAGCTTCAAGGTCATCAAAGCGGCCTGGGATGGTGGCATCAACACATGGGTCAGTAAACCTGCAATTCATATTGCAACGGGGGACTTTTTTTCATCACTCAAGATTCTGATTGCTTGCAGGATACCGCCGACACGTACTCCAACGGCAAGTCAGAAATAATACTCGGAAAAGCCATGAAGAAGTTCAATATCCCAAGAAGCAAAGTTGTCATCATGACAAAGATATTCAACCCTGTCATGGACGATGACTCTCGGCCGGCATCTGTTAACGACGGCCCATTGGTGAACCAGATGGGCTTGAGCCGGAAGCACGTATTTGATGCCGTTGATCGATGCTTGGAGAGGCTTGGCACGGATTATATCGGTATGCTCTTCTTTGTACCCTTTCCATCCCTTCTATCAAAGCTGGGCCTACAGAATCTCCCTCTACCCCGGTGCTGACCCAGTTGTGCAGACGTGCTTCAAATTCACCGCCTCGATCGCGAGACAGAGCCCGAAGAGATCATGCGGGCCCTGCACGAGGTCGTCATAAGCGGCAAGGTCCGCTACATCGGAGCCTCAAGCATGTACACGTGGGAATTCGCCCGCCTGCAGTACACGGCCAAACTCAACGGCTGGACCGAGTTCATCAGCATGCAGCCCTTCTACAACCTACTCTATAGGGAAGAGGAGCGCGAGATGCTGCCCTTCTGCCAGGCTACCGGAGTCGGCGTAATACCGTGGAGCCCGCTTGCCCGAGGTATGTTGGCCAAGCCGGTCAGCAAAGATGGGAAGGAGGCGGAGAAGTCTCTAAGGAGTGCCTCAGACGCCAAGACGCAGAAGTGGTTTGCCGACGCGAACTTGGATATCGTTGATGCTGTGGAGAAAGTGGCTAAGAACAAGGGCGTCAGTATGCCGTTAGTGGCTACGGCATGGGTGCTGCATAAAGGCTGCTCACCTATTGTAGGTCTCAGCAGTGAAAAGAGGGTGCAGGAGGCCATTGATGCGTTGAAGGTCAAGTTGACGGATGAGGATATACAATCATTAGAGGTTAGCTATAGGCCACGCAACATCGAAGGGATGTAGGATAATCAACTTTGACGATATCATGAAATGAGACACCACCTTATTTACATCTTTCTATCCCAATATTTATTCAGCGTTCAATAGATGTCCAAAATCTCATAGCGGAAGCCCATCCAGACACCAGAATAGGATGAGCTGCATATATGTCATAACTGGGGTGTGAACAATTCATGAATAACTAGGACAACATTATACCAAACACAATCATAGATGCAAGCTACTATATCGGATGAAATAAGGGGCAATATGAACTTGGATGATGGACAACTTCGTGCCATGTACGAATTTGGGGATTTAGATAGAGGCCGTATATTCACACCCGCAACAACGGAGGGTACACCCATACTACCTAGGTAGGCAACTTAGAGATCAAATCACTCGGGTTAGTACTAAACTAGTCATCTCATAGGCTTGTCTTATAAGATAATATCCTAAAGAAGGTTGTCCTAGAGGAGGTTATTCTATAAGAGGTTATCCTACAGGAGGTTGTCTAATAGGAGGTTGTCTAATAGGAGATTGTCCTATAGGAGTTAGGAGTTTATTCCTTGGGCTTGGGTGTACCCTCCATTTTTTTCGGGTGCGAATATCCGATCTCTTTAGATAGATATGCTCTATTTTCGCATGTATTGAATCTATTACTCAAGTGCTCTATGCTATAGACGTGCCTTCTCTTGAATCCTTTTCAAAGGGGGGAACACTTGAGCTGACCGAATAAGATGGTCAATATCCGCGGTGTTAAGCAGTTCCGGGCCTGCTTGGTCCAGATTCGTCAGGCCAGCTAATTTCATGGAGACTTCAATCTCGTCTTTTAAGACTTGAATGCTGTTAGCAAAGAACCGTGGATAAATTTGCGGAGACGCTGCTTACTTTGGATAAGATGCTCCACACCTTCCTGTCCGTATACTAGCGAATAAAGGAACGGCCGTCCAACACCAACAGCCGTTGCACCGAGAGCAATAGCTTTGATGATGTCAGTCCCTCTCTCAAATCCACCGTCAACGTAAACCTCGAGCTTGGAAAAGATTTCCGGGCACTTGATTCTCAGCTCGAGGAGGTTCAATATGGCTGGCTGTGCACTGAGGAAGGGTTAGCAAAGAGCGGCTCCGGGTACTAGGTAGGTGGAATTATACGTACGTGTCCAACGATCGACCACCATGGTTACTCAAGAGGATGCCGTCGACGCCGTATTCAACCGCCAATTTGGCGTCTTCGACGTTTTGAACACCTTTCAAAACGATTGGCAGACCCGACTCCTGCCTGATCCAAGCCAAGTCCGACCAAGTCAGAGACTTGTCAATGTACTGAGCCATCAGCCGCCCCAAGCCTGCCCCCTTTTTGTCATTGCTTGACGTAGCACCGCTGACGGCCGACTGGACCGCAGACTCCGAGGCTAGGCGCTCATCTGCCTCACGTTTTCCCGGCACCGGCGCGTCGACTGTCACAAATATTGCCTTGATTCCGAGGCTGCGTGCTTTTCTGAGGATTTCTGCTGTTTTGTGTCGCTCGGAATTAACGTACAGCTGGAAGAAGAATGGTTGTTGGTCGTGGCCGCTTTGAACAATGCTTGACAGTGGGAACGATGCATTATTCGATATCTTGGGCTCACGAGTCAGTCACAGGTTCTGCAAGTCTCAGTCACCACTTGGCAATATGGCATATACTCACACAGTGTATGATCCCTTCCTGGCCGGCTGCCCTAGCCAATGCCAGCTCACCGTCCTTGTGTACCAGCCTCGCCATGGCAGCTGGGCTGATAAAGAACGGGGCGCTCGACTTGTGACCTAAGATCGACCGTGTCTGATCCGTATGCGTGACGTCCCTCAAGACCCGAGGCTTTATCATTACACGTCTTAGAAAAGCCTTGTTCTGATGGTGCGTGACGAGGTCCGTCGCTGCGCTACTATAAAACGCCCATGTCTTACGAGTGAGCTGTTTACTGGCAACCTGCTCAATGTCGGCGGCGCTCAATAGCGATTGAAGCGGGGGAATAAAGCCCTCTGATGAGGCCCCTGCTGTTTTGCTGTCCCGCGATTCCTTAACTTCTTCGATGGCCCCTTGAGGAGGTACATCGCTGCTTGCTTCGAGGAAAGCACCTTTAAACTTGTCGGCTGGGAGACTCTCCTCTATTATTCCTGGCGCATGTACTCGATCAAATTCAGATGTTGCATTTTTTCCAGCCACCGAAAGGAGGACTTTATGTTGACATGTCAGTCACGTGTCCATCTCTCAGCTGGGGTCCCGATGCGGATTGGAGTGGTGCAAGGATTTGAACACAATTCAACTTACTTTTGGCGCCTCCTGGGTGTTCATCTATGAAATCTGTCAGGTCCCAGACTTTGGAATGCACAGCAACCCAGCAGTCCTCTCTGGTGCTATGCTTCCCTAATTCCGCGCTGGATATCTGCAATTCATTGGCTTGCTCCATGTTGTGGTAGACTGGATCTCTGACTGCCTGATCGACTTCGAGTAAGGATACACGTTTGAGAATTTGGCCAAGCTGAGATGATGCGAGAGAAATGCCCTTGGCCCCGTCAAATTTACCGGCAGCGATTGCGTTGATTCGCCGCTAACAGACACCAACTGTTGTCCGTGCCCGGCCGAATTCCCGGCCTGTTGATGCGCTCGGCTTTCTGCCCGAAGCCGTCGGGGACTCCGCCACCGACTCCGCAGGTCGTCCGGCACTGGCCGAGATGCTGTCAGAAGCGGCCGGGATTAGACCACCGCTCGGCGCCTATGATTTCCAGGACACCAAGCCGCGTAATCATCACAGTTAGAGGTCAAACTGGCATTTGCAAACACCGACTCAATAATACTGCTCAAGTGTCATTATGGCTAAGCCTATCGTGCTCCACATTGGCGAACCGATAAAATACAACCAGGATTTCTATGACAATGAATTCCTAAAGCGGTTCGACGTTCGACGAAATGAGGATCTTGACAGAAATTCATTCATAAAAGCCCTCAAAGACAAGAAGTATGGCGAGTTTTCGGCGATATTTCGACCACACTTCCAAACGGGTGGAGAGATGGGCCAGTGGGACGAGGAGCTGATATCCCTCCTGCCCTCCTCCATGCGAATCTTTGCCTCCGCTGGGGCGGGTTTCAACTGGGCAGATACGAAGGCACTGGGCCGCCGAGGGATTTGGTACGCAAATGGAGCCGGGGCATCTGACGAGGCCGTCTCTGACACTGGCCTCTACTTCATCCTCTCTGTCTTCCGGAACTTCACCAGGGCGCAACTTGCAGCGCGGACGTGCGACCCGGACGTTTTCAATGCCACACACAAGCTCATCGCTACGATATCAGCAAACCCCCGAGGCCACGTGCTTGGAATTGTCGGCCTGGGAAACATCAGTAGAAAGCTGGCGTACAAGGCCAAAACAGCCCTCGGGATGGAGATTCACTACCACGACATAGTCAGGGCACCACAAGAAGTCGAAAATGAGCTCGGTGCAACTTTCCATCCTTCGATCCATGGACTGTTAGGGGTAGCAGACTGCGTCTCCTTGCACACGCCACTTAACGCTCACACGCAGGATCTGATTGGAGACAAGGAATTTGCCGCGATGAAGCAGGGCGCGAGAATCATCAATACTTCAAGAGGGCAAGTAATTAATGAAAGGGCTCTCATAAGAGCCCTTAGAGACGGCAAGGTATCTGCAGCTGCTCTGGATGTTCACTATGAGGAGCCTCAGGTATCGAAGGAGCTTGCTTCGATGGAGAATGTCACTTTGACCACTCATATCGCTGGCGGAGCATTGAATACGAGGATCAACTTCGAGCTGAATGCCATGAAGAACATTCTATTGGTTGTAGGAGACGATGGTAGCTGCATTGGCGAGCCAACAACGCCGGTTAATAAAGATGTGGTGAGAGCAGCAGCGAAACAGAGTGTCAAATGATCATTCATGCATTTGTCCCAGTCATAGAAAAATAGAGTTTCGTAATCATGTTCACATGCATTATGAGTTGTTCGCTCGAGTGACAGCGAATGGGAACAGATTTTGCGTTGCCCATTTACTGTTGACGTTCTGATGAAACTCCCAGGACTCCAGCCAGCAATTTGCGGAACCGATTATCACAAGCTGACCCCTGGCGCAGTACATCCTGGTATATCTGCTGCGGAGACCGTGAATAATCCGGTAGAACAGCGGTCTTATGATCTGCCATACTCACAAGCGCGTATACCTTGTCCCTGATATCTGTGCATTCCCATCCCTGGAAAGTTTCTATGAGTGTCTGGAGCTTGGGAGTGGGCGTTTCTGGGTGCCTCCAATGGGCCCTTTGCCAGACCATAACGAATGCCGGGCTCCGCCTGATCTCTGCGGCGAACGCGTGGTTACTCAACTGATTTTCTTCCTCGAGTGTCTTCATGGTAAGATAGAGTCGGTCGAGGACAGGCCACTCAACGCGTTGAGGGCCGCACCACACTGTGAGTCTGTTTGCGTGAATGATTTCCTGGATGATCCACATACGACTCCAATACGGTCTCTGAAAAAGGTCCCGAATTGCCCTTCCTTCCTGGCTGCCCCAAATTGGACGCTGATCATGGACCTGCAGCCTCAGGGGCTTCATTCCCGTGTTTCCAAGAAAGTCCATTGCCACCTGGCTGTTGTCAAAGGCATTCCCCAGCCAGATGTAGACACTCGTCGCCTTTGAAAAGATTCGTTTCATCAGACTGACTTGGTGATTGCGCTCTTGGACATCTCCTTGGTTGATACAGACGGCATCGATCCAAAATAGCCGAGCTTTCTTCATAGTAAGGCCTCGACAATGCAGAAACCACCACAAATTCTCCCCAATATCAACATCATCCTGTCCTTCGATCGTGATTGTACGTGTTGCGGTTGTCTCTCCCCAAGCATAAGACAAGGCTGTGTACTTAGGACAAGAATGAATGTCTGCATAGACAAATGAGCCCTTGATTTTGCCGTCCTCTCCAATTCTCGCCAGGTTGAACAGTCGTATTTGTGCTTCAGGACGAGTCAAGGGACGATACAGTGGCTTTCCCGGATCAGGCGGAATATACTCCGATGCCAATGCCGAGCGTACGGGATGGTCATGCCCCCCGATAAATCTGCCCTGTTCGGAGTCCCTCCGGTGACTTGACTCTGACGACATTTCGGCGCTGCTCCTTCGTCTACCCAGCGACTGTGTTTCCATCGCCAGCAAAACCTTCCTGTTGAGTTGTTCCAGCCGCAGTGATCCATCATTGGCGATATCATGGAGTCTCAGGGAAACTGAATCACTCTCCTTGCGAAATTTATCTCGTGGAGATAAAAGCTCGTCTCTAGAATCTGTGGGATGTTGACTGGGGCTCTTCCCGCAGCCAGATTCATAGTTGATACGAGGACTGCTGTGCCGATACCTCGGCCTGAAGCTTGTTCCGTGACGTGTATAAGCATGCGAGGCGATCATCTGTGGCTCACTGCGTCTTCTATGGGTATTAGGATCGATCCAACCACCGATTCCGTCTTCGTGCCATTCATGTTCGACGTCGAAATCGCGAGGCACGACCGTCTGAGCCGGGCTGGGTGAAATGTTGTCGATGTTCCCACCAATCTTTTCGACGATGTCGTCCAAGTAAAGGCGATCGAATCCTTTCATGGAGCGGGGAGTCGATTGTGTCAAGTCGTAACTATTCGTGATGTTCTTCATCTGGTGGTGCACAGAGGCATCTAAAGATAGCGGCTGCGGCTTCCCCCTGCCGCAGTGAGTGTAGCGGACTGGGGAGTAAATTGGCATCTTTTCGGCATCAAAAAATGACCTCGCCATTGGTTAGGGATCGCGAAGGCAGTGAGAACCAAGACCTTGACGCGGCATTGCATTCGATTCGTCGGCCGTTCCAGCTGCTGCTTATACCTGCATGATTCGGTGTTACCGGTGGCTGTGTTACATTCATGAGTGGGTCTCCTCTACTAGTATAAGTGCAGGCTACCCCATTTTCTGGGCTGAAGGCAGCCAACAGCACTTGAGGCATCGTGGATCCCAGGAACAGCGTTCAAAATGCGTCATACTAGCGCCGAGGACAAACCACCCGTTTTGGGAAGTGGAAAAAAGCGATGGTCCGTGTGTTCAATGTTGCCAGTAGTGCTTATCCTTCAACTATTCCGAAAGGCCTCAACCAATGGTCAACAAATCCTGAGGTCAACATCGCAACCCAAGTCCACGGCGTACCCGGTGATTGTCTGCTTCACGGAATGCCCGAGCCTTACAGTACGTACCTGCCTGGTTTGAATCAATGCCCCATGAAATTTGCCCATGATGCCATACACTATTACCGCATCAACACTACACCTTCCAAATATCAATGCATCATACCGGAGTTCCTGTGAATGAATTTATGTGAGAGCCTCCTGTGGGGGATTTTTTATAGGAAATTGTTCCATGGGATATTTCCGCGTAGAGGGGTACTCTGTAGGATTTGGTCCCATAGGAGACTGGGGGAGCGATACTATGGCCACGTAGCGGACACCAGAGAAGGCTCGTGACGGTCCGACTTTGTTTTTGCTGAGAGGTCACTGGATCAAAATCAGCACTTAAGGGCATGATCAACTTGTGAACAAGTCTTTTCTTATTTATTCAGACTCGGCTGTGTTTCCATTTATTTTACTTGTGATGCTCGCAACCTGGCCTGGGGCCATCCAGGGCCCCGGGGAAATCATTGATGCCAGACGACGGGCATCGGGAACGACCCCTCCCCCCAGAAAAAAAAAAGAGGGAGTATTGTGAAGCACAGGTCGACGAATATACTGGGAATGAAGAACTGAAGTGCGAAAATCTTGGGGTGAGGCATCAGACCCCAGGGTTGAAAATTCGAGAATTCTAATATACCTAGGTATCGGGCTATGTGTACTATACTGGATCACCATAGGGATTGGTAACCCTTAGCGAAGAAGATATTATAATAAAATGTCTTATAGTTGGATCTAGTTTTCAATATGCTTTAATAAGGGATCCGTATTAGCTAGCCTCTATAAAGCCAGCTAGATATACCTTCCTTCTTTCCTTCCAAGGTTCCCTTCTTAACAGCGAAGGGCTAAGTAAGTAGGTAAGAAATAATAGAGGTCTTAAGGGGCTAGGATAGACTAGGAAGGGCTAGGAAGAAGACTAAACAGTCTTCCTACCTTAAATTAAGAGAGAAGAGTGAGTAGTATAGACGACCTAAAAAGAAAAGTATTCTCTAATAGCTAGAATTAATCTTATAGTAGAATAATATTGGGGGAAGATCTTATTAGCTACAGTTGGCAGACCCCATGGGCTTCCGCTACAGTAGGTATCACGTACCCATCCCAAGCCTAAACGTTGTAAATTGCACACGACGAGAACTCCGGCAAACACCACTCCCAAACATTGCTCCGTCAGATGTCCAGACACTGGGTGTGTCTGTCCCAAGGAAATATTCCTTCTTCGACGCATAGTTGATTGTGGATATTAACCTTCCATGGAATCAATCCATGCTGTAAAATGCTGCCTGCAATGCATGAACTTCGGAATCCACTTGTTTGGTGGCAGCTGGTGCTGTCTCGGAAAAACGAGAGTTGGCCCCCCCCCTGCAAAATACCCCCTGTTTAAAAGTTAAACACTCCCTTTTAAAAGTAATTTCCTTTTAATAACTCTCCTAATACTTAACTTAAAAATATATAAAAAATATATTTATAATCCTTATAAGAGTCTTTATAAAATTGAATTTTTCAAATAATCTTTATTTAAAGTTTATATATTATTAGAGTTATAAGCTAAACTACTTAATAGGTCTATATACTTACTTATCTTATTAGCCTAATAACCTCTATACTTTATATAAAAAAGATTTAATAATAAATATTTAAAAAGTATTACTATATAAAAGCTTTAATAAGAATTATAACTATATTTTTTATCTATTTTTAAGTTAAGTATTAATAGAGTTATTAAAAGAAGACTACTTTTTAATAAACCTTTAAAATTTTTAACAGGGGGGGGGGGCCAACTCTCGTTTTTCTGAGACAGTGGGTCAAATGCCGCTCTTGCCCGCGTATCTCCGCGCCTCCCCGCTTTCGCTGCTTGAGGAAGCACACAACAGGGGCCCTTGCCCGTCATCAACGGAGCGGCGCATGCTCTGCCGGCATCTCGGAGTGGAGCGACTCGAGCAATGACGAGATCACGGAATTTTCAGTTTTAAGAGCTTCATCGCATTTACATCTGGGCATTCATCATCGAGCTTGTTGCAATACCGTTTACATTTCTCGTCTCAGGATATCACTCAGCTAGTTCCCACGATCGTATTATTTTGACAGCGGTACAACTGCCTGTCGTTTCAAGTGCTATCCCAGACAATCACCCAGACAGACCAGATGGCGAAGCTTACCAACTATGTTGCATTCCTGCATCCTGAGACGGGAAGAGAGCAAATTGGCCATCTGGACCTCGACAGCAACACAATTCAGCCGCTGAGCTTTGGTTCGGGTACACCCGTACGTGACCTTTACCAGGTAGTCGAAGCCGGCTCTCCAGACAAGATAAACGCCATCGGCTCCCCCCTGCCCGTCAGTTCCGTCAGGATCCTGCCTCCCGTCTCAGGCCGTGATGTTCTCGCGGTGGGCAAGAATTATATGGAGCATGCCAAGGAATTCAACAGCTCCGGCTTCGACAGCTCCGACAAGGTCGATCGTCCCAGCCACCCGGTCATATTCACCAAGAGGTCAACTTCGATCATCGCTGACGGGGAGGAGATACTGCTCCATGAGGGGTTTACGTCGACTGCTGACTACGAAGGCGAGATTGGTGTCATTATTTCACGTCCTGGGTTCCGCGTCTCAGCTCAAGATGCGTGGGATTACGTTTGGGGCTACACTATCATCAACGACGTGACGGCCCGCGAGCGTCAGCGCGACCATAAACAGTTCTACATTGGAAAGTCGCCCGATACTTTCTGCCCTATGGTGAGCTTCTCGCAAGTATTTTGAAACAGTAGCGGACCATTTCCTTGCTAATTTCAGAAACACCGAAGGGCCCTATCGCGGTGCCAAAGGAAGATCTGCCCAAGACTCTCAAGATCCAAACCCACGTCAACGGTGAATTGAGACAAAACTCATCTACAGATGACCTGATCTTCTCAATCCCTGAACTAATAGAAACGCTGTCGGCCGGTCAGACTCTACAGCCAGGCGACATCCTGGCCACCGGAACACCCGCCGGGGTGGGCATTGGAAAGACCCCTCCGATCTATCTCAAGCCCGGCGACGAGGTTGCCATCTCCGTAACAGGTCTCGGCACCCTAACCAACAAGGTTGCGCAGCTGGATGCCATAAACTCCACAGGAGAACGGATCGGCGCCGCAAGCTCCTTCGCACTGATCAATTCGGACAAGGCCACCGGCCGCGGTAACGCATTGAGTGTTGTTGATGGCAAGTCTATCTCGTACAACAAATTGGGCTCGGGCTCCAATAATATCATATTTGTCCACGGTCTTGGCGGTACCAAGTACTACTGGACACCATTGGTGTCAACCCTTGCCCTGGCAGACCAGGCGACTCTTCATCTATACGACTTTGAGGGCCATGGCCAGACGCCGACACACCCTCTGAGCCTCTTGACCGTCTCATCCATGGCCAATGACCTCGCCGGGGTGTTCAAAGCCGCCAATGCATCCACCACCGCACCAGCCACACTGATAGCGCACTCCTTCGGCTGCCTAGTCGCCCTCAAGTTCACGCTGGACAACCCAAGCCTCGTCAAGAAGCTGGTCCTCATCGGGCCCCCGCCATCCCCTCTGCCAGACGCGGCCGCTGAGGCCACTCTCGCCCGCGCCACGCTGGTGCGTAAAAGCGGAATGGCAGCAGTCGTCGATGCCGTGGTCGATGCGGGAACGTCGGACGCCTCGAAGCGTAACAATCCGCTTGCAGTGGCTGCGGTTCGCATGTCCCTGCTGGGTCAGGATCCCGAGGCCTACGCGAAGGCATGCCATGCCCTCGCGGACTCCAAGGCGACGACGCTCAGCGTGGAGGACATCGCGGTACCAACTCTCATTATCACCGGTGAGGATGACAAGGTGTCACCTCCGGCATTGTGCGAGCAATACAAGGCGAAAATGAAGGACTCTAGTCTTGAGGTGCTTCCCAACGTCGGGCACTGGCATGTGTTCGAGCATGTAAATGGTGTTTCTCATGCTGTCAGGGCGTTCTTATAGCTCTGTGAGCTTTGTGCGCGAAGTCGTACAGCGCCAGGGCCGTGCATATCATATGGGTCAGCCAGTCTGACCTGTGCCGCTCTTGTGTCACTATCACCATGCTGAGTCCCGTCCATATGCGAGATATGTACTCAAGCTTAAACAATCTGTCCTCGTCGACACCACTTCAAGATCACAACAAAGTAAAATCCATTCTATCAGTGGAATAACTCGTCAGGCAGCGTAAAGTCCGGCCCATAGCTCAGGGAATCTTTCCTGAGCGGTGACTATTTAATGGAGTGATAAGATATGTGGGGCTGCTGTCCCAGATTGTCGCGTGCCAAGCTGTACAGCATCATTTGAGGCCGACGCAGGGCCGTTCCGCTGCTTACCATACCTCTCCCTGGGATCATAACATTTCTGTATGAAGTTAGCTTATCCATTTGATGACAAAAACAGCGGATTATTGCAGAGCATCTCTAATTTTATCTTTTGTGAACGATGATGCTTTAACAAACCCTCCGAACTTGCTGTACGACTCAAATCGCCCGGCCTTGCGCATCCAAATGCGCCTACACCCAGACTACGAAGTCGGATCGCCTCCCGATCCGAGAAAAGTCCGACTTATCGTCGGCTGCGCAGCCGAAATGCGCACAACACATATAAAGTGTTATGAACACCACCTCTTCTTTACTGTGTCCACTGCTATCAATTAAACTTACAGATATCTATAGCAATCAGTGAGTTACGTCGTGATTCACATCCCGTCAATTATGCTTGCTCTTCAGAAAACTACCTGGAAGTGCTGACCTCATGTCTATAGTGTCTAATCCTGTCCCTCTCACCATTGTCAAGGGCGCTGGCCACGAGTTCATTCCCCTACCCCAAGGGGAAAACGCGACAGTTGCCGACTTTCACTCGTGTGTCCCCCTGTTGCCTGAGCGTATCATTCAATATCTAACTTTTTTGTTGTAGTATCCGGACCAAGACCACCGACTCCCCAACTTGGTTCACCTCAGGGTTCTACAAGATCACGGCTGGGCCGGCCCGCCCCGCTAATTATACTTTCGAGGAGACCAAATACGTTCTGAGTGGTCAGATCGATGTCTTGGTATGTATTCCCTTGCCTTTGAAGATTGATAAATTCAAAAGTCTGACTCCCGGCAACAGGACGAGGCTACTGGCATTACTCACCATCTCGTCCCTGGAGACTTTGCTTTCTTCCACGTTGGATCAAAGGTTAAGGCAAGTCATCTTTCTCACTCGTATTATGCCGGAAAGGCGAATGCAGTATTATAGTTTGTCCTACTTCGTACTGTGTGTGGCTGTCGACTTCTGGTTAGGCAGCAGGCCATGCATGTTTCTAACATAAGAGTAATTATATTTGTTTGGGCCCCCTCAACTAATAAGACTTCGTTAGTTCTCGACCAAGTCCAATGGCTTCGCCTTCTATGCTGTCACTCGGCCTGTAAAAACCCCCCATCCCAACCTTCAGGGACGGGACGAAGGGACAAAGTCCAGGTTGTAATAGAAGACCACATACAACGATGGGTTGACATAGGGCGTCTGCTCGGTCCTTAGAAAGCCGTTGGAAAACAATATGTAAATTAAATCTTGGTTCCCACTCAGAAGACACCGTATCGAGCGATGAAAGATAATTTAGCGCGTAGACAAGTAGAACTGCCATCATGGTCAAATTGTGCTTGTGGACGACGTAGTCGACACCGGAAGCAGGTATGAATTCGAGACTTTGGACAATCCGAGTTTACCATTTCTGATACAAAAAGAAAGATCAAAAATACCAAAGCAGGCATTGAGCTCCTCGGCGACCTAAGTACTGAAAGATTCTTAACTTGAATAATATTTACAGAGAAAATGGAGGCTCTTCTCGTTCTTAACGAACCAAGAAACGTGATGCAATCTAGATACGAGGTTGTACACATCAATAATGGATGAAGACCGGAGTTGATCAAAAAGATTCACCTCGGCAATTCCATGCCTTTGATGTCCCTTAATCATGAGGATACTCCAACGCAGTAAGCAGTATCAGGCCTGAAGCCAGAAGCGCAGTCATTGGTGATGGCAGGATTCCTAGAGAATACACCGTGGTCAGCAACATGTGCGGAACTCCGATTCCAATCACCATTCGTGCACAACGAATGCATTACTGAGTTACGGCTCCTCAAAGGTCCCGTGGAGTTTGAAAGGACATAGTAGAGCGGATCAACTCACCACTTGTAGAAAGTCTCCAGCGTGATCCCGTACTGGTTCGAGATGGCCCAGCATCCATCACCGTCTACATCACGTCAGCACAATGATTCCGGATGTCGCTTTGGGCGCCTGGCGGGTGAAACTTACCACGGACGACGTGCCACTTGTTACAGTTGGCGGGCTGGCCTTCCTGCGTTGGGCCAGGTGGGGAGACAGCGGTTGTAGTCGGGGCCTGACTGGTAGTCGGGGACGGGGGGACTGTGTCATTGCTGCTGTGTCAGACTAAGGCCAAGAATTGGGGATAGTGTCCCTTCGGAGTACTGTACCTGTTGTCGTTGAGCCAGGGCCACCAGTCTCGTCATCCGTTGGGGGCGGGTCCACGCGCACGCAATAGCGGTAGTCTATTCAGCTGGTCAGTACCAGTCACGCAGCTACGCTGTGAGGCAGCTTTGGTACGCAGGGACGCTTCTCACCTAGCCAGAGAGTCTGACATTGGGAACCGACAGCAGGGTTCCTGGATTAAGAAGCACATGTCAGCGAATTCTATATTCATACTGAACAGGACGGGCATTACGGAAGCCTCATGACGTACCAGGCGTAGAATTGGGCTATAGTTATATCATATGTCCGCAGAGCCTGCGCACAGCTCATTGGGGCGGAAATAGGGGCGAATTCTAGACAATTCGCTATGGCACCAGGCTGTGCTAGGGGTGTTCCCCGAAATAGTAAGCTACTAGTTATCAAAGCGGTTGACTCTAATTCATGATGGCTTGCAGGGCAACTTGATAACATACGCGAATAGGGAGCTCGACATCAGCCGTAGGCTGCGGTGACCCAGGCGTCACCAACGACACATCATATGCCTCCAGGCAGTACCTATAGCCATTCTGGGGCGCGCAGTCGGACGATTTGCCGTCCAGGGACGGGTTCCAGTTCTGGAGTTCCTCCAGGGAGATCCCCCAGCCCCCGGCGAGGGCATGACATGTGGACGTGTAGACGGTGCTGGCGAGATCGTAGCTGACCTGAAGCTGTTCCCCGTCGACGAAGAGGTAGCAGTCTTTCCTAGTCCCATTAGCGATGGGCAGCACAACTGGCAGGCCCGTGATCGCGGGGGGAGTGTAGGTTGCCTTGGGCAGGCTGTCGTAGGGGATTGTCGGCGTTGCTGATGCTGGCGGCACATAGCCCGTGTGGGAAGGGTACGAGTCTATGGCGCCCACTGGCCGCATACAGTAGCTCTCATAGGCGAAGAGATTTGTGCAGCTTGCGATCTGTTAGACGGGATTGGCCGAAGCTTGGAAGCTTGTTGAGTGGAGTGTCGATGACTTACTTGGAGTTGACACCCTGATTCAGGAACATAAAGTCATCCATGGAAACACTGTACCGCATAATAATGAGGTTGCAGTATTCTTCTGGCTGGACCTCATAGAACAGAGAGCAATGGGTATTCGTGCCAGCTGCTATGTTAGCAGGCACTGGAGCCGGTATATCTGAGGGTCCTGCCGTGGGCTGTGCTGTTGTCGTTGGCTCCGTCCAATCGCTCCCACCTCCTGGAGGTGAGATACAGATAGAGTCGCCTGTTGATTTGCCGATCGTTCGACAGGACGAGCCCAGGACGGGATTCCCTAGGGTGGAACTAGCCGTTAGTCAAGGCAAGAGAGCCACTGTGTAAGTTGCACCTCGGTCACTTACATAGACCTAGCATCACCTCAGAGACTCCCTGCGCATCCGCTATTGATGCACATGTGTCGTTCGCTTGGACCGTATACACCTTGCAACTCCTTTGTACGCAGAGGGAGCCGCTTGTTGGAAAATTGGCACAGAAGGATTGAAGCCCATTGTCAAGAAGAAGCCATGCGGTTCCTACTTTTTGAGATTCGGAGATGGATTGGCAAGTGTCCCCGGGCTGAATCTGATATGTCGCTCCGGTGCAGACAGGGGTTGCTGGATCTGAAGTTGGGACAGGAGGTCTGTCACGAGCCCGAGGGGTCAACACATCATTTCCAGCTCTAAGAATATGATCGAAGATTTGGAAGTTTCCTTACTGAGGGTAGGGCGCTGTAGAGCTCGCGAGAGGGAAACCAGTCTTTGAGCAGCTCGCCGTAAGCGACGAATACTCGTCCTGAAAAGCCACGCCACCGTTCATTGGCGAACCGGCCACGAACTGCATCTGTTTGATGAGACAGTCGTCGCACTTGTCTATACCTTGCCGCTCTGACCGGGGAAATACTGTCAGCCGTCTCACATCCCATCGAAATTGTGCACCTTCTCGCCACCGAGATCTGCTCATAAACTCACTCGCGGCTCCAGGATTAGTTGACTCTGCTGCTTGCGCGGCGACATTGTTGCACCATCTGCTACCGTCGGTTATGCAAGAGCGATTGTAGTAGTAGTGCAGTGTCTGAGGGATCAGGGAAACGGGAGCATCGTTGTGCTCAGTCAGGTTGTATGTCTCGGCAGCGCAGGCACCTGCTACTTTCGCCTCATATCCAGTGAGAGCTGATGCGCAGTTTGCAGTGCAAACCTGCTCGAGTGTCTCTACTGGGTAATAGTCCCCCCAAGTGAAAGTTTTGACCTGTCGAGGGCACGCGATGTCTGAAGTCAGGGCAGAAACACAGCCAGGCGTTAGTCCTACCACAGGCAAGGTAGACTCAGTGAGATATTGAAAGGCCTCACTGGGCCATGTAAGAGAAGCTGCGACGAGGAAATAATTCAAAAAAGCAGCCATGGTCAAGACGCAAGGCACGTTGAAACGAGCGTGAGGGGTTTGCAAAAGGAGTGACTGTTTGTCGGTGGAAAGAGTCTTCACCTCATCGCCACAGATAGCCCATCGCGACCGAGGCAACCACGATACTTAGACCCCCTTTCTGCTTGCGCGCTTTTCCCGTGGGAGCTCACTCCTGGCCGTCGCCAAGAGTAGAGTACACTTTCAGCGCGATCGGAAATTCGCGTTTGCAAAATATGCTTGGAAGGAGTAGACTTGTTGTGCATGATCCAGGCAGCTACCGAACCAAGTGAGCCGCGATGCTACGGACCCCTATTTTGAAGTTCTAGCCGAGGCGTTCCCACGAGCTCCGAGCAGCATCTTGGTCCGCATGCACTAGGCCACCCACACTTCGTGGGCGATAAAGAGCTGCCAAGATGGGGACGGCGCTGCCAAGTCCTGTAGATCGGAAATGAGATCTTACAGACTTTTCCCGCCGGAATCTGGTTCCAGCCTCTGGGCACTTTGGCTGCGATGTGTTGATGGTTGTCTCGAGAACTTTCCGGCGACGGGTAGTGGGCAGCTCGGGTTTTCAGCCTTGGCGATTCAGCCTTGGCATACGAGATACCGAGTATCTGCAATTGTATGCCTGGTTGGGTGCAGTGGCATAATAAGATTGCGAATCCTTCGGGCCGCACCATCGATAAAAAAATACTACATGGTACCCTAGTTTGCACACGTGTGGTGCGACCCTGCCCTTACTTACTCGCGCGCTAAGAATACCAGGCAGCACTCCGAGTGCAGGTGTTCATGGGGCTCACACCACGGAAGGATTACACGTGAATAAATTCGCGGTGCCAAGATCCCATATGGTACTCTCAAAGAACAGAGCCAAGAAAGATTTGGGATTCATTCCCAGGAGTCGCCGAGCGGAGGCAATGCGGCTAGAGAGTCCCAATGTAGGGGTCCATTCTTGTTGCGTCTACACTACCCAAATTGAACCACTCCGGTATCGTGGATATGCCTCACCCGAAGAGGTATATGTATGTTGGTGCTGTGTTCCCGGCCGGTGCTTCCCTCAGCTCAGTATTCGCTCACTTGTTCGCTCTTTACCACGCCCACACGGGCCAATGTCAAACTCATGATGCGCTCTCTCAAACTACTGTCTTTCCTTTCCATTTCCTTTATCACACTCGTTACAGGCCACCCGGGGCTCTACCCTGAGACATACTCTTCGCCCAGTCTACTGGATGGAAGGGACTCCGGTTCTCAGCCAATATGTGTTCCACTCCCTCCCGTCCTGAGATCGCAGCAAGACTTGGTAGCCAAAGTCCACGGTACCTGTGCACGAGATGAGCATTCTACTTCTCCCGAAGGCCTCGGGCTCATCACACGGCAAGTCGTAGAGGACTATTCATGTGATGAGAACAGGCCGTGTAAGAACGGGGCTTGTTGCGCAAAGACCGGTTTCTGTGGCTTCGGCCCGGAATCGTGCGGAACCAACGACCAGTCCCCGAACGACAAGTGCTGGAGTAACTGTGATGCCCACGCCGAGTAAGTACGACCATCTTCCTGTCAGTAGGATCTTTTGCTGACTGATCTTCCCCCACATTCAAGATGCGGGCGTTATGCGGAAGAAGAGGGCAAGAAGTGCCCTTTGAATGTCTGCTGCAGCCAGCACGGCTTCTGCGGGACAACATCAGAGTTCTGCGAAGTCACAGAGGACGAGAAGACGTCCTGTCAGAGCAACTGTGAGCAGCCCGGATCAGGTGGCTCGGGCGGCGATGTGCAGAAGCGCATCATCGGCTATTACGAGGCATGGAACCACAAGAAGACGTGTATCGGCATGCCGATCCAGGACATTCCTGTTGGCAGCATCACTCATCTGTACTATTCATTTGGATACATCCAACCTGAGACTTACGACATTATCACTATGGTCGACGAGAAGGGACAAAGCCCGCCGGAGAGCACCTTCACCGAGCTGACGGAGCTCAAGAAGCAGAACTCAGCACTGAAGGTTATCGTGGCACTAGGCGGATGGACTTTCAATGACAACAACACTATCTGGCAACCTGTCTTCTCAGACATTGTCTCCACGGAGGAGAAGAGGTCCAGATTCATCACCAAACTCATGTTCTTCCTCACTAGAGCAGGCTTCGACGGTGTCGATATCGACTGGGAATATCCTGGCGCTCCTGACCGCGGCGGCCACCCAGATGATGGAGTCAACTTCACAAAGCTGCTCCAGGAGATGAGAACAGCTTTCAACAAGATGACCGACTACAAGGAAATCTCCTTCACGGCCCCGACAAGCTACTGGGTAAGTCAAAATCGGACACGGGGTTCCATCTAGGCGCAGCCGAGCCATTGGGCTTGTATAAGTCCTTCGCTAATAGCTTCCCATAGTACTTGAGGTGGTTCGACATCAAGGCCAGCGCTGAGGCGGTGGACTTCGTCAACGTCATGGCCTATGATCTTCATGGGATCTGGGACGCCACCAACCCTATCGGGAACCAAGTGCTGGCACATACGAACCTAACGGAAATAGGGCTTGCCCTCGACCTATTCTGGCGGAACGAGGTCGACCCTGGCAAGCTAAATCTCGGGCTCGGCTTCTATGGTCGCTCGTTCCAGCTCGCGGACCCTTCATGCCACCAGCCCGGGTGCCTTTTCAAAGGCGGTGCGTCGAAGGGCCCCTGTACTGATAATTCGGGAACGCTGAGCTACCGTGAAATCATGGACATCATCGAGCAGAACTCTTTGTCACCATATTATGACACGGTGAATGCCGTCAAGTATATCACTTGTGAGTCTTATTGCTCAACGCCCCAGTGCCAATACTTACCTTGCAAGATCACCCTGGTCTTCTTCATTCTGCGAGTGAAATGATAGCAGTAACTGACCATATTCGTTCTATCAGGGGGTGCCGACCAATGGGTATCATACGATGACTTTGACACGTTCCAACAGAAGATCGAGTTCGCCAATGGACTCGGCCTCGGCGGTCTGTTAATCTGGGCCATTGACTTGGACACCCCAGATCTGGACGCCTTATCAGCCGTCATATACCCAGAACAGCTCGGCGCCAGGGCTGAACAGGCCACGGCGGCGAACAACTGGGAGGACGCAGACGGTGGCCACTGTCGGGTCACCGACTGCGGTTATCCAGATTGCAATGCCGGCGAGATCCAAGTCACCACGCAACAGTGCGAAGACATGGACTGGTGGGACGGCTCGTACGCCATCAGCGGGCTCTGCTGTCCCATGTCCTCGGCACCCAAGGCCAAGGACTGTGCATGGCGGGGAAACCCCGAGTGGTGCAACGGCCAGTGCCACAAAGGCGAGGTGGCGCTGCAGTCGTCGTTCTGGGGGGACGGCGACAAGTGCTGGGACGGCAGGAAGTTCTACTGCTGCCCTGCCGAGGCCCAGCAGCCGGACTGCAGGTGGACGGGCTGCAACGAGAGTTGCAACAACGACGAGAGCGAGTTGACGTGGATGTACGGCAGCTGCCCCGGCGAACAGAAGTTGAAGTTCTGCTGCGACAAGGATCAGGGCTGGAAGAACTGCAAATGGCATGGCAAGGCGGGCAACTGCTTCGACAACCACTGCGACACGGGCTGGCAGGTGGCGCTCACCGTGCAGGATGAGGGTGAGGGTGACGACTGCGGCATCCTCAAGCGCAAGCGCAGTTTCTGCTGCGATCCAAAGGATGGGGAGTCGCCTTTCCTCCCTGTGCCTCTGGAATACTTGTTCCCGGAGCCGCCCAAATCCGACAATGTTGACACCGACTTCGAGCTCAAGGTGGACCCGACGTATGGTGGGACCAACGACGTGCCGTTCAATGAGGACCCCAAGAACTCGCCGTTTGGGTTCGTCGTGCTCGCCAGCCCAGAGGAGCTGCAGGTGTCGCTGGATAAGCGCGACGGCTCGCACTGGGAGGTCTTTGATTGTTTCGATGGCATCACCGAGGGCCAGCATACGGTCCGCATGGTCTGCACGGATACATCGGAGAACTCCAACTGCGGCAAGATCCACCTCGGCCATGGCGCTCCAGGTACCATCGTCGAAATGCCGCGCGGTTGTGGGCCGGGCAAATATGCCGTTGTCAAGGACCTCACCGTCAGCCAAAACCAGGGGCTGCCGCATCATCTCGTCAAGCGGGGGCTTGTTGTCAACGAAACTGCCGCGCCGGTGCACGACCTCACTTTTGATTATGACTTCCGACGTGTGCCCAGGGATCTCGGGAGCACCCAGATTCGCATCGATTTCAGCAACGAGCCTGAGTATTGGAATAATGTTGTCAACAAGCCTGGCGGCAGTAAGAAGAATAAGCGTAGCTTGGAGGATGTGGGCGGGTCTCACAAGAGATGGCTTGAGGAGGAGTGGCGGGATGACTACCACTTTGGCGGCTTGTCACAGGAGGACTTGCACAAGAGATGGTTTGGAGAGTAAGTCCTGTCAACCCCTTTCCCGAGCTTTAGCTCCTACCTTTCTCTCGTCCCTATTTGAACTGGTTCGAGGAATTAGTGGCTGACGCTTTTCTCTCTTACAGAGACGTCATCAGCTGGCTGAGTGGGCTCATCAACGGAGTGAGCGGCGGCCTGGATCTCAGCCACACATACAGCGAGAAAATCGTCGTCAAGCTGGTTGACGAGCACCTGACATGCCCCAATCTTGCCGCCAAGCTGGAGATCAAGGCCGAGACATCTATCGACGTAGATACAAACTACGGCTTTACCTTGATCGCGACGCTGGACAACCTCAACCTCGACTTCAGCAACTCGTACCTCTACTTCCGAAACAAGGGCAAGGTCGAGGCCAAATTCATCGTCGACGCCGCCGTGACGGTCCGGTTCGACACACAGGACGTGATGCTCCTGTCAGCCGACAAGTTCGGAGCTGCATTCAGTGTGCCGGGAATCGTCACTGTCGGGCCCAATTTCAAAGTGCTCGGGCGTCTCGAGGCCGAGGCCACGCTGGGCGTCAAGCTTGAGAGTCAGGTGGTGCTGGCGGAGTGGGACACGAAACAAACGTACCCGGTGGCCAACAACAACTGGAACCCGGAGGCGTCCAAGAGCCCCAAGAAGGATGGGACGCAGAGCGTGCTGGACCCAACTTTCGAGTACGGGCTGCGGCTCGAGGGCCAGGTCACGGCGCACGTCAAGCCAGTGATAACTTTCGGCATCGAGTTCAACAAAGACCTTATCAGCATCGACCCCGTCGCCGTCAACCTGGTCGCTGACGGCTGGGTGCGCTTCCACGCTGACTTCGAGACTGGCAGCAGCGGCACGTCGTTTTGCTACGGTGTTGATGCCGGTGCAGACATCTACGCCACCATCGACGCGCCGTCCGCCTTCTCGTGGGCACTCCCATCGTCACCGTTTCCCATCATCCCCATCGACACGGTGCAGATCTACCCACCCGAAGGCGGGGACAAGTGCTGGTCTCCGTCCAAGCGCGCCCTGCCTGAGCTTGATGACGGGCATGATGGCGTTGGTATCTATACCTCTGAGAACGGGACCGGCTATTATGAAGCCCGGACGCCGTCACCACAGTACTTTAGCCGCCGTCGCAGCGACTTGATTGCGGAGCGCAGCCTCGGAAGCCACAGCAAGCTGGACAAGCGTGCCCAGGTGTACGGACCGCTGGTGCCGCACCTGACGGGTCTCCGCTGCCCAGGCCAGATCCAACTTGGAGACATACCTCCGTGCCCCCTGTGCACTGGCGACGAAGAAGATGCCGCCGGTCTGACCCGGCGGGAAGACGAGAATATCTGCGTCCTCGAGCGCGACAACGTCGAGGCGCAATGCTCGGCCGGCAGCAGCAAGGCCAGGCGCGATGGACAAGACGGCGACCACGTCCTTGTCAAGCGCACCACCAAAACGCTCAAGTGGCGCGACCACCTGGGGGTATCGCACACGCTGTCGTGCGGCCCGTATCCGAGCTGTGACGACGCCAAGGGCGACGGGCAGATATCCAAGTGGTGGGGATACGAGATTGACAAGACGCAGGCCTGCCCTGTCGAGATATCACGCCTGACGAGGACTTCTGTGGGCTTTGTCCAGGGTGACTATGCCAGTGAGTACCAGCCGAACATCCATTGGACCTTTATCACTCGCGTATACCATGATGTATCCAGTAGCAACATGCTAACATGATCGACCTCTTCCCAGCGGACCACGTGTACGAGGCCAACTTCATCACAGCCTTCCTCGAGTTCCTCATCAACGGGCCCCTCCCCGCCGGCTACACGGCGGCGACCCGGCAGTGGGTATCGGAGGTGCTGGTTGGCGTGCCCACCACTGCCAACGCGGTGCAGATCGACAATGCCGACTCGCTCTTCTTCGACATGACCCGGGCGCTGGGTGGCAACGGCGGCGGCAAGTCCCGGCTGGCGCTGCTGTACGGCGACATCAACTCCAAGAAGCGGGCATTCATGCAGCTCAACGACGTCGACCAGGAGGACCGCAGCAGCAACCTCGCCTCGAGACGGCTGCACCGTAACGTAAGTCCGAGCCTCAGCGAGCACAAAGAAACACCCACGGTCAACAGCAGATGCTAACACGTTGACCAAACCAGACATACGGCGTATTCTCGTACATGAAGCAAGACATAATCTGGCAAAAGTTCGTCGACAGCTCGCAGCTGATCGAGAACTCCCTGACCGAGTTCGACAACACCTACAACTGGGGGTCCGTCGGCGGCGAGATCGGGCGCCCCACGAACCGCGGCGCCAACCAGCCGGCGGCGGGGCTCCGCGACCTTTACTGCTACTGGGTGGACCGGCAGCTCAACTCGATCGAGGCCAAGGCCGACAACTGGGTCCAGGCGGCGCGGACAAAGTACGAGTCGCGGTACGGCGGCGAGCCGCGGGGTATTGACTGGCTGGCCACCGAGTTCAACGCCAACACGGGTACGATCCGCAGCGCGAACCTGCGGTTCCCGGCCTCGCCTGGAGGGAAGCACGGGCTCACGGGCGGGCCGTTTAACAGTGACTTTAGGGGTCTTTGGACCGGTCAGGCTGGGCCGTGGTGAGTGGACGGCTTAGTAGACTAGATGCCAGAGTCAGAACCATCTTAGACTAGATGCCAGAGAGTATCTGCGTCTACCCCATTGGGCCTTTCTTGTAGATATTTTGAAATCAATTTGCGCGGGCAACAGCTCGGAGAATTGCAGGGTGCGCATATGTCAAGTCATGCGAAGCAGGTGGTTCCAGTACGAATGTCTTGTGTGAAGGGCCTCGACTTTGTGACGAACTGAGGGGGGAGTTGAGGACTTCCAAATATGAATAATAAAGGAGACGAAAAGCCCACCGTATTCCTCCCGGGGCAACAATCCTCCCCAGTCCATCACCAAGACTTCCAGCCCAGCTCCAGCGCCCTCTCGTACGGCCCTCCGAGCCGCTCCTCCTTGACGACAAACAGGCCGTACATCCTCCCCTGCACGGTCCCCGCGCCATCGTAAGCCTCCGGGTCCGGGCAGACAGGGAACCGCTGGGTGCGCGTCGGCGCCAGCATGTCCGGGTCCTCCTCGAGCTCCTCCGGGTCGGGGTCGAACTCTGCGGGCACTGCGGCCGGGCGGAACTCGACCATGAGCAGGTCTGCCCCGCGGCGCCACGCGTTGCAGTCGTCGCTGTCGACCATGAAGAGCACGTCGTGGTGGCAGAAGGACGGCGCCCGCAGGTACGACGGTACGAGTCCCGGCAGTCGCCGCTGCTGCTGCTGCTGCTGCGACGTGCCATCCCCGACCTGCCTCAGCTGGTCGGCGTACGTGCCCCTCGCGGCCCTCTCGCCCTCGTAGTGCCGCTGGCAGTGCTCCACTGACGCCCCTGGCTGGAAGTAGACGTCGAGCCGGTAGCCCATCGTCTCTGGGGCGTAGCGGGACTCGTTCAGGGCCTGGAGGAGATCGGCTGCTGCGAAGGAGGACTCAGGCGAGGACACCGACGCGTCACCTCCCTCTGTGGTCGCTGTCGGTGGTGGCTGGGGTGATGTGACGTACACTGCGAAGCTGTACAGTGGCGGCAGTGGCTGGTCGACAGGGGCCCAGAACACCATGGCCGCGGCGCCGCCAGCGTGGTCGCGGAACGGCTGCGTGTGTATCTTGACGGCGGTGCTCATCGTCGGCGATGGAGTTGGGATTACTGCTCAGCTGGCTTCCTCACAGTCGAGTGTGTTGCTGTCTGCCCTAGGGTAGGTGGTCTGGAGGTGTTGGTCCCGAGAGCAGACGAGTTCTTGGGTCCCAGCAATGGTATTTGTAGGGTTTTACCGCCATCATTTCCCCGTAAGACGCGTGTTGCTGTCGAGCTTTCCGGTTTGTGAGGATGCCCAGCTGCTAGCCGGGTCCTACTGTAGGTGCGAGCCAAGAGTGGGCAGGGATGTCCCATGACCCTGAAATACTGAAGTACCTAGGTACCTACCCTAGGCACCGAAACAGACAGAGCGCCTTGGCCAGCCATGCCATGTCCAGAGACCAGCAAGTTATTCATAATTAAGTTCAACATAGCTTTTCGTCTGGAATCCCCAGCCTCTGTCCTTCAAATGCTGGCCCTGCAGATTGGCAGCTTCCCCGCGCCACGTGTGTTGATCAAGAGACATGTCTACCTATGGACACCTTTGAAGCACGCTTACACATGTAACTTTAGATTCACCTTGACCTTGAAGACAAGAGATTTTTACATATCCAGTCAAGAATTATTGCCCCATTCAGATGTTTCCATGTATATCATGATATGTTGTGCTCACTTCTTGTGACCACCAGCTTGAGTTGGCCAACCTTTCCCTGGTTGCTCTCCCATTGAGCTCCAACTCAAAAGGACCTTTTCTAACTCACAATGAAACATTGCTAGTGCTATGATTCACGTCTTCGATTGCACTTGCTGTGCCTTGATTCCATTCGTGAGGATCATCGCACCAGATAGTGCGCCCGAGCCAGCCAACATGGTCACTCCGGAAAAGACGATCAGCCTCATAAGATCCACGCCCGACAAGATGGCGCCCTGAATCGGAAGGCCCGTCAGCGAAGCCACGGCAGCAATGGCGAAGAAGGTCCCCAGCATCGCCCCAAGGTCATGTGTGTGTCCGCCTGCAACCTCGACCAGGCACGGCGCGGTGAGCGACACGAAGGCCCCGGAGAAGAAGCCGAAGAACAGGGCGAAGACTATTAGACCGCCCGCTGAGCGGTGGTAGTTGACGGGTAACCAGATTGCCAAGGTGGAGACCCCAGAGAGAAAGGCGCAGACGACCATGACGCGCAAGTGGCCGATGCGGTCCGAGTAGAGGGACGGGAGGATGCGGCCAAAGATCGATGCGGCACTAGAACGAAACAGTGTCAGTAGCTGAGACGTGATGGTATTTTTCTATGGGGTGTAGAGAACTCTTACTTGACTATGGATACTGTGTAGGGACCAATGTAATACGTGTTCCGGGACTGTTCGGCGAATAGAGGGAGGTAGTTGAATGGCCCAAAAAGACCCCAGAAGAAGAGGAAGGAGCCCCCGACGAAGAACAAGTACGATGGCTTCTTGAACACAGCAACACTTAGGATGTTGCGGCGTGCTGCCCAGCCCTTGGGTTTCATTGGCGGCACAACCAAGATGTTGGCAATCGCCAACAACACCCCCACCATGAGTGCGGTCCATCGTATGGTGGCGCCAAAGCCAACCTTTTCGAAGAGTTGAGCAAGTAATATCGGAAAGATGACACCGCCTGGTAAGGATTATAAAGAATTTCAGCGCTCTGTCTCTCGTTCCGCATCACGAGGCAGATGATCAAGGAGATTTTGCTCACCAGCTGATGATCCGCTAGCCACAACCCCAACAGCAAGGGCCCTCTTCGTCTTGAAGTACTGGCTCGTAGCAACCAGACCCGGGACGAAGATGCCGGCAGCTCCCAGCCCGAAGCAGAGGCTCTGCGCAAGAAAGATCTGCCAGTACTCCCGCGCAAAACTGAGGCCAATCAGGCCCATGACGGCCAGGACGGAAGTGGGGGCCAGGACAGCCCGGGGCCCGAACATGTCGACCATCATGCCGACTGGCTGCGACAGGAGGAACATGAGGAAAAGCTGCATCGTGAGGATCCATGAGATGGACGAGGAAGACTCAGAGTCGAGGATGTCTGTCTCGTATACGAGCTGGAAGGTACCGAGCCTAGGAGGAGTAGTTGGTCAGAAGGTGCATTTGAGAAGGCGGGAGTTGTTGGACAAACTGTGGAGGTCAACTCACGCATTAAGAAAGCCAAAGGAGCAAAACTGGCACAACCAGCCGGCGGCGACGGTTTGCCATGCGGCTCTTCCACCATCGGGCGGCGTGAAAGGCGGAGGCGGAGGTCTTTCCTCGTTACTTACCGACAATTCGGAGTGATGGTGATTGGTTTCCCGGGCATGGATATCGTCCTTGGTGTCGTGACTGTGTTGGTTGGTTGCCATTGTGAAGTTTGGCGAGCCTCGAAGGTCTTTGGCCTAGAAAGCCCTTTTCCGCTGCAAAAAGAGTAAATATCGACTTGAAGTCTTTCTTCTACTGGTCGACCAGATTGGTTGACGGAGTGAGATGCAGAAGGCCTGCTCGGACCTCCATGGAGCATCCGCGGAGCTGACTTGCTCGGGGTTCACAGAGCCTCGTACAGAGCTGACCTATCTACGCCTCAGCTCATCCCAACCACGTTTCGCGAGCCGCGTGGTTGGTTGGTTGATTGATACGTTCAACCTGTCTTAGACAAGACTCAGCGTGTGCTCGCCGTGGCATCTGTTTTGATAATACCCTGTCCTTGGCAAGTTCGGTTGTCCAGATGCGGGAATGCAGCGTCACGTTTCCGCCTACAGGTTACGGGCAAATGCAATACTTCGGGATGAGGTTTTTTTTAGATAACTGCTCATTCATCCTGGAGCCCCTGATCATGGGGACCCGTGGCCAAGGATGCTTATCCTTTTAAGTATTTTTACTTCGATTTTATATATATCTAAGAATATATATAACACTCTTATATACTAATAAATATTTAAGATTTAATATTTAAGAAATATAATACTTTTAATAAGAATTATAAAATATTAAATATTTATATTTTTTATTTTATAATATATAAATAAAATTATAAATTATTATTTTAATAATAATTTTAAGTAGAATATTATTTTTATAAGAGAGAGAAATATAAATAAAGTAATTATCTAACTTTTAATAATAATTATAATATATTAAATATTTATTTTTAATTTTATAATATAGAAATAAAATTATTAATTATTATTATAATAGTAATAATAAGTAGAATCTTATTTAAATAAGAAAGAGAAATATAAATAAAGAAATTATCTTTAATATATTAATTATAATTAAGTTAGTATTATTTTTTATATAGAAAGGAAGGTTTAAAAGGATTTTAAAAAGAAGGTTAAAGTTTTTAAATAAGTGAGTAAATAAACTACTATAGGATAATTAAGTAAGAAGCTAGTTAAGACCTTTAAGCACCTATATACACACACACTAATAATTATAATATATATATATATAATAAAATTAAGTTTTTAAATATAATTATTATAAAAAAATTAAAGTTTCTTTATATTATAAAGATATATATAAAGCTTTTAAAGACTTTATATGTAAGTTTTAAGCTATTAGGGAAGAAATGAGCAGTTATATAGTGTAAATGAAAAAATGATATAGCTAAAGCTAAACAAAAAAGGATTTTGCGGCCTGTGTGGATTGAACACACGACTTTCAGATTTTCTTACTGAAGTACGCTTCAGTCTGACACTCTCCCAACTGAGTTAAGCCCGCTTTTTTTTATCAATTTAATTTTCGGATGATGTGTGCTCCAGAGAGCTTGTGCAGGCAATTTCATGGCATCAGGTCTGCGTTACCACCCAACATACACATTTCTCAAGCCACACATTTCAAATACACTGTATGTTTAATACTGGCGGCCACAAAATATCTTACAATTTTTGAGCCATTTCTAAAGATAGTTTCCCAGCCTATGTGACCCGCCTTTCCCCAAAACCCGCTTTCACTTGCCAGTGGACCTGGGACTAGTCTGAAGTACTGTTTCTCGGACGATTTAGGTCAGCATCCGACCTTCGGTCCCGAATTCTCTTCTGTCGTACGTCGATTCATGCACCACAAGACAAAGTTGATATAAACAACCTCGCAAAAGTATTCCACGACCGCCCAAAACGATCCATCAAACAAGTACAAAGCCCAGTCTCTGCCTGATGTACCTTGCGGCAATGGACTCTGGGAGCCGAGAACGTCAAGGTATATTAGTATGATGATGCCGAGAGGGCAGAAAGCTGCGGTAAACTTCAAGCACTGCGATGCGCTAGGAGTGGTTGTCCATTTTATGAAACGAGAGCCATGACGATAGCCCGAAGCACGGTGGGCAGCCTCGCTTCGTATGTGAAGTCCCGTGAGGGCCCACGCATAACAAGATATGGGAAGAGCCACAAGGGCGAGCGGGAGAAGTGACAATAGCGACGAAGGGACCGAAAAGCCCACATAAGTGTAGATAAGCTGAGCAGAAGCCAGCAGCGTCACCGATGTTACCAGGAGCCACACTGCGATGGACATCCATTTGCTAGACCGATGTTCCAGGCTGTCGAGTACGGCGGTGGCGCCATACTGGCCGGCGCAGTTTTGTACTTGGTAATTTGCATATCGTGCCTGCTTTTCGTCGAGCCCAGTGACAATGGCTTCCAAATTACCGATATCGACTGGATGACACTTCATTCCGTGGTCATGGCTGGGATGGTCCGACTTTGTGATTGCAAAGGCAGGAGTTTGATCCGCAGGCTGGTTTTTGGATCCACGCCAAGCAAAACTGAAGATCTCCAATATGACCAGAGCCAGAGGGCTGAGAGGAATGAGAACGGCAAAGATCTGGCCAACTGTCCAACCTTCGACTTGAATCCTGTGGAAATAGGAGTCGTGTGCTGGATAAAGTTTAATGCACCCTTGGACAAACGCAAAGATAAGAAGAAGTACCTAGGCCAATTAGCATTTTGTCATCAACCTCGGAGAATGATGTCAGCTTCAAGCCGGCCTACCTTCGCGAGCCTCGAGGTGAGCATGTCGAGCATCAGACGACCCGTCAGGTGCAACACCAGCAGCGGCGTTGTGACCATACCTTCCACAATATCGGGTCTATGCGCAGTCGTTGGGAAAATGCGCACAGCCATCTTGGTTATCTTGTCGATCGCGCGTCGGCTGGAGCGGCTGGTAGAGCTTCTGATGTGTCTTCTGAAAATCCCCGGTGGGAATCGAAACAGCCGTCTGGCGGTCCACGTAAACAGGATGGCCAAACTTGCTGCCGAGATGACGACAGCTCGGAAAGAATCCGTCCCAGAAAGTGGAGTGTTAAGATCGCAATACTGCTCGATCCGGGCCACCACGTCCAAAGAGTGACTTGGTGGACTGCCCGATCGTGGCACGTAGCCGAAATCTCCGAAATCCATAAGGTCTGCATTCTCGTACAAAATCACATTCCTTAGTATCGATGTAGCAGTGGAAGTAAGCTTAGGGGGCTCCACCGGAGTGAAGTCACCCCACCGGCAAGGGTCGGCCAAGCGATACAGGTCGTTGACCATGGAAACGTCGTAGTAGCACAACGCAGGCGACACGGGCTGGGCAGCCGACTTTGCAAGCATGGGATAAGCGATTTCCCAGTCGAATGGAACAAGACCCCGGGAATCAGGTGGTCCTGTGAGCTGTGCAAACGCGCGTTTGCTATACCAGTTGAAATGTGCCGTGGGGAGCAGGGCAACTATGAGCAAGACCAGCTGCGCGCACATAAGCGACAGGCGGACGGTATTTTGCCAACTATGCTCCCGGATATACTTTTGAGCCAATGAGAGAGTCCCCATGTAGGTAATCGTCGAAAACCATGCGAGGTTTACTAGGATCTGCCAATGATAGGCAGGAACGCCGCTCCGGATAGTCGGTGATGGACAGAGTGAGAAGAAGCCTCTGATTAGAATGGCCAGGCCAGCGAAGATTTGAATGTCGCCCAATGCTAGGAGAGACTGTTGTTGTTAGTCTTGATACTTTTTATGTCTGATGTTTGACGCGACTCACAGTGGAAAGCACACGACGAAAACTAGATTGACTCAGAACCCTCGACGGCCAGGAGGAGATGCGGCTTGGGATCAGTCTCTGAGCGTAAGAAGCGGTCAATCGACCGATCTCCCGCGCAGAGCCTAGCACTGTTTCATCAACGACATTGCCCTGCGCATGAGTGATTCTATCATGCGAGTCTTCATCATCGGAATCTGCCCCGTGAAGATAGGCGGCTGAAACAGCCAACACAGTGATGCCAGCGGCGACAACAAAACCAGTTATGACCTACTACTGTATCAGCGTGTTGATCAAAAGAAGATGGGATCAAATTGCTCACCCCTGGGCCTGATATTTCCGGATAGGAAACCACCGTAGTCAGCCTTATGGTCGGCAGGCTGCACTCGACGGGACAGGTCCACAATGCCCAGGCCATTTCTACTACTTTAGTGGGAAAAGGAGGAGCTGAGGATTACGGAGTGGACGTCCCACTTTCTGGGCGGGAGCCATTTATTAAGAGCCTCAGCTGGCTGTAAGCACTAACCCAGATCAGCTTCATTCTGCACGTACAAGGCACAGCATGAGTGAGTCGTTTCGATGGCCTGCTGCAGTGTCTAGTTTCTATTCTAATGACCAATTGAGAGCAAGACCAAATTTATCGGCTAATTTGTTCAATTTCACTCGTTAGACAAACGTTCGCTCTACGAATCAAGTTTCAGGCTCCAGAGGCAGCGATCCCAAGACGTGATTCAAGACGTAGAATCCCGCCCCCACGACACCCCTGCGCCATGATCCCGGTCTGCCATACAAGCCCTGGAGTGCTGTTCATTTTATGCAGCAAATTCAAAGACCCTCTGAAGAGGATTTGCCAGGAAAGAGAGAGCTGGGAAACGCAAGTTTGACCTGATATTCTAGTAGAATTACTCTGCCAGCGACGCTTCAAGTAATTATTTATACAAGCGGCAATTTCATCTTTGAGGACAGGATCATCTCACAAAATCTAACACCTCGTTCGTTACGAACCCCGGGACATCAAGCCCCGGTGTCTTCAACCTCAAAGTCGCAGAGGAAACGAACGAGATTTATCTGTGCAACTCGGCCGCCTTGGCTTGCTGGTTGACATTTAGGTCTTGCCTGCCAAATCAGAAATTCTTGTACAGCTTCGACAGCGGCTCGATAATATCACTACAGATTGAGCTCCAGACACTCAGATCCTCCCAGTCGAGCTTTTTCCCAGCGGACACGTTATTGCCCCTCAAACACTGCGATACCGTCTCCCCGAAAAGCCCCGGCATCGGATTCGTCCAGTCGGCCTCCCACTCCAGCGCCTGGGCGAGGCGCTCAAAATATTTCGTCGGCTGCGGCTGTGATTGTTTGTCCGACTCGGGCTTGGACTCATCTAGCCCAAAATGTGCCTCGAGTGTCATCCCGTGCCATATCTCCAGCAGTATAATCCCTAGCTCCAGCAATGCTGCCCTTGTTTCTGTTTCTGACGGGCCCCCTTGTGGGGAAGACGCGCCGCTGAAGTTACAGACGACGAATGGCCGGCTCAGATCAACCGGCGCGGGTCGCTTTGCGCCGCTGGTGGGGCCGGGGCCGGGTGCCGGGTCGGATGCGAGGAAGAACACCGCGTCTTTATGCCAGGCTCTGGTGAGCCAGGGTGTTTGGAGGAGCTGCAGGAGGCTGGATGCCAGCCGCAGGGAGAGCTGCAACCTGGGCTTCCAGGGGAGGTTCGCTGATGCCGTGTTTAAGATTTGGGTTAGGGAGACATAGTTTCTGTGTTTCTCATGACTGTGCGACTGGACCCCGAGCGTGGCGTTGTCTTCCGGGAAAACAACCATTTTCTGATTTCCGAGCAGCGCAAACGTGGGCCTGGACTTCGTCCCAACGGCCTCCTTAATGGTCCTGCAGATGTTGGTGATGGCGGTTCCAGCGAGCTTTGTGTCCGATGGATCCTCCGTCACACAGAAAGTAACGCTGGCTTTTGTCGAACCTGGAGTGCCGCCTGGTTCGGTGTTCATATTTTCATGGTCATCCCGATAGTTTCCCAAGACTTTGACAGCGGCTTCGTAGTAAAGCGTGTCCTCCTTCTGTCCTTCAGCCTGAAAGACCAATTGGAACATCATCAGCGGCGCATCGGGGCCGGCCGCACCACGCCCGCGAAGCAGCTGGTGAGCAGTATCAACTCGGTCCTCGAGGTATAGCCTCGCCTCGTGGCTGTCGTGGCACTCGTCTCGGAATCCTTCCAGAACAGCACCATACAGGCCCCCAGCCAGCCCCCGAATCTGGCGGAATGCCTTGGCGAGCTTCTGAGACTTCCTCGACGAGTTGCTATTCATCGCCTGGCAGTTCGACAAGGCGAGCTTCGAGAAGCGCTCGAGTGCGTTGCTGCACTTGTCGATCTCCTGAATCATCTCCTTCATGTCGGTAATGCCAAGTACCAGCTTGAGCCTTGGGCCGAGATCAGCCATCAAGCTGGGCTTGTCTTGATTCGCCTGGATGATGGCGACAAGGTCATCTTTTGGGCCCTAATCAACGTGCAGTGTTAAAAAGTGCTACCAGTGACAAGGCTCCCGGTGACAGTTACCTCGAGCCCGGGCACAAGGCCTGATATGCACCTAGCTACCTTTCCAACTGCCTCGATGTTGGCCGTAAGCTCATCAATCAGGAAGCTGGTGTTTTTGAGGCCTAAATAATCCTCCACCTGCTCCTGGACCTCGCTGTCGTTCAAAAACCCAACCGGGTCATCGTCCAGAGCGAGCGCATCTTCGAAACCGCTGTCTAACAAGATAGACTTGATCAGCTCTTCCAGGGTGTGCTGTTGAAGACGAAGTGCCCGAGCCAGTTTGGCGACATGTTGCCGCTTGTTAAATGTCGTCCCAATCCGGCGAAAGCCGTCTCGATAAGCATCTACAGACTTGAGAACAAAAGGGAGTGCTCCCAGGACGAGGCCTGCGATCTCAAGCCCCGACATTGTAGTGGCGCGCAAACAGGCCGAGATGCCTGCCAAAATACCTCACAGCGTTGAGGAGCCGGGGTCAAGCTGAGCTGAAGATGACGAGAATCTATAGATTGTGCTCGCACGTGAGGAAGGCCCCGGGGATTGCCGCCACTATACTACTCCGCTTTATGATGCTGACATGCATCACTGCGGCTGAGGCTCCATCTGGCTTGGTATTTGCCCGCTTCAATAGCCTGCACGTGGACAAAACTAATTCCGGCACTGTGATACAAGTTTGCGCGGGGGTCTTATCTGAACAATTCACTCAACCTGCACATGTGGCCCAGCAAAGCTACAGTCTTGTCCTTCTCATAAAAGACTTCTACATGCACCACTACTCCCTTAACGTTGTCGCTCACCATGAACGAACCGATTACTGTAGGCACAGTGTCTAGCACTGATGCCCTCGAGACCCAAGCTGATGCCCTCTCAGACTTGGGTCTCGAGGCTATAGATCTCTTTGGGAAACTGAAAAAGGCGCTGAGAGAGGGAACTGACGAGAAACTGCGCGAAGATTCATTCACTGCCGAATCACAGAGGTTCGAGCTCTGGGCTGCAAATATGGGACTTTTCGTTCCGGGCCACGGCTCTCTGGACTACCGCGTCCGAGAAGCCGAGAAGCTGGCGCAGACGCTACGGAGGTTTATGCAGGACCTGAATACCTCGTTAGAAGATGGTAAGATGCTTCCGATTTGACTTGGCAACAAGGCACTCATCACAGAACCCAAATAGTCGTTGAAATGTGCTCCGAACCCAAGCAGGAGGGTGCATCCGCGATGAGTACATCCAGTGGAGAAGAATCAGAATCTCATGCACAGGAAGATGAGGCTAAGAATGAGGGCGATGACGAGGACGAGGACGAGGACGAAGAACCATGGGACACGGACCTGCTGATAGACAGCGTTCGAGATCCTATCAACAGGCTGTTCAAGATGTCCATTAAGATACGGAATCCTTCTACCCGACTTGGATCTTCCAGAGCTGCCAACTACCGACAGGTGGATGAAGAGACCGGAGTCGACTTGCTGCAAGCCATGAAGGAATTTGATCTGGACTACGTCAAAACGGTGTTTCTGGAGTATCGAAAGACCAAGGCACGTCGGGACAGTCGTCCTGCGCAGCCACCAGGAGACCCACCAGGAGAACATGACGACAACGTGTGGGAGCCGATCAAGACTGTCTTGACCGAAGAAAGAGAGCGGGAAAACAGCGGTGGCCACTCTTACCTTATCGATCGGATCGCACAAGCAAACGTTCGCCGACGACAACAATTCGCGTACTGGGCTGCACACCGACACAAACTCGACAAACACACAAAAGCGTACCAGGCTCAAAAGGGCCGGTTTCCAGTTACGGAAAGACAGACAGGCGGTGGGCTAGGGCTGGAACTCGCTCAGGGACCCCTTCCCTCCATCTCGAGTGCCACCGGGCTTGACATGGCGCGGCTCGAGATATCGTCAGACACTCGCTCGAACTGGGCCCTTTCAGAGTATGCGCCGTCAACAAGACGAGCAGCCGACGCCCCCGTTGACTTCCCCCCGGCTCCGAAGGTCTCGCGCAAGACGCAGGCAGACAAGTTCTTCGAGTGCCCATACTGTTTCTTCCTGTGCCCCAAGGACATCCTCGCCGAGAAGGCGTGGAAGGCCCACCTGATTCACGATCTACGCCCTTATATTTGCACGTACGAGGACTGCAGGAACCCCACGCAGCTGTACGACAGCCGGAAAGACTGGGTGCAGCACGAGAACTCAGAGCACCGCAAGGTCTGGAGGTGCCCGGAGCACGAGAACAAGGTCTTTGAGAGCATTGACGGGTACCGGCGCCATCTCCGGGAGCGGCATGCTGGATCCATCGGCGGGGAAGCATCGTTGGCTCGCATCATCCAGGCCAGCGAATCAGTTGCGGATACCTCCAAACGGGCGTGCCCCATCTGCACGGTTGAGCTGGACACAGGCAGGGCGATGGAGGGCCACATTGCGCTGCACCTGGAACGATTCGCCAGCTTTTCGCTGCCCAGGTCTGTCGACAACGACGATGACGGCTCTAACGCCGACTCGGGTAAGGCGAACAGAGTAGACGAGGAGGGGTCCCGCGATGACGACTTTGAGGGTGGCTTCGAGTATCACAGCCAGGTGAATTCCAGCGGGACTCAGTCTGCCGGACGTCCCCCGGAGGTTGGCATTTCAAGCCCACGAGATGAAACTGGGGCCTTTGGAGTCACACTTCTCGAGAAAGTTGAAGATCTTGGAAGCAGCGACGAGTCTAGCAACAGCGACAGCGGTCAGTCTCAAGATGAGATGCCCACTGACAGACTGAAGGTGGGCGAATGGTGCGCCGATTTTGAGAAGTATGAAAAGGTCGAACGGGAGTTTTTGGAGACACTAGAACAGACAGAGAGAAGACTGGGTGGTGACCATGAGGAAACACGGAACTGTATGAAAAGAGTGTATGATTTGTTGCGTGGCCAGAAGAAGTTCCTGGAGGCCGAACACATCCTGCGGAGAATACTGGAGCAGACCGAGAGGGCACTCGGGCCTGACCACCAGGAGACATGGGCTTCGATGAGCGAATTGGGCTGGCTGCTACACGAGCAGGGGCGCTATGCAGAGTCGGAACAGATGAACTGGGAGGTATTGGCGCTGCGGGAGAATGCGTGGGGCCGCGAGGACCCGGAAACGCTGGTCAGTCTGTCCAACCTGGCGATAGCGCTTTCACTGCAGGGCAAAGTGGCAGAGGCCGAAGTGCTGGGCCGGGAGGCGATGGAGGCTCGCAGAAGGCTACTCGGCCCTTCTCATAAAAACACACTCATCAGCATGGCCAACCTGGCGCATATGCTGATGGGGCTCGGCAGGGTTGATGAGGCGGAGAAGTTGTGTGGGGAAGTGATCGAGATACAGAAGCAGGAATTCGGGCACGATCATCCGGAAACACTCATCAGTATGAAGAGGATGGCACAGGTGCTCTATGCACAGAACAAGGTGGAGGAGACGGAGAAGCTCGAGCTGGAAGTTCTGGAGGCGTTCAGGCAGACACTTGGGCCTACGCATCCCGACACCCTTGCGTCTTTGTACACTGTAGCTTCCTTCTTGCACTCGCAAGGGCGTTGGGACGAGGCTGTAGGGTTGATGGATGAGTGCTTCCAACTCCGACGTCAGGTGCTGGGACTGGACCACCAGTACACCCGTGCAGCGGCCAAGAACCTGGACGAGTGGCGCGCCAAGCTTGGGGAACCGGATGAGTAGTATCGTCGATTCTAAGGGCGAGATATACCCCAATCATGAAACCGTTGACCGTAGCCGTAGCCGTATGGCAGCACAGCCGTCCACACTGCGCCTTGACTTGCGTGTAGTCAGGTTGTCAGGTTGGCGTAACGAGGTGACTGGGTGACTGGTCCACTGGGGCCAGTGCTACACGGTTCTTTGGGCCAGCCATGGAACTTCAAATGTTGTTGATGATGCCGAAGGGTCACCTGACTTGGGGTTGAGCCATAGTGGCAGAAGTGGGCAGCGATGGGCACCGCCGTTTTGGCTGCAACTGCTGGGTTAGATTAAGTGTGTGTTCTAGAGGTGAGTGGTATATGCAGTACTTTGCTTGGGTAGTGTACAGTACAGTAGAGTTCAAGTGTTGCAGATCGGGAGCTGTAGCTCCATCTGGAAGATGGGGATGGTCGCTAGCTCATGACGATTGTTTCCCAGCCGGGAAGGGCTAGCTCATCCTGGCCCTGCCCTGGCCATGCATGCCCTGGTTCTGGCCAGGGCAGACCATATGACGGAAGCAGCTACTGGGCTTGCTGGGGAAAGCTTCGCATGCAGACGCCACCACCCACGAGATTACTGATTATTGCTTTGCTATAGTTTAGACCTAATCTTTAGACTGCAGACTCTAATTCTCCCTCCCGCCCACATGGCCCAGGCAGCCAGGCAACAGAGCCGTTCCCAGGAGATCCCCAACAAATCCGGTTTGGTGTGTGACGTCGGTTGCGGTTAAGGGCTGCTGTTGCTTTGCTGGCTGCTGGCTGCTGTGCCACTAAATCCTTCTCCTGAAATAACAAAATAATAAGCCGCAGTCAGGTAGTCAGCCGACCCCAGACAACTTTCGAGACACGGCAGTAGCCGTTCTTTTTTCTTTTTTTTTTTCTTTCTGTTTTGTTTTTGTACATCTGACAAGAAGGACATGGCATTGGACGAGGTCGGGGCCGTTGCACGCCGGGGCCAAGTGGTTGGTGCAGGTACCTAGGTACTTGTGAGAATGATTCATAGAGGGTCCTCGAGTCCTCAAACCCAAGGGTCTATTTCCAGCTGTGGCAGTCCCAAAACAGCAGGGACTGGGAGCTGCCGGTTCCTCCTGGAATGACGTGGCCCGTGCCAGCCCGAGAGCCTAGCCTCCTGCCTCGCCAGAGGTCTGTGTGCCCTGTGTGCCCTCCGGATCCCAGGAATCAGATTTGATGCTGCCCCATCCGCAATTCCAGCTGCAACCCGTCTGTGACTGTAAGATTGCTTGCTATTGCGGTACGGGGAAGGCCCATTTTCCCTCTAATCCCCTTCACATGGTGATACAACTCTGCCTGTGCACTCCACGATCATCTCTTTTCCTCTCTTGCTCCCTCTCTTACCACCTTTCCTCCATGTCCTTCTCGCCTGTCTTCTGTCGCTCCTTTTCCATCTGCACCCTCTCCTCTCCATCCATCCCTGGCCATCCCTGCCTCCCGCGCCGTGCCTTCCGCCCTTCACCTTCGCAGCTCCGAGCCTAGCGTCCACGACCACGCCCACGTTTTTTGTCTGCGAGCAGCCACGCGACGGGTAGGCTCTCCCAAGGCCACCGTGGCTGGTCAGAGGTAGCGAGCACAACTCCTCCTCCTCCCCCCAGCTCTCGAATTTCGAGGCCTGCAGCCTGCCTCAGCCGCCGGCGCAATGCAGTCCATCCAGCAAAAGTGTCGCCCAAAGCACCAGGTCCTCGTGCTCAAGTGCTACCCGCGCACCAACAAGACCACAATAGGCGTCAAGCCCAACTCGAGCGAGCTTAGCTACCTGCTGTTCTACCTCATCTCCCGCAAGACCAAGATCAACAAGGTCGGCGAATTCCTTGAGAAGAAGACTGCCAGCGACGTCTGGCACCAGCGCATCGGGTATGTTTCAAGGCTGAGGGAGGCACAGATGCGCACATGCACATGCACATCCACTTGCATCCGCACAAGAGACTGACTGACACATGTCCTGCCCCCAGCAATGTCCAGGTCACCCTCCAAATCCTCGAGGCCCTGATCGAGAAGAGCCCAAAGGACCTGCCCCTGTTCGCGAGATTTGTCCTCAAAATCCTCGACCTCATCCTGCGTTCGAATGACATTACCCTGGTCGAGTCCTCCCTCCCCACCTTCGACGCTTTCTGCGCCAACCACGATGCCTCCTCCCTGTTTGCCGACCAAGCCTACCTCCGCCAGTACGAGGCTGTCATCCAGCAGTACGCGTCCCTGGCCTCGACACGAGAACAGCAGGGCAAAAACCAGCCGAGCAAGCCGGTCGCCGTGCGATGGAGGAACGCCGGCCTCGAGGCCATCAAGAGCGTCGCCTCTTCCGACGCCCTCTCCTCTGTTGCCGGCCGACAGCTTGAGGTTATAGTGCCCATGATCCTGGAGAACCTGTGGACCGGCAATGAGGAATTCCTGGATGTCTTGTTGCAGCGGGCCAACATGGAGGAGAAGGTGAACACGGATTCCCTGCTCAAGCGGAGGAACAGCAACGCGACGGTGCACACTACCGAGACCGGTGGGGACCCGAATCCCATCGCCCTCTCGGGCACGGCTGGCGATGTCGACAAGTTGGCCGAGGAGGAGACGGGTGTCCTGGCTATTCAGTGCCTGAAGCAGATCTTCGTCGTGCCCAACAGACAGCAGATGCACACGGCCACCACGGCCTTGCTGAAGTTTATCGAGGAGCGGGTCCAGCAGGATGAGACGGTCGTCAGGACAAACAATGGCCAGGACAGCGGTTGGGCGATCCACCTTTTTGGACTTATTTCGCGCTGGGCGCCAATGCAGGAGCGGTACGTGATTCTGGTCACCGCCATGGACACCATGATTCGGATACAGCTCAAGGAGGAGACGCTGCGGCAACATATCGTGCTGACGGCCATGGTCGGGTCTCTGCTCCGGTCGGACGTGAACTTGATAGGATTGAGCGTGATGGATATTATGCTCGGTCTTGTCCAACACATGAGGCGGCTGGTGCAGATGCCCGGCGACCCGACCAGCGGCGCGAAGAAGGAGCTCCTTGGGCGCATACAACAGACCATGGGTGATCTGGCAACCCACGTCTACTATAACGAGCAGATTATCGACATGGTCTCGGCTCTACTGCTTCGGCTGAAGCCATCTAAGAATGCGCCCATGGCCAATTCGACAGCCCCGGGCGAACAAACAGACACCGACACCAAAGCATCCGATGACCAGCACTCGGAGTCGCCTTTCTTCCTCACTATTGCCAAGCTCACAGCTTTGAGGGCAGTCAAGGGCATCCTGAAGATCGCCAACCCCAAGGTGAAAATGAGCGGCAGCATCAGCCTCTCCAGATACCCGGTGCCCATTGAGAAGTGGGAGGGCACGCAGTGGTTGCTCAGGGACGCGGACGGGGAGGTCCGAAAAGCCTACGTGGACGCGCTGCTGACCTGGCTGGATCGAGAGACCAAGAAGACAGACCTGATTGCGAAAGACGACCTGCGAGCTGGCCTACAACCTGACCCTGCCAGCCCGACCGACGCACGACGCGCCCGGTCAGCTGCCTCTTACCGCGAACGACCATCCAAGAAGTTCAAGAGCAGATTCCTGCATCTTTTGCACATTGCCATCTATGACAACGCCCTGCAGTATCTGGACTTTGACTCCGATGTCGTTCTCCTTCACGTACTGCTTACGAAGCTCGTCAACCGCCTGGGGGTGAACGCAGTCCGTTTCGGTCTGCCCATGGTCTTCCGGCTACAGGAAGACATCCAAGATGCCGAGACCCCACTGCAGAAGGTGCGCCTGGGCAGCTTGTGTCATGGCTACTTCTGGGTTTTGACCGAGAAGTTTGACTTTGACGCCTCCTTCGTCGGGCGCGCGATTCAAAACGAGATCATCAGACGGAGGACAAAGCAACTCTGGGTCGACGGCGTGCAGGTTCCAGCACCACCGTTGGAAAAGTGTGGGATGCCCGGCGTGGTCACGCAGCAATCTAAGATATCGCAGCAAGAGGCAGAGTCCGAGGCACTACTGCCCTTTGACGACCGCCTATCGCTCGTCGACTGCATCTGCACGAGCTACCAGGAGGCAACACTGTCACCACCAACTAGCCCGGCCGGGTCTCCTGGACGCACGTTCTCGCAACCTATTCTCAGCGCCACGGGAAGCATGTATTCACCGACCGAGAACGAAAGGGAGATCCCAGCGAGCTTTAAGGAGGCGATGCTGTTTGACTGGTCCCGCGAAGCTGCCATAGCAACCGTGCAAGCCGCTAGTAAGTCGGCCTCGCTCAACGGTTCCCGTGCTGGGACAAGCGGGACCCACCGCAACCGCCTCGGTCTTAATGGCGCGCTGGCGAACGGGCACAAGGATTATGGTCAGCACACGCCTGCCGGTAGCAACCACGACGTCCGGCCACGGTCCCAGCCCGCGCCGGACGGGGGACGTCTTGCGCCTCTGCAGGCGAGGGCGAGGAAGAGTAGTGTCCGCAGTGGTCTGTCGCGAAACCCTGACGGAATGTCGACCCCAGACGAGGGCACCACCTCCGTCAGCCAGATGAAGAAGATTCTTTCCGGTGAGATGCCCGCCCCGCCTTTGACGGCTGGCGCGCGCGAGGTCAGCAGCAGTGAGGACAGCCTCGTTAGCTACGACATGTCAGCCTCGGAGATGTCTTTCAACCCACCACCTGCCACGGCGCAGTCATCGGGCGCCCCGACCGATACTTCCTCACCTGCACATACGCGAACGCGGTCCATGTCTCAGGGTCGCGAACGTAAAGGCTCGGATGGCGCCTCCCTGGGCCCGCTCAACTCCAACCCCCCGAGCGAGTCCGGGCCGATCCTAGACGAGGAGGAGGATAGCGAGGGCGTCCCGCCCGTCCCTCCTCTGCCCTCCGGCTTGGACGGGGCCCCACATCCTGCTCCGCAGACCGCCACCAAGGACTACGCGACCTCGCTCGAGTTTGGCTCGCCGAAGTCCCTGCCACCCCTGAGGAACCCCAAGCAGCGGAGCGTCAAGAGCAGGGGCGGAGACACGGTCCGGTCGTCGACATGGGGTAGCATCCACTCGCGGGATGAGGCGCTGCCGACCATGGACCTGCAGTCGTTGCTCAAGGGGATCGACTCGCGTGTGGGAGAGGGCAGCCTTGGGAACGTCAGCCGGCCACCTTACTAGTAGCATGGCTGGTTGTGTCGACTCTCTGGGCGATTCAATACCTTCTCTTCTACCTGCAACAACTCTTTCATCATTCAACCCCAGTACCGATCTAGACAAAAGTTTGGGGTAAGCGACAGCTGGGAGGAGCCCAGCATTGGGTGAAAGCTGGTTGTCGGGCCAGTGCGTATTCACCAGCACACACACATACATATACACACATTTCTTATCCCGGTTTTATTTCGCGATGCCTTCCCTGTATTCAAGGTCATGGGTTCTGCATTGTTGTCGGGTAATCAGACCCGGCGCGAACTTTACTTTGTCCACGTCTTTCTCTTGCTTTATGCGACGCTGATAAGCCAGATGGGTGTTATGGGTGACTGATGGGATCTTTTGTTATTTGTTTTCCGGGGCGGGGGGTGAAGCATTGCGAGGGTGGGAATGCTGTTGGGTTTGGGACGGCTCTACATTTTTGACGTCGCATATCTAACCCCGACATGAGCGTAATAGTCCTTTCTGTTTTGCTTAGTTTGTTTTCGTTCAATGTATATACGGGAGAGCTCGTCCTGTCTCTCCGCTGGGATTTTCTATGTCTTCCAGCTTCTGTACCCAAGTATCTGTACGAAACGAGCAACATATGAAAAGGACTCACAGAGGAGTTGTGCAATTCCGGTCCGATCGCAATGCAAAAATCCCCATCAACAACCATCGAAGCGGCAATCGCCCCCTCCCCTGCCCACTTCCTAGCGCGGCAGAAAACCGAGAGGGCAGAAAGGAAAAGAAAAGCTGACATGTTAAATATACGAACAAGCATAGCCACTTATTCCAGTGGGTCTCGGGCCCCACGTTCTCCCTCCACCCCAGCAGCCGCACGGCGAACTCCTCTTCCCAGGGCAAAGGGGGCCGGAGACAGAGCCGCGGTCGAGGCAACCACGAGAGCTTGGAGCGATCTAGACCGCGGAGGACAGGTCGTTCCACCGTGCTGATCGTCGGATGTTTGTCAGTCAGGGAGGGGCGAGCGAGCCACAGGCGAAAAGTTAACTTCTAGTGCCGTTGGTGATCTGACCCCACTGGCAATGGGCTGTTGGGCCTGGGTGGTGTGCATGCGCACATAAAGACGACCCGGCAGCCCGTCTCGATCACCTGGTGACGGTCCCTGTTGGTTTGTTCCCGTCGTTCAGGTTCTTTCGAACACTAGTCACTCGTTTTCCAGCCTTTGAATTGTCGAGGAAGAACCAAGGGGGTTTGGCAGATTGTCCAACATCCCGCACGCACAGACGATATTGCTTTCGCCACTTGTCACCCCCACAACAATCCCGATTATACGCGAAAACGAGATGCCGGGTCACACCCCCATCACCATCCCCTCCGAGCCGCAAAGCCCGTCCTCGCGCCGCGGCTCGAGATCAACAGAACTCTCGCGGGGGTCGGAGCACAGCGGCTCCGCCGCCTCGAGCACGACCTCCCTCTCGCACCACCGCAAGGCCAGGCGGCAGGAGAAGGTCCACCTACAGGAAGTAGAGCAGACGCTCCTCATCACGCTGTTCTGGAAGACCCTGGACGCGCAGTCGGCACGCCCGGTGCTGGGGTGCCGGAGGGCGGCGGAGGTCCTCGCGCGCCTCGAGGACGTGGGCTGGCTCGAGGGGGCGTACGGGACGGACCCGCGGTGGGTGAGGTACGCGGCCGGGCGGGCGGCGCGGCTCGACGCGTGGACGGCCGAGTTCCTCGCCGCCTGGCCCGGCCGGCGGGTCACGGTGCTGCACCTCGCGTGCGGGCTGGACTCGCGCGACAGGCGGGTGGCGAGGGACCCGGAGCTGGTGCGGTGGGTCGACGTCGACAGGCCGCTCGTCGCGAACCTGCGGGAGAGGCTGATGACAGACGGCGGCGGCGGGCTCTGCGGCGGCGGCGGCGGCGGCTGCGGCGAGGACAAGGGCGAGGAGGAGACGAGCCTCCGGCCCGTGGGCGACTACTCGCTGCGCTCGCTCAACGTGACCGAGGGCCGGTGGTACTCGGACATACCGGCCGACCGCCCGACGCTCGTCGTCGCCGAGGGCCTGTTCCCGTTCCTCACGCCGGCCGAGGCCGAGGGCGTCATCCGCGGGCTGGCCGGCTACTTCGGGCAGGGCCAGCTCGTCTTCGACACGGTGGGCAGCCTGGCCGTCTCGCACACGCGGCGGGCCAACGTCCTCAAGCCCAGCGGGTCGCGGTTCCGGTGGGGCGTCGACGACGCGCGCGACGTGCTTGCGTTTCACGACAAGCTGAGGCTGAGGGACCAGGTGCGGTGGTTTGAGTTTATGGGCGTCGAGGGGGAGATCTCGCGGGAGACTGCGCCGCCGGTGAGTTTTGTTTATCCTCTTTCTGCCCATTATCTTCTGCCTTTTCTTTTTCAGGGCAAGTTGTTGACATGATCTTTTTTTTCGCAGTGGTTTGGACCCAAGGCCATGACTGTGGCACAGTTTACGTCGTCCTTCAAGGACAATGGCCAGGTCCTCAGGTTTGATTTCTAAAACATGTATGATGTGAGGGGGGGCTCTCAGTCCCGGGAGTATTGTCAAGATGTATATGCAAAACACGATGGGATTTGGCAAGGCGTTGTCAGGAAAAGCGGGACTTTGCACGGATTATTATGGCTTTGGCGCTCTTGGAGGCGGACAGTGTTTATTTGTTTGTTTCGTATTGCGACCCATGATCTCTCTACCAGGCCTCAATGCAGTCTTGATAATAATACTTCTTGGTGTCTGCAGAAGTTCCACGATGCTATTCTCATTCATCACACGTACCACTGCGCCCGTTCAAGTCATTGGACTTGTGAGAAGCCAGGGGGGGTTGCAACATGCCTGCCAATCCTACCCACTACACATACATACATACATACTAGGTAGGTACCCACATCCTCGGCTCGTGCGAGCGACGAGCACAAGCCTCTCATGAGTCTGCCGGCGCGCCGAAGCCGAGGATGACTTATTACTTCCCCGGGTAGAAAGCCCGGCCGAGGTCAACTGGTGCGTATGTACCAAGAAAACGTTGGAAGAGAAGGGTATCCGCTTTTCTCGCCAAAGGATCCGGCCCCATCCTCGGCATCTCCTCTTGCTCGTGGCACGCGAAGGGGAGGGAGGAGGGGAGGGCCACCCGGAGACCAGCCCCGAAGACGTGCATGCGCTTTTCTATGGGGCCGTGGGTAAGTAAGTAGCGTGTGTCCATTCTCCCTCGGCGATATGTGTCCTGCGTATTCCCGGGAGACGACTTCACACGATAAGGAAACGCAGGGAACAAGAATGAAAGGACTAAGAACATAGGCTGAAGATGGGTCTACGATCCCGAGCAGGCGTGGGGATGAGATACCGCCCTTGTTTCCGCAAACCGCTGTGCATCAATCAGGCTGAAGACTATGCGGGAGCTGTGGATGGCTAGGATTGCGTGGCTGCCAGAGACATGTGTGTTTTTCATAAGCGCGGGAAACGAAAGAACCAGAACGATATCGGTGTGTGTGAGCTTTCTCTCACCCCTCGACCGAAGCCCTCCGGCTCAGTTCGGCTCAGGCAGTCAGCCAGTGACGACGACGATACATGCACGATGAAGCTCGAGTGCGTTCGTCGTGCCTTAGTGCCGAACGGGCGAGACCGCTGAGTAGCGTACCAAGGTAAGTACACTATGTATGCCAGGCACGGGTTTGCAGCCAGCCAGGGGCCCAGGGGTGAGCGGGTGTGGGCCGTGTGGTTCGCAGCCCCGCCGGCCGCTGGTTCCGCGGGCGGCCCACGCACGTGGGAGGGAGGAAGGGAGGGAAAAGAAGGGCAGGGGGACTCTTATTCGGTTCGGCGGGGGCCCACAGTAGTAAGCAGGCCGTTCCTTTTCCCGCCTCCTGCCTCCTGCCGGCTGCCGTGCGTCGCCAAGGGTGGGTGGTTCCCCCCTCGGGTGCGGCGTGTGGTAGCAGCCGAGGTGGGGACATTCTCTCTCTTTTTTGTGGGAGGAGGATGAGGGAGAAGGTCAATAAAGTCGAGAAAAGTGATAGATAGATAGAGATAGAGAGAGAAATCATCATCAAGCGGGCCTTGTTACTACTATTGATCGACCGTCGGCAAATAACAAAAAAGAAAAAGAAAAAAAGAGTGACGACGCATCACCCCGGAGCCATCAGGCCCGGGCCGTGGGAGCACTTGAGGCAGGGAGGGGAAGGGAAAGCAGGCAAGGAAGGCCTCGCTCCACGTCGCGTGTCCGTGACTGGGCTCCCAGCCCGGCGGACCGGGACGTGCGTGCACGGGTTGTTTTTTTTTTCTCGTGTCCACGATAGAGCAGGGGCCTCGACGGAGAAAACCAAAAAAAAAAAAACCTCCTTCCTCTTGGGGACTAATACCTCGAGATTTGGCGAGCCCTGCTTGTTGTGATTACCATCATCACTATTTTGATTGTCACGGCGTGCCATCCCTCGCCAGCCTGCCTGGTGGAGTCCCCACGCCTTGCCAGTCCTCCCTACAATAATTAAGTACTTAGTACCTAGGTAATTAATAACGCCCGCCGGCCTGTCAGTGCCGCTCGTTGTCATGTCACCCGTCAGTCAGTAAGTCAGTCAGCAGGCCGGCCCCACATCACAGCATACTACCCAGGTCCCATACGGGACGGATGATGCAAATAATTCCCGCGCGGATACAATGTCTGTGCTTCCGCCGATGCTACTTGGGGTACACGCCATGGGTCCCGTTGGGGGTGTTTTCGAAATCCTCCGCAGGAGCTTTGATATTTGCCTGTCCCCATACTAACTGGTTTCTCGGGCGGGTGTCTTGCCCCGGGTGGCCACCGGTTTTCACCTTCTCAGTCATGTGTTTGACCGCAGACACCATATTAGTCAGTAGTGGAGGGTTCCAAGCCATATCATACACACATACCTAGGTACTTACTCAGTCACGCTCATACTCACTCATACATCCTCATACACACTCATACACACTCATTCAACTCATACACACCCATTCACAGTCACAAGAGCACAGCATGTAGCACCAGGAGACGTCTCCCGTATGTGTGTAAACGGAACCAAGCGGAATATTTCAATTCCATTGCTCTACTCGCGCTCAAGACGGACGGTCGAGAACAGAAGGAAACATGAATATAAAAAAAGACAAACACAAAGCCCTCCCGCCCCGTCTATAGAAGAAGAAAAAAGGAAATAAGAGTAAAGCTATAGGTTTTTTCGAACTACACAAGTAGAGGAGTGTGTTTGTTTGTGTGTGCGTACGTTCGCGCGTGCGTGCATGCGTGCGTGTGTGTGTTTGAACAAGACAGACAGGCGCAAGGCAACAAAAGCCGGGCTGCTGCTTGGTTGATTCGCTCTCTGGAGGTTGGCAGCTGTCGAATACAGGTATCCAGACCGAGGATTTTCCGGCGACAGCACGAGGAGGAGTTGTTGATTGTCACCCTTCATGCCTTTTGACCCCTGGGAGGCCGGCCCCGATACCCAGAACCAGTCATCCATCCTCCATCTTGCTCTCAACCAGATTACATGACGAACACCCAAGAATAAAAGACTGGAAACACGAGAGGCCAACCGCCCAATGTTAACATCCCACGCTGGTAAGGCTTCACCGTTTGAAGTTCCTTCGATGCTCCCCGACCCGTCTTTGATGAAAGATAGGTAAAAAAAAAAAGACAGAGAAAGAAGAAGCACCCCTTTCGCTACACCTGATCTTAGATGGCTCTTCCTCTGTTGATAATTTCGGGAAGGAGGGGAATGCGGTAAGGTGTTGGGTCATCTGAACGATGGGGAGAGAGATCCACGCCGTGGAAAGTTGAAAGAAATAATCAATAAGAAAGCCAGCGATTGGCTCCCGTCGCCGCTCTCCTCGTCACCCCGACAGAACTTTGGTGGCCCAAACATTGCCGAGCCCTTCCACCGAATCTTGCCTCCATCCTGCAAAGGCTTGCCGCGGCTCTGCTCTCGAACCAAGTCGTCGTTGTATTATAGCGCCTGAGAAATGCGTGTAGATATCGGATGTGCACAGAACTGGCTGCCGACACAGCGGAAGACCCCCGTCTGGAAGGGTCTCGAACCGGCCGGGAAGAATCGAAGAGGAAAAAGGGGTATAGTAAAATGTTGGTATAATCCGCTGTGGCATGGCCCCGGGTATCTGCGAGGCCTGGACTCCGCGGCTTGTGGCGCCGCGGTAGATGTTTCAGCAGTGGTTGCTTCGTTGCAAGATGCGTTTTCCCTTCCGCGCCGAGCAATGATGAGAGATTTTGATAAGTTGATAAACTCAACCTCCCTCGGCCCTTTTCCTTGCTTTTGACCAAAGAACGAACGAATGACGATGTGATGATGATGATGCCAATGGTATTTAGAATGCTTTTCGCTTCCTTTTATCGTGCAGGTGTTCCCTCCGTCGTGGCGTCCCTCACACCGATGAGCCTTGTTGCCCATCTGGGGTATTCGCCATGCCTCAAGGATTCGAATCGAACCCGCAGCTTCGTGCTTGCGCGTACGGAAACGCGTGAGCGTATGCGTACGGTGTGTTGTGCACCAAACCATCCCATAATGCGGAACCCGAAAAATGAACTCCATACCCTGCTCTATGAAAATGCATCCTCACCGGAGCCACAAAGAGACTTGGCCACGTGATACATGGCACTGGTACAACGCTGCTGGGGCGACGTGGTGTCGTGATCACCCCCACCTCCCCTTTCTCCAGATGCGCCAGACCGCACAACACCAAATGTCTCGATGAAAGCCCAGGAGCCAGAGACCCTTCTAGTCGTTCATCATGTTCGTGAGACTTGCGGTCGGATTCCACAGCACTCGTCCTGAGGGACATGTTTAGAAAAGAAACCCTGTAAACTCCTTCCATGTTGTGCTTGCTAAATTGCAGGGGGGAATCATGTCGTGTGGCGAGAAGACGTGCATCACCGAAACGGCGCGGTGGTGAAAGCGCAATCCAATAAAGTGCAGCCCGAGCCGATGCAAAAGCCGCAAACAAAAAACCAACATACATTCCAAAAACCGCAGATAAAATGTGAAAACACCAACAAGACAGGACGAGATGAGCAAGTAGGCGACCGCGGATATAGTGCAGTCAGTCCGCCCTCTTGGCCCCTAATATTGCCCGCGTCTGTACGCATTGTAGTTGCCGGTTCCGTTCTGGGCACCAGTCATTGGCGGGGGAGAGGTGTACCCGTTGGTTGCGAAGTAGCTGCTGGAGCCCCACGGGTTCACTCCGAAACCGGGCGCTCCTCCACCGTTGCTGGGCACGTTCGAGCCGTTGGACATTGTCGAGGGCGGAAAAGAAGAGCTCGGGTTTGAACTGTTCTGCACGGGAGCCGCCTGGTACGGCGCCGCTGACCGGCCGTTGGTGAGGCCCGGAGGCGCGGCGAGCCCGGGAGGAGGCCCAGCGGGTGCAAAGCCGTTTGTCGGGTGGTTCATGAGGCCATTGTGACCAGCCAAAGGCCCTGGTGGGCCCTGTCCAGCGGGCTGAGAGGTTCGGACACCAAGTGGGTTCTTGGAGAAGCTCAGCCGGATACCGCCCTTTACACTGTTGGTGAGGGGAACCCCGTACAGTTCGTTGAGCGCCCTCGTCGCACAGGAGATATCGTCGAACTCGACAAAGCACATGGGTCCATTGGCCTTGGCACGGAAACACAATCGCTTATAGCCGCGCTGCCTGGAAAAGATGTTCTTGAGCTCGTCCTCATTGCTGCCCATGGGCAGGTTGCCGACGTAGAGCGTGTTGCAGGGGGGGTTCATGTCGGCAGGGTTTGCAGGAGGCGGGACAGGCGGCCGCATCCCCCATTGAGCTTGCGCGGGCTGATAATGCCCATTGGCACCGTTCATGGCCGTCGGTGACATGGTGCTCGGGTGGCCTGGGTGTGGCGGATAGGTGCTAGTCTGTGCCGGTCCACGCTGAGACGCGGGCGCTCCGTTTATCGGGCCATTGTTGAGGGACATGGCTGCCATTCTCTCCGTGATATGAATCTGAGGTGCTGTCGCCCGGCGCTGGGCCGTCACAGGGGGATTTTCTGCGAAGGCGCGGGGAAGTGAGAGTATGTCTCCGGTGTCGTCGTCATCAGTCGCATCGTTGATCAGGCTCTTGCCGGTGTTGCGAGGTAGCTCGTTGAGATGGTGTCCGATGGGCGACTGCGGCGAGAAGAAGGTCTTGTAATTGTAACTGGGCTTCGCAGTAGCGAAGTCGCTCGTAACGTAATTGCCGTTGCTCGACGGCGAGGTCTTGTCAAGCGGGGAGAAGGTACCGTCAAAACCCCGCGGCTGTGTCGCGGCAGTTCCAGGACTAGTAGTTGAAGACGACCCGCTAGATGGGCCAGACTTGTTCCTGTCAGAAGACGGGGGCATCCCAAGATGGTCAACACGCATTCCCTTCTTTCCGTTCAGTATAGTCTGAACTTGGTGGGCTCCATCCAAGGACTTGAACCGGAGGACGGCGGACCGGTAGAGGCCGTCAGACTCGGCCGTCGCGGCGAGCATGTCGACGGAGACGAGGTCCTCGGAAAATATGCACATGACCCGCAGGTTCTCTTCAGTGGTATCGGGAGGCAGGCGTTGGACGAGGACGGCATGGTCAACAAGGCTCTGCTGGCGGGTTCCGATGGGATTGGGCGCGGGCGCATCTCTGTCAAAGGATTGCGCGTAAGTCGAAGGGTGCGACTGTGACGCGGAGGAGAAAGGTGGGCCGATAGGCTGCTGTGGTGGGTAGTACGCGGCCGCCATGGGTGACGAGGCGGGAGGCGCGATCACGTTGGAGGTCGGGTAGGATGTGGTCGTGGATGTTGGCGCCTGGGTAGAGGGCGCGAAGGGACTGGTGCGAGTCGAAGAGGTCAAGGGGTGGGCGGCGGGCGGGTACGAGGAGGTCGATTGAGGTTGCGACTGGGGCTGCGGCTTTGACTGCGACTGCGACTGCGACCGTGGGGGCTGGGGAAGTGCATGCGATTGCGATTGCAGACCAGCAAGTGACGCGCCAGAAGAGGCGACGGTAGTGCTTGGATCCCCGTACATGAGTCGCGATGCATGCAGCACAGCCCTACGGGACCCTATGAGAGGCGACGACGGCGGACGACGATCGCGCTGATCGAATCAGACTGGCTAGATGTCAAAATGTGGACCCTCTCGCGGTGCCTGAGCTTCGAGCTGGGGTGGTCGGTCGCGCGGAGATGGCGATGCGGTGGGAATGGAGATGTTTGGTCTTGTGGACAAGTAAGTGAGCCTGTGGCCTGCTGCCGAGTCGACTTCACCACAAGGAGGGAGGGAGGGGCGGGTAGTTGAGAGATAGAATGGTGGAGATTGACCGGGAGGTTGGGTCGCCGGTTTGGCCAAGACGCGGTCGCGAGGGTGAGAAACACACTGGGGCTGGCTGAGTTTGGGGCCGGGTGGGTTCTGTTGTGCTGTGCTGTACTGTGCTGTGCTGCGCTGCGCTGCGCTGTGCGTTGCGTTGCGTTGCGCTGGGCTGGGCTGGGCTGGGCTGGGTGGACGGATGTGGTGGGGACAAAGGACGAGGGCATGCGGTGGTTCGCGCCGAGGAATGGAGGAAGAAGGCAGGAAACAGCGAGGTTGGCGGTGGAGGTGGGGAAGAGAGGGAGGGATAGCGGGCAGCAGAGAAGGAAGAGGAAAAGATTAGGGGGGGAAAGAGAAAGATACTTACAGTTTTGGTTGAGAGTCGGGGACAAATGCAAATCGGACGAGGTGGGTGTAGGAGATTCAGGGAGCGGGAGGAAAAGAATGTGGTGTTTGAGTTGAGCCTCGAAAGGGGGGGGAGGGTGGTGTTGGACGGAGGACGGCCAGAAATCTGGTGGGACGGGGATGAGATGGATGGGATTGGGGGTTGCTGCAGGCTGGGCTGGCAGGCTGGGCTGGCTGTGGAGAGGGAAAGAGTGAGAGAGAGAAAGAGTGCAGCATGCGCGAGGGTGGTGTGTGGGATGGCAAGATGGAGGGAGGGAGGAGCGGATGAGGAGCAAGACTTTGGACTAGGAGCCCTCGACGGACTGGGACACTTGGGCTGCCAGAGTGCCTTGAACTGCGACTTAGCCTGGACCGGGACCTGGACTTGGGACTTGGACAGGACCTTGGGGGGGGGGAGGGTGAGCGCGGGGGCTCGCCAGGTGGATGGTAGGTACGGAGTACCAAGGGTCATGTACCTCTTCGCATTGTGCCCATTGTACCTAGTACCTAGGGGACTGCAATCGGTCGCTCATTATCACACTACCACTTTCTAGCTGCCGACTGCGAGCTGCCAGCTACTACCGAGTATCGCCTCAGGCCCATGGCACAGGCTAGGTACCTGGGCTGATCATGTGCGAGTACATGGGAAGCACTTGTATTGTGCTCGGCTCGTTACATGTGTCGATGGCTTGGCGCAAGGTGTCTCTCTGCCTTCTGTCGCAACCCGCGGAGCAAGAGCAGCACTTCCTGCAAGACGAGTCCTGGCAGGGTCGAATGCGACAGGAGGAAGAAGACGACGGTCGGTCTATCGCGCCCAACTGAACGCATGTAGCGGTTGGTACGGAGTACAGACGCAGTCCTGGGGGGTCCCTAATTAGGAGGGGCTCGGGGTCGGATGGGGGTGGATGGTTGGCCGGGTCGAGGGGCCTCCAAGGAAGAGCCTTGTCGTGCTCCCATTTCGTCTCACAGACCAAAAGGATACCACAACTAACCATGCCGAGCGCCGCCATACTGGGTGTCCCATCTTTCGACATTGGGCCAAGCACACAATCGGGTGCGGTGCCTCACTAGCCCTGGGTGACTCCCACTCGCGTCGGCACTCAAAAAAAAAGAAGACTGCCACTGCTTATGTGCCCATAGGCATACCGCAAGAGACGTGGTCCCGTGCCCTACCCACCTATCCGTACCCAGACTGATTCTACCTCCCACTCCGGTTGCGTCCATCTCTGGTAGGCACCACGCCAGCCAAATCCGTACCACACACCAAGGTACTTGTCTGGCCGTCCTCCATCCCCATTGCCCCCACCTGCGTACGCCCACACGCAACACGTGCACACATATTGTACATACACCCACCCCTAGCGGGAGCCCGGCAGCAACGGACAAGGGACTGCTCTCCTCCTCGCTGCGGCACGGACTGGCAGGCTGATCACGATGGGACAACCGCGGCGGGGCCGGCCACCAGATCGTGATGATAAATCAGCCAGAGAGAGACTGATAGGGCGGGAAAGAAAGGAAGTATGTGCGTCTGTCTCCGAACTGCAGCCAGAGCGTGGGTACATGGGTGCTGGGCTTGGACAATCGAGAACATCTAGGTAATCGGCTCCTCTGACTGGCTGGCCGCTAGCCCCGCCAGGTGACGAGGGCTAATAAGCCGGGGAAGGCTTTCCGTCCTGGCCCTACGCCGTCACCTACGGACGGGCGGGAGCTGTCTCATGGGCTCGAGCTTGGGGGGAGGCGGGCTCGTCAACTCGTCACTGGGTTGGTGGCTGACAAGGCCCGACTCGAGTCGGCATGTCAGGTTACTGTGCTGTGCCATCGAACTTTTGAGTGTTCGAGTTGGGTTGAGGCTGGCGGTCGCCAAGGTCAGGGGGGAAACGTTGTTTGACGTCCCCAGGATGGGCCCCAGGATGGGCTGTCTCTGATCAAGGTACCGTGCCCCCAGCCCTCCTGCCCCCCGGGCTGGATTTGGGCTGGTGTGCCCCGGCTTGCGTGTTGCGATGCTGTCAATGAGGATCGGCTGGAGGGATCAGCCAGCCGGCCAGCAGGCAGGTGAGCGAGCGACAACCGTTGATGGAATGGCGAGTCGGCGGCGTCGACCTCGCTCATCACTGAAGTCAGGGAGCCCGCCGTTGGTGAAGGACAACCTGCAGCCTTGGTGCCGCTGACCTTAGACCGGGACAAGACATAATGCAGGGGATTCGTGTGCGCATTGCTTCTCCATGCCCACGCCCATATGATCGCTGCTCGCCTGCTGCTGTTGGGAATGAGCATGTGAGGACAGACATCAGGCTTGTGACCAAGGGGGTCTGGGGGCGGTGGTGGCAACTGGATCAGGACTATTTGGAAGATGCTGATGGTGGATGGAAGGTAGGTGGTGATATTGACACCTATTGATTGAAGGTGACGATATGGACGAGACTGGAAACAGCAGGCGAGACAGACACACTCGGAGAGAGGCGTGGCGCGTGGGGTTTTCGATGCACACTACAACGGCGGTACCTGCTGGCTGGCTGGGTGTAAGCTGCGTGCTGCGTGCTGCGTGCTGCGTGCGTCCCTAACAGCCTGCTCCGTTCACACCTCAATTACCAGCCCGATAAAGACCAGCCCAATCTGCCAATGCAGGCTGGACAGGTTCCAGGCTTGGGCCAGGACACGACAGGCACGATTGACAGCTCTTGCATGCCTAGCGTCCCACGCTAGCGCAGGCCCTCTGCGCCATGTGGGGCCCCTCAAGAAGCACCGGCCCAATCACGCCCCGGTCGCATGCCTTGGTCCAGACCGTCTCCGTCCGTTATGTAAGCGGTCGGGGGTGCCATTCAAGCTTTCGCACCGGCGGCGAGGGCCAACAGCGGGAGCAGCAGGAGCATGAGCAGCAGCAGCAGCAGCAGCAGCAGCATGTGACAAGATACATGCGTATGTAGACTACATACATACATGTGCCCCGGCCTGTCTGTCTGTCTGGTCCTGCATCTCCCTGTCTGTCTGTGCATGTTTCTGTTTGTTCGCTGGCCCTCTCGGAACAATGCCAGACAAGCCGGACTGAGAAATTGTTCAGGAAACTTTTGGTTGTCGCCAAAGCATATATGTGCAGCAGAAAAGTAGGTTGGAGGTGACATGTTTCGACCTGGGGCCCAGAAGTGGGTTCCCCATTGATCGAGGGAGCCATGCGACCCGCTATCGGGCCAATCACAGGTCCTTATCAGCTCCTGCCACGACTGGCTGGAGTAGGGGGGGAGTGGAGGGCAGGGGCTGGCCTGGCCCTGCTTGTACCGAGCTCTGTGTACTTTTCCCACTGCCGTGTGCACTTGCAGAGGGAGGCCGCTAGCACCCTAGCTCTTCTCCATCGCCGTGGTGGTGTGGCCGTTTTTTGTTCTCCCACCCACCCGCACAGCAGCCGCACTGCCCCAGCAGCAAGCCCACGGGAAGCAGCCCCGTTCGGGGGTTTCTGGTCGATATCCAGTCAGTCAGGCAGTCCCCGCCAGACATATTGACGGGCAGAAGTCCTACCATCCCCCCCCCGTCCTTGGAATGAGCTCAACAAATTACTTTGTGCAACAGGAACTCGATCATCCATTTGATCATCCTCTGGTTTGATACATACACTGCCCGAGATGTGCGTATCGACGCCAGTCCATTGGGGTTGTAATGAATTGGGGAGGGGAGGGGGGAACTGGCTCAGACTCGGGGGGCAGCCCTGTCCTGTCTCAGATGGAAGCCCGATGGCGCCTTGCCCTATCCGGACTCGAAACAGGGCAAATCACGCCCACGTTGAGATTGAGATTGGGCCCCAAACACTGCAAGGCACCCCTTGCAGTTGGTCGGCAATTTTCAGCCCTTCGTTGACAACCGAGTTAATAGCGACCTGCCAGCTGCGGGACTGCGGGACTGCGACGGTTGACGACACGCAGACTGGCTGGAGCTGGACGCGATTCCATACAGGTCTGCATGATTAGCACGCGTATCCATCTGTCTGGGCGAGTCCTATATTGATTGTACTGTGCAGCCGAGAAGACCCCGGCTTGACGCGACCCGCCAGACCGACCGTGAACAGTCCCCCCCGTCTCTCCCCACATGCGTTCGCTCTCAGCAGAGAAGCCAGCGTCCAAGTCGGGAAGGAGCCCACAGCCGTGGGGGGGAAGACTGGGAGGACCAAGAGGACAGCACCTGGGCGGCGCGGTAGACCAGCTGGCTGGTCCAGAACAGGGCGGGCATAAGCTTTCCAGGCCCGTCGGTGATTCGCCGGTCAAGCGGACTGGCGGGTGCTAGCAAGTGTGGTAGATGAGGGGACCGGTGAGACATGAAGTGTGTAGTGTATCTCACTCTGATTGCGCCGTTCGACGGACGAGTTGCACACACAGGGGCAAGAGGGGGTGCATGGCGGGCATGGCAGGCGTGGCGGGCAAAAGCTGCACACACCACCAGAGACTGTCAGACACCTTCATCTCATGTCTCACCGAGGCAAATGCATGCCCTGGACCTTCCATGCACCGCATCGCATCATCCCACTTTCTCGGGGGGCCTCCTTTTTCTCCTCTCCTCTTTGCTTGTTTGTTTCTGCCAGGCATCCGAGGCCCACATGTCAGCATGGCATTCCAATTGTCTTGGGACACGGTCCCGTGGTGGGCAGGCAAGATGGCAGAAAGCTGGTGCCAGAATGGCAGCGATGGGACAAACGGACGACAGAATGAATGGCTAAATGCAAAAGTGGATCCGTTGACTTGTCCCGCAGGCGCGGGAATGTCAGGTATGGGGCCGCTGCACAAGACCATGGTTAGCCTAGGCACAGGACGGAGTAACCCACCAGGGGACCAAGATTTGGGCGCACGTACCACATACCACATTGGCTACCAGACCGGTACGGAGTACTGGTCGTATCTGTTAGTTGAGATGGTCGATATGACTGGACGCATTGCGGGTTCGGTGGTCAATAGTCGTTGACTTTGCCGTGGAGGATGACAGCCAGACAGCCAGACTGTCAGTCCCTGAATGGTCACCTGCACGTCACGGCCAGCTCCCACCGCTACATCGCAGAGTTGGGGGCCTCTGTCGCCCTGTCGCAGGGCAAAAGTAGCGGGAGTTGGAGGTGGGCCTTGCTGCAGCGTAGCGTCGAGCTTGTCTGTCAAGTGCGTGGCCTGTGCCCCAGGCTCGCTCGGCTGATGATCCGGTAAGCCCAACCCAACCCAGACGAGAGCAATGAGAGCACGGAGCGCAATCGAGACAAAAAGAAGCACAGACCAGTCTGGCTCATCTGAATGACGCACAGACTCGACGTGCTCCGTACTCTCGTACTCCGTACCTGCTTGAGGTACCAACCACTGGCAGCCAAGTCCAGTCCATTTTAGCAAGTCTCCCCGAAAGTCTGTGTCTCTCTCTGCAGCTACATACTACTACATACACCTCGATACAATCTCCTGGACTCGGACAATCAGCCCTCGGAGTTGTGCCCGAGAGCAACCTTGCATGCTTGCCTCTCCCAAGCTTTGGGTCTTGCAGTGCGCATGCCCGCGCGAGCCTCAAGCCAACCCTCGCTTCTGCCTGAACTCGTGCGCCGTCGCACAACACCACGGTGAGCAGGTGAGGTGAGCACGGCGTTCCCTGCCGTATTCTGGCCCGTGAGCAGCCAAGGCCACGGTCAGTGGTCACAGGCCCGGGGAGGTTCCCCTCTGGCTGTCAAAAGGGCTGCCAGCGGCTCATGCCCCCATGGGCGAAACCGCACGATAATGGGCATTCCTACCACCGCCTGATCCACCACTGCGGCACTGCTGCTGTGTACACATGGAACAGGAACACCGAAGCCCAGTTTCGGCAAGACTCCTCAATGGTCGTGGGTGGCTTCCACCTAATGTACTTAGCCGATCCGGAACCCGCCAGTTCGGTACTGTCCACCACACATCTGCCAAAACCATGCAGCCACACACATATATATCAGATCGTCAATCTCATCCTGGCCACCTGGCAGCCCTGGCCGTGATTCTGACCACATCCCCAGGTACGGCATGGACTAATGGGCCCTCCACCACGCGCCCACTGCCCAATGGCCTGGCTCCATTCCGTAGCCTGGCACCTCTGCCAGTCCCGGACACACACGGAGCTCGATGAAACGACCCCTCGCCATTCGGTCATTTCCGCGGGTCTTTCGAAACGCATCTCCAGGTGTCTCGTGCTACAACCTCTCTTCTCAGTGCCATACTCGGGGCAGCAGGCCAGTCGGGCTGTGTTTGACGTCCGTCCGAGGTCACCATCTTGGCGCTTGCTCATAGCGGGTCGCCATGGAAGTTTTGACAGCCGGAATAGCTCCAAACACGGCTTCCCTGGTCGCCCATCTAACGGTAGCCCGTGGCCGCAGACAGGGCCGCACAGGGGTCTTCCCTATGACGGCCTACACGTAGACCAGGCGTCCGAGGGGTCCTGTGTTCTCCAAGGAAACCCCTCCTTGATCAGACCTCAGCACCTTGGACCGGTGACTGGGGTGGTGGTCCCACCAGAACCTGGCCCTGCCCTCAATCGCGGCGACTTTGCTTCTTGCCCGGCAGATAGCGAGCCGAGAAGTGTGACCGAGCCTGCTTGCCTGCTCACCACGCTGGACTGCGCCGGACCGAACAGGGCCTCCACTCGCGGCGTCCTGCTTCCTGATTTGACTCCGTCAGGCTCCGCGCCTTGTGGAGGCCGAGCGCCAGCCCAATGGGCTGGATACAGCTGTCCGCCCCCGGTTGCAGGACACTACTGCAAGAAACTCCATGCCGCGGTCCAGACCATTCCACGGGGGCTTGAAACCTCATCGCGGTTCGTGTGTGACCCAGTTCATGCTTTCGCGTCTTGATTTCTCTTATTATAGGAGGTGGGTGCATCTCGAGTTATATCAATCATTCCACAGGCCCTACTGCAATAGAAACATGCCGCGAACATTACAAGGGATGGTGGGCGTCATTCCCGTCACGTTTCCATTCTTACAGGAACCCTAACCGAAGCCTTTCTGATTCATATTGGTCCTTGGATATGTCCCGCCGAGCATGTGTGCGCACTATGCGCGCCAGTTGCATCACCGGTCGCCTCCAGCTTTATCACCGCCTCGCAATGCCAAAAGGTCGCCACGAGGAGCTCAACTTCCCGAGTAATCTCCACCTACCTAGCTGTGAACTGGACAACCCGTGAACCCGGGCCATGTCCACATGGGTCGAAGCTCGAAGCCTACCGGCCAACCTATAGGGTCTCCTCTGGACACGCTAAGCCTCCCGGGTCACAAGCTTGTGTTGATCCGGAAGTTTCTTTGAACCGCGCTTGAGGTGGTATGGGACGGCCTGACGGTACCAACCAACTGGAGGAGGGTGGTCGTCGCGCCAGACGCGTGTCTGAATGGTTTGGAAACGACTTCAAGTTGAAGTTTCAGCGGGGTCGCCCGTTACATGTATCTTTCAAGTGGCGAGGAGTACCATACCATCTAAGCCATCACACAAGCCCCCACACACCTTATGTCCGATGAGCAAGGCCGCTGCCCAAAGCTGTTAGGCTCATGAGGACTCTGCGAGCGCAGTTGGTACCTAATGGGCCTGAGGTGGAAATGCTCGAGACTTGCCCAGGTGGAGCGAGTTTGGGTTGTTGTCCCACAGTCGTTCTTAATACTCTTGGTGATGGTGGGGGAGACGGGCGAATACCATCGGCCTGACATACCCCATGGAATTCTAAACTGAGGACAAGGTGTGATGCTCGTAGCGCTGCTTCTAGCAAACCGGCCAAGTGGTCGTAGGACTCAATATGGCTCTCAGAACTCTAGGAGAAGGACGCAAGTGGCAGGTTGACTCGCTTCAACCTGCTGACTCGTAGTATTGCACCCCGTCCCTTATTCAAATAGCCAGCCTGAGCCTGAGTGTTTGCCCGGCCAGAGTGTGTACGTCCTCTATCCCTCTTTGTCACCCCTCGTCCTCCCGGTAGATGTCTTGTGCGACCGCAAGAGCATTGTTTGCCGTGGTAAGAGTATTAGAGGACCAGCTACACATGCAAATATAAACATACCCCCATCATTCCAACCGGGCGACCTGAGGACAGACATGAAAGCATCATCCAAAAACGGTGCTTCGAACATTCTAGCCCCTCTCAAGATATCTTCGAACCCAGCCCGCACAACACAGGACTTGACGGGGTCTACGAGTCCGTCATTCAGCCGACCTGCCTTGGATTTTGCTGCTTTATCCTATGCCTCAGTGTGGCTATGGAGTACAAGAAACAATGTGCCTGCCTCATCCGCCGGTATAGGAAAACCAGACGAGGAGGCGGTTGAGTCGGCCCGTCCAGGCCGAAGGCTCATACTCGTCCGGTCGAGACAAACAACAAACAAGCAAGTGGACGCACAGCTGATTACTCATACCGACATCGAGGAGGAACGAGGCCGCTCACTCGCCTCTAGATCAAATGCACAAGCGGAACGTATGAGATGATCCTCAGGGCAAGAGGCTGGGCGCATCCCGCTCCACACAACCAGGCGTGCCCAGCTAGGCGGCGCGGTTTGTCTAACGCATATGTCCGTCTTGGTCAGACAGGTCAAGCAGCTGGAATTGATGGATAGACAAAGTCACGCCTTACTGTCCCGATATGGGCACAGCGGACACGCCACATCACAAGGTCTCCCAATCAAATGAGCGCCGGGATTACCTCAACGTCCAGGCTTGTACCGAGTGTGTAAGTCTGGCGTAGGCATGCGTTATACAACAGTACCCTTCACGGCCCACACTATCGTGACAAAACACATCGCGCATGGAAGTCGCAACAGTGAACCGCCCAGACCACGCCGTGGTATTTCACCAGCGAGACAACCCCCGAATGGACACAGTGGCGCCAAACCAGACCGGCGCCTTCGTCTTCCACCCGCCCAGGAGCAGGCGGCGACATGGGCACCACAACCACCACCACCGGGGTCCCTACTACCACAACTACCCCTCAGACTCGGACACAGAATCCACACTGTCCACGCGGTCCTCGTGTTCCTCCACCACGGACAGCGATGGCGACGACGACAGTGTGTACTACCACGGCCACCGCGTCTCCTTCCGGCCGCGGCACCACCGCGCGACGAGGAGGAGGCATTGGTGGTGGGGCGGCTGGCCGCGGAGGGGCGTGCTCGCGTGCCCGGAGCCCTCCTACTATACGTCGCCGCCATGGACAGCCGTGACCAGTTCTGGGCTGGGTGTTTTAGGTGCAGCTGGTCTGGTACCTGCGGCGGCGGCGTCGGCGGCGGGGTTCGTCACCACCACGGCGGGGACTGTGGTGCCGCAGTTGCACCTTCAGCAGGCGCAGCCTCAACAGCAGCAGCAGCAGCAGCAGCAGCCGCGAAGGTATGGCTACCGCCGGTTCCACTACCAGGGCGGCGAGAGGGTGCGGAGCACGGGGTGTGGTCATGGGCACGGGGATGGGCATGGAAACCAGCATCACCATCACCGCCATCATCATCACCACAACAGCGGGACGAGTACACGATCTCCACGCCGTTGTATACTCCCGCGATTCGGTCGATGGTTAGTCGGGGACCCACCAGAACGGGCCCGGCGAGGACGGCGGTGCGAGGATGGTTGCGGTGGTGGTGCTTGTTGTGACGATGGCTGTGGTGCAGGCGCGACGACGACGACGACGACGCCGACCGTTCACCACGAGGATGAGTATTGGGGTCCTGGGGTGCGTTGTCCCAACCGGGTTTTCCTAACGTCAACATGTCCTCGACCACACCCATATCTACTCCTCACCTTACTTACCCCTTAACGGCCCCTTCTCCCCCACGTCACCCGCCCCCAGCTGAGAGTTTTATGCGGGCGTCAAGGCCATGCCATCGCGCTGACATGGAAGTCTAAACCAAACAGCACCAAACCGCAATACCGAGCTGGGCCACCGGCTCCCAGACCTCCCCCTGGCGCTACGGCGGGCCCAACGGCAACCAGAACAGCGGACCAGGAGACACGGTCGGCCCGGGCGGGACCATCGAGGAGGTCGAGGAGGGCGGGACCGCCCCCGCCCAGCCGCCGACGACCGTCCAGCCGACGGCGGTGCTCCCCGTGCCCGTGGCCACGCCCGCCGCGATCGACCCGTACGACCACTACCACCTCAGCGACGAGGAAAGAGGAGGGAGGGGGAGGCGGAGGAGGAGCAGACACTCGCGCAGGCGACGCCACAGGGACGACGTCGACAACGGCATGCTGGGGCTCGTGGAGCGGGAGCGGCGGCGCGACAGCGAGCGGCAGATGGCTGATGCGGACGCGAGCCACCGGCGCGAGGCCATGATGATGGAGCTGATGGAGAGGGCGCGGCGCGGGGACAGGGACAGGGACAGGGCCGGTGGCTCGCCGGGGAGGCTGGACGCCCGGGATATCCTGGGGGTGTTGCTGGATGGTGTCGTTGCTGAGAGGAAGGGCCGGCGTGGGGGAGGAGGGCGGCGTGGGGATGATGTCGAGGAGGAGGAGGGTGGTGGGGGCAAGGATGGGCGTGAAGACGGGCTGAGGGGCGCTCTGGACGCGCTCAGCCGGCGGGTGGACGAGATGGTGCTTTCGGGGCGGGAGGAGGCGGCGGTCGCTGCTACGTCCGGGGGGAGGAAGATGAAGACAGATGTGGCGCCGAGGGTCAAGTTCAACAAGGTCGACTCCGACTCTGGCTCGGGTGTCAACCGTAACGACGGCGGTGGGGCTGGTGGCGGCAAGGTCATCTTCAGTCGCCGCGGGGAAGATGGCGATCAAGCTGATACTGACACCGACGAGACAAGCAGGCCTTCATTGGTAGGTGGTGGACGGGGCGTAAGAAGGGGCCGTACATTGAAAAGAGCCGGGTCGGCGTCGACATCAGCAGACTGAGGGCAGCAGTGCGTTTGAATGTGTCGGAAACATCCTCGTGTAAAACTAAAAAAAAAAAAAACATTGCTTATTCATTTATGGCACGCTAAATGTCCACCGCCGTGATAATCCTACATTGCGCCTGCCGCCTCTATGATCTCACCCTTATTGCGTCGGCTTCCAACGCATGTTGATCTGTTTTCTCCGGACCTATACATATAGAGATTATCAGTAAACAAGGCTTCCTTCTTTTTCTTAGGACAGGAGATCAGGGCACGGCAAATACTCACAATCGGACCCAAAACCATAACACCAGCCATCAGCGCCACGACGGTTCCGAGCAGGGAGATCTTATTGAACCCCCTGCCCAGGATATCAAACACAAAACTAGGCGCGACCCGCGTGCCGAACACGTCGATGCCGTACGCGAGCACGAGGCTCGTGCTCTCCACGACGGCAGGCGCGGCGACGATGCGCCGGACGCCGAGGACGTCGCGCTCGTGCGTGATGATGAACTTGGGGTCGATTTCGACGGCAGGGTGGTACTTCATGAGACCCTCCTCTGCCTCCTGCGGGGTGGGGTCGCGGCCCACGACGCGGCGGGGCTCGAGGACGTGGCGCGGGATGCCGTAGATGGCGTGCGTCTCGGGCAGGTACGCCAGCAGCTGGCGGGTGGCTATGCCCTGCCTCGTCTCCGTGACGGTCAGCGCGCTGACGGGCGCCGCGACGATGAATGTCTGTGACACGACGGAGGGCAGTGCCGGGCCGCCGGTGGGGGTGTCGATAGGCTTCAGGGAGGAGAAGTTGGCGGAGTCTCCCAGCGGGCCCCTGTTGTTTGCGAGGTCCGATTCGTAGAGGTCGGAGACGACCAGCTGGTAGCCCTTCAGGCTCTGGCCGGTGATGTCTCGGAGCTCGTACTGGCCGAAAAAGGAGCAGACGAACCAGTTCTCGGATATGGCGCAGTCCGCGGCCTTGCTCGTGTCAGCGCCCTCTTGCGTGGCGGAATAGAGGAGCTCGCCGGAGACGGTGTCCAGCAGATAGGTCGTGAAAGTTGAAGCAGCGTCGTCGACGGTGGCGACAACTGCCGTGTTGGGGTTCAGGTACTTGTATTTGACAGTTCGATCTCCAAGGACACGGCCAATCGACGCGACGGGGTCGTGTGGTGAGCGGGTCGCAATGTCGACGATTCGCTGGGATCCGGGAGCCGAAAAGGTCCATGCGGTCTCCTCGTGGGCTTCGGCACCATCAACGACGAATCTCAGACCCTTGAGTTCCCCACCGGCAGCTTGGACGACAACGGTTTGCTTCGGCGCCAGAGCGGCGGGGATGTCACCGACCTGGCCGTCAGCACCAACAGAAAGCAGGAACTTTCCAGAAGGCGTGTCGACCTTGACCGTGCTTAGTACAGGTGGCCGAGAACCAGGCAATGTGGTCTCAATGATCTTGCCGGTGTCTGTCTTGGCAATAACATGGTCACCTGTTGAGGCACGGACAGTGACAAGGCCCTTGACATCATTGACATCAATACCCTTGACATCCCAGGTCTCCCCAGGTGCAAGGTCGTAAGCCTTGTGCGTCCAGATCATCTTCCCATGGTCACCAGCGTTAAGCCCATACAGCCTACCCCTCCTAGTGGCGAGCACGATGATCTTGTTGAAGCCGAATGTATCCCGAGAGAGCGTGTTCTTCCTGGAAGTCTCGGTGCCGATGATGCTGGCCAACAGGCGCTCGGGAATAGAGGAAAGGAAGCCGGGCAAGTACTGCAGATCATCGAAATGCCTGGTCACGCGGTGGATATAAGCAGAGATAGGGCTATCATGGGCCTCTGCCTCGAGGGTCTTGACGAGATCCTCGGACTCGGGGATCTCAGCCCAGGCGGCAGCGACAGCGGCACTGAGACCCTCGGGGCGGGACCAGCCCAGGTTGCCGTTCTGGAGTAGTACCCAGTCGTCGGCATCAGTGACAAGCGCCGAGCGAACGGCAAACTCATCCCCTGGCTTCTTGATGACCTCGGACACGGCATGCACCGCGCCTGCCTTGTAGTTGCCAGTCTTGACATCCCAGCGGGCAAGGACGCCGTGCGAGCCAGAGGACACCAGAGTCATCTCATTCTCGGTGATGCGGGTGAAGTAGACGTTGGCGCCGTCGGAGGTCGTGGAGACGGCACCGGGGCCGGCGAGGTGAGGCAGCTCGTGGGCGCGCTTGATGGCGTTGCTCTTGAGGTCGACGTGGAAGATCTCGGCCTTGGTGCCGACCTTTGTGCGGCTGAGGACGAGGAAGTGCGGCTGCGACTGCGCCAGGTGGGGCGCGTGGATCTCGACCGAGGTGGTGTCGGCGACCAGCGGGAACTCCTGGGTGTTGCGGGTGCCGAGGACATTGACCCGGAGCTTGGTCAGAGACTCGTCGGCCCAGGCGACGATGGGCGCGGCCGAGTTGGCGCCCACGAACATGACGTCCTTCTCGCTGTTGACGTCGCCCTTGGTGCCGATGCTGATCTCGTCCAGGCGCTTGCCCGTCAGGGTGTCGAGAATGGTGACCTTGAGGCTGTATGACAAGAGGTTCCCGTGCAGGCTGATGACGAAGACCTTCTCGACGTTGGTGCTGACCTGCAGGGGAAGGTCCTTGCTCGTCTCCTTGAACTCCCAGACCACGCTGCCGTCGGCGCTGTTGAGCCTCCTCAGGGTGGTGGACCCGTCCTCGTGGTGTAGTGCCAGCACATCCTTGCGGCCCTTCTCAGTCACCTCCATGACCTCGAGATCCTTGACCTCCCCGGCAAACTCCCTCCACCAGACGTTCCGGCCGCTGACGGCCTCCCAGGCGTGCACGGCGCTGCCAAAGGCGCCAGCAACCCAGCTCTCCCCGTCGCCGGCCCTGAGGTGCCCACCACCATTCGTGGTCGCGGTCGCATTTATATCACCGACGAGCTGCCTCCACACCACGCTGCCGCTGCTGGGGTTGACAGCGCCGAGGACACCGACATCACTGAGTGTATACAACAAGCTGGCCTTATCTTCGGGCCGCGGGCGGTGGAAGAATGTGGTTTCGCGCTGTGGGAGGCCGAGCAGCTCGTAGTGGAAGTCGACGTCGCCGACCTCATCCTTGAAGACGGCACGGACGGCGGCGGGGAGGGCGAGGAGGGCGGTGATGGTCGTGAGGGAGGATGGGAGGAGCATCGTGCCGGTTTGCGCGGACCGGCGCCTGGTTTGTTGATATTGGGCGGTGCGATTAGTGGTGCAGTGTGTTTACTCCATGGGGGACGGTATGAGCCTTGGATGGGGAATCACAACAAGTCGCCACGAGATCCGTGCAGTGGGAGCTCGACAAAGTATAAAGTGGCACAGGAAAGCTGAAGCTTTGACGTTGCAGCTAAAGCACAGCACAGCTTCCTCCACATGCCCCAGCTTGCCCAGCAGACTGGGGTTGCGGGCGCGCACGGACCAGGCACATGGTCTCCAACTGCCCCCAACTGCCCCCAACCAGACAACCTTGGAACCACTTGAGCGTTCAGGCATCGTGAACTCCCCACGTCCTGCCTTCCCTTCAAAACCTGCCAACTGACACTGACCAGCACATGCGACCACAGGCAGTGGAAAATATGGGATCCCGTCCGCTCTCCCCTAATCAAGCCACTGACCGCCGGAGTAGTAGTTGGGTCGGTGACGACCAGCGAATGCCCGGTGTTGCATGTTTTCTTTTTCTTTTTCTTTCTCTTTTTCCTGCCTTGTCCCTCATTCCCTCATTCCCCCCCTTCTATAATCCTTGTTCGTGCCGTCGTCTATTTATCTACCTAAGTGGTAGGTCTCTGCGCGGTAAGCTGGTAAGCGTTCTGAATGATATTGCAATTACAACCGTCCCGAGCCTGGTATCATAATCCCACCCGTTGTGCCCCCCCATATAGATATTGAATATTTATGTACGACTCCCGTCCATCTACACCACACGTGCTGTATGCTCCTGATTTATCACAGCGCCAGCCCCTTTGCACCTTTCGTCCAGCGATACAATGAAAGAGCCCTGCGCCTGGCCTTGTGCTCCTCCCATTCCGTGGGGCTCGAGCCACGCACGCTATATAGTGTCGATCGTAAGACCTTGCGGAAATTTTTCTAGTCCTGGGCGTCAGCATACTCATACCGACCAAAAAAAAAAAAGGCCAGCAGCACTCACCTGAAACTCAGTGCTCAGCGTAACAACGCACACCTCATGCGCCCGGACAATAGTCTCGCACGCCAGCTCAACACTCTGGTTCGGGCCCACGCGCGGCATGCGGTCCGCGAACAGCAGCAGTATAAAACTCCCGTGCAGAAGGTAGATGCCAAACAGGTACGGCATGAAGGTCAGCTCCGGGTCGAACTTGAGGATCTGGCTGACGGCCTGCGACGCCGCTATGGCGTGCGACGCGCAGCTGTTGAACCGCGCGCTCGTGATCCAGTCGTCGTCGTCGTCCAGCATCGAGATGGCGTCCCACTTGCCGTGGAGCAGCACGTGCAGCACGTGCAGGATGTGCGTCGAGTACGCCGTCACGAGCTGCAGCCGGGACCTGTCCTTGGCGCGCGTCGCGGCCGCCGCCGTCGTCGCCGTCGGCGGGGGCGGGGGCGGCGGCTGCGGCGGCACGTTGGTGTAGCCCGAGATGAGGTCCTTGATGCTGGGCCCCGCCGCCCCCGGCGTGGGCATCGGCGCGGCGTACTCGACCATCTCGATCTCCTGCCGCAGCTTGTCGATGCTGGCCTCGCAGTTCGCGAGGAGCTCGCCGATGATGCCCACCGCGTGCGTGTCGTCGACCATGCCCAGGCGGGGGTGGAACCTTCGGTGGTGCACTTCGATGATGTCGCCGAGGATGCTCATGAGTGGGAGGAAATACTCGAAAAAGCCCGTGCCGGTGATGATGGATGAAGAGCCGATCACTCGGGGTGGAATGTCCTTGGGCGCTATGGTGTCCAGGTTCTCCCAGACGCTCTCCGGTAGGGGGGCTGCTATTTGTTAGACCTTCTCTGCGCCAAGACTGATGTGGACAACTACACGAGACTTCACTCACCATAAACCTCACAGTATGAGTCTGGTATGTCGAGGACGCGGTTGAATGACAAGGCCAAATGCCGGTCGAGGCAGTAAAGTAGCCAGAATACCCTTCTCCGTTCCTCCCTCGCTTCCATACCGGGCAATGAGAATGCTTCCTGTTCGCGTTTGCAGGAGCATAGGGGGTTTGCACAAGGAGACACAGTAGCCGAACACCGCTCATCCTCACGGTTGAGCTCCAGCGAGAAGGCTAGCCGGACCGCCTTGCTCCACCACTTGAAGCAGTCGCTCTTGAAGTCACCCCCAGAGACCGCAATTGATAAGAGGATGAACGTCAGCACGTCGTCTATGACGCCAGCGGGCTCGTTCTTGGCAGTTAGTAGAGGTTGAGTGGATGAGAACTCGTAGCCAGTTTGTGGCTGATCGCTCTCGACGCGCAGGCCCCCTGCTACTTGTTAGCCCGTCTGCCTCCACCCCTGTCACACATAGCGACTACCTACCGTGTATCCTCCGCCACCTGTCCGGGTCTCTGTCCGATATCAGAGCGGTTGCTAGGTCATACAATGCGTTGCAGATCTTAGCCCGGGAACCCGGAACATGAAGCAGCACTATATCGGCCGTCTGGGCGGCACACCATAGCATGGTTGCCAGCAGGGCTGGGGTCGTCTGTCGTGGGTGAGTGGGATGCAGTAGAGACCTCTTGCGGAAGATACGCGTGAGTATATATGGCGAGGCACAGCGGAAGAGGGAGCTGCCGGGCTCTGTGAGGTACACATCGAGGAGATCACATGCCACCGACGCCGGGATTATCTCCCTCAGATAGGGAAGCACAGGGTCAAGACATCTATATCGACAGTCGCTCGAAGGTGCCTTGTACAGCGAGTTGTGTAGCTTCTGGCCCTCCGGTATGGACCCCTCGCGGCCGTTGGTGATAGTGCTGATAGACTCCCGGCCGTGTGGGAGGGGCGGCGGGCAGTTGTTGCTGAAGGACTGCCTGCTGCGGCTGCTGGGAGCCCGCTGGGGAGGTGAGCAGGCGTTGGCTGGCGAGGGATAGCCCACACTGGCACCGGGAACCAGGGGCTCCGGGTCGCTGGTGCGGCCACCATGAGCAGACATCTGGGGCGGGCTCTCATGGGCTTTCTTGAGGACGGGTGACTCGGCGCTGGGCTCTAGAAGTGAGGACAGCTGTATCTGGGTATGCGTGTTGCTGTATGCTGGCGACGAAAGGTAGGAGGGCGACTGCACTGGGGCAGGGGAGGGCTGGATGACCATGTGTGAGATGGACGGGCGCCCATCTTCGTAGAGGGAAGAGGGACGGGCCGGGTTGGCAGGGGCGAGGCTGATGCTGTCCCTATAACGCTCGTGAGACTGGGGGAAGTGCAGCGGTGGCAGGCTGGTATCCGGCGATGCCACCGGGGGCGAGGGCGATATCGCGCCCAAGGATTGGCGCTTGACCTTGGCACTGGGTGTGGTCGAGCCGGTTGAATCCGAGCGAGCCGCATGGTTTCCGGCATGGTTTCCCAGGGAAGTGGTAGGAGCACGGCCACGCTTCTTAATCTCGCGGTTGTAGCGGCAGGTATAGCCGTAGTCTGTAATGCCGGGCGCAAGACAAAAAGCTTCAATCAGCGCATTGGACCACGAGCAGCCCGGGGACGGGACCGTGGGGAGATTGAGAATGCGGGACGGAAGGCTGAACGAAGGTTTAACCCCAGAGGAGCGCCACAGCCAAGCGCTGGCATGGCAGTACGGCTTTACCGGAGGTGCAGGTGGAGCAAGGATCGAGAGGGAGACTGAGTCAAGAGCAGTCCAAGATCAGGAGAAGAGTAGGAGGCGGGTACTGCGACAGGAGGGGACAGGAGAGGACAAGGTGAGGACAGAGACATGACATACCTTCGCAGCGGCGACTGGGGAGAGGCATGCAGTGTCAGTGTGGTGTGGTCGAGACGCGCGGTGTCTATTGTGTTGTATATACGAAGAGCCGGGGCGAGGGGCTGGACTCACCAGGGGTATTCACCATCGCATCGCGTCCTCGACGAAGAGCATTTGTCGCAGGCCCGGCGCGTCCTCTTCCTGGGGCGGGCATGCTCTCTCGACTCGTCACCGTCAGCAGCCATGGCCGAGAAGTCTCTGAGTGACCTCTTGTCGGCGTCGCCATCGGCCTCGGCTTCGACCTCCATGCGCTCCGGGCTCGTTTCCGTGTCCATCATGTTGGCCGCCGAGCAAGAATTGAGGAGCCAGGTCGACGCTCGTGAGGGAGGGATTGAGTGAGTGAGCGTGTAACTGAGGTATATGTGAATTCGTGTGTGTATATGCCACTAGGATGCGCAACGGTCCAACCACGAACAAGCTCGCGCCAGATCCAGATCCATCGACTCCCGGGAAAGAGCGGGCGTTGCAGGCCAAGGTCACCTAAGACGAGCCGCAGAGCTCAGGATTGGGCAGCGGTGCCCGTGTCGGCCATGTCGTGTCGCCCTGATGAGTGTGTACTTGAGTATATGATACTCGGAATGGATTGGGTTAGGTTGGGCTCGGATGGTGAAAAGAACTCAGATCGGGGGAGAAAAAAGACGAGATGCCGGTGTGGTGCACGACGTCGTCGGGTAAATGTCGAGGTTCAACGTCGATCTCCTTTCTCTGCCCACATCACTGTCTCTATCTTCTCTCACACAAAATACCCGCGTGCACTACTCAGGCTAACTCCAGCTTCTTGTCCTCAACGGGCATGGGGCATGGAGACTGGGCTTGGGACGGGCTGGAGTGCGGGGGACAAGGGGCCAGGGCCGCTCGGATACGAGTCAGTCAATCAGCAGGTGGAGCGGGCTATTCCTGGGGTTGTATGTTTTTTTGGGGGGGGGGGGGGGAGGGGGACTTGAGTTTTGGGGCCCTGCCAGCCGATGAACGAAGGCAACGGGCAGGGCACAATCGCAGGGGATGGCACTGCTGCATTTGATCGAGAAGGTCCGGTGGAATACTGGATTTCTTCCGCAGGAGGTGGGCATGTCCATGGCCTGCAGGGGGCCCTCGTGTGCGCATGCACGTCGACGCCCATCGGCACTAACTATCGTTTCGGCAGTGAGCGTTCCCTCTCGACGTTATTATTAGCGGATTAATATCCGACATTTTCGGTCTACACATTTGCACATTTGGCCATGTTCGTCTTACGTTCCGTGCCCCCGGGGCCCATCTTCCTGAAACCGTGTATTGCGGTAGTACTTGGCCGGAGATCACCAATTCTTTGCCAAGTTGACAGACATGTGCCTGTGGTGGAGCCCCTATAGTACCTAGGTAGTAAGAAATAACCTGTGGCGGGTAAGTGTTTTCTCTGAGCACCCACCAGTCCCATCGCACATGTGCAACATAATACGACAGTTATAACCACGAGCAAATCATGGATGCCAAGTTCGGGATATGCCATGCCAGGGCTGAAAATAAACGCAAATAGCACATGGCATTTTAGGTTTGGTTTCACCGAGTCGTTGACAACCACACCCGCTTCTCAAGCAATTCCATGGACTGCTACACTGCCAGACTGCACACGTTAAAAAATGCGCCACTGAGGCGGAAAGAAATCTGTCTCCAGATTCGACGCTACGATACTCCATACACCACACGTGAATGCTGCCCTGGCAGCCTGACAGCCTGTTCGCCCCCTGTGTTACTGAATTTGAAAGGATATAAAGCCTACACGTGATATCGCCCAGGATATGTTCCAGGTTGCAACGATATCTTGCTTCTCAGCCCACGCTGAGATAAGGGCGCTTGAGCACGGTGCCCGCCAGGCACGCAGGCACGAGGCCCGCATACAGGAAAGCTTATCCGGCGCCCGAGCTAGCGGACGAGGACGTAAATGCACAACACGCCTCTAGTGCCAACGCCCATTCCAACTGGTGGGACGGCCTTGGCCTTTGGCACGACCCCAACGGCTTCGACGAACACCACGACAGCACTTCAGTCTTAACCGCGGGACAACAATCTACACACGTCTCGGTTCCCGCAGTAATGTCCGGGTAAGCAATAGTATGTTTACGAACAACCATATATTATCTCGCTTCTACCTACCTTCAAGTCATAGGCAAAGAGAAATGATCAGTTCTAGCACTGAGCCCAGTCAGTTAGCCAAGACCACTGAAACTTTCCACTGTCCTCTGCACCGGGAATTCCGGTCTGTGCCGCTTATTATCTGCTGTAAGACTACCACGCGTCAGCTTCTGCTTGACGGCTGACATAGCGTCTGAGCTCCGATCTAGGAACAGAATCTCGAAACAGAATATAGAACCTGTAACATGAAAAAGGAGGAAAAACTCACCGGGAATTCCACATAAAGTATTGAATGCTGTCGGTGTGCCAGTACAACGCCAACATGCAGCACCACAGAGGCAGGGTTCCCTGCCATCGAGGCTGGGATGACCGCCTCCCCTTGCTCCAGCCTCCGCTTTGAATCGTCCCCGACAATACAACAAGCTTAAGATAACTTTAAGATCCACGATGAAGCTCTTCTTGCTTGCCTACTCTCTGCGGGACAAGGTCAAAAAAGGATGTTCAGACAGGGGATTGTCTAACCAGAGTTTATCTGACAGGCCTCATGAATAATACTGCCTGAGTGATTTGCTATGTAGATATTGTGCCTGCGCATTGCACATTATAGCAAAGCTCCTCTGTGTCTCATAAATCCCACCAAAGATCCTATGCGAGGCAGGGATGCTGTGGCAGATATCAAGCGGACGCTACGACGGACTCCGGGTCTCGTTCATGATTAATAATTCGACATTCCCGGGCCATGTAAGCAGGAAGCGGGAACTAAGCCTTAATAAGGGTTCGTAGTTGAAGCGTCCGCAACGCTAACACTTGCTGTTTATGGATTCCATATGCGCGAGCAGGTCATATTTGGCTTGGATCCCGCCCAATGCACAGAACATCTTTGCGCACAGAAGACGCGAAGACAACCAGGTTGATTTTTCAGCACGCATGACGTCCGTGTCGGTTACAGCGTTTGCACAATCTATAAATGAGCTTCAACCACGAGTACTTTAAAGAAGTGGGCTGTGGTTGAGAGTACTATCACGAAACACGGTCTCGTTCCTCCAAGTTTATTAGGCACTTCACTAGACAAACTCCAAATATCATCATGTCTTCAACAACAGTCTTGGTCAGCGGTGCGAACAGAGGCTTGGGCAAGGGTATTGTAGAACGCTTCCTCGCTCGCGACGAACATACCGTCGTGGCCGCCGTCCGCGATCCGAGCCGTGAGCACAACCTTCATCCCAAAAAAATTTCATGTTCTTTTACCTGTTTGGGGATGCTCAATAACAGTTCATTAACACATACTAGACTTAACATCAAAGGCCCTTGCGGATCTGCCTACGGGCAAGCACAGCCGTCTCGTAGTCGTCAAGATCGACTCGACCGTCGAGACCGACGCGCTCAAGGCCGCAGATTCGCTCCGAGCACAGGGGATCGACCGTCTGGACCTCGTTATCGCCAACGCGGGCGTGGCTATGGCCTACCCGAAGGTGTCAGAGCTCAGGGTCACGGATCTGCAGGCACACCTTGGACCCAACGTGTTCGGCGTGGTCTGGCTGTACCAGGCGACGCTGCCGCTGCTGCGAGCATCGGACTCGCCCAAGTGGGTCACGATGGGTTCAACTGCGGGAAATTTGTCGGTAAGGAATAATTTCCTGACCAAGCCTTCTCGAGGACCTTGGGGTGCGCTTTTTAATCACGATGGCTGATGAAACCTGTCATTGTAGGGGCAGTTGCCTATTCCTAACTCGGCATATGGGCCGTCCAAAGCGGCGGTTCACTGGCTCACGATTAGGATTGATGCGGAAGAGGAGAGTCTGACCGCGTTCGTCATTCACCCCGGGTGAGCACCCCCAAAATACTTTCAACATTCTTAGCTGGAGAGATGAAGGGAACTGAAATTCAGTTTCTATAGTTTTGTCCAGACAGACATGGGCAACCTTGGTGCTCGCACAGTCTTGGGTATGGAGAAGGCATCCATAGGAGTCGATGAGTCTTGCGATGGGGTTGTAAAAGTCATTGATACTGCCACGAAGGAGTCACACGGGGGAAGGTTCTGGGACTTTGAGGGGAAGAGTTTGACATGGTAAATGCATGAATCCGGCTGAACATGATGTTCTAGCTGCAAAGATTCGAAACGTGCAAGTGGAGAGGAAATGCCTTCTACACGACGACGCTAGATGTCTTATAACCTATCACCTATGACCTAACACCGCAACGGACCAAGCCTGCAAGGCGATGTGATAGATCCGAAACGAAGTGTATGCCTCAAATCGTTTGCCCTGGGTTCGGGACCTTCAAGGTCAACGTCACTTCGACTACACATGTAAGGCGCCACGCTGACCGAGTTTATCGGGCAGGAAGCTAGAACAGCCATCTGACTTTTCGTTTGGCATCAGTCGCATTGGGTGTCCTATACCCATACTGGCATGTAGGCATGAAAAATATGCGAGTTTATCGTACGAGACTTCCGCGGCCAGTAAAATTGAGGCGTGTAGAGAAACAATATGACGCCGCGTGCACGCGGTCAGAGACAGGTTGGCCTTAACTCCACCCTTAAGTCCTTGTCTACTCGTCTTAAGTCCTATCACCTACCACCGATGACTTTGGTTTAACACAGTATATTCCATTCCCATGGAATCCTCTAGTAGTCAAGACAAAATTACAAGTTCATTTTGTAACCTTGCCCCCTCGAGTCCCGCGCTTTGCCCACCTCTCCAAGCTACGTACTTAAGTATCCATCATGTCGAAGCGACACTGGGAGACCGACTTCACCTTTAAATATCACCAGAAGTCCTATCCTTCTATCTCACCGACGCGACCCGAGGTGTCCATAGCCGGCAAGACAGTTCTCATCAGCGGCGGCGGTCGCGGCCTAGGCGTCGGCATCGTTGAGGCCTTCGCAGCAGCTGGCGCGACCCACATCATCATACTGGGCCGAAGCATCGCGACCCTGAATGACGTGGCAGAGCGCCTCAGGCCCGCGCACCCATCCACAAAAATCACCACGGTATCAGGTGACATATCCGTTGAGGCCGACGTCGGGCGCGCCTTCGCACCGGCAAAAGGCGCCGGGGGCGTGGACATCGTAGTCGCCAACGCAGGCTACCTGCCCGCCCCGGGCCCAATCGCCGCCGCTGCCGGAAACAGCGATAGCGAGTACACCTCGGACTGGTGGAAGGCGTGGGAGGTTAACGTCAAGGGCCTGCTCCTGCTGGCGCGCCAGTTCCTCGCCTCCGCGCGCGGCCCGGGCGCCGTCTTCGTCAACATCTCCGCCATGGCTGCCCACAACAACCCTCCGATGGCGCGCTTCTCTGCCTACTCGGGGAGCAAGATCGGCGCCGCTCGTGTGATCGAGACAATGCAGATTGAGTACCCCGATTTTCGGTTTTATAATGTGCACCCGGGCGTTGTGGCCTCGGACATGTTGGCTAAGTCTGGGCTTGAAAGCTCGGCGCAGGAGATTCCCTATGATGAGCGTGAGTCTTTTTCTTCTTTTCGCCAGTTTGACTTGGCCCTGAAATCTCTCGACTAATAATTCCTGAAGCTGATCTGGCGGGGCACTTTGTGACGTGGCTGGCGAGCCCCGAGGGCGACTTTCTCAGGGGCAAATATCTATGGGTGAACTGGGATGTTGATGAGCTCAAGGCGAGGAAGGAGGAGCTCAGTGCACCGAAAACATTAGTCACCGGTCTTCTTGGTTGGGTGTGAAGGAGTAATACAACCTCTCTGATCTTACATATGTACCCTACGACATATCATTTTGGTAATTTTCGTAGCTTCTACAACGATCTCTCTTGATGACTTGGCAATTGCATCCAGTGACAGTATCAAACTCAATGCGAGAGGCTTCGACGAAATCAAATTGAGTGCCATGTCGCCCAGAACTATTCTAAACAGACACTCACTCAAATCTGGTCTTATTATCATTGGTTGGTTAGGATGTGTAGGGCCTCTCTTGGGACTATTGCCGTCTACCTAGGTAGCCACGTGACTGCTTGGCCATCATTCTAGTCAACATCACCGTTAAGAACGGTGCTCCCTAGTCCTTGCTTCACAGGGCTGAGGCCACGTGTACTTAAGTACTTGCCGTATTATTGTTACCACTGTTATCGGCATTGTATTTTCCTTTTATATCACTGAGTCTTTGAGCTTTAACATTATATGAAGGCACCGCGTATGGCTTCGGATGTGTACGGAAAAGAAAAATGAGGACACGCCATACATCTTACATTATGCGATAGAAAGGAACCTTGGCATTGTATTTTTAAAGCGCTTGGTCTTGAGCGTTTACCGTTGTATGAGGGCGCTACATACATTTTATATGCAATGGAATTAGAAATGAAATCACTTGGAGGCTTGTGAAAAAGTGCGTGCTAGCTGGTGAGAAATGGCCATCTCGTAACATACCGCAGAAATGGCGGATTCGGCCTCAAATTCTGAGAAATCCAGGATAGAAGGAGGCGTTGCCAACGAACCCTGAAGTGTTTACATTTTTCCTTGATTCGCGTTACATATCTCAAATGTTTGTCTTATCTCTTGATCGAGAAGGGCCGGGTCGAAATTCCCGTCCTCGGAGAATCGGGCTTTGCTGACCGAGGCCCACTTTATGTTTCATGTTGGCACAAATCCGTGATGTAAGCAAAGCGAAATTACAGGGAGCAGCGAAACACGCGCAATTCGTTTCAAGTACTCATTGATCAGGCTTCTAAGCGGCGTTTACACCAACAAAAGCCCACAAACGAGGAAAGGTCACGGAGATAGGATATCACTTTAGGAAGGAAAACATTCGTTCGCATACGTGATGCTTGATGTTGGCGCTAGTTTGTATTCACCGACTGGCAACACTTCTGAAGGCTCCACAAGGGCTAGTCGAGATCTTGCCATAATCCCCGAAAGGATTGCGTACAGGATGGTTCCAGTGCGCCATCGTCGAATCGAGCCCAGATATCTTACAAATAGCTGCCCAGGTAGAAAAGACTGATCGAACTGAAAAACAAGCTTTGCCCAGACTAGTTACCTAGGTAGGCTCAGTCTTCCATTCATCTTCTTCCGTTCTTTCCCTATCTCAGCTTTCATTCATTTACTGCTGGCAGTACAGCAGGGCCGCTCATTATATTCTTTTTCATCACACTGCAAGGATTTAAAGTTGAATATGTCTTCTCGCCAAATCCTGTCTGCCCTTGTGGCTGCGTTGGTCGTGGCTGAGGTGAAAGCCGCCATGGGCCCAGCCTTCAGTACTGGTCCTGTGGCCGATGACACCTTCATCCGCGAGTCTTGGGCCACACTGGTCCTTCCCAACGCCCCAAGCGATAACAGCGGCGTCCTCTCACTTTGGGTCGGAATGGGAACTTCGAACGGGGATCTTGTCCAAAGTATCGCGGACAATTGGGCTAGTGAAAAGTGGAGTGTTTATGCGTACACTCTCATGTCGACTGGCGGTTCGTCTCACAGCCCTGCATATTAATTGCTATTTTGATGATTACAGATTAAACCAGCTGCTGACAGTCATGTACAAAACAGCCAATTCACAAATGCCTGTTCAAGATGATGGTTCAACCGCTGAAGCCGATGCCCACGTCACTTTCCACTGTAAATAAATCCCATACTCTACTTAACAGCCACTAAACCCTGCGTCAGGAAGCTTACAAGGTTCATAGACGAGTACGATGATAACAGTGGCAACTATACCCAAACGGTTCTTTTGAACGGCGAGGTCGTTTCCACGCTCTCCACCAGCGACGGCAAAGCGCAGGGTTGGGGCTCAGCAGTCGAGTGCGCCGCCGAGGACTGCGGTACCGTGCCGGCGCACACCTGGCTCAACTGCAGCATCATCCTCGACAGCGCTGACATGGCCTACTCGAACACTCTCGCCCTCGGCACGGATGTTGAGGGGTCCATGACCAGCGAAGATGGAATTACTTGGACCATCGGTACCATTAACATCCCTGGGTGGTCATTCACCACCGAGTCTGTCGTCGAATCGTCCTCGGACTCATCTGCTTCTTCTCCTTCTGCATCGACTTCCGCCTCGTACAGCACTCCTACTGTCAGCCCTTCGTACGGAGCGATAGGGTCCACCCCATCTGGCACTTCCGATGGAGCTTCTAGCTCGGGCTCTGTCGACACCCCTGCCTCCCAACCTAGCAAAACCTCAGGTGAGGGCTCGTACGGGGGCTCGCCTGGCGGTGCTACACCCACAAACGGCGGTTTTGGCGGTTTCGGATCAGGGTCTCGGGGCTCACGGCCGACTGGATCGTGGGGAAGCTGGGGTGCTCGGCCAACCGGAGGTAAGCGAGTTCATGCATGTGCTCAGTGTTGTTGATCATTATGCTAACTTTGAACAAGGCTTCGGTGGGTTTGGATCTGGGTCCGCTACGGGCGCAGCACCAGACGCATCCGCTTCCTCGACTCCCTCCTGGTTCGGCGGCGGCTGGTGGAACAGCAGGATGACGGGACAGAGGCAATAAGTGACATGAACATAGAGATCGTTTGGCCGACTGTAAAGATTCATTCTTGCGTATATATTTGCTGGGGAGGTGTCGGGCTTCTATCTAAATACATCCGACCTGGTGTCATGAAACCTACCCATGATTTGTAAACAGGAGGCTCGCCACTATATCTTATCATGCACACCTGCCTCCATACTCGCGCTAGCCCTTGTGCCCACCTGGGCACCAACCGCTTTATCAGGCTCAACCTCATCGAGGGACCATAAATTCTCCGTCGCCGAAATTTGGGAGCGCGAGCCTCTTGGTGGCCATGAACCAGGGTCACGCTGATGCTCGCCAACCGATAATCTGCCCACAAGTGCTACATGACTCCAACCTGTCGTGTGCCACATTCTCCTTATTGTCTGATACACTCTGGTAGCCTCACGCCATTAAACTCCAACTTATGCTCTTCGTATTGGTAAAAGACAGCATCTCGTCAAGACACTCCTCCTTTCCCATACCCGATTCCTTGAACCCTCCGAAAGGCACGTTCAGGAAATGCTTAGAAACATCATTTACCCAGACATAACCCGCCTCGACCCGGGCTGTGGCCCTTTGTGCAGTGAGAATATCATTCGTGAAGATGGAAGCGGTCAGCCCATAGGAAGTCGAGTTCGCAATCTCAAAGACTTCATCCTCGTCCTTCCAGCGGAAGACAGACATGACAGGTCCGAAAATCTCCTCCCGAGCGATGCGCATGCTTGGTGCCACATCGACGAAGATTGTTGGCTCCACGAAGAATCCCTTCGCAAGACGCGCATCCTTGAAAGTCTTGGGTACGCCGCCTCCACATCGTATCTTTGCTCCTTCGGCCTTACCCGACTCGATATACCCCAGTACACGATCCTGGGCCGCCTTGCTGATCATGCAGCCCATGGTGGTGTTGATATCGGTAGGGTCTCCTGGCTGACACTTTTTCTGAACCAGCTCGACGGCTCGTGGGATGACTGTGTCATGCAAGCTCTCGTGCAGGAAAACACGCGACATGGAGCCGCAGCTTTGTCCTGTCCACGTGAAGTTCATACCACGCACCATAGCCTGAGCAACCTTCTCGGCATCTGCGTCAGGGTATGCTATGAGGCAATTCTTCCCCCCGAGCTCGAGAAGGCTCGGCTTGAGCTGATCCGCAGCGTCTCGCTGGATGGCCTTTCCAGTGGGCACACTTCCGATGAGCGTCACCTTCTTCACAAGCGGGTGTGCCACCAGTGCCCTCCCGCAGTCGACGCTCCCGGGCAGGACACTGATGACTCCGGGCGGAAAGACGTCAGCCAGCAGCTCAGCCATCTTGAGAACCGCAAGGGGTGCTTGGTCCGGCGGCTTGATGATCACCGTATTCCCAGCTGCCAAAGGCGCCCCCATCTTCGCACCGGCGAACATGAGCGGATGGTTGGACGCGACAATACGGCCCACAACACCAAGCGGCTCACGGACCGTGTAGTGCAGATACTGGTCAGGACGGAAGGTCCCCGGAAGCGTCTCGCCGCGGATCATGGGAATCAGTCCAGCGAAGTACTCGAGGCTGCTGCCTGCGGTGTGTGCGTCCATGATCATCTCGGCCACGGGGTTGCCCGTGTTGTACGCGTCTACGAGGGCAAGCTCCTCGGCGTGCTGGTGGAAGACCGCGGCCGCGCGGCGCAAGTAGTTTGCTCGCTCCTGAACTGTTGTGTTTTTCCAGGAAAGGAAGGCCTCGTGGGCCGATTGCACTGCAGCGTCGACATCGGCAGACTTTGCTTGGGCTATTGGGGTGATAGCTTCGCCGGTGCCGGGACTGATGGTCTCTTGGCGGGAGCCATCTTTGGGTTTGTGCCACTGTCCATCGTAAAAGAGGTCAAAGTGAGTAGGAAGGGCTTCCTTGAGAGGAGGTAGCTTTGGTATCATGATGGTGCAGTGTGATTGAATGACGTGGTTTATTGGATCTTACGATTTTGTCGCCGTTTCCCAGCGTTGAAACTTGTAACTAATGGGGGGAATGCGACGCAGATAACACTGTGACGACTTTGGTTGAAGTTGAAGCGACTTGAGCCATTTGACCTGCTGCTAATCTTGCTTAGAAAAACAGGCAGTTCCACACATCCCAAGAGGGGAACCGGTGAGGAGCTGCGTTGCCGGTATCATGAGCCATGTTGACGTGTTTTGCGGAGAACACCTGCTTTGGCGGACATCCCCGCAGGTGAGCCGCGAATGGAATTCGAACCTATCGGATGTGATTCCAAATCTCACCACTGCAGAGATCGGCATTTCCGAGTATCTGAGAATCGGACTTTCGAGCAGTCGTGAAACTTCCCATGGGGAGCTTTGTACGTGTTTCAATGTACTAGAACTGTACATTAAAAAAAAAACGTGTGAACGCGGTTCAAGGTCAGAATAGTGCAAGTAAGACCGGGCCAACACCAGTCTGTACTGGAAAATTCGGATCTATTTTGTTGAAAAGTCCTACAAGCAGGCCTCTACATACGTAGTGGACTTTCCAATCTGACGGCCTGCAAAGTCTGTTGTCCGAGCAATAAGAACATGGGCGCAGGAAGCTCGGACACTCACTTGACACAAGCGATTGGCAGAACAGGCTGGTTGCGCAATGGTTGTCCAGTGTGCAAAAACGTATCAATGTAACAATCTTTGTTGCTTGATTCATTTAACATGTATTTATATCCTGGGAAACGTGTCTGCTCAGAAAACAGGGCGACGTCTATGAGCCCTTCCAAAGTTGGAATACGATATGCATATCACGTTGCTACTAGCACTTGAGTGGTAGGTGAAATCCGGAGCGTTTGAGAGTCTTACCAAGAGAATGCGATCGGGGGTTCAGACTTAGCACCACTTGGGAAAGGGAAAGAATGGTGATTGAATCGGACTTTTCAGATATCACTTGCACCTTCAACAAATAACAGGGCAGGATGTAGCACAGTATTTGCTGTTCAAAGCCAAGTTGGTATCCGTGGACGTTGGCCTGACAATCAACCTCGGTCATCACAAGGTCCTAGAACAACCTTGGAGTTAAAGTTTGAATGCGGAAGTAGGTTTGCTTTGAAAATGTCTACATCACTCCACAATTTCCACCTAAAGCCGGAACTCATGTCGTGAAGCCGGGGCCTGACGGAGATCTACCGGTTACAGTGTTACCTACGGACTTGCAGCAGTTCTCATTTAGGAAGCCAATCACCACAAGATTGGGTTAGCAGGTGATCCTTGCACCGCAGGTAGTATAATTTGAAAGTCAAAGTCAGAGTAATGAACGCCAAAGGCTATCATGCTGTAGCCCACCGAAGCAGTTAGTCGGCCGACAACCGTAGGGGCATGTCTAAGGCTCGCAGGGGTCTTAAGCTTTCAGGGGCAAGCTGATCCGGTATAGATCGTCCATGAAGCTGGTACCCGCTGCTCTCGATTGCCTTTGAGATCCTATGTGCCTTCCCGTAGACTTTGCCGAGCCTATTTTAAGAGGTCTTGGGCACTTGTTTACGAAGGAACGGCCTAGAAATAGTAATGCACCTGGGCAATATTTGATCAGCTAGCGGTGGCTGAACAAAAATAGAACGCACATAGGCTACCTGGGTAGGAAAGTACCGCACCACCTGAAGCTCAAGTCGAACATTTCCTGCCCAGGTGCTGATTAAAGGGACAAACAATGTGAGACCTCGCCCCATGTCGCGTATTCGGTAAATGAAATTCGATTGGCAAACTCCCAATCAAGGATGGCTGAAAACTATGCCGACTGCACCTTATCTGAACGCTGAGTACAAAAGGTCGCCCATGTCCCCATCTAAGAGATTAGAAGTGCTCATTATATAGCGGGACAGCACTTGAGCCCCTGAGCGCGACGACACACGACTTCCTGTAACTACCCACGGATTGAATTTTGCGCTTGCTGAAGGTCAACAATGAGATTCCTCGTAACCAAGACTATCATCGCCGCAATGTGGGCAGTTTCGGTTGTGGCACAGCCCGGAGATGTAAGTAAAGCCTTCTGATCACAAGCTGGGGTACCTGCGACTGAGAGTGCCCCCGAGTGCCCCAGGTGTGCTGCGGAACTCTCTTGAGATGAGTGAAAGAATTGGACATGTTTCTGATAACAGCGAAATTCATCCAGTGCGCAGAGGGCTGCGAACGAGCCTGTGAGGCAGCTAATGCTCGTCGGTTTTGCTGTACTGCGAGTGTAAGTTATCAAATTTTGTTACTTGTTCTCTTTGAAAATCTACGCTCATTACCCTTTGCCTATCGAAAAGCTAACGCGACCTATCTGAGTCTAGACCTGCTGCTGCATGATTCCTGGGCAGCCCCAGGTCTGTAATTGTTAAGAGGCTGGAAAACACGCTTTGAAAGGAACCAGATTATTAGACGTACACATAGCCTCTACTGAAAGAAGATTGGACCGTCAAGCCTTTCCTATGTTGTCTGAAACTGATCGCCGGGCATTCCATCACATGGATCAAAATTGCCAGAAATAACCCTATGAAGCGCATGTAGGTAGTCATTAAGTGGTTACGTCCAAAGCCATACACGGCACCTTCATACAGTGTTGACGCTCCAAGAAGTACTCTCAGTGATTCAATCCAACATTTTGCTTGACGTGTATGTATTAGTTGTTGGCGCGCCCATGAAAATACGTGCTGGCTCCAGTCACTGGTGCTTACTGGTCACTACCTAGGTACACTCTGTCCGTCACGTTGCAGCGTTTAACATCACTCACAGCCGCTGAAATTATAAAAGGTTTTTCGCACTGCTTTGCTACAGAACTTTTCATGTAACCACAAATCACCTTGAGAGCATCAGAAAAGAAATCATGGCCTCCGAAGACCCTGCTACTTCCCAGACCCGTGCTAGCCAGTTGACACCTCCAATCCGTGATGGAGTCGTGTTCGAGCTCGGTGATGCTCGCTATGTAGTTTGTGATAGTACACCAGTCAGTAACCCCTGAAAGACATCAAATCACAAGGCTCAACTAACAAACACTAAATCGTAGTACAAGCCGCCCTTGCTTCGTGACCAGCCCCTGCTGGTGACCGCCGTGGCGCTGTCGACTGCGGAAAATCGCCCCGCTATGGAACAGCTCGACCTGGTGTTGCGCAACGCAAAGAAGAATGATGATGTTTTTCGTGAAGTTTTTCTCCAGGGCCTTATTTTGTTTGTCCCGAAAGGCCACGACCAAGAGTTTGCGAGAAATGCACGGACGCTGGTGTCTGATCACGGCAATATTTGGGTAGATGTTCAGTCGCAATCGGAACAGTTCTTGACCCCAGGAACATATGTCGTCGAGAAGTCCGTTATTTGGCGTGTGTGTCGGCTGTATGAAGATTTCCAAAAGGCGTTCTTGACGGCATTTACACCAACAAATTCTCGAGGGTAGGAGGTTTACCATCCGTGCCCATCTTTATCACGCTGGAGACAATGTGGGTTTGAGAGACTCCGAGAATATGCTAATACTTTGCAGATCACCAAAAGCCTTCGAGCAGCTGCAAGTTGGCGGAAAGACGTATACAACTACAAATGTTGCGGTGCCATCACGCCTGCAGTCCAAGGACCTCAGAATCGCAGTCAAAGATGTCTTCCGTCTACACGGAATGAAGACGTCACTGTGCAAATCCTCCTACTACCATCTATCTACCCCAGCCGAGGAGTCAGCGGACGCAGTACAGACGCTTGTCAACGAAGGACACTGTATATTGGGCTTAACGAAGCTCAGTTCCGTGATTGCGATGGAGGAGCCGTCCGACGCAGTCGACTTCCAGACTGCTTTCAGTCCACGGGGAGATGGGTACCAATCACCAGCGGGCAGTAGTGGAAGTGAAGCTGCTGTCGCATCTTACGAGTGGCTTGACTGCGCAATCGGTAGCGACACGTCTGGAAATGGCCGCCGGCCTGCACCGGTGAATGGTATTTTCCAGTTTCGCCCCTCGCATGATGCGGCACCTCTCTGTGGGATGATCAAAACTTTCTTGCAGTTTGACGCCCCTTGCATATTTGCACGAGACCTCGATGTGCTGGAAGACGTCCTATCGGCGTGGTTGCCAAAGGATTACCATGAGCTGGGACAGTCGAGCTCGAATCTCGAGATTATCTACCCACTGGATTACTTGCCAACACGCATACCTGCGCAGACGGAAATTCTCAAAGCTTTTGTCGACGACATGGCAACACATTTAAAGGCCACTGTCAAAATGGTCTCGATTCGCCAGTCTTGGGAAGCAGCACCGACACGCAGTGCTTCTCCCGACATTGAGGATTTTCTCAAGGATGTCATAACTCAGACGTATTATTACAGCTTCTACCGCTCCTCTGACACATTCAAGGCTGATTACTTTCGGAAGTACGGCCGCAGACCTTATGTGACTCCTTTAGTGGAACAACGGTGGGCCTCCGGTGCTGCTGTGTCAGTCGAACAGCACAAGCAAGGGCTACAGAGGCTTGGGATTTACAGAGCCTGGTTGTTGAGACTCTTCTTCAGATGCAAGAAGACCCTGATTGTGCTTCCAATCTCTCCAGTTGAGCCGCACTACCGGGACGAGATAACCCAATCACCGATGTACCAGACTGCCACCGATGAGCTATTTCTTTCCCCGATTCTCCGCTCCCCAGACATCGTCATCCCAATAGGAGAGATTCCCTACCACTCCAAGATCACTGGAAGTCAAGAACAACTCCCGGTCTCAATCAACGTAGTGGAAGCCCCGGGAATGGATCATTGTGTTTGTGAAAGAATGAGGACAGTACTTCGGAAAAGTGGAAGACCTAGTAAAGTAAAACCAGGGAGTAGAATGTTTGGAAGAAGTACAGATGAGATAGAGCGGCAGATATGAAGCAGACAACGAGGCAGACGTGTCGTAATACCTTTCAGTATAAAGATATATTAGAGTACCTAGGGAAACCGGCGATTCCTATCTTAAAATCACTTTACGACAAGCCCTGCTTCAATACCTTCTAACACGCTCACAACTCCAATCGCCCCAGGATCGGGAACCCCATCCTTCAGCGAATCGAACTGCTCCTTTGTCACGTAGCTTGCCCGTCCCAGCTTAGCCTCCATCCGCCTGGTCCCCTCCGCGCCGGTCCTGGCGGCTGAAATCGCAGCCCGCAGATCGTGTGGGTTCTGGTGCAAAGTCTTGACGAAGGGAATCAGAGCATCCATGATTGTTCTTGAACCTTGCTTTGCGCTGGTATATGTGCACAATTCTCCCAGACCCTGCGCCAGTGCGTCGGCAAGGACCCTGGAGTAAGGCGGCCTGTTTGCAGGGCCGGCGAAATTTTCTAGAGCTGTGGACACTGCGTTGAGGAAGATCGCGTAAATTGCACCTGACGTACCACCCATGGTCTCTTGGATGACCGATGCAATCTCCCGGAACGCGACTGCCAAGTCGAAATCATCGGATGATGTGTTTTGCCCATAGATGAGGAGTGCTAGTCTTAAATGTCAAAAAAACGCACTGAAGTCTGGAATTCCGTTTAAGTACTTGCCATTCGCGCCAGCCATGAGGGTTTCACCACAGTCACCGTCGCCGGCAATGGTGTCATATTTGGTGATCAATGGTTCATCAGCTTTGACTTGGAGAGCCACTCCCAATAAAATACTGATTAAAAGCTTTCGCGAAACTACAAATGATTAGCCCTTTAGCGTGTCTTTGAATAGGTACAGGTACAGTAAGAGCCATGTGACTCACATGGTAGTTTGGGAAGGCCACTTGGTTGTATAGCAGCAACGCCTTGATCTGGTACAATTTGCTGGTCTAGGCCTTCCTTGGAGTAGCCAGATACAGACTTAGGCCATGCATTCACCGCGGTTGGAGCGTCGATCAGCTTTTCAAGCTCAGAGTCAAGCTTGAGGAGGGTTAGGGAGACACCGGGACCGTCAAGAGCAGTGACATAGCTGCCGATGAAGACTCGGTGTATCTCGATTGCGGTAAGGCTGAGTTGGCGCAGGATCTCATCGGCAACAATGTGAAGCTCGAGGACACTCAAGCCACCCAGATTGTTGACCATGACAGCTGCGGCACAGTCCGTGCAACCATTTAGGCCTTCCAACAGCATCGTTAATAGCTTTGCCACCATATCTTCCAATGGGGCGATTTTGGCACGTTCGGCTCCTGGTTCATTGTGTATTCCTGTATCAACCGCATTATCAGCCACCTGGCAACCGAGGAACAAGATGAGACGTGGGCAAAGGGGACGAAGCTTTTATGGGGGCCATACCCATGCCGTACTCAACTATCCCAGGGCTGAGACACTCCGAGTCTTGCCCCTCGCGTTGCGGAACATTACACCGGTCAAGGCTCATCGCCACCGTTGCAAGGGAGTCTGCAGTCTTCTGGGCGATGCGAGTGACCTCGGTCAGACTCATCCTAAGAAAGAAAAGACATCATGAGAAGATATTCTTCTTGCGGAAAACACAATAAACAATCCTACCCTTGAGCAGCTGCTGCGCCGGCAGTCTTGTGCACGAAGATAGTTCCAGCCAGGCCACGCCGGCCAACAAGTTGGTTGTTTTTGATTGATACATCGTCGCCGACAAAAACAACACGGACATCTCGTCCCTCGGCCTTAGCTTGTTCCGCGGCCAGACCAAAATTCAGCTTGTCGCCGGTATAGTTCTTGGTTATAAGGAGTGTTCTATTCAAGTTAAATATCAGTTCATTTGCAATGTCTCGAGCTATATTGCAGGGCCTTTGTGGGCTTACCCCTGGGGAGACTCAAGCGCCCGAATTCCGGCCAAGATCTGCGGCGCCGACGGCGAGGCGAATATGTTACCAGCAACGGCAACATCGAGCATTCCTGCACCGACGAAGCCGGCATGTGCTGGCTCGTGGCCGGAGCCACCACCCGAAACAACTATAACCTTGTTCTCATCTTCATGGGGTTGTCGATACAACACTGGAATCGGTGTAAGTCAGATTTGGCACCCTATACGAGTAGCTCTGCCCGGACGCGGGATCCGCTTTCACCTTTCTTCTCCGGTATCAATCGTAAAGAGCTATTGCTGACAAGCAGGCTTCGCAGTAGTCGGACGACTAAATCGTCTGTATCGTTGATGAAATGCTTGCCTGCAGAAGGTTCATTAACTAAGTCATGGCCCGATCCACTCAATCGCAAGAAAATGCCATAGGATAGATGATACCTTTAGCCATCCTTTACCAGCGTTGCCGGAGTCGAAGAGGTGCACTTGCAGTACCCGATACAGGTATCGTCGAGAGATCCTAGAACCTTGGAACATGCCTCTCCATCTAAAATCTTCGCGATGCCTTGTTAAATAGTAGGCACAATTGCCATCAATGAAACTAGCTATTACAACCGACAGCATGTTCACAGCTGCCGAGGTCCAGGGTTGGCAGAGCGCCCTCCTCATTGTGGGAATTTGTGGCTAAAATTACCGGTTTCAGTTTGGCAATCCTGTTCAACCTTTTGAACACATATCAGCCGCACCATTGCCCAGGCGACTATTTAACGATTCTTCGGTGTTGTAGTACCTCAAGGGCACGGGTATTGAGCCCAGGCGAGTGGTGGGTGCCACAAAAACCCTTGCCAGTCTGAATCTGGACTGGTCGAAGCGAAAAGCTTCCGCTAGTACTGTGTGAATACGTTGGTCAACCTTGCGCTTACAACTGCCTCAATCAGAAGTATGACGCTGAAGAGCTCTATCGCGAACCAGAGGGCGTAATCATTACTGGACCTCTGTTATGATATTTTCAGAAATTGCGCAACACAACCGCTGGCCGCAGAAACATTTTGCTTTTCTGACCAATTTGGATATCACCTGCACCCACTTCCCCAGAGCGCTTAGACATGCCTGAGCGGGTGGTGACCCGGCCGCTAATTAAGCAGTGCTACGTGCGGCAAGGACTGCCCAATATTCAAGTTAGGCAATTCGAGCCACTAGTAGGATAGCAAACACGTTCACTGATCCCTCGTTTTGCGAAATTCTATACCCACGTGCACAACCAGCCCTTTCTGCTGTTAATAAGCGAAATATACAACAGGTGGCATAAGTTAACTGGAAGGCCGGCCTGGGGCCCCAGGTAATGCGTGTTCACCAGTGCACCCTTAGAATGCTGCATTTAGATTTCCCCTACGGTCCACGAGTAGCTGCGTCGTATGTTCACCCAGTGGATTCAGTTTCAAAGGGAATTATGGTCTCAGGAATACCCACGACATTCGAACACTCACACTGATGGTTACCACAGTCTGCTAAGAAATTCTACGGGATGGAAACAGAACGAGGGCGTCAAGTGTTCCAAATATTAGATCTAATCCAAATCTCCTTCCGACTTAACTGACAATAACCACTTTCACTTCCTTCTTCGCGTCGGCTTCAGCTATGCGCCCAGAATGCCCAACATCCTTCCCGTGCAAAACAGGGGGCCGCACATCAAAGTCATTGTCAAAAAGCATACCCAACTCTTCCAACGAGTATCCTTTAGTCTCGGGAAACGTGAAGTAGATGATTGCCAAGCCAAGAAACAACATGCCTAGATAGAAAATAAAGTAGTAGTACCCAATTCTTTCCAACGCGATGGGGTTGACGTATTGATTCACCGTCAGCATGACCTGGCCGGATAGCACTTGTAACGCCAGCCCCTTCGTACGCATGCTGTATGGCAGGATCTCCGGTGTGTAGCAATACAGCAACGGGTTGCATGCAATGTTAAACGCAGCATTGTACAAGAATAGGAAGATGACTGTCCCGTAAGCTGATGCCTGAGAGCCATGTTTCGCGTACATGGCGCTGGTGATAGTAACAGGGACATTGGCCAGGATCATTCCTATGAATGAAGCGAGCCATAGCTTCCGCCGACCGACCCTGTCTGCTAAGAAAGCGCCGGAGGCTGCGCAGATGAGGTTCCATATTGCCATACCGCCGTTGATGCCTGTCTGTTGGGTTGTGTCTGTGATGCCGACAGAGTCCAGGATTGGAGAGAAATAGTATGATATGACACCCTGTCCGTTCCAGAGTGTGAGCACAGCCACTGAGAGAATGATACCAAGGCGTCTTCGATTAGTCTTGGACTTGAGGATGATCGACCAGGAGCTCATCTTGCCCTTCTCCTCCAGGGCCAAAGCCGTCATGATTTCGTGCATTTCCAGCTCGATTATGGGGTCGTTTGAATCGCCGTTGGCATGGTATTTGGAAAGGAAAGCTCTTGCTTCCGCTTGACGTCCCTTATAGCAAAGCCATCGAGGCGACTCGGGGATGAAGATAGTAGCGATCATGAGGATCAACGGAAATGTTGCCTGTACAAGGGACGGGATACGCCAAGACCATGAATTCGACAAGTGGCCAGTTCCAAATGTCAACCAGGAGGCGATGATGGAGCCGACGTACCAAAGCACATTGAACTTTTCAACCGGATTGATTAGTGGCGTCCAAGAAACGCAAAGGCATGGGAAACCAAATTTCTCACCATCGAAGACACCTTTCCCCGTAGTCGAGGATGGGCCAGCTCGATCAGCAAGCTGGGTCCAGCCGTCGTGGTGAAGGACAGGCCAACACCAATGATGACACGTCCCCCGATGAGAATGCCCCGGCTGGGAGCTGCCGCTTGCATAACTGAACCAGTAAGGCCCAAAAATGACCCAATTTGGATCGCAAACCGCCGTCCGTAGCGGTCGGCTGGTGCCGCTGCAAATAGTGCGCCGACAAAGCCACCAACAAAGACCATGCAAGTGATGAGACCTAGAATCTCAGGAGATGGATTTCCCATAGCTGTATGGTTTCAGCATCGCATAATACTGACGGAATAGGTGGACTTATAAGCCTACCATCCTGCCAGGGTTGCAGTGCCTGGAAAGAACCAATTATGACTTCATCGAAACCGACGGTGATCTGAGCAGCCGAGATACATATCTGCCAGAATATTAGCTTTCTCAGACCGCCGTCTTTCCACCAGGGCAAACTGGATTTGCTTGCGAGATCCAGCAGGCCCGGATCTGTTTTACTCATCGGATGATTTGCCATGGCTGCAAATATTGGTTGAGGGTCCGATGTGGCGTGACAATACCAAGCATCCATTTAGCAGGTCGCTCAAGAAAACCACCTTTATAGGTGGCTGCAAAGTTTAGGCAATTGTTGCTAGCAATCCATTATCATTCGGGATCGCCCATTGCTCAGTATCGCCACGGGCATCACAAACTCGCCCGTGACTCGCCCGGGCGGCGCGATAAGGCTGCATGAGGTTGGGCTTTCCGGCCGAGTCACGGACCGGGGAATGCCGCCCCTCCAGTTGACAGATGAATTGGTGAGCCCCGATGGCGACAGGCTACACACTTGTTGGGAATAAATAAATAATCTGCCACTGCCATCATGGCCACAGATCACAACCCCGCAAAGTAGTCAGTTATTTTATCTGTGCCTTCGTCTGAAGCTCGTACAATGGGCAGTATCAGTTACGAATCCGAGCCTCAGATCGACGACTCCATCAAGCACGGAGACTGGCGAGATCAGCTCATCAATAACGGTTATGTTGTGCTGAAGAGTGTTGTCTCGCCGGAAAGAGCCGGATACTATCTAGATAGTATCTTTGACTGGCTTGAAACATTCCCCTTTGGTTTCCGCAAGGATGATCCGTCTACCTGGGGCCCGGGTCATCTGCCGGCACACATCAAGTTTGTTTGCAGATCCTCCATGACTTCTTAATGATGCTAATTAGAAGAAAGGGGCGGGATGTACCACGCATACTCTGTTGCTCATGAGAGATTCTTTTGGGAAGCTCGAATGTACACTAGCTCCATCTATGCAATGAATCTCCACAACCATTCACCACTAACTATAAACTACAGGGAACCCGCCATCATCGATGCCTTCGCCAAGCTCTGGCAGACCAAAGACCTCCTTGTCTCCTTCGATGGTGTCAACTTGACCCTTCCAGCCAAAGATCGAGAACCCGTCATAGCATGGCCACATGTCGACCAGAGTCCCCTTCGTCGAGGTCTGCAGTGCGTTCAAGGGATTCTGAATCTGACCACCAACGGACCCAACGACGGAGGTCTTATCGTTTTGAAGGGGTCGAGTAAACTCAATGAGGACTTCTTCAGGACCCATAACAAGCAGCGAGAAACTTGGGGCCCAGCCGACTGGTTCGGATTCACGCCGGAGGAAGTCGAGTGGTTCAATGAGAGAGGCTGCGCCGCGGTCAAAGTCTGCGCTGAGCCGGGAGATCTCATCTTGTGGGATTCGAGAACAGTTCACTATAACTGCTTGCCAGAGAGCGATGCGATTCGCTCAGTGCTGTGTAAGGCGACCGAGTCTACTTCTTCCAGGTGGATTGCCGTGTCTAACAAGACCTCTTATTCCCTCACAGATATGTGCTACTCGCCTGCCTCATACGGAAGCCCGGACGACCTACAGAAGAAAGCAAAGTTTTTCAAGGATCGGAAGAACACGGTTAGTAAATCCATCAGCACCTGCCCTAGGGTACCTTCCCCGAAAAGCCACCCCTAATCACTGAACGGAGCGCTTCTGACGCAACCTTGGCATAGACTCACTGGCCTCATGCCAACATCTACCGCGATGAGCGCAAAGTCATTCGTCTCGGACAGGAAGAAACATACACAAGAGACAGACCGATCCAAGAGCCAGTTGAGACTGATATACTGCTAAAGCTTGCGGGGGTGGTGCCCTATGGATCGTAAGAGCATGTGGAAGCACCTAGTGTTGCAGCCGCAGTTGAATCCATGGATGAAAATTGACCAAGAGACCGGATATTCGCACCCGCAAAGACGGAGGGTACACCCATACTAGGCAACTTGGAGATCAAAGTACTCAGGTTAGCACCAAACCATTTATCTCATAGGCTTTTCCCATAGCATATTATTCCATAGGATATTATACTATAGGAGTTTCAAAGTTATTCCTTGGGGCTTGGGTGTACCCCCCCCCCTTTGCGGGTGCGAATATCCGATCTCTTGACCAAAAGCTATGTATGACTACCTAGTGGTTGTGGATGATGCCCTCCAAGAATTTGATCGCTTGCTGAGCAACAATATTTTGAGCCTGGACGCCTTTGAGAAATCCCAGTCCCTGTTGTATCTCATCAGAGAAGTCCTCTTCTGTATGCACAGATTCAAGTGCAAGGATAGCGGAAGCTGTGAATGTATTCATGGTAATTGCCCTAGAAACATTACTACTCCGCTTGCAATCCATGTGGAGGAAGCGCTTACCAGGGGCGTAGCTTGGACGCATCTGCAGTCTCCGACAGAGTTGACTGGATGAGTCCTCTGGCCGAAGACATGCAGATGGCCCTCGTCCGAGCACCGTCGGTTGATCCGTCCAGCCAATGTTCCTGCAGCTGGCAGCTGACTGCCATCCGGTAGTAAAGCAGGACTTTGGCCAAACTCTTCTTCTGCCACGGTATGAATGGATAATGGGCGTCGCGTGCTTGTGTAGTGGGTGTGGACTTTTCGTCGGATTGAAGATATGAAGGAAGGTCGACTATCAGGTTTGCGAGTTGCTCATCTGCATCAAAGACGAACCGAGCAACCTCATCAGCATCCCACTGACGTAGTCTGAGCGTGAAACGAAGTCGGTGGTAAACTTTCGCGACCTCCGCGATCGCGATGTGGTATCTAACCGCTCGTGGCTTGGATTTAGGAAGTCTTGATCCTCCCGATACACTCTGCAGCTCATCATCGTCGACCTCATCTGGCAACTTACACGAGAAGTCGATCTCATGCAAACAGGGATGTCTGTAGGGTACAGATAGCCATTGGCAGATGACCAATGTCCACCAGAGTCTGCGTCTTGTCTGCTGTTCGCAGTATGTTTCGTCTGCATTGTCTTCGTCGGAGCCCAGATTCAGTTGCTGGGCCTGACGGATTGCAACTGCACACATATTGTGATGGAGATGAACATCGCCCATGTTATTGAACACAATTTGCAGGATGGCAATGGTTTGGGACGTGCGTACGTCCGGCTTCTTCATGTAGTCGGCCCTGTCAAGAAACAACAGCGCAGATTCATACCAATTTTGAAGAAGGCTCGTGAAATCCACACAAGCTGGTCGCCTCTCCTTGTTCTCATTTTCATCCATAAACATCAGTGTTGAGGCCAAGACGCTGAAGTAGATTGCCATCCATGATGGGTCCATCTGCGCAAGAGACTCAGACTGGTTCGCTCGGATCCTAGCCCAAAATTCCTCGTGTTCGCGTCGGAACTGAGGAGTAAACAACGCGAAGTGGATCCAAAATGTCCACTGAAAGGCATTCTCGACCATGTTCTGACTGAAGTCCCGAGAAGGCAAGATAACATCTTTCAGTTCACACACAGTCCGCGGCCTCGAAGAAGTTCCAATCTCGTCGAACAGGCGCCGCACTACGTCTTCGGTGCGCCTTCTTCCGTGCACATTTAGCTTGGGCGTCTTTTCTGCGTTGGTCTCGGGAGTGCGAACATCTGTCTGCGCGGTTTGCCCGGCGAGCATAGCCCGAAGCATCGCGTTCTCCTGCAGAAGCTCGGCATAGTTACGGTATCTGGGTCGATGTGAAGGCGCACTCTCAACCAGATTACCCCTCACCCGAACAAGCTCCAGTTTGCACGTATCGGCTTGTCCTCGATGAATGCATTGGTGGCATGGCAATCTCTTATCGCACCTGACTTTCCGCTTTGCACAATTGGTACAGGTCCTCGGTGGCCTCTGGGTGGCTCGAATCTGGCTTTGCATGTCGTTACGGAGAAGTTACCCCGGCATGGCAGCTTAATCGGTGATGTGGTTTCGTCTCCAGTTGATCGATCTTGAATTGGAAGCCCTGATAACGGGGGAGAAAGAAGTTTAGCACCGGCAAATACGGAAGCTTCAAAGGCTACAGGCTGACTAATAGGTCCCCCAGGCCAAATTGCAGCCCATCCATGGATTTCGCATCTTCACTTGAGTGTATTAGGCGGAGGAAGCCATGTAAGACCACCATTAGCGTTGCTGGCAATGCTACCTAGGCGAGTATCTAGGTAGTTCCATTCATACGGGCCTCAACTTGGACAGCCAGAATCACGACTTCCCTTTCCTGCTTTGCTCGCGGCTGGGTAGACACGCCACATCATCCCCTCGGAGTCAGTCCGTTATCCCAACACTGTCCTGTGGACTTCTGACCTGTGAAACCGGGATACGCGATGGCACCAATAAACTGACATAACTCTCCCTTCTTGAAATTGACCCCATGGCAAAACCAGTACTCATCCTGCCTCTTGTTTTTCACCCTGGTCTTGTCAAAAGACCCCATGCAAGCCCGCATGCACTGGGAAAAGCTTCCACTGGCCTCGTTCACCAGCCTGGTCTGGTTCGCGACCTGCGGCACGCATTGCGCCCCGCAGATGGCCGTGCCGCCGCGCCATCCCGCATTTGCTGTTGCGCTGCCGTCATCCCACATGTATTCATCACACTGGCACAGCTCGTCCGCGTCGACGTCATAGTAGGGAACCAGAGAGCCTGGAATGTAACAAGTTGGCGTTGGCTGGGGGTATGAGGTCCGCGTGGCTGAAATTGAGACACTGCGTGTGTGGTTCCCATGTGATGGTCGGCGACCCTTTCCTGCGGGGTATTGAAGACCACGAGGACCCGGACGATCGTTGTGAATGGTGTCCCGACGATGGATGAATTCTGCGCTACGGTAGGCGATTGGCTTGTCGTTGTCATCGAGGTTTGTAAGAATCAGTATAGTGAGGATTAGGACAACGGCTAACATCCCTGTACCAGAGGAGCCTCGAATGGAAAACATGGTTCTGAGCAGCCCAGAATAGGCAAGGAGGGGTCATAGATTTAAGAAGTTACAAGTCTTTAACAGATTCGACTACTCTTTTGTCGAGAAACGCATCTTCTTTTATACAAACCATTCTTGTGCAACCCCAAGCCACACTTACCAGTTGACCGGCAATATTCCCTCATGGCTTATCAATGACACTTGACATATGTAGGGAGGTTCTTTTGTTCCACAGAGAGATGCATGTGCACTTCATTCCACCAGTCAGGCTCTGGCTTAGCTTATCGATTTCAGGATGGAGAGTCTTACGCCAAGGCTCGGTTCCAGATATGCCCTATAACAGCGCACGACAAACAGTGCTGGTCAGCCTCGATAAAGCAAACATTTGACTGAAGGATCTGTCTTGCAGCGACGTATTGGTCTAGAACCTATAAGCCATGCAGGCCTCAAGCACATGTTCTCGTGTTGCATGAGAGGTTCTTGTTTTTTAGCGGCTGTTCGGCACGGGAAGTAATTACTGGCAAGGAAGCGTTCGTGATCAGTGCTGCATAATCTGACTGGGTTGATCCAAAATCAGTCACTGCAATGTCAAGCATGTTAGCCTCGGAAGTTGAACAAGATTTTGAGGCTCCAGAGCCCAGCCTATTCTACCTTGAATCCAGAAGTTTTTAAGACCACACCAGCCGACCCACAAGAGTTACACGTCTCAAATTAACTGGAGACAGAATGAAACGTGTAAATCAAAGGTCGTTGGGTGGTCCCATGCTTAATCCATCTATATCCCAGGGCATGTGCAGTTCCTTTCACAAAGTGGTGCTAACAGACCCATCACAGACGGACAGAGGGGAGACCCCAACACAATGTCGATCAAAGTGGTGTTTCCAGTTCTTAATATACTGAGGGACGAGCAAATGTGGTAAAAGGTACCTAGGTATACTTGCTTGGATTAAGAGAAGTTAGAGTATAGGTACTTAGTCATATGAGGCTATCTACCTAGGTACCGAGGTACTTGGTAGGCAGTGTGAGTACACCGAGAACAAAGAAAACAGGCGTAGCTCGCTGCAGATCCACCATAATTACCAACGTCAGTGCGTTCTGGGGTGTCTCAAGTAGTGTAGATGGAAATGGAGTATCTTCAGCGACGGCGACAGTTGGCAGGGGAATCGAGTGATCTACCTAGGTACCCGGAGTCGGTCTCAAGCTCACATGAGCCTTTGAAGGATCGAATTCATCAATTTTTTGAGAGAAAAAGCGGACTTCTTGGACAGATATCAACCTGTTGTATAAGTTCGCGACTGGTCTATCGCACAGACCCACCGCTTTTCCATTTCCGTCCGACTTCCCTCCCACTTCTACCGCGTTGGAGCAGCCCTGACAGTTCTGACCTTCCGCATCACGCGTTCTGCCCTGTCACAAGTTGCACTCAGAATTGATAATGACGATGATCCCGTAAACCATTTAAACAATGGCTTTACCTATGAGATCTGTTCATGTCCACCTATTTGCGGCCTCATGTCTTCTGTTGACTGTGGCGGCAGCCGACTGGTGGGACGACTTCTCGAACAACATCGCATCCGACTTGTCACCACTGCTGGCTCTCTTCGGTGAACAAGTTACCCAGCAATTTCTGAGCGAATCGACCTCAGTAAGCAGCTTCCAGATACAAATTCTGCTCCTTTTCAGAACACGTATACCCCTTTCAAAGCCTTTAGGGGCTACAAGTCTCATGACATGCTATGGCGCCATTTGGTCTACTCTTCACCATGCTGGTATAATGGGAAGCTGCTCATTCACTTCGTTGATGGCTGACTACCAATGCTGATCTACAGATCTTGGATAACTTCATCTTTGCGATGGCACCCCTTGGTATCGTTACGGCTATAGTATCCGTTATTCGCGTGCGTGGCGGACCCTCCCTGCGAGCCTTCATTGGCCGGGCGCAGGAGGGAGGGGGAATTGCCGAGGTAGAGCTCTGCTCGTCCACGAGCCGAGACGTCTGCGAATTGTACCACAAAGGCGCCATTGTGCGGGTATTCGGCCGACCAAAAATTCTCGAAGTGGTTCATGATGCTGCAGCAGACGACTTTCATTATCGGTGTGATAGACAAGGCCGTCTGAGAAGACCCCGACATGGGATCTACCTTTCCCAGGAGTATTTGGAGGGTAAATCGATCGAAACCTCGACGTGGGAAGAAGTCGGCGAGCGGAATGATATCGAAGCCCGGATGCACGGGGCTGTCAATTTTGCCCCAAACCCGAACCTTTCCTTCAATATTGGGACGACGAGGCGACCTCCTTGGGTCTACTTGCTAGCGTTGGGACTGGGCATAGCCACCCAGGCGTCTATCGTTGTTTTTGGAGGCCTCGCTACATACTTTTGGCAGTGGCAAAAGGACGGCGCCTCTCCGCCGAAATGGGCCTTTCCCGTAATGACAGCTGGCACGATAAGTCTATCTTGTGGTATGTTCTCTTGCGCGCTTCTCATAGATCGAAGCTCGGCAGAACGGGTGTTCCGCAAGAGACACAAAGACCACAAGAATGCAGAATCTACTGGCACGGAAGGTACCGAGAGGACATGTCAGTCGACTATTTACATCGTACAACCCGGAAATCAGTCCATCGGTGACCAAAATTACGATGCATTTGCCTTCTCAGATGCATCGAAGCCTTTGACAGAGTACACCACATCTTGGAAGCGAAAAGAGTCGGCCCAACCTAGCGAGCAATGTTTAGTCTGGTTTGCGATTGGGTCAACCATCCTTGGATTCGGTCTGCAATTCGTCGGCTTGAGGGCAATGCATTCATCTGTGTCGATGGTCCTATTGGTCGCGATACTTGTCATGAGCATCATGCGCTCAGTGTTGCGCACAGGAAGATTGAAAAAGGAACAGAACCAGCTCCGAAGTCGTCCCGATGAGGTTGAAGGCCACGAGCTAGACTGGCTAGCGATTGAGATGACCTATGGTGAAAGCAACAAGGATCGTGGTCCATGGTTCCTTGTCAGTGGCCCCTCACAGGAGGAGGAGTCCAAAGCTGACAGTTCGATCAATGATGGGCGAGATGGCGTCAGTCCGGCCAAAGGTGCCAGCTCTTTCAAATCCGTCAGCCCCTGTCAGTCCGTCAGTACTTTGCAATGCCTTGATCCTTTGGCATCTGTAGAGGTGATAGAAGAGAAAGAGAACGGAAAGGCTCTTCTGTGCGCCTTCCAGGATTCATGCGCTGATGAACGACCTCACCACCAAGAACAGGAGAAGAATTTGAGGTTGGCCGAAGCACGTTGGCAGTCTAGAAATGGTTGGGACTCGGAGGTCCAGTTTGGAATATTCTCACATCGTATCTCTCAGCCATGCACTGCGGAAAGATTGTTTTACTATCGCTCTCGACTGGCCGAATTGACAAGCCACTCATCTGTTAACAAGTCAAAAGGTCCTGCGGACTGGGGTGATCGACTAATTCCAATAAGACGACAAGCCCAGCAGCTCAAGATAGCCATTGAGGCCAGTACATCCATTCTCTTCACCCACTGCAAAATCCTTCCAAAATGGAGGAAGGCAAGATCACTGGCAGTCAGTCTGAACGTCATGGTGCCCTCTCCTAGCAACCCTGTAAACTCTCAAATTCACATTTTCGTACGCCAGCCGGACTTCAACAGTAAAGTCCGTTCAGCGGTATGGGAGGTTGATCGAAACGCCCTTGAAGCAGTTCTCGGCCTTTGGAACTGGTCAATAGTCTCAGATCATAAGCTGGAACAAGAAGATAATGCTGGCCTCAAGACCTCTTTGGCATCAGAAGTACGGAAGGCTAGGGTCATTGCCGTGGGGGTTTCAGAAAAGCAACTCGTATCTGCTCAAAATGAGTTAGATACATGGTCAAATGATTTGTTTGCGTTCACAACCAACCAGACGTGGCAATTAAAGCAGGATGCGAACCCACTGGGCGCAAATACGGTCTGGAAAAAGAACTGCGACAACAAAAGTCTGGAGCCTCAGTTTGGTCGGTGCAACTCGGTGAAACAACTCATTCGTCTATTTGGATGGCCAGCGACAAGCCTTTCGAATGATATGTCAGCATTGACTGTTGTTTCCAAGCTCTCAATCCCTACTCTTTGTGCCCAGGAAATCTATCAGCACTTCATTGGGGCAATGGCGACCACACTGGACTCGCTTGGTGGTACCACTAAGCCTCGAGTGGAAGACAATACCAGGATCTATCTGACCAACGACGTAATATCTCGACTTGCGGATTCCGTGGTTTCAAGCGGCCTTGGTTCACAACAGGACGCGTACTCAATTCTGATCCCAATACTAAGCCGTCGATCAAAGCTCCCCGTACCAACCGCGATCATGCCCAAGGTTTATAGCATCGCCAAAGAGAATATGCTCTCGGGAAAATTCGAGGAGGCCGAGAAAGATTTGAGATGGGCGCGGCAAGTCGGTGTTCAAGCGCATGCTCAGCGACAACAAGACTCAAGCTTGAAGACAGCTACTATAGAGCTGGCAGAGTTCTACCGATACACTTGGCGAAAAAGTCTTCTGGAAAAAGACTGTGAGAAGAGAAGACATGTTCGAGGCGTTGGTCGCCGCGGCGCGTCATGGTTGAAAGACATTACACATTCAAAGGCCTCCGATCCATGTCCCGACGAGATAAGAGAGATGATGGGTCGATATAGTAAACTTTCCAAGGAGTGGGACATTCAGATCACCCAATCTGACGCTCCGGCCTCCGAGGTGGTCCGGTATTTGTTCGCGAATCGCCTATCTCTGTGCCTTGCGCTTATCGCCGAAGACCCCAAGTTTGCGGATGAAAAGGGTCGCACGCTGCTTTCTTGGGCAGCTGAGAAAGGCTGCCAAGAGATCGTGCAGTCATCCCTAGCAATTGGTGCTCAAGTGGACTCCGAAGACGAATCGAAGCGGACACCACTGAGTTATGCTGCAGAGAATGGCCATGCCGATGTGGTTCGTGTACTACTACAACACAATGCTCAACCTCTCGCTCTCGACTCGAGACGAAGAACGCCACTCTCGTACGCATCGCAAACAGGCAACGATAGTATACTTAATGACATGATGAACTACCGGCCTGTGACTGCGGATGCCGGTGATGACTCCGGTTGGACGCCATTGCACTGGGCGGCACATTGCGGGATCCAAAACTCCATCAAGATGCTTATGGCCAAGCAATTCGACATGGATGCCACAGACAACTACGGTCGCACACCTCTGATAATTGCACTAGTCAATCGCCACGAAGCAGCGGCGACCCAACTGCTTGAAGGGGGTGCCACATGGGAGATCAACATTGACGGGGAAGAAGCGTGGAAATGGGCATTTTCGAACGGCCACTGGTCATCTGGAGAATTTCTTCTCAATCTTATGAATCGAAAACACAATGGCTTGGAAACATCCCTGATCAGAATCCTGTATATACCTTTGGATCCCATCAGTTCAGCACAGCGTACCATATGCCGTCAGGATGCCTTACACCAGGAGACACCTAGCACATCCCGGCAACCATCAACAGTCACAATATTCGAGCTGACTAATGAAGGCGAACATCGCCCGCCGACAGCATGTACATTGTTAAGGGTTCTTGAGAGACCATATTACCACGAGATATGGGTTGACAAGTTTGACCAGAGAGGAACGAGAGACACGATGTCCCTGGAAATCCGTGAGTCCTGTACTCTGAGGGACAGAGTTGAGCGTCTGTTGTTGTACCTTGGACCGGATGTCAAAACGACAGACCAGATGCTCCTGGGAATCTTACGGGCCTCGCCACAAACTGGGCTTTCTTTCGGGGAACTGATGGCCACTCTTCAGCTCTTGCTTGAGAAAGCTGGCAACGACTTCGTTGTGAGCCGCGAAATAGTGGAGGCAGCGAAGAACAGTGTTCTGGCGACGTCAGCTCTGTCGATACTTCTCAAAAGAGAATGGAAAAGGGGAAATTTCTCCACACAAATTCTCGGGGAAATAATGTGTCTCAGCCGCACCCACGGTCTGAGGAGTATGAAGGAGTACCTCGAGGGCCAAGTCGAAGGCTTTGATGTAGCGGATGGTTTGCTTATTGCGGTGCTCCAGCACGAACAAGATGACCTAATGGGTTTGAAGGTATTATTGAATCACCGAAAGAAAGGCGTCACTGCAAAGACACTTTCTACAGCACTGCAAAATTTATCAACACATGAGGACGGCTTTGGTGGAATGAGAGGCGATGGGTTTGGAAATAATGTTCGTCGCCTGTTCTATCTTCATGACATGGGCGAGCATTTCCACGTTGAGGGACTTGAACTTTAGAACGTCGTATAATTGCTGTCCTGGGGCCTTGTTTGCTCTCAGACTCCCTGTGTAGCTTCAGAGTAAGACATCTCCGTCAGCAATGGCAAGAAATTATTGTACAGTCTTTGTAGATCAATAAGCAATAACTCGGTAACCAAAGTTCCTAGTCGGGACTTTCCTATATATTCTTCACTCATGCAAGATACGGGATTCTACAAGTTCGGCAAGTTAACGGTCAAAAGAGAAAGAGAATAAACAGTGAGAGAACTATCGAGTTAATGAATTACATACCGAGGTAGGAAGGTACTTAAATACCTACCCAGGTAATTAAGTACCTACCATACCGTCAGTCTATAGGTACTAGTTATAGTTACTATAAAGTACTAATATACCTCTTAGAATTAATAGTTATTCTTTTAATAATAATTCCTTTTTTAATAATAAATAATTTCTAACTTTTAATTAACCCTTTATAATTATATATCTATAGGTAGAAGGAGGTTAAAGTTAAGGAAGGTATATTATAGAATCTTTTAATTAGAGAACGGATATTCGCACCCGCGAAAACGGATGGTACACCCGCTGTTAAAATAAGTATATTATTTAATTACTAATTTATTTTAAATAAATAATATTTAAAATATATATATTAAATATCCTTTAAATTCCTATTTAATACTAATATAAAATTTAAGTTTATAATTATTATTATAAAATTAATATTTAATAAATAGTAGTAAATCTTAACTTTTATAAAAAGAGCTATATTATAACTATTCCTTTAACTTTAAATAGGATTTTTTTCTAAGTATAAAAAGTAATATTAAACTATAATATAAAAAATAAGGTATTTAATTATATTTTTTATATTCTTATAACTTTATTAGAAACTAACTTATAGTCTAATAAATTATAATTATTTATTAATTAAAAATATAAATAAAAATATAAATATAATTTTAATTAACTTTAATTTTATATATATAAATACTTAAAAATAGGGTTAAATAAAAGGATATTTTATATAATTATATATTTGTAGATAACGTTTTTTAAAAAAAATAAAAATGGTATAAGCGGGTGTACCATCCGTTTTTGCAGGTGCGAATATCCGTTCTCTTTAATTATTACTTATAAAGAAGGAGAAAAAGTAGGAAATTAAAAAATATATAAAGGGATAGATTTCAAATTAACTTTCTTTTTATATTAAGCTTATTTATATAGAAAGAAAACTAAAAAAGTAATTCCTTTTTAAATAATTTTAATCTTAAAGTAGAAAGTAATCTATTTAACTAATTAATTAAAAACTAAGGATTATCTATTATTAAAGGAGGAGTTATTATTATAAATATAACTATTAATTCTAGTGAGGAACTGTTGCTAAAGCCCCTATTTTCCTAGTACGGTATCTAGGTACCTAGGTAGTTCGGTAGATCCGGATCACTTAGCTGTCTTACTGCCCAGGTGTTGTGAAACACCGACAACTCAATTAGTCTATAACTCGTTATTCTCAGCGTGTCAGTCGCAAGTAGTGGCTAATTCCGAGGTCATCAATCAACGTAAGATTCTCTGCTTACTATATAACAGTCTTATTTCATCACCATATAAATTCAACTGTTACCGCTCCAAGTGTGATAAGCAAGTGGTTGGAAAGTCAAGTATCCTCAGTAGATATATAAAGTGTGTACTTTCGCAAAGCAAGAGTGCAGGACTCTGCTTGCCTGAAGGTGGTAAGATGACAAAGAAGGCCAGATAGAAGATAATCAAAATGTAGAATAACACCTTCGACATATAGAACTGTTCGATTTCAACATTAGGGTCAGGTAAGTCCAAGAAACGTTATTGAAAGCTCTGGGTTCATGCCACGCAACCCGTAGCTTCCTTTATGAGCTGGGCCAACCTCTCTGCACCGGCGCCGCGCATCATGCTGAAATGATGTTCACCTTCCACAATATGAGTAGTAATACTCACACCAGGAGGGAACAGGCCAGCCCATCGACCAGGGCCAAAGTCAGTACGCGGTTCAGAGAGGAACTTGACCCCCTCCTCATCCTCAGCTTGCCCGGCATCTCTGGGCGGTAGCTTTGGATACCGCACACCATCCAGCGCGCACTCTTGAGCCCATATAATAGAAACCTTCATGTCAAACACTGAGTTGTTTCGCGCAGACAGCGGCGGCGCGTGGTAGTCATGCAACAAGTCGATGGTGGCGCGGAAATGCGGGAGAAGCCATTCGGGAGGTGTCAAGGCCCTCGCCCTCTGGTCATTTCCTCCGCCCCTCGCGAGGGCCTCGTTCTGGCCCCTTGCCATCTCGGTCCCGAATACGCCGACACGCGTGCAGTGCGCAAAGAAGCGCTCGGGCAGGTGGTCGAGGCCGCGGTCCGGCGGCGGCGAGTCGATGAGTGTCAGTGAGGCGACAGCCTCGCCAGCGGCCAGGAGCTGCGCGGCCAAGGCGTAGGCGAGGATGCCTCCCGCGGACCAGCCGCCCAGGTGGTAGGGCCCGTGGGGCTGGCGGGAGCGAATGCCCGCGAGATACGACTGTAGTACCTGGGGCAGCGTGTGCTCGTACATGAGATGCGGTGTTTTCATGAAGGGGCTGTTGAAGCCGACTATGGCCAGCGAGTGTGAAACGGGCGGCAGGTCCATGTAGGATGTTGCTGCGCCGCAGCCGTCTGGAAAGACGAAAAGTGTTGAACTTGACTTCTTCCGCGAGCCTTGGAGATAGAGCGACCAGGCCGGCTTCACCGGCTCCTCGTCGGGGCTCAGTTCGACAGTGGTGACTTGAGGCGTGAACTTGTCATCCTTGAAGAAGACCGAGGGCGTCAGGGGGGTCTCATAGGCGATCAAATCAGAAGGCGATGCAGCAAAATCCGAGTCAGTGGTCTCGGAACCACTTGAAACGGAATTGATGTCTTCTTGACTGATATCGTGACCATCCGAGGAGTCTTGCTCGGACGACGGTGGCGTCAGGTTTCCACCTGTGGCTGAAACCGCTACCCCAGGCACGCGTTTCTTGATGTCGCCAATGTAGAAGCATTCTTGGAACAGTGCTCCATCAGGTAAGTCCACATCGAGGTCATCACGTAGCCTACCACAGACTACCAGAGAAAGCAGAGAGTCGATGCCGATGTCTGCCAAGTTGACATCGTCGCCCAGTTCACTTCTGTCTACTCCGCTTTCTTCGGATAGGATGTCAAGGACTGTTTGCCATGGATCATTGGCAGGTACCACTGGCATTGTTGCCTCCTGTGGCGTGATGACGACCACAGTAGGGTCTATCTCCACCCTGACCACTGGCTTTGCGGACGACTTTTTCACTTCCACCGTAGCCGGAGTGGGGTCTGACAGCCTGGAAGTGGGAATAGCATTTGTCGCCTTTTTGTTAGCGGACTTGATGATGTATTCCATCAAGCGTTTCTGTACGCCTTGGAGCTATTGACAGAGCGAAAGTCAGCATCGGCATGCGCATATTGGGAGATCGAATGAAAATGCTGGAGACATACCGCGACACCGCCAATGACACCAATAAGCTCATATTTTTCGTCAAATATCAAGACATCGCCTGACCACAAGTTATCCTTGCCCTCGTTCATCTTCACGTAAGAGTGGTAGGTCGCCTTGGGGTCAAGCTGCGACCTGAACAACCTCATGGATGCCCACCCATGGTTGACATAGAGCTCTTTATCGAGGTCAACGTTCTCATTAGCATTCATTACAAAGCCACCCAGCTGTGAGAAGGCATCCAAGTACGCCGGGTTCATGAACCACAGGGAATCGCCATCGGAGGCCGTGCTGCTGAATGAGATCGTGCCTGCGGCCTCGAGCGCGTCATTGTCGAGTGTGATAGCGCTGAGCCCACGGTACTTAGGCGCAAAGTCCGCCAATTGGCCAACCATCTTGTATATCATCCCTGTGCTAAAGCGGTACGTGTTGCTGTCAGGTTCTCGCGACTTGTCTGCCAGAGAATGGATGCGCTCTCGGGCGGTAAACGCAGCTTCTTCAAAGCGAGGTTTGATTGCCCTGAGCTGTGCAAATCGTACAGAACAGGTTGCATGAACTTGTGTCTCTTTCCCATTGGTCTATAAATAAATAATTTGTCAGTCGCATCATACAAATATAGCATGCCAAGATCAACAGTAATTTGAATTTTTGGACTTACGTCGACACTGAGGAAGGAGCACAAAAGAGACTGTGTGTCCCCGTCTAGCTTGGCTGAGGTGCGAAGGGTCTGCTCATTGCCAGCATCGTTTGCGACGAGCGCGGCCATTATGTGCATATCTGCTATTTCCGTGGCCGTTTCCCTCTCATCTAGGCCAAGTACCCGTTTTGTGTAATTACCGATCATCATAGAAATGTCTGCGTAAACCGACTGTGCAGTACGTAAAATCATAGATTAGTATTCGGCAACAAATCGCTTGATGATGCACGGCTGCGGCTTGGAGGTAGTCTTACCGGAGTACATAATGGAACACCGTAAACCTTGTGTCCCTGTGCCATCTCGTGCACACCAATATGGTTGAGGTCGAGGTCAACGATGACCTCTCCACCTTTCGATCCAGAGATGGTATTCTTCTGGACCTTGTAGATGTCGGAAAATGCCAGATTTGCAGTGAGAACTAGTGGTTCATCACCCTTCCTGAGGCTCCAATCATGGACATACTGCAGCCAATAGCCCTTCAGCGTCCAGCCATACGCTGGAAGCTGAAGGACCTCATGGCACATAGCAAAGTCATTGTGATATTGATCCCAGTTAAATGTCGATCCTAAGGTGTATATGCCCGCGAGAGCTTCGCAGAGGATCTGCCATGTATCCATTGTCTTGTGTACCGAGGCATAGGTCTGCATTGAAGGGCCAACAACTTCTTTGACCATGCGCGTGACGACGGGGGCTGGGCCTATTTCAATGCCGACGGTCTTTTCATCAATAATACCTTCTGAACTGGCGTTTGTCAGAGCCTGAAGCATATTGACTGGGTGGCGGCAGTGCTGAACGAAATAAGCTTCGCCAAAGTCTTCACCAGAGTGGAGAACCTTCCCCCGAGTTGGTGAAATGACCGGAATGGTGGGTTTCTGAATTGGACACGCCTCAGAGACACGGAGCAGATGACCGAGGATGGGGTCCGCTTGAGAAGTGTGGAAGGCGAAGGGAGAGCCGAGAGAGTGGCACATGATACCGCCGGCCTCGAGGACCATCTTCGCGGCACTGATTTGCGCCACCGTGCCGCCGATGACGGTGTTGCTCTTGCCATTGCGGCAGCAAATCTCGTACGTGACATGGTGGCTAGTTAACGTCGACTCGACCTTGTGCTCACCAGCCATGACCACCAGCATTGTATAAGCGCCAGCATCAAGATACTTGTCCATGAGCTGGGCGCGGCGTCCCACCAAGTGAATCACGCTGGTTTGTGTCAAGGCCCCAGCTGTGTACAGGGCAGCATATTCTCCGAGGCTATGGCCGACCACGGCTGTAGGTTCAACACCAAAAGACTTCCAGAGACGATAGAGAGCCATTTGGAAGCATACATGTGACAGCTGCAGCACCACTGGAGAAATGCCATCCAGAGAAGCCGTTTCCCTGTCCATCTCGAACATTGACAGGATCGAAGGCAGTCCCAACTGCACACACGTGTGGTTGTACCGCTGCACGTCCGCACGGAAGGATGTGAACCGAACGAAAAGATCTGCGCCCATCCCAGCGTAAGGAGAGCCCTGGCCAGTGAAACAGAAGACGAAGCGCGGAGTCTTTGCCGGTATTGGGCTACTCTTCTCACCATTTGACCGCCTATCAATCTGCTTCTGTAGTAGTGTCTTGACATGGTGCAGGTCTGTTGCCGTGACTGCCGCGCGGTAGCGGTGATGCATACGGCGTGCGGTGGTTGTGTATGACAACTTGGCCAGGATATTGATGTCACTCGAGGTCGCTGCTGTTCTGTCGATCCACGCGACTATATTTCGTAGGTTCGAAAGCAATGCCTCTGAGGTCTTGCCAGAGATAGTGACGATATGGAATCGTCTTGGGTCGGGGTCAGACACAAGCCTCGGAATATCGTGGCGACCGGGGTCTTCGAGGATGACAGCAGTGTTGCCGCCTGCAGCAGAGAAATTGTTCAAGAGAACACGTCGGATACCACAATCGGGCTTCTCCCAGGGAGTGGCAACTGTTGCAATTCGGGTGTTGTGTGCTCGCAAATCGGGAAGCCGGTGGTTGAGCTTTGTCTTGACGCCAATATGTGGTGGAATGGTATTGTGCTTGAACATTAACAGCACCTTGGCCAGGGAAGTCACGCCAGCAGCAGCTTCGCCATGGCCAACGTTGGATTTGACTGCCCCTATATGGAGCGGCTGATCATCAGGCCTCAGACAGTATCCAAGAGAGTCGGTGGGCGATAATGTTGTAACCACTGACGTGGTCTCTCCGAAGTCGCCGGCCTGAGTTCCCGTGCCGTGCATCTCAACGTAACTGATATCAGAGGCGCGAACACCTGTAGAATTAAGGACGCGCTCAAAGAGCTCCTTCTGCGCAGCTGCATGGGGTCTGGTGATGGACTCTGCCTCGGCATTGTGAGTCGTCGCAATACCTCGAGGAGGAATGCAGGCCTGGATGGGATCTTTATCTGTGATTGCATCGTCCAGACGTTTCAAAATGAGGGTAACGACCGCTTCTCCACGACAATATCCGTCAGCTTCGTCGTCAAATGTCTTGCAATTCCCTGTGCGCGAAAGGAAATGGCCGCGGTCCAGACCAGCTGTCATATCGGGGTTGGTGAGGACATTGGTACCACCAACGATAGCGGTATCGACTTCACCTCGCCACAGGGCATTACATGCCATATGAAGAGCCGCGAGGCTGGAACTACAAGCGGTGTCAATCGTGAAACTTGGCCCGCTGAATTTGAAGTGGTAGTTGATGCGGCCCGGAATGAAGGCACGATTCCCGCCCGGTATGAAATAGGTGTCGATGTTCTGGGCACTGTTCGTCTCCATCCAGTCGTTGCTGGTGCATCCGAACCAGACGCCTACGCGTTTCTTGTGCGTCGATTGTGTGCGGTTAGGGACGATGCCTGCCTGTTCCAATGCCTCGGTGGCCGCCAGTAGCGCTAAACGCTGCGCAGGGTCGACCTGGGCAGCCTCGCGAGGTGACATGTTGAAGTAGGCCGCATCAAATTGAGCAGCCTGGTGCAGCCAGCAGCCAAAACCGGTGCCAGAGACATTCTTGACCGAAGTGTTGCCGACGTGAGCAGACGCGCTCCAACGCTCAGGAGGAACCATTTCGTGGGTGTCGACTCCGCTTAGCAGAATATCCCAGAACTCTAGCGGCGATGTTAGTCCTGCTACAGATACTAAAGTGTTGGATTCTAAAGCATTCCAAAATATGAAACACGGGAATCCTTCAAAGGTGAAAAGTGGTGCTTACCATCCATAGTGTCGGCATGTCCAGGAAAACGGCCTGAGGCTGACAGTATTGCAAGACGGGAAGTGGCAGTCGAGTGTAAACCACGATGTGGGTCTGGCTTGGTGCCATCGACAGTTAGCGGCCAGCGCTCGCGAACGGTCACCGAACACTTGACGGTACTGGAAGAATCCGAGTCGACTGCCTGCGCAACAAAAAGGCCCAGTCTATCTGCCCCCTGGAAGGACACAGGCTGAATTTCGACAGCCATCGACGGATCGTCGTCATTCTGATGAGCCAGTCTTCCTCTGATAGCTTTCACGTGCTCGGCAACTCGGCCAGGCAAGCTATCGAGAGCAAGCCGGCGCGTCATACAATCCTGGACGGCCATTTCAAGAGCGTCTGTGAAAGTCCTACGCCCGTCTGGGTATTGTCCCTCCGAGCAAGCAGAGAGGACAGGCACCCGCAATGGGATGGATTCTTCCTCAGCTAAGCTCGAGAGAAGAATGCGAGACAAATCTTCTTGGCTGTACAGCACACCAGAGTGGTACGGTGCCGTGATTCGTATAGGCATTGATGTTTTGGCGACGGATTTCCCAACAGTTGATGCCAGGAATTCAGGCACAATATTTGGTGGACCAGAGATGACCGACTGGGTTGTGCCCCCGGTAGCAGCGATATATGGAAGCGCAGTCAAAGGCAGCCCCGTTTGCAAAGCATACTGCTTCAAAGCTTTCTCCATGACGTCCGCGGTTGATCCCGTGGTGACCCAAGACCAAGATGGAAAGACATCGTCATCCTTGTTCTCAAGCTGGCCATGTGAGATACGATCTGCAGCATCCCAAGCTAGGGCTCCGAGACGGACAGCTATTGAGACAGCCTCAAGGGCCTTGAAATTGAAAGTCAATAAGTATACTCATTCAGGGGAGTGAGCATCGATTACGTACCGGCAAAACCAAACTGTTTGCACTGTGGGCACTGCTCACGGCCGCAGCAGCGAGTGCACCCGTGCAGATGCCGACCGCAACTGAGTTCTGCTCCGAAGGATACTCCTCACATCCCTTGGACACCCGGCCAAGAAATTGCCCGAGTTGTGCAATACATGTTAAGGCTTGTATAAAGGCTGTATTGAGGGTGCCATGCCGATATAGTGGTACCAGATCGGCAAGGCTGGCGAAAGACGGGCACTTCACCCTCTGATGTGCTGGAAGTCGGGACACCTCCCGTTGGAGCACATCACAGCTGCGTGACAGGAAGTCAAGGAGGAGAGTGTCATCGCGGGTTTGTGTAAGGCTCAGAATCGTGTCTGCAACGTCATATGTCTGATCGCCAAAAACATAGACGGACAATCGGTTATCTGGAGAAGAATGAGGCATGTTGAGATGCAAGAACAATTGTCCGATTCACGTACACAGCCGAGATGAAGGGCATCGGGCTCAATGGAAGCTCGAAGTTTGTACTGGATATATGTCCTAGCCTTGCATCTCGAACTCGGGGAAAGAGAACTCGGCTGTAACCTATAGCTATCCTCTAGGTGATGAGACAGCGGCAATTGTTCCTGGCATAAGACGGAGAAACAGCTATGCGGTAGCCCTCCGCGCCCTCCGTCAGCCCAGTCCAGCTGGTGAGATACACTGACCCTATGGCTTTGGTTTCTTCCATGGTCACTCGCACACTAATTCCCAGGCGTGGGTGTAGTGCGATCGTAACCAATAGCCAGGATCGCCGAAGAGCACATCGGCAACCGGATACCTAGGTGGATTGCTCGGCACAAATTTGCACCCTCCCCGCCAATTTGGCCCTCCTCCTTCGGTGTCTATACTTGGATCTCGCCACATCCTCCGCTGATTCCCAGACAGCTGTTCAAAAAATAATCCCGTACCTTCTCGCAATACCTGCGGTCTCTCAGCATGGCAAATAAACAGGCTATCGAGCGGTGCCTGGACGCACTCCTATCAAGTGGACCGGAATATCTCGCCGAGCTAAACAGTGACCGTGTTGCATTCGCTCATGGGACAAATGGTTCACACAGACAACATGTACAAAAATCCCATGATTCGCGCAAGAAGCTCATCGATGCCGCTACCAGGCTTATTCAACTTCTCACTGGCCCTGAGGAATATTTGGACCACCTGGCAAATAGCGTGAGTTTCCACAGCAAAGCCCGTAATAAAATTGTCTTGCAGAAATCTCACAGCTAATCGTTCCTATCTTTTCCAGTACCAAGAGCTGACTTGTGTGCGATGGCTCCTCGATCTCGATGTCTTAAAGCATCTGCCTCTCGATGGAAGTTCCATCGATTACTCCCACCTAGCATCGAAGGCCAATGTCCCCGAGGGCCATCTGAAAAGTGTGTCACGAATGGCGGTCGTCAATGGCTTCTTGGAAGAATCCAAATCCTCTTCGCCTGGTATCTCACACACTCTTGCCTCAGCCCAGCTGGTCCAAGATGAGAGCTTTGTGGCTTGGGCACGCTGGATGCTGGACTACTCTATGCCTGTGGCTTACAAGTTTGCTGACGCCACTCGTACCTGGCCCAAAGCCGAATCTAAAAACGAGGTGGCTTTCAATTTGGCCATGGACACTACGGATAATTTCTTTGATTATCTTAAAAAGACGCCAGATATGACTGCCTTGTTCTCGGGCTACATGCGCAGTGTCACTGCGTCACGACCTTGGAGCCTTCATCATGCTGTTCAAAGCTTCGACTGGGGTAGTCTTCCCAAAGGTGCCAAGGTCGTCGACATTGGCGGCTCACACGGCCAGCTTTGCGTGGAGGTCGCAAAAGAATTCAAGAACTTGGAATTCATCGTCCAGGATCTACCCGAGGCGGTAGAGACGGCACGTCAGTCATTCAACACAGATACCAACATCGACCCTGGGATGAAGTCTCGAATAAAGTTCATGTCACACGACTTTTTCCAGCCCCAGCCAGTAGTAGACGCACATGTCTACTTCTTGCGGATGATCATTCATGATTGGCCAGACAAGGAAGCGCTTGTCATCTTGAAGCATCTTCGCCGTGTACTTGAGCAAAACCCGGTCGCCAAAATCGTCCTGATGGACACGGTTCTACCTCGGCCAGGAACCACAACTTGCCGGCATGAACAACGGCTCCGAGTCAGAGACCTGATGATGCGACAGGTTTTCAACTCTCGCGAACGAGAAATGGAAGAATGGACCGCACTACTTGATCAGGCGGGGTTGGGTCTCTCTAATGTGACAATGCCGGACGACAGCGTAATGGGTGTGCTGACTGCGCATCTGAAAGACATCGAGCCATCAGCCAGGATGAGACACCAATCACAAATTAAGCCCCAGGCCACTGAAGATCTCAATGACCAGCCAGTGCTCATTGTTGGGGCTGGGATCAGCGGTCTATGCCTGGCTCAAGCACTGAACAAAGCCCGGATACCTTTCCGTGTTTTCGAGCGCGACGCCGCCCTGGACTCGCGGCCCCAGGGCTATCGACTCAAACTTCAGGCCGACGCGTCCAAGGCACTTGCGGAAATTCTGCCTGAGGATATTTATCAAGAATTCCAGACGTCATGCGCTATACTAAGCGTAGGGGAAACAAACTTCAGTCCCTTCAGCGGCAACATTACACACAGTCGTTCCGGAGGTGGATTGAGTGGCTCTCTTGGTCTATCTCCGACATACACAGTTGACCGAGCAACATTTCGCAGGACCCTGACAAAGGGAATCTCGGATCGTGTTACTTTCAATAAGGACCTTGACAAATTCACCGTCGACGAGCACTCGAACAGGGTTTCAGTAAAGTTCAAAGACGGCGAAGTGGTTCATGGACGATTTATCGTTGGCGCTGACGGACTGCATTCCGCGGTCCGACGGCAGTACCTGCCGTCCCATTCTTTCAAAGACACAGGGGCAATATGCGTCTACGGCAAGACACAAATGACTCCTGACCTCCTCAAAAGCTTCCCTGAGAAGGGCCTGCGTTGGATGACGGTTGTGTCTGACAGCGCTCCCATGCTGCAGTCCTGCATAATAGGCGAGACGCCTGTCACACTCCTCCTGGAGCCCATCCGTTTCAGCCAGAGCAGCCGTCAGGCTCATGGGCAGCGGCTGCCAGAAGACTACGTGTACTGGGCCCTAATCGGGCCGGAGAAGCGTTTTCCACTCGGCGGTCAAGGGCAAAATGGGCTCGGTGGCGTGCACGCCTCGCCAAAGTCTACACTGATCCAGCGACAAGGTGCGACTGGCCATTCTTGTCAAGCATCTAGTCTGGCATTACAAGTCACGACAGAGTGGCACCCATCGCTGCGCTCGGTCTTGGAGCTGCAAGATACCTCCCAGGCTACACTTATCCGTGTGGCGTCTCAGGTCGCTGAAGTTCCTGTTTGGGAGCCTTCAGCTTGGGTGACCTTGCTCGGCGATGCGATCCATCCAATGAGCCCCTGCGGAGGTGTCGGCGCAAATACCGCAATCTGCGATGCGGCCAGTCTTGCGAAGGTGCTTGTCGCATGGAACGGTTCACCTGTGGAAAACAGTGTGGGGGCCTTTGAGTCAGATATGAGGAGGCGTGCGCATGTCAGTATTGTGCGTAGTGAGATTGGTTCCAAGAAGATGTTTGGTTTGAAGTCGCTGGCTGAATGTCAGATTTGGACGGGGTTGTGATTTTGGCAATCTCTATTTCCTCTCATCTTTCTAGTATCTATACTGTCTGTCTCTATCTAAGTACTACCATGCCTGAACATGCATTCAAGGTTTTTCCCACATCTGGGGACCAAATTGACACAGATTTAGGGGCCTTGTTTTGCACCATTGCAGTCCTAGGTACTATATCGTGGTTATTAAATGCTGGAAAGAGCCTGGTATTTACCCTATGCGCAAGCAACCTCCCCACAACTTCACACGCAACTCAAAGCGCGGTGTCCGTGATTTCTCGGGGCCCCAGGGATTAGGCTTGAAGCAAACTTCAAGGATTCAGCCCCGCGAATTCCTCGGAATTCACGCTTGCTTCGGCGTTGGTCACGTCAACACATATAGCTTAGAAGAATACACACTTAAGGAAAGACTCATAGTCCATATAATTATATAATAAAAGAATATATTTATTTTATATACTTCTTACTATAAGGAACGGAATCTTTAATATAATTATATAAAATATAAAATCAAGTCTTTTAATTTAAGTTAATATATTTTTAAAAGACTTTTATATAATTTTAATTACTTAATAAAATTTACTTTTAATAATATTTAATTAACGTCTTATTACTAGTACTCTTTTATTAAACATTTAAATATTTCTTTATTAAATTTAATGTCGATATGTGCTCTCAATAACTACCCTAGTTCCCCTTGTTAGGCTGAGATTGAATCAGCACGGGCGTTCGTCGAAGCCAGGAGATGACAACACACCGGGTCTCTGAGATTTTCGGGGACTTTCATTTGCCCGAGGTGCTTCGACTCCTTGAAGAAAGCGACTAGCAACCGTTGGAGGATAGCTGTGAGGTGGGATTACAAAGAAACCAGATTTGTAAAGTGTGGGATCTGATACGCGTAGAACTGCCATGGGTCTGTTTCTGACTTACCAGCAGGTGACATTGGCGAACCACCTGTCGGCAAAGAAGGTCCAACCCGACAATCACCGAATTCCACACCCGAAGACCATACGAGTTTCGGGCAGCTATCAGTAACGGCTAACTATCCCTACCTCAATAGGTACTTGCTTTGCCGCTCATCAATTTGTTACAACCCCAACATTTGCATTCACCGAACACGGGAATCCAGTAAATACCATGTCTGAGGTGGTCTATTCACGATTTTGTTTGGATGGTCAGCGCATGATGTGTTTTGGGTGGTATACCGAGGCTTAAGCAGTTTACCAGCTCCGCCGCAGACACTTCTCTTGTCACGACACAGGAGAACAAACTGGATTAACTGCCTGCAGTTGGCCGTGACTTCGCGACATACGTTTTCGATTCACCGTCTGAGCATACTTGTACGCCACTATTTTCAACCTCTGAATCCTTTACAAGTGTGAACTTGCTCTCGGATTACAATCAGAGACTCACCTCGGAAAGACCTGACAGTCATCACATCATACACTCATCATGCCCAGCCGCGTGGAAGCCACGGAGCTCTCCGAGCTTGTCTCAATCTTATCATCGTCATCTCATCAATACCGCGACTTTCTATCGAAGCGCGGCTTCTCAGAGCCGTCTCTTGGAACAGAGACACCAAACGTGGAGCTCAACTCAGCCAATGCCGCCTACTTTTCTGCCAGGTCCACTCTTGTCGATGCAGCCGAACAGATCATTCGACTCGTGCGTGGACCACGCGACACACTTGTTACTCTGAGCTTCGACCATTGCGCATCAGCCACTCTGCAGATTGCCTTGAAGCACAAATTCGCCAGTCACATCCCGTTGGAGGGTACGACTACTTACGATGCAATCTCAGCAGCTGTAGCCAAGCCTGAAGTCACCACAGCATTGGTCGAACGCATTCTGCAGCATGCATCCTCCTTTGGACTCTTCAGTGCCTTCTCAGATGGCCGTGTCGGCCACAATAGCACGTCTGCATTGCTGGTGACAGATCCCGACCTTGAGGCTTGGATGGACCTCAGCGCCACGATCGCGTATCCAGCCGGTGCATCGATTCCAAAGGCCCTAGCTTCCTATGGCTACAGCATGGAAGCCGATGAATCTGCCTATGGTGCCTCGATCGGCAGGAAGGTCTCACAATTCCAGCGATTCCGGGAAGAAGACGGACACCAGCTGCATGAGATGTTTGCTCGCGCCATGCGTGGCATCTCAGTGGGCGGTGCGTATGATGTTCGCCACGCCGTGGACGGTGGGTATCCTTGGCATCTTCTGGAGAAGGAAGGCGGCCACTTGATCGTGGATGTTGGCGGTGGTCCTGGCCACGTGGCCATGGCGTTGGCTAAGAAGTATCCATCGCTCCGATTCGAGGTCCAGGATCTTCCCGAGACTGTGTCCGTCGGTGAGAAGAGCTGCCCGGAGGAGTTGAAGTCACGCATCAAATTTCGCCCGCACGATTTCATGACAGTTCAGCCCGGACACTCAGTTGGCCAAGGGGAGTCAATTGCATATTTTTGTCGATTCATACTCCATGACTGGAGTGATAAGTATGCCCAGATAATCCTCCAACAATTAGCAACAGATTTGAGGCCACAGGATCGCATCATAATCAATGACGTGGTGGTTCCCGAGCCAGGCCAGGAATCTCGTGAGAGGGAGCGTCGCATGCAGTAAGTTTCATTATTAACCAATTCTCTCAATCAGTCAAAACTCTGAATTAAGGCTAAGCGTCCCATAAAATTCAGCGATCGGGATTTGTTGATGCTGATGAATTTGAACGGTCGGGAGCGCACGCTCTCCGGGTTTGAAGGCTTATGCAGCTCTGTCACACCTCAGCTTAAGGTACAGGAGGTTCACCGGCCTGAGCAGGGCGAATTGTCTCTGATTGAAATCACACGCTTGGACGTCCACTGGAATACTCAAACAAACGGACACAACTAGAATGCTGAATAGTACCTCGGCACGCCGGGGCGACCTCTGAGAGTAGCTTTCACGTTCGTAATCCATTTCTTGTTGAGGATTTGACAATGTTGGAACCGTCTTGTGTAACAACATTCGACTACTAGTAGTATGTTACCGTTTACCCGGATTTGTCAATCTATCACGCCGGCATTCTAGTCAATTGACAGCTGCCATCTGTCTTCAAGGTGCAGCGCAAAACTCACGTGTCTCTCTCACTTGCATTTTTTGACGTAAAGCTTGCTTGCTTAAGTACCTGATTAGCTATGTGATCTACCGGCCGACAGAAGCCTGTGATGGTTTCGCTTATCGCGGGCGCAAGAAAAGTATAAATTTGAGTTTGTCCCCCTTGGCGCGTTTCGAACGCCTCAGCGACTCCAGCATAGTGGCGAAAGCAAGTAGAGCAGTTTGGTTGGCAATGCGGGCGACAAAGACTCCCAATCACATTGCTGCCAAGAGGATGTTTAGGGCAGGTAGTAGTGTGCGCTGGTGTCCGTTGCATCCGGGGCACATGGCATGATATCGTCTGACTGATGGTGTTGGAAGACAAAATACAGTACAGCAAGGACCACCTCAGTACTTTTGGCGTATTGGAAAGCTTCCAATGTTCCGAATGAGACTATGGCACGTCTTGTACAGATCAAAACTTGTGTCATGATAAGCCGCCGAGTCGCAATACTCGTCTTGAAATCGTCACTTTAGAGTTCACAATTGAGCAGGATGGCATTCGTTCACAGGGATTCCACGGTCACTCCAGTCAGTTTATCACTGCCTTCCACGAATTCCTTCCTGCCGACCGAGATTCCTCACCAGTGAATAGTTGCTGCTTGTACGTCTAAGATAGAGCTCATGTGGGGGTTGAGCACACTTGCAAAGCTTGGAAGCATTACATATTATAGCCTACGAGCCCACACACATGCTCGGATATAACCAAATTGGGAAACATTGTACGAAGCGCATCGGTACATGATGTAGTGGATGCACGGATCTGCATATGTCTGCCATTTCACAATGCAACATCTCAGCCCGATAGATGCGAATGTTTTATCATCGTGACTGAATGGGAAGTTTCGACGGGGCATATTCAAGGCTTCGCTCCTTGTGTCCGACGAACGGCTCAAAACATGAAACTCCCACGTAAGCGGAGATCAAATCTAGACTCCTGGGCGTGGAATTGGCATCCTCGTATGATGATAGTATGAGCCAGGCATGTATCCTTGATACTTGCCTAGGTAGCTATTGCACGGCTAGGTATTCCCAGTCACGGTCCGTAGCTTCGAGAAACGGGTTCTGGAATCGCTTTCCAGGCGCAAAAGACCATTATCGGTGGACGAGCCTGGGCAATTTGATGATTACCATGCCGGCGGGCTTGATACTGATGGGGAAGCTCAACGACTTGTCACATACAGGCGTGGGGGTCCACAAGACACCTACGGCAGGCCGATCTCGTTCGACTGGGAGCACTGCCAAGTAGACTAGCAGTCAAGCATTTTCTTTCCATTTGATCAGGAAACCGACAAGATGGCTGTTTTCCCAGAGTTTTCTTCGGGGCCCAACAACGGTCCGGCTGCCTCCGCCATGATCTCTATTCAACAACTGCCTTGTGTTTGAATAGTACTAGTAATCTGCACGTTGTCGTGCATTTGTGGCGCAGGTGTCATAGACTCTCCGAACGGGGTAAACAAGATTGCTCCACAGGGGAACTGAAAAAAAGGGAAACTGCAAGCCCGGATGTTCCGGTGGGTTGGTCACTTACCAAATCCATCGGGTAGGCTTTGGGTAACTTTGAAAGAAAGCGACACGACGCTGGTCGGCTGTCTGTTTCCTACTCAAGCAGGTATCGCCAGGCCTTCTTTTCAGGTTAGCCTAGGCTCAACATTCTTATCACCATCCCCAGACCAGGCGTGAATGTCTCAAAAGAAGTCTCATATAGGTCTAAGAACTCGGTAATCCATCTTGTGTGTTGTCAACGACTCCAGTGCTGGCTGCCGAGGTCTTGGCTTCATCTACAATTAGCGGCTATCGCGGGGTAGACTATGTTTGTGAGGGCTGAATAATCAGTATGCAACCCACTAATCTTCAAGATTCTGCGGTTGGAACACGCGGGGGGAGTCGAGGTGCCTTGGCCGCGGCATGGTTGCACAATCAGCCTATTGCTTGATGCACCTCACTAGCGGCCTTTGCCAACAGGGGCTAAACGTACACACCCTCTTTGATGTCTGCCTTGGACAGATCTATCAATGCAATAGGGCGACATGCAGGTACTGCCAACCGCAGAGCGTTTATATGGGGAAGTTCGGGTCAAGATCTTGCTCCCGAGTAGCAAAACATGGTACGGTCCAGATCTACAGGAGCCGTTCGTCAGTACCGGGTACTGGGCTGTCGTGAATGGAAAGTCCTCCAACGATAGGGGAGCTTTGCGATCGGCTCAGTAGAATAGGATTTATGTACAGTAGCATCCGAAACGATCTAAATTGGCCAGCAAAGTCAAACACCTCTTTATGGAAGAAGCTGTTCATTCTTGAGGAGGTCCCTAGACGGAGTGGCTGCAACCGCAACGTCCCAACTCAATAATGAGACCCATCATGTCGACTGCAGCCAATGTCATTCCCCACAGTCTCTCAACATGATGTCGATGCACCCTTCTATCAGCCCAGTTGTCCACGTGGGAACCCAACGCAAAGAACGACAGGTGCGTAACTCTTGCAACGCCTGCAGTTCCCAGAAGATCCGCTGCAGCAAAGAACGACCGCAATGCCGTCGGTGCGTCGACAGAGGCCTCGAGTGCGAATATAGCATGTCGAGAAGGACGGGAGAGCGGGCCCGTGTCGCCGACTCGCCTCCACGACTGCCTCGAGTGTCCACAAACGGAGAGAAAGCACCCTCCACAATCACAGCAATTGTTCCAGCTCGACCTCGACCCCCTTCAGAGAACGCTATCGAGCATTCATTGGAGGAGATCTCGGATCCATTCTCAGTTAACGACGAGGAACATATCGGCTGGATGTTGAGCGTCTCGCCCGAGAACATAACACTGCCTGTCGATATGGACCTGACTGCGGATTTGACTCCGTCAATGGAGCAGAGCAACGAGCTCGATGTAGTATCTACAGTTCCTCAGGAATACAAATCGCCAACATACGATTACAACTTCGAATACCTCATCGACCAGACCCGCGAGTCCCAGGCGCCCGGGCATCCCAAATCCCAACCAACTGATCCCGCTGTACCTAAGTCAGATTTTGGCTCCCTTTCGGATACCGGGCTGAGGTCTCTGCCCCTGAAGAAAGCTGACGACTGTTTGACGGAGGCCATTCATATCCTCACAGATCTACACGTTCCAGCGAGGGGTTGCATAACATCCACACACGACGCTACATATTCGATGCAGTTGCAGGACTCTCTCGACGATACACCTCGGGAAGTCGGCATGGTCCTGTCTCAGAACGGCAAGGCACTCCGAAGACTTGGAAACCTGCTCGACTGCCGTTGTTCCCTGAGGCAAGATGTCGCGGTGCTGATCTGCATCGGTCTGCACAAGGCTATCGGCTGGTATGCTGAAATACTGGGAGATGACAGCGGTCCACAAGATCACCCAGCCCGACAATCGCTTCTCTTCGGACGCATCGCAAAAGCCCCCTCGTTCATGGGCAGCTACCGGTTGGATAGCAAGGCGCAGAAGCTCTTAAGTGCACACCTGGTCTTGACACAGCTAGAAGAACACATTGAGCCATTTATGAGGAAGCTGAGCAACTTACAATCGGCATCATCTTCTGTCTCTTCTCCGAGGTCAACGCCAACGTCGAGCACCGACATCGAGTCAAATTTGATAGAGCAGCACCGCCAGACATTGCAGGAGGAGATTGATCGTGTCATTGTTCGAGCTAATAGCATCAAGCAGAAGTGAGCGGATAAGGATCACGTGGTAGTTGAATCATCTTGGATATAGATAATTCATAGCATGGCGTTTCGGCCGTTTAAAGTACTTTGATAGTGTGTCCAGGTCTGGGATTTAGGAAATATTTCATCACTTCCATTAATGGCAACATTGAACTAGCTGATTATTCTACTTCCACGACCTCACAGACGTGCGTGACGCTACTAGAGTATCGTCGTCATTGGCATGAGGTCCAAGACCGCTTATCAGAATGACCATCAGCTCGTTGTACACTCAGGTGCTGCGCCTCATCCAATAGCGCCAGTTGATACCGCTGGCCTCCCCTTCAAGAAGGGGTGGATAGCTTCTCTCAGCACGGTGAGTTCACCGAGTTTTGCAAAATCATCAGATGGGCATCGAGGTGGGCTAGCAACCCATTTCTGAACACCTCCTCTAGTACCTAAGTAGCTGGCAGCTGACGTCATCTACCCAGGCGAGTTTGGCCTGCTCCATATCTTCATATCGGCCAGCAGGACGACCATTTTGTCGCGGCACAGCGCAGGCAGGTCTGATGTGGAATTTGATTGGAAACGGTGGCCAAGAACTTAGTAAGGCGGGGTTCAAAACCACAATAAAGCCCGGAAGCAACCCTGCGAGGAGTGAGGTCCAGTTTGCATTTGGCGGCCCGGGCGTAGGGGTACCATTCCCCGAAGGAAAGGAAAGGTTACGACTCGGACAGCAGTTGGTCGAGTGACCGGGAAGAGGACGTGGGCGATCACGGGGATGGAAGCGGCCACGTTGATACCGGAAATATGTCTGTCGAGAGCATATAAAAATTACCTCAATAAGGTTATTGCAATTTTGTACTGATTCCCTTGAATGTGTGCACTGATAGCATTGATTATTTACACACCATATAAATTTTGCCCCAGTATGCCTACCCTCAACTTGTATCACGGAACCGAGGATGAGCTGTCATTCCTCGCCACATCAAAGCCTAAGGTTATCAAAGTTGGAGACAAGATTGTCAATACTCCTTCCACAATTACCAAGGAAATCCACAACGACGAGAAAACCTCTGCAGAGGAGCAGAAGGCACATCCAGCACCCTACTATGATATAGACCTCAACTACCGCCTGGACCCTGCCGAGGGGGGCACGGAGATTTTGTGGGGTGGTACTATGCACTTGATGCGGCGCAAGTGGAAGGCCGCCCCCGTCAGAACCCACAATGCTCGTGGGAGAGAGAAGGAATTCAGCCTCGACACTACTGGCTTCCAGTTTGAGAATTTGCCATCCTCCTACAAGGGCGTGCCCTGGATGCCCCTGGACGAGGAGCTCGTCAGAGTATATAACCCTGAGGCCGAGGGTTTTATGAGAAAACTGTGAGTTTGCTCGATGGGTCAAAATATCACATAATACTGCACACACTGCCCCACATACCGTGGGAATGTTCCTTCAAACTGAGACAACTGACACACGCCGGCTAAAAGGACCGGAGCGACTGACGTGCGGCTGATTTCCCACCTCATCCGCCAGCGGGACTGGCGCAGCGACCCTGAAGAGGATGCCAAGAAGCCAGACATGGCCATGACGGAGGGCGGCCTCCTTTCCGCGCACTACGTCCACGTCGACCAGTCCTACGACGGCGCCTTGCGCAGGCTGCAGGACGACCTGCCGCCGGGGGAGTGGGCCGACCACGAGGGCAAGCACCGCTGGGCCATCGTCAATATGTGGCGGCCCCTGGAGCCGATCCGCAGGGAGCCCCTGACACTGTGCGACGCCCGGTCGGTGCGGGATGATGAGCTGCATGACACGATGCACTGCGTGCCGTTCCACTGGCCCAAGCCGCCCATGGAGAACCACATGTGGCAAGTGACGGCGCCTGAGTCCCCGGAGCAGCACAAGTGGTGGTTCCGCGGCGGGATGACCAGGGACGATGTGGTCCTCATCAAGATCTTTGACTCCAAGAAGGATGGCAGGGCTAGGCGCGCCCCGCATTGCGCTGCTACCACGCCGGACTGTTTTGGGCCGGCAAGGAAGAGTATTGAGACGCGCTTTTTCCTCTTCTGGGAGGACGATACTTCCGAGTAGCTCCTTGTTATCCCTCTTTCAACCTACCTGGGTACCTAGGCATCCTATGAAAAGTTGGTCTCGGGATAATTAGCAAATGCCAAGGTGCGACGTGTTTGTTCTGCGCTTCAGATTGACGCACTGGCAGCTGCTTGCATCTGTTTGATGTAGGATTTTGCGCAAATGAAAATGGAGTTTCTCGTTTGGCCCTGCACGCTACTGGAACCAACTCATCATTCGATTGATTTTGGGACCATGACCCCATGCAGTGTCAGCACCCGCTGATGGAATCTAGTAACCGGTATCGCCTCCACATCTCATCTCAATGATGCTGGGTCTACAGGTCAGGAGGCAAAGTCGAGTAAAATGGCCAGACCGCACAAGTCTGGTAGACCAGCGCGGCCGCGCAAGCACTGCAACAATGTTTTTGAACCTGCAGAGAGAGAGTCGAGACTCGGGAATTCCGCCCGTGCAATGCGTTGTGTCCGACTGCTTGGCGTGCAGTCTTGATAGATCTCACGCGTGCATAATAAGCGTCATAGATTTCAAATCTGCCCACTCCATTGGACAATCAAGGCATGTCGTCAAAATTGGCCTCGTGCTGACTCATCAAGACGGGGTCACATTCGGCCCCGTCGAGGCACCCTTGGAAGACGACTTCCGAGTCGGGAGGGCCTGTACCGAACACATCGAATAATCAACAATTTGCCCAATGCAACCTGAGGCGGCCATCTCCGGGAGGCAGATCAGATCTTGCATCTGCGGCGTCTCAACGGGCGCTTGTGGCCAGAGACCTGCGTGGTGGGTGGCAACATTGACAACGACTTCGAATGTTGCAACGCCAGTTTGGAACCAACCGACAGCTCTTGGCTCGCCTCACACCAACCACCCCATGGGATATCACTAGCAGGTATGTTGGTGACTTCCTAACCGCAGGATCTGGGATGTCACGGTGTCATCTCTGGATTCAACGTTGTGGGGTTGAATTTTGACAAGCCGGGAATCATTCCCCGACGCCAAGTTTGCCATCCTATCCTTGAGTCGGGGAAAGCAGTTTCACCCAACCTTAGAAGCGAACACGAGCTTTTACTCTCAAGAACTCGGTCACATTCGACACGACCGGCAACTGGACACGATCTTGTACACGGGAATATCGTCCATCGCCGGGTTCCACATTCGGGCGAATCATCTTAGCGCCCGTGCCGGGATTTCCTAGGTAGTTTCGATGTTTGTGGGGGTTAGCCTCACGGAGATTCCATCCAGATGGGGCGCTTAGACCGGCCTGGCAGGTACCATTGTTGCAGGCCCTAGCCGCCCAGGCGCCGCGGCCTTTTCACCGGCTACCTTCTTCCGAGCTCTGAGAGTCACGGTCGTATCTTGGGATGGGCGACTGATCGGAACGCGGAACCAAGCTTTGTCCCGTGAGACTCGCTCGTTCAACTGCAGCATTATTGGGTGGGTGGAATTATGGCGCAATTAGGCAACCATATCTCGAGAGGAACTTTGGACGCGCACAAGAACACCTGGAGCTCCGAGGACGTGTATCAAACAGAATGCGAAGAATATGCACGTGTCCCTAAAACTGAGCTCTACCTGTAGACCATCGTCTCTCGTGTCTTCTCCATGCCAGAATAGTGATCACTTGGACATCATCAAACCGAGGCGTGTAATGGTGCCTGCTTTCCCAGAGTTGCAGCATCCCGGGGCACCCTCATCTCTTGCCTGACATGTTGTCCATCTCCATGTTCTCATCTGCCACTTCACGTGATTTGTCTGTACCTTCCTCTTTTTCGCTATCCTTTGGTCCTTTCTTGACACTCTTCCACTCCACGAGAAGAGAAAACGGGAATGACACTGCTGCCATCACCAATCCAACCAAGAAAGTCTGTACCAAGGCGAAGTTGACATCCTCAAGGGCGTCCTGCAGCTCGGGTGTGCCGGCACCAAAGATCCTTTCCAAATTGCCCCGTATATCAGTGACTCCTCCGCCTCCAAATATCTGCCCTGCCACCGCCGGCCCGAGGCGTTCGGAAAGTGTCTGTTGTAGTAAATTCTGTCCGATTGGAACTGCCAGGCCAAATCCAAGAAGTCGAGCGAAGAGTGTCAGACTTGTTCCCATAGATATCTTCTCTGGTGGCAGGACGGCCTGGACAGCGACATTCGCCTGCTCGGCACCGATTCCAACTCCGACTCCGCCCAAAATCTGGGCTCCAAGACTGCAATATGGCTGTATGTTAGTGGATAATCTGCAATAGTCGGGTACAAACCCTTGACGTGGTACGTACGTGTAAGCCGTAGATGTGCCTGGCTGGATCTTGATGAGCATTGCCCCCCCGGCTGTTGAAAAGATGGGGCCGAGGATCAAAAATGGGTTGTACCACCCAATCACTGCAACTAGTCCACCGGCAATGATCGAGCTGATGGCCGTGCTGATTGAGAGTGCCAACTGCTTAATGCCGGACCCTTCGGCACTGTCTCCATCGATGGACTGGAACCTACCACAGAATCAGCTTCGGCTTCCCCAAAGGAGCTTCAAGTATAGTAGTAGAAGCAGTGAACGGTCCAGACAGAGACCTACCAAATCGGCAGATAGAAAATGAAAATGCCGAAAGCGCCATTGAGGAACAGCAAATACAGAACTGAAGCGGCCACAGTTCGTTGTTTAACGAGACTGAATGGCACTGTGGCTTCATCGCCCTGCTTGTACTGTAGCCACAACCACGGAATCAGTGTACACCCGAAAACCACAAGAACAGCTATCACTTGTCCGCTGTTCCAGGCGTATTGGGCCCCTCCCCATTGGAGAGCCAGCACCAGGCAGACCAAGCAGCCGAGCAAGATGAGAGATCCCAGCGGATCGAATTTCATGATCTTTTGGAGGAGCGGCTTGTCCTTCAATTCGTGAGAATCCACAGCAAGGGAACTTGGTAGGAATACAAAGATGATAACGAGGAACACCGCGCCAATGGGTAGGTTGACTTCTCAGATTAGCACCTTGCCAGGAGTCTGCGGACCCCCGAGTGATGGCATTATGACTCACAATAGAAGCACCATCTCCATGAGACTCTTGTAGTGAACGCGCCACCTAGAACACGGAGAAGTGTCAATTATTCCTGTTTTCGAGATGAATCCAACTCAGTGCGTAGTACTAACCGATAACTGGCCCGACAACAGCGGCAATAGCATAGGCGGCACCACACAAGCCTGCGTAGAGGCTCCGTGTCCTCAGAGGCGTGATCCGTGCTATCAGTATGAACGTGCCTCCAAAGACACCAGCCAGCCCGGCGCCTTGTATCGTTCGTCCGATGATAAACACTGTCGATGTGGGAGCAGCACCACAGACGGCGCTTCCGACGAGGTAAACGACCACAGAAGATAGGTAGACCCATTTGTTATTCAGGAGCGCGTACATCCTGCCGAAGGGGAGGAGCAGCGCCACCGCGGAGATCTGCTCGCCTGTGCTGTACCATGAGACATCGTCGTTGGTTTTGAAGTTGCTCGTGATTGTCTATGTGGTACCGATGTTGTGCGTCAGCAGGAGAGAATTTTTGAAGCGGTTGTGGGTAGAATCAACGGTCAAAGACTGCTTCTTACGGGGATCGCAGCAGCCAGGACGGTCTGGCTGACAGCCACGATGAATATGGAGGCAAAGAGCGATGCGACGATAGATGCCATGCGTAGACCCTGCGGATACTCGGGCTCAACCCCATCTTTTGCATCATCAGTGGTCTGCTCAGCTCGCTGGTGCTGCTGTTCGGCGTCCATGGCGGCAAATCCCGAGCACAACCTCGTTGGTTGATTTGGCCACGGGCTGTCGAGTCCAAGAGCGAAAATATCAGTAGGTCAGAGAACTGCGCTCTAGTTGTTCGGGAATATACTTTTGCAGTAAACTAAGGGTGGTGTAGGGGGACAGATGTTGGTTTTATTTATTGGGTCCTGGAAACTATCTGGTCCTTTAGGATGGCTGTGTAAGTATAGAATGACTTAGATCGGTGGTTTGTAACCAGCATCAGAGATCCGACCGCACGCATGACAGGGGATGTGGCACATTCGAGGTTGCACTGCGGCATTCTCTGTGAGCCGGGTACCGAAAATCACTCAAACGCTGCGCCGTCTCGTTCTTGGTCCCCATCAATGCTCGGTAGGATTAATGCTCCGTTAGTGCTGCGGCCAGATTTGTCCTGATCCTTTCTTCAAACTACGTAAAAAAGCGATATGTTGACTTCGGACATGTCTGGGTAGGTGAATATCTGGCTTCTATCTACAATTGAGGCAAGATGTTTGCTGAATGTAGATACACGGGTCACCATAAGAATCTGAACTGATTTCGGCCCACCCATTCACCAATCTCCAGGCTGCCAACACTGAAAACATGTTCGATTCATGCCCTGCAAACACCACCAAACACAACAATGCAAATTCCCACGACAAAGTGGCCTTTCAAAGGTTTGACGGGAATTCGTCTAAGCTCTTTTCATCACGCTATTTGAAGTGATAGTATTCCGCCCAACCAACAATGCAGCTATTCCAAACGGCATCGTCAGAATCGTAGCGAAGAAATGGACGTGCCGAAACTCACCGACTTTGGGTCATATCAGCAAAGTTAAAGTGGTCTGGAATGAATTTGACCAGGAAGTCGGGGTCCTGGCGCATTTTCTCGATGCACTCAATGTTAGGCGTAATCATGGAAATCACCGTATCGTAATCCAACTGCTCGACGATCCCCAGTCAGAGCAACGCGATGAATCATGAGACACAAGTAAAGCTGGGCTGCAGGGTTGCAAAGGACCGATTTCTGTCATAAAAAAAACATCACTTACAAGCATTCCTGCGGGTGCCTCGGGGAAGAGCCGATCGAAATCTGCCCTTGCGCTGGCGTCATTATGGGTCTCGATCGGAATGTCAGTTCTATGTCTACACTTCCTCAAGCACATTTGCAGCCAGAATGATGGAACACATACCACGGTGTACGCCACTGCACCGTATTTCTCCAGCAATGCCTTGATGATTGGAGTATTGACCTTTTGTATATGGTCATGGTGGCTAGCCTCGTCCATATCTGGTTTCTTGTATACGTAAATATTGTACGAGAACAACCGGGTTGGTCTCGGCGAACTTTCTGACTGCCCATCCATGGTGCTATTGTGTTGTTCACATTCGTGGTCCTGGGTCTATCTTTCCAAATTTCACCAATGGCTTCGATTCTCATACCTGCTCCCTGTTCTTATATTATCATTCCCCCTCCACCGCCGACTCAAAGCTGCGAAGAGCGCCCTCTTACCGTCGTGCCGCAGATGTGACTGTGTATTGTTGGTGCGCTTGGCCTTTCGGAGAACGTCGGATGTGCGAAGTCCGATGGGTCCGGGCATTCAGCTTGCGGTTTGCCGCTCGCAGGGCCACAACCGGTGCGCTGTAAAATGATTCGCCGGTGCACTTTATCAGATACCTTGGTACTGCACTCTGATTTGAAAACCTTGGATTAATTACTGATGACCACCCGTACTTGTGCTGTCACACCACAAGATAAGGCTCTCCGTCCATTTGAGCATTGCAGAAACGACGTGGTGTAATCACGGTTGCTACTCTTCATCCGCGGATTTCAGACCAAGTAGTCGCCCCCTGTACTTAGTATCATTACAGGTGGTGTCTTCGCGCAGTGCCCACCAAGCGTGAATCATAAACAAGGGCATATGTGAGGATATCGAGACCCGTTCGACAGCAATGAATGGAAACTGCAAGCAAATTCTCGAGTTCCTGGTCATATTTGTCATTGCATGAAAAGTTTGCACATACTATGGATGAACGCATGAGCAGATATCGCACCATGTCCTCGACAAATCGCCATCTGCCTGGCACCTGCCATGCGAATGGTCACGATGAATCAATGTCAACAGTACTCGTAGTTGGTGAAAAAGGCATTCTACACTCTCCATCTCTACTCTTTATCTTCATTCTCCCAAAACACTAAGCATCTGATCTCGATGCTCTGCCGTGGTGGGCCCTCATCATACGGGGTTTGAATGGCGGTGTGTGGCACCCGCCTCGCACGCCCATCAAGCTTCGAGTCGAAGTTCTTGATCAGGAGCGCCTCTTCCGTTGTCATACCACTAGCATAGTACCATCTGTGCTGTGGGCTAGAAGTCAAATGCCACTGCTCGTTGTCCTTGTTGATGGTGTTTGGGGGCTGACCGATAACAATCCGAGTCGTGACTGGCCGGAGCTCGTGGTCCTCCACGCTTCGGGCGTCGCACATCGCCAGGGGCTCGCGGTTGACTGCTTTCAGGGGCTGCCATACGTTGATGATACCCCATCTCTTCCTTGTTAGAGGCCGCAGCTTGTCCGCCTCTGGAAGTCGGTTGAGCACGACTTCGGCCCCATCGTAGGATTGATCTGGCATCCATGGATATTTCAGTTAGAAACCGTTAATCCGGAAAAATGCACCAAAAGGAGATTCTTACCAACGTGGATAAAAGTGGCTGGAGGAGTCATGCCCAAGTTATCCTGGTCTGAGATACCCTTCGGGATGTCTAGAACCTTTTGGATCGGGTCGCTCCGTATGACGTGGGGAGCGAAAGGATGCACGTAGCTTGCACCCGAACTTCCAAATTCGACCAGTCAGCTTTCTCTGCCGGATCAGTCTTCTGGGTAAGATCCCACCTACTGCCTCATCACCATCTCCTGCACATCCTTGTTCAACTGCGGAGGGAGTCCGAACCTGTAATCGCCGTCCCAAGTCTTTTCCTGAATCGTGCTCTGCACGACTTCAAATCCCTGCTTGTCGAGGCTGAAATTTTCTTCACATTGCCGAATATCAGTCACGTTGACCAGCTGTCTATCGTATTTCTGGCGTTGGAACCCAACCGTGGTCACATATTGCACAGGGAACACCTCCCCTTTCGGCGGTGGCTGATGGTAATTAACGAAGGCCTCGACCGTGGGGGAACGATGTTCGGTTGAGTGAGGCATTTTACCTCGGAAGTATGCGAAATAGAAGCGAAACCAGCAGTTAGGTCGTCACGTCTGTGTTTGCAGTTAGACTTGGTTTAGCCCGGGGATGTTACTCCAGCGATCCTCGTCGACGGACACCATTATATTTAAGTACAATCCGCTGACACAGGAGTCTAGTAGAGACAAGCTTTCTCGCGATTTCATGATGGCCCGGGATCCAATAATTGACGTTCGGCCATGCGAGATATCAGTAGTGGCCAATCAGAAGTCTATGTCCCCGAAGTAGAATCTATCGCCGAGGAAGTCAAGGTTCATCCTGCATTGGGTTCCCGGGGTGTTGCGAGGCAGTAAGGCGACACATTTTCATTCTCTGCGCGCGCATAACCCTTGTTTTACCGATGTCAATAGTTCGGAAACGACAAACTTTCCTGAGTGAAGCCGTTAATATCGTCGCTTTAACTTGGCGGAGTTGCCGATGGAATCAGGCCCTCGTAGTCTACCTCAGTAGTTTTATGATAAGAATTACGATACAGCTCTCTGAAATCTCAATCAATCAATACTACAGTAAAGCAAAGACGACATACCTTTGGATCTTGACTTACTCCTCCATCTCATCAAACCACAACATGCCTTATTCCCCAAATCTTCCTGAGGTCAACAACCGCTACGCAGAGGCGTATGCTGACCCTCAGGGCGAAGGTGATGCTCGCCCGACCGCTCTTGACATCATTGAGGACGAGGGGCTGGTTGGCAAACTATCTGACAAGGTTGCTCTCGTGACTGGCGGCACCAGCGGCATCGGGCTCGAAATCGTCCGTGCATTGGCTAAAACTGGCATGACGGTTTTCTATACCACCCGAGATGTTGCTAAAGGGCAGAAGGTGAAGAAACAGCTGCTGGGCGAGGACCCCAACTACAAATTGGAGGTCGTGCAGATTGAGCTGAGCAGCTTGAAAAGTGTAAAAAAAGCTGCCGACGACTTCCTCAGCAGGGCTCACAGACTCGATATTCTAATGCTCAACGGAGGTCAGTTCCGCCGTTTGTTTACCATGAGATATTCTCACCAAGTCTGATCACATCAGTGTCAATTCAACACGATGACTGACCAGAGTTTTCTAGGCGTTGGTGCGGTTCCTCGAGCCTTCACCGAGGACGGTTTTGAGTCTCAATTTGCCATCAACTACCTCTCCCACTTTTATCTTTTCAATCTCTTAAAGAACCTGCTCCTGGAAACCGTCTCCATCCACAATGTCAATGTACGTGTTGTAGCTACATCCAGCACTGCACATACGGCTTCAACCGTCCTGTCTGAGAACAATTATGACTCTCACAACCCTCAGAATCGCGGCTATCCAGACGCCGGGCAGACTTACGGGCATACCCATACAGCCAAGATCTGGCTTTGCAATGAAATCGAGCGTCTGTATGGCGATAAGGGTGTACACGCTATTAGCACCCACCCTGGTGGGTTCACGAGTGGACTCATGGATACTGTTGAACCAAAGACAAGGGAGTATCTAGAGAAAATGATACAGATGCCGCATATCCAGAAAGGTTGGATGACCGTGGGACAAGGCGCAGCTACGAATGTCATTGCAGCCGTGGGTAAAGATTACGATGGACTGGGTGGGTTCTATATGGAGAATTGTGGAGTCAGCCATCCTATTCCTGACGACATGGTGTGGGCAGGAGATGGGTTCAAGTCCTGGGCATTCGACAAGGAGGGTGAAGAAAAGCTTTGGGCCGACTCGAAGAAGATGGTGGGCCTGGAAGCTTAGAGTACTCCAGTCCAACAGACAGCCTGAGAAATTGTGCGGGATCGCAGATGTAGTAGTCACTCTAAATTTACTTGGATTTCGCTTCTCTGTTTTTACAGATCTCGTTGTTTGGAATCTGGACCCTCAGTCATTGCCCATCGTCGGGTTGCTGACGGCACATCAGCAACCTATCTATCCACTACACTGCTTTGACTCGACTCATGTTTCATGGGTGCTTCCACAAATGAAGAGATCAGGGATTCAGACCCGCAAGGATGGTGGATATACCCATACAAGGCTACTTGAGAAGGTGCAGCTAGTAAGGGCTGGAGAACACCAACTCCGAAGTTAATGTGGTTATATTGACATGAACCTGGTTGCCCTGGTTTCTTAAAGGAGCCTACCCTGTAGGAGGCTGCCTTATAGTAACCTATCCTGTACCAGTTTCTATTTAATCAAGTTATTCCAAAGAGGCTTAATTGTACCCTGTGCTTTCGCGGCTGTAGAATCTCTGATCTCTAAAAATGGGTTATGGATACTCAGTGGACAAAATGACTTGAGCATTTCCGCATCTTAACATTTATAGCATCTCTGTAATATGGAAAATTGGCGGGAGCAAAGCCCAAAAGGAGAGGCAACACTTGCCATATCACTTCACGGACATCAAATGATACCTAGGTATTGAAGTGGACTGTGTCTTAGCCAGCAAATGTATGAACAGGTTCTTCTAAAAAGAAAGCTTGGATTTAAGGCAGTTGAATCCAATAATCAGAGACATGCAACAGCAAAAGAATATAACAATCTACTGTATGTACTGGAATAACCATATCGTATCTGTGTAATATGCTTCCCAGCCATCCTGCAGTGATGGTCTCCTGGGCCACTTGAGCACCCCTGTAAACATATGTTTACGTGACAGCACATTTTCCCCACACTCTTCCTGGCGCATCCGCTGGGACGATATTGAAGAAAGCAATTAAGAAGGAGCCCATCTGCTACGGGCACGGATACTCTCGCCAAATCGATAAAGAAGGAATGGAATGGGTACCAGAACTACACCGAACATTGCCAAATACGACGTAGCCCGCGCTACTCCTATCGAGCTATACATTGGCGTGCTACCATGTTCAGACGCAACAGGTCAGCTGGCTGTGAGTGCCTCTGGGAATGCCAAGGAAATAGCTGTGGGAAAGACTCACGCAAACACAGGGAACCCCGATGCGAACAACGAGCGCATGAATGTATTAGCGGACACTGCCGAGTTTGAGTTGACCCCATAGCAGTCGACGATGAAGTTCAATCCTTGCATATTAATGAGGATGATTCCTGCACCAATGGGAACCCCTGAAGCTATTTGAGGCCATGGACTCGTATCCGGGGAGCTAGTTGCAGCGAAGCAGAACATTCCCAGGGGCAGGAGGATGGCACCCAGCATCATGAGGATGAGCCTATTCTCCCTAGGACGGCCGGCGCTCGGGTCCGGTGAAAGACGTGTGTTGGTCGTCAAGATGATTAGTGCGCCGCCCAGGATGGTGCCAACCAAGATGGAGAGTAATGGGAGCCCAGCAAACGTTGGGTCCCAGTTGCGCTCACGGATAAAAGACATGGGGTAGGCGAGGAAGAAGATGTACATCAGTCCTGATAGCAGAAGACGGTCAGCCGATTCGTTGGGAAATGTCTTGCGCGGACAGTCTCACTGAACATCACCTACCAAAGACAACGGAAATGTACGTCGACAGTGACAGCAAAATGGGCTCAAGCACAAGCATTGTTGCTGGCCGAGTCAGGCAAGTTTCCACGATATTGCCCAGGTTGCTGACTGTCTCTTCTGACTTTGCTCGCAATGCCCAATTTCGAGTCAAATGGCGCATGTGGTTTGCTCTTCTGGTCAGGATTACCGGGGCGTATGTCTCGGTTGTAGTCGGTATGAGCACCAAAGTGATTGAGAAAGTCACCAGCGCGGTTATGTTGAAAATCCAGCGCCATCCTAAAGAATGGACAATGACTGAACCAATAATAGGCCCCAAGATGGGCCCAATCATCAGGAAAGTTCCGGTGCAAGGCATGGCGAACCCACGCTGCTTAGGAGTCCAGATATCAGCCAGTGTTCCACTAAGTATTGCCGACGGCGCCGAGCCAAAAACTCCCTGAAGAAACCGACAGAAGAAGACGAGGCTGAGAGACTGCAAGCCAGCTGCAAAAGCTTGAAATAGCCCGAAAAGCCCGTAAGCCACCAGAAGTGGCCTTACTCTGCCGTATCGCTCAGAAAGTGGCCTTGAAAGTGCTATCAGTTTCTTGAGTACTTTTATCTTCTTGTTGTTCGACATAGCAGCTACTCACCCAAATATTATGGGGCCAACAGCAAACCCCAGCATGAAGAGCGATGTACCACCAAAGACCGCGGTCTCGACAGCCACACCGTACTCTTGTGAGATCGCATTCGCCGCAACGCTGAATACAGCAGATGAAAATGTTGTGGTCAAGACCAGCAGTGCCAAAGTCATGGTGATGAGCCATTTCCGCCAAATGGGCAGATTTTGCGGGTTACCCTTGTCGCTGGGGCCCTGCCATTCGATGAGAAACTCGTCCTTCTGTAATAATGTCACGATTTCGTCCATATCAGGGTTTTCTGATACCACAGATATTACTGTCGTGGTGTTTTTCGAAGCTTCCAGAGCGGTGGTCGCCATTGTGTTTGTCACTTCCGGGGGGGGGGGGTTTGGCTTCGTGTGCAGACAATTCCTCCAGATGTCGTTTGAGTGCTTCGCCAGAGGTGAAAGTTTACCACAAACCCTAAAAATAATAGAATATATTGTTCCAAAGATTCAAACCGATGATCTTCACAGGATGCCGAGGTCAACAGCTGGAGTAACATTGTGAGGGGGGGTGTGGCACGGGAACCGGGAACCGCAGGCCATGGGATCGAATTCAAAAATGCGGTCTTGCCACCCACTATCCAGAGTGAGGGTACGCTAGGTACGCTATCGACTTTCGGGATCGACTTCCTCGAGAATCCGAAATCCCGTATTGGATTCACCGACGATACCACTTTGCCATAAACCATGTAGGTGTGTGAATGCTGCCCAAACTGTCTTCGGGAATCACCCAAGACCGGAACTCCCGCCAAACAGTGTAACCCTACCTAGGTACCCAGCAGCATTTCACCGAGCCAAGACGGAGACCACAAGATTCTCACACACCAAAACATCCCTTGATGTGCCCCCGCATACTCAACCTCTGCTTTTCTCGCAGGGACCACTGCCGAACCTTCAACACGGCAAGACCAATAGCACACCCGGCGGCTACCACGCTGAGATGAGCCGTGGCCTTAGAGAATATGTAGAAAATGAGTTGGTCAACCAAGGCGTGGTATTTTGATGGGTCTGTCATATGGAATTAGCCCGTACCACGTGTTTGGTCTCATGAGACTCCAGCTACGTACCTTGCTCAGGGAGCAGCACCTTGTCTATTACATGCGCAACCCCGCCATAGATCAAAATATCTGCTTCAAGAATATTGGCATTGTCCACCAAAAGGACTTTTTCAGATTTTCGATTGAGTTTGATTGTTTTTCCGCTCAATGTGGAGTACTTTTTCGCGCGGGAAGTAAATTCTGTGTGGTACAAGACATGGTTTGGTACCACATGGTTCGCAATGACGACAGCCAACTGCTTAGGGGTCAGCGAGTCCAATGCTGGTAACACTTCCCGCACTGCGGCATCATTAGGTAGAAAAATTGTCGTGTCGGCGAGCTCTTCGAGTAGTTCCCTGGATTGGGATTTGTCGATCAGACGCCAGAAGTCATGGAGCGTGTTGACCAGATTAGTCGTCTCTGATATGTTGTGTGGAAGAACCAAGTTCCTGTCAATAACATGCACGATGCCTGAATCGTAGCGGAGGTCCACGTCAACGATCTTGGAGATGCTTTGCAGCCCAGACTGCGCCATAAGAGTGGCAGGATTCTTGGCACCGTGAGGCCCGCGTGACATGAGCTTTACTGCTGGCCCTTCGCTGACATTGGTGAAAACCGGAGGTCGAAGGATGGAATGTGCAATTTGCTGTTCGCTGCTTGGACGGAGAAGCTCTTTTGAAAGGTGAACACCCTCAATGATGTGATAATCGAGGATAACGCGAGCGATGATAGGGTCGATTTGTGTCAAATTCAAACCCCAGTCAGCGAGGTATGTTATGGCATCATTGTTCATGGCCAGGAAGGTAACGTGGTCGACTCCTTCGTATCCGGACAGAAGGTCAAGTTTTACAAGAGTTTCGTGCAGCAACGAAAGAGATCCATGACGTCGCAATGTTTGTCCCAAGGAGGTTGCCGAAGTCAACTGCAGGGCAGTCAAGATGTTGATGGCGGCGAAAAGAGCCAATCGCAGTGATGCAACCATTGTGAAGGTAAATCAGTTTTGCTGTAGGGCTTGATGTACCATAAAGTCAATCCTTTTCAAATCGTTCTTCGACTAGAAACTTATAAGGCCATCCGGTTCAAGTTTGAGCTTCTGTCAGAGTATCGTCCTGGTCATGTTCAACAGCGGCAAATGCAACCCGAGCTCTGCAGAAGCCGACCAATCCCGCGGGTCCATCCAGATATCACCACCTAAGTAGTGGCAAATGCGCGCCAATCATTCATATAAGGGAATGGGTGCTAGATGAAGAGATCGTATGGGGAAAAAATATTTAACCTTCTTTTTCACTTGGCAGGATATAGAAATTATATTCAGATTCATTCCACGATACTATACTAGTATCGATTTGGTCACACTTTCAACATCAAGTAGTATCGAACATGCATGCTCTAAACATTTTATCCCGCTTGTTTTGCGGACTGGTTTCAGGCAACTACGAGTCTCCGTTTCCCTTACTGAATCCAGTCGATTCTCACGAGACACCGCCACATAGAACGCGTGATCCAGTCCGATTTGAGGTCGATATCAGCAGCGGACTGGTAGATGTTCTCGGTACCGGTGCGAGGGAAGCTATCTTGGTGAATGGAAGCTTCGTCGGTCCAACTCTACGCCTCAGCGCGGGAGACGAGGTGGAATTCGTGGTCCATAACTATCTGTTGGAGGACACGACGATGCATTTCCATGGAATCAACCAGCAGGGCACGCCTTGGAGCGATGGTGTCCCAGGGCTGACACAAGCCCCTATACGTCCAGGAGCTTCATACTTGTACAAATGGGTTGCTACGGAGTCTGGGGCTTACTTCTACCACGCACACTCAAAAGGTCAACTCATGGACGGTCTCTACGGTGCAATTATCGTGGGCCAGTCGCCAGGATCCAGGACGCCATTTCACCTCATATCCGAAGATGAGGCGGAACAACGAGAGATGGCTCTAGCAGAATCAAAAATGCAGCCACTGCTAATTTCCGACTGGAGTCAGTACAAATTCGACGAATTCTACGGCATCGAAGCAGCCGCCAATTTTGATCTCGCCTGCACGGACTCCATCATAATCAATGGGGTGGGATCGCAATACTGCCTTGGCCAAGATTTGCTCGACGAAATGACCCACCCTATCATTCTGCAGATGTTGAAGGATCTTGGAGAGAATCACATGACGGCAAAGGGTTGTGTACCGCCCATCTCAGCACTGCAGGGAGATTTCGACGTGGACCTTTCTAAGCTGCCTTTCAACTCGGTGAGAGGCTGCAGTGCTAGCCCCAAGAGCGCTGCGAATTACACCTTCACCGTCGACCCTGAATCTGGATGGGCAGCCCTCACCTTCATGAATGTCGGCGGGCTGTACCCTTTGCAGATATCTATCGACAACCATGACCTACATGTCTTTGCCGTGGATGGACAATACGTCCACCCTATAGTCACAGACCGTGTCTATGTCGGCAACGGCAATCGAGTCTCCGTCTTGGTCAAGCTCGATCAGGAGCCGGCCCGGTATACCTTGCGCGCCGCCAACGACCTTCTGAACCAGATCCTTGGCGGGTTTGCTGAGATGACATATGCAGGCGCGACAGGACCACCCAGCTACCCAAAGCCAAAAATGAATTACGCGGGCCAGCCTCTCACCGAGACCATCCGCTCATTCAAGCCCGAGGAAAGCCATCCGTACCCGGCCCAAGGGCCTGCGAGGAATCCCGATCGCACCTTCAAGCTTCTTCTCAGAAAGCCGGGCCGCCCTTACGGGTCCTACGAGTGGAGCTTGTCTGGACACGACGTCTACAACATGACAGAGGAGGAGACAGACCCCCCGCTGCTGTTCCGACAGCCCTCGGATTTCCCAGACAGTGAGCTGATCATCCAGACGAAGATTGGCGAGTGGATTGACATTATTTTGGAAACCGAGGGTCCCTTCGCGCAGAGCCACCCGGTCCACAAACACGGGAACAAAATATTCTACCTCGGTTCGGGGCTTGGGAGATTCCCTTGGAGCTCGGTGGATGAAGCGTCACGCCATCTGCCGTCTGGCTCATTCAACCTTGAGAACCCTTCCTATCAGGATACTTTTACTACACCTGACATTGTTGGTGAATCGCCCGCTGTGTGGACAGTTATCCGTTACAAGGTGGAAGTACCTGGGGCATGGCTTGTCCACTGTCACGTTCAAACGCATCTGGCTGGGGGCATGGGCATAGTTATCATGGATGGTGTGGATGCATTTCCTGATGTCCCGATTGAGTACCGCGAATGGAATGGGTTTCTTCCTTCAACGGCATAGTTTGTGTGGATCAAATGGGCGCTGGACGTATATGGCTGGTACTGTTGAATTTCCTCCACCTGTATTTGGATTGTTTACAGATGCATAATATCCCGCGAGAGAGGAAATGAAAATCAGACCATTAATTCTACTTAGCCCTCGGCTTGGGTGCAGAATTCCACGGCAAACCTCCGTACAGAACGTCACCTTTCACCCTAGTCTCCACGAGGCCCTCGAGCTTATCCTTGGACATTGTTGGAAGGTCCAACAACTTGTTCCCCGACCCGTCCCATTCAACCTTGTACTTGCCGCTGAAGATAGTGCCCTGTATAATTAGGAACCAAGAGAACATGTTTGGGGTTCCACCCTGTGAAGCCTTGACCATACCCAGGCCTTTCTGCAGCGTGTCATCTGCCTCCACGTGCTGCACCGGCCATTCTCTTTCAGAAAGCTTCTCCGCCATCTTCAGCAGCTCATTCTGGGTTGTGACAACCTCATGGAGGTATATGGACCCGCTTTCGAGCTCTTCCGACTTGCTCAAGACCTTTGCTATAGCCTTGCCCAAGTACGGACCCGTCGTCATGCTGACCTGGAGGTCCCCGTCGCTAGTCACCAACGCCGTCTGCTCTCCGAAATTGTACATGTAGTACCCGTTCAAGACACAGTCTAGCAGCGGCCCTGAAACCAGCACGGTCCACTTCACACCGGCGCTGCCGGCCTTGTCTCTCAGGTACTGCTGGACTGTAGCCAGTTCCTTCCAGTAGGGGATGTCGGCTACCTCGGGGAAGGTTGACAGAGAGGTGTAGTCGCTAGGGATGAAGTGCTTGACCTTGGCGTCGATTGCAGCATCCAGTAGCTTGAGGTGGTGCTCCCACGCCGCCGGCGCGAGCGCAGAGACGACGGCATCCTGACCCAAGAGAGCCTCGATGAGGCTCTCGGTCGAGGAGTAGTCGACGGCTCTGGTGCGGGGGTTGCTGCTCTCTGGGTCGGCGGCGGCGGCGGCCCCGGAGGCACGAGTAAGAATAGTGACTTCAAATCCGGCGTTGACCAGTGCATCGTAGATCTTGCCACCAACGTATCCTTTCTGTGATGTTTGGTCGGTTAGAATTCCTCACCACTAAAATTCACTTATGCGCTCCATGGGTCAGCTCATTCTTATACTTACTCCAGCTAGCGCAACTTTTCTAATCATCTTGATGTTTAGAATCAACCCCTTTGATGGTATCAAAACTTCTGTTGGTATCAATGCGTTAATTCGAAGTGATGAACGTGACGCCGGTGCAGGATCTTGTGAACGTCCGCGGGATATAGCCCACTCGTGAATAACAAAATGCTAATTAACGTGAAGCAACTAGCCATGCGTTGTCCGAAGAACAAAACATTAGAGGTTTCTTGGCCATCGCGATGCAAGTTAATTAGAAGTTCTTGTCAAGGATTGCTTCGGTGATGCTGCCCCTGGCCTGAGTTGCATTGTTCACGGTGGCGTTCCCCGAGTGCCTCGGGGACTGACAGAAAGGGCTCGGCAACCACCAAATTGCCGGCGCAACAACTTAAACCAAGACAGCAGACTTTTGATTTCAGACCCCTGCCTTGCTTGGGAGAGAGACTTACTCAACACTGAAATTCGAATCGGCACAGTGACGTGGGCCCCTCAACAATGCTCCCCTTCAGTCCCAATTGGCTGTTTGGCCTGGCCACGCTCGGCGGCTATAGTGATGCTCAGCAGAGACCCTTGAGCTTCCCTGCCGTGCAAGAGATCTCGAGCATACCACAGATTCAAGCGGCTGTGCAATCATCAAGATCGTGTGTGAGTGGGCGCTGCTGCTCGTCGTTGTGTGGACGGTAGCTGTTTGCAGCCATGGACAAACCCGCTGACATTTGGTGGCAGTGTGAGGCACTAGAAAAGGTGCTGGGCGACAAGATAGTGGTGTTTCCAAGTAATCCTGCATACAAGTTGTCCTCAGGGTCGTATTTCAGCCTCAAAAATGTTGACCTGCATCCCACTTGCATCGCTCTTCCTAAATCGGCGGAGCAAGTCTCGGCCGCAGTCCAGACACTCACTCGCGGATTCGTTGAGTGGGGCGAGCAGTGCAAGTTCGCTATTCGCGGAGGAGGACACACAACTTTCCCGGGCGCGGCGAGCATGGATGATGGAATCGTTCTGGATTTAGGTCTTCTGCCCGCTGCAGGGCTGTCGTCCGATCACAAGTCCATAGTTGTCAGCCCCGGGCAGACATGGGATCAGGTGACGGAGCAACTGGACCCTTACAACCTCAGCACCCAGGGGGCTCGGGTTGCCGGAGTGGGAGTTGGAGGTGCCGTCCTCGCCTGCGGCACCTCCTTCTTCTCGCCCCGGTACGGCTTCATCTGCGACGTGGCAGAGACTTTCCAAGTTGTGCTGGCCAATGGCGACATTGTAGAGGCCAACGCGGACAAGAACCAAGATCTATGGAAGGCGCTCCGTGGCGGCGGGAACAACTTCGGGGTGGTGACAGCCATAACGCTGAAGACATTCCCACAAGGCCCTTTCTGGGGCGGGCAGACATTTCACGACATCTCCACCAGAAAGCAGCACTTTGAAGCCCACGCCAAGTTCGCCTCTGCCCACCCATATGACCCATACGCCCACTACATAAACAACCTGGTGCTGAGCAATGCAACCCGCAGCTGGTTCATCGGGAGCAGCCTCCAGTACACCAGGAGCGACCCCCCGGTGCCTGAGCCCGCCGTGCTCAAGCCGTTCCTCGACATCCCGCAGAAGGCCTTGTTCCCGGGAGCACCTTCCAACACCATCAGAGTTGACAACGTCACCTCTTTCACCCGCGAGTACGCGGCTCTGGCCACGTACCCGAAGCGCTGGCTCTTCGCCACCATCAGCTTCGCGCCGTCAGCGGAGATGATGGAGGCGTTCTACCAGCTGGCGGACAAGGCGTTCAACGTCGACCGCCTGCTGGACCTCGCGGGATTTACCGTCAGTCTGGCATACCAGCCCATCCCGGCCGTCATGTCCGAGCGGCACCGCGCCGTGGACTCGCTCGGGCCGATCCAGACCCAGGGCAATCTGGTATACGTTCATCTGGCGGTGGCAACGGACGACGATGAGAGGGACAGTGATGCTTTGGTGGAGGATACTGTGCAGAAGTTCGTCCAAGATGCTGACAAGAAGGCGAAGAGCTTGGGTGTGCATAGGAGTTACCTGCAGGGGACTTATGCCGACAGCTGGCAAAACCCCCTGGAGCGCCGCTCCGCCGGTACACTTGAGGAGCTGTGGGCTTCAGCTAAGAGGTACGACCCGGGTCAGGTTTTCCAGAGGCAGGTGCCGGGTGGCTTCAAGCTACCAAAGATCTAAACTGTCATGATATTTCAAAGGCCTGATTTAGGGGAAGAATAAGGGGATGTTGGAGGATCATGTGGGGCCAGTATTTGTCTTTGTCGAGGATCTCATATTTGCAAGCACTTGAGTTGACGGTATCTACCTCGGTAATGTTCGACGAGCATTTTCTGCCTAGCCAAGGAGGTGAAAGCACTGGCGAATCGACAGAATAGAATCTCTTAAGCGCGACTGAATTCGATCAACGATCTTTTGTCACTATTGTATGGAATGTTGCGAGATGGGGGACCTTGAATGATAAATCTGCTCCCATATCATGGGCTCAAAGCCTGTTACTTGGTTAAGTTCACAATCACGGCTCAGGTGGGTCTGTAAGTCTTCTCAAAGCAGGCTGCCATAAATTAACATTTTGGCTTTCGATTTAGCAATCTTCAAAGTTTTGAAGATATTCATACGTGTTTTCGGCCTCATATCACAAAATGGTCTTCGGGCTCCCGCTTCCGGGTGTGTTCTTCACCCAGAGGTACCCGCTCGGGTGCCAAGCTGCCTCATCCGTTCTTTCCTCACCCACGCCAGGTCGAGGTCAACACAAGCAAGTAAATACCTAGGTACCTAAGTAGGTATTTACTGCATCGAGGCTCCCATACAGGAGCTCAACATGGATGTGGCTTCCTTCATAAGTGCCGGTATTGCCTTCACGGCAGCTTCCACCACAAGGGTCTAGATGTCACCTTCAACTCCGTCCGTCATCACCATCACAATCGTTCAGCTTTGGTGTTTTGACTCTGTTCCTTGCTCAACCTGTTGCTCCGCCCTTGCTACGTGGCTAACTCTCGTTCTTTGGTTGATTGGCCTTTGCTTCACGATTTTGTCGGGCTTTGAGAATTTTGTCTGTCAGTGACGGATGATTTCCTTGCTCTCATTCTGCTGGCTTGTTGCGATGTTGGCAGACACCATAGATCCCATTATCCTCGCATTACTTCTTTCGATTATCGCAATTCTAGTTCAAACGAAGCATCATGGAATAAATCAACGGATTTCGCTCCGCATGGCCCTTCTACTCATGGTTGTGTGGCCAGCCGAAGGCCGCTACAACCTGGATCTTACTTCTCAAGGTGAGCTACGATCTGTGCAAGACTTTTCAGATCTTTAAGACAAACTGATCTGGTCCCGGACAGAATCCATCAAGTCTGTTGCATCAAGCATGGCTGAGGATATGATGTCCTTCTACGATGGCAATGAGCCGGGCCAAACTCCAGGCCTGCTTCCAAAACCGTACTACTGTGAGCCAGTGATACAATAGCCACCCAGCAGTGCGGTTTGATTGCTGACAGGCTTCGACACAGGGTGGGAGGGCGGAGCCCTCATGGGCGCACTCGTCGATTACTGGTATTACACCGGAGACGCCAGGTGGAACCAGATCACCCAACAGGGCCTGCTGTTCCAGGTTGGTCCCGACGATGACTACATGCCACCGAATCAGACAATGACCGAGGGGAATGATGACCAGGTGAGAGGCTCCTTGATTATTCCCAATCCTCCTCCTTTGTCATGCTGCTAACAGTATGCCGAGGGATTCTGGGGCATGGCCGTCCTCTCCGCTGCCGAGTACAACTTCCCCAACCCCCCGGCCTCCAGACCCCAGTGGCTGGCTCTGGCACAGAACGTGTTCAATTCGCAGGCCGTGCGGTGGAACACTGCCCAGTGTGGCGGTGGGCTGCGGTGGCAGATCTTTGTGTGGAACAACGGCTACCTGTACAAGAACAGCATTTCCCAGGCTTGCTTCTTCAACATGGCAAGCCGCTTGGCCCTGTACACGGGCAATCACACGTACGCGGTGTGGGCGAATCGCATCTGGGACTGGATGGTCGATGTCAAGTTCCTGCACGAAGACTCGTACTACATTTACGACGGCGCAGCGGTTCAGACCAACTGTACCGAGGTCGTACCGTACCAGTGGACATACAATGCGGGAGCGTTCCTGCACGGCGCCGCGGCCATGTACAACTATACAGCTGGCACCGACCCGGTCTTGGGTGAGCTTTGGCGCTCGAGGGTCAACGGCCTGATAACCGGGTTGAAGGTCTTCTTCATCGGCCAAGACTCGGACATCATGACTGAGGTTGCCTGCGAGGGCGTCCAGCTCTGTGACAACGACGAGCAGAGCTTCAAGGCATACCTTGCCCGTTGGATGGCTGCAACGACCAAGTGGGCGCCATGGACGTACAGCACTATCAAGCCGTTGCTGGAGGCATCAGCTATGGCTGCGGCCGCCCAGTGTACGGGCGGGGCCAACGGCCGAATGTGCGGGCTCAGGTGGGCCAACAACAGCGGGGAGTGGGACGGGACCACGGGCGTGGGACAGCAGATGGCCGCGATGGAGGTCGTATTGGGGACTATGATCCAGACCACGGGCGCGCCTGTGACGAATTCATCAGGTGGCACGAGCCCTGGAAATGCCGGCTCGGGACAGCCTGGTGCAAACCGGATGAACGCCCTCTCATCGCTCGACTTGATCAGGCCGATATCAAAGGCGGATGTGGCCGGGGCCTACCTGCTCACAATCCTGGTGGTTTTGTCACTCCTGGGAGGTATGACATTTATGTTCCAAGATGAGGAGGAGGGCAGGACGTTTGGGGAGAGATGGAAGACTCTGCAAGACGACTTGAAGTCCGGAAGGAACTTGAGACCTGCAGGGGAGAAGATTCCGACTAGTGACGGACGGCAAAACAGAGACGACGGCTTCGAAGATGTCAACCTGAACGACCCATCAACCCCTGCTCCGAGAGCTAACGCTGAGAAGAAGTCGTCGCTGGTATACTCCGTCTCCTTTTATGGCAGCGAAGGAGTGCGGCCCTCGCTGGCCCTGTCACAAGCAGACGGCTACCCAGACGAGCAACCGTGGAGGAGAGCACCTCGCCCAGGGGACTACGCCGGCGCCTTGGACCCCAGCCGTGGAAACGGTGCTGGGTTTGGCATCCTCGAGCCACCGATGGAAGATGTGCCCTTGGGTCCTCCAGCAACTAGCAACCGGCCTGATGCGTCTGGGAGAATCAAGCGCTGGAGCGACATCAATACCGGACGCACTGTGACTGAGAGTAATCTGAGGCTGTAGCGAAAGCCTCTGCCGGGCAGGCCCGGACTGGGCAGCAAGATGATGGGTCAGGGGGTGGCGGATAGGAAGCTTTAGGGGACGTTGGTCTAACCCATTACTTTCTTGGACCCTTTTTGGAACTTTGCCGTTGGGCAAACGGAGCTGTGGGTACCTAGGTATTAATTGTGAACCTCGGAGCAGGTCTTAGTTTCGCGCATACTGGATGGAGCATCTCTTGTCGTAACAAAAAGAAATGGAATGATCACCACGTAACGTCGTGTGCGTGCACAAGGTATATTAATGCTGTGACTGCCCCCGAGACGGTGGTCGCCCTGGACCACCACAGCTTAGCACACGCCTAGATCTTGTGTGACGTTGCGATCTGAGGCTGTCTCGAGTAGAAGCGTATACGGGTTCCAGGTAGAAAGATGGTGCGGGAGGTTTGTGTCTCTGGGTCAAGATCGTTTCAGGGAATTGGGACATTACGCTTGATGGAAGGAGATCAACCTGATTTATATAGCCTTAATATTCATGCCAATAAATTAATTCCTTGAGGTGCGAGGCGTGTTTCCGGCTTCTCTCATATCAACAGGCGAGCGAGCCGAGACGAAACAAATTAGGTCGGCCTGCGTGGACCAGATATCTGTTGCCTCGTCTCCCTCCCAAGTCCCCCTCGCCTCTCAGCTCTGGAGTGGGGAGAGAGAGTAATTGGGGGTCTCATCTGGAGGCAGGTTGCGAGGCACAGGGAGAGACAGACGGATTCCCTAACGGCCCCCCACCCCTCTTCCCCCAAAGAACCTTGGAAGGCACAGCAGCAGGCAGCCGGGGACGGTTGAGGGCGTACAGGCAGATCTTCCAACGGGTTTGGTTGTGTGACGCGGGCCGCCTCGTCAGTCCCCTCCATCCTGCCCTGGGTCTCTTTTTTTGTTTTCGCCCCCTGCATCTGCATATACGTGGGCATGTTTTGCTGGCGATGTTCAGGATACCTCAAAGGGGGGGAGGGGTCGAACGGCCTGGTTTCCAAGGTGCACCCTAAAAGGCTCGAGGGTCCTTGTGGAGGAGGACTAAGGAGGACCCTGCGTTGCTGTGGCCCAAGAGTGGCGCGGCGCCGGCGGGAGCGAAGGATGCAGGATACCGTGATGTGCGTCAGCCATGTCTCTCCTGTCTCCCCTTTGTCTGTGCCTGCTGCTTCAGCTTCTGGGGCTCGACGTCAAAGTCAGTCGGCTCCTTTGACGGCGAGGATCATTGGTGATGACGGGCAAGACAAGACAGAGGCGCGCAACGCTGCTCCGCCCAGCTGGGAATATGTAACTGCTCGGTGCTCCCCCATCCATCCCATGCCATGGTCCTTCTCGAAAGGCTGAGCAAGACTCCATCCTGCCCCCTCTCCTCTCTCTCTATTTTCGTGGTGGTCGTCGCCGCCGTCGCACAGAAACTCGGTGCTCTCCCAGAGTTTCCTTTGGAACGTGACGCAAGCAATCGCTGCAAATAGAATGGTGGACGCAGTCGAGGGCTGTGTTTGGTAAATGGAGGCAGGACTTTCGCCATAATCGGACACCAATCATCGCTCCGTGAAACATCGCACTGCCCAAGCTGTCGTTACAGTCCTCAAACAACCTCCTCTCTGGTAAGTAAGAGTAAGCCCTCCACGCCACCCTTGAGAAGTTCCCAAGATTGACCAGCCCAAACAGGACAACAGAAACAAAGACACCCTACCGCCAACACAAACACACACCCAGCCCGCAGACATGTCCCAGTGCGTCAGCTGCAACAACCAGCCCAATGACAACGACTCCCTCGGCGGCGGCACCCACGAGGGCGCCGTGACGCCCATGGTCGTCGGCATCATAGCCGGCACCGTCGCCGTCTTCGTGCTCGTCCTGTGCGCCCTCTTCTACTGCGCCAAGCTCGAGAACGACAAGGCCCGCCGCAGCCTCAAGGCCGCCGAGGCCGACGACCACCTCGCCGTCGAGACTGTCGGCCCTGGTGGTGCTGGCTTTGGCTTCCCTACTCCACCACAGCAGCAGCAGAAGCAGCAGCAGCAGCAGCAGCAGGACAAACAACCATCGCCGGCTCCGCCGCCGCCCCCTGAGGAGCTCGGCGCGGCCAAGCTCGGCCTTGGGGAGCGCCGCCCGTCCTCGGTCACTGTTGTCGCCGGCGAGGCGGATGATTCCCGCTGTGGCACTACTGGGGCTGGCGCCAACAGCTCGTGGATACCCGCACGCGTGGTCGGCGGGAGGAAGAAGGCGCTGTTTGGGTGGGGAGGGGGGAAGAAATCACATGGTCGTGGTGAGTAACACCCTCCCTCTCTCCCATGTGTGTCAAGTAAAGGACGAGGGCCTTGCTAACCTGCCTCAACAGCCACGCCGGCAGATAACCCACCCGTGACGGCCATAGAGATGGTCTGAGCCGAACCATACTTGGCGGCCGTGGGCGTTACATGGTGTTTGATTTCCGCTTTTGATTCTCTGGGGCAGTCCAAGGCATCCGGGGACCATGAATAGTCTTGTGATTTCTTTCCAGGAGCTCGGCTTACTAGTATGTATGAGGCAGCTCGTACCCACGTCACTAATATTGGGAGGTAGCCTGCATTACACATTCTGGGCCTGCAATCTATTCATGACAGACAGATGCAAACAGACATTTTGCTCCCTGAGCAATAGGTGATACCACAAGAGAATTTTATGATACGTGCGTCGCATTTCCTGGGCGCTCTCACCCTCAATTGGTGTCTGACGTTGTATGAATGGCGTGAAATGTTGCTTGCCATGCAGCAAGACGCACTTTGCTTTGCTCCCATCCTCTTCCTCTTACCCCTTGGACCCGCCTTATCACAGCCTACGGCTCATGCCCGTGGCAGCAGGGGCGAGTGTGAACTGGCCCACCGTCCAGTACGCCGTGGTTACCTTACACACCCCGTTCTTCGGGTTTCTGCCCGGAAAATAAACACCCGGGGGCAGTATCAACGTCTCCTCAGCCGGGAGGAGGTCCCTGCTGTCCCCATCGGGGTTGAGACCAGGACAATCGGCCACTGCGAGAGGGATCGATGGTCAGTCAGCGTCACCAAATATCAAAGCAGTCAAGGCACGACTGGCCGTCTGTACATACCAAACATCGGAGTCAGGTGCATAGGCACGCACCCAACAGGCCCGCCGCCCTCCCCCTCCCCCTCCCCCCCAGTGGTGAAGAACACGGCGCGGGTGCCCTCGTCCTCGCAGAACCCGGCCCGCCCGCCGGCAAACGACTCGTTGAGCCAGAGCAGCTCCCCGCCCACGATGACCCACGACCGGGTGACGGGGCCGACGACAGGGTCAACAGCCAGGCGCTGCGCCTGCTGCGCCTCGCCCGAGGTCGACACCTTCTGCCCGCCCCGCGTGAGCTCGCCGTCGACGATCTCGAACCGCGCCGCCTGCGAGCAGTCGCCTGACCGCTCCATGCCGGCGTCCATGAGGTACTCACTATTGCCGCCGTGGTCCTGTCGGCGGCCCAGGGGGCGGGCCCCCCCTGCGGCGCCACGGCTATCCCGCCCGATAGATGCGGATGATACGGCCGCGGCCGCACCCTCGCCTGCGCCTGCTGCTGGGCCGAGCTGGATGACGAAGATGTCGGAGGGCGGGGCGGCGGGCTCGCCTGGGGCCGCCGTGCCGGATACCATGGCTCCTGAGGGGGCCGGGCCGCCGCCGGCCGGGGTGGTAGGTGGTATGCCCTCGCTGCCATCGCCATCGCCATCGGTGACGGGCTCGGTCTGAGAGCTCCTGGGAATGGGGAATCCGGGTGCTACTGCCCCGCCGTCGGAGATTGGCCCAGGTTCTGAGGCTTGTTGTGGGAGTTCCGGGCCTGCGGCCAAGATAGAAGCCATAACCTCATCTTCGTCGGCGGCAGATCCAGGCTGAGAACCTCCACTGGAGAGCCCATCCGTGGCTGTGCCGCCGGCTGTAGCCCCTGGTACCGACGCCAGGGGGACTGGGCTTTGAGTGAGGAGGGGAGGCACATCACCCCCATAATTAGTGAGGACGATTTCACTGGTTTGCGAGTTGGCGTCTCCGGAAAGACCAGCTGTTGCTTCGCCGCCGGCGGGAGGCCCAGCTCCCAATGGTTGTGACGAGCCGCGGCCCCCGGTTGGGATGGGCACCACCATACCCTCACCACCATCGGTGATGGAACCACCGTTCTGAGCGCCGTCGGGGAACCCAGTCGTCACCGTGAAGTGTTGCGTGCTCCACGAGATGATCATCGTGCCAGGGGCCTCGGCACCATCCTCGAGGGTGGCAGGCCCGCCGACAGGAGGCGATCCGGTCTGCAAGATGCCGCTGGTGGTGGTTGTCGTCGTGGGGGCGAGGACCCACGCGGCTACTTGCTGGTTCAGCTTGGCGAGAAAGCCTTGGGCGCTGGTCCCGAGTGCTGCCAGGACGGCCACAGCCTTGGCCTGGGTCCACATCATCGTGAAAGGAGGGCACGAGTTCGTTATTCCTCTTAGAACAAAGCTCGGTTGGGGGCGGGAAGATGGGGACGAGGATTCGACAGGGCGATCAAGAGCTAATACACTGGAGCTGGAGGTTGGTCCCCGGGAACCTTCGCTCGGAGAGTGGTAAAGCACGAGAAAACTCCTGCGAGAAGCATAGACAAAGAGGGTGTGCGTGCATAGCAGCCTGTCGAATCCCGTGGCTGCTGCAAATTGTGGCTTCAGCCTGGCAACTCGAACCTGACCAACCGCGCAACCATCTCATCAGAGCCTGGCACATACGTTGCCGGGAAGAATCCATCGACACATGGCCGACGGACCGGGGCGAAGAAGAGAAAACAAGCTCCTCGGCGCCATCAGTCAGCCAGCAGCTGAGCACGGGTGGAACATCTCACAAGCCAGCTTCGTGAATACAGCAGAGACCATGATGATGAGTGGAATGCTTGCGATGTACCGCCACCCCTCTTGCCGTCGTGGTGAACCATGCCGACAGCATCACCTAGCAACGAGGGGGTGAGGTTGGAATTCGCAACCACCATTACATAAGGCACCGTCACGTACAGAAAGCCACACACTGGCTAATTAGTCGCGGCGTGGAAAACGCCTGTCGCAAATGCATGCTGGTTGGCCGGGATCCTGCCGAACGCCACACTTCAGCCATGAGGACGGAAGGGGTAGTAAACAGCAAGCCGGCGCTCTCTTTCGGCTTCGATCACAATGCCATCAATGATGTAGTTGTTGTTGTAGTAGTAGTAGTAGTAGCGGTGGTCTATGCTCCCACATCTGAAACCCTGTAACCCATAAAATGCGATCCGATGGGGGAAAAAAGAGGAGGAATACAACGCGGCGGGCGAGGGGAAAAGGGGAGGAAAACAGCTCACCGCCGCGCACGCCATGACCATGAACCCATTTCGTACAACAAGGAAAATCCTCACCACATCAGAGACTACGCCCCGTAACGATCACCGCATCAGCCCTCAAACTCAACTGTCTTGGTCGTATTGGCATCCTCGATGACGCTCTGCGGACGCGCCTTTGGCTCCGTCTCGTTGGCCTTCCCGGCCGGGCCGGGGCCGTCCCCCTTCCCATTGCCACCCCCGGCCTCGGCGTCTGCACCCTCCAGTAGCATGCGGTCCTCATTCCTGACGCTCCTGATACTCCTCCCCTCGGCGTCTCCGCGGCCCGTCGGCGTCCGAAGCGAGTGCACGTCGATGTCCGCGTCTTCGTCCTCCTCGTCGTCCTCCTCGCCCTGCGCGGCCCTGTTGTGCTGGCCCGCGGTGGCGTTCTTCTCCAACTCCTTCTGCGCCTCGTCCATCCTCCTCCTGACCTCAGCTGCCACCCGCATGCCGTCCGTGACTATGCCGTCCAACACACCTCGAAGGCCACGGCTGCCGCCTGCCCCGGCGCCAGGCGCGCCGCCCATGGCTGCTGCTGCTGCCCGACCGGCCGACTGGCCAAGGCTGGAGAAGGTGGTGAGGTTGGAGGAGCTTGCTCCCGAGCTGGTTGGGAGACCCTCGATGATGTGGAACGAGGACGGGAAGCTGGACTCGAAGAACTGCTCTAGGAGCTCGTCGGCGAGGATCACCATTCTGAACGTGGGCAAAGTCATGTACAGGGGGTTGGAGGGGTCCAGAGCAACATTCGCCTTCTCAGATTGTGCCTTGGATACACGCCGGTGGTCGTCTGTCTCTCCCGGTGTTGCGTTCTTGTTGCTGTCGATGACGTTGATTGCTGGTGGGATGTTTGATTTCTTGGGCATCTTCTTGCCGTCCTTTGGTGTGTCTTCTAAGTCTAGGAGATCTTCTTCCTCCTCCTCCTCCTCTTCTTCGTCGTCGTCATCCCCAATCGCGAATGCGCTGGGGTCAGCAATATTATCCTCGCCTTCAGCAATGCTACTTTTGGCGGCTGGTGCTTGGTGGTTGGGATGGTCGGGGTCTGCGTACTCAAAGCAGCGTCGAATGAAGGCGCTGACACTGCCGAGGAACCTCTCGTTTACAGTCGCTTCCGGCATCGAGCTGTTTGGGCTGTTCGGATTGGCGCCAGAGTCCTGGATTCCGTTCAGGCGCACCTGGGAGGCCGTAGGGCTGAGGCTGCCCTCTAAGCCTCTGCGAGACAGAAAGAGCAGAGCTTCGGAGATGCGCAATATACCCTCTCGATCTACTCTGCCATCTCCGTCGTCGTCGTAGAGCTCGAAGAAGTAGGTGATAGTACCCATGATGTCCGTCTTGCCCTTGATTCGCGCCATCCCAGAGACGACATCCTGTAATGTTACCTGGCCTTTCGAGCCCTTGTCCCACAGTCTGAACAGGCGCTGGAGGAATTCATGGTCTGTTGGTTCAGGTCCCGTGCCCCATGGCCCGGTATAGACATCTGCTTTCCGCAGGCTGCTGAAGTAAGGGCTTTTGTTGCTTTCCTGGAACGTGTCTCGGCGAGGCGTCGTTGGCGAGTCGGAGATGGCCCACTTACACATGGCCGCAAGGAACTCGCGGAAGGCGTCGTAGTCCATCTCTGATGTGCTCGGGGCGCCCACGCCGACTCTCCCCTTTTCTACCGCCTCCTGGTGGTGTACATCGCCCAGCTTGGGCCGGCCTGTCTTGGCTTTCCGCTGCTGCTCCTGCAGGAGAAGGTTGCTGCGCTGCTGCCGCTCGTAAAGCACGCCAAAGAACCTGTCGTATAGCGCGCCCAGCTCATCTGTGCTCATGATCTTGGCATCTGGCCCGAGGTTCCTGATGGCCGTCCTCTTGGCGAAGTTCTCGATATTATTGAGAACAGCGTCCTTGTTCTTTAACCTCAAGTCCGTAATGGTGCTGTGCGTGACCTGCGAAAATTCCTTGAATGCCACCACCATCAGCTCCTGAAACCGCGTTACAGCGCGCAGCTTTGGGTTTTCCGACTTGGGGTGGGCCGACTCATCCAGGCGCGAAAAGTATGACTTCAGGACCGATATGAAAGCACCGTCATCTGTCGAGTCCAGGAGATCCTCCCCGTTTATCCTCAAGATTGCCAGTCCGACCTGGAACAGGACCTTGGGCCCCTCGACGAAAAAGACATCCAGAACCCTGAATGCGAAGACCAGTGGCATGGAATTTATGTAAAGTGACAAGAACCACGGCAGGGACACCACCGACAGCTGCACGTCGCTCTTGACGAGGTGGTCCCAGAGCACTGGCATCGTCTTCTCGACCAAGCTCTCGAACACCTTCTGGTCGAGCAATGTGCCGTACATGGTCGTGGAGTAGTAGCCGGGTACGAGACGATCGCAGAGGGCTGATAATAGGAAGAAGGCCTGAGCCTCTGACATATAAATCAGTAGCGCAGCTACGACGATGTTCATGGCTTGGCAATAACCAACATCGGTATTGACCCAACTGTACGCAGTAAGCACCCGACGTAGCCGGCCGATGCCTTCTTCGCTTTGGAACCCGGGATACTCGGGCAGGCTGCGATTCAGATCCTTCTCGATCTCGTCGATTGCGAGTGAGTCCTGGCCCTGGAATTTATTTAGGGTATCGGAGTAGAGCGTCGGGTTCTCAAGGCGCAAGTACAAGGAGCCGGACGTCAGCTCCCAGATCTCCCCCCTCAGCCTATTTGGCAGACCGACTCGGATGAGCTTGTGGAAGGTGGGTTGTCGGATGAGATTGACGTTGCGGCCATTGTCACGCAGGTACTCTGCCCACAGTCGCATCTTGGCCCGATCTCGCAGCTTTTTAGGGTCACCGGGGTATCGGAACAGCATACCAAGGCCCGCATCTGGTGGGCTGGCGGCCTTCTTGTCTTCTGGCCGGAGCAGGTACTCGGAATAGCACTCGGCGATGACCTTCTTGAGCTTCCCAACGCTCCCCACACCGGCGCGCAGTCCCTTTTTCAGGCCGTCACAGAACCTCTCGCACGCCGGCCTGCTACCAGCGAGTACGATGGTTATCCGCTGCTCTCGTATCTCCTTGTTATCCTTGTTGGCCTCTTTATCTTTGTCCTTGCCCGAGTTTTGTGCCAGGCCGTTCCAGGTGGTGATGGCCAGGGCAAACTACATTTATCGTCAGCGATCATGCACCTCGTGCTGAGTCCACGGCGAACTGCGCACCTGGTAGTTCTGGCTATTTAGTCTCTCGACCCTCCGGATAGACGACAGGGGAAAGGTGAAGCCATTGCCGCTTGGACCACCGCCGTGAGTCTGACCAGTGAAGGCCAGGGAGGTGGAGGTTGTGGCTGAGGACAGGAAGCTGGAGGGGGTCGTGGAGAAGCACATGTAGGCCTCGGACAGGTGTATCTTGCCGGCATAGTGGAAGCCATTGTCGTTCTTGCCGCCCTGTGTGGCATTGGAGGGCGGGATGGTGAGCTCGGCATTGATCTCGTACAAGGGATGCTGGGTGGAGGGGAGTCGGAACTGGTTCTGGAAGAGGGTGGCCTTGGAGGGGTTCCTGTCGGAGTCGGTGAGGTTCAGGCCCTGCATGGGATCGAGCAGCTGCTGGGCCTTGTGGACGAAGCTCGAAAGGGTGAACATGGCGGCTGGTGGCGAGGGCAGAGGGCGCCCTCGATGCCGTCACGGGCAGGGTCGCGGTCGCGGGAGCTCGGTCGCCAGGGGTTCCAGGCAGAAGAAGGGAGGGTCAGAGCATGGCCTGGAGAGGCACGGCTGCTGTTGTCAGGGCTGTCCCGATGGCTTGGGCGAGAGGTGGGCCGAGGAGGGGGTGTGGTGAAGGGTAGTCTTGGTGATGGCGACTGGGTATCTTGGAGTTGTTGCACAATACTGTGTACTGACAATGCAAGAGGGGAGACACGGACGGCGTACTGGTTCTCTGCTGAGACGGGACGGGACTCTGTTCGCCCAGGGGTCGCAGCGCGGGTCGGGCAGCCGGCACAAGCTCTCCAGCTCTCCAGCTCTCCCACTCTCCCACTCTCCCAGGGAGGCTGCGGCCAAGATCCGCTAAGCAGCTGCCACATTCCCCACCAAGAAGCTAACAGCCTAATAATATCTGAGGGCCCCTCCCCAGACTGACACTTGAGCCAGTCTGGCAGACTGCCGCAGTACCGTCTCCCAATGCAACCAAAAATGCAGCCAAAACAACCCTTGGAACCCTTGGGAACCAGGGGCCCACTGTCTCGTGTGGATCCTCATACGCAGGCAGCCAGGGCAGCCCAACGAACCCTGGAGCCCTGGGGCCCTGGGGCCCTGAAGCCATCGACTGACTGACCTGCCCACACCTCGAAAGCCCATCAGGCTCACCTCGTGCTCACTCACACTGGCTGCTGCTTGCCATTCATTGCCCCATTGCTCCATGCTTAAGTACCTAGGTACCTACTCTATACCTGCATACTGCCTATCAACATTCATCCAAGACGCATGAGCAGGAGCCTGGCCGGCCGCAGCTCGAGTCGTTTCAGCATCGTCAGTCGCGTGGGCAGCGAGCACAGATCAAGTGCGCGCTCCCGAGCCGGCCCTCGAGGCCCCGCTATGCTGATTCACCACTGAAGCGGCTTGTGGCCGACGTCCACGGCCGATCTCCCATCGGACTCAGATCTGCTCCATTCTTGCCGTGGGCCATGGTCGTACGGGACATGGGCAGTAATCTGCCCAAGTGCCGAGGCTGCCAGTGTCCTCCCACTCAATTGGATCTGCGACACTGCATCTGTCCCCGGGACGAGAATGACATGCTTTGCATCCCGGCACAGACCTGATGCTACCTTGCCGTGCTCTGCCTCTGTCCAGGCTGGGAACATGATATTCTCGTGTAACACAGACTCGACATGGCAGCATGGAAGGGCGAGAGAGTACGTACAATTGATCAATCTGACGCTGCTAGCTCCTGTCACAAGACAACCACGCGATACTGTGTACCCCGGGCCGGGGGGAATGGAGGAGGGAGGAGGGCGCCAGGGCGCCAGGGCGCCTCGTCTGCCTGTCTCTAAACCGCAAAAGGACCGAGGCTGAGTACGACGGCCTCGTGGGCAGACTCGCGGCAGGCCGGGACTATCCAGCCATGCTCGTTGTGGTTGTGGGCCCCTTTTTTCATTGAGCAGCACACTGGTCCCTCCTTCATCTACTGTGGTATAGTAGTAGGATGGAGTACTCCGTTGGCTGTCTCGTATGTCATCCCGTGCCCCAGAGTCATCCGAAGCGTCGGTCCCGCTATTCCAGGTCGAGCATCCCGGCCCAGCGACGCCTCCAAGGCGGCCTGGCGGCAGGACAAGAGGCCCAGACGAGAGCGAAGGGGGCATACTGTGTAGGTGCCCAGGTGGTGTGCGAGGGTGATCTCATATCGGCTCCCCCCACGTGCTGGCTCTGCGTCCTGGTCCCTCACTCCGCGCGCCGCTCAAGAGGGAAGTTCAGAATTAGGTTTGCGATCGATCTGCAGCCCGTGACGTCAAATCTCTCGCTGTTCCGGCCCTTCTCTTGCACGATAAGCGCGGCGAACAGCCACTCGATTCGATTCCCTGGCACCAGAGTCCCTGGCACCAGATTCCCTGGCACCGGCGCAGAAATAAGCAGCGGTTCCCTAGGCTCTCGCTCACAATCCCCTCTGCGCCAATATCCAGTCCACAATTTCGCAGGACTACCGCAGATCCAGTTACGAAACGCATCCTACGCCGGGACACCCACTCTGCCCCGGCTAGGCCTTGTGTCACCGAGGGTAGCATTTGACTTCTGCTCGCCTCCCATCCCACCTACATAGTTCCTTACATGGTCCCTTTTTGCAGACACATATTATTCCTGGACTGTCCGCCTCTCGACCGACCAGACCCTGTTGTCAGCACTCTGACGGTCACACTTCCTACCGCCCCTACTCCGGCCCTATTCCGACGAGCTGGCCCAACAACAAGCAGTCTAATAAGCGATGACCAGGCAGACAATGCCAGTCAAATGTTGTTGATCCTCCAGCCCCCGCTTTGATCAGCACAAACACTTGCCGCCCAAGACCTCCCAGCGTGCATACCGCATGCCAACGACTCAAAGAGACTGACTGGACAGCGCCTGGTGTCTGTCTCTCCATCTGACGTCTCACAATCCAGCGCCGTTGCAACGGCCCCGGCGACCAACGCAACACACAGACCGACGTTACTTGCGCCGCCCGGCCCTTGCTAATTATACCAAGGCGCCGAGCGCGCAGTCCGGAACCGGGTGCGGAATTGTGTACGAGGCTGCAGGGACGCCCTCGCGCTCAACCCCCCCCCCCCCTTCTAGCAGCCATTGGTCTCGTCGGGTGTGGTTGCCCCTGACCGACGCCGTAGAGCAGACTTCTGCTCCGTTGCGACTCTTCAGGTAGCAGCGGCGCAGGCCAAGTCTCACAAGATCTCGCCAGACCCGTGGTTCGCTCCCTCCAGGTCGCAAAATGGCCGCGACAGTGGCCCAGGTGCCCGCGACAGTGGGCCACACAGGTGCAAATCGGAATCTGGACAAGGCGCAGTCCATGAGCGGCATAGTGGTCCCTGGAGCGCCCCATGATGCATCAAAGACATCCAGAAAACTGCAGCTGGACGACTTTGCGAAAGTGCGAACTCTAGGCACGGGTATGTGGAGTACCAATGCACCCCCTGGGGGAGACACTCGGCGAGCTGACTGGTTTATTCTGAAAAGGCACATTCGCTCGCGTATGTCTCGTACGATTGGCGAACCCAAACAACGAGGCAGAGCGGACAAGGGTATTTGCGCTCAAGATCCTACGGAAAACAGAAGGTTCGTGCAACGAGACCATAGGTCTTGGCAGCAGCGACTCTGCGAGCGCCACAACCTCCCTCTCACGTGTGCGTTACTAACGATGGAACGCAGTCATCAAACTGAAGCAGATCGACCACGTCCGTCATGAGCGGGCGATCCTGGGTGAGGTGAGCGGCCACCCCTTCATAACCAACCTCCTGGCCTCCTTCTCCGACCGCGACTCGCTCTACCTCCTCCTCGACTACGTGCCCGGCGGCGAGCTGTTCTCCTACCTCCGCAAGTTCCGCCGCTTCGACGAGAAGATGGCGCGCTTCTACGCCGCCGAGATCGTCCTGGTCCTCGAGTACCTGCACGAGCAGCAGGGCGGCGTCGCCTACCGGGACCTGAAGCCCGAGAACCTGCTCCTGGACGAGGAAGGGCACATCAAGCTCGTGGACTTTGGCTTCGCAAAGAGGCTCGGCGGGAGGGACGGCACGTCCGAGACCTACACGTTATGCGGCACGCCCGAGTACCTGGCCCCGGAGGTCATCCATAACAAGGGGCACACCACGGCCGTGGACTGGTGGGCCCTGGGGATCCTGATATACGAGTTCCTGACGGGCTACCCGCCGTTTTGGCATCAGAACCCAATCGAGATATACAAGCAGTACGTGGTTGCCCCGAATCACCTGCGTGTGCGTGTTTGTCTGGCGCTTGCTAACCCCCACCACCGGTGACCAGGATTGTCGAGAAGCCAGTAATCTTCCCACAAGAGCCGCCCATCTCCCCAGAGGCGCAGGATATAATCCGGTCCTTCTGCAACGCGGACCGGTCGCGCAGGCTGGGCAACGTGAGCGGCGGCGCCAAGCGCGTGAAAGAGCACCCCTTCTTCCGGGGCGTCAACTGGGACGACGTCTTCAACCGGCGGCACAGGGGCCCCATCATCCCGCCCATCAGGTTCCCTGGCGACGCGCAGTGCTTCGACATATACCCGGAGGAGGACGCCTCGCGGGACAAGTACACCGAGGACCTGAGGGAGAAGTATGATGTGTATTTCCAGGATTTCTAACCTGGTCGGGTCGCTGGAGTCGGGCGGGACACGGCATCCTTTCAGCAGCAGCAACAGCAGCAGCAGCAGGGGCGAGGGGCGGGAGCTTTTGATTTGATTTGCACCCCCCTCCTGGAGAAAGCACAAGGCTGAGGAGGAGGACGAAGCGAAGTCGGGCAATAGGAGGAGACATCAGCGTGGCGGGTTCTGCGAGCGGGTATTAAACCCCCCTCCACACGCCTGCAGCCACCTTTTTTGATTTTATCTGGTCGGGTTGGATTCATCAGGTCGAGGGTTGACAAACCCCTCACATCAACATCTTTGGAGAGAGCGCCGTGAGCGCCGTGAGCATTGAGCATCAGGGATTTATTAGAGGACGGGCGGGAGAGCGCATGGGAGGCATGGAATGAACCAGCCGCACGAGAAAGACGATATTGTCTTTTATCATCGTCGTTATCCTCATGTACCACAACAGAAGCAAGCAAAGATAAGCAAGCACCAAACTGCAGAGACGGGCAGCAGCCGTCTCCAGCCAGCCCTACTGCTCCTCGCGTCTTGCTGCGACGCCTCATCCGTCACCCTTGTGCGCTTGTGTACGCCTACATACGTGACACTTGGCCCCCCGGCGCCTCTTCCACAGACTGACTGCATGTGGCTTCGGTCCGGGCCTTGCCTCATGTGCGCCCGGTCCAGCCGCAGCAGTACAGCAACCTGGTTACGCGGAGATCTCTCCCCTGGTTGGTCTGCCTGAACACCCGACTGTGTTCCATGGGCATGCCACAGTCACCAACAGTCACGGGGGGGGGAGAGGATAATACCCCCTTTACAGAAGCCAGAGTAAAATTTAAGATGCCACTATTTGGGCCTCAGTGCAGCCTCCTACTCGGGGAAGAGCCCAAAATGGACGACAACCTATCTATCATTTGCAACTCTATGAAATGGATATCATCGTCATAAACAAGATCCCGAATCTCGAAATACTCATCCAAAGGGTCCCCTCGTCTCAACTTGTATTCTTATAGGGTATGTCGAGCTCAGAAGACGCGCACTTTCGGCTCTAGAGTATGACCTCGGTATTGGATAGTGACAAGAGCTAAGCATGTCTGTCTTTCTGAGGCCATCTCAATGGACTAGGTGGCATAGTTCGACTCGGACCTTCTTAAGACAGGCTTCTATAGAATGACTTCACACGAAACCACCTCGCACGATTCGTCCTCCTATGGGATGGATACGTTCTCGTGGAATATCGTCTTGCACAGCGTCTCAAAAGATACCTACCTAGTCTCACAGCCTCTACATGGATAGTAACCTCCAACAGAGTTGCCTCCTCCCCAATCAGATGTCCGAGTCCTCTTTCTGGGTATTCTCACAGCCTTCTATAGTGTGATATCTCCTCAGATAACCCCCCATATGAGTACCTCTTCCAAAGCAACCTCTCATAGGGTACCCCCCTCCATATACACTTTTTTTTCACGAGACAGTCTCCCGAGGTCCTACAGGACAACATTGTACAGGATCACCTCTTACTCTACCACAGGCCACACTCCCGTACGACAACCTCCCACCCTCGTACAAGACAACCTTATACGAAACACCTCCCTGCTGGCTACCTTCCCTAGGAGACGCCCCCGTTGAACAGCTCCCTACACACAGCAGACAACAGATAGCTCGGAAGAAAGGAAATCTCTCCTGTCCCATGGGATAGTACCACCCATGGTGAAAGAAAATCGCTGTATTCTACTCGCTAGCGTATTCTCGGGTATCGTATGCCTGTTTACCAACCACCAACACCCCCTCCCCCCCTCATGCAAACATCTTCTTCATCTACGGGCGCCCGATCGCGCCGCCAAACCACCGCGCCGCGCCCGTCCAGCCAGCCGCGCCGGGCCACCGCATCGTGAATGTGCTCATCCTGCGCTACAGGCCGCCCCGAAGCAGCCACCACGTCATGAAGGAGACGATCGCCAGCGTGCCGAGTACAACCGCCCCTTCCCTGGTAGAGAAGAAAAGCGTCGTCATCCCCGTCATCAGCTCCTTCTTCCTGGCGGCTGCCCTGCGCGCCGACGCGTTCATGTCTACAGGGATAGGAAGGTACACCCGTGGATCCTTGCTCTTGACTGCCGAGGAGCTCTCTCCTTCCTCGCCATCTGAGTCTTCTGTGTCCTCAGGCATCAGCTCCTCCGGGGTGAGAAGGGGGACGGAGACACGGAGGAATACTGGCTGGTGATCCGAGCTCAGCATGGTTGGCATCGAGTTGTACTTGTGCACGACGATCTCGGCGCCGGCTGCTCCTCCTCGTTTTGCCCACGGGGGGATGTCGAGGTAGAGGATGCGGTCGCACCATCCAGGCCAGCGGTGTGGAGCCCACTTCCAAGGCACGACGTCTTGCCCGCCAGCCCGGACCTCATCCTTGTTGGTGGCCTCGTCAACCTTGGCAGGGCTCAGGTGCTTGATCTTGTATGTCGGTGGGAACTTGACCTCTGCCTCGGAAAGCCCATGCAGCGTGCGATATGCAAGTCTCTCTTCCGTGAGCTGGTCGTTCTCAAAGAAATACATGTAGTTGTCCAGTGTCGGAAACGAAGCCGTCGCAGCAGGCGATGTGGTGGCGACACGGTAGTTTAAGTCCCCGGCCACGAAGAGGTGAGTGCCCGGTTTGAAGATGGTTGCGTCATGTAAACGGCTTGCCTCGTCTTTAGGCATGCTCTTAAATGTCTGGCGGCGTTTGAGTAGGCGCTGAAGCTCGTCCGGGGAAGGCTCATCAATGTCCTGGCCTCCATCTGTCTGTTTACCCCCACCACTTTTTGTCGAGGCCTCGATTGTATTCTTAATGCAGATCTCATCATCATGATACATTGGTGACACAATCTCTTTGGGGTTCCCAAACGTGCAGGAAGACTGACACTGTTAGCACTCGAGTAGTATACGGACAAGAAGACAACACATACCATGATGCTGGCCCAGTTCGCATTCCTGCGCCGCAGGTTGTACTCCATGGCGGCGAGATGTGTAGCGACAAAGGTGATCTCGGTGGTCCTCTGCTCCGCAGTCTGGTCTTGTTCCTCTCCTTGGTGACCGGCGCCTGAGTAGGTAACCCTCAGGGCGATGGCGCCCTTGTTCCCCATATCGGCAATACCGAAAGCGCATTCGGCGAACTGCATGTGGTGTATCGCATCGGGCTTGCGGGCGAACATCATTATTGCGGTCATACCGACATTGCGCGACGCCACCAGCTTGTAGGGGTAGTCCTGTTGCCGGCGCCAGAGGGTCGAGAGTGTGGACGTCGAGGCGCGTTGCAGGCTCGGCTGAGGCCTGGAGGACCGCCTCGAAGCGGCACCTTTGCCCGGTTGTGGCTGTGGCTGCGGCTGCCGTTGCTCCTCGACCTGGCTGGCCGCAAGGTTCAGTGCCTCCTTGAAGGGCATGAGGTAGGGGTTCAGCAAGTATCCGCCGACGAAGCTCTGTGCCAGTGGCGATATCTCCTGCAGGGAGAAGACGACCAGGTCTGGCAGCTCGACCCCCTCGCCGTCCCTCGTCTGGCCATGCTGCAGCAGGGCATTCTGCAGGTGTCGCGCAAAGACGTCAACGTCTATGATGTTCTTTGCGCAGTTGAAGGTCAGGACGAACAAGTCCAGGGAGGCGGCTGGGTTCATGGTGGCAGGCAATGTGAGACTGCGAAGGCAATGGAGGGGTGTCGGGAGACGTGAACGGGGCTGGGGGAACATGTCGTCAAGGGTCAGGGTCCTCTTGGGGTCCTGCGATCGGCGGGCCGAGGGCCGGACTGACGGTGGGGTGCTCGGATGTAACCGAGAGATCGATCTGTGGTTCTCTGTGCCCGATCTTTGGAACGATGCCCTTAGCGATGGTTTGGAGATGCAAAGACAACAAAGGAGACATGAGCTTGTTGACAGGAGACGTCTGAACACGGTCTACACTGAGTTAGTCAATCCAGTTGCGCCTTCTCTGTTTGTGACATCGAGAACCAACAACGTCACACAGCCACCGTGACTACCTCATGAGGCTGAGCAAGGAAGGCCCCACGCATCCCAACAATCAACCAACAGCACAGCGACCATCACCTGTGAGGTTCCAGGCCTGCTATGTACATACGGTGGGTGGTTCATCCTACCGAGGACTACCGATACAGCAGACCCCGAGCAATCTCTTTGCCCTTCTACCACAAGACTGCGACCACCCCTCGCAATGACGCAAGTCTCACCTCGACAAGTAGCAACCCGCCACTGACACACCAATCAAGCCGCTGCCGCGAGCCTACAGTACAAGTATCTACCCGAGACCACGACGACAGAGGGTAGTCGAGGGGCGGGTACATTCGGTGGGGCTTGTCTCAGTCCAGGACTGCTGCCGTCCTGAGGGATTCGTTCGGGTGTCCGCTGCGCAGCCATACCACCCATTTCTGGTCCCGTCTGGACAGTCTCCTCCTGTATTTATGTCTAATACTATGAGACAAAGTTACCTAGGTTTATAAGACAGCCTCCCACCAGACAATCTTTGAAGTTATGACATGCTACGAGATAGCCCCATGACAACATCTTTTAGGTTATAGGATGATCCACAACATGATAATCGCCTATAGAAACCCCCTCCAACAACCTCATATAAGATAGCCTCCTATCCATGGATATGATAGAATCGCTCATTATGATATGACTTTCTATAGAACAGTCTGTTATTGAACGACCTTGAGAACAACACCCCATTAAACAAACTCTTATATGTCCACGGGTCAGCATTCTGTAGAACAGACACCGTTCTACGTGAGACTCTCCCCACCCAAAGCATGGCCTCTATTGGGGGAACCTCTTGTAGAAAATTCCATGTGCCCAACAAGACAACCTCCAGAATATCCAAGACGGTAACCAGACTATGGCAAGCTCCACAATGACATGTTGCAATTCTTGCGAGACGGGGCGTGGCGATTTTGCCGAGAGAATTGACGTGTCCTTAAAGAAACATTCACTGTTGATACTTGCTATACCAGGCAATCTTTTCCATCTCCCGTTTCTGACACACACAAGAAGGCATTCTCGTTTCGTTCTTGATGGCACTGGCCTCGATCTGATGACAACCTGCCAAAGCCATCATAATCATCATCACGAGGTGCCACTCATACATGTTCTAATGAGGCTGTCTCTTGTGAGGTCCCTCGGCTTGGACGTGTAGTACTCCACGCATCCACAGTCATATCATGTTGTGGGTCAACATCAGTCATACAAAAGTCTAATTGCAAGGTGTGTGGGGATGGGATGACATCACTTGGAGAGCAGCAGAACAAAGTTTTGTGAAAGCAATTTAGATTCGGTGGTAGACTAGCAAATCAAAAGGTGCGTGTTGACCGTTCCTGAAGACCCGTCCTATGTATTGAAGGCGTTCCTGGTGACCTCTCCTTCACGTCTATGCCATCCAGGCGTGGTTGATTCGCGCGTGGGTGAGAGGTAGGAAGTCTGGTCATGAGTGGGGGTCAAACGCAGAACAAATGTCAATAGGGAGCGGCTGGTAGTGAAATGAAAGAGATCGGACCGGGGCTCTCAACACGGGTTTGTCCTCCACGCTGCCACCGCCAGTTGCGTACTAGTCCATGCAAGCTGCCCGAGAGCAATGTTGCATTGTTGTTGGACGGTGGCATTAGTCGATTGAATGACGGCTTGGAGGAAGATCGGCGGTTAAACCTGATACCCAGTTCGAGTCCCTTATGGCGTACCCGAGTTCGGATCCCACGAACAAACGCGTCCCCTAATATTACCTCCCCAGAAGTGTGTCCCCGAGTCAAGTCGAAAATAATAACCAGGACAAGCAAAGAAAACAAGAGCAATCTCGATGAAAAAGATTCGGCACGCAGGCTACCACGGGCGGTAGTCATGTTGTCGCAACGACGGGGCTGGTCACAGCCAGAGCGGTCATGGGCGTGCCAACGACCACCTCCGGTTGACTTGGGCCTCTGTTCGGTTCGTCGAGTGGCGGAGCTGGTGGGCTTCTGCTATCTCAAAAACGAAACTCTTCTTCCTCGCATGCCGGTGCCCCAGCAATTGGTGCACCGGGCGTGCCGTTCAGCCGTTTCAAGATGGGGCGTTGTATACTGGATCTACCGGCCCAATGCCGCAGAAACCAACTCGCCTTTTCAAGAATTGACCGAGCCATGAGTGATAACCGAAATACGTCGAGGAACGAAAAATGGTTCCCCAGGATGGCGTGGGGAGGCTGTGGAGTGGAGATGTTCGTGAATGCAATCCCTGAGCGAAGACTTGTTGCCATGAGTGAGGAAACGCCGGCAGAAGGACCCGTGACATCACGGCGTGCCGTCTACCAGTGTCGCTCAGGGATGAACAATCTTTTTCCACAATAAAACAATCTGAGAATCGGGAGGCCGTGTGTTGCAATCACGTGGGTCGTTGGTAAGAGCCGGAAGCGTAACCCTCACCAGCAGCGCCTTGGCCTCTGGAAGCCGAGCGCAGCCTGTTATCGCAGACTGATGGTCAGCACTCCTGTCAGCATTTTCCCTCGGCCAGCGTTATGAAGCACACCAAACTCGAAGGAGGATTCCTTACAAGGAATGTAGTGGGCCTGGGCTTAATTTTGCACTCACATCCTGTCGCTCGTGCCAACACCACGGGTGGCGTCGGGGTTCTCAGCGATCATCTTACGAGCGCGGTTGCTCTGGATGGCAGGAGTGGCCTTGGTAGCCGCGGCAGTGTTGGCCTGTCCGGAAGCAGCACCGGCCTTGTCCTCGGCCTGCTGCTCGTCCCGCTTGATCTGAGCGGCATTCTTCTGGTACTTGTACACGGTCCAGTCGAAGACGTAGTCATACTGGAAGCCCTCCCGGACAAAGAGGTCACGGAAGATCTTGCGCAGGTAGCTGTAGTCAGGCTTGTCGTCGAAGCGCAGGGATCGGGTGTAGTTCAGGTAGATGGCAAACTCGTTGGGGAAGCCACGGCAGAGGACCTCGGTCGGGGTAGTCATCTTCTTCTCCATGATACGGTCATACTTCTGCTTCTTGGTGGCAGCTTTAAGACCTTGCCACGGCAGGGAGCCGCGGCAGAAGTACAGCATGACGTATCCGAGGGACTCCATGTCATCACGACGGGATTGCTCTGTGGCACGGTCAGCGGGTTATGGTCAAGACAACGAAGTAAAAGGTCAAAAGACTTACCGACTCCGAGGTGAGTGTTGATGGAGGCATAACGGGCAGTTCCGGTCAAGTTCTTGTTCTCTCTGTAGGGAATGTGGAAGTGGGTCTTGGGGTCACGGTACTTCTTGGCAAGACCGAAATCGATAACGTTGACCTGGTTGCCACGCTTGCCGATGCCCATCAGGAAGTTGTCGGGCTTGATGTCGCGGTGAATGAACGACTTGGCGTGGATGTACTCGATACGGGAGATGAGCTGGTCGGCCAGCAAGAGGACGGTCTTGAGCGAGAACTTGCGGTTGCAGAAGTTGAAGAGATCCTCCAGACTGGGTCCGAGAAGGTCCAGAACCATGGCATTGTAGTCACACTCTGTTCCAAACCAACGGACGAAAGGGATACCAACACCACCGGCAAGGGACTTGTAGACACGAGCCTCATATTCGAGCTGGGGGTGCTTGGCCTTGACGCTCTCGAGCTTGATGGCGATCTCTTCTCCGGAGATGATGTTGGTGCCCAGGTAAATGTCACCGAACGATCCTGAACCGATCTTGCGGCCGATGCGGTACTTGTTACCGACCCTGAGATCCTGTATCACACCAAGTATTAGTGTTAGTTAAGGGTTATTTATGTTAATAGGCCGGTACTTGAACCCGAACACGGGGAACGCCCCGGAGACGCAGCTGGGTGACTGGTGTGGCGTGTTGGGCATGGGCTTGCCAGGACAGACGACCTCACGACCACCACCAGAGAACCGCAGTTGTCGTTCCCAAAGCCTCGACACCGTACTTGATGATGGAGAGACGAGTGTATAATGAACGTACCATTGTGGTCATCTTGTCAGATATTGACAAAGAGCTTCCGTCCCACGAAGAGGAAGGGAGCTACTTGATATTTGTGGTGGTAAAAAGAGTCTATGGGACTCGGATTTGGTTGCTGAAAGACTATCGCCAGGTTGGACAGGTTAGTAAAATGCTCGCATGGTATGTAGGTTAGGATGATGATTGTCCCTTAGGTGGAGGCGGTGTGATGCAATCAGAAGTAGGTGCAAGGAAGCGAGGGTTGGTGGTGGAGTACAAATCAGGCTATGCAGGCGTTGCACTGCAGGAAGTGAGGTGGAATTGGGTTAGGAGGGGGAAGAGTGCGGGAGTGGAGTGGTGGCCAAGGCTGTTTGGATGCAGCACACGCGAGCCGTTTGGGAAGCTTGCTTGAGGGGGGGGGGCAGATGCTATGAGGTAGGAAGAGCCGGAACCGACAGTTGCCAGTGCAGACGAGGCAAGTGATCAGGCAACCGACCAAGCAAGCCACAAGACCCCAAGCAAGGAGGCCCGTCAAGACGGTCAAGACGGACGGCCCTTGCTTTACACAGTGCTTGTTGGTGCAGCTGATGGGGATGCCCGACCTGGTGCTGGAGCCGACGAGAGGAATGGTAGTGGTAGTGGTAGTGTGAGACTCACGTATTCACTTTCAGACCGAATAGATAAATGCTTCGAGACAGATGGTGACACCCGGGAGAGAGTGAGGGCGAATAGAAGTAGTTCGGTGGTGGTGGGGGGATGGGAGAGCGGTGGATGACGAGGAGAGGCGATCGATCGGTGGTCGACTCGGAAGGGCGCAGTGAGTGGTTGCAGAGGGATCAGGCTCAGTACCGAGAGCGAGATGGAGACGAGACGGGAGGCGGAAACGCTGATGAGGCGGGCTCTGAAGATGCCTCAATGCACGATGTCAACAAAGAAGGGAAAAAACCTCAATCGGGGTCTTTCCTGCTCAAATCTCCACCGTCTTTGGATGCAAGACGACGAGTTGAGGGAAGGGGGAGAGATGGTCAGTCGGTCGGGGTGGGTTGAGAAAAGGGAAGCGGGAAGAGGGAGTTTCAAAAGGGAAGATGCAGGAGGAAGGGGGGAGGGCTGGCTGAGAAAAGGATTCGGTTTTAAGCGGGCCCTCCACCAGAGACCAGACCAGACCAGACCACAGCAGCGACACGGACCGACAGTGCCTGGGTGGGCTTGTGGGCTGGTGGGCTTGGGTGGGCTGTGGGCTGTGCGGGCTGGATGCAGCAGGACCTGCTAGTAGTAGTTCCTGGTTCCTCTGGCAGTCGGGTGCGTTGGCGGGCGTTGCACTGCTGGCAGGCTGGCGGGCTGGCAGGCTGGCAGCGTTGGAACCTCAGGCTCGGGCACCCTGGTATCCTGGCATCCTGGACTTGTGGGCTTCTGCTGCTGGCCCCGTTGGCCCTGGGCTTCTGTCGGGCAGCCAGCACCAAGCACCAGTTGCAGGGCCCCCAGGCCCCAGATCCCCGATGCCTAGGTCAGCTAAGGCCAGGTTTGGAGATCTGCTGAGCCCGAGCATGATGGGAATGAGCCAGCCTAACACCCCTGGAATGAGCTAAGGTTGTCAGGACTGCTGCACCGTCTTGGCACTGTACGGGCCGTTGCGGTTAGACTCGTGCCTCGTACCTCGGGCAGCACCAGCCGTCTACCCAGGTACTTTACCCTGGTTCGCATGGCCGCCTGCAGTCGTCTTTCCTGCACTGTCCGCCTGTCGTCGATGCCTACTTAAGTACCTACACTACCTTCACAGACCAAGCTTCCTTCCCCCTCGGCCGACGGCATGCCAGATTGCCCAGACCGGCACGGCTGTTGTTTCCACGACGAGAACGAGAGCCAGAGAAGGAGAGAACGGAAATTCAGGACCAGGAACAGGACGAGGCAACGGCCGCCGAGGCGACCTGCCGGCCCACGAAGGATGGATGGCTGGGGCTCGTGTCGGCGTGGCCAGCACGGCCGACCAGGCAGACACCGGCTACCCCACGATGCTGCATCCTCGTTGGACTGCTGGGCTTTTGGAGTGCTGGACTGCCCAGCTATCTGCCTGGCAGACGGGTCTCTCGAGTGTCCGCCTGGGTGCATGCTGGGCGAGATAGTCGGTGAATCCGCGTGGCAATCAAGGAGAAACCACACTGCTGACTGACCTCCGAGTCCGACCGAGCCAGCATGAAGAGCCTCGGTCCTACTGCACAGTACTCCGTCGTCTCAGCGGCACAGCAAATGCATGGCGTGGTGCGGCATGGCGTGGGCTTGACAACGGGCTTGGATCCAGACATGAACTGACGGATCCGTCTCCTGTCGCAATCCGTCACAGCTCCCGACGGCTTGCTTGACATCTGGCTCACCTGGCTCGTTCCCGGCTGGCATTGGGCCCATCTCTCGCTTCACGGCAACAGCGTCCGCCCTTGTTTCCGATCGGTGCCCCGTCCGGACCTTTTCCACTGTGGCCACTGGCCAGACCATTCCGCAATATTCGCCGTCCCTGTTCCCGGATGGGCTGCTCGCGGTCTTATGTATTTGCTTCAAGATTCCTCACCGATGCTACCGTGCCTCACTCCTGCAGGGGCCCCTCTCCACTTCTCCCTGCCTCGCTCGCATCAGTCCTGCTACATACCACAGTATAGCCGGAACAGCTCTGCCTGCCGGCCAAACCAGCACTTCGGGTCAACCCAACTGCCAGCAGGCCAGCCAACAAGGTGGGCAACCAGACCGCCTTGTCCCCCTTTGGACAGCCTATCACAGCCTCGTCCGAAGCCGCCCATCCCACGATCAGCGCTTATCCTAGGGGTCTCGCCAACTCTGGACCTTTTGATCGCCCGTATCACCACCGCACTTGGGCCTCTCAGATTGTTAACGGCCCGCCATCATCGGACGGTTGTGTGCCAGTGTGCCTGTGTGCCTCGCTTGCCCGGGCGTCTCGGCGGCGCGTGGCTGGGCTGATGGTCGACACGGGTGCACAGGCTCGCCCATGCTATATTTAACCTTGGACTGTTGGTGACAAAGAGAGGTAAGTTGCCGGCACGCACCGTAACCCAGGCCCAACTTGTGGTAAGCAAGGCGGGCGGCTTTCCTTCCGGATGCGGGCGGCACGTAGTGAAGTGACGGTCGGTCTACACCGTACACTATGGCATTAGGCATTGGGCATTGGCACACTGGCGCTGGCATGACGGACTGTCATGCATCCAATCTCGGCCATGCTGATCCGCCCACAATCCCCAGAGGAGGGTGATGCGATCTACAGCCTGGTCATCTGCACTCCTGCCGTCTCAGTCCTGCACTGCACCCGCACCGCGCTGCACCTGGCTTGCAACCAGCATCTGCCAGTCAGTCAGATCAGATCCGTCCGCGTAACCACGAAACTAGGCCGCCATGTCTGCAGCCTGCGACAGCCTGCGAGGTATCATGCTTTGATTCGCGGTGGGCTCGCTACATTTGTCACGTTGGCGGATCACCCGTGCTCTCACCACGGCCCACCATCAGCCAACTCGTAGCGTCCAGTGTCGTGTATCTACCCTAATCCCGTGTGCTATGACGGCACTTGGATGTTACTCCAGCATCTAGACGAACCCCTCAGGCTTTTCCCCGTACGCCATCTTATCGACTCCCGGGCATCATATCTCAAATGGGGAGGAGGAGCTGACTCGAGGCTCCAGCCTTGATTCGCCCCCTTCAGCAATTCAGTTCCTGTCGGTGCCCAAACCCAAAACCTGCTTATTATTACAGTATTGATGTAGGCTCAGACCTGTCGTGGAACAACCATTTTGCCTACTTGGGCCGGCGACACCGCAGCCAACCGCCAGCTGGTAATTCCCCCGCGTCCCGAGAGCCCCGTTGACGCCCAACGCCGTACCACTAAAACAAGGGGACGGGATGTTCCCTCTAATAAGCTACAGGCTGACGGGCCCGTACAATGGTCGGCATTATATCTGCCGGCTGTCGGCATAACCCACACAGGAGACATCAGGAGAGCTGCAGAGCTGCCCTTGTCTCATCTCAGACGGACTGCTACCGCTTGCTTGCATGACTGATCAAAACCGGGTCAATCTCTCCATTTTCGCAGGTGCCCACACGACAAGTGGGCGGCGCCACGCAGTTGGTAAGAGCTGAGCGCTCCTCACACAAGTAATATGAAATAAAAGCGGGTGTCACCACAATTTTGCCTTGATGAATTCAACAACGCCCGTTGCTGCAGGGCTTCTGGGCTTTCCCACAGACCACTTGTGTGTTCATATGCGCCACGCTGGGGAAGGGAGGCGATTGTCTGCTAAAATCAGCCATCAAATGTCGTGACACGGGGCATAGGCGAGACAAGCGAGAAGCGACAAAGCTGCTGCTGTGCAGGGGCGCCTTTTTTGCTTCTCCTGTTTCTGGTCAGCTTTTTTTCTGACGTCGGACAGAATGCGGCAGGCGCCAAGAACACGGGCCCCCTCGCTCGGTTCGAGCTACCCTGCTCCCGGCCAAACCTCAATCAATCTTCAGAAAGCATCAGATCTCCGCCCCTTTTTTTCCTTTTTTTGACGTTCGACGTGCATGCCTGCTGACGATATATCTCTCATCCCCGGGATGTCTATGCACGGTGCTCGAAGAGCGACACCAAGCCAACGAGCATCCTGGAATGGAACCATCACGATGGACATCAGAATGCACACGTGACGCGTTCGTCACTACGAGCTCTGCCCGTGTATCCGCTATACGGCCACGGTATCTCCTCCGCAGGCCTCCTACGGGATAGTTGCTGTCCTGTCCTCGTTGGGATGCCCTCCTGTAAGCCACTCTCCTATTTTATGGAATAGCATTACAAGGGAGTCCACTACAGAGATCACATAGACAGGAAGTAGTCTAGCCACAAACTCCGCTGTAACGTGATATCATGCCGGACGTGTGGGCATAGCTGCTGGCTTCTTGACGCCCATCATGTGCATCATACCTATGCTGCAACCAACGCATATGAATTATATTGTAAATAGCGACTATCATGGGATGTGGTTTGGATGAGAAACAGGCGACTGAAGAGTGCTTCATACAAAGGGTTGGGAAAGTTCCGCATAATAGAATTTATTTGGCCTTTTAGATTTATTCAACACAGACAATCAGGCACAACTACTTAAATAGTCAGACTTAGCCATTCCAACATTAAAGCAAGAATACAGCATATTAGAGCTGAATGAGTATTATATCACTTTTTAAGTTATTATGCTAACTCCCTAGGTATAATTCTAATTTTTGACCTAGGATCTTTTACTAAAACAACCTATCTCTTCCCTCTAACTCTAACCTTCAGTCAGTTGGTTCTTCTACACTCCCTCCCTCCTGCCCTCCTACCCTTCGCCCTCCCCCATCCTGTTCCTTCTATCCTCCCTTCTATCTTCTCCCTCTTCTCGTCTTCCTTGACCATTCCGAATCAATGTAAAAGTTGCAGCAATCGCACCAATAACCACACCTATACCAAAACACAACTCCATCATGGGAGCTATGTAATACGAGACGAACGCGGGGAGGTCCCAGATGAACAGAATCCAGCCCGAAATACCCGCAGCGGCAGCGGCAGGGGGAGAAGCCTCGTCACCATCAAGCAGCAAAACCCCCGTAGTAAGCCCGGCGCTCCGCCAGAGGTCTTCAAACTCGGACTGCCCGATGAGCCCCGCGGTGGTCACCAAGAACGCAGCTTCTACCGACGACGCCCGATCCCCAGCCAGCACCGAGGCGTAGAAGTCGCGGCGCGCGTCGTCGGGCCACATCGCCGCGCGCACCTGCCAGGTGTCCTGGGACGCCTGATCGAGGACGTCGTGGAGGCCCACCGGCGGCTTTGGTAGTGGCCCGAGCCGGGGCAGCCGCAGAAGTAGTCTCTGTGCGAGGGGTCGTCTCGGCACGCCGACGTCCCCCCCGGCGGCGGCGGCGGCGCGGGCGTCCTCTTCGTCCCAGGCCTCGTGTACGTGCTCCAACCAGTACGCAGCCGAGATGGCGAGGATGACAACGATGCCCACTCTGAAAATAGAGGGCCGCCACGACGGGTGGGTGTTATTATAAGCGTTGACGCAACCCGTCACCAGCGCCCCGATCGCCATGCGCTCCAGGTACCACCCCACAGTGTTGAACATGTCGGCCGAGAGTCCGCAAATGTCGCCCAGTCCGAGCAGTAATTCGCCGAGCAGATCCCCAGGCAAGGCACCCTCGAGGACTTGGTGGTCGTTCTCGAACAGCGGCTCGGCCTCCTCCGGGCCCTCCAAGATGATGGCCGCTTTGGTTTCCGCCGCGTCCTGGAGCATCTTTAGACCGGCGTTTATGTCGTCCAAGATCAGAATGATACAGAAATATGAGACGCCCTGGGCCACAGCGGCGCAGGTGCTCAGGTCCCCGAGGAGGGACGGCGTGCCGGTCGGGAAAGGAGATAGTGAGCCTTGGAGCACGAGGAGCTGCACCCACCGCCTGTATCTTGACCAGCCCAGCTCTGAAGCGCCGAAATGCAAAAGGAACCGGAGAACTGTCCGAAAAAATCCGTGTTGTACGTGTCCAAATGTGACTGTGTATATGGGCCATAGGACAGCCTCTTCGATGGTGGCGCACCAGAACGCCCGGTGGACATGGCCCACGAAGCGCTCAACAACTCCTATTCCTGCGGGCCCGTAGGTTATTGCATAAGAGCAAAGGTAGAAGACAGCAAGAGCTGATCGCGGGATAATAGAGTCCATGGCTGTCATTGTCCTGTTAGCTGCATAGCAGGCTTAGCTCGATTGATTTCGTGCATTTGGTTTCAAAAAAAAAAGTTGGTGAGACGAGTAGATCAGGAACGCCGATTTGTCTGGAACCAAAAGTTTTATTAGTTGAAAAAAGTGCAACTTTTCTTATTCCCTTCAATCAAGATGCACTAGTCTTCGACTATATGCTGGTGAGGACCGGACTTCCAAACCGTCCGCCCACAAAGTGCGACTATTATAAAATTGTTAGAACACTGTGAAAAGTCCTGCATGGCAAACTTAACTGAGCTTATCTTGAATGAAACATTGTGCCTTGTCCTTCTAGAACAAACTGTGGATTCTACTAATAGAGAAACTCAAAAATTACAAATAGTCCATAAAAGTCTTAACTTTGAGAGGAGCCCTCGCAAGTATGGTCAACAGACAGCCGCCTCTTGCGTCTAACCTCTGGTAGTAGGGTTTACACTTGTGAAATTCCTACGCTCTGTTTCGGAGCGCGTGACTGCGCTCTACTATCGATTATCTGGACGCTTTCCATCTAGCCCCTAACACAAGTCTTGGAACAAATGGTACTGGGCGGATCCCATCCGGACGAACTGACAGTACTAGCTGAAGGCAAACGCTAAAATTGGAGAGGGAGCAGCATGCTTCTCACCGTGCACTCTCTGCTTGTATGCTGACCTCGACGCGTTTACACGGCCAGACCATGGGCAACGAGACGCGGGACCGGTAAGACAGAACAGGCATGCCCAACCCCACAGGAAATGGGATCCCCCTACCCACAATGCTCATTCAGAGCGTGTTCCAGCGATTTCATGCGACATGATACCAGTCCCTTTGGCAATTGGGAATCAGCTCGCCAGGCACATCTACCCGGCACAGTCGCGATAGTGTTCGCACCGCACGAGAACTAGTAAAGGGCTCCTGAACTCCAACGTTGACGATCGAGGTAGCACTCACAGCCCGAAGTCATTTTCGCATTCCACTCGAAGCACCGCGACGACGGCTTGTCTTTCTGCAAGCTGCCCATGGGCGGCCTTGAGTATGCCCAGCACGACTGCATTCAATAAAGGACCAGCCAGAACGCTGAGATGACCATGAAGACAGACAGCCAGCGCTTGCAAGGCCGCGAGGTTTGGGGGGTCTGCGCCGGTCCACCTACAGATACAGGATTCCCGGGTCGGACAATGATAATACTTCCCCTTCGTCGATCTGGCCGCGATTGTTTCTGGAATGAATGTCGAGGCATCGCTAAATAAAATAAGCAAGTCGAAAACGACCCGTCTCCCCTGGCTGTTGATTCTGCTAGGGGCCGTCATGTGCGTGCCCCGAGAAGTGCAGGGTTTCCGATCTTGTGGCAAGATACAAGTAGACTGATACTAGACTTGGCGGGTTGAAGTGCATATTCGTCCCATATGAAATGGGTGTTGTTGGGGTATCACCGTGAGGCTTGGCGGCTCATCTACTGTCAGCCTGTTGCAGCCATGTCGCAGTATTCGCTGCTCAGATTGAACCGAGATGTACTCAACAAGTGGTGTTAAAGTGACATAGAAAATCAAATCTCGCTGTGTCTTTCATCTGGGTGGTCACGGCTGGAGAACATCGTACAATACGGCGTGCTCTCGGTCGACGTGGATCCTCACCTGGGTGGGCAGGCTTGGTACCAGCCAGTAGGGCAGGACGACTGGGTTCGAACCCGAAATGCCTCGATCAAAGTTCCGGGCCTCCCGGCGATGAACAGAGATGGTGCCACGCTGAGGCAACGCCCGGAGAAGGCGGAGTTTATACGTCTCCGTGAGCGACATGCTCCGGATGTTCCAAATAATCACATGATTGGCGTGTATCATATTTGGTATTGGACTGATGTTTCTCTCGCTAGCAGCCCTGGGCGAATGCCGTAGGATGCGGACTAGATTGCCTCAGGGAGATCGACATGCTCCGTGTTTCTGGGCGGCAGCCGGAATAGAGGCCCTTGTCGAGCCATCCCTTGGCGATCCAATTGTCCGTTCTGTCCGTGTCCGCAGCAGAAGTTCTGCCCGTATTTGGAACAGACAAACACGTGCCGCAGGGATGGAATGCAATTCTGGTCTCAAAAAGGGTGTCCTGCTGGTCACGGGAGGGCAGAGCCGAGGCAGCAAGGGGGCAAATTGGTCGGACGACTTGATGGAACCGAGAGAGTGGCTGACGCACCCTGGCACCCCAATTCTTTGCTGCCTGAGGCACCCATGAAACTGGCCTCCCTGGGACCCCAGCTGCCAGCCGCCCTGCAAGTGTCCGAGCCAGGTCGCTCCCCCATTTCGCTGCGAACCAAGGCAAACACCACGTTTCTCCTGGCATTTGATTGAGGCAGACGTGCGTTCATCTAATCTGCCAACCACCACCAAATTCCGGGTCCCCATTTCCTTCAATTCTAACCACTTCCACTCTTGACACCGACGGCCATTCGCAATCCCAGTCGTCCCCACAACGCCATTGTAATACCAGGCCTCTTCCCCACGGAACTAGATCTTGGGAACGTCACAGCCTTTTTTCCCTTTTAATACGAGATCCGTTCTTTTGCGACCCACAGACCTCAAGCTGCGCACCGCGACCCGCGACAAGTGACCGGCGACTCGACAACTCACCCACCCCAGCGGCTTATCACAATCAATTCTGCTCGTCCGCGGCCCGTCTAGACCCTCAAATCTCCTATCGCCTAGATACCCTGATAAACTTGGAAGCCTGATCTCGTCATCGAGACAGCCGAGTCACGGGCAACCCACCTGCAACAGCCGTAACAGCTCACTACTCTCCCCCCCATCGCTGTTCCATCGAGACGGACTGCTGTGCAGATCGCATCACCTCGACCCGAATCGCCACGACCTCAGTTGCCCGACGAGACACCACACGCTCTCTCAAGGCTGTTTTCCTAGCCGTCCATCCCCCACGACCTACACCCCAAATTAATACACCGCAACCGCAGTTATGGCTGTCGCAAACATACAAGACAGAACCTTAGAGGTATGCCGCCTCATGGTGGACGGTGGACCAGCCGCCCGAGCCTCGCGCATTCTAACCAACGCTCCCAGTTCAAATCCATCCTCACACAAGCACAACGACGACAAGCACAGGCCAAGGTCGGCTCCCAACGACGGTCCCTCCTCACAGACGCCCAGAAGGCAGAGGCAGATGGCCGAAAACCCCGCCGGTCCGACTTCGCGCGCAAGGCCGCAGACATCGGCCGGGGCATCAGCGGCACCATGGGCAAGCTGGAGAAGCTGGCACAGCTCGCGCGGCGGAAGACGCTCTTCGACAACCCCGTCGAGATCAACGAGCTCACCTTTGTCATCAAGCAGGACCTCTCGGGGCTGAACCAGCAGATCGCCGGCCTGCAGGATGTGGTCCGGTCGTCGCAGCAGGGCGGCAAGTCGCAGGAGTCGGAGCACAACAAGAACGTGGTGCTTCTGCTGCAGGGCAAGCTGACGGACGTGTCGGCCAGCTTCCGCGAGACGCTCGAGATGCGCACCAAGACGATACAGGCGAGCAGGTCGAGGCAGGAGAACTTCCTGTCGTCGGTATCGACGCAGGCGCAGGTCCCACTGCAGCAGTCGGCGAGCCCGCTGTACGGCACGCCCAAGACGGGCACGCCGGCGCCGGGCGGGGACACGCTCTCGCTGAACCCCGTGGGCGACCAGCAGCTGCTGATGATGGAGGAGGCGCAGCCCCAGAACGCCTATATCCAACAGCGAGGGGAGGCCATCGAGGCCATAGAAAAGACCATCACGGAGCTGGGCAGCATCTTCGGGCAGCTGGCGACGATGGTGTCGGAGCAGACCGAGATGATTGAGCGGATCGACGCCAACACGGAAGACGTGGTCGACAACGTCGGAGGTGCACAGAGGGAACTGCTCAAGTACTGGAGCAGCGTCTCGTCAAACCGGTGGCTCCTCGCCAAGATGTTCGGCGTTATGATGATATTCTTCTTGTGAGTTTTCCTTCCCCCCCTTCTCTTAACCTCCGTATTACCCGTCTGTGGCATTGCATGGTGAGCGTCTTTGCTAACGACACTGGACAGGCTCTGGGTCTTGATCGCCGGATAGATGCCCGCCACTGTGCGAGTTATGATACCTACTTTTCTTTGTTGTAACAGTACCAACCTCACCATCCTGGGTCGCGGCGCACAGCAGCATTTTTCTCTTCAGCACTCCAGGCATAGAAAGACTTTACGGCGTACTTGATATAATGCTCAAAAAGACCATGAATAGAACGCATGGCGGCGGCAGACAGCCCGCCCGTTTTTCCCCTTTCACCTCGAGAAAGCTTCCTCCTTCGAGTGCGTGACGTAGGTGCGTAATTTCCTGCAGATGCAGATGCAGCGACCACCACCAACGAAACCAGGTGCAGCAATCACATGCTTGGGATGTCTCTAACGTATCCCCTTGCAAGCCTGAAGAGATGTTTGAGTAAGTAAAAGTGAGTGCATGGCAGGGACAGCAGACTACTAACCAGAAAGGTCGGCTCATAAACCACCGAGGCGCAAACCGCGCCAAGTCTTTCCTTTTCCCGCCTCGCCTACAGCTTCGCCGAAACGAGCCTGTTTGGGCTGTCCTCAGCGGGTCCCTGGAACCCCGGTGGGCTCTCACCAGCAATGCTGTCACCCCAGGCCTTGGCAGCCCGCGGGGGAGGGGCACCCGAGGGGACCAGAATTACACAATCCCCTTTCTTGGAGGGGGAGCTTTGGAGGGGCATTTATCCGGGCGAGTCTCGGTTTTCCCTCTCGGATTGAATTTTCCTGATGAGATAGTAGTTGCCTGTGTCCCTTTTTGTCTCTTGACTTTTCTTCTTCTGGAGAATTTCATCCTATCTTCATCTAACCACCCCCCCAATATTCCTGTACAAGCTCTCAGCGTGTTGTAGTCAAGCTGCCTAGACATCAAAGACACACGTACATACATACCCACGTCTCACAACACATACACTCACAAATCACACAAAATGGCCGACGTCAGCTTCCCCCTCAACAGCGGCCACAAGATGCCGGCCGTCGGCTACGGCACATGGCAGGCGGCGCCGGGCGTGGTGGCCGAGGGCGTGTACCACGCGCTCAAGTCCGGGTACCGGCTGCTGGACTGCGCGTACTGCTACGGCAACGAGGCCGAGGTGGGCCAGGGCCTGGCGCGGGCCATCTCGGAGGGGATCGTGGCGCGGTCCGACGTCTTCGTCGTCACGAAGGTGTGGGCGACGTACAACACGCGGGTGCAGCTCGGGCTGGACAAGTCGCTCAAGAACCTGGGGCTTGACTACGTCGACCTGTTCCTGGTGCACTGGCCGCTGCTCATGAACCCGGAGGGCAACGACGACAAGTTCCCCAAGCTGCCCGACGGCAGCAGGGACATCATCCGCGAGGGGTACCACCACACCGACACGTGGCGCCAGATGGAGGCGCTGGTCGACCCGGCGCAGGGCGCGGGCAAGCAGGCGCGCGCCATCGGCGTGTGCAACTACTCGCGCCGCTACCTCGAGGAGCTGCTCAAGGTCGCCAAGGTCGCCCCCGCCGTCAACCAGATCGAGAACCACCCGGCGCTGCCCCAGAACGACATCGTCGGCTTCTGCAAGGAGAAGGGCATCCACATCATGGCGTACAGCCCGCTCGGCTCGACGGGCGGGCCCCTGTTCAAGGAGGAGGTCGTCACCAAGATCGCGCAGAAGCACGGCGTCGAGCCCGCGACCGTGCTGCTGAGCTGGCATGGTAAGTTCTCTCTCTCTCTCTCCTCTCGTGACTGTCCCTAGGGTTGTTCTTGTTGCGACTACTCATTTTTGTGTTATTTTTATTTTTATTTTTATTCTTATTCTTATTATCTGGAACACCTGCTAACCGGGTCCCGCGAAACTCAGTGCCCCGCGGCAGCACCGCGCTGCCCAAGTCCGTCACGCCGTCGCGCATCGAGTCGAACCTGAAGCTCATCAAGCTGGACGACGAGGACGTGAAGGAGCTGAACGCGTACGGCGAGGACCTGGAGAAGAACGGCAAGGTGCAGCGGTTTGTCTACCCGCCTTTCGGCGTTGACTTTGGTTTCCCGGACAAGTCATGATCAAAGGGGGCGGGATCGGAGGGAGGCATTGAATAGAATAGAAAAGAAAAGAAAGAGAAAATAGAGAACAGGATCTTCCACAACATTTGCGCCTTGATATGATCAAGCTTTGATCAGCCGTCCGTGATGTATGATTGCTAGCCTTCCCACAGCATTGTGACTTGAACTCATCCGTGTCTGTAATGGGGAATTGATATTTGACACACACACATACATACATAAATAAATACTTCTAAATTCAAACACTCTATATATATACAAGATCACCTTCCCATCCACCCACCATCAACAGTCAAGGTATGCCCGCTCATGTACGCGCCGGCCTTGCTCGCAAGAAACACAGTCGGGCCCTTGAAGTCGTCGGGCGTGCCCCAGCGGCCGGCGGGTATCCTCTCGCTGATGCTCTTGAGCCGCTCGGGGTTGTTGAGCAGGGCCTCGTTCATGTCGGTGGCGATGTACCCGGGGGCGATGCAGTTGACGGTGACGCCGCGGCTGGTCCACTCGTTGGCAAAGGTCTTTGTCATCTGGGCGACGCCGCCCTTGGAGGCGGCGTAGGCGGGGACGGTGATGCCGCCCTGGAAGCTGAGCAGGGAGCCGAAGTTGATGATGGACCCCCTGCGGCCCGTGGTGCCGTGCTCGGGCAGCCCGAGCATGTGGGCGGCGACGTCGCGGCACAGGGCGAAGGGCGTGTTGAGGTTCACCTGCAGGACCTCGGCGAAGTCGGCGTCGGGGAACTTCTCTGACGGGTGGCGGCGCTGGATGCCGGCGCAGTTGACCAGGATGCGCACCTGGTGGCCGTCGGCGAGGACCCGCGGCACGAGGCCGGCCACGTCCTGGGGCGAGGCCAGGTCGGCGGTGTAGATCTGGGCCTTGCGGCCGAGGGCCTCGACGGACTGGAGGGTGGACTGGTTGGAGGTGTCTCTCTGTGGGCGGAGGGAGGGGGCGTGTGTCAGTCTCAGTCTCCTGGGGCAGCTCGCTCGTGGGATTTTGTCGTTCGTGGCTTGCTTACCTGGACCAGGAGGATGTCTGCGCCTGCCTCGGCGAGTGCGACGGCGATGGCCTGGCCGATGCCTCGCGTGCCACCCGTGATGAGGGCTGTCTGGCCCTCGAGGGAGAAGAGGGCGTTGTGGGCCATGGCTGTGGTTGTGGTAGTGGCTGTGGCAGTGAAGTCTGTCTATTGTTTCCGTTCCCCTCGACACTTTGAACTCGGCTTCCACACTCTCGTGACGGCTTCTGACAGTCACACACACGGCACGAGCGAAGGGGAAGAGTCAGTCAACAGGCAAGGGTGGTCATGAGCGTGCACGGCCAAGTCAGGTCAAGTCAGGTCAAGCCTCTAGTTTATTAGTCCATCTGTCCAGCCCAAGCATCTCGTGATCCAACGGGGCGGTGGACAAATAAGTTGACCCCAGTGTCCCAGGCTCGCTCCGATCCAGGCGCGTGGTGAACGAGGGCGGCAACCATCGGCGAGAATTGCCCACTTTTTGGGGGCCTCGCCCGTCGGGAGGACAATTGAGTGGGTGGGTGCGGGGGAGAGGGGCTCCTCCAGGGGGGAAATGGGAATTGCCCAAGGCACAACCCCGCTGACGTCGCTGCATCTGGGGAATTGCCCATCGGTGGCTTTTTTTTTTGGAGAAAGCAGAAATCCGTCTGAGTGCTCGCTGGTCCCTTTTCCGACCCGATCCTTTTTTTTTTCACCCTCCATGCCAATGGTGGTCAGAGACAGACAGAGAGACAGACCATTTGGGCATCTCAGACCTTTAATTGCTGTCCCAATTGGGCGCAGCTGGATGCACAGAGGCGGAATCTCGCCGAGACAAACCCGCATGGAGAAGAGGAGAGCGAGCGCACTATCGTGTACCGTGTGTGAGTAAGTCTAAGTCGACAGTCCTCCGGCGCCATCTTGATCGACCCCCGCGGGGTGATGGAGTCGGTTCAAGGTTTGTCCCTTTTTCGAGAGAGACTTGACGGTCGATATCGGAGCAATCATCTTGCCTCCCATTGATCCAATTGTCCAACACTGTACCTAAGAGATCCACCCTTCCCGCCTGCTCCTCCAGCTTGAAGCTATTCACTCCTGTCTCCGTCTCTGCTTCTTGTCTTGTCATCTGGTCCCTTTGCCCACGCGACACACACACACACACCTACCTTACTATCGTGACCATCATCTTGCTTGTTGCTTGTTGCTTCTTCTCATCTTGTATCAAGTGATACTTAGCTTTTAACTGTGACTATCACCACCATCACCACCCTCACCTCACAACATGGCCACATCAACAGTCAGGGCCTCTGTGCTCCACGCAGCAAAGGACCTCCGCGTGGTGAGTAGAATGCGCCCGCCTCCCTGACCATACCAGCCCACCACTAAAAACCACACCAGGAAGAGCGCACCCTCCCAGACCTCCAGCCCACCGAAGTCCTGGTCGCAGTCAAAGCCACCGGCCTCTGCGGCTCCGACCTGCACTACTACAACCACTACCGCAACGGCGACATCCAGGTGCGCCAGCCCATGACCCTGGGCCACGAGTCGGCCGGCACCGTCACCGCCGTCGGCTCGGCCGTCACACACCTCCAGCCCGGCGACAACGTGGCCCTCGAGGTCGGCCTGCCCTGCGGCGAGTGCAAGCTGTGCCAGGAGGGGCGGTACAACATCTGCCGGCAGATGTCCTTCCGCTCCTCGGCAAAGAGCTTCCCCCACGCCCAGGGCACCCTCCAGGAGCAGATCGCACACCCGGCCGCCTACTGCCACAAGCTGCCCGCCGGCGTGCCCCTCGAGCTGGGCGCCCTCGCCGAGCCCCTGTCCGTGGCCCTGCACGCCGGCGACCGCGCCCGCCTCGACCCCGGCGCCACCGTGCTGGTCCTGGGCGCCGGCGCCGTGGGCCTCCTGTGCTGCGCCGTCAGCAAGGTCCTGGGCGCCAAGAACGTCGTCGTCGCCGACATCAACGCCGACCGCGTGCGCTGGGCCGTCGACCGCGGCTTTGCCGACGCCAGCGTCGTGGTCCCCATGAAGAGGCCCGACACCATCGAGGCCAAGCTCGAGTTTGCGCGCGAGGTGGCGGCGCTGGTGGGCGAGGCCAAGACAAAGGCCGGCGAGGCGGTGGGCGACGTGGACGCCACCTTTGAGTGCACCGGTGTGGAGAGCTGTCTGCAGGCCGCCATCTACGTGAGTGTTTTCCTTTTCCTTTTTGTTTTTTGCCTGCGATGAGCACACATCCCAGCTGACACGATCCTCCCCAGTCCACACAACCAGGCGGCAAGATCCTCATCATCGGCATGGGCAACCCCATCCAGACGCTGCCCATCTCGGCCGCCTCCCTCAAGGAGGTGGACCTGGTCGGCGTCTTCCGCTACGCAAACACGTACCCGCGCGTCATCGAGCTGCTGTCCGGCGGCAACCCCAAGCTGCCGCCCGTCGCCGAGCTCATCACACACCGCTACAGCGGCCTCGACAGCATCCCCGAGGCGTTCGGCATGGCGGGCAAGGTGAAGGACGACAAGGAGGGCCTGGTCCTCAAGGTCATGGTGAACATGTAGACGTTGATGACTGAATAGATATATAGCGAGCGGGTTGGGTAAAAGGTTTAAATCTTTTTTTTCTTGTTTAATTGTTCGAATTCAGAATAAATCCGAAATGCATACGTACTGCGTTGCGTGCTGTGATATCTCATATGCAAGACAATAAATAAATCAAAAAAAGAATTCTCAGACCTCCCTTGCGCTGGTGACGCCGTGCCATGATGACAAGCCCATCCACACCATAAAAAACATACATGGTAGTTATTGATACATACACATAATGAGGGCCCTCGACCCTCGACCCTCGACACTCAGACGACCAAGTCAGGGCTCAAGAGATCCTCCACCCAGTCATAAACAGCCGCAGAACCCGCAGCAACAGACAGCACCGCCCGCCCGGCACCCCCATCCAGGGCCCCGTACTCAGAAAGCACAAGCCCGTCATCGTGGTCATTATCAGCAACGACCAGGACCCGCCCATTGGAGGCAGCCCAGCCGTCACCATCAACAACATCACCACCACCACCACCACCACCAGCAGCCATCACAGCCGACCCCCCGCCCGACACGAGAGCAACGCACCCGCGCACCCGGGGCAGCCCGCCGCCCGCCGCACCCGCGAACTGGCCCACCAGCGCCAGCGGCCCAGACGACGCCGACGCCGCCGCCGCCGCCCAGACAACCACGCGGCCCATGTCGAAAACACGAATAGCAGCCATCCAGTCGAGCACGGAAGCCCACAGCGCCGCCGCCTCACCACCAGCCGCACCACCAGCACCAGCACCAGCACCAGCACCAGCGACAGGACAGTCCCCACACCCGGGCGTCTCGACGACGACGCACCCCCACCCGCGCGCGAGCAGCTCCCCGCACAGAGCCGTGTGCGCCGTGCGGTCGCCCGTCGCCACCAGCACGGCCGGGCAGGGGGATCCCGTGCGGAGGGTGTGGCGCGGGAGGCGCACGACGGCCGGGACCTGGGGGCGCGCGGGGCCTGCTGCTTTGGTCTTGTTGGTTGCCGCTGCCGCCGCCGAGACGGACCCGCGCTCGCGCACGCCGCCCGTCCTGCCCTCGTCGGGCCGCGTGGCCGCGTCGTGCGTGTGCGGGATGAGCACCTCGTCCAGCGGCGGCTCGTCGGGGCCCAGCAGGCGCCCCGCCCTGGTGTGGTACGACTTCTGGAGGTGCCAGGCGCGGGCGCGGATGGGGCACGGCCCGGCGTCGGCCTCGGCTGCCGGGTCGGGAGGACAAGAAGGAGGGGGTGAAGACGAGGAGGAGGAGGAGTACCGCCCCACGCGCAGGAGGGCACACGCGCGCAGGTAGAGGGCCGCCGCCGCGGCCCTGTCGCCGTGGTGCAGCAGGGCGTTCTCGGCGTGCAGCGCCAGCTCGTGGGCCCGCGGGTAGAAGGCGAGGGCGTACTCGGGCGAGGCGGCGTCGTCGACGCCGTCGCGGATCAGCCCTTCGAAGATGGGCTGCACGTCGTCCTCCAGGTGGGCGTCCTGGAAGGGGGGCCGGCCCCGGCTCGCGGCGGTTCGGGACAGCCCGTGGGTGGCGTTGCTCTCCCACATGGCCTTGATCCCTGGTCGCTGGTCGTCATCGCCGACATCATCGTCCCTCATCATCGCGGGGGAGGTGGATGACGGGGGGCTGACTGGGCGTGTTGTCGGGAAGGGCCATGAGCGCTTTCGTTTTTGCTGTGATGATGATGATGATGATGATGATGATGATGATTGTGGTTCGTGTTGCTGCTGCTGTGTGGCTGCGGCGTTGTTGTTGGTGGGGCTGTTGTTGGTGGCTGATGCTGGCTTTGGCTGCCAGAGTCCCGATGGCCGGGTTTCGGGTTCCGGTGATGCTTCCGGGGTGAGCATTCTCATGTGGGCCATTTTTCTGGCGGGCGTGCGTTGGCGTGATTCCTTCCTTCCCGTGCTCTCTCTCACTCACTCTCTCACTCTTCCTCTGCCCCTGCCTCTGCCTCTCTTTTCCCCGCCGCAGTTACGAGTAAGCCCCAAAATCAAAGACAGCCCGTTTTCCTGCCGGGATATTCGCCCAGGGGTGGTGGGTGGTAAGCCGAGGTGGTTCTTATTTAAGTCGTGTTGAATGAGACGATCTTGTTGATGTAGTACTTGCAAAATTCACCAGAGGGCTTCTGATAAACTACCGTGCACCGTCTTATCCGGATATGCGGCCGAGAAGCGATCTGTTCACTTAGTGCACGACGGGCTCTGTTGGCGGGGGCGGAACAGGAATCGTGTCAGCACAGTCTTCCAGAACAGGTGATCGAGTAAGAGAGAAGAAGGAAGGAAGAAGCAGAGTCGCCAGCCAGCAGGAAAAATGATGAGCACCACGAAAGTGTTGAGGGCCTATGCGGCTGAGAGGCGCCCGGGACCCGAAATCGTGGATTTATAATTTGGGTCATATGCACACACGAGTGGAGTTTTGGATGGCTTGGCTCCGGGGTATCTCTGCTGGCCGGGGAATGAGTGGGAATCTGCCTCGGGTTTAAGGACAAGAGTCCGGAGACCCGCCAGATGACGAGATGCTGGCAGATTATCAATGGGGATTGTGGATATGGCATGGCAAACAGATGCTGCATTTTTCTTTTTTCCCCATCATGACTTTGCAACATTGCAACGGTGCATCAGGTATGAGTTGCCACAGAACATAGTAAACAAACAAAACTTACTCTGCACGCAAGGATGCAATGCGGATCTTGTCCAACCTGAGATACAGGTCCTTCACATAACCCTCGTCATCCTCGACGTCGACCGGCTGAGGGCGTCTGTGAGGCATGGTGCCTACTTAATGGTTTTCCTCGGCGAACAGAAATAGACAGGCAGCCAATCGGCCCAGGCTGGGATGGAAATATGGGGCAACACCCTATATTATGAGACAAGTAAAATTGGTACCAAAAGGTGAGACGATCGACAACCCCGGTGCTACAAAGCCGCTTGAGTAAGTGCGTATGAGGCCAAGCCGAGAGCACAAGCCCGAGGGCGTCCACTGCCGTCACTGCTCGTGTCGTTTCTGTGTGTGGTGTGTGTGTGTATGTGGTAAGGCCTTTGGCACGGCTTATGGGCTGGGGATCTCCGAGAGGATCGGGGCCGGGGAAGGGTTGGGGCGCGTGACAGACAACCACTGCTAGTCTCGGCGCAAAAAGAAAACGCCAGGCAGTTGAGGGACCCAGGATGCTGGGCGGACGGGGCTGAAATGTTTCGAAATAACCACGGACCAAAACTCCGGGCGGTCTTTGCAACCAGCACGAGGCAAAGACAGGTTCAAACACGAGAGGAAGTCCGAACACACCGTGACCCCTCCTGACGTGAGAGTGTGAGATGACAAGAGGAGAAGAAGGCAGAGAAGACACTATGGTGGTTGCATTGGGATGCCGAAGAGGGGGAGGAGGGGGGGCAGGAGACTTATATGAACACCATCTTATATGTCCGACAGACGTTCAGCACACGATCCTCAAGAGGGCTCTGTCCCTGGAGACAGCCCGCCCAGTCCAGACCGAGCAGGCCAGACCAGACCAGACCAGACCACAGATCAGATCAGACCAGATAGACTCTTGGTCAAGCTCACGTGTGCTTTGTTCCGTGGGCAGAGAGTTCGACAGAGACAGACAGAGAGAGAGAGAGAGAAGCGCTTGCCCCCCTCCTGCCCGAGCCCCAGTGGACCTCCAAAAAGGCTCGTGACTCCCTTCGCGCTTTGAGCTTTTGACTACTATAGACAGACAATATGAGAGGAGGGAGAGGGTCGAGGACGGAGGACAAGCCGTGCTTGGTCCCTCTTTGCCTGCCCGCCTCGGGACAGGCCAGACGGCGCCTCCGACCTCGTGATGATGGTTACATGTATTATGCATCAGAAAACGTGTTGCGGCCTGTTGGCCTGTGGCTGATCTGGCATGTGTCGGTGACGTGAACAGGCGAGGTAAGCACTCGGGAATGCGGCCGTCTACTTGGCAGCCAGCCACCCAGACGAGCTGATGTCGACGCAGCCAAGCTTTCCATCGAGGCAATTCGGCCCAGGCCCAGTGAGAAGGGTCTTGTCCACATCTACAATTCTGGTGCCGTCTGCGTGCCTTTTTGACATGTGAGAGAGCGGGAACAGGGTGCAGGGGGTTCCATCCCCACGACGCCCGCCCGGTGGTGGCACCACTCCCCAGGTTTTTGGTTTGCTTCTCGGGGACCGAGTGGACGGCACTTTGACTATCCCGTGCTTAGGGTCTCGGGCTATTTCCTGGCGCTAAAAACGCGCCCCATCTCTATTATCATATCAGGCTGGCTCTCCCTGCTTGGTTTCTGTCTAATGATACTATGGCCGGCAGGCCCAAAGACATCGGATTGACCGAGTGCCGGTGTGCTCTACCCAAGAAATGCCCACTGCTTCCAACATCAAAACGCCGCTCTAGCCTGAGTGTACACTGACCGCACCCTTTCCTTGGTCTCCATACTGCAAAAAGTGCCCTCGGCGTCGGCCGTGGTCATGTGATGGGTTCCTGAGTGAAGTCTCAACCCTTGGACCGCATCGCTGGACAGTATCTGAGGCTCGCACCCTCCCAGCGTCCCGAAAAGCACGAGCCCGATAGACCTATTCGGCTCTTCCGGGCAGCTGGTCCCCCAAAAATGCAAGTATAGCATGTGAGATTGATCACAGCCTCGAGTCTGTGGCACTGGCCGTCAGCTCGGATTGTGTATTCCCTCCCGATCTAGTCACGATGGCACGAACGAGCGCGCAGATTTGTACAGCCCATTCGCCCTCGGACAGCTGAGAATGGGATGGGCGACTTATTTCTTGTAGTAGTGGGCCATTTCCAGCCCAGCCCTCTTAAAGCCGCACTTGATGTAGAAGCCCTCGTTGGCCTCGCTGCAGTCGAGGATTGTCTTGTAGGCGCCGACCTTTTCGGCGATGAAGTCGAGGGCCTGGATCAGACGCAGGCCCAGTTTCTTGCCCTGCTGGTCCTTTGCGACGGCGATGTCCTCGATGTGGCCAACCAGGCCGAGATTGTGGATGCTGTCGAGTGGCCAAATCTGTCAGCACGCGGACTAGATCCTGCCGGCTGGGGTGGGAGATGGAGCCAGGTTGTCTGTTGGGTTTATTTGATTGCCAACACCCGCTCCGTGTGCGCCATTGGGCCACAGACGTGACGACTCTGGGGAAAAGGGGCAAGGGGGGAAGCGACGTACAACTTGCGCTCCAGAATGAGGGCGCCAGTTCCGACGACCCTGCCGCCGTCCTCAATGACCAGGATATAGTAACCGCCGTCCTGCCTGGAAAGCCAGGCGAATCGCTCGGCAAAGGCCTCCTCTGTGATGTCACCAACGGTGGTGAGGACACGCAAGCAGTCGAGGAAGCCGGCCTTGAAGTCAGACTGGCGCAGGGCGCGGATCTTGTAGCCCTCGGGCAGGGCCTTTGCGACGTCGGGGGAGATGAGCTCGTCGCCAAACAGGCCTGCATCTGTGGCGGTGGTGGTTGTGGCTGTGGATGTGGACGTGCCGTTCATCTTGACGGTCTCTGTTGTCTGTGTGGCCGCAGAAGCTGCAGTGGTGGTCTCTGTGGTTCCGTTCATATTGAGGAGATGTCGGGCGAGGGTCGCGGGGCGCAGGCGATGGATGGGCGGCTGGTGAGGCTATAGTCTGGCAGTTTGTTGGAGAACAAAGGAGCTAGGTCAGTGCGGATAGCTTCACCGACAGCAAGACGGACTAGGACTGGTCGTGGGAGAGGGTGGATAGGCGATTGCGGAGGTTGTGCTGGAGTCGACAGAACGAGTGACGTTGGAATTAAGATGGACGAAGGAGGAAGAAACGAAACAAGGACAAGAATACGATGGATTGATTACAAGATCCAGGGGGACAAATGTGGCATTTATTATTGCTGGCGATGTGGTGTTGGACGGCAGCAAATGGCATTCTGCCATGCCTCGACGTGACGTGCTGCTGCTGCGCTGTCCGTCCTCAGCTCAGCCCTGGCCAGCTCCCAAGGCCCAGGGCAGTGTCCAGGCCCTGCGGAGCACAGCCGTAGGTACGGAGCACAGCCGATCCTCTTGCCCTCCCCTGAGCTATTTTAGGCGAGCTGCAACTCGGGACCTGGACCTGACCTGGACCTGGACCTGGACCCCTGCGTCGGGATGCCGTTGATCGCTGGTCCCGTACTGGTTGTGCAGCTACGATGCTTCTGTGCTTCTCTCCACATTCTAGGCCATCTGCACGATGGAATACGGCCCTGTGGGTGTTATCTAGTGTGTTCTAATGCTGGATGGATGCTCACGTTCCGTACTTGTACGTACTGCAGTCCAGTCCAGTCCAGTCCAGGCCAATACTCGCTCTCGATCATGCATCGTCCTCACTCAAGTCAACCAACCCCTGGCCGACATGTCGTCATTCTTCTGGTCTTTCCAGAAGAGTAACCACCAGCACCAGCGATACCTCGGTACAAGTTGTGATAGATACTTTATTTAGTACGTAGATACGTACACTACCGCGTACCTCCCACCTGCCAATTGACAGATGCAATGGCACATCACTCCTGCAGAAGATCCCGTCCAGAGCAGTGGGAGCACCCGAGCAGCCAAGCTTTTCCAAAGGCAGAGAGAGACGGAGAGAAATGCACACACACATCACCTCGCATCTTGCGTCTCGCATAAACACCCAGCCGGCCCAGGGCCCATGCCTCGGGTCCAACAAAGCAGCAAATAGCAAATCGGCTCCTGATCCACTGCACCCAATCTTGAGCCTCGAGCGTCCCTGAGGGGCAGGACAAACTCCGCTTTGTCCACGTCAAGAAAAGGGCGACTCGAGGCTTGATGACTCCTCGTCCCGGGGCCTTTTGTTCGCCTGTCACATGTCACATGTCACTGACCAGCACCAAGCAGCCCGACCGTACTGCCCAGACGCTGCACCCTCTTGACTTACTTGCCTTCTCTTGATCGACATCGAGGATTTGTTGGGACCAAAACTGCCCATTCCAACCCTCGATGCTATCATGCAATGTTTACTTGCGACCCCGAAACTGCTCACATTCCGTCCTGCCTCTCCACTTCAGTCCTCAGTCCGCATGATCATTAACCGCGGGGATCTGCTTTAACTCATCATCATCAGTTCGCCACCCTCGGCCTGCCCGCCAACGTCCTCAACAATATGTGCCACATCCCGGCCACGCTCACGTGCTTTACAACTGCTTCACTTGTCCCTCCCACTGCAAAAGCTCCAACCTGAGCCTGACCACCCCGCTTGCACGAGTCCTCGTGCCTCTGCTCGCACCTCGTCGGAGATGGAGGATCGCATTCAGAATGGCTTGGTCGGTGGCCCCTCCGCCGCCGCAGCACCTGATCCCCTCGGCCTCCCGGTTGAGCCGCGAGACGTGATTCCGTCTCCTCCGCCGGGGCGAACTCTCCTGCCAGCACCAGTCGCCACGGCTATCAGTCTGTGGACACGGTCCACCAGCCTCGCCCTCCGCGTCGGCACAGTCATTGGCGGCTATGGCTTCGGCGCCGCAAAAGCTACCACCCTGTCCAGCCTCGAGCTCGGCCGCGGCATCATCGAGGGCATCCTGCACCGTGCCGGCTCCGAGTCCTTCTCCCGCTCCAACTCGGACCTCGGAAGGGCTGATGCCGAGACCATCATGGAGCGGAGTCTCGAAAGCCTACACATCGCAATGTCCCAGGTCGTTTTCTGGACCACTGCCGGCTTCAACCTGACCAGTACCACCTTGTCCGCCATCTCCGAGGTCTCGCAGCTGACCCTCTCCTACCTTGACTCCATTCTGGGCTCCACCGAGTCCTCCAGGGCTATCGCCAGTATCATCACCCTGATACGCCGCGAGTTCAACAACCCCGCCACCGGCCAACCGGGCGAGCACGTCGGCGTCTTTGATCTCATCGTTGGTATGGTAGGGTTGGCTTACTTTCAGAGATGGTCCTGGAGGCTCATCATGCAGGAGAGTCAGCGCCTACAGGTCGACGAGATATTGTGGGACGTCGTCATTATCAATGACGAGGAAAGGCTGGACTACAGTAGGGTCGACAATGCGAGGCAGGCCGCTGGCCGCGGCACGGAACCAGGCCCGAATGAGATGGTCATACAGACTATCCAGCAGCACGATACTGCTGATAGCAGCGAGGGCGAGGGTGATCTCCCCGAGATACGGCTCAAACAGCAGATTATGCGCACGCTGCCGGCTGGTGCCAAGGTATCCATCATGACAGAGACCAAGACAACCAAGACCATCACTGTCGATGTATCCGGCACGCAGCCCAGCGCCCTCTCGCCACCCGCAGGTGTCGAGCTCATTGAGGAGACCCGTCTGCGGCCCGTCTCGTCGCAAGGTAACCGCCGTCTATCGATGTCGTCAGACCTCTTGCAGGGCGCCAGTCCTCTGGACTCCACTTATCGGGTGGTTTACAGGGTCAATAAGAACACACTTAGAAGTACCGAGATGGAAGGCGGCCCCGAGGAAGCCGAGGTGCCTCGATTCGTGGAACAGGTCGACTCGGATGCTGAACAGGGTCTTGACCAACACACGATTTCTGATGACGAGAAGGACGTAGTACCACCGTCGCCGGCCTCGCCGACCTCGCCAACCTCGCCAACCACTCCGCCTCCGCCTCCCCCAAAGTCCCCTCGCCATGAGGTTCACACCGAACCATTCCCCCCTGTTGTCGAGGCACCGCCTGTTCGTTCACGTTCAAAGAAAGGCCGGATGTCCCCAGCCCTCAGCCGCAAATCCAGCGTCGACAAGACTTCGCAAATACCCCTGCCGATGCAAAGCGCAGAGACCTCCGCGAACCAGAAAAGACCGAGGATGCCCGTGTCACCTCCGGGTTCGACGAGCAGCACCGAGGCCCCTCGCAAGAAGCAACAGTCCATGTCGAAATTGCTATCGAAACGGCCAAAAGGCGACGTGACACCGCCCAACTCGGCCAAACCACCAAGTGAGAAGAAGGGAGGTCTGCGCAATGTCTTGAAGAGAGGCTCGGGAACAAACCTGAGCCACCCTGCCACTAAAGATAGGAAAGATTCAGTAACCTCAAATCCATCGGCGGCCGCGAAAGGGAAGCAGCAGCAGCCTATTCGAGACTTACGACGCGGGCCGGCGCAGGCCAACCAAAAGCCGTCATCGTCTGCTGTAAAGAAGCAACTATCTGTTACAAATCGCGACTCTTCTCTGGTCCCACGACGGGACGCCCCTCGTCCACCCCAGGGAGCGCAGGCCAGAAACCCACTCACGTCGCGAGCGCTCGCGGAATACGAAGCCAGCGGAGCCGTGCCACGCAGCCCTTCCCGAGCAAGTTACATATCCATCCACGAGCGTAGGCGGGACTCGCTCATCTCGCAGACGGATACCTTCTCCATACACTCCGTGGAGCACCATCTTCGACCCGTGTCACCCACCTACAGCCGTAGTCCCATCGCGAAATCAAAATCCGAGAGAGACATTGTTGATAGACAGCTCCCTCCACCGTCGCCCTCGCGGCATCACAGACGAGTCAACTCTCAGACCTATTCACCAAGCATTTACACTTTAAAAACAGCTGATTCACAGATGTCCCTGATACCCTTCCACTACCGCAGCCCATTTGGCGATGCCGAAGCCCTCCATACCCTCCGCCGCACAGGTAGCATCGACACGACGTTCCCGCGCTTCCACCTACTTCGAAATATTACTCGCTATATGCGATTTTCCTCTGCCTCGTACGGCTCGAGCTTTCTGAAGGTCCTCGGCATATCCAAGACAATGCCGCCCATGCTCAAGGCCCTCGACGACACCCACCACGAACTCCGCATGTTCGCCCACCACACCCAATCGCAGCCTCAATCCATTCTACTGTCGTCTTTTGTTGATCCACAGGGCGGTAGTGACTCCTCTGGAGCAACCGAGACCGGTGTGCCGCTCGTGCACTATGTCTCTCTGGACGACGAGTCGAAAGCAGTAGTGTTGGCCTGCCGTGGAACACTGGGGTTCGAGGATGTCCTCGCCGACATGACATGCGACTATGACGATCTCGTATGGCGCGGCAAGAGCTACAAGGTCCACAAGGGAATCCACGCCTCTGCGAAAAGACTGCTATATGGTGGCGACGGGCGGGTTCTGGTCACGATAAAGGCTGCGCTGGAAGAGAACCCGGACTACGGACTCGTCCTCTGCGGCCACTCGCTCGGCGGTGCTGTCACCGCCCTGCTCGGGGTCATGCTCAGCGAGCCCATCGACGGCGGCACCTCCTTCGTAACATCCGACGAGCCGCACAGCCGCCTGCTGACGTACCCGAGCTTTTCGTCGGCCGATGCCACCGCGGGGCAGCAGCAGGTCAAGCCGCACATCTGCCTGCCCGCCGGTCGCCCGATCCACGTTTACGCCTACGGCCCGCCAGCAACCATGTCTCCTTCGCTGCGCACCGCGACTCGCGGGCTGATCACCTCGGTCGTGCACGGGCAGGACCTGGTGCCGTACCTGTCGCTGGGCGTTCTGCACGACTTCCAGGCCGTGGCGCTCGCGTTCAAGACGGACAACGCCGACGCAAAGCAGGAGATCAAGCAGCGGGTGTGGGAGGCATTGCAGGGCGGGCTGATGGACAAGTGGAGAGGAAGCGGCGCAAGCAGCGCCGGCGCCGGCGCCCGCAGGGATCCCGTCACCGACGAGGACGAGGAGTGGGCGTTCGCCGCGTTCAAAACGCTCCGCGCCAGCATGATGAGCGAGAAGCTGCTCCCCCCTGGTGAGATATTCGTCGTGGAGACGGAGAAGGTGCTTCGGAGGGACGCGTTCGTGGGAACCGATGGCGAAGGGCAAGGGCAGCAGCATCAGCAAGCTGGGGGCAGCAGAGACGAGCACAACAACAATAAGGGGAAACAGCAGCAGCAGCAGCAGCAGAAATCGTTCAAGTACGTCGGCCGGCCCGCCAGGAGGATCGTCCTCAAGTACGTGCGAGACGTGGAGACGCGGTTCAGGGAGGTCCGGTTCGGGGCCACCATGCTCACTGATCATAGCCCTGCCAAGTATGAGGATGCGCTCGATGGGTTGCGGTTCGGGGTTGTTGAGTCTTGATGCTGAGCGTCCATCCCTCTTCCAACTGCCTACTCACCTATCGAGCTTGAGGTTTCCCACCGAAGAACAGCACCGCGCTCCTACGCAATCCTCCAGTGGCTCCTTGTTGACCCTTTATTTACCTTCGCGCATGACAGCATCGCTTCCCTCAAGTTGGGGAGCGCATGTTACTCTTGTACATAACACATGTGTCCATGGCGACGTGGATAGATATACATATATGCATTTTTGTGTGCTTGGGTACGAGATAAGCTTTGAGGTAGTAGATCTTGGTTAGATTCTGCATCACCATCATGTACACCCATTTGTCCAAACTGTATTTCCTGTCCATGGTCAGGCTTGACTCCGTGCTCCTTCTGTTCTTCCCTCTTCGACGTCAACATCGGTCGCCCCACTCCCAAGCACAGAAGCCCGGTTGCTTTCCCAGTAACGGTCTCCCAAGAAGATCACGCGTACTCAGCTCGTTACGAGGACTAGCACAAATACTTTAGTCGTGCCAACGCAAGCTCGTCGGCCGAAACTAGTAAACAATCCATTCTAAGGAGTAGAGAGTCGCAACTTGTCCTTGCCAGCCCACGATTGAACAGCACCGCATCATAATAGACAACAAAGTATTCTATTGCTCGTTTTAGACTGTCTGATCAACCGTTCACATATAGCAGCATCCATCATTCCACTACTTTTGGATAGAAGATGGCCCGTCGCTGGTTCCAGGCCACGCCGCGTTGGAACCCCCAGCCAGCCAACGCCATCAACGACACATCTATGCAACAACTCCACAGAATTGCAAAAGGCGGATTAACATCCAAGTCTTTCGGGTAAGTGATAGCAAAATACGGTCACAACATTTGCACGCGCAGGCGCAGCGGAACCTCCATCAGAAACGCAGGCCAGCACGGGCCTGCCTATGTATATACACCAGACCCACAAATTTCGAGGCCGAGTATATTTGTTCGAAAACAAAAATGTCAAGATCTCGGGATCCTGGTGGTCACGACGGGTTCCCTGGAGCAAGCCAATCAGCCTGGTCTTCGTCCGAAGTCCTCAGGCTCAGAGATACGGGAGAGAGACACGATCAGGAGCCCGCCCGCGCCGTCCCGTGAGCCTGGTGTCTGAAAGAAGTTCTGCGTGGCATTATGGAAATGGCAGTATGGGAGCTTGTGTTCTGGATCTTGGTGTCCCTGAGGAAGGGTATATACTTGTATATTTGGGAGGAATGAGGTCGGCCGCGCCAGAAACTCCACAAATTGCTCGACAGGTTCATCACAGGCGAGCGAGAACACACTGGCCGATATTTTAGGAGGGGAGAGCCACCAACGCCACAGAAACCAACGGGAACTAGAGCTCTTTCCCGTCTTCTCCAGGCCTCTCGGGAGAGGGCACAGGGAATGGGTTGGTTGCGCTGAAGGCCCGACGGCGTTGGTCGTCTGTCGCTGCCCAGGACGATTGTCTGCTAACTATCCCAGGTCTCAACGACGTAACTGATCCATCAAAGGTTCTTGCGATCACAATGTGTCTGATCACCAAACGTGATTTCACAGTCTCTCCAAGATGGCTCAGGCCCCTCGTCGGTTCCCGGAAAGAGAATGGTGGAGGGAGTTCCCGCGCCCATTGTCTCCAAGCTCCAAGCAGACAAAGGCGCCCTCTTCTGGGCTCGCCGTTCCCACTTTCGAATTATTCATCGAGTTGGAAAGACCACGACTCGGCTTAATTGTGCTCGATTAATTGATGACCAGGAGGATCTTTTCGAAACTTCAGTGTAGATTGAGTAGCGATGGCGTCGCTCAATAGCGACGAAATGAAGCCCCTGGAGCAAGACCCGGGCCAGCAATTTTGCAGAATAAACTCGATTGCAACAACTTCATTGCCGCAGTACTCGAGACTCAGCCAGAATATTTGATTCCGGAAGCCTGGAAGAATTCGATACTTGTTCAACATGAGAAATTCACCAATGTCCAGCTTCAGTGACGTAGGCAAGAGAGATCAACGTCGTATCATTCTTCTCCCCCGCGCAAACTACCAACAATCTAAAAACACCACAAGGTCGCCGCCCCAGGGCCGTCCACAGAGCATCCGCACCGTCGCCTCTCCTTCTCGTCTAGTTGCCAGTCCATGGCCCGCCCGTCTCATGGCCAGCCGGCGCTTGAACGTGCGGTGTCGCCGCGGCGTGTTTCGACTCGGGCCGTGGGGACAAAGACAACAACGGCTCGAGCGTGCGAGGGCAAAGAAACAGCGCCAGGGACGGCTCCAACAACCGCACTGCAAGGCCGTCGCAGCGGTAATCCGCCCAGGACGCCCCTAGGGCTTTGGGGGGCGGGGAGCACAGGCAGAGAGGGAGATTACCAGGCCAAACGATCGATCGGACCGTGGCCTTTCGTCACGCTGGGAGCTCCCGAAGCTCCCGCCTGAGGGCCCGGCCGTTCCCAGCCAGCCTAACCAAGCCCCCCCTTTTTTTTTTTTTTTTTTGCAAGCCGTCTGGTCTCCGCGCGCGCCCTCGTGACGGGTGCTCGCAGGGACTCATCCCTCTCGAGGCCTAGGCAGACGGCGCGGTCGGGACGGGATGTCGGTTTGTAGTTTGGTTGCGGTGTCCCAGAGTATGGTAGTGCCCAGCACAGAAGAGAAGGGGTTCTCCATGCTCTCGCTGAGACCGAGCCGTGTTTCTGGCGGCCCGCGGGCCTTCTTTCTGCGCATCATTTTGGACACGTCAGACGGGGCCGGGAGACGCTCGACGGGGTCGAGGAGGGCGGAGCGCGCCTCCTGAACTCTCTCTGGGTGAGTGAGGAACTGGAGGACTGGCAACCTCCTTGGACACCCAGTCAACCTCGCGCGCGCTCCGTCATCTTGCGCGAAGCTAGGACAAGACGGAACATGAACGCAGACGGCTAGGGCGGACTCCCCTCGCGAGCAGAGCCACTGGTTGGTGAAGTTTCAGTCCTCACTTTCGTGACGGGCCTCGAACGGGGTGATGGCGGCGGCTCGTAGTCCACGCACACATACACCCTCTTCCTCTCTCTCTCTGTCCGTCTTGTCACGCACACGGATAGATAGGCAGCGATGGCGTAAGCCTACTTGTGTTCGCACACCGCCTCATCACGACCCGGATGGGGCCCCCGACCCGTGATATCGCCATTCCAAGACTCAAACTTCACCATAACAGGCAGGGCGCCTCGCCTCCTTCGGCTCCTCTACCGTCTGCTAGTCTCGTGCCGTTCGACCAACACAAACTCTCGGTCTATTTCCCCTCGGCAGCCAATCCTGTCCCCGGGGTGGCCCTCTTCCCATTCACAGGCGTTCACCACCGTGTGCTTACGCAGCAGAGAAGAAAAATACATCCAGGGGTGAACCCACTATCATCCAAAGAATTAGGCACTTAGTAAAGTTTCATGTCACATCACGCAACCCCCCAGAACAGATCCACCCCGTTCGCGCAAGGGTGACATGTTCCCTCGACCGACCCCGTGCCGTCCCTCTTCCCTTTACAATGCCCAAGAACCTGGCCCTGGGCGGTAGGGCGTGGCATGGATCTGGGGACAGAGGAGGAATCGGCCAGTGGACCAAGTATATACAATTCTCAAGGTCCCCAGAAGTACTTGTACGTACTACTACTGACTAAACCCATCCCGTCACCTCTCTCTCTCCTCCCTCCTCCATTGCATGCCTCCCCCCGGCCCCTCCTTTCGGATGAGCAGCTGGGAAGTCCCCCGCCCCTCCTTCCCACCCGAAAACTCGAAACTTCCAACTCATGTGGTGTCCGGTATTCAGGCTAGCATCTAGGAGCAGGGAGCGGTACTTGCACACTGCCGCTGTCGCTGGCATTGGCACTGGCACTGGCACTGGCCCTCTGCGCAGTGGTAGCGTGTGATACGGTGCCACTGGGGGTACCTGTGTCCACGGTGCGAGGGGCAGACTGTGCGAAGCACGTACAATGCGTGGTGCACACCAGTCAGGCCAGGGAGTCAGTTAGTTGCCTGGACTTCTTGTAAGGGCCAGCCCGCTCTGTTGGTCGCACGCCCGGCCCAGTGGCCCAGTGGCCCGTTGGCTTCGCTGACACGCTGGGCTCACTGGGCTGGGGCTTGACTAGCTAACAACAGCAGCGAGGCTTCACGGCTGGCAGGCTGGGCGCCCGCCCGCCTTCCCGTGGACCATTCGTTAGACGTGGGACGGGCGGACGGACGGGCGGACGGACGGACGGCTCGGGTCTCTCCTTTCGTTGAACCAGCGCAACGCTCGTTCTTGGGGCACGGCGGGTGATCGACTGGCCGCAATGCACTCTCACTCGTCTCCTCCCACTTCCCTCAGGTGGCCCTAACTTAGGCAAGGGGTGTCCTCTGGCTCCGGAACGGTCTGGCCCTAGGACTGTTACCGCTGTGCCTTTGGGTCTTTTCCCCTTTGAAGAGACGAGTGCTTCAGAGGCCTGGGTCGGTGTTTTGGGCTCGTCAAGAGCAGCCGCATCTCTGGAAACAACGACATGGCAATAAGATTAAAAAAAGAAACGACTGGCAAAAGAAAGTAGAAAGGAAGGAAGAAACAAAGACAGACATGACTAGATCAACAGAAGTTTTCCCGGCGGGCTAGATGCTTCTTCAGAGTCAAGACACCACACACACAGCATCTGAGACATACATGGCGGGATCCCCCTTCGGGCTTACCCCAGGTGCTGCTGTTGCTTTTTGTGGCCCGCCAGGTCCGTTGACCACCCGAGGGTTTTAGCTGCTGGCGTGCGTTACGGGCCGCTCCAGAGGGGAGAGACACCACGCGGGAGAAAGCGATCTTTTGGGGGGGGGGGACCTGTACTGTAGGATGTAGTACTCCGTACCCGGGCTGGGACGGGCCCAGCGCTCGAGCACACTCTTCCCAGGACCAACGATTAACCGGCTCAGGCCTACCGGTTGGGAAAACCTCTGATACCATCACTCATCGGCGATGGGAATGTCGAGAGTTTCCGTCCCCTTGATTATCGTCGTATTCAGTGACGCTCGACGTATCCTTTTGAAGGCTCATTTGCGCGGTTTCCTGCACGTGCGCCGGAAAACAGATGTGTACTGGCAGCCGCACCTCAGGAGTTGTAGTTAACTGATTACCCTTTTTGATGACTGCCTCGTGCGGAAGATGTGTAATCATTCAATCTTGGGTCTTCGAATGAGAATGAACTGGTGCCGACTTGTAGCGGGAGCTGATCCAGTCGTTGACCCTGCAAAGGTTCCTATCACAGATCAAATCGCATTTGTTCTGGGAAACAATCACAGGCAGCAATCTCGTCGAGCATACATGGTAAATGATATCCGGGCTGTGGCTGACATTTCTCGGCTGGCTACACAGGACTCGCGGCACTTTGGATGGATATTTATAACAAAAAATAAGCTTATTCTTCTTTTCGTCTCTACCTTACCATGCCAGATTGACCTCTAAAAGGTCAACAGGGTAAACTCACTCCTTCGTACCCCTCGCCAGAAACAGAGTCCTCTTCCCGTGCTTCTCCCCAAACTTGACCTGCCCCATCCCCTCGAGCAGGAAATCCTTCCCCACCCCGGCACCAACAAACACCTCCCTGATGCGCTCCTCCGAGAAACCATGGTGCGTCACCGTCTCCAGGGCCTTTTCGACAACCGCAGCTTCCACATCGGCCCCGCCCTGATGGCCATGGCCATCGTCGTGGCCATGATGATGATGATGATGATGATGATGGTGGTGGTCGTCATCATCATCATGACCACCATGCGGCGCGTGCGGCAAAAAGTCAAGGATCATAAGGACCCCGCCCGGCCTCAGCCGCGCCGCGAGCCTCTTCGCCGCCAGGTCCGGGTTGTCGAAGTGGTGGAAGCCGAGCCCGATGACGGCGAGGTCGAACCCGGAGAACTTGGGGTCGCGGAAGCTCTCGGGGTCCTCGTCCCCGGGGACGCAGAGGTTGCCCTGGAACGCGACCATCTCATCCTCGGAAAGGCCCTGTCGGTGCTAACCATCAGCCACCTACAGAACACAAGTGAAAGCCATCACTGAAGAAAAGCCCCGCGGGGCCCTCGATAGCGTACCTGATTACGAGCCCGCGTGTTGTACATGTCCACCATCTTCTCTGAGAGGTCAATGCCCACGCATTGCGTAGTGTACGGCGCAAAGGCCTGTCATACCGATACTGGTTAGTTTGTTTGCGTTTCGACAAAAGGGCCAGAAAACAAAGGAAAAGAGGCCGGGAGGCCACGTGGGAAGTCGCCGGTAGAATCCATTTTCAAGTTACCGCTAGGGATGAAAGGGCCAGTACTGACTCTAGACATCGAACCGGTGCCGCAGGCGTAGTCAAGGACCCTCACGGCCCGTCCCTCCTCGTTGGAGTCGTCTTCGTCGTCCTCGACCCATTGAACGCCGATCAGACCCCTCCGCGCTTCGATGCGCCGGGCTATCTCAGCGGTTGTCTTCTCGTGCTTCGCATCGTAGCTTGCCGCTTCGTTGCTAAGGGGAATATCACCGTCAGCTTCTATCCACGAAAATCGGCCCCCAATCACCGTGCATCAGTGCATCATAGCTTTGGGACACCAAATGCAGGTGTTGCTGATGTTTTGTGACTTCGTGCTAGCAGAATATGTATGAAGAGTGTCGTTTGAGGGAGTTGGTCTCAAAAAGAGCTTACTCGAAGAAATCCTGATTGAGCTTCGTCTTGCCGTCCATATTGGCGTATTGTTCAGCCTCGTCTAAGTCCGGAAGCCTGGCGCGCGGGAATTGATCAGTTTATGGCGTCGTGTTGGATGCAAAGAATCTTCTCAAATGATACCGATGCAATTCAGTAATGGTTCTCTTGCAGTCTTTGAGCGATATCTATATAGGCCATCTGCCGGCGACTTTTCAACCAGTCTGCTGCACCCTAAGCCCCCCAGCTCGGACACATTTTTCAAAGTGCTCATCGCCATTTTCGCGGGCGCAAAATTATGACGTTGCGGCGACATAATGACAACGCATGAGATATGTCTCCATATGAGCTTTCACCACCTCATATGACCAACATACTCGTTTCTCAGCCTCGCCTCGCAGGCATCACCATATCCCGATCAGGAAACCGTCCGGCTGGTGGGAATTGCGCAGACACCACCCCGGGTGTTTGAATAGCGACGGGGGGCCAAGGTATCCAATGTACTCCGTACCCATGTGCACACACACAGCGGAGAAAAGGAGGGAGGGGAAAACGGGAGGATTCCAAGAGCAAAAACAAGGCTCACAGTACATAAACCCGTAGGCAGCAGGGTGTGTGCTCCACACGGGTTGCGAACACGGTAGTGCGGAGTGACCGCGAATGGGGCCTATACGATGGAACCCCCAGACGGAACAAACACACACAAAAAAAAGAGTAAGCTCAGGGAATGAGGCGAGGCTACTAACCGACCCCCGTTGGTGCTGACGTCCTATACAGTAGCAGAGTTTGTTAGCCTCAGGGTAAAGGAGGGGGGGCGGTGACACAAAACGGGACAAGAACGACTCGGGTGCAGGAGAGGAGCCTTAGTAGGAGCCACTCTCTGCTGGGAGGCGAGGGGGAGAGGGAGAAAAAAACAGGCAGGCAGACAGGGGCGTGGAGAGATAGCACCAAGGCGGCCGGGCAGGCGGGCAGGGGCAAGGGGGAGGAGCGAGAGCGATCCGGTCGAGCGACGATCCCAGGAGGAGCTGCAGGCCCTCGCATCGGTCCGCGATCACAAGTTGAAATCCACAATGCGGCCCAGGCGGCTAGCAGCAAGCTGTGCGCAGTTGCAGCGGTGCGTGGCGCGGCCCTGTGGTACGCTCCACGGGAAGCAGCAGGGCCGTACCGCTGGCCTGCCTGCGGCGGGCTGGGGTCCGGCTCCTCCTCCCATTCGACTGGGTCTTTTTTTGGTTTTCCATTGACTCTGCTATCTCCACGCCTGGCATGCACATCGCCCAAAGGGGCGAGTGCCGCCTCCCTTCTGCCCCCCCTGGAACCCGGTCCTGGACCTGTCAATGACACAGTCCTCCCCTCCCCCCCTCCCCTCCGCCCTGCAGCTGGTGGGCAAACAGGCAGGATGGTGGCAAGCGAGGGCAAACGGAACCATCGCTGCAGCCGAGATGTCAGTTGGGTGGGCCCCGTCCGGCTGCCTAACTGCATGATAGCGTCGCGACGGCAGGTGCGCTGCGAGGCAGGAAAACGGGCCCAGCGCCAGCTGGTGACGGACGGGCTGGGTCCCGAAAAAGTGGAGTCCCGGTCGCGTTGCATTCGGTCTGCCTACGGGCCCCGTCCTGAAGTCTCGGCCGCCCTGCGTATTGGTTCTTGCGGAGCTCGAGGGATCAGAGACTGCGGAACCGACAGGCAGGTAAACCAACCCGCAGCCCACTCACGACAAGGCATTGTGCGTGGTACCGGCAAATGAGCAGAGCAGGCTGGCTCCACCACCCCTTGCTCCCTCCGCTTGCTTGGCCCTTTTGTCTCGCTGCAAGTCCTCTGGTCCTGCAGGCGATCGACGGGGTGACTGATCGCAGCATATGAGCCAACCTCCCGCGGAGGAAATGTCCAGGGATGGCAAAGTCGGGTGATGCGACTGGCGTCTGGAGTCGGTCATATATCACATTCTTGTTATCCGTCTCGAGGTGGCTAGACCCCCATATATATATAATATATATGCGGAGTGCCCGGTCGATATAGCTATTCCTTGTATAAACCAGTTGACGCCAGCCACACTTCTTACCAGGTCGCGGTACCATAATCTGGGTCACGACCAGCGAGTGCCTGGGGAGCAGATGCAGGGCCCCCAACCCGTCCGTCGTGGTGATTTGGGATCCTGCAGCGCGGATGAGTCCGGCCCAGCCACGGCCGAATCGGACCAGTCTCTGTGAGACATGGCATCAAGTGAGATGGGATGGCGGGCAGCGCTGGGCGACGGCAGCCGGCCATTAGGGCACGAAATGTCTGACGCGGGCCTTCCCTCTTGAGATCTGTCATCCCCCAGCTCGAGGCACACACACACATTCGCCGTTGGCGCCTACGCGCTTGTCGGCTTCGACGTGCTGGTGATAGCCGGGATAGAAAGAGTAAGACGTGCGCTACTGGTCTCGTGGCTGCACGCCGTATGAGGTATAAGGCCAACGAGAAGCGAATCCTGACGAGTTCCTCAATCCTACCCACACCGCTGCTTTGCCGAAGAGGCACGATTGCCGTGGCACCGCAAACAGGTTTCGATTCAGTGCGCCGTATTCGCCGTCAGTTTTCGGGGTTCACAAATGGGCCATGAGCCGAATATGATCCAAAGCTATGGGGCTAGGGTTGTGGTATCCGAGGCATGGGACGGCGCGCGTGGCTGATCTCGCATGACCAAACGAGGCATGGGGTTGCACAGAACGAGCTGTTGCTATCCCCTTGACTTGTGAAGAGCTCTGCCCCCGGGAACCTTTCCATTTCCAGCTTGTACACAGTAAGACGCCTGCAGATGCTTGGTCCGCAGGATTCATGGGATTGCGTTAAATCCACTGAAACGGGGCCTGGTGCGTCGCAGCTGGCGAATCTGACGGAGGGGATCGCTGCGGGATGTAGTGTTTCCAGGAAGGTGGGTGGGTGACCACTGACAAGAGACCAGCCAACATATGTCCAACCAACACCAGCTTCTTCTTCCTTGATATCCCGTACGTGCACCATGCATTTACTGACATACCTATAGCCTTAAGCTGGGGCCGTGGCGTATCATGGAATCGCCGTCAACTAGCAGAGTGGTATCGCCGAGTACAACAGCATCGGGCTCGCAATGAATTTGCCAGGCTGCTACTACAGTACAGCAGCAAAAGCAAGCGCCGGTTGCTTCGTAGCAGCTGCGGTAGACCGAGTCAGCATTCGGCCAAGCTGGCTTTAGGCCAAGTGGACCAACCCGCGCGCTATCAGGCGGTCCGTCGCCAGGCCCGAGGCTACGGTCTCAGACAGAGGCGTGTGGATGAGCATGTCGACTGTCGGGGAGGCATGTTGCTTTTTTTTCCCTGCGCAGGAGGGTGTGGTGAGTGGATACCTGCGGCCCCCGGAAGCCTCCCAGCATATGTTTGTGGGATGCTCTAATAGGCCAGGCCGGGCAACGCTGGGAAGGGACGGCGGACGAGCATGCAGCGATGGATTGGGCGGTACTCACACGGCTTCGGGAGTTGCCGCCCTGTTCGTCTGGTATGACCCATGTCGCGTGAAGGAGGTCGGGGTCCCGCGACCTGGCGCAGTGCCTTGACACTGCTGCGCCTTGATGTGGGTGAGGCCAACAGGCCGATCGAAGCGACATTGTGTGATGCAGCGCTGAGCGTTGACTGGCCTGCTTCCATTCTGCGAAACGATGCACCCGGCATAAAACGGCATGGCCCGGCCCCCATCCCTCTGAGAGTTACTGCATGCGAGCGTGAAAGAGGGCGAGTGTGCCACATCCGATGCTGCACGGAGTCGCAATCGCTCCCGCCGCAACAGCTAGTAGCACACCCACCTATGACGGAGACTGTGTTCGGGGAGGGATAGCTGAGGACCCGTCCCCGGCACAGGAATGGCCAAAAGCGTGTAATATGTATACATTGTGGTGTACGTTATAACGCGGCGCAGTGGCTCCGTGCTGGAGTGTACGTGCCACTGAACTCGGCTTGAAAGGATGGGCGACACAAGCTGCCTTGTGCCTCTCCTGTGCGTAATCGCCTTTTTTTTTGGGTAGCACAAGTTATGTATGTCTCGGCTAGAATCATGCTCATGTTTGCCTCATGGGACTAAGACAAGGTGCACAGAATCAATGGAAACGAACTGCAGGCTGGGCTGGCACCGTTGTGATAAAACGGTCCAGCAGAGGACCAAGGTTAGATAGTTCTGATGAGCAGTGTGCTGCGAGCACTCTCTGCAGCGCTGCACTCATGTACTCGGTAGCGGCGAAGGCACAGGGCAGACCTTGGGAAACGAGGATCATGATTCGGCGGCGAGGCTGCAGGCCCTGCTGTCAACCATGGTAAGCCTTGCCAGTGTATATGTCTGTTGGGGCAAATCGTTGACCGAAAAAAACTTGTTCGTTCCGTTGCTCTGCTGTGCTGTGCTGCCCGCCGGATAGCAATGACTGGGCGACTTGGAATGTCAACGTGGGTCGGTGGATCAAGACAGGTGTTGATAGTAGATGGGGGGTAGTGCGTTTTGCACTGCCCACAGTGTGTAAAGATGGGTTCGCACCGGTGGCCGTTGTACTCCAGAAGAGTACCGTGCGGTACTCCGCAGTGCAACCTTGGCTCAATGACATGCAGAGGGCCGCCTCGGCCACAAGCGGAAACGGGAAGGTACTTTGTCCACAACAACAGCGGTGGGCGGGCGGTCCACCGCTGTTTTGTGGCCGACGGTTCACACCTCCAGCAGACCCTGCCGTCCCCGTCCGTGTCCGTCAGCCAGGCATTGTGGAGTGTAGAACGGGACAGGGTGCAGACGCAAACGGCATAAAGCATGACAGCGCTCGCTTTTCATGCTCGACGTGCCAGCGCGCGTGCGTGCCCTGCTGCGAATGGTGCATGGTGCAATTGCCCGCCAACGCATCACAATGTGGCTTGGCCGCAATCTGGACAACCATCTCGTCAGCGTTCGTCGAGCCGTAGGCGATCTGCATGACGGGATGCACCTGATACAGGCTGGGCTGGCTGGGCTGGCTGGCTGGCTGCCATGCATGAATGAATACCTGTCGGCTACCTGAGCGGAGGAGCAAGGAAACGGCGTACACGGTGTGGCAGATCTGCCAAAGCATGTGTACGGAGTAAAGTGTGCGTGTGTGGACTGTACGGAGGTACATGCACGGCCGCTGGAACTCGCCCTCTCCGACCGTTGCTTCGGCTAGGGTTAGGATTGTGCGTTGGGCACTATCTACGTACCTGGGTAGGAACCTGGTCGTCTTTCGGTGTCTTGTTGGGCCTTGAGCTGCTCGACTGTCTGCCCAAGTGTCTATTGTTGGAGGCTGGTCCCCGCTGCGTCATGGGTAGTCCCCTTCCAGAGGAGCAGTCCCAAGCAGCAACTGCCAACCGGAACACAGACCAAGCAAGGGAAAATCGGGGCGGTGACGGGAGGTGCGGGCCACCGCAGCTGCCAGAGCGCACGTGACCGTCCCGAGAGGATAATCCTTGTAGTTCACGGCCTCGCTCGAGTACTATGCGACCTGGCTACCTGGGAGCCAAGGACAGCGCCGTCGACTGCAAGGCAACAACAGGGTGACACGGATTGAGCGCACCCTCGTCCGGTTGGTCGGATGATTGGCTTGTTTGCCGCCTAGCCAGGCGTCGTCCTCCCGTGGCCATTGGGCTTTTTGCGTCTGGACGCTGACCACCACCGCTTTGACATCGCAGCCAGTCCCATGCCTGCTGGTCAGATGCAGAGTTCTTTCGACGTGGCATCAGATGATGGGGCTCAATGGCAACACGTGTATCACCTTTGCCGCGTATTGCCGATGCATCGGCCGCCGTGCAAGCCATGCCATCTTATGTCAGTCTCAGAAGGCCCCCAAACTCCACGCAAATGTCAAGCAGGCATCTGCGCCACCCTAAGACATGCGTCCCGCAATTTGAACGACTTCGCTTCCAGCCCTGCTGCCATGTTCCAAATTAATTACCCGGGGAACCTGGCCGGATAGTCTACCAGCCTGACGGCACCGCGCTAGCTGCAGTGGTTGCAAAACTCCTTCTCCGGAGTCTTCACAGCCACAGTTTGACCTGGCCAGCTCGGGCCGATACTTCAGCATGATGGCAGGCTCTACTGTGTACTTTGAAGAGGGTGTTTGCCATCAGCCTGCATACGTCTTTTCGAAAAAGGACCAAACCACTACCATATGAGGTTTTGGAGACCGCTTTCGTGCCTGGACCCGGTTAGGTTTCAACGTACATGTCGCCTAAATGGGCATTCGTGTGTGTTGTTTAGTAGCCCGTACTACCACTGTGTATTTTCCTCTTATCCCATTCAGGGGATCTTGACCAAATGAATACATCGCAGAACGAAGCGAGGTGCAGCCCCTCGGGTGAGCGGGGTTGTACTGATCTCACTGGCCATGACTTCCTTTTACACGGCTCCAAGTGTGTCCTGGGCGGTGTGCATCCAGTAGATGGTGCCTCATACGGGGTCACGAAACTGTTGCTCGGCGCTATGGCGTACGTGCCTTATATTTCGTGAGCTGGGTGTATTCGATTAGTTTGCCGAGCGATATTGCGGTTCCTAAGCCGACTTTGGCCAGGGCCACGGCTCAGATTTGAAAGCTCGCAAATGACCTTCGCACCAGAGAACGGTGTTGTGACCAGGACAGGGACCAGATTCCTTGGTTGGGCGACTTGACTAGCAGCTGGTTCTTCGCGTCAATATTGCCGACAAACAACGGGGGGATTCCATGTTCCAGTGTAACTCATGATTGTGCCTGGGATCCAGGTGGCATAGGCGTGTGTAAAGATGGCACAGCGACTCAGTCTGCCCCTACAGGGCTGCCACCAGCGCAAGCACAGACCGCGCCGCATGGTAGGAAAAACAAGACAGGCGATCTGCCGCTCGTCTCGCCATGTCGGCATTTGATGACATCGATTGTGATGGCGCGTTTGTGGCTGAGCCGTGCTCCCACCCGTTCCTGTTCAATGAGACCAGGTCTGGCATTCCATTTCGAACGCACGGCATCAATGAGAAGAGAAGTGAAGCCAAAAGCAAAAGTTGCGGGGTTGGTTTCCGGCGAGCCGCTGGATCAACGAAAAAGGAGACCGGGTAGTGAGCGGCAGGGTTAGAAGACCTCTTCTGGGGCCAGAAGCCGAGACAGCCAGGCCGAGGCCCAACAATTTCAACCCAGTGAAACGCCGTTCGAGTGATAACGTTCCTTTCAGTTGCGGCGGGACCGCTGTACGATGCGTGCTAGCTTCTTAATGGCATCGAGAAGTGTGACCTGCGACGCCAGCCACTTTTAGTCAAGGCGCTGGGCTCTGGCGCCTCTGTCTCTGCCACTGATCATTAAATTCACCAGGCCTGCGGGCCAAGTAGGCTAATCGTAATCAGCTGCCGCTTTTCACTGTCGAATTCACAGCAAAGGCGTGATTTTGAGCATAGATAGAATGTCGCTATCATCTCAACATGTATCTGTGGCGGTCGAACCCCATAATATGTCTGTCGCCAATTGAATCAAGGAAAGTTTGAGGGGCCGCTGACTCGCTTGATGGATATAGGGGTCCAAAAATGCCGGGTGATAGCACCAGATGTATGGCCAGAAGCCAGACCCGGATACCAACAAGCTGGCAGCTCAACGACACGCAGCTTCGCTAGTCCGAAAAAGGTGGCCCTGTCCTAGATCCTCAAACACGAATGCTTCTGTTAGGGTCTTCATACCGAGATGACCAGGATGAATTGGTCGGCCATTCTTCCTGTGATGAGATAGATGTAGCACCTCTGGCTATACAAACCAGATGGTGGATATCCAAGTTGACCGTTTGACCATGCTGCCCAGCTGGTCTCACAAACTTTGACTGAAACCTTGTCATCATGTTCCGCTGCATCTTTTCTTGGAGCTCGCCCGCTCCCGTAGGAGCTCAGTGCTTGCTTGGGTTCGAAAACAATGATAGTGGTAACAAGATGTAAAGCAATGGTCGCCATCAATCAATACCGCTTGGTGGAGGAGAGAGTTGTGTGAGATCGGTAACATGGACTTCTGCAAGACATCCCGTTTGCTTTGTGAAGTGAGTCCATACGCGTCATGCTGGTCCCACAGTCTCTGCCGGTGAGAGAGACGAGGAACCGGGGTTTCTTGGGTGGCCAGTGCGGAGCTGGTGCAAGCAGTGCAGATATCGCCCGTCGTCAGGCTGTGCAGAGCCATCAGCACAACTTCAATCAAATCTCCACGATGCACACCAGTACCTGCTCCATTTTGCTGGGGCAACCCGATGGATGCTCGACCTTGAATACAATCGAGGAATCGTCAGTCTATCATCGCTCTGGATCGCAAGGAGTGAGCCCAATCTTCCGCTCTTCCCTGGTCGACAGACGGCTCCAGTGGTGTTTGACAACGATGGCACCGAGAGTTCTCGCACAGGATCACATGCGCCGGCGGCCAGTGTTGATGGTGCTAGGCAGCTTTGTTGGTGAGGAAAACGGTGCGACCCCTGGTCTGTAGGCCAGTACCCAGGTAGGCCCTTAGTGCGACCCCAAAACACAGCGGCATAACCCGGGCGGACCGCAAAGCTTAGTAGAAGGGTCCAGTGAGCTACCAGGTTTTGAGCTTTCCGCGATTTTTTTGTGTTACAACCCGGCCACGTCAAAACACGACTGCGTTAGTGGGTTCTGGACGCTTGACGTGTCTAGCTGTCATGGTCAGCTGCCATGCTGATGTCTTCCAAACTTCATTGTGTCAAGCCTGCTGACAGCAGCTGGCCCTGCCGGCATCGACGACGAACGGGGCCGGGTTGGTGGTGAAGATTGATCAGAGGATTGGTAGCTAGCTGTGGACCACCGCCGAGTCGTTGACCACCAGCGTGCGAGGAACATGACTGCCGCATAAAAGTCCGTCACAATGAGTGAGGCGCAATGCTGGCCTGTTTGGTGGAAAGCCCCGCCGCAGGATTTCGTGCATGGTATGTCAGCGCCGGCCGTGAGACCGCTCCATTATCGGTTGTGAGTTGCACGACACTAGCGACCGACGCGCCCGGGAGATGCTGCAGCCGAGGAAGAGGACGTAGTAAGATGAATGGAGGACGGATTCTAGGCGGGCACTACAATAAGGTACAGCGAGAAAACCGGGTTCGACTGCAAGCAAGTTTTCCATTATACTCTCCGTGGTACCATAGCCATAACCGTTTCCCGAGAACTAAGTTTCGGGCGCTATCTCTTCCAATGCTCAGCACAGAGCTGACGGCTGAGATTTCCTGGTCGGAGTAGGGGGTCGAGAAGCGCCATTTTCCCGGCGCGTACCGCGGCGGTGCAGCACGTGGGTGGGCGAGAGGAGCAGAAAACCCTTCGGGACAATCTGGTTGCACAGTGGGGTTGTGGGGATGACGATCGCAGGTCTACCGGTGCCCACCGCGCATAGAGTAGGCAGGTAGGCTGCTTTCTGAAGATGTGATGGATCTGAGTTCTGGATTCGGCGCCGTTAGCTGCACCGGTTCGCGGTTCATGCTGGTGCTGAGCGCCTTTCTTTCTTTCTTTCTTTCTGTCTCTCTCCCCCAACCTTGTGTCTGGCTCGTCATTGTGTGTAATATCAAAGCTGAGGATACCGAGGCAGGAGCAGGTGATGACGGCGCAGCGCTTGTAAGACAGGCGGCATGGCTTCAGACACCACAGTGTGTCCGAGTCGAGAGTATTCGTGGGACGTGGACGCTCGAGTTTTGTCGCCGGAATCGGGCAAGCGGTCCAAGTGGGCTGAGCAGGGGTAGCGATCGCGTGGGCGTGTGGAGTTGAAGCTGGGGGCGAGGACAATAAGAAACAAGATCCCTGTCAGCAGCCCAATGCCTGGTGCATTTGCCCATGTCCCTGGGTGACAACCCAGGCTGCCCAGGCGTGCACTCGTCTGAACGGACGCTTGGGAGGGAAGCCTGAGGGCGGCTGTCATTGGGCGGGTCGCTGCGGGAGCTGCAGCCAAGGTACTGCTGCCCGGTGCTTGTTGGACAAGGGCCCTAATAAAGGGTGGTACGATCTGTACCGCCCTCCCGCTTCCCCGTCCGTGTCTTCCTGCATTCGAACCGCCTGAACTTTCCCAGGGGACTGGGTCCAATGACACCCTCTCTCTGCTTGGGCGTCTCGAATCCTTCCCTTGGTCCCCTGGAGACAGCCTGCCAACGACGCTTCGAGGCAGCTGGGCGTCCAGGCGTCGTGCAACCTAGATCCCTGCGGGCCGACGGAAGGATGGCAAGGTGGAAGGCACCGGGTCACGGTCGCTGACGTCGGCAGTTCTAGACCCTCGCCGAAGGGGCCGTCGTGGTTTGCGACGGGGCAGCATAGACGTGATGTCGGGTGCCGACCCGTGCGCCTGTCTGCCCTGCAAGGTGGCGGAGAGCAGGCTCGCGATGCAGCCAGAGGCGACCTGGTACCTTGGTATCGATCTCCTGCACTGCGACGTGGTGCGCCATGTACGAAACGCGCATTAGGGAACCTCAGGCGGCCGCCGCGGATTGATTGATTGTGTGGCAGGCGGACAGGCGGATTGCCCAGCCCTGATGCCTCAGGCCGGCATGGGTCTCGATTGAATGAGATGCATCTTGCAGAAAGACGCATCAACCATTTGAAACGGGCCGTCGATGATGGTGGGCACAAGCGGTGGAGGCAAGCCAACGGGCCATTTTTATATGTTGGTAGGGGGCGGCGGTGGTGCAAGACGCAGCTCGAACGGTTAGTTGATGTGCATGCAATCCATCTAGTCTACCAGCTTCCAAGGCTTGCTGCGAGTGACTTTCCTGAAATGGTAGCCAGGCTCACCAGCAGGAATTGGTAGGTGCGAGGAGCTCACTGCAATCGCAGCGCAGCTTCACCTGTGCGACACGATTCATGGGTGGATGGGCACCCCTCTTCCTCGCCCAGGCTCCCGCAGGCTGCAGCCCCTTTGCCAACCCCATCTGCCGCCCCAGACACTAGGTACTTGCTTGAGTAGCCACCTTTTGTGCCACCATCTCGAAACTCCCAGCCAACGGTGACTGATGGCGAGAGACCTGCGTCAGAATATGCCGCATTTCTGACCATTACACCACATGGCGCCGGGCTGTTTGATGGGCGAGTTTCCTGATGGGCCTCCAGGCATTGTTCTGTGACCTGATCATTTCCTGACCCCGCCTCGTTGCGACAGAGCCGGCAGCCTGAACCTGTCCTGGCCGGAATCCCGCGCGGATCGATCCCGAATCGGCCTCACTCACGACTCGAGAAACAATGGTCACGGTCATCATCTACGGAATGTTATAACTGAATAAGGGCCACATCATTGTTTTATCACACTCATCTTAAATTTACATGACTTGGACGAACACACCCCTATCTTTAGTCACAAATGAGGTAAAGAGCCCCTGCTTTAAAGCCGTCACCTAATAAGATCTTCCTAACTACCTCCTCCTCATCCCTCATCCCTCTCCCTTCTATCTATATAATAGTATAATACTTAATAATACTCTATTTTAATTAGATTAGCTTAAAACTATAATACTTTAATAATAATAATATTATATTATATTTAAATCTTTTATTTTATAATACTTTCTATTTATTTTTTTATAAAATATTTATAAAATAATATTTATTTATTTAAAAATATTTAAAAGTAGGAAGTAAGTAGGAAGGCTGTAAAAAGGATAAAGCTAAAGTTTATAGGTAAGATATTTGATAAAAATCCTAGGGTTAAACTTAGAATTATGCCTAGAGAGTTGGCATGATCACCGAAAAGGTGATGTAGCTCCGTAATCATCATGTCACTATCATCATCGGCGTGCTGTGATTCGCAACCCATCCCGTCGTATGATTTGGCTTATCTGCGCCTCGAACCTTGCATCGAACGGTCCGAAGACCAGCCTGGTAGTGTCCCGCCCGTCCACCAACGGCCGCGGCACAAGGGAGATTCCCCACAAGCGGGATGACGAGTTTGGGCTAAGCTGGTGTCACCCCTGGAAGTGGGCACGGCGGCGGCGATGACACAGAAGGTTCACGGGCTGTGCCGCGAATCCTGCAGGTTGTGCGAACCCCTGTTGGCCACGAGGTTCCCTCCCATCAGTTGCCCTCTTGCCCGCCATGACAGGCGACGCGGCCAAGGACCAACAAAGGGCCGGACTGCGACCGACAGCGTACTCCTGGCCTTTCCTTGCCTCGTCCCGGCCCCTGCTGGGCGCAGCAGAGTCACGCTCGGTGCATTTTGGAAAATGCAAACGGGTTGGCAGAGCGCCCTGATTCGCTCACAGCCCTGTCGCCGCTCACGTGGCGCCAGAAAACTTTTTGGAATAAAAGGAGGAAGCCGTCGACTACTGGGCAGGCTATTCAACCACTCGGCAACATGATTTGCTGCGTGCACGTGTCCCGAACACGAACTGGTTGAAGTCTCTCTGGTCGGCTCCACAGCCAGAGAGCCGAGGAATCCAATGACCTCCGAGCATCTCGTGTCGAGCCGTCCACCCCTGCCCATCTTGCACCCGATCGATCTAGTGCCGCCCACTCTGGGACCTGGCCACGATACGTGAAAATTCCGAAGTACCAAGGTCTTGGGCCCGGTTGGGAGCTGGCGGTGCGGGAGTCGAAACTGGAGTTGGACTTGATACTCCGTACGGTACCACGGCACGGTACACTTGCGCTGCGTGGTCGCACACGCCTACACGGTACAGTAGGTGCCGAGCCCAATCCCCAGATTGGCATGGAGCAGGACCTACCTCCCCCATCATCGTCAGCACCACGTTGCATTCGCACTGTCCTTTGGGGAATTTGGGATCGTCCCAGAAGTCGGCAGACCGACCCTATGGTACGGGGTACATTGACTTGCACGGGTACTGCGTCAGCCTCTTCGGCTCCACTGGCGGTTGCTATCCTTTGACTGTTGCCGGGCTTGGCGCGGGTTGCCATTAGGATCCGCAGAGTTGCAGCGATGACCCAACAAAGCAATCAGCGGTGAATGACAAGAAGGCCCCTCGTGGCTCACAAATTGATCTTTTGACGGCGAGCCTCAAAAAAAACGGCAGGTGGACGAGAGCTCCTTTGCTGTGAATCCACTTAGCATTAGCAGCACACTGCCGCACGCCGCAGCCCGTCTTTCTAGGCCCGCGAACGGCCCATCAGCAGCAACTGGCAACGTGCGGCGGCTGTACTGACAACGGCCTCCTCCTCTGCCAACGATCATAAACCTAAGAAAACTCCGACGGGACGCAGCGGCTGCGGTTTGAAGTGGTCAAGGTGGGGCTTGTCAGGCACAGTCAAGGTCGTGTCCAGTAAGCCTGGCCCGTACTGCTATGTGCAGTGCTGTTGCTTTGACCTGCGGCAAAGACACCAACCATGGTTGGCACGGTTGGCAGAATCCTGACTGTGGAACAAATAGGGTTCAAACACAAACTTGATGCTGCGGCCGAGGATGCGGCCTAGATACAGAGGACCCGGCATGGTGGGATGAAACGGCCCATTAGACGCGGGCCACCTCGGCCTCGAATCACCGCCTGATTGGAAAGTTGAGCCAGCAAAATTGCCTTCGGCATCCAACAGGTGCGGCTCTCCAATCAGTCGCTTTGACGCCGAGGCGCCCGACGGTCTGATGACCCCCAACCCTTCACGTTGACTTGACCGGCTGAAAGGCGCACACCAAACTCGCATGTGCCACCGTGGTGCGTAACACACCCCTAGGCCACACAGGACCCGATGCAAGGAGCCAACAAACAAGCGCCATGCCGCGCTGCCTGGGCTGCCTGCACCGCAGTGCAGTACGTACTGTCGGCGGGATAGGAAGAAATGTCTTGCACGACAGCCACTCCTGTGGTGCCGGAGCAGTCTGCGGTGTTCCGAGGCCACCCAGAACTCGGTATCACGACGTCTGATCGAGACATGGCATCTGACAGCCAGCCACCCTGCCCCTCAGTTCCCAACGCACCACTGGCTCCAGGACGCGCTCGCACACCTTCTGTGGTAAACGTGTGGGATGATGCCGACGGAAGACATGCCGGATCAAGCAAAGACTCGTCACGGATGGCGTCGAGTGGCAACGTTTTAAGAGGCCGACTAACACCAAAAGGAGACAGGGGTTGATACCGACAATCTGGTTCACGGCCAGCCGAAGCAAGCCAGGCCAAGGAGGCGGAGTCACAAAAAATTAGAGTGGTAGCCCTCTTGCTCTTCTCCCGCCAGCCCGCCTCGCATGTGCGTGTGTGCCCCGGCAAAGTGCGTTTCACCACGGCTCTATCAGGTGCGACCAATGGACGAGACCAAGGCACACTACGGAGCGCTACCTGCTGGTCGTTTGCTTTTTCTTCCCTCCCGTCCGTCCTGTTTTAGAGAAAGGACTGTGCCGAAGCGGCCCGCGTGCAACCCTGCCTATCAGCGACATGGAGGATGGACCCGGGGTCGCTGTTCGTTCGACACGCGAGTCCCCCGTGCGCCATCCGAGACTCTGCAAACAAAGCTGAGGGCGATACTGGCGGGATTTGCATCATCAGCTGCTCACTGCGTCCCGGAATCTCGACTTCCTAACTGGCGGCCTTACTGCATCGGGACCCAATCCACACCCTCGGGGTGTGTAGTGATGTAGGCCTCGTGGCTGGCAACCCGGCGTTGACACAGTGTGACATCTGAGATACCTGTCAGGCATTCCATACAGTGTCAGCCGCACGGTCCTGTGGACGTCCCAGCGGGGTGCAGGATGCGTCGATGGCACCAGTGGCCCGGCCCAGCGCGACCCCCCTGTGCTGCTGGGTCCAGGATCGCATGCTGGGGTTTGGCAGCTGCAAACGCTGACCCATGGCTTTGCAGGAGTGGAGTTCTTCAGCCGTATTTTTCATCCTCCGGCCACCTGGGAATCGGGCGCCCTTGTTGACAGCTCAAGTCAGTTTACCTGCGGCTCCCCTGCAGACTCTGGCGGCCATGTGCTCTTTACCCCTTTCCCAGCGCCTGCCACGGATAAGTCTTAATCTGCGAGCGGCGAGACCTGGCGACACATATACCACGAGGTCCCCAGGGCCACAAGGGAAGACCCGAGCCATCCGTGGATGTGCCGGGCCCTCAAAATCTTATCCGCAGTGACGATGAGCCCAGCAGTGGCCCAGGATCTCGCCTTAACATGTTCTTGCGGGAGTAACAAGACGGGAGAGGCTAGCACGGCGTCTCTCAGCCGCGCGCGGGCGGTTTGATGGCACAACGAACGTCCAGGGTGGCCAGCTAACAGAGAGCACGGCATGACCGATGGTTTCCCTCCGCGCACTCGGGGATGAACTGTGGCAGAGAAAAGATCAGACAGAGTGCTCGCCCTGGTTGACACCAAAAACTCCACTTGCCCGGTCTGGGCTCGAGAGTCCAGAAAAGAGGCAAAGCACCGCGATGACAGTCAGCTGATGAGGCAAACCCAAACCCCATTATCAATGTCCGTGTGAACATGGGCGCACTCGCCGACACCAGCCCAGCTGCCCACACCCCGTGCCCAGCTTGAGCCCTCCCGGGAGCGATCATGCGGCTCTCCCCGGCCCTCTTGAGCATGCGCTGAGGGGGAGAAGTGAAGACAGCAGCCCCACACACGGGGTTTGATGAGGATGAAACCTACACCTGCGAGATTCCGCCCTGGTTGAGACTCATTTATTAGACTGGGCCTGCCAGTCCAGGCGCAGGCCGGCCGAGGGTAGGCAGGAGGAGTTCAGGTCAGAATCAGGTAAGATCAAGCGCGTGGGAAGTCAGTCATCTTATTGCCTGCGCCATGGCCGTTCTCGTGCCGCGGGCCCCAGGGCGACGGGAGATAGATGCGAGGCTTACGAGGGAGGGCGGGTGACGGTTACGGTTACGGGACGCCTAGTCGAGGCCAGCTACAAGCGAGCAAGTACCCGGCCATGCAGGTACTTGGGACAAGTATCTTTTCATGGGCGGTACGTACCCGGGGCCAAGGCAGGGATACATGGCTAAGTTGGGACCGCCCCTGGGCCTGGGAACAGAACAACCTGGGAAGGCACATGGGCCTCTCCCGCCCGCCCTCCTGCTCGGTCCCCTGCCCGGCCCTGGCCTCTGCCCTGCCCAGATGGCTAGGTGGTGGTATGGTAGTATCTATCCCTATCCCATCCGCTCATTCACGCATCCTGGCCATGCATCCATCCACCCACCCATCCACCCCCAACACCATCATCCATGGATGGACCGACCCATGGGACCTGATGCATCCTTACCCTTAGCAGCCTACAGCCCAGCACAGTACGCCCAGGTATCCAAGTACCCCCAGGCGGGCAGCGTGCAGCGTGCCACCCTTTTCCCTCTCTAGGGCCCTAGGGCCCCCTCCCCCCGCCGCCGCCGCCGCCGTGGGCCGTGGAACCCTTCCGTCTGTCTGTTGTTGCCAAGTTGGAGAGAGAGGGCTTGCTTCCATTCCTTCCCCATTCCACCACACATGCCACGGCCTGCCAATGCCATGAACCGTACCTACCTGGCCTAACCTGAATCTGATTCTGATTCCGACCCGTGCAGCCTGCCAGCCCTGCCTGACTTGACTGACCCTTCGCGGCCCTGACGGCCCAGGAACACACGTTGTACGGAGTACGGAGGTACCTCTCCACCTGGGCACCTCTGACCTCCCACCTGCCTACCTTACCTTCCCACCTCTGTCTGCCATCTCCCACCCTGACCTGCCCTGCCTGCACCAGACAGCTCGTACGTAAGTAAACCGGGGGAGCTCAGCAATACATTACCATCCTTCCCGCACCTCTCTGCGCTCCGCGTCACCGTCGACCATCCCTTTCCCTTTTCTACCTTGTCTTTGTCTCGAACTCTGCCCTGCCTTGCCTGTCTTGCCTGTCGGCGCTGCTCGTCTCATTTTCCCATTCCAATTCCGCCGTCGGACCCGACCCGACAACCCCCCACCCCGCCACTGCAGTAGTAGCAGCAGCAGCAGCAGCAGCAGCAGCAGCAAGGCTCCCAGAATAAGGTACGGTCTATCTGGTCTTGATGTGTGCTCCCCACCTGAGTGTGTGTGTTTGTGTTTGTGGGTTGAGTGAGAGAGAGCCCACCGCATTTTACTCGGCTCGACAGTCAGCCTGGACTCGAGCTTGACTCGATCTCCATCACGTACCATGCTCACTTGTCTGGTGACGACTTGACACGGGGACTTCAGTGTCGCTTGTCGTCTTTGTTCGCTCGCCATTCCTTGCCCCCCCTCGCCCAACCTCCTTGCCGACTCCTCCGCCCCCCCCCCCAACCGACCCAGGAAAGAGGGCAGCGCGCACTTCTGCACTCGGCTCTCTTTGCTGACGATTGTTGGCTGCAAACGTTACTTTCTTGCCCCCTTTTGCCCCCGTGCCAGACTCGCCTCTCTTCTTGATTTCTTTCCCCCTTCATCTCTTTCTTTCTAGCCCCTTCCGTTTGCCCGTTTTGTTCGTGTACCATGATATCATCCGTGACCGTGGCGCTCCCGCACCGGGTTCAGGAAAAGAGGGCACTCACACTCATGGCTTGTAGGCTGACATTCCTCGAGGGGCGGCAGAAGATCTAGAAGATTGGAGAGGACGGTCCGGAATTGGGCCTTGGAACGAACGGAAACTCGGTTTCGGCTCGGCTCAGCTCATTCACGGCGAGGCCTTGATGAAGGTTGGCGAACTCGAGTTCGAGAAAGGCGAAACGACCAGACGGAGCACGGCCAGAAACGGCGCACACCCTAAAGGCCTAGAGGGCGACCAGCCGTCCCGTTCGTGGTGCCTTGGTGTGTCTTGGGGCTGTTTCTTTTTGAGATTGACGAGCCCTGCGCGCCAGATCAGGACCTGATCTAGGTAGTAGCCTTCCGGGCTGTCCCGCTAAGTACTTACCGTACCAAAACCACCCACCCGGGCAGGCAGGCCAAGGGGGGGTACTCGGCTGGGCTGTACTGTGCTGTGCCGTACCGTACCGCACCCGCACCGTACCGCACCGTACCGTGCCTGCACTGCAGACTGGCAGTCCCGCCAACCGCGACTGCTTGCTACTGCTGCTACTTTCGACTGCAACTACGAGGCCTGGCGAGGGAGTTTCCGACTATAAGGAAGGGTGTTCCCGCCCCGAATCAACTTCTCCACACTTTGGGAATTTTGCGTCGGCCCCTTCCAAATTTTGCCAAATTACATTGCTTGCAGCAACCCCAAGCAAGGTGACAAAGAGAGTACCCTCTGTTTTCCTCCCCTCTGCGAAACCTCGTCCTCGACACGACACCGCACAGCGCGCGCGCGCGCACACACCCAACACACCCACACCACCCACCACATACTACACGCACATAGACACACACACACACGCACACAATAACCAGCACAGCACCATCCACAAATACCAGCGCAACATCATCCACGGCCTTCAATTGACCGGAATTCCCAACCCTCCTGGATTACGACCAACCCAATCCTGGTGCATGCAGCATCCCTCTGAGCTGTGCTACCAGGTGTGGTGTTTAAATACCGCTCGGTACGACTAGTATTGCTTTTACTACTACCGTTGCGACCGATTCCGCCAGCCAGGCCGTTTTGATTGACACAGCCTCGGCGGTTACGCCACTGTCGCATAGCAGCTGCTTCTAGAACAATTTTCTGGGAGACCACAAAAACACACGGGACAAGAAGAATAGACCCGCGACGACCATCCTCCAGACTTCTCGTTCGACTTGTTCGAGCCGTGGTCAGGCTGGCGCCGAGCACACTCCGCCAGTTTAGGATGTCAGATCAGGATGGTGGCAGGGGCCATCCCGCCCGAGAAGCCCAAGAGTCTGCGTATCCACCGCCTCCTGGCGAAGAAGACGACCGCTCAAGGTCATCTTACCACCACCTGCCTCCTCCTCCTCAAGCGAGCGTGACTCTCCCGCCAATCCATGACGCCCACCCGGCCTACGGCGGGAGTCGCTACCCACCACCTCCAGATCCCAGGACGCGAGGGACCTACTCTGCTTCACCTACCGGTGGGCCAAACGGCTATCCCGCTCCACCTGGTGGCATGTACAACTTACCACCTGTTCAGGCGCCGCCGGATCAGCGACACTACGGGGTTGAGCCACGCGACTACTACGCGCGTGGTGGATCCTTTCCTCCGCATCCTCAGCCCGAACCTTACAGCTATGGCGGATACCGACCGCCTTCCGGGCCTCCTTACGGTGCCTATCCTCCCGAGTATGCGCGCGGTCCGGGTGGCCCACCACAACAGGCTGCGCCGCGGCAGAGGACTTCAATAGCATGCCGCTACTGCCGCAAACGTAAAGTCAGTAGAAAAATTCCTTTTGCGGCACGGAAAAACTCGGCGTGAGTTGTTTACTGACCTTATGCGCATCTAGATCCGTTGCAGTGGTTACAGCCAGACGCCCGACGGGAAATGTACAAATTGCAGGAAAACGGGCAATGAGTGCATTTTCCAGCCTGTTTCCTCATCCTCGACCACTGCATTTGTCCCTGTGTCGGCTGTGCCCGGCGGTGTACCCCCCGGAACACCTTTGTTCGGCGCTTTCGGACAGCCGTTGCCGCAGGGAGGAGCACAACCAGGACAGCCTGGAGGGGCGCCTCAGCCACCCGCTGGTGGCTCGCAGCAGCCGTATCCTCCTTCGGAAAACTACGCCTTGCCCTCGCCCACTGGCTCTTACTACCCCCCGCCTCCAGAAGACAGGAGTGGAGTCCCACAGCGACGGTTGCACGAAGAAGAGCACGGGCAGCGCCTGCCCCCTCCGCACGTCTACGGTGAACCTGACCCGCGAAGGCGCTCTCCCGCATCCTCTGCACCCGGTGGCACTCCGCCGCAGTACGAGTATCCACCTCCAGACAGGACCTCGACTCCTAGCCAGCGCAGAGAGAGCCCGAACGCGGCTCAGTCTGGGCAGCAGGGCGGCAGTGTCATGGCGCTGAGCAGCCTGATGGACCACCCACCCCCACGCCCCCCGCCAAGCTCTGACTCGAGTCGCGATATCGATCAGAACATGCTCGGACGGCTGAACCGACGGACCTAGCAAGGAGGATTGGTAGCCATAGGACAATCGGTCATGGCACGGGAATTAGGACTCGCCCTGTGACGAACCACGGAAGTATTCGCCTCGGCGCGACAACGAGCTGGTTCACGGCGCCCCGCGTGACAGTAGTCCGGCCTATGGACGGCATCGATAGATCTCTGCTGGACAGTCTTGATCCATTCGTTTGTGAAGCACGCGTTTTCTTAATCTTTCGACTTTCCAGCATCCTCATCGACAACTCGGTTTGCTTTTCTCGAACTACTATGATACCCCCCGATTGTTTGGAAGATTGTCTGCCATGGGAATTAACGTGGCTACTCGGGCATGGATGGGTAATTTGGGAAGTCGGACGGGATTGCCGCGTTTTACTCGTTGGGACGGGGCGGGGTGACGGAGCGGGAAAGACGAAAGGGATTACAGGAAATTCGGGGATTCAAACACAGGCCCACTATTGCATGTCTTGAAAGAGCAAAACTGTCACCAAACAAAAAAGGGTAATTTGTTGCCAGCGACGGGACAGAGGCGGCGGCGGGGCGGAGGAGATCTCGCAACGACCTTGGCAAACCTCTTCTGTGTGTGGGCGGGCGGGCATTTCAGCAATTAGAGATGATCTCATCGGTTTGGCGACAAACAACACACACTCGCAACAGCCTAGCCCTTCTGCTTTTTATCATCTCTTCCTCTTCTTTCCTGCAGCAGAGGAAAACAAAGTAATGCCGGGGGATACCTCTTTTTGTTTTCCTTTTTGTGCTTTTACTCCTGCATCTGTCTTGGCATTTTTGTTTCTTCCTTGCCTCATGTACAGAAGGGCGAGATGGCACCTAACAGCAAATTTGGAGGGGTTGAAAGAAGGATTGCCTCACGGCAGAAGAGAAGGCTGCAATCAAAGTCATGCTTTTTTATGATTTCTATTTTGCCTCTATTGCGTTCTACCTGATGATTACGCATGCTATTTGTCTCCTGCTCCCATCCTTCCTCTGTGTTTACTTTTTTTGTTTTTGGTCATGTCCTCCTTCATGCTCATGCAAAATGTTGATTCTTTGTTGCCCTCTCTGTACAAACCATCCATTCACCCTTCTTCCCACTGCGGCTTCTTATTCAACTGTTGTCTACCTGCCAGCCTGTGCTGGCTGGGGAAAAAGTGGGAGGGGAGGAGGGGGGAAGGGAGGCTCGGGCAAACCTAACAAGACGTCAGTCATGCCGGAAAGATGTTCTGCGAGGAACAACAAAAAGCACACACACAAATGACAAATACACATGATATTGCTTTGGTCTGATCATCAAGACCATTGCCAGCCAAAACACCGAAGACTCTGCCGTCTCTTCTTACATCCTACTATATGTCTCTTGCCGTGCCATGTAATTATGCCGTTTTGCCAGTGCTGGGTGTCCGTCCCGTAGTCGAACCCATCCCACCTCCACCTCGCCCGCCCCCCGACCCGAGACCCGAGGGCATCCAGCCGTGGCCCCCCCCCCAGACAACCGATGTGACTTTGTTTCAAGAATGCCCTGATACTGCCTTGACGGGAGGGCCAGGCGGGTAAGGAGAAAACATAGTTTGGACTATCAAGGGGCACTAGGCGGGAATGTTCGTGTGATATGCCATCATCTAACACTGCGCCATGAGGGACGAAACGCCTGGATACCACAGTACCTGGATAGCCAAGGCCCTGCGGGCGTCTCCAAAACCTTGAGAAAACCCGTCCTCCTACCAAGGGTTACCTACCTGGGCAATGCTACAGTGGCAGGGCGGGCAGCGTGCCCTGCCCCTCCCATCCATGGCGGGAAGTGGAAGTGGCCTGACAGGGCACAGGCGGAATCGATAGGACGGACGGGCAGCAGAAAGTCAAAGAGAAAGACGACATGGTCGCGCGTGTTGTGGGCTGCATGCTGCAGTAGCCTCCCCCTCCTAGGATGCCGAATGCGTGTTCCGCGTTCCCTCGTTTCCGGGTTTCCAAATCGCCCCTCCTCCTCTGGGTCCCTCGGATGCGCCCAGGCGGACCAGAGGGGTTGATTTCTGTGGAGCTGCGCGCCGCAGCGAGATAGGCTCGTCGATGAGGGGTCTGGTTACTCATCCTTCGAGGCTTTTTTTTTTCTTTTCGCTTGCTGCTGGGGTATCGGCTGCAAGTCTGGGCGCACACTGTGCTAGCAAGTAGGCAGGTAACGGCTGGGCCTCCGCTGGGGCTGGCAGGGCAGGGTAGAAGCTCCTGGGGGAGACCTAGACAACTAGAGCACGGAGTACATGGTGTACACAGTAGCAAGGAGTGTTCGGCAGCCCCCAAGGTGCGTGCGCGCATTGGCTGGTTGCGGGACTGCCCTTGTAGTGGGCTGGCCCGGCATGGGTAGGGCATTGACGGGCCTTGCTGTCAGCCACGAGGTGTCTTCAGGTTGGTGCCGGGGTGCTGGGGGCTTGGACAGGTGTTTGTTGCTCCGGAAGGGCTGGATCTTGGGGATAATCTCCGGCGGCGAACCGTATCTGGTGGTCGTCCAAGCACCATGGTTGACTGATGAGTGGGCGTGTGAAGTGAAAGGCTGGCCAGGTGGTTGAGTGGGAATGGATGGACGGGTGGACGGGTGGACAGGTGGACGTGTTCGTTGGTCTCGCACGTTCTCGTTCACAGCCCAGTTGGCAGTTGCAACCTTCAGCTGGCTCCAAGGTTGTCGTGGATGGTACTCTGCTCGCTCAGTTCCCGAGAGGGCGATGACATGACCATCAACGCCAGCGACGGACACTCAGCGACGGCCCCTCCGCTCATCAAAGTGCCTGCCTGGTACCGTCTGCCCCTCCCAGCTAGAGCCGACGTCCTGAGTCCCCCCGTTGGAGACCATCGCGTAGAGCTTGCCCAGGAGAGGGCCTCGCAGCAGCGGGCATCCTTGCTCGGCAAAGCAGGAGCGTGAGTAACGGGCCCGGGCAGGGCCAACGAATGACTTACATTGGATTCTCGGGCGGCGCCAGAATTGTGGGAACACTGCTGGGCGCAGCAAAGCACCCAGATCCCGAGAACAGAACAGCAGACTGACTGTCCTTCTGGCCTGGGATCTCGTGGGGTCGGAGATCATTCACGTAACTCATTGCTGCAGTGGCCAGGGGCAGTCGCACGGTGGATCGGGGGGGGCAGCTGCTGCGAGATGACGGATCTTGATCGGAGAGGGGACCGATCACGCTGTTCCCCTTGGGCAAGCATATTATGCCCCTGATGTCGTGTCATGTTGTACTAGCAGAGAGACGCAGACGCAGACTGCAGAGTCTGCAGAGACTGCAGACGGGATGGCTGGTCCAACTTCCGCGGGGCAGGACTTCTCCGTCGAGAGCAACATCAATTCGCTAGTCTGAGGCAGTCGCGGTGTCAGGGAGGCGAGTGGGAGCAAGTGGCATTCGGCCTCCTTCCAGAAATGAACACCACTCACGCACGCACGCACGCACGCACACACACCAAAGCCAACCAACCTCTCCTGTGGTCTCCTCATCTGTTTCTGCAGCTAGTTTATGCATACACTTTTCAATGACACCATCAAGCTGAACCACCACGATGTACTTTTATGTATACTCTTGTAGGCACGTAGCATCTGCAGAGCCTTCCTTTCGCCGAGGCTCGAGGGCTGGGCAAATGCCAACGGAACATGGCCTCTCTCTGACCAGCAGTGCTGTGTGAGCTGCCAGCTCGCCTTGCTCTCGTGGGCGGAAGCTACTGCAAGGACTGTTGAGTTGACGGCGGGAGCAGCCATGGGTGCATTGCTCCTGCCCCGTTGTTGTGATTGATGTGCCTCAGCTCCAAGGCTCCGTTCCGTTTCTGTAGGCGCGGGTACGGCTGCTGCTGCTACTGCTCTTGCTGCTGCTGCACATCTGACCTTCCTGGTCCCTGACCGTCAAGGCTTGCCCGTTTGCCTGTGCAGACGGGCAGACGGGCAGACACTGACCGTATGTACTTGCAAGTCATGATCAAAATACGCAGGACCGTTGCGCTTGTTAGCACAGTCTGCGCCTAAAATACAAACGGTTCTGTCCAAGTTTCTTTGGACAACATATGTCACTCTGCTCGAGTTTGATGGCATCATCAAGATGCACATTTTCGCATCGTTATCATCATACATCTTCTTTGAGTGAGGCTGCCTGCCTGGAAGGGGCCTATCCGTTTTAATCCGTTTCCCAGCCTGGGCTCAGAGCTGCCTTGTGGCCTCGCGTAACACACGAGGGCAGCCACAGTCACCAGGCTCGACATTTTTTCTTCCCAAACCTTGCCGGTCCACCACCATCGTCCTGGGCCAAGCACCAGGCGGCGCACCGTGGGAGTTTGGTGTCGTGGTTCGCTGGCAAAGCTCCGGGCAAATCTCCCTGGCGCGGCTGGGAGCTGCGTAGCTCCAAGGCCGGGCCGTGTCGCAAGCGTAAAGCTGGGATATCCCGCCTGTACAACGGCACAGTCCCTTGGTGCATGCGACGTGTGGCGTGATTCAGCGTGGTAGACGAACGGAGACTCCGGTTTAGTGCCTCCCTCTTCCACAATGCGCCCGAGTGGTCGACCCAGTGCTGCCCGACCGTGCCGATTCACTTGGTTTCGGTCCGCTGTGTGGCCGGGTGGCTACAGGCGCTGCCCAGGCTGCCATGTCGACGAGTACTCCGTACGAATTAGGGGCTTCTCAACGCTCAGGCTGGTACTACATAGTAACGGGATGAAGCGTGCTGACCGGCCCTGCGCCAGACACCTAGTCAAGGCAGCCCAGCCTGCTTCTGGCCGCGGCCTTGCCTACCAAAGTTTGGTCAGTAACTTGGCCCGCTGCCCCGACTTTCTCGAGCACCATCACCCCTCTCTCGATGTCACCAAAGGCTGTCATTGGCTGGGGTATGGATTGTGACAGCCGAAATGACCGTACCAGACTTCACGGCTTCACAGCTGTGAGTGCGCGGCAGTGATGGCAACCATCCGTCTTCTGCTGCTGTGCATCATCTGCTCCTCAGACTGTCGGCCGGGTGCCAGAAGACCACAAAGGCTGAAGCAAGGCGGAGCCGACCACAACTGACCCGGATTGCCTGGTTCTGTGGAAGGTAGGTACAGTCTAGAACGCGCGCTACATTCAAGAGAATAACCTTTCCCAGTCTTGGTACGCCTTGCCTCTAGCCTAACGTGCGAACCCGACCAAGACACCCACATCCATGACCTGCTGCTGCGGTACCCATGGAAGGCTGCAGGCCCCTCTTCCCGGCCAGTCAGCCAGTGACTGCGCATTAAAAACTGGTAGAGGGGCATGCTGAGGGCTCTAGTGCGCGGTGTTTCTGAACGTTGCACAGAGACCAGCACTGACCACACGCGACAAGAGGTTGGGTTCCTTTGCTGGACCCGACTGGCCTGTACAGAAGGGCCGGATCCGCGATTTCGACACCAATACTGCATCCTCTGGTCACCTGCGCCTCGCGAGGCAACGGACTGGCTACCCTACTCGCTCTCAGACCGACGGCCTGCGTTCTTTGGGCTGCGAAGCCGTCTCGCTCTGGCATGCACCGCCCAGACCCAGAGAGTCTTCTTCCGGAGCAGCTGCACGTGGGTCATGTGCTTGCCATTGTGCTGCAAATAGCCGCATGAATGCAGAGCTGCTGCAAGCTACGTACTCGGCACCCGTTGTATTGGTTGGATGTTGGCGCAAGGAACAGTCGCCCACAACGCTGCGGGCTTCCAAGACACCAAGAGAGACATGGGCCTTGCCTTTCGAAATCGTACGACATCATTCCGAGCGTCCGAGCTTGATAAAAACACGCCCTGTCATTCCTCTCTCGCGGTGGGAGGGAACGGCGAAAACATGGTACCCGGCAGCCTCGTCCACTCGCAGGACTCAGCCTTGTCTACAAGCTTTCCGGGGCCCGCGGGCTCTGGAGATACGAAATGATTCGGAAGGGGGAAGGAACTAAATAGACAGCACGTCTTGTCCCGATGCCCCGGCCCTATTACGCATCCAGCACAATTTGCGCAGCGAGTGGTTGCTTGGTAAAATCCCGTGTGCACGCGTCTGGATGTCCGGGGTTCTTCATTGCGCAGACCGTGTCTGGCTGCGCTCGAGTGACGGACAGAGGCGCCTGGCAGAGCGGTAGCTGACTTAGTTAGCTTCGCGGTGGGATCTCGCTCCACTCGCTGTCATTAACTAGGGGGTTGCAAAC